AGTACTAAGTCGTATTCTCCGAGGTTAGTGACGTCGAAGTTAATAACTTCAAAGTGGTCTCCGATAACTATTAGCAAGCTTCCGCTTTCGTGTGTTATCCCTAGTCCTAAACTTTCTCCGTTCAGGCCGACAATAGGTGCTAGCCGGGGTTTCTTTTCTTCTTTGAGCTTAAGGTAGTCTAAGCACTGTAGGCTTATAAAGTTCCCTACAGCTCCCGAGTCGATTATCGCTGTGATTGACCGGAATATAATATTAATAGTAATCTTTATATATCGTCCCTATACTATAGCGGCTAGGTGTTGTAGTTCGTTTATCCTCCGGTCTCTATACTAGAGTCCCGCGTATTCTAGTTTCCAATTTAATTTCTTTTCCTAGCGTAGCAGCTTAGGTTCTAGGCTTCTTTCGATTTTTCCTTAATAATACATTATACAGTTATCGTCGTAACAGGCCGATACGGTTCTAAGACCGTAGTCGGGGTGTCTTACGTATCCCCTGTATACACATTCGTTGCTGTTGTAAGGACATTATACTTATTCGCGTACTTCTTCCGTAACTCCCCTAATATTGTTAAGTATATCGATAAGTTGTTGTAGAGTATTAGTAGGTAAGAGGTTAGTTTCAGTAAGTGCTTATACCTAATTGATTTAACTTAAGCATTCGATAATCAAATCGTCTGTAGGGTTCTCTTAAGGCTGTTTAGTCGTATCCGTCTCTAGGAGCTAAGGTGGAGTTTCTAGGATCTCTAGGGTTTCTAGAGTTTCGATTAACGTTTCCAGAACTGTAATACCCTACTCCTAGGAGTCTTCGGATAGTTCCTAGGAGTCGGTAGTGTTCTAGGGACCGTACTAGGTCTACCCTTAACTCTCGATATTCTCTGTGCTATTCTCGAAATAGTCTTCTGCGTGCTCTACACTAATTAGGCCGCGTTCTTATATAATTTCCTCTAGGGTCCTATCGACTTCCTAGGCCTTAGTATCGTCGTTATTGCTACTAAAGGTGTCTGTAATTTTGCCCTTCGCGTTCCTTTCGCAGAATACCGCCTACCCTTCGGACGTAGTAGTAGCGACGCGTCGTTATCTAACCCTAGGTTCCTTCCTAACTAGTAGTGCTTCTTCTACCTACTAGGTAACCCGGTCCTGCAGGTGCCTATACTCGTCAGGAGTAGCCCTAATAATAGCGTCCTTCAGTCGCTCAGTGTCTTCCTAACTAGCCCTAAGTTGCTCTTTAGATTTATCGTCCTATATTGCTATCTATTCCTTGTCGCTAGTGGCTCGTAGCTGTTAGGGCCGGACCTCGTCGTGGGTCGCCCTTAGCTGTTATAGCTTTGCGTTATTACGTCTATTGTTCCGCTCACGCGCCTATAGCTTTGCGTTATTGCGCCTGTTATAGCACTCACGCGCCCGATGTCCTGCCTTTCCACATTCAAAGCATAAGTTGTTGTCTTTGCGCCGTTTTTCTTCTTCGGCTAGGAGCCTCGCTACGTCGAGCTCTATTAGTTATAGCCTGTAGGGATCACTATCCCTGCTAGGTCGGTTTAGTCGTTTATCGTAACGATAGTGTAATAGTCGGCCAGTGCCTCGGCGCTATCCTTCGATTTCTCGCTTTTCTATTTATCGATCGTACAGTCGGTTATCGATACAGACTATAACGTCGATAAGTTTCTCTATAGTATCGGGTCGGTCGATTCGTGTAAGTTCGTCCTTAATATAGGGTTTAAGTCCGTGATTATAGTACGGAATCAAAGCGTAGTCTTCCTACTAGAGTATCGCTGCAAGTTGCATAAACTCGGCCGTGTAGGTTAATACTAAACTAGTCTAGCGAATACGTTTGAGCTTTCGTTCGGCCGTCTTCTTAGCGTCGATATCCCCGAAAGTACGTTCCAGATACTATCTAAACGTAGTATAACTACCGAAAATAGCTTACGTAGTCGAGGACTACTCGCTATTAGCCTTTTCGTAGTATTCGCGAATATAGGGTTTAAGCTAATCCTATACCTACCCTCGTAGGTAGGCAGACACGAAGATAACTCTACTTGCCTCTGTGAAGAGTCGTCCCTTGTTAACGTCGATATAGATATCTATCTGCGTTAGGAATCCTTGTAGCTTGTGTCGGGTACCGTTAAAGGTCTTAGCCTTTAGAAGCTTAGGTACCCCGACCGAAGTTGCTAGTGCTAAAGCGACGACTTAAGCATAAAGCTACTCTAAGTAGTCCTTTACACTAGTAGAGTGCTAGTTGTAGTTACCTCCTAAAGCGGTTAAGTCGTTTTTGAGGTCATAAACTAGCTTCTAGAGTTCTTGAATTTGTCGTTCTTTCTCGTCTTCCCAATTATCCTCTCTCGCGGCTAGAGGGCGTGGGGTTTTTCCTCTCGGAGTGCTATCGTTGCCTACTATAATAACTTTTGCTTCACAGTTCAAAGACAGGGCGATCAATATATTACGCGGTGCCGACTAGTCACTGTGAGTTAGAAGGTCCTTAGGTTATACTTACCTAGTTCTAACTACGGATTCTAAGAGTATCTCGCAACCGTACCGTTGCTATACTAAGCCTTACGTCGGGTTCGGGTTCTGTTGAGTATCTTACAGAACGTACCAGAAGTGCGCGCCAAGTAAGTCAATCACTAAGTATTGCTACCGAGTGAATCCCCTACTTATAGGTTAGGTTATCTTGAGGTAAACTATAAAGTGCAAAGTACTAAAGGTAGTAACCAAGTAACAATATGCAATTGATCGCGAAGAACTAAATACATAATACTAAATGAGTATCCTTATATATCCAGTCCTTCCTACTCCCGAGCCTACCCCCAGGGGGTAGCCCTAGAGTAGCCGTATACTCCTACGTCTACTCCTTAGAGTCACGCCGGGAGTATATCCTCAGAGTCACGTACTGGTTTTACCGTGTTCTCGCATTTAGAGTGTAATCTGGGTACGGGTAAAATAGTGGCCGTTTCCTGCGTCGCGCTAACCGTCTCATCACGTAAGTGGGTATTGTTTGTGACGGTTAGTCGCAGGCCGTATCCTACTCCTGTTCCGAAGTATTCTCTCAGGGCCTTCTGGGGCGTGCCCGAGTATACCGAAACGCACGTGAGGACGCTAAGCACTAGCGTCCGTGGGATGATTGGCTCGCGGTTGCTCCTCAACTTCCTGCGGTCCAACCGCCCCTCTTGAGGTTCGTAACACCTAGTCGGTCGCAATTAGGATTTCTTCCGCGATATAGGGAGGGTTCGGTGCCCCTTCGGTAGAGGGAGTAGAATAGGTCCTTAGTGCTATTTCTCCTAGGTGATTAAAGAAGAAGAAACAGAAATTGTAAGGATATACTCTATAAGTTAGGATAGAGGTCTGTTAATTAGGTAGTGAAATAGGGCTAAGTCAATAGTGTGAGATAGTCAAAGACTGTCGGCCAGAAAAGCGGGTCATATTTCCATTAGGCCAAAAAGGCGTACTTAAGCACAGTCTTCAGGCTTTATTTGGAGATATAAGAGATCAGGTCGTTCAGGGGCCGATATACCCCCTACTATATGCTGACAAAGACTATTTCTTAAGGATCGTAAAACCTCTTTGATATAGGTCAATTTATATACAGTCTTATCGCTCAAACAGGAAGGAGATGTATCCTTGGTAGGGAAATAGGAGCGGGGTGAAACACGAGGCTTGTGTAACCTCTGTCAAGGGTGTTCCCTGCAGGAGTTCGTACACGTACTGATGCCGAAGCCCCAGCGAACCTCTACAGAAAGCCTGCCGGCTTATCAGTTCCGAGAAGCCTGAGGCACCAACACTTGGGAATAGCCTCATGCTAGGGTATATCATAACATAGAGATTAAGCGTTTAGCGGCGAAGGGTATTAAGGCGATTATTACGGTAGATAGAGAAGACCCGATTGTAAGGAAAAATATAGCCTTATTAGCGAAGATAAGTATATAGAAGGCCTCTCCTAGACCCTTCGATTTTTCTATCCGAAATCTCCTACTAAATTACCTCTCTAATCTACTACGACTATAGAGCGTAGGCCTTAGGATCGTTAATACGTAGACGAAGACTAAGCTACTACCGTAGTCGCTTTAGCGTAATAGGGGCGATTTTAAAACCCTTATACGTATTAGAGGATTAGTAGGATCTCTTTATCAGAGAGATTATTATGCACAAGGAATCGAATACAGTCGCAAAGGGCCTAATTATTAGCTGTAGTGGGGGGTAATCGGCGAAGCCCCTAATCCTATAGGCGACGGGTGTAAGTGTATGGTAGGAGATATTAATCGAATAGCGCCGGGCGATTTCTATATAGATACCCTTAGTAGTTTCCTACAGGTTAAAAAGCTCGACGATTTCATCCTCATAAGGGCTTAAATCAATAAGAGAACGCCCCATTTTAGTATGTAAATCAAAAAGGAATAGATTGATATTGATGATTAATCGGATTCGGGTGGTAACTATAGTGTAGAATCGGGTAGTATAGTAATTCATAAATATCCTCACATTTTCATACTCCGCCGAGCCTCGGCTGCGCCATCGTGATCGCAGCAGTGTAACCCAAAAAAAAGCCACTTTCGCATAGATAGCACTAGTAAATCAGGCTTCTAGAAAGGCCACCAGTCTGTCAGCGATAAGCCTGCAGCAAGGCATTCTGGAGTTTAGTCGGTGTGATACTGATGCAGGAGGATAGTGGCCCGGCTACCCGGGCGGTAAGGGAAAGCGGTAAATGCACTTCATCAAAATATAGTGGCGAGATGATCCCTATTTCCCGCTGTACATAGGGCGGTTTGTGTCGGGCACTCGACGTGGCGTAGCGCAAAGCTGGAGTGGATCAGGCGGTGAATATCGGCGGCCAATAAATGATCGAACGCTTACATCAATAAACTAGTTATCATCAAATTGAGCAGATATCATCCTATTAATATACCGTAGCTCCCGCTCTTCTCATCCAATTTTGCTCCCTTTGTACCCTCCACACACATCCCCTCAAAGCATTCACAACAGAATTCCGTGGTCATTGAACGCCCCTCAGCGATGGGATTATTCAAATCATCAGACCAGGCCACACGACCTAGGTTCTTGGAACTTAGGTCTTCCAAATGGTTCATCACCCTCGCCGTCTCCTTCGCCTCCACCACAGATATCTTCATGTACGGTCTAATCGTGCCAGTCACGCCAACCGCGTTGAGAGAACGCGTTGGCATCCCCCCAGAAAAGATACAAGCATGGACATCAATTCTCCTCTCTCTATTTTCCGTATCTATGCTCGCTTTCTCACCGATTGTCGGGTATATCACCGATCGAGCCGGATCACGAAAATGGCCTTACCTGTTTGGTCTGACTGCCCTGGCGGCAGCAACAGCTTTGCTATGTATCGGATCAAGCATTGGGCTTTGGATCGCTGGACGGTTATTACAGGGAGCCGCGGGTGCAGTTGTTTGGGTTGTTGGAAATTCACTGATGGCTGATGCCGTTGGTCGAGATGGTCTTGGCCAAGCTATGGGATATATGTCGATGGCTACTAGTATTGGAATACTTACTGGACCACTCCTCGGAGGTGTTCTTTATGAGAAGTGCGGGTATTACTATGTCTTCGCCCTTGCCTTTGCATTGATTGGGTTGGATGTTCTCATGCGATTTATGTTGATTGAGAGGAAGGATGCGGTTCAATGGCTTGCGCCAGAGAGGAGGCCACTCGTGCCAGCGCAGGATGAATCGGGTGTTACAACAGACTCACCTGCCGAAGATTTTTACGAGCGTATGGGCATCCTTACAAGCTCTTCGCGTCTTATGGTAGCCCTCTGGGGTAACTTCGTCGTTGCACTATTTATATCCTCCTTTGATAGTGTCCTCCCGCTATTTGTGCAAGGGACATTCCAGTGGAAGCAAAGTGGCCAGGGTCTGATCTTTATTCCACTCATTGTGGCGCATGCCTTCGATCCGCTGACTGGGTATATCATCGACAAGTACCCACAGACTGCTCGTTATATTACCGCCGGGGCATTCTTCATCATGGCACCCCTATTCGTCCTTTTTCAACTTGTGAGGAACAACTCTATGCATGACAAGATCGTGCTATGCGTTCTTCTTAGTGGCGTTGGCCTCTGTCTGTCTGTGACAGTACCCCCTCTCGATGTGGAGGTTTTCAATGTCGTGGAGGAAAAGGAAAAACAAAGACCTGGTGCTTTTGGTTCGGGTGGAGCTACGGCCCTGGCTTTCGGCTTGACGAACATGGGATTCTCTGCCGGCAGTCTTGTCGGACCCTATTTTGCTGGCTTTATGCGACAGGAAGCTGGCTGGGGCATGATGAGTTGGGCGTTGGGTTTAATGGCTATGCTATCGGGTATCCCGATCTTGCTCTTCATGGGCGGCCCAGATTTGAGCAAGCTTGCAGGGTCAGAGGATGAGGGCGTCACCGTTTCTGAACCCTGATGGTCTAAGACGGTAGGCTTTTCCGTCTTGCAACTCACTTTAGAAAACTAAACAATGAATGAAGCAAAAAGTAAATCTCATGTATCATATACAGCCGCGCGTGTGTGTAACTCATTTACGCTGTCCTCTCGTCGAAGTTAATTTCCCAACTAGACCAAAATACGAATCAGTACTCAGCCTAGTGGGTTGTGGTTTAGAACCAAACTATCGAAACGATATATAGCGTACCACTAACTATATATATATCTTCATATGTACATGGCTAAGTGAACTTAGAACCTCACCAGGTCCTCCCAACAGGGTTGACATGCTGTTGAACGCATCGCCAACCTTTCTAATGAGGTATTACGCAATTTTTGACTGATTAACAAGAAATACGATGATAACGACGCACACTAATCCACTGTATGTAAAGGGTTTAGCGGTAATCTTTACTTTGCTCAGAGTCCCCATGGCAGCCCATCCCAAATTTATTCCCTATATAATAACGCCGCAGATTGGGCACGAAGTATTTCTACTGCTCTCCATTTTGCCATTTTGTGGAGTTTTCGACTATTTCGGCCCGACAAGGACAAGGGTCCGATTATGCTTGCCTAGAAGCCAAGGCACTATTATAAGTTGAAAAAAAATCACGGCTACAGCCTGGGTAAGTACCAGGACGGGATGATCCGCAGGCGAACATTCTCCAGCTCGTGTACCAGTGGCTGCGTGATACACGAAATAGACGCTAGCTAATGGTGCTCGATAATGCGGATGACAATGGTGTCTTTTTTCATGCCAATAAATCAAATGGACGAGAGCTACTAGCAACACTCTTGCCCCAGGCCGAGTATGGATCAATCCTAGTCACGTCCCGAAATAGTCTTGCGGCGCGGAATTTGGTGGGGAGTGATAGTGATGTGATCGAGGTTCAGCCGATGAATGAGGAAGAGTCACTCGCCCTTCTACGCGCAAGGATTTCACCCTCCCAATCTGGAAACCCCGGAGAATCCGACGAGCACGAGATAGCGTTAGTCCAGGCAGTAGAGTATATCCCACTAGCCATCACACAGGCTGCGGCGTATATTATCAATCGACTGCCCCTCCTTAGTGTCTCCACATATCTTCATCTTTTCCATGAAAGCGAATCAAGGCAGACAAAGCTTCTCCAGAATCAAGATTCTACAGACCTCCGGCGCGATTACAGCAGTCAGTACGCGGTGATCACCACTTGGCAGATATCGTTTAAGCAGATCCGCTAGGTACAGCCTGCGGCGGCAGATCTCCTGGCGTTGATGAGTATGTTCGATCGGCAGGGAATCCCCGAAGATCTGGGTCGTGACAACGATCAAGACATCCTGGACTTTCACGATGCCTTGACACTATTGCTCAACTATTCTCTGGTTCAACGAGAGAACAACAAGCGGCTGTTTGATATGACAAACTTATGAAATTGTCAGTCCGATCGTGGCTAGAGATGCATCAGTAGCTCATCAGCTGGCAGACCAAATCACGGGGAATTATGGCACGGGTATTTCCAGATGGCGCGTACGAAAGCTGGACACAATGTCGGTCGCTCCTTGCCTATGCCAAAAGTGTACTGAATTCTATGTCTGACATAGAGGGTGAAAATCAATTGAATACTGCTACCCTTTTATCTAATTGTGGATTATTTTTAAGTGGTCAGGGTGCTTATGAAGAGACGGAAGCGATGCATCGACAGGCGTTAGGAGCACAAGAGAGGGTACTTGGACGCGAGCATCCTGACACACTCGGCAGTATCAGTGACCTTGGTGATGCCCTCTTCAAGCAAGGGAAGTATGAAGAAGCGAAAGCGATGCATCGACGGGCCCAGACTGTGGAATTTAGTAGCCTCATGCGGCAAGGACTCCTGCCTAGGAAAATGTTCTCCACTCCTCATCCATTGCTTCGATTATCGAAAGGGCATTATGGGTCGGGAGAGACACATGATCGTGACGTCGATTGAAATATTGAGACAATAGTTTCTTTGGCGTCAGTGGCAAACCAAGGAGCTGTCTCAAGGCAAAAATTAGTGATTGTACATATGTCTCAGCCATAAGTAGAATTGATGACTCGATCCCTTTGACCTCGAGGGTTTGCAGGGTTTGTCGTCTTCTTTGTCCCTGCATAGAGCAGGCCGGGGATTTCCTGGCAGGTCCAGGCCTGTTCGTTCCCTTTGTGCTTTAGCCCTTTATAGGCCTTCTTCCTGTCCTGTCTGCTTCTTCTTCTTCTAGTCGTCTTCGTCTTCCTGTTCTAGGTAGACCAATTGACTCAGTCTCCCTTCTCTCTTCGCTTCCTGTGCCAGCAGTGCTGTGGGTACTGTCAAGAATATAGTGATCTTGTAGTTTGTAGTAAAGGTCCGGACCCTACCTGTCCAAGTGCCCCCCTGGAGATTCGGTGGCATCCTAAGGTTGTGAGTATGCTCACCGGGTGCCTCTAGGGCTTACATAGGTAGGTCTGTGGATGGAGAGTCCATAGTAACCAATGACCCGCATATATCAAATGCAAGGTGACTCATAGATCCAGACAATCAATCTGGGATATGGTCAAGTACTATACTCAGTGAGCAAAGGGGAACATGTGAAGGGAGATCTTAAAAGGGTGAAATCATTTCTCATGAACATGTCATCAATCTAGTTTAAACATCTCCAAATTTCTCCTGCTCGCGTGGGCTTTCAACCGCGGCGGCATGTTGAGGGAAGGGTGCTGGATCCTTCGTATGCGGATATTTCTTAAACAATGCGACAGTCGGCATCTGGCTGGCAATTTGTAAGGCAGCAGAATTAAAGTGATGAGGCAGTGCGCAAGGCTGGCAATTTGCAAGGCAGCAGAATTAAAGTGATGAGGCAGTGCGCAAGGCTGCCTTGGGGCCGAAGCCAATGCAAACAAACATCTGGAACACCTTTAAACACCTGAAATCCAGTATCCAAAGAGTCAACTCTACAACTCTAGAACAAAATTTCCCACCCATTCGAAGATGAATCCATCTGCAAATTACGCTCTGTCGAGTGTTCGCAAGACACAGTTTTTGATTGCTGGGTTTTCGTTGCCGTGCGCGATTGCGGCCGTTATTGACAAGCATGGCAGCGCCGAGACAATCTTGCAACTTACCTGGGTACTTACTATTTCTTATGATAAGTTTGTTTGGACTGAAGAATCTCAACTGACACTAGCGATATAGTTGATTATTTCCATGTGTGCGTCCCTGCTCTTCCTGTTCAACCGCCGCAAGGCTACGACGCAACAGTATCCGGTATATGAGATTCTGGGTGACCTGTCCCTCCTCATCCTCTTTGTTGGTGTCTGGATCGCAGGAATTGTGATTTTGGCTGTAAAAGAGGTTAATCATTGGAGGGCGACCTATGCCCTGGGGATCCCCCACATCTACACGAATCTGTCGTGTCTTATTATGTGGTGAGTAGATTCTCTACGTATTGCTGTATCTCAATTTGCTTTGTAATTTTTCTTCGAATGTTTCATACTGACGGTTGATGCCATTTCCCCTCAATAGGCTGTCATATGCATACACTTTCTTCATCTCCATCTACCGTCGCTACCTGGCGCAGCTATCCAAGGCACAGTGCTGGCGATCTTGGGGTACTACTTATGTCCAGTGCCCATCGTGCGATCGATCTGCCTCAGCACTTATGGGATCAAATGCTAGATGGTCGAGAGAGATCTCGGAGAGAGGCGCCAACTCCTTTGACAACACCCCTGGGCTTTACACGGATGACGAGGCTGAAGCTCAGACACTGCTTCGCGGTGACACCCACGAAGCAACAAAGCAGGAGACCGGTACTATCAAGTTGACCAATGATACTGTCTAGTGTGGATGTGTTTTAGCAGTGGCACTGGGGTTGCGTTGTCTTGCGAGAAGCAACAGGGCGGGTTTGATGCCAACCTTCGAAGGTTAAGCTGATGCGTTTATGATTGAAATGGAACATTGCTAGTTTCTTAGGGTTTTCCATTCTAGGTTGAGATGAGTCTTTTTGGGGGGGGGGGGGGGGGGGGGGGGGTTTGACAGGACTTGTTATGCAAATGTGCCATGAAATATTTGAATAGGATTGTTGAATTTCAACTGCTTAAATAGTGCAAACAACGTCCAATGTCAAATTGACAACCCAAACAAACAACACAAATGTGCCAAGGTGACAGCAAATGAGCATTCCAGCCCGGACGTATTGTAATTATGTAAGCCTGAGGCTGACAACAGGATGCCTCAGGAGCAACTTTCGCAATACAGATTGAATCATCGTTACAAGCCTGTTTATTGGACGAATACTGTACAGACCGCTCACGGCTGTCAGATTCCCCTTTTGTTTGCCTTGTTTGCAGGATCAACATTCCAGAAGCTCCGAAAGCCATACAAGCCCAATACAGTAGCTATTTTTGTGGTCATACTTATGGCTGTACTGAAATACTGCCGAGAAGAGGGGTCAGGGGTAGAGTAACTGTAATAGGCATAGCGTGTTTCGAACGAGGGTTTCGAGAAAGAATCTCTGTGTAAGTGGTAAAACTGATTTCGATTCTTAGTGTATGCATATGCGCTGACATTCCCTCAATGCCAAAAAGTGCGGTCTAGAAAGAGGGTAGATAATCTGCTTGGAAATCGCCATTGATTGGTAAGCGTTGACTGGCCATGGGCTCGTATTCATGGCGGGGCTCAAGTGGGGTACGCATGAATATAAGTAAGGTCAAGGTACCAGCATCATCAACTACCTCAATCAAGGATCTCGTCACAATTACAACTCTATTGCTACATAAACCACAATCTCAATCGTCGAGATTTATAATTGACCGACAAAATGACCTCCCCCGTCTACAACTACACAGTCCCCACCTTCATCAAGGGCCTGGAAACCCTCACCCTCATCCTCAAAAACGCCGAGGACTACGCCAAACAAAACAACATACCCCTCTCTGACTTCGTCAACGCCCGTCTCTACGAAGACATGAAGCCCCTAAGCTTCCAAATCCAATCCGCCAGCAACACTGCTAAGGGCTCTGTCTCCCGCCTCGCCGGCATCGAAGTCGTCTCCATGGAAGACAACGAGACTACCTTTGAGGAGCTCTACGCGCGTATCAACCGGACCATCGATGTGATCAAGGCTGTTGACCCAAAGCTCTTTGAAGGGAAGGATCACACTGAGTTTCAGACCAAGTTGGGACCGTATGAGGTTACGTTTACAGGGCAGTCGTATGCCAATCGGTTTGGCCTGCCGAATTTCTTCTTTCATTTGAATATTGCGTATGCGATTTTGAGGAGTAAGGGGGTGCCGATTGGGAAGATGGATTATTTGAAGTATTTTAATGCTTGATTTTTATGATTGTTAAGTGGGGTAAAATGAATGGATTCTAAGTCGTTATTCAGTATGGCTAAAAGTACAAATTTGAGATTCGTGTAATAGGATGGTATAATAATAATACACTGAGTGAACAAAGCAAAAACGGGTTGCTGAATTCCCCCATAACTGGATTGATCATGATCGAAAATCAGGCATGACCTATCATTGTTATTGACATGGGATCAAGAGAGCCAACAATTAAACATGCCTTGGCTCCCTTCGAGATCGACTTAGCTTGATGCTGCTTATGCTTGGCCAGTCGCGGATTACTATCATCGTCAATAAAGATCATTGGTCAAACCATCAAGCAACTTATAGGAGCCAGAGTCTGAGTCGCGATGGAAGAAGAGGCATGTTGTTAGTTGACTTCACTGACAGCGATGTCAGCAGTGTACGAGGGGAACAAGAATCCACAGAAATAGCTCATGATGGTCAAATATGGACCATTTCCCAGACAGATCAACCCTCGTATCCGACATCCGTGACCTGCGACCAGTCATTGCGAGGCGGTATTCTCTGATCCCATGGTCTCCTTGGTGCTTCGGTCAATGCACTTGGAGGTATCGTGACAAATCGAACATAGAAAAGACTGTCGGAACCACAGAGAATCTGTACTGACAAGAAACACGGGGAACCGGCCAAGATTCGGCCAACAACTTGTGAGCAGGAGCAAACAATTCCCACATTTCCCTTCAGTGGAGCCGGACGAAGCGACAGATTGGGACACTCTTAAAAGCACCGAGTCAGATGCCGGGGGAATGGTAAGGAGCTGTGGCGGCAGGGGCCCGTGCAGGTATGGATGGAGGTACGCTCTCGCATAGATATGGTGTGGCTTGAAAGTGTCCCTAAACTCAACACCGCATGATTCAACAAGCCTTGCCAGTAAAACTTCATTGATCACCTCATCAGCGTGCCTTGGGGAGTTGCGAGTCGCGTTTGCAATGCACACTACTCCTCTACCATAAGCAATGGCCCACCCTCATCCTTCGTGATTCGAGAAGTACAGTGAGAGTTCGAAGAGCACACGTGGCATGCGACCGAGCAATGTTAGGCTTTGTGTGCAAATGGAAAGGGACGGAGGGTAAGAGCGGAACCGCAGTTGTTTCGAAGTCGTCGGCTTGGTGAGAACTCGCGCACATTATCCAGGAACAGTGGTGTTGCTTGAAAGAGCCTCTAACCTAAGCACCGCATGAGTCAACAAGCCTTGCCAGTACTATGACAATAATCAAAGTGAGATTTCGAAGAACATATGTTGAATGTGACCGAGCAAGGTGACCGAGCAGGGTGAAAGATGGATGACCAAAGCCCATCGGTAAAGGGGTCCATTAGATGCGTCTCATAGAGAGAGGAGAGCCTATCGTGAGTAAATCGACTGAATCGAGACGGGAAATCTTGGCCTCGGCGATCCGGAAGGTAATCCCGCCCAATCGGGGCTGACCGATGCATTCCGCCTTCAAATGCGTCCATTTAGGGAACTTTCAAATTATTGCGTCACCACCTACATATGCTCCACCTTTCCTTTTATCTTATGTTTATAGATAGACCGAGGACCCCCTCCACCCCAAAAACGGGACAATCTCAACTCTCCTTTCCGCCACGTCTGTCTCGGCTGCCGTGCGATCAGACAGTCGCGTTCGACCTGCTGGTAAGATTGCGACCTTTCGAGTCGTTCCTACCGCCGACCAGCTCCGAGATGCCTGATTCGCAGCCAGAGTATTTTTCACCGGGAATAATACATTCAGATACTCGACCAGGACTGCGTTTGAATCCCTCAGAGTGCTCGATGTCTGCGTCCCGCCCCAAGATTGCCATTCCAAGAGTGTCCCAGCTTCAGTCCTACGGCAATCGACGCGTCAAACGAGCTTGTGTCGAGTGTAGACAGCAGAAGGCGAAATGCAATGGACATCAGCCGTGCAACCGGTGCACCAACTTGGGATCATTCTGCGCCTACGCCAAGGGAAAGAGAGAGACGATAGAGAAACGGCTACAGGACCTGGAGAAACAGGTTCAAGCTTACAATTGGCTTCTGAAAGAGATACAACCACGTGCGGAGAGCCGAGACCGAGATCTCATCGCCAGGACAAGGGCCCAAGTACGTTGCATCTTTTCCTGATGCTCTAATCCTCTAATGGCCGGTCGCTAATCTTTGAGTATGAAAAAGTATTCTGGCCTTGATCCAGACGATCCGCACTCTGACGATACGACCCATGATTCCACCCCTGGCTCCACCCTCGTTCATACCCGCTCCTTCGGTATTGAGTATATTGAGGAAGATTTCCATAAGGACAAAGGGTTGCAGGCAATCGGATACATGGGCGGGCCGTCGGAGATGTCGTGGATTAATGAGCTATATCAGGCTCTGGACAAAGACACGCCCTTTCTCGACACCGAAGGATCGAATAAGCCTCAGTCCTTGACATCCGTCTGTTATTTCCTTGATGATGAAGAGCTGGTTCTCGATGCGAGCATTGACCCTCACGGCCGACCCCCGCGTCAAGTCGCCGATAAACTGCTGGATTGCTATTTCTTCAGTGTTCATCCCTCTTTTCCCATCATAGCCAAAATTCCCTTCATGCAGCAGTATGAAATGTATTACACACGATCTGATTTGTCACCAAACAAACGGTGGCTCACAATTATGAATCTGGTGTTTGCATTGGGCGCTAAGTTTGCGCAGTTAGTCTCAAAGCCATGGGCGTCCGAGGCCGACACTCCGATGACTTGCTTCACCAGGGCCCGGAAGCTGAGCTTCAGCGAAAACCAGCTCCTGGAACACCCAAACCTTCAGCAGGTCCAAGTCGAAGGTCTGACGGCATTTTTCCTGATGGCCATAGGTCATATAAACCGGTCTTGGAAGGCCTGCGGCGTTGCAATTCGGTCGGCCATCGCTTTGGGGATCAATCTACGCAGTGAGAGCAAGGAGACGTCAGACATCTCTAAAGAGATAAGATACCGTGTGTGGTGGTCCCTCTACACCGTCGAAAACACTCTATCAATTATGACAGGCAGGCCCACGAGCACACCAGACAACTTCAGCACCACACCACTGCCCATTCCTTTCAGTGAAGAGAGATTCCGCGAGCCGGTGGCCTTGCGATTACTCACAAGCTTTAGTGCCCGTGCACACTATATGAAAGGGTTGATTTCCGAGCGGCGAGTCATTTCCGCTGCCTTGGATTCGCCGGGCTTGAGGCACCCGATCCTCGGGCCCAACTCGCTGCACATCGCGATGGACATCCCGCCCAGCGACTCTTTCTACTTCTTCTACTTTGTCGACCTGACCTTGATCATGCGGCGCGCCATTGACTCACTCTACAGCCCCGAATTCGCTCGACGGCCGTGGCACACCATCAGCGCCGCGATCATGGATTTGGTGAAGGAAACGGATGAGTGGCTGAGTAGTGTGCCGTCCATTTTCCAATTCAAAACCCACCATGCATCCACCGATTTTGAGCGCCAGCGATGGAGTTTGGCGTTCCGGTTCTACAGCTTGCGCATTACCCTCAGTAGACCGTCGCTCTGTCGGTCGGAGCGACAACGTGCGCCCAACGAAGCGTCGGCCCTGAGTCAGCAACGGATTGCCAGAATCTGCATCGACTCTGCGTGCCAGTTACTGGATCTTTTGCCCGATAGACCGGATGCCCTCTGGCTCATTCAAGTCTCACCATGGTGGTGTGTACTCCATTATCTCATGCAGTCAGTCACCGTGCTGCTGATTGAGATGGAGTTCCGTGCGCGGTTCCGTACGGACGGGGCCTCGCTCATCACGTTGCACCTTGAGAAGGGGCTGGAGTGGCTGCACGGCTTGGGGTCGATCAGCGTCCCGGCCCAACGGGCGTGGGCTGTCTGCAACAGTATCTGCAATCGTCTCTCTTTCGGACCGGGCCCTCAAACCGCCACGCTGTCTGATATGCCTATGCTCTCCCCGGAACGAGATTCGCAGGGATCCGGCACGTCCCTGCCCGCACTGTTCTCCGGTTACGACGTTGGTGAATTATCGAATGGCGGCATCTTCGCGGAGCCATGCGTGAAGCTGCCACATAACATGACGGTCCATCCGGCCATAGAAACTCCGTATGATGAGATTATGGTCTACAAGAATGCGGATTAAGACGATATATCGCTACGGTTCTATTATCTTGACAGAACCCGTATGTGCTCATAACCACAATTCTGCGGTGTGGCTCTATATACAAGGCCTAATCTGTACGGTGAGCGTTACTTGGAACGTGACAGTCATGACGGAAGCATAGATTAACTTATGAGTTGACATATACCAACTCTTTCTCGGTTACATACCCCCGTTCAATATGGCGCGATTCGTACGAAGCCACTTGATGGTGTGGTATTTTCGAGACCACAACAAGGTGAGGGTAAATGATCATCCGTATGAAGACCACATACTAACCACATTTCGCACAGGTATGTAACGAACCAGAGTCTTTCGGAACCCGTGTTTCCGGGCTGTGGGAATCGTAATGACTCAGACTGACAAGCTCTCCTGCACTCGTGGTCTGTGCATGATGAAGCCTCCGCCGTGCCAATTCTTCGGTTCCAACATTGAAGAGCAACACCGATAGTCTGACCAGTAATTACTGACTAGCATACCTAGCTATCAACTTACTTGACAAATTACTCCAATTTGATCCAGAGAGACGCTGTTCTGCCGTCGACGCACTCCAATCCGACTATCTGACTCCATATCATGACCCTGAGGATGAGCCCGTGGCACCAAAATCTTGCGACTGGTCATTCCTTGAAGCAGATCTTTCCGCAGACGTCCGGAAGACGATCACGTACGCGGAGGTATTCGATTTTCATGAACAATCCGGCGGACCGTCCCAGCTGACTGCGCCATTGATGGCATGGACCTGGGTTGATTTTCGTCTCTCATGGTTCTTCAAGCTTTCATTGGTTTTTCCTTTGAGGGCTTACTGATGCATTGTCCGGGCCTCTTTCTCTCATCTTGACAAATCGGCGAGCTGTCATGTCATTTCCTGGAGGCATTTTTTTTTTGTGGTGAAGTTATATCACTGATAAGATTAAGCTTTAAAGGAGAGGGAGAGAGTCTTGGAGCTATGTCGCCTAGACTATTCACGGTAAGTAGGTAGCAGCTGTGCAGGAAGTTGTAGATTGTTGAAGGAAGAGAGGGGAGAGGAGGTACAGTACATGTGTCTTTATCGGGTGGACACGACCAACTCGACGTTCCAGCTAGCAGTCAAGTTTGAGCATGTCTGATTCCTTTGCTCGGTCCGCCGGAGGGTTAGGCTCGAGGAACTAATATCTTGTGTCATGGGCACCACGCCGTCAGCTTTTTGGAAGATCTTTGGGACCCATGAAAAAATATGTGGTCAGATTGACGATCGGAAAGAATTCTAAGTTGACAGAATTTCTCCTGAATAATACTAGGCTATTAATCCTAGTCTACGAATAGGATCGAGGATAGGACTAAGCGGAACTAATCTTGGATGCAAACATTGATTGATTGAAGAGAAGAAACGAATATACATCTACTAAGACAGGTTGAAGTACTTCTGGAATAGTGCTACAGTACTTGGTGGATGCCTATACAAAACATTAGGGAAAAGTGAGTCACTTTTTATAATCCCTGCTAGGTGATAAATTACTGCTCTGTATTTTGAAATATACTTCATCGCAAATATAGCGTATACAGTTCATTCGTGAACCGTAATTTGTCAAGTTTGAAGAAGAGCAATGATTTCCTCTTTATTCTTAGGAATTCGAATATGCTCGGCTGCTGCTAAGGGTAGCTCGCCATAGTAACTTTTGCCAGTGGACCGCACAGTAGGGTCGGCGCCCGCGTCTAGGAGTATTCTGACAAGGCCCGGGGAACCACACTCAACAGCATAGTGTAGAGGAGTGCCCCATTCAGTATTAATGTGATTAGGATCGAGCCCCTTCGCCAGCAGAAAAGAAGTTTTCTGCAGTTTTTGGCGTACACGTGGCCGGAGGGCGTAAAAGAGGTATTCCTGTTCGAGTCTCGCGCCGTACTCGAGAAGGACCTCAATCCAGGATGTATCTTCGCTACTTACGATAGCGCCGACAAGGATGGATTTCCCCGACGGTCCGATACGGTTAGGGTCTGCGCCTCGCGAGAGAAATTCGCGAGCACATGCGAAATCGGCCATGAATCTGTTAGGATCAAGAGTTAGCCCGCTGAACTCGATTATTAGGCTTTAAACCTACGCTAGAATAGGCTCGCTATTAGATACGATCGCGTTAGGATCTAGTCCATGATCGAAAAAGAGGCGAACAATACCGACGTCTTGCATCAAGTTGATTCCGGGAAGAGAATCTATCGCCGATATTGATAACCCAGCGCCAGCATCAAAAAGTGCAGCCACCATCTCGGTGTGCCTCTGTCTAGTGGCGTTCGCGAGCCCCTCGTTAAGGTTCTCGGCAGAAGGTCGCCGGGTGGCGAGGGCTTCCTGGACTTTTGAAAGCTCCCAATCGTAGCACGCGTCAAGAAATTCTTCGGCGAAAGAATCATTTTCGACTTCCATCGTGCAAGTGAGATGGAATCGCGTGTAGAGACAGAGCGTGTGGTAGTGATGACGTAACAACAGGAGAGCGCAGGCAATTGAGGTGAAACCCAAGGGAAAGAGCTCGGTATCCGACGAAACGGAGATAGCAGCAAAAGAGATTTCTAAATCCGAAGATATGAGAGAGAGAGAGAGAGGGAAGAAAAAAGGAACGTGACTATCTGCGCGAGGGATAACCTTACGTTTGTGTCACCTGACAAATGAGGCTACATCAAAACACTAGATACGTTCGTGTGCAGTAGGACATTCGCATAGACCCTTATATCCGTGTACGATTGAACCCGCTTTTGGAACGAGAGTAATTACCTGTTTCAATTTCATGAAATGGTGCCAGAGTGAAAACTAATCGTCTGTTTTGGTGCACTTGCTTGAAGACTCTTTCTGCCCCTAAACGTTTTGATGAACGGGTGAAGCTTACTTGTTTAAGTCGAGCCTGTTTTTGCTTAATTTCGTTGTCACGAATATCGCTAAAGCATGCCAAGAAACGCCCAAAGATAGCGAATTTTGCCGAGTGCTGTCTCAGTAGCTAAGGCATTTAGTCTATTATAACGTGTGGAGAGCTTGCTTTAGTACGCTAAGCGATTTCTCGCGGCCCTCCGGTCTCACCAACAAGCTAATTGCTACGGCGAAGCAATATCACTCCTGATAAGTTTGAGTCGATTTGCGTTAATTTTTTGAAGTGATTAAAAGTTTCTACCCCGTTACCGGTAGTTGTAAATACTTCTAGCCGCGACTCTCTCACATGAGTGCAAAAGTTGTATAGATCACCAAGGGTCGGGCTTATTCTTAACCAGAGAGACTAATTCCTATCGAGATTGTCCTCTGCATCCGGGGACTTTGAAGAAGGCGGCGTAGAGTCAGTACCTCTTGTCAATCCAGATATTACCGACCCGGGCGACACGATAACGAAATCGTAGGGACTGACGCTGACAATATTTTCTGATCCGTTCTGCATCACCCTGAATGCTGAAACCAGGCCACAGTTGCTCGTTGAGCTAATTGTTACGTCTGTGACTTTGCAGTTGAACTGAAAATCTACCCTTGATTCTGAAGTAAATGGGTGATAGGTCCAACTATATCTTTATATGGAGAATACCGACAACGTTCGAGGAGGGAGAACGTATTTAGAGATTGGAGGTCGTGGAATTGTGTGCAGATGCATCGTCGGAACTTCACGGCGCTATGCCAAGGACAGAAACCGAAGCTTTCATTCAACTCGATAATAAGGCAGTGTTTATCACACAAGATACACGATGAAAGATTATAAGAATAAACCAAAATGTCCGAAATAAAGAAGGGGGAATGCGAGAGTGTTGAAATTCTCGTTGCTTTTTCGTCTGATGCGATTGTTGATGATTGGTATCAATAATTGATATGCAGGTTGACGCATACGCCCCACATTGCTGATCCGATGGCTTATGCACCTACATATGTTGACAACCCCTCATTATTTTCAAGGCAGTTTATATCTTTAGGCTCTCAAGGGGAACCGAGGCAGGCCCCCAGATCTTGTCAGAGATCTTCAGGTAGAACCAGAGCCAAACGCTGTTTTTTTCGAGATACAACCTTCCACTCATAGATCCTTTCGGGGTTTGACATGTAAACTCATCACTCCTCTTGCTATAATCCATGCTCAGAGGCATAGAAATCTCAGTATCCTTCGATTCCACAACAATATCTGCCATCAAACCGCTAAATTCAATATCGCCGCAGATCTGGAGCACAGAAAAGATTTAGCTTCACTATATTTAGGAGAGACTTGCAGCGGGATGAAACTTACAGTCACATCTCCAATACTCGTAGTGATAATTATATCGATATTCTCCTTGCTCTTTTTGTAATCCTCTTCATCAAGCCGGTGGGTGGTTATTTCATCTCCAAAACGGGAGATAGCTTTGATGTGCACACTTTCAGTGAGGCCTTCCGGAGTGTATTCTTTTTCGACAGGTCCAACGATAGAGCCCGATTGTCCTGTTTCGATATTGTCCCACTGAGCTATTTGCACACCATCTCTCGTTCCGCGCTGATATATTCGCTGGCCTTCCTTCTCAGGTTTTTCCCACTTAACTATATATCTTGGTAAGTATAGTAAGAGTAGAACCGTGGTAGGTTGCGATTATCAAACCTTCAGGGGCCATTATCTGTGGTTGAGTGAGAAAGATAAATAAAGGATTAGAAAAAGAAAAGCAGGGGAGGAGGGATGAACGGGAGGAGGGAAGGGCGGGGGAGTAGAATTAGTTATAAGCACAAGATACTCCGTACATCGCAAGGCTTCCCTGCTAAGTGATAGATCTGATGCCCTACCTTCCTTTTGGCTACATAATTCACATTCGGCCAACTTATACCGCCCTTTCAGGTCACACAGTTATGTATCTGCTCTATGCCCCACCTTTCGGCTATATATGTCACATACCTATGTCCTTTGGCCAACTCATACCGCCCTTTCGGGTTATATAGAATGTCCGGGTCTATCCCCAAATACGGTAGTAAATATTGGCATTAGGGTTTGGGAAACAATTGAAGAGTGTAGGTGGTGACACCACTTTCGGGACGTAGTGTACAGTTCTGATTAACGTATACAAATATTGCGTATCAATATGGAATAAAAGAAATAATGGAATAGCTGAAGATCATATGTAGAAAACTGGCTTTCGTGCGTGTTGTGTTCATCATTAGAAGACAAACGAGAGTGGTTAGTCGTAGATACCAATCAGTGCGGCAACGGCGAAAGCCACGGTAGATTTGCAACTTCTGTTCAAAAACACTATTATAGAATAGGTCTTAAATCAACAAAAATCTGGGCTTAGTGGTACTCTGGACACTGCTAAGAGTGCGCAGTAACAGCGTGCAGGGTTGACTCGGCAGTAGAGCTTGAGTGATGTTACCAAAAATGGATACCGTGGGTTTTCAACCAATAGGGTCTTACAATTGTAGTTTTTAGACTGAGGACAGCTAAGCGACGCCCCCTTCCATCTGCAAAACCCCACGCTCTACTAAGGTACTCAGGTCGGGAAATATTTGTTCCATGCCTGACAAATGATAGTACTTGTTCGGTTCCGCAGCTCGTTAGATTCAACAGGTTTTACGGCTTTTAACATGATTGTGAGGACTAACTATAGTATCGACCGGAAAGGTACTTAACATTAAAACGAAATGGAGACCTGATATTAGGGTTTCTATACCACTTGTATGGGACGCAGTCCCAAAAGCGACAGCGGCGATGATCTCTTTGTTAAAGTCGGCGTATTCGGAGGGCAAGGGTATGATGGGGACTCAAGAGGAAGGCGACTGTCATCAGGGTATCTACGCGACGTGCCGCAAATTTGTTTACAGAAGGTTGCAGGTCTAGGACAATGCCAGTTCTTTGCTCATTACTCTTGCCTCAATAAGTATTACATATCTATGATAGTGCAAAAGAAAAGTGGGAAAAGAAGATAGAAAAAAACATCAACGTCGCCATCCGTAAAGAAACAAAGACGGGTCAACAGAAGACAAGCCGCATTAGTACAGCAGGTATTCGGAAAGAAATGACAAGGGAAGAGGAATAAAATACATGTTAACATGGCAGAGGGTAATGAGGTACAGACTCCGAGTCAAAGAAGTCGCAGAATGAGGTGCAAGAGATGGATAGGTGTGATCGGGTCCCAGAAAAAGGCGACGGAGAAAAGGAGAATGGCAGTGCGGTGTTTTTGTATGTCACTGGCCAAAAAAGGGAATCACAGTTGAAATCACGCGAGATGGAATGCAACTTTTTAAGAACCAATTTACTCGGGCTTCTTGCCGACCATCAGGTACATGGGGGTGAACAGGTTCTTCTGAGCGCCCTCGACCAGGCAGTCAGCAGCCAGGGCAAGGCTGTCAGCGGTCTTCTGCGAGCCCTTGGGGAACAGACCGATGGTCTCACCGGCACCGACGAGGCGGTGGGCAAGGCCACGGCCCCACCAGGTCATGCGGGCAATGGTGAAGAAATCCCAGACGGAGCCCATGTGCTTGAACGAACCGGCCAGCGGGTAGTACCAGGGGGTAGCATCGGGGCGGGCAGCCAGATCCTCGTGGTGGAGGAGCTCGAAGCCAGCGTCGCGGATGGCCTTCAGGCCCTCGGAGATGGTAACCATGTTGGAGATACCGTCACCCTGCTCGATACCGAGACGGATACGACGGTGCTCGGGGTCATCGTTGTTGTACTCGTCAGTCATGAGCCACTCGTAGACACCGAACTTGCCGCCGGGCTTGAGAACACGGAAAATCTCGCTGTAGACACCAACCAGCTCGGGAGCGTGGACGGTGGCCTCAATGGCGTAAACGGCATCAAAGGTGTTGTCGGGGAACTTCATCTGCATGAAGTCACCCTTGACGAAGGCCATCTTGTCGGACAGACCCTGCTTGGCAGCGTAGTGGGTAGCGCGATCAATCTGGTAGTCGTTGTTGTTGAGACCAGTGACGTGAGCACCAGAGAACTTAACCATCTCACGAGCAGGGCCACCAACACCACAGCCAACATCCAGAACCTTCATGCCCTCGGTGAGACCGGTCTGCATGGCGAGGTAGTGCTCGTGACGGGCGATGGCCTGGTTGAAGGGCTCGCCGTAGGCGAAACGGCAGAAGTGGAAGGAGGAACCCCAGCCGTACTCGTAGAAGTCGGTAGCCAGGTTGTAGTAGCTGTTGCAGGTCAGTAAATCATGTATCCAAAGTGGAAGGCCTCCGTCTTGCGCAAAGCGCAATTCCAAAGAAAACAAACGGGGGTACGTACTGTCGGGTCAGGGTGGCGTATTCGGCACGACGAGCCTGTTTAGGGATTCAAGTCAGTCAAATGGTCAATTCAAACTCAATGCACCAAGTCTATCTCAATAACATACCTCACGGGTCTCAGCAGTCTCCTCCTCGTGGCCCTTGTTGTCCCAGTGCTTGAAGTACTCGTCGACAGCAGCCTTCTGGGCAGCATTGTCCTTTCCGCGCAGGGCAGTCAGACCGCCACGGACCTTGGCCGACTTTCCGTGCATGGCCTGGTTGAAGGCAGCATCGCGCACAACGTCCTCGTGTTCCAGAGCAGTGGGAGCCATTGTGAAGAATTGGGGGTTGAGGTGGGTATTAAAAGGGGGGAATCCGAAGGTGGAGGAATTGGGGGAATTGGAAGGGGAAAAAGGGACAGCGGTCCGTTAAGTAATAAAATAACAGCAATTGGAGAGATCCAGAAGCTGTGGAGAAGCGAAGAAGAGTGAGTTTCAAACAAGAGAGAGAGTGAAAGGTGGTCAAGAAGGAAAAAGGATAAATAGGGTGCAGTCTTGAAGGGACCAGGACAACTTTTTGGCGGACAGGAAAAAGGCCAGAACCAATCACGAACCCCTGAATCGGAGGGGCACAGGCCAGGTCAACTGCCAGCCAATCATGTGGTGTTGGTTAGCTGGCGGGACTGCGAGTTTCCGGGCGGTGGCTGCGTCGGAAGGAAAAGACCCCGGCGATATTCTTGGGTGACCTGATCTTGCGGGGAGGATGATAGACAAGATAGACAATGAATGAGGTCAAGATTAGGATATAGATCATCTAGACAGATATGTCGGATACTTTAAGGCTTATTCCGAGATTCTATCAGATCACCCCAGTCTAATGGCCTGGATTTCTCATCAACACATGCAAAGAGGCGCATCTCTGCACGCCGATCACGTGCTACACCAGCCACACACCGCCACCGTCTATCGATAATCAGGCTCATCTTTGTTCGGCTTCTTCTCGACTGAACTCCGAGAGTACCTCCAGCTCACTCCACCACTCCACCATGCCTCCCCAGATCAAGCATGATCTCAACCGCTCCGGCTGGGAGTCGACAGACTTCCCGTCCGTGTGTGAGAATTGTCTTCCCGAGAACCCATACGTGCAGATGCTAAAAGAAGATCACGGCGCCGAGTGCAAGATTGTAAGTTTTTGCGTCTTCCTCAAGCTCGAATCAACACACCCAAGCTAACACATCATGTTCAGTGCACTCGTCCCTTTACCATCTTCCGCTGGAAGGCTGACCGCACCTCGCGCCAGAAGCGTACCAATATCTGTCTGACCTGCGCGCGTCTGAAGAACTGCTGTCAATGCTGTATGCTCGATTTGTCATTCGGCTTACCGCTGCAAGTCCGCGATGCCGCGCTCAAGATGGTCGCACCTGGTCCCGACAGCTCGATCAACCGTGAATACTATGCGCAGAACCATGAGAAGGAGATCGAGGACGGAATCGGTGCTATCGAGGAATACGAGAAAACAGATGACAAGGCGCGAGAGCTGTTGCGCCGCCTGGCCAACAGTGAGCCATATTACCGGAAACCCCGCCGCATCGAGGGACCCTCATCAGCAGCGGGCGAGGAGGGAGAGGAGGCTGGCCCATCAGATCAACCACGGACACAATCTCGCTATGGAAATGGACCGGGTCCGGTACGCACAAACGAGGGACGTCTTGGGAATAGATTGCCTGGCCGTGGAGGTGCCCGTGGAGGTGCCCGTGGAGGTCGCGGTGGTGGCCGGGGTGGCCGTCCATTCCCCAGCACTGCGCAGTTGCCCCCATCAGCGGAAGACATCAAGCCGCCTGCCGACCCCAATGTGACTTCGCTATTCATCACAGGTGTTGAGGACGATCTCCCAGAACACTCACTGCGCTCCTTTTTCGCCGAGTTTGGTCAATTGCGCTCACTCGTCTGCTCCCATCGCTCGCACTGCGCTTTTATCAACTACGTCAACCGTGCCGACGCCGAGACCGCTGCAGAGAGTTGTCAGGGCAAGGCCGTCGTTAATGGTTGCCCGCTGCGCGTGCGCTGGGGTAAGCCTAAGCCGTTGGATAACATGGACCGTGAGGAGCGAATCCGAAATGCTCGCGATGGCCGAGCGGCCGCCGGTCCAGCCACAAAGGGGGCTCCTGGCAAGAAGGCGATCACAGCGGCCGGCGAGGGTGCCGGTCAGCAAGAGAAGAGTCAAGGCTACGCTGTGGCGCCACCTCCGGGTTCGGGCCAGGTCCAGTACGCCAGTATGTCTGGTGACTAGACGGCGTACAAAATTTCTATTTCTTTCGAGTTTAGGTGATAATGAGGATGACAGTGGCTTGCATGATGCGGATTCACAAAGCGGGCGTTGATACGGAATTGGTTCCTGGTTCTTGTTTGTATGTATGTGTATGCAGTTCTATCGAAATCGAAAATACCCCGAGACGCCAAAAGTGATATGATACAAAGAGTCGGGTATATTATAATACATGTTTCGGTCCACCGTAGCTGGTAATTTTTGCTTCCTTTCCTTCCGTGCACCCAGTGCCCGTCAGGGGACTCTGGGGTCGGAAGTCAGTCATCGCTCGGAGGTGTCTGCAAGGTGGCCGATGGTGAGGTCACGCGAATTAGGAAGAGCAGGCCTTGTGGATCTTGACATCCTTGTCGCCGACTTTAATTGAATCGTTGTCGCCGCGCTCGATCTCGTCGTGGATGCGGAGTTCTAAATGCGATCAGAGTTAGCCATAGGTTCGACGATAGAGGTCCACCCTGCACAAGAAAGCTGCCAGCAATGGACCCTCCCCTATGGGGACACATGATTCCACGTACGCCACTTAGCAGACTCGTCGCCATCCTCCCGGGCGCCCTGCACCAGGTTGTGTCGCAAGATGTTGGCCACCTCGATGGCGTGGTTGATCTGCATGCCGGTATCGATGGCAACACGGCGGTTCTGGTCGAAGTTACGGCGGGCCTCCTGGCGAGCAGCAATCATCACTCGTAGATCATCTAGGTATAATATGTTAGAACTCATAATTGACAGATGTATAGCGCAGGGTGATACGGAACCAACCTCTAAATGCGACCCGGGTAGCGCGCAGGATTTGCCGGTAGGCGCTCAGGGCAGAAAGACTGGGGGCAGACATCTTGAAATATTGAAACAATCAGCAAAAATCAATTCCGGTAGGTTGTAGAGCGAATCCGACGCCAGTTGAATCAAAGACGCAGGTCATGAAGCATTGAAGCATAACGGGATTATCCGCGTTGTGATTGGCGGGCGGCCATCTGTGGCAGAAAAAAAAGACAAGCAAAAAAACCCAACCACTCCTCCCACAGACGTTCGAGACCCTCCCATTCACACACTCTCTACAATGGCTTCTGTGCAGGTTGTCAACGTTTCCCTCCCGTCCTTGCCTTCGGGCTGGACTGCCGACAAAGACTTCAAGGCTGTCGGTGGCCTCTCTGCTGCTATTCAGCGCAACATTGAGCCCGTGGGCCCGCACTTCCTTGCCCACGCTCGCAGAGTATGTTTCACCATGAAACGGTTGCCTGTTGATGCGGGCAGCAATGATTTCCCTTTCTAACAAACTTATAGAAGCGTCATGCCCGCACTTTCTCTGAGGATGAGCGCATCCAGGCTCAGCAGAACGTCAAGAAGACCGAGGATGAGGAGGATGAGGACATCTCCGAGGATGAGGACCCCATGATGCTCGCCCGTGATGCCAAGGACTGGAAGGTCGGTTCCATCACCTTACTTTGAAGCTGTCTTCTGTCATGATACTAATTCCCTTCCAGGCCCAGGACCACTACGCCGTTCTCGGCCTGACCAAGTACCGCTGGCGCGCTACCCCCGAGCAGATCAAGCGTGCCCACCGCAAGAAGGTTCTCCGCCACCACCCCGATAAGAAGGCCGCCATGGGCCAGCGTGATGAGAACGACAACTTCTTCAAGTGCATCCAGAAGGCCACCGAGCTGCTCCTGGACCCCGTCCGCCGCCGCCAATTCGACTCCGTCGACGAGGCCGCCGACCGCGAGCCTCCCAGCAAGAAGGATGTCCAGAAGGGCAACTTCTACAAGCTCTGGGGACCCGTCTTCAAGGCTGAGGGCCGCTTCTCCAACAAGCAGCCCGTTCCCCAGCTCGGCGATGAGAACTCTACCCAGGAAGAGGTCGAGACCTTCTACAACTTTTGGTACAACTTCGACAGCTGGCGCTCGTTCGAGTACCTGGACGAGGATATTCCCGATGATGGTGAGGGCCGTGACCAGAAGCGTCACACCGAGAAGAAGAACGCCAATGCCCGCCGCAAGCGCAAGTCCGAGGATATTGCCCGCCTGCGCGAGATGGTCGATGAGTGTCTCGCCTTGGATGAGCGTATCAAGAAGTTCAAGCAGCAGGCCCGTGCCGGCAAGGACGCTAAGCGCAAGGCCAAGGAGGAGGAGGCTAAGCGTTTGATTGAGGAGCGCGAGCGCGCCAAGGCTGAGGAGGAGGAGCGCAAGAAGAACGCCGAGGAGACTGCCAAGGCTGAGCGCGAGGAGAAGAAGAAGGCCAAGGAGGCCGCTAAGAACGCTGCTAAGAAGAACAAGCGTGTTCTCAAGAGCTCCGTTAAGGACGTCAACTACTTCGCTGACGGCGAGGCTTCCCCCGCCCAGGTTGACACCGTCCTAGGTGATGTTGACCTTGTCATGAGCAAGATCGATGTCGATGAGCTTGCTGAGCTGGCTTCCCAGCTTACCGTCGCTGGCAAGGACAGTGGTGCTGTTAAGGCTGCTTGGGCTGCTGAGTCTAAGCGTCTCGTTGAGGCTGGTAAGCTGAAGGATGGCGAGGTTAAGGCTTTCGCTTAGATTATAGATTGAGGCTGGCCTGGTACATGGGCTGGCTGGTGATGACCGTTTCCTCTTTGATGTCCTATAGAGATGAATGAATTCCTTTGGAATGTTTCCATAACCGTCCTCATCGAAAACTGTAGTCGATACTATAAACTTTGTTCGTCGGTACGTAACCGAACATACCTATACTATGCACCGAGTATGTGAGTAGGTCCAAGGTGTCTCGGAGGGTGAATATTCGTTGCTGAGAAGGTCTGGATTGGAATCCCAATTAGGCAATAATCAGGGTTTTGACTGGATTCCAGGTCAAACAATCAACTCCCCCCTCTGATGGCCTAGTTGGTATCCACCATAAATTGGTGAACCACAGGTGTGCCCTGGAGGAAAGGGCAAACAAAAGAAGAAGAAAAGTACTGGGCCAGTGTTGACGCTTCAAGCTCCACGGACGGCCGGGCACACCCCTAGGTGGGAGAAGCTTTTTGTGAGTTTTTTTGAGTTGATATTATTTTTTAATAGACTATCTGGAAGATATCTATGTTTTATTAATTTTAATTCTTGAATAGCCCTTTTGACAGTGTTAGAGGGTTAAAAGGGGTTGCTTTATGGCACTGGGGTGGGATGGCGATGTTTGTCGGTGTCCGTGGATGAGGATGCACTAACAAGGCGAAGTATATAGGGCATGACAAGGTTGAGGGTTCGATTCACGGAGGTGGAGAATTTATTAATATCTGATTTTAAATGTTTTGGCCTTTAGGCATATGGATGGGAATGGGAATGGGAATGGCTTGATACCTATCGGGGTTGTTCAAGCTGAAATATATATCGGTAAGCTGGACTACTTGGTGTTCGACCACGTCTAGATAGTGCCAACCTGGAAACGATTCCCCTCCACAATAATATACACCTGTAGCACCGCTTGCCTAACAATCCATATCTCTAGACAACACAAACTGAAAGCAGATGCTAATTGTTACTTCGAACTTCAGATATGTAAAGAGTTGGACCCCTTAAAAAGAACCGGGATTACGTTATCGGATTGCAAACTCGGCGGACCCACACCGATTGGAGTAGATTCCCGGTCCGGGCCCGTCTCAGCTCTGGGGAAATCTACAACTTCCCGTCTACATCCATCTCCGACAGATAAGACCCCAGTTATGCCACCAGACAGCCAAGCAGAACAACCTCATTATGTTGAGCCAAATGAGCTCTTACCAAGGGATTACAACTGGACATATGATCAAGACCCTGGAACATGTGATATTTTTACCGCGGATAGTTTCCATTTGAATGGTTCTGGCTTTCATGCAGGGGGTCTGATTCACCCCCAGTCATTGGATACTTCCGATCTATGCTTCCTCGAAAATACATATGATGCTACCAACACGGCGCCGGCAATTCCTTTCATGGGACATGAATTGGGAAATGATAGTTTTCCTGCTTCGGTATCTTCTCTGGATGGATTCTCGGATATGATGAATGTGTACTCCGGTACAACGAGCCCTGGAAATGGTCTACTGCAAGACACGCCCAATACTCAACTGTTGGATGGCTTTTCATGGAACTGGGAATCAAGCCCTGGTGTCAGCGATCCGATCCCGGCCTCGGAACCCATTGAACAACCGGCTCCAGCATCTCTCTCGCAACAAAGACCTGCTCCTGCGCCCCGTACCAGAAGTGGCCTACCACGACGCAGAAGTCGATATCTTGTCTCGCAGCCTGTCCAAAGGACTCCTCCTATCCAAGTCCCTGGAGCGAAAGAGATGGATCCTATGCAACGATGGCAGGAATCTCCGCCCGAGGATGAACCGGCTTCACTCACTGCAATCATGAATGCCATGGACGAGATGCCGAACAATCGCAGCCCCGGGCAAGCGCATGGTACCAGACCGACCAATGCCTTCAAACACTATCGTCAATCTGCCTCAATCACGAGTGGAGAATTCAGTGCCTCTTCTGCTGACTCGGCATGTTCATCGGCCGGACGGTCGACACCCCAAAGCAGCCGCAGCCGCAGGTCCAAGGGACGTGTGGCTAAGAACAAAGCGAAGCCGTGGAACGATACCAAACCACGGATATTTTGTTGCACCTTCTGCTGCGACCGCTTCCGGAGCAAGTATGATTGGGTGCGCCATGAAAAGTCTCTACACTTAAATTTGGAGACGTGGTATTGCGCCCCTCAAGGCCCGTCCGTATTCTCCGAGACGACCGGTCAAGAACACTGCGCATACTGCAATGCTCCGAACCCTTCTCGTGAACACCTCATCGAGGAGCATAGTTATGAAGAATGTCAGAACCTCTCCAAGGCGTCTCGCTCATTCCGACGGAAGGATCATCTCGTTCAGCATCTGCGTCACGTACACCAAGTCAACACCGTCCCGCTCATCGACGAATGGAAGAGCGAATCCAAGAATATCACATCAAGATGTGGATTCTGCGATCAAAAATTACTTGACTGGGACGAACGCATCGAGCATATCGGTGATCACTTCCGCTCCGGACTCACCATGAAAGACTGGAAAGGCGACCACGGCTTCCCACCCTCCATCACGGCACAACTAAGAAACGCATTCCCACCCTATCTCATCGGCACCGAGTCCGAAAGCATGATCCCATTTTCCTCGACTAATGCAGCTGTCCGCGACCACTACGCCCAAATGTCTGCTCGAGTGGAGGCATCAAAGGGCTATGGGAATACAGGACAAGAATCTGCCGCAGCTGGTGCCGGTGCCGGTGCTGGCGCCGCCGATGCGACGAAGTTACAATTTGATAATTTCTTGGGCAACTTTACGCGCCATTTGGGCCAGTTTGCCAGACAGCAGATGCAGAATGGGGTTATTCCTACGGATGAGATGTTTCAGCAAGAGGCGAGGAGAGTGGTTTTTGATTGTGGGGATGAGTGGGATCAGACTATTGCTGATAATCCACAGTGGTTGTCTTCTTTTCGGAGGTTACATTGTGAGAATGGGGAGGATGGATCTAATGGCTGATTTGGGATATAGAATGTATAAATGGATAAAGGGGTTGCTTTCTCATTTTGGGAGCTTTGATTGGAAGATATCGTCATGTCAGACTTTTTATGGGAAGGACTCAACAATGAGTCATTCCACCTAGGGGTTGAGGTCGAAAGATTTCAAGGCAGTATCTACCGATTCAAAGATCGTGAACCTTCCGAACAATTAGCACCCATCTAATAAAATATAGTAAGGAAATCAACTCACCAAATCAACCCAAACACCCCCAGCAAACCGACACTCACTAACCCCCCTCTTCTCAAATCCACCCTGCTCATAAAACCTAACCAAATAATCATGCGCAATCAACACAACACTCCTCACACCACTCACACTACCCATTTCCTTGATATACTCAATATACGCCTTAACCAAAGCCCTCCCAATTCCTTTCCCCTGAAACTGCGGAATCGTGACCACCGAGTGAACAGCGACATTCTCACCCGCGGGATCATTACCAATGACCTGTCCATCGACAATGACGGGTTCGTTGACGGGTAGAGAGTGCCAATTCTCTGGCATACCCATCGATGCTTCTGTGATTGTGTTGGAGGATATTCTTGCACCGATAACGTGGCCGATTTGTTGGTCGATGCCGGTTTGGGTTTTTATGAAGAGGCCGAGGCTTAGGGGTGGGCAGGCTGTGAGGCGGTATTTGAACTGTGAAGTATTTAGTGGAAGGACTTCATTGTGGGGGATATGTAGGGGTTTGATGGGGTTTGTACCTTTTCTTCAGAACAGCGCTCTTGTTCGGGGAATGTGCTTTCGACTGCGACGCAGGACTTTACGTCGCTGATGGTGAGTAGTCGGATGTATGCGTTGAACCCTGATAAACCCGGGCATTGCGTGATGTGATCGCTTGGAGACATTGTGAAGGTTTTGCTGGAATCAAAGGAATTGAGGGAATCAACTTCATGTGGATATTTGTAGAATCTGTACGCTTTATGCCTCTTATAGAGTTGTCTATAGTGAGGTTTCTCGCATCTATTACTCATACTTTATGCCCCCACATTTCACGCCCTTCCGCACCCTACGCCCTGGATGTGCGGAGTCAGGGTCCTGTCATAGCGATGATGATTGGAGCACCTTTGATTGATGGTGAAAAAATTTAAAACCGAGATGGTAGTGAGTAAAATGCTTATACTTTATCTAAGTAAGCCAGGCGCCTGTGGTGACAACTTAGACCGTGTCAGCGTTTCCAGGAGCATGGGCCTTGCTTCCACCACAGGAAATGACACGCAATGGATGGAACAGTCACTTTAGTCAATTGGTCAAGGTGATTGAAATTCCAATCATCGAGAGTAAAAAACAAGTCATGACGACGAGGAAACAAATGAAAGTTTTATTTTAAACCTTTGCGCTTGCTCCAGGAGCTACGAGATTTCAACTGGGATTGGCGTTATACCTAACCCCTTTTCAACCAGAAGTGGACGAGCTTGCGGGACTCGAGGGAGGTATCATTAAGATTTTCTTTCAAATGTAGTTGCTATACAGGCCCTAATGAAACTGGAAATTATCTAATCGCCGGAATCAAAGACCCGCTGAAGAGTTGCGATGCAGACTGAATTGAGACGGAACAAAGACGTCTGCTCTTCTCTTCTATGACTGAATATCGACGAAAATGACCTGTAAGTAAGGCCCTTTAGGGTGAAATGTAACTTAGATATAGTAACCATCCTGACGGTGATTGAAGGTCAATGTGTAGAAGGTTTGGCGAGCCATGATGTGTGTTGACGTGTCACAAGTAAAACAATGTCAAGCGAGATATGGGTGGCAGGCATTGATCAAGAAAACAGGGAGACCGACATGAAGTTGTCTTGAACAAGGATTTGGAGAAGGATGAAGGTCAAATGGGAGTGGATGAATTGGCCCAAATCCTGGGAGGAAGGACGGAGGGTCCATGGTGGGCGTGATCCGTGTTCATATTGGACTGCGCTAGATTCTGAGATACATAAGTCGATATACGATCTAGAGGACACTCGGTAACTCTTACAATTTTGGGGTTCATTTTAGGTTTCGGTGAATTTGGAAACATGGTACTCGAAACAGAAATCGTGGAACGAGTGGGAGGCGTGCGCATGTCGTAGGCTCAATTGAAGGTCTGCTCTCTAATTCAAGCCCCTTGGATTTTCTGCTGTGCCCCATAGTGACAGATTACTCAAGAAATTTGACGTACAGCACGGCTGCCAGAATTTCGTCCATGATGTCAATCGCTGGGCAAGATGGCTGGAGTTCGACTGAACTAGACACGATCGACAGTGTGGAGTCGCATCATGTGGAGCGTGGCACTTGGGAAACCGGCACATTATGCGTCTTCGGCCGGAAAGCTGGACTTGATTTGCGGCCTGGTTCTATTATTCGTGAGGTTAGTGGTATGACTCGATTTCATCTCGTAGTTTAATTTTGGAAAATTATACATAAATAAGAAGGGGAAGTGATCGACATATGAGTTGCTTGGTTGGCTGAGCGGACGTAGGCCTCGCGGGACAGGGTCTTCTTAAGCAAGCTCATAAATCCTCATGCTTTCCAAGGTTACTATAGGACAAAGGTCTTACTTTGTAAGATATAGAAGATACCAAGTTTCGCTTCCCATATTGCTTTTCGTTTGAATTTTATGGCCGATCCTCAAACCGCAGTCACCTAATTCCCTGTCCCATTCATCCTCGTTGAACGATTTCAAACTCCAGGAGTACATCTCTTGAGAAATAATCTTCCCAGTTGCAGTCTCGATGACGCTCAACTTGAACGAGTCGATCAATCTGTCCTCGTTTCGCAAAGTTGTTATCGGAGACTTATGATACTCCAGATGCGGCCATCGCTGGGAAATCTTTCGCATCTCAGTCGCGTGGGAGACTTGTAAGTTAGGGATGTCTTGTTCTTTGGAATCCAAGCTGTCTTCCTCCTTCAAGATAGAAATGGCAGCGACAGGATGGCGTGTTCGGGAATGATCTGTTTTGCGAAGCGCTTTCACGACTTGTTGTAGATACCTCTTTTTTTCACCCGGCGCTGTCAAATGTCCAATACTGCCTGCCGCAAAAATGATCAGGTCGACTGTATTTTGAAGTTCTGGGTTGTCATCAACAAAGCTCGCCGCCGTAGTATTGCGCCATATCAGAGTTGTCGAGGGTTGCAATTTCATTTCCAGAAGGCTCTTGGCGCGCTCAATCATCGCTTGACTATGATCGATACCCCAGATCTCGATTCTGTCTTGATTTTCCAGGGGCTTTTTTGTTTGTGCATGCGATTCCATCTTTCGTAATATCCCACGAATGACTCGACCCGTGCCTGTCGCCATGTCCACTACTCGCAGTGGCTCCTGAATGGAACTGTTGCTCGATAGGAATGGGGATAGTAAGCTGAAGAAGAAGTCGTCATCTTTTGCCAGTGCAGTCGGACCAACGATATCTTCAACCCACATGTCGTAGAATTCGGCCCAGTAGGGACTAGTGTAAGCATAGCTCTGGCCGTGAGTGGTTTGTTGCCCGTCTATCCCCATTCTGCTGCACTACCGGTACAGTACTTAGTGTTTTGACGAGAGTAGACAGATTCATGTTGATTTTTCAAATAAGTGGGATATATAGGTACTGAATTGTGGTCTAGAGCGGGGGTGTCTGACTCTTTATTACTCATGCTCCAGTCGTCCAATCACAATGCTTTGCATCGGGCTGGATACGAATGGCTTTCTTCGGATTGTGCTGACTCGCCAAATACGAATACTTAATGAAGAGCAGTTTGATGGTGTCGTGTTGCAATGTCACCTTGAATTCGTCTCAGTTATGCATTACGGTGGTATAAAGAGTTGCGTGAAGACTGGGTCGCACAGACGAGCCCGTAACAGCGGCCAACCTATCAAATCTGTGCGTGAACAGGACACTGTAGACACAGTCGTATCGGCTATCGAACAGTCTGTCAAACATCCCTATTTAAACAGGTCCTATGTTCAGAATCCCAGTGACTGTACTCCAAATAAAAAAACCTAGCTTGTGGCAAGCATCTCGTATATCAATCGAAAACCTCTCTCGGTCGAGTCTGACCGGTCTCCACCGCCACAACAAATATAGAAACAATTTGATCACAACTCCAGCCAGGAACCCGAAACTCAATATTTTCCCTCGCATCCAAATAATCTCGTGTCTCGATCTCTAGCATTGTCGAGGAACCAACTCAACCCCACCGGACTCCGAAGACCCTGATGGCGATCGCCTCAAACTCTCCTCTAACGGCGTGCTCGAAGGATACGTACGCCCGGTACGCGTAAGAAGCGGAGCATCGAGGGGCCAGCCCCACCAACCTCGAATGGTACCCGCGACGATCACCGTGTATGATCTCATCGGAATGGCGGTTGGCAGGGTGAATAGTGGATTTCGATAGAATTGAGGACTGTGAAATGCTGTCTGCTATTTCGATGTCTTAATCACGTTGTCAAGGTTAGACATGTCTTGTGCTATTCGAGTCTCTCACCTCAGCGTGGCGTGGGTATAAGTTTTAGCTGTGTGGAAGCACTGCCAAGCCCAAGTATACGTACACATGCAGGAACTGGCTGCGTGCTTGGCGGGCTGACGATCGCCGGCTGATCGCTGAAACATGGTGGCTAGGGACTCGGAGTGCAGGAGTCCAGCACGGAGAGGTTGGGGGTCGGGGGTGGTCGGTGCTGAATTGTTGCTCCCGCCACTGAAGAAGCCAAGTTATTAAACTGGGGCTTGGCTGCTGTCAGTCCACTTTTTTTTTTGTCTCTGCTCCTCGGTAGATTCTCGATTCTTTTATCTAGAAAGACCCTGGATTTGGTCGCATCATATATCATTCTGCTTTGATCCTATTGCTTTTCGTGCTGTGGTCTTGGTATGTTCCCTTGGCTAATATGAGGAGCTGGATTTTCTGGATGTCGCTAATAATACATTGACAGGTCTGCCTTCGTTACTAGACTATTATTCTAGTCATCTCTCGTTACAATATACCATTTTCACCACGACCACTCTCATCACAACCAACATGCCCTCCTTCTCTCTCCGCGCCCTCACGACCGCCGCATTCCTCTTCACAACCACAACAACCGCCTTCCCTCTCTTCCCAAGAGAAACCCAATGGTCCTTCAACCTCTACCCAACACAAGCCTGCAACGGCACCGGTGAGCTCCACGCCGGCAGTGGAAGTACCGGCTGTCGCGCGCATCTGGACAGCGTCGCCTCAGCTTACACACTCAACACGGTCGCGGACGGTTGTCGCATCGAGTTTTACGATAACACGATGTGCGATGGAAACGAAATTTCTGATCTCGCGGGGCCGATGACGACTACACAGACGTGTCGGGTGCCTAATTTGCAGCGCCGGTATGCTTCGTATCAGGTTACTTGTGAGAAGATTGAGGTTTGAAATTGAACTTGGAGATGGATATGCATTTGATTTTGGATTTTGGGGTTCATGGTTCTGAATATGGAGTTTTGGTTATTTGGGAAAGGTTAAACATTTCGGAGGATACGATGTGAACGATTTGATATCCTCGGGCTGGTTCCTGGGGATTACTGTTAGCGATAGACAATATATGATTACTGGGATATAGATTTTGCGAACTGGGTTGCACGATTTACACAGTTTCCGCATGCGTGATTACCGAGAGTACATAACCCTCAATTTGATACATGTAGACTCGATTCTACCTCAAATCCTGCACGCAGCATACGAGGCCTTTTGGCTTTTCAGGTAAATGATCCCAATGTAAATTCATCTATCCATCACATCGTATACCTAGCAGTGATTGTGATTGGCGAATACTGGGTGGACACGAATAATCTCAAACTCCGATCCGCATCCATCCACCAATCAGGGCTTGAAGAATGACTGGGGTGATCGCGGCGGCACATCCTGCGGGAGGGGTTAAGTTTCGAGAAATGCAACGCCTTGTTTCGTCTTTAAGGCCTTGATCATGTCGGAATTGGATGTATTGAATTTGAAACGAGTAAAGTGTACAGAGTGCAGGTGAATACGTGGTGACTGCATAGACATGATTGATGATCGGCTAATTTGGCCCTGAATTAGAGGCAAATACGCGGGGAGATGTGATACATCTGGGTATCGCCGCTGTACAGGGAGGGAGATGGGAGTCGACTCCAGTCTATGGGATGCAAGAACAATTTTTCCCCGGAGCAGACTTCAAGTACTAATAATCTGAATCCCTCTAATGCCAGTCCTATATTCCGTACTTCTCGCTCATAGGCCATATTTCGGCCACTTCTCTCGGCGAGAACCACTGGCCTGAAATTCTCAATTCCCGTTCATTGAGTCCGTCGTAGCCGACCGGGTAATGTAAGTCGGAAGTGACTTCACCATCTGGCCGAGAACGAGTAATGTAAGTAGTACTGGAACAAGTCAACTGTCAATCGCCTAGGTTCGGATATATGAAAATACCCCCTCGTGTAGACAGCTAGCTACACTCAGGTATCCATCTCTCGTCAGCCATCAGTCAGCACCTACCATTTACGGACTTTGTATACAACTCGGCACAAGTCTTATCCTAGATATTAACAAGACAGGATATTCATACGCCTCGTCATAAATGCTCATTGGTGAGAAGGATCTAATCATGTTCATTAGAGTTGTCAGCCCTCGGAGGTAAGTCAGGGTCTGGCCCGAAACGGCAGTTCTCCGAGCATCCCTTGACTCGCCGGAAACGGCTGTCGATGACATGATTCTGATATTTGCCGTTTAAAAATGGATGCGCCGCGCACAATTTTGTAAGACGAGAGAAAAAAGACATGTTTAACGAGATGTCGGACAAACCAGAGGTTGAGGCTGTGCCTGCGGTGTCGTTTTTCGACCCTGCGCTGAAGGAGGTTCGACGCCGGGTGTACTATCAGTGGTGTCGCACTTGTATGTCGAGATATCAATCTTTGGTTATTCTCTGGGGAAATTTGAAGACATGGACTAGTCACAAGCTAACAACATCTCAGTGTCCATTCTCTGCATCTTCGTGCTGGCCGTGCTGTCCATCTTCTGGGGTTCGCAATATAGCACCGAAAGCAAATATACCGAGCTCAAAGTCTGGGTCGTCGACTTTGATGGTCAAACAGACGACTATCGGGCAAGCAATCCTCTTGTCGGACCTGCCGTTGTCAACACTGCAAAAGAATTCATCGACACGCCCGCGCTCCATCTAGGCTACATCATCAAGAACGCCAGTACCTTCGACAACGACCCCTGGGCCGTCCACCAAGCAGTCTACGACGAACATGCCTACGCCGCAGTCATCATCAACCCCAACGCGACAGCCCTCCTACGTGCTGCAGTCACCCAACAAAACACCAGCTACGATCCCACCGGCGCCATTCAAACGGTCATCATCTCTGCTCGCGATGAAAACACATACTACAGCTACGTCCTCCCAGACTTGACCACATTCCAAAGCGCCGTCCTCGCCTCATTCGGTCCACAATGGATCCAAACTCTCACCACCAACAAAACAAACCTCACCACCATCCCCCCACAAGCCATAAACCCAGCAATCGGCTTCACAAACATCGACCTCCGCCCCTTCACACCCGCCGTCGCCGCACCAGCCGTCACAATCGGCCTCATCTACCTAATAATCATCGCCTTCTTCAACTTCCCCTTCCTAATGCCCATCCACGCCCAACTAATCAAGCCCTCCGCGGGAAACCCACCCCTAAAGATTCCCCAATGGCTTATCTGGCGCATCTGCTCCAACATCGCCGCCTATTTTTTCCTGAGTTTCTTCTACAGTCTGGTTAGTTTGGCGTTTGGAATTCCATTTTCGAATTCGCCAGCTCCGGATACGGTTTCTGCGAATAACCCCAATGCTTATGGAAAGGGCTCGTTTGTGGTGTTTTGGATGCTGAATTGGGTGGGTATGACGGCTTTGGGGTTGCCGTGTGAGAATATGGCAATGGTGCTTGGGTTCCCGTGGAGTTCATTTTTCTTGATCTTTTGGGTTATTACGAATGTGGCCACCGGGTTTTATGCGGTGGAGTTGGCGAGTGTTTTTTATCGGTGGGGGTATGCTTGGCCGTTGCATCGAAGTAAGTGATCTCCACCTGATTCGAGTTTGATGAGGGAGATGTGCTAATCATTCTCGTCTTTTTTAGTTGTTGAGGCACTCCGGACTATCTTGTTCGGGACGCATTCGCGGATTGGACTCGATTTTGCGGTCCTGTTTATTTGGATTGCGGTGTCGATTGCGTTCTTCCCGGTTGCGACCTTTATTATGCGGTGGAAGATGAAACGGGGGTTGGCGTGAGATGTTGAGAAGCATAATGATGATGCTACATCTACTCCATCTACGATGGGCCTCCGCAAGTATAGGACTCGGAGGTCTTATCCGCAGTCCCCATTTGCAACATTTGGTACTCATGCTTTCTGTACCTTTGTACATACGCTCCCTACTGATAGACTCGTTTTACACTGTCCAGATAAAATATCCAAAGAACAATTCCCATACTCAATAATGTTTAAAAACAGAAACTAGATATTCTGGAGACCCCAATCTTATTCAATTCAATCTAAATACTCTCCAATCAAAAACAATATAATAAGCTCGAGACTGTACTGGATAGCACTGGTACCTACTACCAACACCATCACCGACCTTATTCGGCCGGCTCACCCATCTCATTGAGCTTATCCTTGGCACCGCGACGACCCCCCCTCACTGACACGAGGGTTATGCATGGCACTAGTGCGATCAGTAGACGTTCTGTTTGGGGATCTTTTCGCGGAAGACCAGTTTTTCGTCTTGGGAGGGCTGGTGTACGTACGCTTTCAGTCCACGCTTGACATTCTCCTCGTGACGCTCCTCGTCGCTCCCGTAGTTGGACATCTTGTCGGCTTCTTGCTGGGCGTGGGCCCGGGCTTGTTCCGAGACGCGGGGGTTGTGGGTTGCTCTATCGCAGCAGGAGTGGTTAGTCTCAAAGTATGAGGGGAGAGATAGGTAGAGAAGGGAAGTGTAGGGAGGCTTACGCCTTGTAACCCCGCAGCTTGTTTTCTTGGCTACCACCACTGTTGCGGCCCATGTTTGATGGTGATCGGGATGGTTTGGAGTAAACCTTCAATTTTGTTTTTGTTTTGTGATTTTTTTGGTTTTGGTTATGATAGCTCCTGTTTTTGGTTGGGAGGGCTTTGTGCATAAATTGATGGGTTTAAGTATTTGATTTGGTGCGCCACGTGTGGCCAGGGTGGAGGCGGAGGTTGACGTTGTGGTGATGATGGGATGACATGTTCATCTGTGGTTTTTTGGGATCCGTGGAATAGGGATGAACGGGTAAAAGATGTGACTTGGAGATGTTTCGATGGTGGTGGTCCGCTGTGGCAGAGGGCGATGCTTCTAGACCGGCATGGAATATTGATTGAGAGGTATGATATTGATATGAAGTGGCATATATGAGGTAGGACTGAACCTCGGCGGCGATATTGTAGTTGAATGGATCTGTGAGCTTGAAAAACGAATGATGTCAGCCAGAATTCGCGGTATATGGTGAATGAAGTCATATTTGGAAATTTGTTGAATACATGGCCAATATATGGAGTTGTTGTGGGCATACCTCCTCTTATTATCATAGGACAAGACGAGTGACTATTGCAAACCGTAGAACGATAGGAAGAAGTCCAGAAACACAAAGACTAATGAGACTCATCATCTGATGCCTGTATACATAATTGAGCTCACAGATTTGGCATTGGGCTGTGATAAGCTTTTTAGCTGACAGGTGCCACTGCGGGAGGCAGGAACGCCTCTCCATCGCGCTTGCCTTTCTTGGGATTTACTCCTTGTACCCGTGCTCGAATCCTAGCCTCTGAGTGGCCGGATCAGAAGTATGAGCGTCGAATCTATCTCAAAAGGTTGCGGCTCTTCACCATCGTTACCCAACCAGTGACACAACAATACAAGGAGATACAACCACAATATTCAATACAACATCTCTTGTTTGTTTGTCTCAATATTTCCTTCTTCCTCCTTTTGGCCCCGGCAACGGTGTAACCGTCATCGCTCACTCTCACTCGGTTACCCTCCGCTCTCTCTCTCTTCCACGTTCCTTTTTCTCTTTCTTCCTCCACCCTCCTCCGACCTTCTCTCTTCCTCTTCCCTACCACCCAGCTCACCTTCCTCACACTCGTTTTCACTACATCAGCCTCCAATAACCCATCATCATGACGTCGCACGCCGTTGACCACGACGTCGAAGCGGCTCCTCCCACTAACAGCGAGCTCTCGTCCGTCATGGACCCGAACGAACGCCGTCGCGCCGCCCTGGCTCGCATCGACGAGGCCAAGTTCGGCTGGTACCATGTCCGCGCAGTCATCGTTGCTGGAGTCGGCTTCTTCACTGATTCCTACGACATCTTCGCGATCAATCTGGCTGTCTCCATGCTCGGTGTCGTTTACTGGCAGGGTGCCAAGTCCGGCGCTGGCAAGCTTCCTTCCAGTGCGGACACTGCTATCAAGGTCGCAACCTCTGGCGGTACTGTCATCGGCCAGCTGTTCTTTGGATGGCTGGCTGACCGCATCGGCCGAAAGCGCATGTACGGCATCGAACTCATGATCATCATCTTGGCCACCCTGGCTCAGTCGCTGTCCTCGGATTCCCCTGGCATGTCCATCGTTGGCGTGTTGATCTTCTGGCGCGTCGTCATGGGTATTGGCATTGGTGGTGATTACCCACTGTCGTCCATTATTACCTCGGAGTGAGTTCCCTTCACGTCCCCTCGCGAGGCATAATACCCTGCAATGTTTTTCCACTTACTGACTTGGTCTGAGGTTTGCTACCACCAAGTGGCGCGGTGCCATGATGGGCGCTGTGTTCGCGATGCAGGGAATCGGCCAATTTGCCGCAGCAATCGTCGCTCTCATCGTCACCGCGGGTTTCAAGGAGTCCCTCATGACTGCCAAGGATGTCGCCCACTGCAGTGGTGTCTGCCAGCTGGCAGTTGACAAGATGTGGCGCACCGTCATAGGCTTCGGCGCGGTTCCGGCCTGCTTTGCTCTCTATTACCGTCTGACTATCCCCGAGACTCCTCGCTACACCTTCGATGTGACCCGCGACATCCTCAAGGCCGACGAAGACATTCGTGCGTACATCAAGGGTCACCCAGAAGGTCACCCTGATGAGATGCAGCGGATCCGCGTTCTGCGGAATGAGAGCATCGAATACCTGGCACCCAAGGCAAGCTGGGCAGACTTTAGAAAGCACTATGGTCAGTGGAAGAACTTCAAGATTCTTCTGGGTACTGCCGGTTCCTGGTTCTTCCTGGACGTTGGTAAGCTTGATCCACCAATCCCACCAATTCCAACACTCCATTGTTTGGCAGAACTGATCTAATTTTATCTTCTTATCTATAGCCTTCTACGGCCTCGGTCTCAACAACTCCATCATCCTGAGTGCGATTGGCTGGACTGGTGGAAAGAACGTGTACGAGACTTTCTACCGCAACGCTGTCGGAAACTTGATCTTGGTCTGTGCTGGTGCTATCCCTGGCTACTGGTTCACTGTCGGCACCGTGGACACTATCGGCCGCAAGCCAATTCAAATGGCCGGTTTCATTATTCTGACCATCATCTTCTTCGTCATCGGTGGTGCATACGATTCCCTGAAGACGCACAATGGTGGCTTGTTGGCGCTGTATGTGCTGGCCCAGTTTTTCTTTAACTTCGGCCCCAATGCGACTACTTTCATCGTGCCCGGCGAATGCTTCCCAACTCGCTACCGCTCCACCTCTCATGGAATCAGCGCAGCCTCCGGCAAGGTCGGTGCCATCATCGCACAGTGCGTCTTTGGTCCCCTGATCCACAAGGGTGCCAAGCCTGGCTCTGGCGCTTCGCCCTGGCTCAACCATGTTATGCAAATCTTCGGTGGTTTCATGTTCTGCGGTGTCCTCACCACTTGGCTGATCCCCGAGACCAAGCGTCGCACCCTCGAGGAACTGTCTGGTGAGGATCACGGTTCCATCCATGAGAGCCTGACCACCCACCCCGCCGAGAAGCCTGAGGAAGGCACCGTCCCCAAGCAGGTTCCTGCTACCACCACTGTGCAGGGTGAGTAAAGGGCGCAGTGTAACGCAACACTGAACTCGTCCGCACACTACCAAGGACAAGTTTGGTCGCAGAGGCAAATGGCATACTCACGATGAGGATGTTTAATGGGTGGTTTGGTGGGAATGTCATGCGATCAACTAGCGGGATCGAGTCTGCGTTTTGTTTCTGATTTTCGCATGTTTGTGCTGGAGGATTTGTTTAGATATCTCAGGCCTGGTGTCGAAGCCTGGAGATATCCATTTGATTTACCATAGTATCCATATGCGGGCTTGCTTGCTATGCTGGATAGCTAATGCAGTGGTACTGGATTAATTCGCTAATGTAAACAAAATGTTCAAACAAACCTTCATGTATTCTTTGTAGACTAGCTTGTAGATTCTGTGTCTTATGTCTGGAATGGGCATATGCTGCGATCGAAAAGGGGTATCGCAGACAACGTCACTGGGTGATTCGGAGCATTTCCGTTGGACTTGTGTAAGGGTGAGATACTACCATACTACCACGTGAGATTGCACGTGTTTATTGTGTAAGTGGGCTTGTTTCTGTATACCGTTGGTGTGATTTTGTTTTAATGATTCATAATGAGGGATGTATGTCCAGGTTTATCTACTTGTTCTGTTGGGGTGAGGGAAGATAATTCATGTGTTCAGAGGACTATGGGTAGCAACCTGGAGTAAGAAGTATGGGAACGGACGGAATTTTAGTTGGTACGCGCTTCATTTATGCATGATGTGCTGTTGAGTTTGTCTTGCATAATGAAGATGTATGATCGTAATCCTGATGTACTAATCATTCTGTACCCTGATGCTCAAGATCCAGTGTTATACTACACCCGGCCGTCGATTACTCACCCGCCCCTATCAAACCTGACTCTTATACATCCGGTGAGATGTACTCGAGTAGCTGTACTGTTTATGTACACTCAAGTTCCTTCACAGTCGGAATATCACTCCCTCCTCCGCGTGCTCAAACTTCAACATTTCGTCCCGTGTAGAAGGCATGTAGTTGACCAGATCGGTATATCACATCCAGTGTCTTCCATCTGATACACCCGAGTGTTTGTACAATGGTATGCACCATCAAAGCACATTCTCATCATCATAAGCAGCTATAACACGCTCCTTCCAAGACACCTTCCTCTTCTCCAATCTCTTTACCTTTTTATCACCGATATTCTCCTTAAGTTTTTCTTTCCACTCGGTGACTGCATCTTTGCTTGTTTCATATGCGAACATGGCAGACACAACGATCACTAAAGGGACAAGGATATACCATGGTATCTTGGGGGGCTTGCAGTAGCGTTTGCCACCGTTTGGGGGTTGGTTCGGACATGCTGGGGTTTAAGGGGGGTGGTTTCAAATTCGATGATATTGGAAATTTGCGATAAGTGGATGTCGTTTTGCTTGGCTAACTTCGAGTGATGCCGGCCTTTATATGTTGATTTTTTTTGGTTCGATTGCGATTTTTGGTGAGGCTGAGATCGATACAGGTTGGTAGATACTTGGGGCGGGGCAAGGCCGACTGGTGTGACAGGGTTGTAAGATTATTTGGTGAGAACCTTGATTGAGTGATTGTCTATGATATTATTCGGACAAATTATTTTAATTCAGATTGCTTTCAGACATATCGCACGTTGTCATTGCAGTCTAGCGAGGCTGTGACCGATGGGAGAGATACTCGTGGAGTGGAGTTGAGGCCGTGGGTTTTATGGGGTAGTTGGATAGAGCCCCTTCCAGCCCTCGACCTCATCTATTCGATATTCGATCTGAACCCATCGACCATACCCGATATTCTTTTGTGTATTCCATAACTAAAAATTGACGATTCAAGAATACAAGCGTTTGTTAGGAGTCGTTCGCAGATAGCTTAATCTCCTTCTCGGCTGCCTCTCGCTTTTGCCTTTTCTTATTCTTCCTCTTGTCCTTCCAATCGTGAACTTTCTCGCTGCCCACCACCCATAATAAGGTGACGGGCACCACAGGAATGAGAACGAGCAGAAGCGGAATGGCGATGTACAATGGCACGGGGAGAGTGTTGACATAACACCTGCCACCTGGTTGCTGAGACATAGAGGGTTCACGCGTTCAATGCGGAAAGATGTGAGTATCTGACTGTGTTTGGAAGTCTGGGTTGCTGAGACTAGATTCCTAATTGTCTTTTGTGTGCTGGATTAAGAATTGGCAAGGCTGATCAGGGGGCGGGGTAAGGTTGACAGGGTCCGACAGGGATTAGATGTTGGGATGCTTGGCGAGCAGGGTATTCAATAGATCGACGATATCATACTATATGCGCCTAGAAATCCTTTAACGCAAGATACTACACTAACCATATAACGCGCATAGTTGTTGTGGCCCGGTGGCTCTGCGGTGGAAGGTAGTGGAGATATAAGAAGGCCCAGGATTCGCGGGATAGCTGCATTTTAGGATCACAAAACAACAAAATAGAGTCTATTTTGGAGATTATTTGAATGAAATGTTATTTTTAGACATTTATGCCCGGATATTCAATTGACATTGCTTGCAGACACATTGACGTATAAGACTTTCCAGGATTGTAACCGATGGCTCTTTGTGATACACCCAGAGCCCGACAGAGACTCCCACTGAAGCGAAAATCCCACTTAAAGACAAATATCCAGGAGAGCCTGCGATACTGTCTCATTTTTGACCTGACATCCACCCTTCGAGTTCGGGACACACCCTCCCTCGAGAGTCCGAGCGAGAGCTTCCAGTTTCTCTTCACTGGTAGCATACTGCATCAAGAGCTTGTATGCGCTTTCGCAAGGCAGTCCACCGTCTGCGCCGTCTGACTTTGACCCACTCTCCGAACCGGCCAGGATCTGTGAGACATCGGTACCAGGATTGGCGGCGAAACGAACTAGAAGCTTGCAGGGTGCAGATGGCGGTTGCGAGGGGCTTCCTTCGGGACTGATCGATTCTCTCGGCGACGATCCTCCATGATTGGCATTTTCCCGTGTGTTGTGCGAGCTACATATATCTTCCTTCGGTACCGAGATTTGTTCGTGAGCTTGAATTTGTCCGGTGGCATCTAACCCATCGGTGAATTTGGCAACGCTTTCATCGGATAGAGACCTGTCCGCTCGAGGGTTCGTTGTGCAGGGCGCCGAGCATCGCGGCTGAGATGATGGGCCACTAGAAGATTCCCCTTGCTGGGCTTTATTGCAAGTCTTCTCTCGCGTTGCGCGTTTGCGGCATTGATTTTCGGTTGTCTCTATCGCATCACTAGAGCACCTTCTCCTAGTCACCCACTCGTTGATCGCTGGGTGATCTAAGCCGATCGCTAGCAGTAGCTCGCGCAAATAACTATTTTCCTCTGCAACCTTCTTCGCGGCTGATTGAACTTCGATGGTTGCTCGGATACCATCTTGTTCGAACTGTCGAAGTCTTCGTTCGAGATCAGCGGTATATTCTTTCTGGCGTGCTCTGTTGCGACGTTTATTTTCCCGCAGGCGCATAGTGCGTTCGGTTTCCTAGGTCCCCACTTAGTTTAGAGGCTACAATATGCACATAAGAGCTCGAGTGGATTACCTTATCGCATGACATGATAAGAGGAGGATCGAAGCCCCTGATCCGAGGGGGGAAATTCAGGGTCTGATTGAGCGAATTTTGGATAGACTGTGGGAGGAGAGAAGATGAAAAATGTGAGTTTCCTGTGCAGCCCCTCTTTTTCATGCTAAAGTTACGTGACCTCGATTTACTATAGCAAATGAGGCGCCAGATCAGACTACCGTATTTCACCACAAGCAACTTCATCTAGCACACAGGCCAGCGGAAACCGATTTTCTGGGGGTGAGACGGACAGGCCCCAAGTGATTGGTTAATGTTCAAATGACGACATATTTTGCAGCCAATCAATCTCAATTTAAGTTACCCACTAGAAGCTTAAATGCACTCTTATCGCGACCTTTGCTACGGTTAAGGGAAAGCTAGAACCATCCAATCATCATGCAGCTGTCCGTCCCTGGTGTCTGTGCCAATCATGTTGAGTGTGTCCGTCCTAGAAGTATACCATAAAAGGTTGCCTCACTCATGGATATACCTAGGCAAAAGAAAGTGCCATAATATTTCACGTCCTCGTTAGAATCCTGTCACTCGCCATGACAACGAAGGTCGAGTCGCTTCACGGTTCAACCCCAGTTCCAGGGGCCAACACCAACAGCTCTGAGTTTCACAGTCATGAGAAAGATCTAGAATCACAAAAATCTACAGCTAATCAGGAGGAAGCGACTCAGTCGACATCGTCACAGCTGGAAGAAAGCTTGGATCCTGGCCTTGATGATAACTCCAATGTCCCTCGCCTTCCACTCCTGCGACTATTTTGGTTCTTCTTCTACAACTTCGGCTTATTTGCCTGGGGCGGTCCTGTGGCACAGATCTCTCTGATCAAAGACAAATTGGTCATGCAAGACAAGTGGATCAGTCTCCCTCGATTCCAACGAGTCTTTGCGGTCTATCAGATTCTTCCAGGGCCAGAAGCAGCAGAGCTATGTATGTTTTTTGGGTGTCTGTCTGCTGGTCGCTTAGGTGGGATTGTTGCTGGAGTCGCTTTTATCTTACCGGGGTTCCTTTTGATGCTTCTTGCGTCTTACCTCTATTCACTGGCTGGATTGGAAAACAAATACTTCAACGCGTCATTCCGAGCTATCCAGCCGATAGTGTCCGCTATGGTGAGTGCTGTTTCGAGCCACGCAAAGTATTATTTACTGAGGATGACTAGATCCTTCGTGCTACGCACAAAATCGCAGACCACTCTGTGATTGACCACAACACCCGGAAGACGAGCCCTTATCTGGTTATTGCGGGTCTTTGCACGGCGCTTAACAGTGCTCTGCGCATCAATGTGTTAGTTATGGATCCAATCTGAACTCGACTTTTTTGCGCGTCCTAACGGGCGGGATCCATATAGTTTCATCTCTATCGGCCTCTACGGAATCATATACAGCTTCATAACCCGCGGCAAACGCATCATCGCTCTATGCCTCTTCATCCTCCAGTACGTCGTATACGCCATCTATGTCGTTTTTCGAGGTGTCCCGTCACCAGTCTCCCTTGCTCTTGGAATAGCAAAGACCCCCTTTCTTCCCAATTTATTTGCACTGGGCCTAGTAGCTGGAAGTCTCTCTTTCGGCGGTGCGTATACCGCCATACCGTTCGTTCAAGTTGAGGCTGTGCTGAAGGGTGGGTGGCTTCCCGCACACATTTTCCTGGATGGTATTGCCATCGGCAATATCCTTCCAGCGCCGCTCGTTATATTTGCTACGTTTGTGGGTTATCAGGGTGGTTTAGCAGACGGTGGTGTTGGAACTGCTTTCGCTGGTGCAATCCTTACCACTCTTGGCATGTTTTTCCCATGCTTCCTGTTCACAATCGCTGGCCATGATCTGCTGGAAAAGCTTGTTCGCAATAGCGTAAGTCATGTCTTCGAAAATATGTCGTGCCATTCTAATTTCCCCTAGTTCCTCTCGGACTTCTTTGATGGGCTCTGCGGTGCAGTCATTGGCGTAATCGCTATCATTGTGCTACAGATGCTACAATCAAGTCTCAAGATGACCAATGGCAGCGCAACAGCAGATGTCCAAAGTGCCTCTGTGGTAGCATCCGAAAGTGCTTCAGCTGCCGTGCTCTACGTCATTGCATTAGCAGCTCTCTACAAATCTACCAACAAGTACACGCCACTGGTTCTTGTTATAATCGGTGCTATTGCGGGACAGTTTTTGTTTGTTTGAAAATGGGGGGATGGTGGAAGGCCGCAGTGAAGTTGATGACTTGAAAGGTAAGTGGAATGAAGTCATGAACCAGGTTAATGGGCGTGGTGCAAAGCTGGTTTGATGCTAATGATGCTAATGATGCTCGCACAGATAAAATATGGTCCACAGTGACCCTGAACATGAGTCACTTCGGACGTGGAAATAGATATCATAGGAACACATTCCTTATTGTAGCTTAAACTTCTGCTTTAGTCTATCAATTGCCGAAATATCTTTAAATACCGGCTATGTCAAAAGGTATCTCCATTTCAAGGACGGATATGATGATGCCTCGCTATGTGTGGGATTGGATGGAGGAGCCAAAGTGTGCGGTTCGGCAAAAGTTTCGCCTGCCGAGACCGGCCATTTGACCTCATAACCAGACCAACCCACAGAATTATTGGCCAAATATTTGATTACAATCAATCCCGGTAAAAGAGAAGGATTATCTAGCTCAGTTCTATACACTCCCATGATACGGCAGCCTGATGCTATGAGATTGATCATGCTCAAGGAATCTGAACCTGGACGTTCCATCGGTGTCAATGGATAAGTAGTTCCAAGAAGGTTGAGAGTTATTCAAGTCAATCCAAATTGAGAGAAAAAGAAATCAAGCCAACTCATCCAAGTTCAATCATTAACTCAAGAAACGATAGGGCGATTGGAATCGAACCACCACATGCTCGCTCGGCTCTACACTGGAGACTCAGCTTCAGTTGGGCTTTGTTCGGGTTAAATCCAGTTCCCCGGCCCGTGGAGTAATCAATCATTCCATTTAAACGGTTATGGCTCACTTACTCTGGCATTATCTACTTTCATACGCATGACCCTGACTGCTTTTTCATGGTCACATTTGTCACCCTTAAGTTGGTTTTCACTCAGAGTCCCATCGTGCTCGGGTATCCTTTGGAGCAATTTTGACTTCATTTGTTGAGTCTTATAAACACACAATGTCATACCCATCGGCGGAAACGGCTTGGGTTAAAAACCCGCAACTACGTCTACTCAATGCTCTACAGGCCAATGCTAAGCCGATCATGACCTTTCTTGGGTTGCCGTCCTTTCGCGCGGCACAAATCGTCGCGCAGACTGGTGTTGATGTATGTTTCTCTTAACTTTGATTGCTGGTATATCTACTCATCATTCATTAGGGTATTATCATCGACTGCGAGCATGGCCATATAAGCGATGATTCGATGCACAACGCGACTGCTGCCATCGCTTCGTTGGGAGTGTCGCCCTTGGTTCGTCTCAGAACGACCCATGCTGATTTGATCAAACAAGCGTTGGACGCCGGTGCCCAGTGAGTAATCTCCGGAATTGTATCATGTTTTTAGTTTACTAAGTTGTGACAAAGCGGAATTGTTGTACCGCAAATCAATACTGCCGAAGAAGCCCGGACTGTCGTCTCGCATGCCAAGTTCCCTCCACAGGGAGTGCGAGGGCAAGGTTCAGCTTTCCCGGCTATTGCACATGGGATCGATCTGCCAACGTATATCAAGACAGCCAACGAAACGCTTATTACTTGTCTACAAATTGAGTCGAAAGCTGGAGTTCAGAATGTCGAATCAATCTGTGCTGTTCCTGGTGTTGGTCAGTAGTTCAGTCCTATCCAAGTCCTCCATTGCTCACAAATGAAATTACCAGACATGATTTTCATTGGACCCAACGACCTCGCATTATCAATTCTTGGCTATGTTCCAGCAAGAGGTGATGAAGCTGAATTCGTCGAGGCTATTGAGAAGATTGTAGCTGCGGCCAGGAAGCATGGCAAATGGGTCTCCCGGTTATCAAATACCGGGGCCTTGTGCAAGGAGCATTTACAGATCTTCGATAGTGTGGCGTTGAGTTATGATGTTCGTGCGATTCAAAATTGGTACACGGCGGAATTGCAAGTCGCACGCTCTTGAGAATATTGATGTTGGAGAAATTGACTTGCCGATCTAAAATTGAAAGTCGACAAATTAAATTCGTATACACAATGTACAAATAAATGGATTGTCTCATTTCTTGAAATTCCGCCATGATAAGCATGATTTTTGATCAGAGGTCCTCTTCAGCACCGTTAAGCTCTTCACTAGAGTGTCCAGATCCCGAGTCGGGCGACAGAGGAGACTCAATGCCACATTGAGAGCATGCTTTGTGTGTCCGTAAGTCAAATGAGTGTCAAGTGATTACCTCGATCTACCTTAGATTCCTTTGCACATACGATGAAATGGGCCTTAGCTCTCTCCAAGGTGTATTGATGGCAATCATTACCTGAATTCTCTGATGGTCCACGGGTGCGATGGCTGTTTTGATATGAACTCCTGTTGCATAGGAATCTCGTCTCTTAATGAAACCTATCATACTGTCACACAGATTTGCAGCCCAACTGGGACGAACTGATAGACATCGTTCAATCCTTGCGCTGTAAGGTATGATACCCAAGTTTCTTGCGTGCCTCAGCAACCGTCGCCCCTCCAACGATCAATTCCCGAATTCCAGCTTCGCTCTTCTCAATCTTTCGTGCAACTTCAGCTACCTCACGAGCCCGGGCTCTAGGCACAATGACGACACCGTTTGCATCGGCAACCACAATATCTCGAGGTTCGACGCGCACCTTGCCAATGCCGACCGGCTCATTAACGCCGCCGACCTGCACACGATCTTTACCAGTTCGCATCCAACGGCCTGCAGTGAAGAGAGGGTAGTTATCGTCGATTGCACGATTCACATCACGACAGACGCCGTCGATAACGGTTCCAGCAATGTCCCGAAGACCGGCGTACTGCGTCATGATATCGCCCCAAACTGTGCAATCCGTGCGACCTCCGTTATCAATGACAACCACATCACCCACTGCAACGTCGTCGATGAAATCGCCTACACTTCCCGGTGGGTTGCTAGCGGGGACGTAGCGCACGGTGAAGGCCGGGCCGACTGTGACCTTTTTGTAATCAGTCAAGGGCATGATGTTGAATGCTTGCCCAGGGATGCCGAGTTTGTCAAGGGCATCGGAAACACCGGGTGTGTCTGAATCAGCGAATAGGGCTACCAGCTCCTCATCTTCTGGAGTTCCTTTCTTGGGGTTCCCGATGGAAGTGGACGCAGTCTCTGAGCTTTTCTCTGACCTCGATGCCTTAGCCTTGTTTATGGCATCGAACTGTCTGTCGTGCATAACCTCGGAAACGGGCTTTCCCGCGCGAACCTTTTCAACCATGAGGCTCTGTCGACGATCGATTCGCTCTCCCAAGTCTATGACCTCTTCAATATGTTCAGTCGAGATGAACACTGTTCCGCATCGATCGGCAATCACATAGTCATCTTGCTTGACTGTCACACCGCGAACCTGGATAGGCGTCCCAGAGTCAACTTGGACCATCCTGTTACGCGCACTGATCATAGTGACTCCACGGCCGTACACAGGATACCCGACATTCTGACTCCCATCAATATCACGGCTCATTCCATCAATGACAGTTCCACGGATGCCCTTCACCTTCGAGGCATTGGAGATAATATCGCCCCAGCATGAAATGCCCTCCAGACCACCGGCGATGACCAGAATACGGTCATCCGTTGTTACAGCACTGATGACAGGTGTGATCAAATGAGTGGTCGGTTCAGCATCTGTCTTTGGGCCCAGTTGAACTGTGCTAGCGCGTCCAACAATCTTCGGACAGTCCCAAAGTGGGCGAAGGCCGTATGTGGCACCTTGAAGCTTGAGGAAGTCGAGGGCATCGGAGACCGTGTTGGTGTCGAGAGCCAGAAGTCTCTCTAGGATAGTGGATTCCGTCATATTATTGGCTATTTGGTGACAAATAAAAGTTATGACATTCGAGGCCTTGTCTTGGAAGTCGACAAAGATGAGATTCACGGCGTTTTAAGAATTGACTTGTTAGTTAGTTCTTGAGATTATGGCAAACCAATGATCGGGAACAGCTCAGTTACCCCGACAGTCAAAACAGAAACAATAAGTTCCCGTTCAAGGCTTTACTCACTGCTGAAGAGTTAGTCGTAGCCATGAGCACGCCTGGTTGGGTTGCTCGGCGAAATAGTCTCTTGCCGAGTTCCGCCTTTCCTCCTACCATATCCCGGGCAACAAGGATCCATCCACTCCAGCCCTACCGAAAATTGACAGCGCATTATCGCTATTCCATGTCCCTAGGGTAATCACGGCATCTTCAGCTGCGGAAATTCTTTGTTTCCTACACGGTTCAAGTGGTAAGTGTCTTCGGAGTTGCTCACACCACTGTGAGGCCGCGTAGGGCGCTTGGTCACCTTGTCACTTTCTCGATGAATCGTTTGGGCTCTCAGGGTGCCCTAAAAGCTCCAAGTAGAGGATATTGGAGTAAAATGAGCGGCAGCTATCACCCATAGGTGTTTTTCATGAAGGAAAGTTATCGCAATCCAGAGATATATTTTGTCCAGCGGCGTCATACCCTGCGGCGGGATCCCGCATAACATGGATATCTTTATTTCTGCACAGGGACAAAGGGATGAAAAGACGCAGCATGCCTAGGTAATACACGTCGTGGCCCACTTGGTTACTTGCCAGTGGAAAAGATAATTCATTTCCAATAGCTATCCGTGTTCTCCAATTCTTCAGGTTCCTTAGCATAGCAGTGAGGCTCCTAAAGAAACGCAGTTGCTCCGTTGCAACTGTACCTTGATCAAGACCCATTGCCAGTGTCCAGTCCAAAATTTTGAGAATTGTGCCCAGCATGGTACTGACCATCGATGTGCAGAATGAAATTGGATGTTCACGTCTAAATAAGACTGTGGGGTCGCGGAACCTTCCATTTTAGAGTTAGTGGGTGGTACCTACCCTGGCATACCCAGGCATCCCCCTTCGAGTCGTAGCCTGGCATCATCTTCACAAAAGTTGGTTCCATCTCGCTCGCCCTTCTCTTTTCTCTTCTATCCAACGCGGAGTGAGAGAGCTATTTCCCGCCAGCCCCGAAGGGATCGCAAACTCTTTGTGACACCACCCATCCGATTTTTTCACTGCCTTCGCTGCTCCAGCTTTCCTATCACTCACCTTCGATCTCAACTGAGAAGCAGTGATCCTTATCACTGCTTTTACTCTGCGCCACCCCGCCTTCCACCATTCAGGCACCGTCCTTTGACTGGCCAGCCCAGCATGGTGCTGTATCACACGAACCCCCCTACAAATGCCACAGTATGGCTATGAGGATATGTTTTACTCCAGCGACGAAGGTGAGACATTGATAAGTCCATCGGCGGTACGACCAGACGTTCCCATTCATGGACAAGCCTTTGCAGGAGCCAGTCAAGCACACGCCATCCTCAATAATGGATCCTCATTGAAAGAACCGATGCCTACGAGCCATGGTCATACCCCGGACTCCAGTGATCCCAAACCCATTGTGATACCGGGCAAGGATATCCGCATCACTCGGATTGCCAACACAGCTAGCGAGCATATCGCTGCTTTACGTCTTGTCGCGGACTCTGTGGCACATCAGCAACAGCTAGCCGCACTCGCCATCTTGTTCAACCCTTTCTTCTTGGGCCTGATACTACCTGTGGCAGTCGTGATTCACTATTTCGCATACAAAGGACACATCAAACTACCGACCCTGGCTTTCATCACTGTTGCAGTGCTCATGGCATTTGTGACCCTCATGAAACGGTCTGTGTCAGGATACTTGCATGCAGCCGAGAAAGTGGGCACACGGAGGTGGTTGTACTGTCTCGAAGAAGCGACTACGAAGAAGGCACGAGGACACGATGCATTGCATTTGACGATAGGAGATTGCAACTGCAGGCGTGTCCGACCGCGGGAAGGTTGTCAGAAACGCGATCTCGTCCTTGTCGCCCGACTTGACCCATCTGATGAGATAATCGGTACCATTATTCTCAGGGTTATTCCCATCACGCACTTTTCCAATCCGGTAAGTCAATCAAATAGGTCTGAGAAGCGGTGCCGGAAGAGTCTGGCCCCCTTGCCCAACTGCAAAGCAATTATTCGCGCATGGACTGTGAAGCAGGGTCATCGTGGTGCTGGAATTGGAGCATGGATGCTCAAGGATGTTATCTTGTTGTGTTTGAAGTATGGTTGGATGGGCCCAGAGTTTGCGAAAGACCATGAGAACTCGGCGCGTGTACTTCCACGACGACTGAACGGTTGGTTGGACAAGATGGAGGCTCGGCGAAAGGAAGGCTGTTGCGGGATATTGAGAGTTTATCGTCAACACCAGAGGATGTGGATGGCTGGGCGTTGCCAGATATCCTCTAAGAACCGTTCCAGAGTCCTCTCAAACATGAGGTTGGGTTAGATTTGGCTTCATGCCATATGGTAACTACAATGGGGAATGTGGATATTGGCTCATTGTTTCGGACATTTCTCTAGCAAAAGTACATTTTCGGATCTCACGTACAATGGCTCAGTAGTTAGACCAACAAATACATATTACGCGTCAATATTCAAATACGTGAAGTAGTGGCCGCTAGTTCAGACTACTCAAGTGTACTCGGGATTTCCCAATAAGGCGATGCCGAAGCGATGAATACGTCTCGTACTTATGCTGTAGAGGACAGCTTCGAATGTATAGCTCGGTCATCAAGTTCACAAAAAGAAGCATCAATAACTCTCTTCTCTCAACACGACAGTTTCGTTCAACTCCGACTCTTTATGAATTACTGTCACTGCCGAACAATCCCCGACCTCATGCCGAGATCCATGCCGACCCTCCAACGCCGGCTCAATCCGTGCCATAAAGGCAAGAATATCCATTGTACATCCCGCCTAATACCCCAGAACATTGCACTTTAGCCATCAACTGAAGAAACAATAGTATACTTCTTCCAGAAAGCTCTGCCAATTTACCGGGATACCTGCCAACTTGCCAGGTTTTTTCCCGGGTGGCTTTTGTTCCGCCCGAAGCCGATTTGCAGGACGCTAGAGTCTGGGCGACGGGTGAGGCGTGCAGTAGGCGCATCGATGGCGTGTTCAAGGGTGCAGGGTGACGAAGGTGTGAACCGGCTAAATTGGGGCTCGACTTCTTCCATGAACAATGTGGGACAAATGTGGGATGTGGGGATTAGTTACCGAGTTAGTAAGAGGTGAATAATGATGATACAATTTGCTTGAATTGGCTGGCTTGGTGTAGCATGTTATTAGTGACTTGGATATAGATGGATGACGAGGCTGAAAATATTTACGCACGGGAATCGACTTGGTCAGTTTTCGTACTGCTTGAAGAACGTACTCATGCTCTGAATTGCCTATTCGCATCCCCTTGTCCATCTCCATCCTGCTTGTTCCGGGGGTGTATCCGCAACTTCGGGTGGACCCGACCTTCGGCTTCGCCAATGAGCCCACGTTCTCAGCCCTCCTCCATCCAGAATGCGGGCGCTGCCGACAAGCTGGTTGTGACATTCAAATTATCCCAACGCCTCAACCCGTGTATCTTTGTAGTGGTGAGAGAATTGGTTTTTTTAGTTGACAGTCATTCGGAAACCAAACTCGGGATTCTCAACACAGATATCAAGCCACCCGAGCCGTGATCCCGAAGCCAAAAACCTCGGCATCAGCACGGCTCTCCGAGAAGAAATTGCAATTTACCCAGGGTTCACCCGGATAAATCCCCGCGTCCCACAACAGAACACTATCCCGGCCTAACGTCTCAATGCAGCGCAGCCACTGACGGCAGTCCAAGACCAGGTTCCTGGCCGGAACACGCGGTGCTTCGGCTCGCTCGGTGGATACTCCTGCCATTCGAATGAGCATTTGATTGAACATGGTGTGACTGCTCTGGATTTTGTCTATCCGGTCGGGCCACTCAGAGACAAGGAGAGGAGCTGGCCCCCATGGGGATAAAGTCGGGGAAATTTAGCCAGTCGGCCTAGCGGACTGACTTGGGACTCGATGAATAAATAACGCGCACTTTCCCGAGGGATGAAGCGGGCGCGTTTCCGTTTATCAAGCTTCCTCCTGCTTTGTGAATATTGGTTGATAGGAAGCAGTCGGGAGCATATACTATCACAAAATTCACCATGGTTGCACCGCTTCCTGGAGAGACGGCCATCTCGGCCAAGCGAGCTGAGCTCGCAGGCAAAGGTGGAATATTGGGTCTGTTGAGTAACAAGAAGACGTCTGCGATTGGATTATTTGCCTCACTGGGTGGTCTGGTGTATGGATGTAAGTCTTCATCACCATACTACCGGCGGGTGGGAGTCTATTCTCTAACAGGCTCGATCACCAGACAACCAGGGAATGTTCGCGCAGGTCTTGACCATGAACTCGTTTACCAAAGCCGTACGAACCCTCGTCCGACATTACTTCAGATAAAGCAGGGAAAATCTAACTGTCTCTAGACACAAGGATACGCTGCGACGACGAGTATTCAGCAAGGCATGTTGACGTCGATCCTCGAGCTGGGTGCTTGGGTTGGAACCCTGTTCAACGGTTATCTCGCCGACGCTGCCGGTCGCCGGCTAACTGTCCTGATTGCGGTCGTCGTTTTCTGCGTTGGTGTGATTGTCCAGGCGTGTACGCAGAATAAGGACTATGTCTTTGCAGGTCGGTTCGTTACTGGTCTGGGTGTGGGTAGTTTGAGTATGGTCGTGCCTCTGTATAACGCTGAGCTGGTGAGTGAATATCCTCCATATTGGGTGTACCGAGTCGATCCTGATCAATAAGTAGGCCCCGCCTGAGATTCGTGGATCGCTTGTCGCTGTGCAGCAATTGGCGATTACATTCGGTATCATGGTTTCCTTCTGGGTAAGAAAGTCCACCTTCGCTGTCTTGATAGATACACAAACAGACAACTAACTAAGGTAGATCGGCTATGGAACAAACTACATTGGCGGTACCGGGGACACTCAATCCAACGCAGCCTGGCTGGTCCCTATCTGCATCCAGATCCTGCCCGCTGTCATCCTAGCTGCGGGTATGATGTTGTTCATGCCACAGTCACCACGCCACCTGATGAATACCGGCCGCGATGAAGAATGCCTGCAAACACTAGCCCGTCTGCGTGGTACATCGACGGATGACCTGCTCGTCCGAATTGAGTACCTCGAGATCAAGAGTCTGCACCTCTTCGAGAAGGAGACTGCGGCCGAAAAATATCCCCAATGGCAGGATGGATCGTTCAAGAGTCGCTTCCAGATCGGACTGCATGATTACATGTCGCTCATTACGAATCCTTCGCTGTTTAAGCGGACTACCGTTGCTGTGAGTATTCCATCCACGCGTCGTGTTGGACCTCATACTGACTAAATAATTAGTGCATGATCATGGTCTTCCAGCAGTGGAATGGAATCAACGCCATTAATTACTACGCGTACGTGCTCTACCATCACAGACAGTCTCCATCCATTGATTAACATCAACCAGTCCCTTCATCTTCCAGGACATGGAACTCCCAGGAAACACAACCACCCTTCTGGCAACGGGTGTCGTCGGCATTGTCGAATTCCTCTTCACCATCCCCGCTGTTCTGTGGGTCGACCAGATTGGTCGCAAGAAGATCCTGATTGCTGGTGCAGCTGGAATGGCCATTTGCCACTTCATCGTGGCGGGTATCATCGGGGCTTATCAGCATGAATTTGGCGAACATCGCGCGGCAGGATGGACGGTTATTGTGTTTGTGTGGATATTTGTGATCAACTTTGCCTACTCTTGGGGTATGCATCGACTCCATCGTCGAAAACTATCTTCACCTGTCTCGAGGCGAATGCTAACGTCGTCTTACAGGCCCCGTTGCATGGATCGTCACCTCGGAAGTCTTCCCGCTCAGCATGCGTGCGAAGGGCGTTAGTATCGGTGGTAGTAGCAACTGGGTATGCTCACTCTTCATTGAATCCCGCTAATCATGAGTTTGAATCCTCGCTTACCAAATTACAGCTGAACAACTTCGCCGTCGCAACTGCTACATCACCCTTCCTCAGCCAGAGCGCACTCGGTGCTTTCATCTTCTTTGGCTGTATTACTACCATCGGCATTTTCTACGTTATCTTCTTCGTCCCCGAGACTCGTGGTCGCACGCTCGAGGAGATGGACGAGCTCTTTGGATCGTCTGGTATGGCTGCTGCTGATACTGCCCGTAAGACGCGTATCGAAAGAGAGATTGGACTTCTGGCTCTTGTGGGTGTCGAAGGCCCCGAGAGTGAGAAGAAGATTGAGGAGGTTTCGCATAGTGAAGAGTATAAGCGTGAAGACGAGGGAGTGAAGCGGAATTAGGTACCGCTAGGTCTTTCAAGTGAACTACCTGCTGTGCTTGTCCTCCCACCGCTCCGTTTCAATGCTACATGCTTGTGGTGAAGCAAGGAGGTGTACATATCGACAAGGACATGGAGATACTGTAACCGTATACCCATACATATACCTATTTATCATTTGCTGGAATAAATTGTTATGCGTTATAGACTGAGACCAGTTCCTCCGATTGCCTCCTTACGATGTTCTTGGCTCATACCGCAAGGGCCAGCTCCATTTCGAGTATACTCCTATCCCGAGTATAGAAAACCATGATCAACGATCTTCCAAACCCTGCGAGGTCCGATCCGTGTGGCGCAGAACTAGCCGAGCTGTCATGCAATAGGGCTCGACTTGCATGGTACCCATAGAACTACTGACGACAGGCATCTGATCTATCATACAATCGAGTATCGCGTATGAAATTTCTAATTTGGCCTTGTATATTGTATGCCCTTTCCGCGTAATAAGCCCGGATACAGTCCTGGTTAAATGTGAGACTTGTACATGGAATAAGCCTTCTCCAGCCAACCTAGCCAGACACTAATACATAGAGATCCAATTCCAATCATCAATGACAGCATAAATATTAAATATAGTACTGGGTGGGTCTTTAGTGAGCTTCCCCACGAATAGGCGTTCTTGCTGGCTCGGGTACAACCTGGAAGGCTGAAACCTGACCATCAGCAGCCAATAAACTGCCTAAACGAGATGGGGCTGGGCAGCTGGGGCCTGGTTTGTCTTACCTGAACCTGTGGGTGCTTGCGATTGATTGATTGATTGCCTGGTTTATGTGTGTGATATGTACGATGTCTGGGTCCGGGGGCTGATTGATGTTGGACATTTAGTTTCAGGTGGGACGATTTTCACTTTTCTTATTTATGAGTTGGAGCTGCTGCCTTGTTTTCTGACCGATATCCTTGCACTTGCTTCCATCTTGTTTTTCCTCCTCCTCCAACATCCATCGACAACAAACCTACCGAATACAAGCTCATCGTCTTGTCTCCTCTCTCCACCTTCGCTGAACCCTCACACCACCATAATGGCCGCCCTCTCAAACTGCACCGGCAACGTCTACGTCCTCCCCAACATCACCGACGCAGCCTGCGGCGCCCCAATCTCGGGCAACATCACCAGCGCCTTCGACTCCTGCTGCAAGGGCAACTCCCCCGTCAAGTACGAGAACGACTGCGGCATCTACTGCCTGGCCCAGGAGCAGACTGTTGACGAGTTGACCAAATGTCTGGAGCAAAAGAGCGGCACATACTCCATCTTCTGCAACAACCGCGGTAACGCGACCGCAACCGCTGCTGCGACTACTACCAAGGCTACCTCTACTGGTACCTCGACGGGCACTAGTGCGGCTAGCACTAGCTCAGGTGCTGCTGTGGCTAATCAGCCTATTTCGAAGACTGGGCTCGGTGTTATCGCCATGATGTTCTGCTCTACCCTCATGGGCATTGTCGCCTAAATGGACCGGCGTCGAGGATAATGAGATGCGGGGTTGTCACGATATAAAGCCGAAGGAAACTTCGCGACCGGCGTAAAATCTGGTCCAGAACTGTTGTGCAATCTCGAGCTTCAACCTGATCATTTCAGGGCCATGCAAGACACGGAAAAATACGATGCACCCTCTCTCCTTCACCGGGTTACGCAAACATGGTTATTAAATCGCTTTTCTCTTTCTTTCTTCCTGTATAAGTACTTCCGCACTACATAATGAATCTAATTTAGTGGACGCTAATGTCTCCGTCGAAATCCCGAACAATATCCCATGTTCTAGCCTATTATCTTGTATCGTGGACAGACTAAACCTCGACCTGCAGATCATCCTTTCCCCACACCTTCGACAGCGCCCGATTAGGAAATTCTCCGGGGTTACAATAATCTTGTTTATTTTACCCCGCTGCAATGGCATTCAGGGACCGGAAAATGTGGAGGTAGGATCTATATAAATAAAGAAGAATTGACGGGGAAGTAGAGTCATTCAGCGGTCACACAGGATGCATAGCACGTCAATTGTTCTGCAAGCTCTGGTGGCGGCGCCTCTCGCCCTCGGGGCTGCGTTGAGATCCCGACTTGATAATGGTGTCGCAAAAACACCGCCAATGGGGTAAGCTGATGCCATAATACCGCAGTTCTGGATCTTGCTAACTGTATACAGGTGGAATTCGTACAACCACTACTCTTGCACACCTACCGAGGCTATTATTCAGTCCAATGCGAAAGCCTTAGTTGACCTTGGCCTGGCCGAACTGGGATACCGCTATGTGACGACGGATTGTGGCTGGACGGTCGCCAATCGCACTGCGGATGGGCAATTGACCTGGAATGAGACGCTGTTCCCGAGTGGGTTCCCGGCTCTTGGGGAGTATATCCATGGGCTTGGGCTGTTGTTCGGGGTGTATGAAGATGCGGGTATTAGGTCCTGCCAGACGGATATGGAGCAGGCAGGTAGTTTGTGTGCGTTTCAAAAATGATTGGCCGTATTGTCTGGCGGCATAAGTTAACAATTATTCCAGACCACGAGGCTCAAGATGCTGCGCTCTTTGCTTCTTGGAAGATCGACGCGCTGAAATGTAAGTGCACTATTACTATCCACGACGGCACTCTAGCTGACAACCAACAGACGACAACTGCTTCTCCGACGCCGCAACTGGCTATCCAAATGTCAACTACGCACCAAGCACTTCGCCCAGTGCACGATATGCAAATATGACTAAAGCTTTGGCCGCGCAGGGTCGCTCTGTGCTCTTCCAGATTTGCGAATGGGGTGTCGATTTCCCAGCGCTGTGGGCACCAGCTCTTGGCCACACATGGCGTATCGGCAACGATATCATCCCAGCCTGGCGAGCTATTTACCGAACCTTGAATCAAGCTGTTCCACAGACTTCCTTCGCCGGGCCCGGTCAATGGCCCGATCTGGATATGCTGGAAGTTGGAAATAATATTCTTACTACCGCGGAGGAACAGACCCACTTCTCGCTTTGGGCTATACTGAAGAGTCCATTGGTTATCGGAGGCGCTTTGAAGGATGAGACCACTACTATCAATACTGCCTCTCTGGCGATCTTGTCAAACAAGGATGTTGTATCTTTCAACCAGGACTCGCTCGGTGTCAGTGCTACTCTGAATCGCCGGTGGTCCGAGGAAGGGTGTGAAGTCTGGAGTGGACCGCTGTCTGGTGGTAGGACTGTTGCGGCGTTGATCAATTGGGCTGATACATCGCGAGATTTGACACTCAACCTCCCGGATGTAGGCATCCAGTCTGCTGGTACATTGAAGGATATCTGGGCTGGGAAGACCGTCAGCAATGTGAAGAGTTCTTATACGGCCACAGTAGCCGCCCATGGCGTGATGCTTGTGGAGCTCAGTGATACGACTGCTGCTGGCACATACCCAACCGCTAAGTTCGGCACGTCAAAGGGGTGAGTATACCCATGGTCCATGTCTCATGTGCAGAATTACTTACTAATGCTTTATAGAAATTCGGTTACCTTCAACTCTATCTATGCCAACACCACTAGTGCCAATCACACACTCTTGATCACGTTCTCCAAAACATCAAAGAAAGCAACCGGCATTACTATCGAATCCTCGTCGACCCAAGCAAAGCGCACAATCACGGTTCCAGCATCCAGTAAGACAGGCTCGAGTTCCATCTCGCTATCCGCCGGTTCCGCAAACACAATTACCATCAGCTCAAGCCTTGCCATTGATTCTATCCAAATCAAGTCTCCAAGCGGCACTTACTACCCTTCCACCGCATTTACCCTCGCAGGCTCAGCGACCCTCACTCAATGCGGCTCCGGCTACTGCCAGCCCGTGGGATCAAAGATCGGCTACCTGGACAGCACAAACACCGCCAAGATCACAGTCCCCGCGACGGTTTCCAGCACCACCTCCGCCAAGTACCTTGAGCTTGACTATATCAACAACGATGTCGCCTTCTCGAGTTCCTGGGGTCTTGGTGCGAATTCGCGAAACATCACTGTCTCAGTGAATGGCGGCAGTCCTGTTCGACTTGAAGTTCCGCTGTCTGGACGCCATAGTGAACTCTTTGGACCTGGACTTGGTTGGTGGGACACTTCGTCCTTGGGCATTTTGATTGATGGATGGAAGAATGGTGACAATGAGGTTGTTGTTGCCAATGTGGCTGGCAGTGATACCTTCCAGTCTTGGGGTGCGGACTTTGTCGGATTTAGGGTCTTTGATTAGGCTCGTACATTGAGGTGGTTTGGGTTTTTGAAGGCCATCGCTAGCTTTCTACGGCCAATCCTGTCACCGTTTAGCCGTCGGAGACCCTCATTATCAATTTAACCTATCACTGCCGGTGGTTGTGTATACCTGGCGAGAGTCGCTGATTTTAAAGTTCCTACCGTCCGTGAACTACGGCCACTGTTTGTCGCGGAAGGTGGTCATACCAACACAGGGGTGACTTTATCGTCCTGAATATCTGGATAAGTGGTTGAAAAGGCTATTCATGGGATGTACGTACATCAGTAATTCCAGTGTCAAGTGTAGCAGATTTTACCTTAGCTAGCCCTAAATGGGATATTTGAATCTCTATCGTTTATCATCATGACATTATCATTCCAAGTACTATAAAGTAAGTAGTATTACTCGAGCACAGCCCTTAGCAGAGGTTCGCTCTCTCTGTCTGCCGTCTTCGTCGCCTCCCAATTCCTCGCCAACAAGAACAACAATATCTGCATCAGCGCAAATATCGCATTGTCCACCGCCGCCCACCCAACCATCTGGTACCAGCTGAAGAATGCTCCGTGAGAGATTATATCATCAAAAGAAAAGTCCAGGAACTTGACCCGCATCGTCCACGAGATAGCTACTACGATAAAGACCACCCCTTGGGTCAGGAGCCCCAGGAGACTGAGTGATTTCAGGTTCCCGACGGGCAGGGTACGGATCTCCCGCGCTTGGCAGGGGTATGCGGCGATGGCCAGTATCGTGACGATCGGGTTTACGAAAAGTAAGTGCCAGCCACTGAAGAACGCTTCGCCCCATTTGCGATACCTGTCTTCGCGGGGAACGAAGAAGTCATTATCGATGGCGTCGATGAAGAGGGGAATGATTGAGTTGGCGGCGAAGCAGATATAAACGGTCAAGAGCCAAAGTTTGTAACCGATGTGATTGTTAGATGGGAACCACAGACACAGTATGAAGCTGTTCTCATTAGCGGTTTTATACGGCAGACTTTGTGAATGTCATAGAGATTAGATAATGGAGCAGAGAAACTCACAGGAGGAGATGCAAGGCCCATACAATGGTGAACTGGGCCAGGTTCAACCAATCGCCGGTCGTCGGCGGGGTTTCGATGAGAAAATCTGCCTGTTCTGTGTTGTTCACTAAGATGAAGAACTCAAGCGTAAATTGCTCGGTCGCGCTGATGAGGTTCAGCAACAGGTAGCCAAGTGAAATGCCTTGGCAATCCTTGCGCACCCAGATGCGGTGCAGCTGAGGCAGGTACGAGGCCCCGCTGAGTAGGATGAGAATTCTAAGTAGGAGTCAGTCTTCTGCCTTGGATGCGTAGATAAATGTAGTTCCAGTGACGCACATTCTCAGCCAGTCTGGAATGAGTTGGGCCATCTTCTGCGAGGTTCGCTCATCTGCCTGGAGATGGGAAGAGGATAGGACGAGATAAGAATGAGCGAGCGGGAAAAATCTCACTAAAGCCACGGTCTCTTTAACCCATCACGTAAGCTCCAGCATATCGAACCACTATATAGCAGTATTCCTTCATGGAATTATTGCCTTATTGATATTTCCGATCCCATCATATATCAAGACTCAACTATTTTTCTTACGCGCCGAATGTGCTAGGTCCAGTCTATATGATCGAATGTGACGAGCTATCTGGAAGAGGATACCTGGAGAGTGGAAGGGATCGAGCTGATCAATGCAAATGTCTTGAGATATGGACGCTAAAATCTCATTTTGAGGAGATATATATTTCTTGCTCCACCTAGGCGTAGGCCTGCACGAAATCAATGCCATGTATTCCTCGAAACCCGTCTCACATCCTGAGATGTATACATTTGTAGCTATTCAAGAAATGGGAGAACATCGTCATAAAAACTCAACTACCACCTATTTGCAATCACTACTCGTGGTAAGTAGTACAACTACCGAAAGGGGAAGGTTTTGGAATAGGAGGGTGGGGGGATGATCATGGGTCGGACCAGTCTTAGGTTGACTAGAAAGTCCGGAATCTCCATATTCCTGGCGAGGAACACATTCGGTATCGAAAATCTCCCCCTGTCTCGAGTGAACCAAATCCAAAAGAAAGCATGAAGCAAGTCGCCTAATATACAGGGGCGGTACCTTCGAATTTCATATCCATGAAGTATTGAACCGCAAAGTTGAAGAAAACATGATCTTGAAGGAGAGCCGCATGACCAAGCTGCGGCAAAATCAATTGACCGGCATAAGGGATCCATGCAGCTATACTGTCCGCTTGATTTCTCTGGACTTCGATATCGTGGTCTCCATCGACGATCCAGACTGGGCACTTGATCCTAGCCATTTCCTTGGGGCCCCAACTGGGTTCGGTTACCCACATACTAGAATCATGGTGTTAGGTTCCTTTTGTCTTTTAGTTTGAAAGTATGAATGATACTTACAGGCTGATACCATCGTACATAGCTGCACAACGAGAAGGTAGAGGACTAAGTGCCTCGCAGCTGTACGGGTCGGAATCCTCCCGCTTTCGTAGGCGAGAGGAATCCGTGGAAAACGTAGTACCGTTGGTAGCGAAGTCGGCGTCAAAACTCCCAGACTTCGAGTTGATAATTGGATCGTTTGTGCCGGGGATACTCTGGTTTGCTTGGATGTTAGCGCCGTGGGCAAACACCCGTTCAATACGGGAGGAGTAGTTCATTGCTAGGTCGAGTCCAGTAATAGCGCCATCACTCCAGCCGAGGACTGCAACGCGCGGGATGTCGAGATGGTCGAGTAAGGCGATAGCGTCGCGAGTGAAATCGTCGTAGTGGAATCCGTCAAAGTTGGCATATGGACTACGACCTTGGCCTCGAGTGCTATCAAAGATGTTAGGTCGCCAAGCTTCGCTGATCTCCTCGAGGGAGAAGCGTACTCTTGTAGAATAACTCGTCTGGTCTGGGCCAGCATGTTTGCTTGCTGGTACATCTGGTTGCTGTTGCCGATACCGCCGTGGAGTATGAGGACTGGTGTATGTCTTGACTTCTTTGGTCCCATTGTTGTGTACCAAATATCAACACCAGACGAGAGATTCAGATATTGACCAACATCTCCATTGGAGAGCGGCTCTAGCTTAGGCTCCCATTCCCAGCGAAGTACCGAGGCATTGAATGCTGGACCCGGATGAAAATTGCTGAAAATTGTCAGTATATGAGCGAGTCTTTTTGGCTTTTTGAGTCCATTGTCATAGATACGGATTTTGAACATACGCAGTGGATAGGCCACTGAGCATCAGTGCCATCAGCCCCCGGGAAAGGAGTTGGATTGCCTGCATCTTTTTGGGGACAGCTTGGGTCCTGTACGCGGTGATCGGACGATCTCTAATTAGAAAGGCAGCCTCACATATATAGGATACATTTCCGCGCGCAGTCTAGTCACCACATCTCACCACTAGTTAAAAAAAAGTGCGAACGAGTTTAGATAATCAGGCACCAGGAATGGGGTTTGAAAGGGGGCGGGTCCAATCATCAAATTTGTACGGCTGACGGGTGTTCGGTACTAGCGAAATAGTTACTGCAGTTCTTCGGACGCTAGGAGGCCGCCCGATTGGAAATCCGAGGACTTGTAGATAGCCACTTCGTCCATTTTTGAAGTTTTTAAGATGCCAAAAAATCGGCTCCAATACTCTTAGAGCTCGGGAATAGTTAGAGATGGACTCTTGAATTCAGTGAAATATCGAGTCTTTGGCTCCTCGCCTAAGACTCAAGCACCTGAAGACATATTACACCTTCCCAACGTGGATACAGGTTCATGGTGGATTTCTTGGCAGCTGAGATCCGGCAGCCGACAGCGGCCATCGAGCCGATCCCCAGAGGATCCCGAAATTGACCAAGTCCAAGTACTCCGTACTGCAGTGCGGATCCCGTCTTTGCTGCCTCAAAGCTAAGGCACCTATTGCATCCCAGGCTTCATGCGGTTTAAACAGGCTTATGTTGCAGCTTTGCTCTACTACTGTTTGACTAGTAACTCGGAAGTCTCCCAAGGCGTATCCTCTTCTCTGCGCGCATCAAGAGGGACTCGGTGTTTTATCTTGATTTTCGTAGTGGAATGGGGTTAACGGCGAGAGGAGGTTAGGTGGCATGAGAGGGCCAGCGTGGTGGGATTCGTCGTTTGCTGCAATTAATTCAGATTAGCCTAGATTGTCCTAGCACATGTCTAGGCCTGAGAAATTAGGCACCAGAACGGCTTGGCAGCTCCCGTTGAATCGCTGACGCTGTCACAATCATGACGCAATCCTCAATTCATCCTTGGCAACATTCCTGAACTTGGCCATAGAACCAAGAAGCCAGACAATTTCCTTGATGTAGCATCTCCGGTTTTGGCAGGGTACATAAAGAGGCTCATTTCTGCGTCAATGGCAGTTTTTACAACTTAACATTTACCATACTCATCGAATTATTGACTCTTCTTCAACCTCCTTCCCCAACCCTATCACCACGTGATCCAAGATGCTCGGCCAGACTCAAAGACCCGCGGTGCGTGTCATCGGCCGTGTTCGCTGCCAGGTTAAGCCCCGTGTCTCCAATGCCCGTTTCCAATCCACCTCGTCAGGCCCGGCCACCTCCGGTGCCAATTCCGCCCTGATCGGTGGCGTCGCTGGTGGTGCCTTTGCTGCCGCCGCCGGCTACGCATGGTACTCCTTCTCTGGTGCAAAGACACTGGTCGACACCAACAAGCAAGCCAAGCAATACCTCGAGCAAGCGAAGCAAAAGATTGCCGAAGCCGCCCCCGAGCCCAGCGAATCGTACGCCTGGTTCAAGAAGACTGTGACCCGCTATGCCGTGTTCATCCCCGGTGCCCGCGAATACGTCGATACCGCGTTCAAGGACCTTGAGAAGATCAAGGACAAACATGGAGACGAATTCGACAAGGTGATCCAGGATGCGTACAAGGAGCTGGCCGATGTCTCGAAGAATGGTGGTTTCGATAGCGACACGGCTTTTGCGGCATTCCACGTTCTGCAGAAGCACCTTGATCGTCTGCTCGACCTGGCTGGTGATGTTGGCGAGGATATTCTGGACAATCACCCAAAGATCAAGGAGAAGCTTGGTGGTAGCTTCGATCAGCTCAAGCAAATGGGCGATGCCTATGGGCCTCAGGCTAAGGAGGAGGTGAACAAGACATGGAACCAAGTCACGGATATTGTGAAGCGCGGCGCAAGCATAGACGCGGTTGCGGAGATCAAGAAGTTGATCGACGAGAAGAGGGAGAAGCTGCAGAAGCTGGGTGATGAGGCTTGGCAGAAGGGTCTCGACGAGTCTCGCCAGTTCCTCGAGAAGAACCCGAAGCTGAAGTCGCTCGTTGATGAGAATGCCGATGCGCTTAAGAAGGGCAATTTCCAGGACTTGTGGGGTCTGTTGAAGGACAGTGCTTCTTCTGGGAAGACGGAGAAGGTGGAGAAGTATGTTAAGGAGAAGGTTGATCAAGTGAAGAGCGGCGGGTTTGGCGATTTGGATAAGTGGTTGGAGGCTATTCCTGGTGGTTCCAATATTCTTCCTCAATTGCAGACGCTGCAGACCGTTGCACAGAAGAAGGGTGATGAGGCTGAGAAGGTTCTGAAGGAGACGTTTGAGGAGATTCAGGAAGTCTTGAAGAAGCGAAAGGAGCAGGTTGAGAAGATTGCCGAGGAAGCGAAGGAAGATTCGAAATAGATCCTATATCGCTATAGCATAGCATTTTTGTACAAATCATATCATTCTCAACGAAGATTTACTTGAATAAACTCAATTCTAGCTTCAGTTTAGTGCCATGGTTTTGAGAGACATGAACGGCCGGGCCTACCCAGGGTATTTCCCTGTCAATTTGCATGTTTATATCCAGACCAAATATCGGGTCTGCGCGTAGCAAACTCGCTATCCGTCCATAGAGCATGTAGTGATTGCGCCTCCGCCAAGCCTCATGACGGCGCCACTTATGTTTAACGTCATGATGATTGCGAAGTCCAAAGTTTGATATACTGGAGAACCCGCCAATCAGCATCGACCTGGCAACTACCATTCGAGGAAGTCCCGTTTGACATTCAATATTTATCACAGCACCAGCACCAAACATATCTCTCGTCTTCTCATCATCCTCCACATCTTGAACCTCCCAACCCACTTACAACCAGCACCCATCTCCAAAATGGAACGCAGACCCTCCGTCACCCAAAAGGCAGCCTCAACCAACAAAGTCCCAACTCCCCACACAGCAGCCCCAGTCACACGATCTGCGTCGTATTCCTCACCCCAAGAAGACTCCAACGGATCAAACTCGGGGGAGAAGGCAAAAGAAGACGAAGGAACTTACAGTCGTCAACTGCAGACTGCTTCGACGGAACTTCTGAATGACGAGAGAGTGGGACTCGGGTCGAAGGCTGGACGGACACTTCAGAACGTTTTGATGGATACGGAGCATCGTTTAAAGGAGCAGCGGCGGGAGTCGCTTCATAAACCGGGTCATAAGTAGGTAGTCCCTTGAGGAACGAATGTTTTTTTGGATTCATGAGCGCTGAATTTTCTGAAGGGCCTTGACCACTGGTCACCCACACTGAGGGACGTTGGCCTACTACACCGCACGATGACCGATTTGAGATTCCGTGTCCTTGAAATGAAATGTTGCTGTGCACGCAGCCATTCTGGTTAGACTGCCCTTCTATGGGAGTCAGAGGGGGATTGAGGATGGATCACGGCTTACCATAACGATTGAAACGAATGGATATTCCCAGCAATGAGATATGAATTACAATGGCCTCACTAGCTACTATTAATATGCAGATCGCTACGAATACACGACAGTTTGACAAGAATTATGCGTTGGCTCCGCATTACCAAGACCTCCCTTGTGATCTTTGCTCTCAGAGTCCAATAGTCTTGCCCGTGTACTCGTTCACGCGTAACATCATGGGGAAAGAGAGGACCTACCAGTCGAGACTTCCTATCCCAATAACACTGAAACCACATCCGCACGAATAAAACGCCCTCGATGATGTGGGACTTACACCTCACCGATCAATACCTTGTGGGACATGTCCAAGAATACAGAAAAAGAATGCATTATATATCAGAAGCGAAATAGCACAATATGAATTTATATACACGCAACCAGCATCCAGGACTGTCCTTGAACGCAAGGAATTACGAGCTCTAGATCAAAAATGAGATCTCACAGTTTGAATAAATGCAAATGCAAATAGCAAAATGTATTTACTGCCCTGTAGCAGCCTTAACCATGCTCTCGAAGTTAGGCGTTCCAAGTCCAGTAACAGGATCCCAGCCCGCAGTAGCATTCCAGCTAGCATAAGGAACAACAGGACCACCGTTCGAAGGACCACCAAAGCGTCCGTTACCATCACACCCAGTGCTTCCACCAGTAGTAACATCGTTCAACACAGCAGTGTTCGAGTACAACCACGGGTTCAAGAAACCCATGGTAGGTTGACCAGCTTTAATACGGGCATCGTTGAGCAGGGCAATAACACCGGCGAAAGCAGGCGCAGAGCAAGATGTACCGTCAACCTTGGTGAGGCGACCCTTCTCGTAGATAGCGTAGTTCTGGCCCTGGGCGGCGACGTCAGGGAAAGCACGGCCGTGGGCGTTGAACAGACCAGCTTGGCGGTTACCGAGCTTGTTGAGATATGTGCTGACGGCGTCGTTTTGCCAGTCGGGACGCTTCCAGAGGTCGGAGAAACCGCCGGATGAGAAGTAGACGGCCTTTTCGGGGGAGGTGTGGGTGGTTGCGCCGACGGATGTGACCCAGGGGCAGGCGGCGGGGAATTGTGGGGGGAAGTGAGTCGTGTTCTTGCCGTCGTTGGTTTGACAGGCTGCGCCGACGCCGGAGTCGCCTGAGGAGAAGATTACGGAGACACCGCGGCTGCCGAGTTGGGCGATCAGGTTGCAGACACTGCGGGCGTAGCTTGCGGGGACGCTCTGTGAGTAGTGTTAGCAGGGAATTGTGAATAATTGACTTGGTAGTTGTTTCTTACCTGCTCGTCCTCGCCGTAGGAGGTAGAGATAACCTGGGGAATGTCTTTGTCCTCCATCTTGACGACATTCTGCAGGAAGTCCAAGTAGGGCTCATTGTTGTTGTTGTTCGGGTCAGGCTGATCCAGATCGGGAACTAGGGGTGCACGACCACCAGTGCTGAACTCAGTGACTGGGACGGGAGCGCTGACACCGACAATATACTGCAGATCCAGGTTGGCCTCGCTGCTATCAGACCTAGAGTTCTGGTCATTGAGACCGCCGTGATACTCGATGACAGTGAAGTTCAGGCCCTGGGCATAAGGAGCGATATCCTGCTCAAAGAGAGCAAGGTCGGAGTACCGCGCATACTGCTCCAGGTAGCTAGCGAAAGCTACCTTGTTGCCATTTGTATCATCAGCCTGGTAGTCGCCGACCTTGTACAGGTCCTTAAGACACTGGGGGGTAATAGCACTGTTGCAATCGGTGCTGGCAGACTGCACAGCCTTTCGAAAGGTCTCATCAGCGGCCTTTGCCTTACCGTGCAGGGTGATACGGTTAGGGTGTAGCTGGCCGAAACGAGTGGTAGGTGTAACAAGGTTAATATGGGCGATAAGGGAGTCAGGAATGGAGTATTCCAGGGTACGCAGGCGCTCAACTTGCTTGTAGCGGTTGACATAATACTGGAAGTTGGCCTCCAGGAGGTGATTGGCCTTCTCGACGGTCGTCTGGAAGGACATCCAATCGGCATCTTGTTGGATATCGGTGATTCCACCCTCCTTGAGCCACTCAAGGACTGCATCCACGGAAGAAGCAGTGGGCTGCAACATGCGCTTCATCTCATCGTGAGTGCGGAAGTGCTGGCCATAGTTCGGGTGATCGGGTGTCGACATGTCCAGCACGGCTTGCTCGAACCCGGCAACGTCACCCTGGGTCAGGGCAACCTGCAACTTGATGGGTTGGTCCCCGCGGGGAGTTCGGGAATAGTGCCATCCTATTAGAAGGGCAATCAGTTAGCCATCCCACCCAAGAGGACAAAGTAATATGCAAGCAAGACGAGTAGATTACCTTCAGGAACAGCGGCGAGCTTATCGAATACTTCAGCTGCAGCAGTGGATGTCAACAGCGACACAACCGCCAGCGACAAGGCGCCTCGGTTCAACAGAGACGCAAGCATATTTGGAGACAAGGCACGAAATGAAGGCACACGACTCCGAGCTTGTCTTGACCACACCACAGGGATAACCTGCAGCGAAGGACCAAAATATAAATAACCAAAAGGATCCCGGGATGGCGGACACGGGAGAGAGGGGTAAACCCGTGTAGGACTATTTATTATGATCAATTATGGTTGCATTGGCGGAGGGAATGAACAAGAGTGGACCAGGAATGTGGTGCAATGAAAGTCCTCAAACTCGCAGCCAAGCCAGGCCAATTTGGCAAGCTTTAAGTCAAGCCGGTGGACCCTAAGGCTGCCCAGCCGGACCTCCTCTTCTTGGCCGTGCAGAGTCTCATCGAACTGACATCGGTGGACCCTGACCGACGCGGATGCCCGTCGGGGGCGATGCGAGATTCAGGGCCCAACGGCCCCTACCCAATCGTTCGTCTTGCAGCCTGCGGTGCTGCGGCGTCCTGCCGCTCGTCACCACAGGTTCAAGTTCTCGTTGCATCGTCGTACCCGTTGGGAAATGATTCTGTCGGGGGTATAGCCGGTGATGCCATCGAGAGGGGGGAACTATGATGTTACTCGCCCCCCTCTCCTTTCCTGTCGGCTGTTTGAGACATTTGTGACCCTCCTGCGTGGTCGCGCAGCAATGGGTGGCAGCGCAACCCCCGGCCCCCCGGTTTTACGGTGTCGCGATGATCGGCAGGGGAGAAGGATCCACCCGCTTGGCACGACAACGAAAAGCGAGGGGCCGGGGCCCTGCGTGAATGATCCAGAGGGGCTGGGCTTCGGGGGTGATATGAGATGAGCCAATGGGACTGGCGATTGGGGGCTCAAAGTTTGACACCAGTCGCATGTTTATTGTTCGCTTTATCGCTTTGAGCCAGTTGATAATGGCTTTGTGGCGGACAATGGAATGCCAACATCGCGGGCCCTGCCAAGATCGCATCCACTTGGCGTGCTGATCGGGCGAATGATGGCAAAGCTGGCAGGCCAATCACCAGGCGGTGCTCCACAAAAGTTGGGGGCAGCTATCGGAGACACGCGATGAAATTGGCCGATTGTACATCGCAATGGACAAATGGTTGAGCGATATGAGATACGGAGTAGACGAGTAACCTCATTTGCCTCGGCAGCATGAAGTCGTGTCAACAGGGGTCGTTGTCCCCGTGATCGGGTGATTGCAAAAGGCTGGCTCATCTCTCCATGGAGATCTGAAGGATGCCGCCAGGGTCACCTGCCCCGCGCCTCATTAGCGGCTGTGGCTGGATAAGCGTTCCTCCAACAGCCACAATCATCGCCCTTTGAAGGTGAAGAACCTGTTATCTCGGACGCTGGAAAACCAATTGATGTGTGCAATACCCCTGCCCTGGGCTCTGTTATTTCTGCACCATCCAGTTTGTATTGCGCCATCTCTGGTCCTACCTATCCGCAGTCGAGGTGTCAGTCCCACGTCCTTCCGAACTCTGTAGTGTGACCGAAGACGGAACAGCTGGTACGACTAGACAGATGGTCAAATTCGAATATTGCAAACTGTGAATCGAGTATGTACTGACTGCTTTGTCTCAAATACTGTGCAGGTTACCAAAGCGGGGAATACGCACGGTCGGGTTGATGCAGGTAAACAGGAATAGCTGCATTGTTATAAAAAGGAAACGTGAATATTCAGAAATACCCAAAGCGGGACACCTACCTAAACCCAGGCAAGACACCTATGCGCCATGTAGTAGTCGGAAGGTATTCGAGAAATATGATCTATGCGTTAACACACGCCACTATACTCAAACCCTAAGCCATACCCCCTGCCTCTTACCCTGTTGTCTGGTTATGCTTTGCTTCTTAATTTGCTTTTCCATGTGCTCTGTTCTGTGCTAAATGTTTCTTTTTTACTCTTCATTCATAAAAAGAACTTCCATGGTTTTAAGTTGGATAACCGGGGACTCACTCCCGCAGCTATTTGTAGAAACGTATATGACAACACGCTGGGAAGACAAAAGAGCCGGAACTGTAATCAAGGAGACTATCCTTCACGATCCCCGATCTGTTTAGCAATTGCAATCATATCTTCTTCTCCCAGAGCCGATTCCATCGCCTGGGCGTATAAATTCCCACACACATCCATCAGTGGCGATTTTACGTTCGCTGAAATAGCAGCAGACTGAATGAGCTGCGTGCTATTATAACAATCCTTCAGCGAAGCCTGTGGAGACCAGTCCTGGCTTAGCATCTTGCTGACTTTAATATGGGAATATGCCGACGCCATAGGACTCGCCGCCACGACTTTTCCGAAAGCTTCAAGATCAAGGCCCTGGGCTTTGGCCAGGTTCATAGACTCTGCCAATCCAACGGTGAGAGCAATCAGTAATGAGTTGATGGCGTACTTTGTCTTCAAGCCGGAACCGATTGGACCGCAGTAAACAGCAGAGCGTGTGATGGGTTCAACGTAAGGTTTGATAGTCTTGGCGAGGTCGGGATCTCCAGCCATCATGCCAACGAGGTGACCTTCTTCAGCAGGAACCTTGCTGCCACTGACTGGCATCTCCACAAATTGTCCACCAGCTTTTCGGATCTCTTGATCAAGAAACTCGCTGAATTCGACCGACACTGAGCTAGTATTGACTAATACTTTGTCCGAAAGAGCCCGTTTGAAATCGGTGGTTAGGATTGACTGGATTGCTGGGGCGTTGAAGAGCATTACAAAGATAATGTCTGAGCTTTGCACAACTTTGACGGGTGTTTCTGCAAATGAAACCGCGTCAGTTTGCTTGAATGATGCATATTTGGCAGGACTTCGATTCCAGGCCATGACAGGATATTTCTTGGCGAGGTTACGGGCCATTGGGGTGCCCATGACCCCAAGCCCTAAGAAGCCAAGCCGCATATCTGATGGGCTAGCCCAGTGGATGGTGAGTTGGCGGGTCGTCGATGTGGATGGAAGGTAGGCGATGTGAATAACTTGCCACGAGTCGGTTATGGGGGTAGAAGTTTTCGGTGGAGTCGACGGTTCAGGAAATGATATGTAGAAACACGTATGGAAACCAGACATTTCATATCGAAGCCTCTCCTTGCAAGAGGATATATCGAGTTAGCGATCCCGATAATAGCCGCTCGCTGGGCTTATAGACATGAATTTTGAAGGCGCGACTTGGGAACCTTGAGTGAGCCGAAGCCGGAATCCAGACCTTTGTGGAGCCAAGTATAGATTGCAATCAATAGTAGTCTGTCTATCTTGAGGGATTCTTTCTATACATCGTAGGAATAGTCAATGATAGTGATAAGAATTGTCTCCAGCGGCCGGTTCTGTTCGCCGCATAAAGTCTGCTTAGACGGCAATCTGTTCAGGAAACCTGGATATTGATAAGTGGATTCTGTTATCTCAAGGCGATTCTTCTCAACGTCTGAGAAACCTTTACCTTGGGCATTTCTATCCTCGGAGTTGCATTGCAGTGGGTACCGCAAGATATGTACCGCGCAGACTGGATCATGGTTCTCATCCCTAATTGTGGGGCCTTCCCCACACCGTGTCAATTACAGGGCGCGAATATCCACATACAAAATCCGTGAATTGTCGGCTGTCCGCGGCATTTGGTCTCTATTTAAAAGCAAGATATTTCACTTCAAATATCGATTAGGCGCTGATCGTTGAGGATAGTCACAAGTCTTGCTCGAGTGACACGTGGCTGGAGTCATTTATCTTTCTCTGCTTCATTTTCAACGGCGGAGGACCCTTTGCAAATTCTCTTCCACGCAGTGACTCAAAAATATTAGGAATAAGAAATAATTATAGGTGGCGTCTGGCTTGCCTTGGTCAAAACAAAAAAAGGAAACATGGACGACATAGAATTGCTAAATTATGGCTTCAAGGATATTGAGATCCGACCTTAGATCTAGATTATCCATGCCGCCAGCCCAACAATACCACCCAGAACTCCCTTCACCATATCCGCATTGGAACCTGCCACCCGAACAGCCGCATTTGATGTGCTGGCACTGGTCGCACTCGAGCTCGTGGAAGAAGCGCTGCTCGAGGCTTGAGAGCTCGTGGTCGCAGCCGCGCTTGTCACGGCTGTCGTCTGAGTGCTCTTTGACCCAGCGCTAGTGCTACCACCGGTAGAAGAAGCGCGAGTTGAACCGCTGGTCTTCGTTGTCGCCGTTGTTCCCGTCGTCGTAGCATTGTGGCCGGTAGCCGTGGATCCTCCGGTTGTGGTAGTAGAATTTCCCGAGCCCGTCGTCGACGAAAGGCTCACGACCTTGAAGCCAAGAAGATCCTTAGAAGCGTCCTTGGAGAAAACATCCGTGGCCTTGCCCGCCGCCTCACCGGAGCAGGCACTGTTGGTGAAAAGAAGCATGTTGATATCCGTTTCGCCCTGGGCATCGATTTTGAATAGATGACCCTTAGGGTTATCGATCTTGATGCAGTCGCTGGGACCATGGCCGGATTTAGTGTGGTCATTGTCATCAGCATCGTTCCATTTGATTTCCCATGCAGCTGCGAGGGGGGCAATTGAGACTGCCATGGCGAGGAGAGCTGATGACTTCATTTGGGTGGTGTAGCGTGTATAATTGTCGCAGTACGGAGTCGCTTTTTTGTGGAGAGGGAACAATTAAGGTGTGAAATCGCAAAAACAAACACGAAGATCGTCTGGTTCAGCGGGGCGTTCTCCCTTTTTATGCGGAATTGCCCAAGAGGCTCTTAACCTTTTGTGTTATTCTTGACTCCTCGTTATGCCAAATCTGGGGTCTGGGCATGCAGATCGCTCGTATTCAATGTACCACCAACCAGTTAGGATGCAAGTGTGGCAGCCACGGTCGCGGGCGAGCCGCTTTTCTTGAAATGAATGGTGAGCCAGGCATTTGTACCTGAGCAAGAAAATGGGGGCTGAATACGGAGTAGTTGCCGAATGAATGTGCGTAGTCAAGCATATTTAGGTATTCGGAATTGGCTTCCATGTCTCGTACGGTGGGACTACCTTAAACCTTAACGCCAAGGCGATCGTAAAAATGTAACGTTTTCATTCAGCTCAGGCAGGTCAGCCAGGCAAGGGACTTGGCGCTATTTTGAAAAGTACTAGCTGTAAAATTTATGGGTTCGTAGCCCTCATCACCTCGCGTCCTGCCACCATTGCTCGCCCCCGTTAAGGCTGCGTTGTATGTAATCTCAGACCATATCTTGCCTGCCACCAAACCGAGGTGAATGCGCCTGCATATAATGGCTCTGAGTATCCTCCTTCGCATCCAATAATCTATTTTTATTAAGGTCTTGGACTGTTCGGATGTAACCCGCTCTACGGTACTGATACTATCAACAGTGGACAGTTAGGTATTTTTTGCATAAAGGGCCAATCACGCAAACATTTGGACTGCTCGCTTGAAGAAACCCAGAAAATTCGAGTCCACCCAATGAAGAACAATGACAGAGGGGGTAGATTGATCGATCAGCAAGAGTTAGACCCTTCATTCCCCACTCCAGGAGCTTCATAGAACGAGACAAGGTACGAGGATAATCAGGACCGAAAACTTTCTTCTGCTTGGCCACGCAGTCTCTGAGAAAGGCAATTGCTTCGAAATGTCGGCCAGTAGCTTCCCATAAAGATGATAGAATGGTCTTGCTAGCCATCATATTAGGGTGGTCTGCACCAAGCTTTGTCATTCTTGTCTCCATCACCTGCAACTCGAGCTGCTCGGCCGCCTCGTGTCGGCCTAGATTCCACAGGGACCACGCCAGGTTCGCAAAGCTTGATAGCTTGAAGGGATTATCATGACTGAGAGTCGATTGTCCGCAGCATCTATTTGATTTGGATGTCGAGCTTTTCAGCCTCTTCAAAGCGGCCTTGGCGGTTGTATGTCAAGGCTAAATCGGTCATGGTTGCTAGTGTGCGGCCGGGATCAGTGCGGCCGGGATCGCTCTGGCCGAAACTTGACTCGAGAGCCATCATCACTTGTTCAATGAGTTGACTAGCTTCTTCCCATCGTTCCTGCTTCATGTATGTCTTTGCGAGGTTATCCATGGCCACTAGCGTGTCAAGATGATCCTGGCCAAATTTGTTGGACATGGGGAAAGAGGTGTTGGCACGTTTCCCAATTTTCATCTCCTTCAGCTGTAAAGTGACCCCACAAGATATGGACGAGCTGATCCTTCCACCTCTCGAGCTGATCACGGTTCTTTAGCCATGCCCGTACAGTCAATTGCACCAGTCGATGCATCGCGAGAAATGCCGGGTCCCTCCCTACTGAAATTAGCGAAAAATCTCTGAGGGTTATGATATCGCTGTCCAATCGATACTCGGTATCAGCGATAGGGGTAGTGACACCAAAATTCTCCGGGTCTCTCGTCCAAGGAATTTATTTCCTGAATTTGCCGAGCAAGTAGAAGATCACGAGGAATCCCTTGACGATCGAAGAAATGCATGAGAGAAAGGAGGTCCGCTGCCGAAGGTTCAACTCTTCGAATGTACCCAAACGAGATTTGCCAGGTCATCAATACGGAATTTTTCGCTTCCCAATCTCGACACAGCAGACCTGCCTCATGATTGAGTATTTTGGCTGCTTCCTGGTCACTGTGCTCAATTTTGTTCAGGTACTGCGAGAGTGAACAAAACGGTGAGCGATGGGTTATGTAGGCGGCGGCTAGTACAATTGCCAGCGGGATAAAATCGAGGGTCTTGACTGGTTTTTCCATATCCTCCAGCTCTGCGGATATAACAAGCTTCTTCCGTAGCAGATCTCCCGCTTCGACTTCGTTCATCGGTCGGACTTTGATGAGATATTTATAACAGATATCCGAGGAAAGTCCTCTGTTTCGACTTGTCGCTAACATTGGAACCATTTGAAGATTCGAGGAAGTATCTAAGCGGCGGCTTTTCTGGGGTGTAGCTCTGCATGTCCCTATGGCTTTCTATGCCAATTGCCTGGATTGCTCAGCGAAGTGGTTTGCGAAGAAGCTCATCATCGTCCACTTTATCAAGGATGAGAACCCAATTGCCGATCTTTTCGTCTTGAAGCCAGTTGCCAACGAGCTGGCGACCTTTGGATCCTGCCTCAGGAATTTTAGCTCAGTCGGCCAAATCGCGAAGACTTTTTCATAACGGGCGGCATTGCTGGCATGAACCCAGAAGATCCAAGTGTCTGGCGATTTCTTTCGAAGCCTATGACAGTACTCAATAGCGAGTTGCGTCTTCCTGCTCATCAGTCAGCGTTGGAGCAACTAAAGCTCTCCCTGCATTGTTGTATCCTAACCCGACATCGCCTAGGCCAGCGAGGGCTAACTGTGAGCCCAGGATAGAGGCCATTTGGGCCATCTGATCAATAATGGCATCTCGACCGACAAAATCTGGATCTTGTGGAAATGGGACGGTTGAGACAGGACTGGGGCGGAGCTCTGGTACTTCTATAGAGGGGCTGTTAGCCAACTCAACTCTGCATGTGGGGTCTTCAATGAGATTTCCCTTGTGAGATGTGTATTGATCCTTGGTTGATCGCCACCTGGACCCCGGAGTTTCTCTCGCTAAATGCGACAGACCCCATGATAAACCATGCGAAGCCGACTTTCAGTGTTTTGGGTTGGAAGTCAGGAACTGTAAACCCGGGAACTCAGACACGTAGGAAGTGCAAAGTGAATAATGTTCAGCCCTGCATCAGGTAACGTTGGCACTTACAGCTCTATCTTTAGCTCAAGATTATCTAGGCTCAACAGACCCACCTGCGGAGCCATTTTTAACTTTGCATGACCGTTTCTGGCATTCTATTGGACTAGCAAGAAGTAGAAAGAAACAAGAATACTCTGGGTTTCAAAGATGCCTGGGAAGCCAAGTTCTAATGAGACTCTGATCTAGATAGTTATGGGTCATGTGACCCATAGGGCCAGCGATCAGATGAACACCGTCCACGATTGCAAAAGAATATATTCAAATTAATTCTGTTGACAGATACAACAATATCAACAATGACGACGCCTTATGTACAAACAGGCCTCACGCCTCAACGAATACTGTATGTCCCAGCCAAAGCCGAGAGACCCTAACACCACCGCATCTATCCCAATCCTTTACTCGATCTAACCCAATCACACACATACCAACTCTACTTCGAACCCGCCTCAGACCTAGGCTCAACAGTCTCCTCCTCATTCTCCAAATGCTGGGCATAGAACATCTGCGCAATAGCATCATCAGTCTGGAGATAAGTGCGACTACCCTGAATAAACCAAAACGCAATCGCAATGACCAACATAACACCAAACACAGCAATAGCGTAGTTCATATCACTAGGGGCCGGGTTAGGACCACCGGGGAACAGGAAGAAAACAGTCGTGATAACGCAGTACACGACACTGGTCCAGTTGAGCCACGGACCCCAGCGACCGAGACCCGCGGAGCCACCGTCAGGCAACTTGTCGCGGCCAACGACGAGCAGGGCCATGATGGGCATGGCGTAGGAGACTGTCAGCGCGATGGTGCTGACGGAGAGAATGGCTTCGAGGACGGTGTTGGCGAAGAGGTAGAGGATGCCGACGATGGCGATGACCACGCCCTGGCCCCAGAGGGCGCGGACGGGGACTTGCCAGACGGGATCGACGTGGCTGAAGTACCGGCTGAAGGGGAGACCGCCGTCGCGGGCGAAACCCCAGGTTAGACGGGAGGCGGTGGTAAGGATGCCGATGCCCTGGCCGACGCCGTTGAAGATGAATAAGGCGAGGAGGGTGGTGCCGCCCTTTAGGCCGACGGTTTCGAGCATGAGTTCCATGAAGGGGAGGTCGGCGTTTGTGACATTGTCCACGCTCTGGATGCAGAATAGGCAGACTACCATGAAGATGAAACCGGTGATGGCGCCGAAGAGAACGGCCATCCAGATGACGCGGGGTGCGTTGCGGCGTGGGTTGGGGATTTCTTCGACCATGTGGATGACGGAGTCGAATGCGGTCAGACCGTAGGCGGCCTGGACGAGACCGGTGAACCAGGTGATACCGTCGGGCCAGCCGGTCTGGTTGATCCAGGTGCCGAAGACGAATTTGCCAGGTTGGAAGGAGAGGTCGCTCTTAACGCCCACGCAGATCAGCATGACGAGGGACATGACGACGAAGAGACCGGCGAACCAGACGCCGACGAAGTTGTTGATCCACGGGAGGATCTGCTCGCGACGACAGCTGACCACGTTGACAAGGGTGAGAAGGAAGACGACGGCGATGAAGACGACAAAGTTGAGCCAGCCCTGGCTGTTACCTGTCCAGTCTGGATTGAACATCGTCCTCATGCCGAGAATGAACTCGGTCATGAAAGCGACCTGCGACGCGGTGAGCGTCCACCATCCAAAGGTGTTGATCCAAGCACACATGTACGAGACGAAGCGGCCCAGAGGGGTGCTCCACAGTCGATATACCCAGTATGCCTGGCCGAGAGCCGTGGGCATGCTGCTAGTCAATTCGCCCAGGGAGAGCGCAACACATAAATTGCAGCCAGTGACCAGCACCAGACCCCAGAGGATAGTAATGGGACCGCCATTGGTAAGACCGCTGCTGAGATCTTGAGCAAAAGTAGAGTAGGTTCCTATCAAAGAGAATCAAAGAGTTAGTTAATTGTCCAGCATTTTTCACTCAAAACCCCTATACACTCGCCACATACCTAGAACACAAAAAGCCAGTGCAAGCATGCTCCAGATACTGAATTTGCGGGTCAACGCCTGGGCATGGCCCATCCCTGCGAGGTCGGTAGCATCCTGCACATCCTGATCATTGTCGAGCGGCACCTTAAGGGGAGGCGAGTTTGATTCCACGTCCATAACTTGGTGAGACTTGACTTCCTTCAGCCGGAGGTAATAAAGATCGATTCACGGGGCAAGACAGTAAACCGCGCGCCCATTTTCTGCCTGCAAGGTTGTGGGGGAACAGAGAAGGGGGGAGGGAGAGAGATGGGATGGGGGGACTAAGCCGCGTTTCTATATAGCTTGCGAATCACGATTGATCGACCCCCTCTTTTACTCGCTGTCCGTGGGTAGGTTCTCCCTCTGAGTAGTCACTGCTTGGTCCTCCACAGAATAATGGACCTTTCAGCGAGAAAAACCTAAGAAAAGAAGGCTGGGCTAAGCGGGAGACCAGGCCCTGGGTCGTGGTTGCTGGTATCTGTCACTGGATTGTGCCCCAGGGAAAATACGGGGGCGGCACAGATAAAGCTGGGGAGGGATGGGCCAATGAGAATGGCTCCTCAGACAAGAATTCACGGGGTCAATAGTCGACTTCGCAGAGATTGGTCATGGACTTGTGAACTGTTGGTAATGGAAATGCTCATCGCGTGTCGTCTGGAATTTTTTTTTTGCGGGGGGTTGCGTTCCGCCCTCGGCAGGACCTCCTGCAGTGGGCCGAGGGCCCAGTTCTTTGCATCTTTGCATCTTGGGAGGTGATCCACTTTGATAAGAATAGTGATAGGCAATATCATATTTCGAGTTGAATAGTCATTATCGGGAATGGAAGTGGATGGTCATGTATTGAAGAGACATATGGTATTTGAGCGATGTATTCTGTTTGGTTTGTATAGCTGCAAGTGACTGTGAATGCGCCCGGGTAGGGACTATAGGAAGCCCATACACCCCAACAAACATTCTCATCAGTTCCTCGGTGGCAAGAGAAACTGCACTCCCACCTACCATGTCATTCCTGCCCTATAATCCAATAGAGACCATGCAAACGCCTCCAAAACCTTGCAGCCGCCCTCCTGCCATGCCAACATCGCCGGGTCTTCAGTGGCAATGCCAATCCCAAAACAGCAAGTCCATGCGGATCGATAAGCCCGTTATCGCGGCAGCGGCAAAAAGTCCGCTGGGATGTATGAGACTGACATGACAGACACTGTGGACAAAGGCAGACACGAAACCGATATCATGCCTATCAAACAGTCAATCCGGTATCTGAGTATCCAGACAAATCTCCATAGTCAGTGGTGTCGATATCCCGATGCCGGATCACAGATCACAGGCCTAATGTCCATATAGAGTATGTCCAAGGACCGCAAACTCAATTCCTCTCCTAGGCGCAGCCGATGTCTAGCTAGTGCTAGGCCGTTAGTCCAAGTCAAATGTCTAGCTGGGTTCAGAATCGTGAAGACCCGATCGTGTGACGATTTGTTTTCCGGAGGAAAATGACCCGCCAAGACATCGGGGAAGCGACCAAAGGATGTAATTCATGCGATTCAACCAGGCAGGCACCGGTATTGATACCCTGGTTGCCGAGATATCTGGGGGACCCAGATGAAAATGGATCCACTTCTGACGTTCAAGAGGGGCCTAAACTGGAATAGAGGCACTTATCCATTGAATGTGGCGGAACGATCAGCATGAGCTTGGCCGCGGGCGATGTTGATTATTACATAGCACAAACCCATTCCGAATCCACGTTCGTAGCTGGTCGATCCGGGACGTTTGCGCCGGAGGCTATCCAGATCTGTTCGTGTCCCATCATTGGTCTGTATCGCCGCTCGGTCTTGAGAATTTCTCCTTCTCTTTCCCCTTTTGGGAAGCTGTCGAATGGAGATGGGTGTTTTCGTCTGGGTCTGTGTATGCCTGGAGTTGGGATAGACTCGAGATCGATGGGTATGGAATGCGGGGTGAGGGGAATTACCTCGACGTGTTTTCGTCAAAGAGTCAACATGTCGGTCAACATTGTATCTTCACGATATCCCCCGAACGTGCACATCCTGTCTGCTTCACGATCAACCTTTGAGGCTTTGCCGTGCCGACGATAGTCAGGCACCATGCAGCCATGCCAAACCCTTTTAGGCATGTATAGCCAGATCAGCCTCTGAGTTTGATTATCCGAGCCGATACCCGCGCTGGAGGCCTGAGCCCCGAGCCACCAGCGTCTGTTGGCAGACCTTGTTTTGATCTCCAAATATCTTGAGTAACCGGCATGAATAACACCGATGGTGAGACGGTGAGATTCCGGGAAAATGTCTGTCATTTGATGCGTTCTTTTTGCGTTTCGTGATGTGGCGCTTGTTGGATGGGTTATTTCCCGTCGCGGTACTTCTATCAATCCGGGGTATTAGCAATTGAAATGGAAGGAGTGGTGTTTGCTGTGACTAATTGATAGGTTCTCCGACGCCGATGTACGGATCTCGCCGAGTGCCTGGGTGAAGCGAGAAAGTGAGTTCCCCAGTGGGAGGGTGCTTTAGTCGGCTTGCTTCCTTGTCTGAGATGGTTACACGCCCGTCGTGCGTGAGAGAAAAGGACTCTGCGTAACCATTAATGTGGCACAGCATTAGTCTCGGACATTTGTTACCGCTTAGGGGCGACTCCTGGCATTTCCTCGTTGTGCTAGGCTGAGTTGGCCTAGAGCTAGCTCAAAGACGAAAGTGGACGATGTTGGTCAGGACTCGACTGCATTCGAATTCGAAGATAACCAGCACCCGATCTTGTGAAAAGGACTATGCAACTTGATCACTACCTTGTCAGTGAATTTGGAAGGAAATAGGTGATTGAAAGCACTTATCATGCTTCTTATGTATCGAATCCTCTGAAGTCTACCCGGCGCGACTTTTTCCCAATCAGGAAGGCCGGCAGCACGTGTGTGAAAAACAGCTCGAATCACCTCGACTGACTCAACTAATTTGAAAAATTCGTGATGAACCCACACTTACCTCGTTAGCATCATGCCATCCCAGCTATACCCAGGCTGAGCACGTCAGTCAGTCAACGCCACAGCTTCGATTCAATCCATCGCCGCCTTACCCACGCGGCATCCCCCAGGCAGTCTATTCACCAGTGTGAGAATTTTTCACGAAGCGAAGAAGTTTGTATGAATCATCCGAGTCTTGGTAATTATATTAATGCTTGAACCACTGTCGGAAACACCGACTGATAATGAAAAGTCAAGTAGGGGAATCTCGAACACAGAAAGCCAAAGCACAAGCACAAACACAATGACACTTTTGTTGTTGTTGTTGTTGTTGTTGTTGTTGTTGTTGTTGTTGTTGTTGTTGTTGTTGTTGTTGTTGTTGTTGTTGTTGTTGTTGTTGTTGTCACCAGGACTCGAGCATGACACAAATATCACAGCGATGATGATGATGGGAGAGTGGCCGAACGACCAAAATGCATAAGCATAAGCATAATCCGAATAAAACACCGAATCCACGAGACTTGTCCACGTCTCTCCAAACGCCGATCCAACCCAAACAAGGAGAGAGCCAGAAATACAGACCGTCTTCATGACCATGACCAGAACGAGAGTGCCTGAACCAGAAACCATGAGAAAAACTCCGCCCGCCAGCGGGGATTGCAAGAACCTCTAGTTATATATCGCACGTCACGGTCATGAGCACAAGCCAAGAGAAACAAATAAAAGCAATATGCAAAACGAAATAATCGAGGAAAGCGTCGAGTCGAGTCGAGTCAACGATGTCAGCCCTCCATTCACGACCGACCATGCTTCGAACCCCTCCACATCCCACCAGGAACAATCCCCTGCTTAAACATCGCCAACTCCTTCTGCACAGCCATATTCTCCTGCTGAATCCGCTCAATATACGCCAACGCATTACTCAAAATCTCCGATTTCTTCAATGACCCCGCTCCCGCTCCGACGCCTGCCGCACGCGAAGATTTCTGCACGCCAGCGGGCGAAATGGCTTTTTCCAGGGCGAGGAACTTGGCGTTCATGTTTGTGCGGTAGCGCTTTTCGATGATGTTGTGGGCGGCGCGTTTGGCGGCATTGCGGCCTTGGGGGTCTTGTGCGATTGATGCTGATGTTGATGGGGGTTGTTGGGCAGAGGAGGAAGAGGTGTTGGATTCGTCGGAGAGACTGCGGGTTTTGCGGCGTTTGTCGGTGCGGGTTTGTGGAGGGTTGTATTGTTGGGGTTTTATTTCGGGGCTTGAGGACCAGCGGGTTGATGATGTTGACGTTGTCGGTGATGTGCTGGTGATGGAGGCGCGGGTGGTTGGTTTTGTGGATGTTGGGGAGGTCATGTCGATTGAGGGGCGGGCACTCATTGACCAGGATTGGTCGTCGCTGTCGAGGTCCTGGGTAATAAGGTTAGTCCTGGATTTTTGGATGCTTGCATGTGGTATAATTGGGGTGATGTCATACTGAAGAGAGCGAGACGGTATCTTCGGCTGTGGGCATGCTGAATCCGCTGATAGCAGTTGGTGTACCGAATGAATCCATGAAAAGATCTTTCGAGTCGGCATTGGTCAAGCTATCTGCAAAGTCGAATGAAACGGGGTCCATTTCGGCGGGGTTCAAGGAGAACAGGTCAATGGCGCTGTCGTAGGACCAATTGCCGGGCAGAGGGTCGGAAGCTTTGGTCGTGGGGAAGAGCTCCATGGGACGCGACTGTGGACTTAATTGTTGGTTGAGGTATCTCTCGTCTTCAAGGGAGAGATTGGATAAGGCGGTGCGATTGAATGCCATGGTTGGATCACGTCGATAGGATGTGGCGATCATGTAAGGAAGATATTGGCAGTGAGTGGCAGAATATATATATCGGTGGCACGAGTCAAAGGTACGTCGATGTTATGCTGTAGCCTGGCTGTTGGATGTTGTTGTGATTGTAGACTGGAGTTGGGTAGCGGGAGCCGGGGAGGAGAAATATATAGTATCAAAGATGATGATAAAGAGGATCGAGGACGATAATGTTTTGGATGATGAACCATGGAAACAAAACAAGAATCACGTTTCCCATCGGCCATGTCAGGACCGTTATATATTGCTCCGATTTTTCTCGAGCAGACAAGATCGAAAAAGGACAGGGAAAAAAACTGTAACGGACCAAGGGGAAGAAGCCGGACCGGATGACGACTCAATTCGTCTGTTGTCCTTTGTCCTTTGGGTTGGCCGAGCCTGACAGCCGAGAAGAATTGACTTGTGATGTCAGGTTTTCTGGCAGGTCGAAAACAGAATCGACCCGATTGGAAAAGAAAATGATAATTGATTAATTGATTAATTGATTGAGTAGAAAAAGAGAATCCACTCGTCCATTCCAGTCGTTACTAGACCCTGTCTCCTCCCGGCCGTAAATGGTGTAGGTGTTCCGGGCAAGCTAGAGACAAAAGGTCGAGATTATCATTTTGAAGAATGCGATTCGCTCGGTGCAATCGAACCGAGATCACCTTAGCCATCAGAAAGCATATTGACAAGGTCCTCGGCCGGCTCCGAGGGGAGTCGATCAGCCGTAATCAATTCCGAGTGTTGAGTGTAGGAGGTCCCGTTTTCATAGCAAAACTGAAACTGGTCCCGTATACAGTGTGGCCTCCTACGTTAGTACTGTAACTCCCTCTATAATTGGAGAAATGAAAAGTCACTACTAACTTAACTAACGTGGGGCGCAAATGTCACCGGGTGGGGCCGAAAACCCGCGAATAACCACTGGATCCGCTTACTCGGCAAGTGCCAAGACTTTTGTTCCGGCCGAGTCTCGGGCCCGACAGCTCAACGGTTATTCCAAGTCGTGGCCTTTGTCTAGAGCATTGAATACATGTACGTAGTGCACATTTTTGAGGCATAGAGTACCGACACCGTACTCTCTCATCACTTAACTAATTATAATTTGCTAATTGTCGCTTCTGTCCTCCCCCTGGCCGGAAAAGTTCATTTCCTTCTCACTACACAGTTACTTCTGTTCCAATTCCAACTGCTAACTCGCCTGGTAACCCTGCATGACGCGGGCGATCCGCTGCACCTCAACCTGTCAGGCCAAATATGACACATGCATATTCAGTTGGACACCCAGGGCCGTTAGGCCCGTTACAGAATAAAGCAGACTTTCTGCAGTTGGCCGGGATGCAATCATGTACAGTATTTTGGCAGAGGCAACAAGACATGGGGAATAGCGAAGCAAACCATGCAAAATAGTCCTCGATGCATACATACTGCATAATGCAAAAAGCATGCTACCTAGTACTGACTAACACAAAATTTGCTACGCTGAAGATCAGTCTGGACTCGACTCGACAGGGATTTTCATCGAGTGCAGAAATGCAAGATGCAAGTATCCCTTGTAGTTTCCCTTGTAGTGTACCTTGTAGTGTACCCGATAGTACGTTTCAGCAGGAACAGCCTTTTTTGGCGGAAAAGCCACTCTCATCATACTTGGACAGGGTTTGTGCAGGGCGCAATATTCCCTTAATTCTTCAATCTATCTTCAATCATGGAATATACCTTGCTAGAGTGGTGGTGGAAATGGTCGTGGTTCTCGCTAAACAAAACCCTGTTAAACCTCGGGAACCCGACACATGACACACTGTAGATGCCAACCGCCCGGTGGCAGGATCTAATGATTCGTGCGAGAAGGATGATACTCCAAGAGTATACCTTTTATTCGTACGAGAGATGTCCCATTCATCCATACCAATTCCCTTGTCGCTGCTTCTTTCTCTTAGTACCAAAATATGTACGTATCCCAGCACGATCACTGTCCTAGGTACCCCTAACAAATCATGCACATACTGTATACCCCTCCTGCTGCTACAGTATGTTCACTGCTGCATCAGAATTTGCGGGACCTACCAGTACCTACGGACCCAATTCCGAGCCCGTGCATCTCACCCGGTGGAAACTAGAAACAAGTGGAGGCAACTCTCTCCGTACACTATACCCTTTACACTCACTTCACACTGTATCCAAAATTGTAGTATGTAAGCTAATCCTCAATCTCGGTACACTATCTTAGCAACACCGATTAGGCGCAATCTAGTGCACCCCGTCCGTCCGTCCGTCCGCAGTGGAACCCATTCAACGGACCACTCCCAGTACTCCTAAATCCGCTGACCCAGCCCTGGGCCACCCAAGGCCTCTAACTAGTAACTACAGCTCCCGTGGCGTTGCCACGTTAAGCCGTGGGGTGATCCGGATGTTTTGTTTCCTTTCAACGTGGGCGTTAAGAAACGGGGTTTTTGAGCCCGTGGTCTACCGAGATTTTCTGGTTTTATGTGGGACGGAGCATTTTGATGGCCTCGTGACAGGTGTTTCTGTTGAAGACACGAAGTGAATCCGGGATGGGAGATCTGGAGTGGCAGGAGGAATGTTTTATCGGTGAATGGTTTTGGTAATGGTTTTGGTTGTTGTGGTGAGAATGGTGAGAATGCTGCTGGTGGTCTCCTGATGAGAGGGAGGAGTTGGCACGATTGAGGCTCAGGTGAGGAATTTGCATCGCGATTAGGTTTCCGTGATATGGGATTGAGATTGTGGTTGACAGAATGCGAAATCTGGCAATACCAATTAGATTTACCTGTTGATTATCTCGCAACAAACACATTCCAATCATTCACATTTACGAATTTCTACACTGGCAAGTCATTCCAATTCTAAAGATCACATCTGACAGCCTCACCAGATCTACATTCACCCTCAACCTTGGCCTACCACTTACGATTTCACTAAGCCGCCCTAAACAGCCGGCCCCGGCACCGACCCGGGTGGAGCAATGCCGTCAAACTAACTAGTCCCTCCTGCAAGCTGACCGTTGCCCTAGCCCAAATGCCACTGCTGTCATCGACCCCCCTTTTCTTTTTCTTTTCTTTTTTTACCCAGCCAATTTTTCCAGCACAGTACCTGGCTAGGGTCGGTCCACGCGGAAAGCTGTCAGTCCGGGTGGAGAGCTGTCATTGTCGGGCTCTAGATTGAATCAAATCGTGTCAATCGTCAACTGGGCATCCACGGATCGTGAATGGATCGCACTGCCGACTTCAGGCGGATTTCCCCGGATTATGGCTTCCGTGGCGGGATCTACGTCGGCAGCTACTGGGACGTGGTCTATTTGATGGTGTTTATGGGGGGATAATGTTATTACCGCTGTGATGTCAGGGTAGTTTGGACCTGTGTTGTCGTGTTTCTTCAGGACAGGCTCGGTCTGTTGTGTCGGTAAAGTCTGTTGCACGATACAGGCCTCTCGGTGTGCAGGGGTACAATAAGATTCGTGGTAATTTTCATTGCCGAATGATACGGTCTCTTCCTCTGTGAGCCATAACATATCATCGGGTCGATTCATTCTCGAAATCATGATGATTGGCTCATGACAAGTCTGCATAGTAAGAAGTTTCCGGTTTGAACAAAACAACAAGTGAGACTGACGATGAAAAGGATATCCTAGTAGTTGGATCGCAGAGTCAGCTTCTCTCCATTGCATATGCAAAACGAAACAGCTCTCCTGGATGTGAAACTTGTGTCCTGCTCGTCCAAAATCGTGCCGCAACTCACGGCGAGGATGCCCCGCATCCATACACTATCGATTATACTGCAGTGTCAATCACCTAAGCAAGAGTTCATTCACTTTAGCTTATGAGCATGGACACAATCACAGCAGTGACATCTGCTGTCAACGACTTAGTCCCCAAGATCGATGCATCCTTGCGCGATAAGCTCGACGTACTACGAACAGACAATCCGACCGATCGGATCAGCCCCGCACTGCACATCCACAGTAAACAATTTTCCCCGGATTTGTGTTATGGGGGACCTTACAAGCGTTTAATAGAAGCGGCAGAAAATATTAGTCGTCGGAATTGCGAGGGACCGACTGAGACCATGGCTGATGGAATCGTTTTCAAATTTCACAGTCAAAATGTCTTTTTGTGAGGCCTGTCAGAATCGGAGCTGCATCGCCCAATACTGTCAGGCTTGGAATTTTATGCAATGCTTGCCTGCCGGGACCGATAGCCCGTCTAACTTTTGACTCGGCCGATCGGCCGGGCAACCCTATCTTAAGTACACACGTTTTATACATGGATCACGACTTTCATCAGAGTTGGGTGCGAGATAGGGCATAATCTTTTATTTCCCTTCTGATGACCCTGTTTGCCCATCACTATTGAAGCCGATCAAGAATAGCCAACTAATCGAGGTGCCTAGGAGTCCACTTAATCCACCCAATAACAACACAATCAGGTTGGATAGCTATACATTAGTGTTATCTCGTGTACGTAAGGATTTATCACCATATATGCTGTATGTCGCGATACGAGGAGAAACCTATTTGGGTTGATAGTGTCTAGTTTGCACAATTGACGAATGGGAGAAACGGAAATGATGAACAAGAAGATGACATAAAAGAATTCATTGATTGATGAAGGAAAAATCCGTGCAAGGGGGCCAAGGGGCACGTTGAGGTCTCCTTACCTGGTGGAGCAGGACCTCGGGATGAAAGTAAAAGCTGCCGAGGCCCGCGAATATGTAAGACAAAAGTAAGAGCACAAACTAAAGTACATACAAAAATGGATTGGCCACGACCCAGAACATTCGAGTGATAAGTTACCACTCCATTTCCCGGGACAAATGTTCAACTCTGACAAATGAAAAATAGGCATAGACGCACACACTCCTTCTCTCACGATATCTTCGCGATGTTACTTTCCCTTTCACTGATAATCACACCCCAGTCAGAGAGGACTCATTCAGGCGCTGGCATATGCCTTTCCGATATCTGACAAAGCAGTGCCGTCACTGTTAAGGAGGTAGCCTGGGAAGACTCCGAAGTAGGCGTATCGCTCAACGTAGGGCTGGCTGTCCATCCAGGGCAAAACATCTTGCAAGAATGCAATCTGCTGTGCGTCAGTACCGTAGCACTGGAACTCAGTAACCCAAATGGGCAGGTTAAGAGTTGCGTGGGCATCGGTGACATTGCCCTTGAACCACGCAGCGTTGCAGTCCTGATACCAGTGAATCGCTCCGAAGTCCAAAGTACAGCTAGTACAGTTGCCAAGGAAGTAGTTCGTCCACTGCTTCGTGTTGTAGTTACCACCGGAGGATGAGCCAACGTTGTTCCACAGGACGCTCGGCATGCCTATCTTAACAGACCCGGCAAATGGCTGCATGTAAGTCATATAGCCCTGCGCAGCTGCCGCAGGCAGAATGTTAGAAGAGGCGGAATATATAAGGTCAGGTTCATTGAAGCCAAGAATATGCTTGGTGTCGGCGGTTTTAACGGCAGCAGTCCAGTCTGGGTCGGCACCACTGGGGAGGCCCCAGAGCATAGGAACACTGGAAAGTGAAACTGGTCAGCTCGAGGTTCCTTGCATGTAAACACATGCACAACTTACAATTCCCAAGCAGATGGTAGACCATTGGATGGGAATCCCCAATCATAGCCCCAGGAGATCTTGCTATTGCCGGCGAAGAAGGTCGTATACATGGCGTTATCTTGCGGGTTGTTGTTGTTGTACGCAAGACCACGCTTAGCCACTGGAGTAGTCGATGAAGTGTACTGGTAGAGGTTCAATCTGTTAGGGCCTCCACAAGTTTCGCTCGAAGCACCAGTACAAGCCATGTTGCACTGAGCATTGCCATCGGGGGCAGGACCATTTCCGCCCTGCACCTGGTTACCACAATAGCACTCATCGGCATACTCCACACCAGCGAAAGTGAAGCCAAGAGCCTGGCAACCAGCCTGGCAAGCTTCCACAGTCATCTTCGATGCTCCGCCAGGTACGGGGATCCCGCTAGGGAGGGCGCGTTCAGAGATGTTGTCAGTGTAGCAACCCAGCGAAACCCATCCAGTTGCTCCAGAGGTAGAAGTAGCCGAAGCAGTCCCCGAAGTAGCTGAGACGGTTGATACAGTCGAGCTTGCCGTGGCAGTAGTCGTAAACGCGGTTGTGGCAGTTTGCCTGCCGTATGTGTACAAGTCCAGTCGGTTCGGCCCTCCACAAGTTTCCGTCGAATCACCATTACAAGCCATGTTGCACTGAGCATTGCCGTCGGGGGCAGGTCCATTTCCGCCCTGCACCTGGTTGCCACAATAACACTCACCGGCATACTCCAAACCAGCGAGAGTGAAGCCAAGAGCCTGGCAACCAGCCTGGCAAGCCTCCACAGTCATCTTCGATGCTCCGCCGGGTACGGGGATCCCGCTAGGGAGGGCGCGTTCAGAAACGTTGTCGGTGTAGCAACCCACCAGTGCCCACCCGGTAGTAACTGGAGCGGTGGAAGTGGCCGATTTAGAAGAAACGGATGTGGCTAGAGTTGTCGAACCGGACATGGTCATGGTAGAAGAGATTGAGGTGGTCAAGGATGTAGTCGTGCTGTTTGAGCCGGTTCCGGCAGCAGGAGCCAGGTAGGCGATGGTCTCAGCATAGGCCGCAAGGTTATCGCTAGCCAAGGCCAACACCGTACCATCCTGAATCACCTGGTTGATCGTACCAACAGTGCTCAACGCGAAAACCTTCAAGCCGCTGGTGCTGCCTTCAATGCTGAAAATGGCAGCCTGGCAGTTCTCGGGAGTCGGATAAGCTGAGCACGTGCCGATATAGTTGTTGAAGAAGCTGTACAAGCCGGCGCCGTAGATGCTGATTTGTTGAGTATCGAGGATACGGAGGCCAAACGCGTCACCACCGGTGTAGACAGGGTCCCGAAGAGAGGAGCTGACTGAATAAGGTCCATGGGCGGCGTCGGGGTTTGGCTGCCAATACGGCGTCTCGGTCTGGATGAATCCCGCAACAATGTTGGATGCACCAGAGAATTGATATTGGTACAAGGAATGGTGCTCAACGGCGGTTCCATACCTTTAGTGATTGGGTTAGTATATTTCCGTTGGTATTGGGGCATCTGTTACTCACAGCCAGATATTGCTTCCTTCAACGAGGAGCCCACGGCCTGTGTATACGGAGATTTGGGTGTTGGCCGGACTATCCATATCATGGTCTGCTGTCCACAGCCAAACATTCTCCAAGTACACATTCTTGGCGCTTGATCGGACCCAAAGGGACATATAAGCGGCTTCGCATGCGGAAGAGACCGCAGTGGTTGTCGGGCACTGCTGAACTTGAAGGTTTGATCCAGCAAAACCACCAATACGGGAATGGACGTCCCACATGCCAGAGCCTGCGGTGGCAGCCAGATTCCACTCAACCAAGATCGCACCGGGAGTCGAGCCACGAGTTCCAACGATGGTATCCGACCACTGGAAAAGGCCGGAGTCCCCAGCATTGCCAATTTGGACCACTGCTTTGGGTTGATTGATGTTTGCGAAGTTGCTACCAGTTGCCAGGAGAACCGGATAGGCCTCGCCAACGATGCGCGAGCCCGCTGGGACCATGAGAGTATCGGAGACAACGTAAGTTCCCTGGTCGATATAAAGAAGTTGGTTGGATGCCGCAGCAGATTGCAGGGCAGCATTCAAGGCTGCCGTGTCATCTGTCTGACCATCTCCCTTAGCGCCGGCGGCGCGAACACTCAAAAAGGAGGCCACGGGGGAAGCTTCATACTGAGGCTTGCTCTGGGTAAGATAGTTAGAAGTTCCGCTGGCCAGAAGAGCGCTAGGTCGGGAAGCCGGTTCCATGGGCCCTTGGAACTTGTGAGGACCACTTGGAGAATAGCTATGACCTTGACCCCAGCCGCTAATTGTCATAGAGCCAGAGGACCCGGCCAAGATGGCGTTGCCATTATCCTGTACTGCCGTGGCCACATTGCTGAGCTGTATGTTCTCAAGCCAAAGACTTCCGTTGCTATAGGAAGTGCTGGTGTATGCCGTGTCCACGAACTTGGAAGTATTTTGAATGGTACTGTCGAGGATGACAACTGATCCCACCGCCTGGTTGTCGATTCCACCATTAGAGATCGATATAGCAGTGCCGCAGTTGTTGATGTTCAGTCCTTGGTAGGTCCAACCCCAGTTCCAAATCTGGTTGATACCAACCACTGCGTTGGAGATTGTCAAGCCTCGCATGGTGAACTGCTGGCTGCCGATGTTGAGTCCATAGGCACCTCCAACCGTTGTCACATCAGACATGAAACCGCCAGAGCCTTCTCGTTATTAGCATTAACACTATATGAAGATAGATAGCTGCCATACCGTTTTCAATGAATATCCCTTGGTGCTGAGTCCCGGACGCCGAGCTCATCAGAATTTTGACATTCTGAATGGTGGTCGCCTGGGCAGTTGGCCAATGGATACCGGTGGCACCCACGGTGGGCGGCACAGCAGTAAGGTCAAGAACAAAGTTGCGTATTTGACGATAGAAGACGTTGGTAGACCCCCAACCCTGATTTCCCGTGCTTTGGTACTGATCTCCATCAATAATCCAGGTTGAGGGAAAGTTGGCGCTGGCCTTGAGAACCGGGAGATCATTCGGGTTACCAATCAGCTGAGTGAAATAGTAATCAATGATGGACGAGGAAATGATGTAGGTTCCAGCTGGGAAATAGACAATGGCAGGAGTGGTTGTAGAGGTTTGACCATTAGATGGTCCAATCCGTCCTCCGGCGCTAATGGCCGCGTTAATGGCCGCGGTGTCGTCAGTCACACCATCACCTGCGAGTGTTTTAAGATCAGACCGCAGTCCTTGCAGACTATTTTTATTGGAGACATACCCTTTGCGCCATAGTCCTTGACATTTCGAAAGACGGTGTAGGTAGACGGATTACTGTTGAATGCAGCAACACCGCGATGGCTGATACCGGCCAACCAGTAGGCTGGGTCTGACACAGCTCCACGAGCAAGGATATCAACATTGTTGGTCGCCTTAGCAGGAGTTTTGGTCGCGGTCGCGGTTGGATTGAGTGCGTGAGTCACATAGATAGAGTATTCCGAGAGAGCAGAACTGACCACGCTGCTCACAGCAGGGATGTCCACAAGCGCATGGGCACCAGACAGTCCCAGAGAGACCAGAGCCGCTGCAGCAAACTTCATCTTGAGTTACTGACAGTAACACTAGACTTGGATGTGCCTTGCAAGATGAAGACATCCAACTTTACAAGGCGTAGATGGCCTTTTATACCCATCTTGGAAGCCGTGAAGACTTACAAACTATCGCTGAAGGCTCGGCCAGCGAAAAATGAACTCCTTAGCTTCAATTGCGCGCGGAAACTCGGTAGTGAACACGATTGGCAAGTGCAAAAATCAACTGCTCGTGGAAAGTCGACAATGGACACAATTGGAAATTGCAAGGCTCCGTTAGAGACAGTGAGACCGTCCAGGGGGAGAAGTTGTCCGGACGCCTCATCACAATGGTCGTTGCAGAGTCTCCGACACTCCGCCGTTTAGATGATACTGATCTCTGATTGAACAATTCCCTCGGCAAAATATCCCCAAGAGCTTTGGCAGCTATCATCAACCCCAGTTTTTATGCAGGTACTGATGCAGACTGTGCGGACTCGGTGCCTTCGGCGCCCATCGGTGTGGATGCTTGTTTAAGTTGTCTTGGATGTTGCTTTCCGTCTTTTTGAAGGTCTCCGACCGGTAGATTGGATTCCTGCAGGGAGGATGTTCTGTTGATCTCTCCATTTTCTCCTGGCTAGGTAGACGGGCCCTGTTGTTCTAGATTGTTTCCTTTTCTCCCTTCCTCTAGAAGAAGGTGAGAATGTCAGATTCCCCTTCCTATTCCCAAGATTCCTTGTCGACCCTGTGCGCAGAGTCGCTGGCCACGACAGGCCGCCATCCTGTCAGATACATTCTCATTTGCGCTCAAACCGATATTCCGCGTTGAGGGAAACCTCATTTCATATGATCGAAAAAGCCCCCCCCCCCCGCCGAAGCCATAAGCTCTTCCTGCATTCTGCAGCTCCGATGGCTGAAGAATGGGGACCCTCGGCCCAGGAACGGATTTTCAGACCAATAGAGCGGGGCACGGAGGAGGGAGGAGGGCCATTCTAGGTTAATGCAAGGGTATCACACTAAGCATTCGTGAGAATTAGGTATCAAGAGTCATTTCTGCCTCTTTGGGCCTCGCTAGTAAGACGGCAGCTCTTCTGGAAGATGGCACGTTGTGGAACTGGAATCATTTGCAAGGGTCGGTCAATTCCCCGCATCCGCGCGGAGCCCCGCACTCTCCACGGGACCAGCGTAAGCCAACTTCTTCAGCAGAGATGAAACCCTCCTCGTGAGAGTCCGGTAATGTCGCGCGAAGTTCTGCTCTAGGCTTATCATCTGTGTTGGGAGATAATAGCCGTCCACACACTGTCGTTCCGGAATGAATACGGGGATGATGCTAAGAGGAAAATGCCGTGGGACCGGTGATTGGATTGCTGAGTCCACGCTAATGCAAGCGATGGGGAAAAGGTCTTCGGCAAAACAATACGAGCCCATCCAAATTCTCGCATTCGCATAGAACTTGATGTGTTTCTGGACAGAAAGCTTATTGTCCGACTTATTAGCTTATTAGACATCTTACAAGGATGGTGTACCATGGGAACGTCCATGATAGTAGATCATTCATTCATCAACCATAGGTCACCGTAGTCTATGGACATTATTCGCTTGTACAGTCAGTAATAACCGTCGTCTAAGTCTGGTTCTCGTTACAACAATCCTGGAGGCTTTGGCCTCTTTTATCGCTTCAACAATCCTTTTCGTGAACGGGAACCCGGGGTGCTTTAACGTAGCTCCGTTATATTTCCTCTTATGAAATGTAACCGGAGGTACTTATATTAATCGCTGATCCGGAAGTGTCCGTATGAATCATACTGGAGTTTCGACTCCCAAGAAAGCTTACTGCGGCCAGGTTATATTAGAAGCCGGTAGTTCGTGAATTTTTTCTTAATCTTCCGAATCCGAACTGTCACGGAGTCACGGACTCATGGACAACCGATGCTGGTCACGTGTGCCAACAGACCTTGGCATGTTGACATCAAGAACGAGCTGGAGAACCTCGCCTCTTCAAGCTTTTTGTTTGTACGCGATTGATTATGGCCTAGACTCTGAACACAAAGTCGATACATCAAGTCGGAATTGTGTCCGGTTTTTGGGGCGGCTTTTCCAGGTGTCCTCTTGACTATTTCGTATTTGAATATCCACATTTCCGGGCATTCAATTGGATTTTCCACGCCGCCTTCGGACTTTGGAGCTCTACCTCGCGTCAAACCGAGCACAATATACACGATTTAGACGCTGAGCTTCTCAACCAATCAATGCTTGGATAGTAGTTTCATAGCTTTCCGGCTCCCGTCCAAGAATCTCCTTCATGGCCGGTGATACAACAGCCGTCTCTCCTTGCTTAATAGCCTCCCAAGCCGTAGCCCATTCTCTCGAAAGGTTCACCCCATGGTATGTATGCTTGTCCCCGATTTGCGAAAGACCCTCGTACTCATCAACAGAAATCTCACGAATCTTCAAAGACTTTCCAATCGCACGGCCCAGAATGTCAACAGTCTCAGCAAGCGAGATCTCCCGTCGACCAGTGAGCAAGACTTTCTTGTTCAAGTACTTGAAGGTCTCGGGGTGATCGATGTAAGAAGTGATCAGTTTGGCGGTCGCTTCGCCAAGTTCGTCACGTTTTACCCATGAGACTCCTGGTCCGGTTCCGGGGTGAGGAATGGTGATTTCGTTGGGAGGGTTGGCTGGGTCTAGCCATGCCGTGTAAATCGGGAATGATTCTGAATAGAGTCCTTCACGGACGGAGGTGTAGGTGACTTTTTCCGTGAGTCCAGCGAGATATTTTTCTGTTTCGAGGTGTGCGCCCATGACATGGGCTACACTGTGGACCGTTAGGTCGCCCGCGAATCCCAGGGACGAGTAGAAGATATGTTTCACGCCGCTTTTGATCGCAGCCTGAATCGCCGTGCGATGCGCCTGGTATCGTCAGTAAAGCCCTTTGTATAGAAATGAGATTCTTACATTCACTCGGTGCTCGATCTCGAAGGATGCGTATGAGATGAGCATCAAAACGTCAACTCCATCAAAAGCATTATTAAGTGTGGCCGGCTGGTCATAGTCTGCAGATCGCAGTGTGGCACCAACCTGGCCCAGGTTCGTCCACTTCTCCGGGCTACGTGCAATCAAAACCAATTGAGTTGCTGAGACAAGTTTCGAGAGGTGATTGACTATACTCGTTCCGAGACCACCAGAGGCGGGGAAGACTCCAATTCTAGGGGCCATTTTGGGAGTGCTTGAGCAGAGTTCTGGACAGGCGAATCCTCGATGTTAGAATGGGGTTCTAGAACAATTAAGATGCGGTGACGCTTTTTGTGAAGTTGAAGTCAATCACTTCAATGATTATGATAATGTTGCAAATTCCTGTTTCTTGGTGTCTTACGATTGATCAGCAGTTGATTATAAATGGCTTCCTTCGGTCGGGTATAACGGCCACCGAAGATTGTTCATTTTGTCTGTAGACCGGAAATACTTCTCGGAGTTATACAAACGCCTCTCATTGTAACTTTAACTTGTGTAATAGAAAGTTTGTGCAATTTGAGTATTCTCACTCTTTACAAATATCACTCTAAAAAAGCAAGAATAAGTCGACAGCCGAATCGATGAATCTTGAAGCCCCACTTGAAATCATCCCAAGAAATGACATCATCAGACCTTGTAAGACAGAATGAACCGCCCGTTATCATACTCGGTGACAGTATAATACTCCTTCCGCACGGGATTATAGCTCAAGTCCTCATTGCCGGCCATGAACCACCCAGGGAACTTGGTAGCAGTATTACCCTCCTTCCAAGTGAAAAGATCACCGGCGGCAGGATCACGACCGTTGCTCCGTGACAGATAGAACTTTCCATCATAAGAGACACCTCCTTGCATCTTGAGAATGTCCACGCAGTGAGCCCAGCTGGCAGTAGCCAAGCCGTCACTGTTGGTGCGTAGTCGGCGAGTCGTCGAGTCCAGCTGGTACTTGACGAGTCGGATCGGGACGGGATCTTTGTTGGCGTCGACTTCCCCGTCGCGGACGAATTCGCCAACGAGGAGGGTGTCGGGCTTGTCGCTGCGGTCGAGGGATATCCAGGAGAAGCGAAATGGAGATTTAGATCCGGGTGTCCACTTGTACCAACTGCAGAAGTGTTAAAGAAGGAATTGAGAGAATCAAAGTTGTGTTCGTGGAACGCACCGAACTTGTGGAAGGACATATTGATATCCATCAGCCGAGTATCCCTTTCCGTCCTTCATCTTCCCAACGCCATCGGCAGTCTCTACCTCCCAAATATTATCTAGATCAAAGGCACGAATACCATTGTTGGTATCAACAACATACAGCAGATTACCATACCACATAATACCACCAGCGTGAATAGCGATGGACTTGAAATCATCATCTGCAGAAGGATACACAAGAAGAACATGGCGATACTTGTGTGTCTTGCGATCAACAAAGCTCACCCGCACACTGTCACCCTGTTGATACCAGCTAACAATCCACGCTTCATGGTCATTCCACTTGCCAGTGCCGAGCGCGTCGGCGGAGCTGGTGATACCCTGTGGCGTCCACTTGGTAGTCTTGTAGTCGCCCGAGTTCCATGCCCAGGCTTCATTGGGAGATCCGGTTCCGACCGATGGATGGCCTTGGTTAAGGTCTCGGTTTGCGGAGTTGAGAACGGCGGTGACACTGACGTTCTTGCCGGTGCTTTCGAAGTGTTTTGCTAGTGCTGCGAGGTGGGGGCTGTCGGCGGATTCTTGGAGTGTGAAGTCTTTGGCGGCGATGACATTTTTGTTCATGCAGTATCGAGAGTCTGCTGCGAAGGTAGCTGGGAGGGAGAAAGAGAGCAGAGCCCCCGTCAGCTGCAGGAAAGAAGAGTACCGCATCTTGTCGGCTTATTGTTTGCTTACGATATGCAAAAGATATTTGTGAACACAGTGGTTGTCCATGAATATTTATACTGTAGTCCAGGAGATTCGGCGGATGTTGAAGCGCCCAGGGGTTATACGAGCTTTCCAGGCCTCGTATACCAGCATGCGTCTTCAAAATCCATCTTTAGTTGCATGCTACTGCTCATCGATCAGGTTTGTTGTATTCAAAGGACTCGTTAAGATGCGATCGTCGGCAATACGAGACTTGGCAGGCCGCGGATCCAGCCAAGCCCGGGCGGACAGCCCAAAAATAGCCACTGCATGGTTACAACGCCCTCGTAAAGGTGACTAGCGGAGAATTTGGCTCCTTGGCAATGGAGCTGAAACCCGGGGATGCTCGCGTCATCAAGTCTATTCTATTCTAGCATAACTGTTGCTCACCTGGATTATCTCGACTAGCCTGAAGAAGTGGTATCTCGCGTGATGAAATTCATAATTCGTAGATTGATTCGATTCTAGTCAAAGAAGATTGAGGAGAGAGGTATCATACAAAAACGCCATATCTATCCAATGAAAATGCAAGAGGGAAAAAGGAGCCTCTTCTAGTTGATACCGCCAGTGCCGAAAAGTTCCATCTTAATGCGGTCGGCTGCCACGCCCTTCTCCTTGAGAGCGGCCTGCACGTCGGTCATGAACTTGTCGGGACCGCAGATGTAGTATTCCGTGGTAGGAGCGTCGACAAAAAGATCCTTGCTGGCGTCCAGTTTGCTCAGGTCCACGCGACCGACGTGATCGAAGTCGACACCGTGTTGCTCGTTTTCGGTGGGGTGGCTGGTGAAGAAGGTGGCCTGGAGGTTGGCGTGGCTCTTCTTCAGCTGGGCGATGTGATCCTTGAACGCGCGGGCTCTAGAGGTACGGGCACCGTGGATGAAATGCAACTTGCGGTCGGCAGAGGTGGACTTGGAAGTCAGGGTGTTCAAGATGGAGGTCATGGGGGTTAAACCAACCCCGGCAGAGAGGAGCACAACTGGGGTATTGGGTTTCACGGCAGTAGCAGACAGGAAGAATTCACCGCAGGGGTGAGAGACCTTGATGATGTCACCCTTGTTGTACTTGTCGTGCAAGAGGTTGGACACATAGCCGGGGTGGGTTGCGGCCGCAGAGTCGGTGGCGGGCAGACCCTTCTCCTTCTTGACACTGATACGGTAGTAGTCCTGGGAGTGCTGGTCGCTCAGCGAGTACTGACGGGGCTGCAGGCACTCGAGCTCCGGCACCTTGACTTGCACAGAGATATACTGGCCCGGTTGGAAGGCTGGCAGAGGCTGGCCATCGACGGGAGCCAGGTAGAAAGAGGTGATCTCCTCCGACTCCTGAACCTTGTCGATGATCTTGAACTCGCGCCAGTCAGTCCAGCCTTTGCTTTCTTGGTAGATCTGCTTCTCACGGCCGATCATGATATCGGCGAGCTGCCAGTAAGCGACTCCCCAAGCCTCCTTGATCTCGGGTGTGAGGGCATCTCCGAGGACCTCGCCCATGGCCTCAAGCAGAAATTTGCCAACAATCTCATACTGCGCAGGCTGGATGTACAGGGAAGCGTGCTTGTGGCAAATAAGCTCCACAGCTGGTCCCAATGCACCCAGGTTGTCGATATTGGCGGCATAGGCGAAGAGAGCGCCAGCTAGAGCACGGGGTTGGTGGCCATTGCGCTGGTTCGGGACGTTGAAGACGTTGTTCAGCTCCGGATGGGCGGCGAGCATGTTCTTGTAGAACACTGTCGTGATGGCTTGGCCATGCTCAACAAGGACCGGCACGGAAGCCTTGATGAGTTGAAGTTGGTTGGGGGTCAATCCAGCGACTGAACCCATGATGATTGTTTGATCTTGATGTTTTGACGGATGTACGAAATAATCGAGAGAGTTGTCGAGGTACTGCGCAATTTATAAAAGAGTCGGATGCTTGCTTGTTTCCACTCTGGTATAAAGTAATCTGCTTGTAAGAAATATAACTCATCTACAATGGGCAGATGGCCAGCTATTTATTCCCCACCCCAATGAAGGCTTTTTCTCGTAGCGCGCAACGCGAGCAAAGCCCGGCCGACGCCAGCGAAAGAGCCATCGACTCATCGGCGTACCCGCTGGGCGTCTAGAAATGACGAGAAACTCTGTTCCTGTACCTGGACAAAAATCAGGTGTTCTATGGTTCGGTGTGGTTGAAAACGATTTGACCCGAGAAAAATAAACATCTCCGCGGAGGAGCGGAGGAGCGGAGGAGGCTTAATAAAGCGGTGGCAGTAGGCAGAGGCTGAATCGTGGTTTGATGGCTCTTTCGCCCGGCTGGAGAAAACTCGGCACAGCACACGGGCTCCATTTTTGGTGACACCCCACGGTAATTCGGGGAATACTAGAGAAATTTAAGAAGAACGGATTAGATTTCACAAGCGACCGAAATAATGATTCTTTGTGAGAACTCACGATGTTAGTTACTTATGAGGGCTTTCTTTCAATAAACAATTTTCTATAGCAACTTATAGGATCGTGATTCTGCACAGATATCATGATATCGCGTATTTTTTTTGCCAATCATCTCCTTACAATATGCAAGTTTATCATAAGCACATCCCACTGTCGATAATGACCATGATGACGTGGCAAGTCAAAGATAGTCCATTAATAATCCATACTATATGGATATTCGCTATACTTCTCTTACTCCTGCATCTCTATACCACTCACTCCTGATGTTCTATATACTCCATCCTGAATCCAACTTACTCAAATAGGACTAAACCCCGTTTGCGTCTCGGGAGTGACCCGTCGCGTCCTCCCCGAGCCAACCAATCGAGCATTTTCTGTTTGTCACGAGGCGCCCGCCCAACACCAACCGTCAGCCCACTCGACGAGAATTATTCGGTCACTACACGTACATGCCATATTTCCTGTGCCGCATTGCCGCCGCTTTTACGAGAGCGCTTAAAGTTATGCTTACTGCATAGGTAAATTTAAGTCCAGGCTCAGACTCACCAAGCTGGTCGGTGTCATCACGTGATATCCCAGTGACTGGGTCCCTTTCTATATAGACTAGTACTACTCCGTACGGAGTACAGTACGTTGCGAAACTGGGGCACTGGGAAAGAAAGTGTGTGTCTAGGGGTAATCTGTTTTCGAAATCCCCTGTACTGTCATTTGAGAACAGCCTACGGAGTACACTGGCATGGTATGCTGCATTCATCCCCTTTGCAAGAGTTCGGAATGAACTGTAATTTCCGGCGGCCACACTGCCATATAAAAAAGGTAAGCCCGCTCTAAAGACATTTCCCAACATGCTAGTATTGGCCGCTCGAAATCAGTTTCACCGCTTTACTGTTATAGATTCTGTCTGGAACCCTCTTTGAGAGCCGGCTAACCTGCTACAGTTAGTTAGACTGCCCTAACCTGGTCACAACTGACGATCAGCATGGACGCCGACCCCATGATCGCGCAGCACCTGCACCACCCCTGAGACTGGACACACAGGTACTGTATCGCCCGTCCAAAGGGCCCGCACGTCTTACTGTCATAGCAATGCTAGACCAGCCATCGCAGCGCCTACTACCAGGCCCGGGTTACCATACTTGAATGCCTCATTCGCAGCACCAGTCTTTGTCGCAGTCTCGACAAGAGAAGGAGTTCCAGTTGAGGAGGCATGGGCCCCAGTATTCCGGGTACTAGTACTTGTTGTTGTCGTAGCAGTCACGGCCCCAGCAACGCTCGTGTTGAAACCCAGTTCAACAGAAGCGGCGGGCAGGGTGACTGTAGACGTCACAGTAGTCATAGTGGTCACAGGAGAACCGCTCTGGACACCAACGCCCGGAGCAGCTAATAGAGTAACACAAACTGCTGAAGCTCGAGCATCCACGTAGTTGCACCCAACTGAAGAAGTGCTGTTCAGAGATTAGTCTTGTCGCAATCTTGCTCCTGATTTATTTATCATGACTCACAGTGTCTCCGAGGGTTCAGTATATGATAGTCCAACATATGATGGGCCTGTGACAACAGCCACACCAGTAGAAGGAAGCGAGCAAAGGGTGGCCTCGCTATCACACTTTATATTGTATGTCGTGTGTGTGGCATCCTGCAGCAATGTGGTTGTCAGTATTAACCCTCTAGAGTCGAAGTATCATGGATCGTACGCTTCCAACAGTAGAGACAGTATAGTCGCTCAGGATAAGAAACTGGTCCAAGAAAGGCGAGTCGGCAGTTGTTTGAGCAGAAGCGGCAGAGACTCCACCCAAGGCAAGAAGAAGCCGAGGAAACATCTCGAATGTATTAATATTACTTTGGTGATATTTTTGGGTGAATGCGCGATAGACCGTGGAGTGAATTAAAATCACAGCTCTATAAATGTCTAAGAACCAGGGGCTTTTAACTATGGAAGAGCACACCATTGCGTTTGGAACTAAATTGATTGTTGGCATTTTTGCGCCTGACAGGCATATGTGGGCCCCACTTGTGCTAATGCAGTAAGCGGTTTAAACTAACGAAGCTTCGGAGAGTGCCAATTTTGCCGAAGGTCCAATCAGCGACGAAGTCCCCGGAAAGGGGAATCCAACTGATGAGGTGTAACCGGCCCCTTACAAAAAAATACTATTTTTTACGGACCTTCGTGGAGCGAGGGTTCGCCACCCATACAATACTGCCCACCCAAACGATATCGTATATTTACATACTAAACCGCAGATTTCAACACCACTAGATCAACCACATAACAACGAATTAGTAATTAAAATTAATATTGGAGCTTAGCCATATTACTAGCTTAGATACATTGGCTAGAATTAGTTTAGATCTAAGCTTACTCGCTTGCTATCTATACTTAAGGTTTAACCGAACGTAGCTAATCAAAGAATGTACAAACGTACTTTATTAATTATATTTTAAACACTATCAAATTAAAATATAGCGACTTTAATATAGGATATAATATAAAAATATGATTTAGACATTGTTGTTGACGAATAAGACTCGTAGAAAGAGAGAGTGTTAACTATGTAAAATCGCGATATCGTTTGGGTGGCGGATCCTCGTGGAGCGAGGGTCCGTAAAATATGTAATTTTTGAAAGGGGCCGGTTAGTCTGTATATATCGCGAGTCAAAGCGTTGGTGCTGCCTAAGGGGTAATCTGTCCAAATTCTAGCGATTGGTAGTAGTGAGCATCGGCAGAATGGTTCACCCGATACCGGAACTTTCAATTACGGTAATTTTGGCGGCCTCCCAGAAATACTTCAAGGAAATGATTCCTGACCGAATTTAGTTTTAGCGCAATCTGAGTGGGGCGCTAGGAAACAAAGCGTGTGTCTCTGAGGGGTAATCTGTTTTCGAATTCTACTGTAACCGTAGTAGGAAAAGCGCGCAGGGAACAGCCTATAAGTTGTCCACTTTGAAGCAACATACTCAAATCTGACACCCAGCTACGAACCAAAAACCAGGCCCCTTAAAGCAAGCGAATGAGAGGAAGGATCCTCAACATGACTCAGAGTTTGTCGATCCTTTGTTTCGGCGACTCCCTTACTGCAGGCTTCTACCATCACGGGCTGGGGTATCATCCGTATGCAAAGAAGCTCTATGAGTGCCTTCAAGCAGCGTTTCCAACGGCCGAATTTATGATTGAGGTGGATGGAGCTCCGGGAGATTTGGTTACATCTCCTCCCGGATCATTTCTATCTCGGATTCAGGGGAAATGCGTGACGAAGAAATATGACTGGGTTATTGTTCTCGGCGGGACGAAGTGGGTTAACCTTATTTACCCTATACACTGCATATTTACTCACGCATATTTACTCACGCTGACTTCTTTACACTAGTGATCTTGGATTTGGCAACGACCCTGACAAGATATATGCCGCCCTTCAAGGGTGCTGGAATGTTGTTCTTGCTACAGGCGGCAAAGTACTTGCCTTAACAGTCCCTGAGTGTGCAGCTGATTCTGCAATTCTGGACCAGAGACGGACTGAGCTAAACTCATATATCCTCGGTCATCAAGCAGAGCAATTGTAAGTTTCTCTGGCCTCTCAGTGCGACGAAGGGGATCTCTAAAGCTTTGATAGTTACACGTTTGATCTGAAGAGTAAAATTCCGTATCGTTCTGCGACTCATGCATTCCGAGACGGGATATTTGACGATGGCTTACATCTTACACCGGCCGGATATGATCTGATGGGGAATATAGTAGGGGCTCATTTGATTAATCTCTGAACCCAGACGGGGCAATACAACGGGGATAGAGATAAACGTATATTGCTGCTAAACGAGATATTATAATCAGAACGCCCATTGTACGTCAAATAGTGTCTGATGCAGTCGAATATCATACAGTACGTTGCGAAAACGGTGCAACCGCCTCCACTCTTTGAGTGATTCTTGAGGCCCGCCGCCAATCTTCACCTTCCTTACATTAATATCCGTCCTACCAAGAGGTTTTTGATCCTGTGGTTGAATGTGCAGACCGAAGTGCATAGGATAAACTGTCTCCAGACCGTATCCACTATCAGATCGAGTGGAGGGCTAAATTGAATAATCGAGTTGTGGTCAAGGATACAAAACAGGACTGACTCAACCGCCTGGATCCTACTGGGAACGGATAAAGAGGATGCTTGTAATATTATACGACGGAAGACAGCCCGTGGCTGACCGGTGAGAGTGGATGATACTGATATGGAGCTATCGGTGAACTCCCAACGGGACATCTGCCAGGGCATTACTGCCAAATTCGAAATCAGATTCCTTTTCTTGCACACGTAGATTGTTTCCCAACCCCTAATTCAAACTACGCTAGGCTAAATTAAATTAGCGGCCTCCAGGCTCCTATAGAAACTGTTTTGTCTTGCATACTGCGTTAGTTAGTCTCGGATTTACGGGGTCGGCATAAATCTTAGGCGTGCACAAGCGTTTGTACACGATTGGTCTAGTCGTACGATTCAGCAAAGAATCGTATAGGTCAGGTCAAAGGTCGTACGATTTGGCTCAGAATCGGAAGCTAACGTATGATAGAAGAATGCTCCAACTTCATCAAAGAGGTCAAACTTGATCTAAACTAGCTATAGAAAACAGGCAGTATTTATAACTTCATGATATCACAGCAAGGAATCAGAATATAATCTTATAGAAATCAGGAGAAGTATAGAGCGTTGAAGCTCTTTCTCATATGGGATCAATCGTTGAAGATCATCGTCATGTGTAGGTTCCGTCACATTCTGTCAAGTTCGATAGCTTTCGAGGGCTTATGCACATTCTCATGTCAACAGTTAGTTATACTGAATTTACAAATGAATACATGCCTGACATTAATATGTATCCTAGATACGACATAATACATACACCGCTCTCTGAAAACTCCAAATACGGACTAGTGTGTCTTGGCACACGGGGCAGAAAAATTCATCGAAGAGTAGAGTTGTTGCACCGGTTTCGCGACGTACTGTAGTTTGAACACAACTTCCTGCGGAGAAAACTTGGGTTGATTCCTAACAATATGTACCCGCTTCACACCCCCCAGATTCTTTAGTAAAAAATTACTAGGTAGTGACGCATGCTACCCGCACGAGGAAACCCCGCAAGACTCGAACTTGAATTTCCCAGTTACAAATTCAGCACTCTAAACGTTCAACGCAATCACCGCCTATAATTTGAAAATAGTTCGCCTGTTGTCCTTTAATGGTGACAATAGGGTTGCTGATCTACCGATTGCTCTCTAGCCACATATCTATCGATAAAAATCACTAGCGCCCTTCTGCTACCTTTATTTTTTTGGCATCTCGACTATGTATCTACACGGGCAGAAGAAATGAAAGACTTAGGAGTGGTATGGAGCACACCAAGATAAATGGGTGATCTAAGCAGAAAGGGCTAAGAAACAATGGGACCAAAAGACATTGATCTGATCCTGATGATATGCAGTCAACTATTTAGTTAACTAAGTTAACTTAACTTAACTAGTCTGGTCTTCTGACTAAGAGCGCTAATTTGGAAAGGGAAGGCCAAGAAAAAACATGGTAAAGTCGTTGTCGGAACACTACTCTTGACGACCACTGAAGGGTTTGAAACGTTTCAAGTGGAATCTGATAAAAGAATGACCTGATCATTAGAGAACTCGTTGGCTGTGGCCTGATACCTGATTGTGGAAGAAACAGGAAGTGAGTGGGAAGTAGTGATATTCCACTTCACCGCCTTAGTAGAATGTTCTATTAACACCAGCGAAATAATGCCACGTCCCCGCCACCTAACATGCCATAAAAGATTTTCCACCCATCGGAGTCTTGGGATTAAGACGCAGGAAATTGCCCGGATCTGTCGGTAATGTGTTTAAAGCCCGGCGCTGATCCCCAGTTCGCAGCAAGACATAGTCAAGCACCTTATCTCCTATGCTGCATCGCTATCAATATGGCGGGGTAAGACCAATCGTATCTTGAGAATTATATGGAAGTGCATGTGCCTTGCGCTGTTTCTTGACAACTTCTAACTTATGAGAACATGCGAGCGACAGAAATTGGACATCTTCTTATCGAAGGACCAAGACCTGATGACTCTCTATCGCTCGCTATGATCTCTTGAAACATCTGGTTCCGCAAGCTCCGCGGAGTAGCATTGAATCTCAATTATTATCCTGTAATTGTAGTAGATGAACGAGTTTAGAAATCTTGTAGAATTTCTCTGTCTCAAATGATCCAATAATGTCCTGCTACTTCTTAGAATGCCGAAGTACCTATCAAGGAAAAGGGTGATTTTACAATGAACCCTTGATCGAGATTGCCATCATGGATAGGATTAAAGCAAATTTCCGATGAACCAATAATAATTGACGACCGACCTGTCATTTATCCTTACAGAGACGTTCATTTAGTGGGAATCCATACAAAGGCTCGCATGCTGGTCGCAGACAGCCCAGACCTTTCCGTTTGCGGGAAAAGAACTCCTCCCCACTTAAGACTAATGTGGGCTCTCACAACACATAAACATGGGACAACCGTCCATTGACCTCATCACTGTCCTTTTAATAAATTCCAATTCGACGGTTTATGAGTATGAGGCCCAATATGGGTATTCCAATTTTAGGTAAAAAGGCTATTCCTTAGAGATGGGATCGCTTTGTTAGCTGATGCTCGTATCGTCTCCGCTTTAACAGTTGTGTCGATGATACTTGCATTTGGTAAATACAGGGCAGGGGTGTCAATAGTGACGTCGGCGATGGATAGGGAGATTTAATAAATATCTCAGAACTGACTTGAAAAGCCATAATGAAGATCGATGCTGGATCGAACTAATTTGTTTCGAAGAAGAATCGCTATTCTTCGAGAACGCCCGCCTGAACTAGAAACCTACGATTACCCTCGTTGAAAGACATCAATCCGCAAAGATGATGTTCCACAAGCGTGAGCCTTCACAGGTCTCTACACTGGCCGGGCCTTCTGGCCCCGGAGGCCGTAGCCAGCTGCCTATGCTACAGATGCCAGACAAGATGCGCTTCAATGTCCTGTGCATGTTTGGCGAGTTTGTTGGCACATTCCTCTTCCTCTTCTTCTCGTTCGCTGGAACTCAAGTCGCCAACACTCCTATGCCCGAACCTGGATCTTATCCGAATACCTCCAATCTCTTGTACTCGGCTCTGTCTTTCGGTTTTGCTTTGACTGTCAATGTTTGGGCTTTCTTCCGAGTTACTGGTGGTCTTTTCAACCCTGTAGTAAGAATTCTCGATGTGAATACATAGAACGAGAGGCTGACGGTAGATAGGTGACACTCGCTCTCTGCTTGACTGGTGGCATGCCTGCACTTCGTGGTTTGATGGTCTTCCCTGCCCAACTCGTCGCCGGAATTGCGGCCGCCGGTGTTGTTAGCGCCCTTTTCCCCGGTCCTCTAAATTGCGCCACTCGATTGGGTGGTGGTGCCTCTATCTCGCAGGGTCTCTTCATCGAGATGTTCTTGACTGCTCAGCTCGTCCTTGTCATTATCATGTTAGCCGTCGTCAAGCACAAGTCGACCTACCTCGCTCCTGTCGGCATTGGTCTTACTTTCTTCGTCTGCGAATTGATCGGTATGTTTTCACCATCCTACCCTCCCATTACCATTCCTACCATCTAACCTAACTTCTCTCGTAGGTGACTATTACACCGGCGGTTCCCTGAATCCTGCTCGCTCTCTGGGTCCGGACACCATCAACCGCAGCTTCCCGGGGTATCACTGGATCTACTGGGTTGGTCCTCTGCTTGGATCACTCCTGGCATCTGGCTTCTACCACCTTCTCTGCTATGTTCGCTGGGAGCACATCAACCCCGGTCAAGACTACAACGAGTGGGAGATCAAGGCTCGGAAGGACTCCATGGGTGCCTCTGAGCGCACTATGACCGATCCTGTTCATAATGGCAATGGCACTTACACTAGCAACGGTAATACTACCAATGGCTCTGCCCGCCCCCCGACCTCTGAGACTGCTCCCGAGCAGCAGGTTTAACTACCGACAGAGATAGCACCATTGCGAAATGGTGCAATATCCAGCGGGATAGGCGGCTGAGGTGTCGAAATTTTCCTCTGGAGGGGTTTTGTGCATGATTGGGGCTGTTGTTGAGGTTATGTCGTTGTGATGGGGGGAACGCAGACGCGATCTACTTTTGTCACCACGCTGTATATCCATTTTTACTTTTGTTTTCTGTCCAGTCGATACTCTAATATATTAATTACTTATTTCTCATCCACTACGCTGAGATTGACTGAATAATTGAGGTTGAATCGCTATATTGCTAAAGTATAGAAAGATGCACCTGGTGATGTCCGGTATGTGACGTTTGTCTTGGCAATGATTCTGTCACTTTTGAGTTTTTACGGGCCTCGTCTGTAAATACCCTAAATCGTTAGGGTAGGGGGCGAGGTTCCGACTTGGCTTTGTGTACTCCGTACGGAGTAACTTTTGGCGGCATCCTGCGCCACAGTGATCGTTTACGTTAAGGGATTGGTCAGGATTTTCCGCTAATGCAATACTAGAAAATCTGAATCGATGTTCAGAGATGGTAGCATATTTCCCAAACCAGTCAACCGTTTCAATGTATCTTTGTTTAACCAAAAGGAGCCTACAAAGTTTTATTGACTAGATAGGATTCAGGGTGTGTGTGACCCCAGTCAACAATACGCACAAGGATTATACTAACATTTTCTGAGAATTTCATTAATACACAATGATTATACTAAGATACTGTAGCCGTACTGTAACGCTTGCTTCAGTAAGCTGCATCCTGCCTACAGTAGCGCGGGCAAACCTGCGTCATGCCAGCCGTGGTAGCATCAAAGAGCACACAAGAAAGGTAATTCGCCTGGAAATTTCCGCCATATCCTGCCTCCTAAGCGATGCCATCTTGACAATTAATTCAGCGCGCCAGAACAACTGTGGTAGGGAAAGGGGTGTGTGAAAAACGGACATTGACGCTCATTTGACAAGCCACTCACCAGTCTAGTCCCCACCCAGCCACCATCATCAGCCTTGTAGTCCTGCAAAACAAGCAAAAGTCGGACCTCGAGGCTCAAGGGGTTGATGAAAAGGTTTCTGCGAGTGAAAACTTCGAACTAAACACGAAGGCTTATCTGTTACAGGTAGATCTGCAGAGACAACGACCTTAACGTGCAAAACCACCTTAAAACTCATCCGCTTACTGTACTGGAAGACAGGGGTTCAGTTCATACCCCGGCCTGTTATACAGTAGCTCCAGCCCACTAGACGAATCGAGGATTTGCAGATCCACCAATTGTCCAATCTCACGGGTTTACGGGCATCCCTGCATGCACTGATTATCAAAGACAGGCTCAGCTGGGCTTCTAGGCTCAATACCTGTCGGGCTCCTACATAAACCTAAGGCAGCCCCTCGACCATGTGCATCGATCTTCCCGACCGAGTCTAATTCGCGTCTCGACATGCATTCCGAGCCATCGACGGGAGATGAACGGGACTCGGAGGCCGGCGGCGTTGCCGTCGCGCCCGAATTCGCGAATCGAAGTGATTCGCAGTTACTAGGTGAGTCTGCTAACAGCGGGAAATACAAAATCGTTCGGTCGCATGCTCATGCTTGTTTGTCCGCGCCAAGCCAAAATGGGGTACAAGCAGGAATTGAAGCGACAATACTCCACGCTGCAGATGTTTGCGATCGCGTTCAGTATCATGGGTCTTGTACCGTCGATCGCCTCGACTATCGCGTTTTCGCTTCCAGCGGGTCCTGCCGGCATGGTTTGGGTGAGTTTGCGGCTGTGTCGTACGACGAAATATCGCGTTGCTTGTTCGGTCGCTGATTCGCGATCGAGATAGGGATGGTTTACAGCTAGCATCTTCATTATTATCGTTGCGTTGGCTATGGTATTTCTTGTATCACTTTGAACTATGAAGTAGAACCTGTGATTGACAAATTTCTAGTCAGATCTAGCATCTGCAATGCCCACGGCCGGTGGTCTATATTGGTGGACCCATTACTTCGCTGGCGACAAGTACAAGAACCCTTTGAGCTTTCTGATTGGATATACCAACACACTGGGCCTGATTGGCGGCATATGCTCAGTCGACTGTATCTCAATCCTTACACCTTGGGAGTGAATAGATCTAACGTCGGCCATCCTAGATACACTTGCTCTCATGATTCTTTCCTGTGTTTCCATCGTTGGCGAGTCGGACTGGACACCATCGCGTGGCGAAATCTACGCTGTTTATGTGGCTTTGATTCTCATTCATGGAGTTTCTGCTGTCGTCACCGGCCGTATAATGCCGAAGATTCAGACAGCCTGCATTTATATCAATATCGGTCTGGTGATTGCTACGGTGATTGCATTGCCCGTCGGAAAAGTCGCTCGAGGCGGAACGTTGAATTCGGGGAAATACGTTTTTGGCCATGTTGAAAATTTAACAGGGTGGCCGACTGGATGGGGTTTCATGCTTTCATGGCTTGCTCCGATTTGGTCTATTGGCTCATTTGATTCCTGTGTGCATATGAGCGAAGAGGCTTTGCATGCTGCCAAAGCTGTCCCGATGGGTATCATGTTCTCGGCTGGCTCGGCACTTGTTTTCGGCTTCCTAGTCCTGTCTGTCATGGCTGCTACCATGAATCCGGATGTGTCGCAAACTCTCGGTACTAGTTTCGGACAGCCCATGGCACAGGTAGGAGCAGACCTTTCTTTCCAAGCCTTCCAGTGCAGAAGCTAATTGGGGCTCTGCAGATCTACTACGATGCACTTGGCAAAGATGGTGCTTTGGCTTTCATGATTGTACTGTGTATCGTTCAGTATCTGATAGGTCTCAGTTTGGTGAGTCTTGGTGTCTCATCACAAAAGGCAATCGGTTTACTGATTACCTTAGCTCGTCGCTACATCACGCCAGGCATGGGCCTTTTCACGAGATGGTGCATTCCCCTTTTCCAACTTCTTCCGCCATATCAGCAAACGGATTCAATACCAGCCTATTCGTATGATCTGCGGCCTTATTGTGGTATGCCTCATCTTGGGTCTGTTGTGCCTAATCAACAATGCTGCCACGAATGCCTTGTTCTCCCTGTTCGTTGCCAGCAACTATCTATCTTGGGGCATGCCGATCTTTTGTCGAGTCTTCTGGGGTGGAAATCGATTCCAGCCTGGCGAGTTTTATACTGGCCGATTTAGCAAGCCAATTGCGTGGATTGCTGTCGTCTACCTACTTTTTGGTGTCGTGTTGTCCATGTTCCCGACCGCGGGTCCGAATCCAAGCCGTGCGTATTCATCTCCTTTCCTGTTCTTTGAACTGTGGGTGTTGACTGTGAGTTTTGTGCAGCACCCGACATGAACTATACCGTTGTCATCAATGCCTTTGTCTGGATTGGTTGCATGGTCTACTACTTCCTCTTTGCCAGGCATTGGTTCACTGGCCCACGAATGACAGTCGACGAAAGCAGTTCCATTGTTTCGGAAAGCACTCCTGTCACCTCTGTCTTGGGTATTTCACGCTCTCCAAAAGAAGAATGATCCTTTCGAACTTTCGGGGATTTCATGGACCGATCCTGCTCTTTTTTGCCATTCTAGGCTGAATGCTGGATAAGTCGGGAAATATATATCCGTCCAATTAGATAGCGTTACCATTATTTCGAAAGTCTCCCAAATAGTCGTACTAGAGCTTCCTAACAGTTAATTAAGAGAATTGCGTGCAAAAGATAGGGAACCTACGTACAATAGTATCAATGTAATTGTTTGTTAGATTAGCAATAACCCTCGTGCGGAGAGTGGATTTTTCGCTAAAAATAGGGGGCCAAGATGACGTCGAACCCCCACACTTCCCCTCAATCCCGAGCCAGGGGGATTCTTAAACTCAGCAACGTTGACCCAGGATTACTTGGCTTCAAGCTTAGGTTCGACTGCAGGAAATACCCTTGTATTCAGCCTTCGACCACTATCATGAGTCAAGATCATGAGGGTCCAGCAGAGTTGGAAGATAGTGATAGCTATGACTTTCCCCAACCACCGACCAGGGGCTTAACGGACAGATCACAACAGAGCATCCAATGGAAGCCTTCATCGCGGACGGTCGAAGAGACACTAGCTGAGGGACTCTCCAATGAGGATCTCTGGCTGTTGATCCGGAGATTCAACAAGGTATGCACAGAGACTAGCTTCGATGTCGCCGGAGCTAACATGTGATCAGCAAATATACCATGTGAAAGCTGTTCAAGATTCAACCAGTCAGAAGCTAGATTTGAATCGAGTCGAAGATGAACAGTTCCCGCCTGAGAAGCTGCGCATGACTATCGAGCGATTCTATACGTCGGTTGTTGTTGGCGTGATTGAGTTCGTTCGACATGTTGGGAGGCTGAGATCTTGGAAAGAGCCTGGGCGGACTTCTGCCTTTACATTGGTATGTTGCTTCTCGCTCATATGATGTAAATGCGGAGAGACTTACGATCAAAAGGTCTATTTCCTTTCATGGTACATGAATTTACTGGTTCCAACCCTACTGAGCGCCATGATGGCCTTGATCATGTTTCCACCCATTCGACCAATTCTCTTCCCCAGTGCTCCAGTTGTGAAAGATTTAAATTCACCAGCCGGCAAGAATGGCCAACCTGAGTCCCAGGACAGTCTCACTGGAGCGCCAGAATCTCACAAGGGCGAGGCTGCTGAACAAGAAGCCAAGAATATGATCGACAGTGTCGCGACGATTGCTATGGAAAGTGCTGCTGCAAAGTATGGCCAGGCTGTACCTCAAGATCTTGATGAAGTACCTCCTGAGTCCGAGGGAATTGATATCGCAAATAATCCTGAGGAGGCTGTGCCGGGGGATCTTGGAGATGACAAGACAAAGAAGCCTGTGAGGACAAAAGTGGCTCGGGGCACTGACAAGGCCATGCGTGCAATCAGTGATATCACAGATATTTATGAACAGTTCGGAAAGTGAGTCAAGCCTTGCCGGATATTAGGTTGATGAAGTCCTCCACTAACGCGAGGAAGTCTTCTGTCACCCACCCCACCATTCCTCTTGGTCACGCCACGACTACGTCTCTCGGGTATACTGGGCTTCATCTGCTTAGTATTTCCGTTCACTTCAAGTCATTCTATCATCAAGGCGGTGGAATTTATTGTTGGACTTGGATTCTTCGGTGATCCACTCTTCACGTTTGGAATGGCGTTGCTGAATCGGACAATCCCTAACTGGAAGGACCAAATGGACATTCAAAAGTATGAACATCAATGTGAAGATATTTGATACACTGCTAACATGAAGCTAGGACACTATTGGAGGGCGTTCCCACTAACGCCCAGTTGACCCTGACGCTTTTCCGAATTGGAGAAATCAACTCCGCCCCGTTACCACCGCCACCAAACTCTGGAGACAATGAGCCGTCGTGGCCAATTCGGCGCAAGAAGTCCCAAGCCAAGCTTTTGACCCATGGGAGCAATCTTGACCTTTCAACCGGCCTTCAAACGCATGACACCAATGAGTCTCTCCCGCCACCCAAGCCAAAGAAACGTTTCTTTTACAAGCTCATGAAATTCGTCCGTCGCACTATCGCAACGGCCATTCGAGGACATATCGCCTTCGACCGCGCCATGGCAATTGCTGGTTCAGCCCACACAAAGAACTTGATAACAATGCTCCAAAAGAAGCATTTTTCATCCAAACCATTTGGACCTCTCAAATTCGATGCCAAATTCATGAAAAAGAGAGGTGCAGCGGTAATAGACTCAACAAAAGAGCCACCCATCCTTTACTTTACGACTTATCAGTCTGCGGGACTGGATGATCTAAGCATCGAGGCTCGCAAGAAGAGTTCGGTTCTCTTCCAGATCCCCGTTACGGAGATCCAGGAATTGAAGAAGACTGAGGGTCTGGGATGGAAGGGTAAATTGATTGTGGAGTTGACGGCTGGCAGTAAAGAGGCAGCTGATGGCCTGGTGGTTATTGGGAAGGAGGAAGCACAGTCGTTCCATCTCACGGGTATGAGGTCGCGAAACATGCTGTTCAACAGATTGGTGGCTATGGATGCGCAGTTCTGGGAGAGTCGTTGAGGAGGATGTGTGATTATGATTTAAATTGACGACGACGAATTGATAAGTACATGACGCAATCTATGTCTAGGAGTTTGAAAAGATCGCACTTAAATAAATGGTGAGAACTTTGACAAAATGTCATTCATTTCGAGAGAAATTGAGTATTGCACTATGTATACAGCGAACGCCAGTAAAGTATCCCATATTTCTAGCCAATGCAAGCAGAAATTTTTATAAAAAGTCGAAAAAAGTCGTGAAAAAGTGTCGCCGCCATAATATGTACTTGAAGCGGATCACAAAGGAAACACCAAAGGAAACATCATACAAGGCTGACCCCTTTTTACAGGGCAACCATAACACCGAGCATACCAGCCATACCAGCAAAGGCAGCACCCATAGCCTCAGGACGGGCCATAGCACCACCAGTGCTAGTAGAGGAAGCACTGGAGGAGGTAGCAGTGCCGGTAGTAGAAGAAGGAGCAGTAGTAATTGTGGAGGCAACGGTGGTAGTCTGGCCGTTGGAGTTGGTCGTAGTGAACTGGCTGACCCAGGTGGAGGCACGGCTGGCAGCATCGGAGCCAATGGACTCGCCGGCAGACTTGATAGAGGAACCAGCAGTCTCGGCGGCAGAGGCAATGGATGCAGCATCCTTGGTGATGGAGCTGACGGCAGCGGCACCACCGGTCGAGGCGGCGTTGGCGAGGGAGGTAGCTTCGGCAACAACGTCGGAGCCAATGGACTGGCCGCCGGAGGCAGCGGCAGAAGCAACGCTCTCGGCGGCGGACACGATGGAGTTCACGTCAATGCCATCGGGGTTGGCCATGGCAGCGCTGGCGAGGAAGAGTGCGGAGGTGAGGATGGTGAACTTCATTGTGGATTGAGTTATTGGAGGATGTCCTGAGGTGAGGGAGTTTGTATGTGACTGAGATGGGAGGGAGGTTATTTCTTGAAGTATAGATATATACAACAGGTTCGGACTGGAACTAGGCCCCTGGAGATCTTTATATCTACCGAGAGAAGTGCCAATCTCCACCCGAATATAGATAGAAACAGGAGAGTTTAGTCACTAGGATGCGGGTTGGCTGTGGCAACATGACCTCAGCCGTTTGGGGAAAGCGAAACGGAGCAATTCCCTATGAACGATCTGCATCAGCTGGGCTGCGCCGACTTGTACCAAGTAACGAGACGGCCGTAGAAACTTGGACAGGCCAATCGCCATTTCATGGCTCCACTTTCGACGTCGGTGCGGCCGATGATTTGTTCGATATTATTCGCGCCCCTATGGTCTCAACACTACGGGCGAAGGACCTAGATCCAAGCCCTGCAGGTCGGATCTCGTGCTTGTTTGTCATTGCATGAACGCGTCGTCCTGCACATGAGCTGGGGCAACTTGTCGACACAGCCTGCTTGTCAGTACTGATTTTAGAAACGAGCAAGTGCTGGATATTCTGCTGCCTTCCAGATCTCCCAACAAACCTGCTGTGGCCGGAACCCACCGCATGTGTTGCCCACCACAGCCTCCAATTATTCACCCCTGAGGTGGAGATGAAGCCCACTGGGGATGATCTCCACCGATCAGCCACTGACTAGGGAACGAAAGTGACCAGGCGGGTCTCCATGTTCGGGGTAGAGTGGGCGCTCCGTTTTCCTGCATCAGGTTCGGTTTCCGATGAAATAGGCCAAGGAGCCAAGAGCCTTGTATGACGTTTTCTTTTGGCGGGTCGCACCGCAAAACAGGAGAGGGTTTGGGATGATGCAGCCTTTGGACTGGATCTCCTCCGGACGCCACCGAGAGGCGAAGCACTTCGAAACCTCACGGAAGTGTTGGCCTCAGGCATCACTGCCACAGCCACGGTCACGTGTTTCTAAAAACAGAACTGACACCTGAAGTCTCAGGTATCAATTGCAAGATGCAGTCAGCGTATTCCTCTCGTATGAAGGGCCTGGACTCCATAATGGATGCCTGAACAGACAAGCGAGCTTGGATCGCTGTTCCCAACCGTTCGGTGCAGTTGTTAGCCTACGATGAGCGTCCTACGGCCGTATCAGGCAATGGTTACGTGGAGGCCGGAGACATGGACAATAATGCGAGCTGACGATACGCCAAGTCTCAAATGGAGATTAGGAGTTATGGAGTGATTGGACTAAGTCAATTTGCATTGATATTATTGGTATCTAAAAGTATAATTCGTGCCATGCGATATGTTCAAATGTGATATTATACACACACCAAACACCAAGAATCAACCCCAAAAACCAAAGCGTCCTAACCGGCAAATTCACCATAAGCCTGAATTATACCTTCCCATCCCCCAGCATGATTATCCTCCCGCGGATTAGTCTTTCCATCCAACACAATGACCTCCGTCATGCGCGTGCTTATCGAATACCAAATGAGATTCTGCGGAGCACCTGTCACTCGCATCATATTTGCTTGACACTTGCCCTGGCAAGGCTCATTATACAGACCGTTCCAAGAGCCGTCGAAGAAGGCCCATGCGGCTGAATTGTACAAAGCGATATTCGATCCTCCATCCACATTGGTTGCTAAAGCTGTTCGGCATTTATCATCGTTTGGTCCACACCATGAAAAATCGGGGTCACCAATCTCAGGATCAACGGTCCAAGGAGCTGGTGCTTTCTCGAACTCGCCCGATCCTTGTATATATGGCGACTCGCTTTGGAGCAAGCCTGCGAAGACGTTTGATGCCTTGTGGAAGTTGTAGTTATAGAGCCAATGGTGCTCGGAGCCCGTTCCGGTGAGCCAAGTCCCCTTGGTCGACTCAACGAGAATGCCACGGCCAGTGGAGATGATGGTGAAAAGGGACTTGCTGTCCAAGTTATGATCTGCCGTCCACCCCCAGAAGTTCTCAATGTATGCAGAGGAGGTTTCAGTAAGATGCATTACCATGTAGGCAGCCATGCAATCCTTGGGATCTTGCGACGTGCACGTGGTGGATATGCTTGTTTCAGCAGTGCCTCCAACCGTGACCATAGTGTTCCAGAGTCCTACGTCTCCAGGTTGCTGACCGGCTGCATTGATTTCAACCACCTTTGCGCCGGGTAGAACCTCGGCGACGGAGAATCTCATATCCTGGATCTCGATGGTACCCACGTCTCCAGGATTACCAACTCGGATGACTGCTCTAGGATTGTTTGGATTTCTGAAGGAATCGCCGTATCCAGAGATAACAGACCATACCTCACCAACGATCCGAGACCCGACCGGAATAAGTAATGTGTCTGAGACTCTGTAAACTCCGAAAGGAATGTAGGTGATCTTGCAGTTTGCGGCATTTTGAGCCAAGATCGCATTGAGCGCCACGGTATCGTCAGTGACTCCATCGCCCTTGACTACATGCCCGGGAACAGTCTTCACGTTGACAATATCCTGACCACTAAATCCAGCATAGGTAGGTTGAGCCTTGGTGAAGTACCTCCCATCGACAAGCAGCTGGGGAGACCTGTGAGTATTCCACGCTCCTCCGGGCGCATACGCTCCAGGTACCATAGTTCCCCAGACCCAAGTGTCGACATGTGCCGTGGCCTCTAAACGGGTGTGGCCATTGGTATCGACTGCGATTGGCTCCTTGGAGTTATACTCAAGATTCTGAATGAGGAACTGACTGTTCTGGTGGCCAGCGTCATGCGAGGAGTCATAGAATCGAATCAAGGGTCCAGAATTTGTGGATATCGAGTCCAGGATGACCAAGCTACCAAGAGCATTCGTCGTCATGTTGACACCCGTACCGCATGATTCGAAGACGGCTCCTTGCAAGAGCACCGTCCATCCACCAGAGGCTTCGAATGCAGTGCCACAGCCGATAAAGTGAACATTCTTGAAGTTGACTTGCTGGTTTGAGTTGATTATGCCGGTCGCGCCACCAATGATAGTCTATAATCGTAAGTGGATGTCATTTTAGTGTGGTGGAAGTATGTTCGACTTACCACATCCGTCACTGCAATCGTTGAGCCGGCCACAATATTGATACCCGTGTGTCGACTCGGCCCAGTCGGCATGTGGACTTGGATATTGGTTAAACCAGCACCCTGAGCCACTCCCCATTGCAACGCAGTAATCGATTGACCCGGCGATACTGCAGTGGTATCAAGGATAACATTTTTGACCAGCATCATAAAGCTGGTCTCCGGATTGCCGTTCATCTTATCATAGCCCATAATAAGGAACTCGCCTTGGAAGTTAGGCCCAGCCTTGATGATAGGTGGGTTGTTTGGATCGCCAACAATGATAGTGCCCACAGTGAGAGTGAGCGTGCTGCCAAGTTGATAGGTACCGCCGGGAAGGAAGACTTCGGCTGGATTGCGAGTGACACCCCGTCCCTTGCGACTGCCTCCATTCCCATCGTCATCAATTGCCTTTTGCAATCTCGGTGTCTGGTCGCCAGAGCCGTCGTTGACAACAGAGTAATCCATGGCATTCCGGAATACAGGATACCGCTTGGGATCATTAGTGAATGGGGCGTATCCCGCACCTTGTCCATTATGATCCTGAGCATGAAGCCAGTATACATCGGTCGACTGCTGTGCAGGTCCGGGACATGTCTTCACCGTGGGAGCAGCCGATGGACTGGCAGGGGTTGTAGGGCCAGCACTACTCGGGTGGGCAATTTCGGTGGAGCTGCTTGAGGTTGCAGGCTCAGATGAGCTTGCTGGAGCTGGTGGAGGTGACTGAACCGGTGGAAGCGATTGAACAGGTGCAGCGGACTCGACGGGTGGAGATGATTGAACAGGTGGGGATGATTCAATTGGTGTTGGCAATGGGGATGAACTGTCCGGATTGATGTCGCTAGATGGCGCAAGAAAAGAGCTAGTCTCTGTAGGTGCTATCGCGTCAAGCCTATTCAGTCATTGTCAGTATCATATAATATCCCCGTATTCATGCTCAAATCACATACTCAGCTGCCAGACTCAAAAACCATGGCGGTACACTTATTCTGTGTGCTTCCACAACTCCACCTGCACCGGCACGAACTTCTGCAACAGGAACAACTGCACCAGACACTGCGCCTGTCAAAGCGGCCACCGCAGCGAGAGAAAATTGACACCGCATCTTTCATAGATCTTGGTCTCACCCACAACACACCGCAGAGAGGAGAAGAAGGTGAAAATAGAGAAAAGGACTACGGAATGAAACAAATAAAAGTTAGGTCCCAGATTCCGGTCACATAGCAACACGCACGCCGGTTGTGCGGCATCCATATGGACTGGTATGCCGGCGTGGGAATCTCGCCCATCAGGAATGCGGGTTGACGGCAGTGCAGTTGCTCGGTCTGCATGGACACCCCTTGCGCGACCAGAGACTCGAAGAACATCGCCGACCAGGTTATTAGAGCCGAAGAGCATGGTTTTCCTTGCGGTAGTTCTAGAGGTCAGGAGATTTGTCAAGTCGAGACTTCTATGCTTCGGAGTTCCATAATCGTCATTGTTGAGCCGAAGTTTTGATTTTACCCGATTCGGAACGCGAGGCGAATGCCATTTAGATTTCGGCCATGTGGTAATCACCCTGGTTCTTCTAGTAGACCAAATTGGTAGCCAACCTCATATTGCTCTTACAATAGAGTCTGGTAATCACCACCCACTTCCAATATCTAAAACATCCAATGCAGACCCAGAGCGCCCTTTTTAGTAACACGTGAAATAGTGGATGGCTAAGGACTAAGGTTGAAGCAAGTAGCAACCAACAGGTGCTGAAAGGTGATGGATATCACTAAAAGATCTCTTTAGAATGGCTATGAGCGGCGTAGAAAGCACAAAAACGTCTTCTCCATCGCTTCATTCAGGTTGCTTGCAAGAATTTCTGGCGCTGCCATTAACCTTGGGTGAGTTTATGTAATGTGAGAGGCAGTCTTGGTCTCTTACTCTCACAATATTGTATTCCATAGGTTTTGAATCACTTTTGCTGTAGGAAATAATTTAGTTTCCTATCCTCAATAGTTGCTAGATATCCAAAGCTCTAGCACATGGCATCGGCTAAATCCCGGCCTTCTTGCCATAGAGCAACGCCTTGCGTCTGTAATATTCTGTTGTCTCAGCTCAGCAACTAGTGACATACCGCACATAGTGACTGAGGCACCTGACAGCAGACACCGAAGAAAGGCACAGTTTTGCGTCTAACTAGATGGCAATGAAGATGACTCTATGGTGACGAGTCGCTGACTGCGGCATCACATTCACCACTCCCAAGCGTCCGCAAGCTACAAGTTCCTGTGTTAGATGAGCTTGGTGTTTTAAGCAACTACCCAACATCAATTTTGATTCTGGTCCTAGATTTAGAAGGTGACTGGTAGATCACGGTGTGGTGTACCCATTGTACGGTAGGGTGAAAAACGGCTGGGAGAGGCTGCAGCGCAAAGGTTTTGTGTCTTGCGTCGCTCAGCTTTGAATATACAGGCAAGCTGCAAATCACTATTACTCGACGAATTCATGAACATTAGACATTAATGTTAATGAGGTTTCAAGCTCCTGGTAAACGGTGTGTTTCGCCTTATCGCTAGGTAGACCAAGCTAGGTTGTCTAGATGATGCCTATGGATACCCAATACACTTAACCGATTAGAGACCAGCATTGACATTTAACGAATCTCTAAGACCCAACATGGAAGCCCAGGCATTTAATTCTAGACTTAGCGAGACACTTGACCTTGCATGGTAAGGATCATCTGGTAAGGCCACGGGCTGCAAGCATGGGAGCTGTGCTGATTGGGGGCCTTAAATGCGAGCATCGGCCACGCCTACGGCAGCCGACACGCCAGCCCCCGAAATAGAACAGAGATCATGATAGGATCGACAAACGGGCGTTCACACACATGGCTGCGGGAGGCTTGTTGTGGCGCTGTAATTTGCGTGTGCTTCGCTCACGAGCTTCGCGATTTTCTAATCCTAGGGTAGGTAAGAATCGAGACTGACACACCATGTCTCATTCCCCAGGTGATTCATCAGGGGTTACATGGCAAAGTCATTGTTATCTCATCGCTGGAAGCCTGATGAACATAAATCTCCATTTTCTTCAGGACTCCAGCATTGGTTCAAAAATGTATAAGTATCGAGCTTCGCCAGTCTGATTTTTTCTCCATCATTCAGCATCTGCAGGATATCACAATCGCATACATCATTCTAAGCCTCCAATACCTTGACTCCGAAGCATCGTTACACAAAATTAATCCAAAATGAAGTCCGTCATTGCTACCATTATTCTGGCCGCCAGCTCGGCATTCGCCGTCCCTACAGCAGTCAAGCGTTCCTCCAGTTTCCAGGTCACCGACTTCTGGGCCATCGCAGCTTACCCAGGAAGTAGCGCTTCTATGCACTTTGCCCTCACTGATCCTAACTACCCCAATGACACCCCCACGGACTGCAACTTGATCTGGTATGATTGTTCTGCTCTTTTTTTTGTAAGACCACATCACTAATGTCACGTAGGACTTATGGCCAGTCGCCGAAACAGAGCGCCCGATGCAACAATGGGGAGTACTATATTAAGTTCCCGCAAGGTGCTCCCGACTACAATCTGTTCACTCTGGAGCTTGAGCGAGTGAATGGAACTACTACAGAGGACCGCCAGATCCTGCTTAGTTCGAACGCCAATGGGGGTGCCCCTGGAACTAAGTGGATCTGTGTGAATAACCCTTCGGAGAACATTAGGATTCGCTGCGATTACGACGGCACTCTGGAGTTCTGAGCTTGATGATCAACAATGAAAAGTGAGGAGAAGGTAGTGGCGGAAGATGTTCGTTTTTTGTTTCTCTGGGTGCCGTACCATGTGTCTCCAGATGCTTTGCTGCTTTTGATAGACTGGGGTAGAACTAGTTTGCAGGATAATGAATCAATCATTAATTCTGTTTTCTTGAAATCTAAATCTTTCGAGTAGTCTAATTCTGCCAAATCATATTATAGTATCAAACAGGAATCGCCCGGGGAAACAGTGGTCGAAAGTCAGTGATGAAACCTCTAAGTGTATAGATTACATGTACCATCAAAGTACCAACCCTATACTCTTCCAAAAATTCCCTGGGGGGTCACAGCTTTAGCCGCAAGTCCAATGAATCCACCAACAATCGTCATGGAGCCACTGAAATATGACATCTCAGCGAACCCATAATGGTTGATTAAGGCCCCATTCACGGGGGGTCCAATAAGCGCTGCAATGGAGGCACATCCCATGGCCATCCCCAGGTATGTTCCAAATTCCTGGGGGTTCTCGACGCAGATGGTGAGAGCTGCAGTTCCACCGGAGATGATCGTTCCAGATGCGAATCCAACTGCGATAGAGTAGACCACCAATGCAGCTGTAGATTCAGCTTTGTCAAAACAGAAAATGACAATGCCTGTCGCAAAGCCACCAATTGTGAAGACGTTTAACCGGCCAAACTTGTCAGCCAACACACCCGGAATTACTCGGCCAAATGTTGAGGCTGCGTTGAGGATGGCAAGCAGGTACGAGGCAAGTGTAGTTTCCATGCCTCGAGATACCGCGTAGGTCGGAATATAGAACAGCGGAGCAAACATCCCAACGAACATGAAAAACATGGCGGCAGTAATCAGACAGTATTTCAAGCTCTTAAAGGGCGCAGCCAGGAAGAATGCAGATTTTCTTGGTGGAAGGCGGGCCGTTACGGTGACACATGAGAAAGCAAGCATGGGAATAAGAATAAAGCCAATGATTCGTACTGACCAGCCAAATCCCAAGGAAGTACTGTCCAGCATCTTTGAAAGTGCAATGGGTATGACCACACCTCCAAGCGAGGATCCTGCTACCACTGCTCCTAGAGCAGCGGCTCGCTTTTTATCGAAGTACTGAGTGACCGCTGCCATAGCTGGGAATTGAATCAAACCCATAGCAATGCCCGTTAGAATTCCTTGGGCGAGGATGAATTGCCAATACTCCTTGCATAGACTGGTCATCATAATTGCGAAGATATACAGAACAGCGCCGGGCCGAATAACCTATGGCGATGTTAGCAGAGCTGTCTCGTTCTTCCATCAAATCGAAAACGTACCCAACCACCATATCTATCGAATAACGGTCCTCCAATGGCACCGGACATAAATTGAAGACAAGAAGCCAACGATCCTATCCAAGCCACATCGTCTGCGGATTTGCCGTTGAGCTGGTGGGATAGATAGTACTCTTCAAAGACCCCGAACGCATTTGCAAACCCCAAAGCGGAAAAAAAGATGCAGGAGCCCCCAGCTGCAGCAAGCCAAGCTCTGAGACCACCATCTGGGGCAGCTGGAATATCTTTTGGATTTACATTGTCGTTCGTGGAATGTATCTCCTTCGACGCCAGAGATGCGTCACGCTCAGGATCTGTGGACGGCATAAAAACAAATATATGTTGCAAGGCGTTGGACAAAGATGGTAAGCGACGAGACTTTCTTGAAGGTTGAGGGTAGATAATCAGTTTGTTATCAGATAAGATCTTAGTGTGACTGGCATTAAATAGAGCAGAAATCTAGTATTTATATAGAATTAACTCCATACCAGAAACGATTCGTTATCCCTCGGTGTATAGATCAATTGACGGAATCGGACTCGGGAAATGGTAGACGAGACGGACCAAAAGCGCAATTGCCGAATGCCAAGCTGACAGCCTTGCCATCTGCTTATGTGCATTGAGCGATATTTTTCTTTCTATCGGAAAGAATTTATGAGCAGACCGACCGCAGCAACCTAAAGAGCAAGGGAAATTGCTTTGTTGTGTTTGATTGAGGCTTAAGCCGATCGCGACGCGTTCCTTCCCCATGGCCGAACCCGAACGCCGACGGAGGCGGCCAGCTGTGTACGCGATGCTTCGTAAAATGGCCGGTCAATCACTATTTGCTGACTTTTAGCAATGCAGCTCGTGCACACTGTGTCGAAGACGCAAAATCAAATGCAATCGGGAATCTCCATGCAGCAACTGCATTCGTTCTAAAAACTCGAACTGCGAGTATGCGCTTCAGTCGCCGCCGCCTAGGCGAACCACAGCTAGCCTGGCGGCTGATCTTCGGTGGCCGCCCGAATCTAACGGGTCTGAATCCTCGATTTCTTCTGAACTGCCAGCCACGGTATGCTTGGGCAATGCTTTCATCGGTCGGCCATCAATCTCGGCGGTAGCAGCATCGTCAACAACAAGCCCCTCGACATCAGTTAGCCTAGGGTCGATTCGAGAAGCCGAGTTGCTAAGGAGACAGATAAAACAACTCGAAGAGCAGTTATCCAAAGCAACGCACGGATCGACAACTTCGACCCCAAAGACTCCGAATGTGGACAGCCAAACGGTGACAACTTCGTCACGTCTAGCCGGGACTTTCCACATGAATCACGAGACTCCCACTGATGGCCATGCACACATAACACGATTCATGATGCACAAGACTCGTGTTTTTGGACAGAGTCACTGGATGTCCGGTGTTGCTCAAGTAAGAGCTCCCTTTATCATTGAAAAAATTTTGATTGAACCAGCAAACTTACTAAAGCCTAGTTTGGAGATATACTTCTGATGATCGATCCCATTGCCAGCGATGAGACTTCAAAAGTAATACTCGACATGCAAAAATGTAAAAGCCTGGCCAAGATCATCAAAGAACGACGACGACCCCCGTGGCCTACACCCCTGACCTCAGATTTGCCCCCAAAAGAAATGGCCGATACACTGGTGGATATTTACCTGCGAACGATGGAAACTTTCTATCGAGTCTTTCACATTCCAACATTCACACGGGATTATGATGCTGTTTGGATTCCTGGAGCATCACCCGATACTGCGTTTCTTGTTCAATTGAAGTTGATACTGGCTATTGGTGCGACAATGTACGATGACCGATTCACGCTACGACTTTCTGCCATTCGGTGGATCTACGAGGCGCAGACCTGGATTTCAGAACCCGAGTTCAAATCCAGGTTGAACATCCAGTTTCTGCAGACTCAAATCTTACTCCTCCTCGCACGTGAAACTGTTGGCGTCGAAGGAAGTTTCATCTGGATTTCGGCAGGGGAGCTGGTTCGAAATGCCATGTACATGGGCCTTCACCGTGACCCGGAACACCTCCCCAAGGGGACAACCTTTGTGGCGGAGTTCCGTCGGAGAATATGGAATACCGTATTGGAGATCTCACTCTATTCAAGTATAGAGTCTGGTGGAAATCCTCTACTCTCGCTCGAGGACTTCGATACGCATCTGCCACAGAATTTAGACGATGACCAAATCATGGTCGAAAACTCAATACCGAGCCCGGAACATTCGTACACGAAAATGTCAATTGCACTTGCTCTGCGACAGATGTTCCCTGTTCGATTGGCTATCGCGAAACGATTGAACGGAATCAGTGACCACAGTGGATACACAGAAACTCTTCGATTGGATGCTGAACTCCGGGCATCTTACAAGACTTCCTGCAAGCATTTACAAGGTCAAAGCAGTGAAGGTACAGCCGGGCCGTCAGACTTTCAGAAAAGGTTACTTGACTTTACCCTACGTCGTTATCTGGTTGCGCTACATTCACCTTATTTTAACGCATCACAGCATGACAGCACATACGCGTACTCAAGGAAGGTTATCGTCGAAAGCTCACTTAAGATTTGGAACTACGTTTTCTATAGCCCATCCATAGCGACATCCGCTGGATGTGTCGAGGGAGAGACGCAGGAGAACCAAGACTTTTGGAAAATGGCAATATGTGGAAACGGAAATTTGCGGACGTGTGCCGCTCAAGCATGCTTTTTGATTGCTGCTGATCTCAGAGCCCAGCTAGAAGAGGAGGAAGGCCTTGGTCCTGTGACACTCAGACCTGATCTACTATCGGTGATAACCGATTGCAAGTCATGGTCTTTGGATGCCCTAAGGGCTGGTGAAACAAATGCCAAGGGTTACATGTTTCTAGAAATGGTATCAACCTTGTTAGGTGGGCTCAAGAATGGGCTTCGCAAGGACCAGTTGAGCCAGATGCTTGTCACGAGTGCCGAGGAGGCACTGGCAAACTGCATCGAAATATTTGAGGAGGTGCTTAGTGAGGGTTCGGACGAGATCGGTACCAGTCTGGATGAAGTGAATGATCTCGCTCCGTACTCCCTACCGGAACTTATAAGTGACTGGGGCTTCCTGGTAAGTTTGAATATTGCGAGAGAGCCACTGTCCATTTGCTAACATTAATCTCAGAGCCAGCAGAATCAATTCGACTTTGGTGTTGCCGAGCCGATGAATTGGGTTTACACTGGGTATCCCTAGCCTACTGTACAAAACCGGAGTGTATCATGCAGCAAATGCACAGAATCAGCTCATTTTATTTTGAGAAATCTTTCAAGCTCAATATGGGGTCTCAAATCGTTGGGGTGATCGGACAAGTATTCCGTCGGGATGACGTTGAAGAAAGCTCAAAACTCTAAGGCGACGGACAAAAGTCTAAATTTCTTGGGATCGATGCTTCTTCCTCGATCAGTTGTGATTGGCTCCAGGTCTGATATGGTCGTGTGAGAGCCCTGGCAAGCGGGAGTATGCCCGAGAACCGCCGCCATGAGCTCATCTGAGGAGTCAAAATGGCCACTTGCAACCTATGCTACAACCTGCATTCCAGTGGGGAACAACGCGATAATTCTACTCTCCTTCGAAGCGACTGACCGGGGGGATCACATCGATAGTCAAGGTCGCTAATATTCACGCGTGCAAAGAATATTGTATCGTAAGTTTGCTATTTGTGTGGTATCTGAGACTTGCATGACAACCAAACTGACTAGCCAAGTTGTCGTTGGTGTTTCTTCATGCCGTCCTAGTGAACATACAGTTGCCTAGAGCGCTAACAGCATCGCCGGTCGCCATGTCCGAGCCAGAAAGAAGGAATAGCTATTCCTCGTCCAAAGGCAACGGCACCAACGACAGCAGTGACGATAAACGATCTGTCTCACCTGAAAGGTTGGAAAATCAGAGTAATGAACAATCTAGAGAACACGAGAGGGGAGAACTCCCAGAGGGGGGGCCAAGGAGCACCTCGACATATCCACTTTCGATCTCAGGCCAATCTGACACATGAAGCCGAACGCGAACAACCACGTGAAGACCCTCGCGCAGAATGGGGAAAATCACAAAGGCTCGCTGTGCCACATCGCTCGTCCATGCCGTACCTTCACGAGTCCGCAGATATAGCAGATACCCCATTGCAAGATCGAGAGGGCGATAAAAAGGAAGAGGTTGGCAAGGAAAAACGTTCGGAGGAAACACCACCCGAACAACCGCCTCCAGAGGAGGCTGTGCCAGAAACCTTGAGTTTCGAATACGCAAAGCGCAGAATTCGCCCAACTATCGAAAAGCTAAAGCAAAAGGCTTCCCAACTCGGCGAACGGCTAGGCCGACCAACAGCGGATGGAGATGATCTACATCCCGGTGTGTACCACGCCGACTGGGCCTCCGGGAGTCAACCACCGGTGTCAGACATAACGGACAATCCACACAAGACTTATGAAGAGAAGCGACAAAACCAGGCACAAAGTAGCTCCGAGGCCCATCGGCTGGTGCGCGACTTGACCCAGAGTCATTCCGGCAAGCGGCGCAAGTCACGACCGAAACCATACCCCCATGGGGACATGAGTTATATTGGTGGTGAAGATGAATCAGCGATGGAATCCGGACTGCGGTATCGTTCTGGTGGTGGTGGGATCCTTTCACAGCTGATAAAGCTCAATGGTGGGAATCAGCAGGGAAGGGGAGGTATGGCATCGCGGACTCCTAGTCAGTCGTCTTTGTCTGGACCGGCTTCTCGATCCGATTCGGAGTCTGGAAGGCAGACTCCTGGGCCTGGGAAAAAGGGCAAACCACCGAAATGGTACAAAAGGCCCCCTAACACGTCGACTTCAACGCTAATTGGGGCGTCGGGTGGCCTTAGCGGAGCAAGTACTCCAGTCTCGAGCGAGGTTCTATCTGCTGCATCACAGCGTCGAGGCCAGCAGGCTGAGCGCAAGATGAATTTGGAAGATGAAATTAGAGTTACCGTTCACATCGCGGAAATCATCTGTCGACAGCGATATATCATCCAACTATGCCGAGCATTGATGTTATTCGGTGCGCCGACTCACCGGCTGGAGGAATATATGCAAATGACCGCGAAGGTGCTGGAGGTTGACAGCCAGTTTCTGTATCTTCCGGGTTGCATGATCATGTCATTTGATGATCCATCCACGCGGACGACAGAAGTGAAACTCGTTCGAGTAGGACAGGGAATTGATCTTGCTCGGCTCTCTGATACCCATCTCATATACAAGAACGTCATCCACGATGTAATTGGAATCGAGGAAGCTGTACAGGAATTGGACGACATTATGAAGAAAAAGCCTCGATATCCCAAGTGGGTTGTCGTGTTGGTGTATGGTCTGGCAACTGCAACCGTTGGTCCATTTGCATTCAGCGCTCGTCCAATTGACATACCAATTATCTTCATCAACGGACTATTGGTAGGGCTCATGCAACACTTGGCCGCGCCTCGATCAGTTCTATACTCCAACGTGTTTGAAGTCACATCGACCGTGGTAACATCCTTCCTGGCTCGCGCTTTCGGCAGTATTCCACGGACGGTCATCGACGGCAAGCGCCAATATCTTTTTTGTTTTTCAGCAATTGCACAATCATCGATCGCATTAATCTTGCCTGGATTTCTTGTCCTATGCAGCAGTCTCGAGCTACAGTCTCACCAGATCATCGCCGGGTCGATACGAATGGTATATGCGATCATCTTCTCGCTGTTCCTGGGTTACGGCATCACAGTTGGCACTACGGTTTACGGTCTCATAGATAACCACGCGGTTTCGGACATTCAATGTCCCCAAACAGGCGCTTTCAAGAATCCATACGTGCAGCGCTTCCCGTTCGTGACTATCATGACTGTCTGGCTCTTGATCATCAACCAGGGGAAATGGAAGCAACTCCCACCGATGACAATCATAGCGCTGACCGGCTATATCAGCAACTACTTCAGCACCATGAAGCTAGGTTCGAACTCGCAGGTCGCGAACACCGTCGGTGCATTTGTTGTCGGAATCATGGGCAATCTGTATAGTCGTTTATGGCATGGGCATGCTGCGACCGCGATTTTGCCAGCTATCTTCATCCTAGTGCCGTCTGGCCTCGCCGCGACGGGCTCTTTGATCTCGGGTGTTCAATCTGCGGACCAGATTAAGCAGAATATCTCCTCTCATGGACCGGCGAGCTCGACGCCTGGAGCAGGATTGGCGTCGAGCAGCTCGGTGTTTAGCCTGGGATTTGGAATGATCCAAGTAGCGATTGGAATCACCATCGGGTTGTTTATCGCGGCGCTTTGTGTGTATCCATTTGGAAAACGTCGGAGTGGATTGTTTAGCTTTTAGATCAATACTATGTGGATTAGATTTAATCAAGACAAAATTATTGGGCTGCAATGAGACATGGAATATGCTTTCAGACTTCCTTAATCCCGTAGGACTTCCATCAACTTCTAGAACAGAGCCTAATTGCCGATGTCGGGCTTCGAGAAGCATACCCTCCGAATCCACTCGTCGTGCATATGCGAATAAGACACTTGAATCCTTCAATTCTTGGTTTCCCCCAAGGTAGCCGAGATTTTCGCTGCGAAAGAGTCCTCTGAAGAGGAATAACTCCTACACGTGGGCTATAAATACGAAAGCGAGCATGTAGGCACTCGCCAACAGCACATGGGCGCAGATAAGCGAGGTGGCATGCATAATCCCGTAGATCTTCACGCCTCGCCAGAATCATGGCGAACCCACGAATCCAAATTTAGTACACCATCAGATAATATCCTCCGCCATCTATCCAGACTTAATCACACTCCCACAAAGTTCAAACCAACGGAAATAGACCGGACACCTAAACACAGCCAAAACACAACACAAAGCTAAAATCCTCACAACAAACCAAGCATCGTGCCAACCTCCTCATCCCTGCTCCCATCAGCACCAAAACCAACACTAGACTCCCTAGTCGCACTAACAAAGATGAAGAAGTCCTGTGGGACGCAGGGCACCATCTTCTCCAATTTCCTAACTTAGCTAGCGCCCGGATCAGCAAGCGAATCAAACCCGCCGCGCCGAGCATGTCGTGCCGATCAAGACGGTGTGTGGTTGCCCGCCCGATCGGAGGATTCCGATTTATGCAGAAGCGCAGGAACAGGGTGGTATTCGGATTGGATTTGGGTTTGGGGGTTGCGGATGCGGTTGGAGCCGAGGGGGTGGTGTAGGACCTAAGGTAATTGAATTGGTGGGGAAGTAAATAGATGGATGGATCTGCGGGATGGACGGATTTAGTTCCCTGGTAGAGGTATATATAGCTCCGTTCAAGGTACGCAATTCAGTTCTGTTATTCACAAAAGCTTCAGATAAACTCTTCCAGCTATACATCATGGTCAAGCTCATCTCCCTCGCTACCCTGGCTCTCGCCAGCGTAGCCATCGCGAAGCCAACAGTCTATCTGATCCGGCACGGCGAAAAGCCCGATTCCGGCAATGGATTGAACACGCAGGGCCTTGAGCGCGCGCAGTGTCTGCGTACCGTGTTCGGTGCTAGTTCGGGGTATAACATTGGGCATATCATGGCGCAGACGCCGTTGAGCAGTACGTCACGTCCCTACAACCGAAGACCGATGTATAGCTCGGCAATAGATGTTAAGGTTCTAACTTCCTTTCTCTGTACAGGTGGAAAGCGTCAACGCCCGTACGACACCGTCGAACCCCTGGCCGAGGATCTGGGTCTCACCGTGGATACCTCCTGTGATCGTGATGATCCGGGCTGTGTCAAGGATGTTGTTGATGGATATACTGGTTCTGGCAATATTTTGATTTGCTGGGAGCATGATGCTTTGACGGATATTGTTAGTGAGCTTGGTGATAAGGATGCGCCTGATTATCCTGATGATAGGTATGTGGAAGACAGATCTGGAGAGGGGATGTGCGGGGAGTAAGGTTGTGAGATGGTGCTAACGGGTGATAGCTTCAACATTATTTGGACTGATCCGTCGCCGTATACTACTATTACGGCGGAGACGAGTGAGAACTGTCCTGGGTTGGATAGTTAGATGGTTTCATCTGATTGGCAGGTGGATCGGAGGGGAAGCATTGTCGAGCGCAGTTTGTGTACATGTAGATAGCATTGCGGTTGAGACCTAATGAGAGGCATGGGTTTGGATGGCATCTTAATGCCGAGCTCTTAGAACTCAGATAACTCCGAAATATACATACATAAGAACCTCCAGAGAGCCGTGAATAGAGATCTAAGCACTAAATACACGTACAAGGTAGCCAAAACTCAGATCTAAATAATGATCAATAACCCGCCAGGCTATGCATCAGCACAAATCACATCCAGCGACCAGTCGCTGAGAGACCAGCAAAGAGAATGAAACAAGGTCGACCCGCCATAGTCATAAAAAAGACTCAAAATTATTTGGTTTCTATCATTGCTTCTGGTGTAGTAGTGCCAGCACCTGCGTCAGTTGCCTGGGCCGTGGAAGTGGTCTGGTCCTGCCAGACAGCGTAAGCAAGTAATTCAAGGAGATGGCGCTCGCGATATGTGAAAATGAGGACTCCGTCCTTTTGTAGAAAACGCTTGGCATGTGCGCGGAGAAGATCCGCATTTGCCGTGGAAGATGAGGAGAGACGGAAGAGGGCGTCTATTGAGATGGTGACTTCGTGTGGTGTGGTGGTAGTTGGGAGAAGATCCCTGAGAAGCCCACGAGTTTGTTTGCCACAAGTCAAAGACTCGCAGTACCTTTCCAACATGCGATTCTGGACGATAAATCGCAGCATTGAATCCAGCGAGTCCATCTGCACAAGGGCTTGTGGCAGATCTGTATCAGGCTCTGCAAGACCGCGCTGCATGGCGATCGCATATTCCAAATCTTCGAGCAAAGGGGTAAGTTGCATCCGAGTGAGTGAAACATCCATTAGAAGAGGTCTGTCATAGCCGAGCTTCTTACGCCAGAAGAAGTTCACGGCAATCAATGAAATGATACACGGAATCAGCACGACATATCCCCACCACCGCTCAGCAGTGACTATAGATCCAGCACCGGCAACCAGGCCATTAAGCCCGTTGATAAAGGAATGCCACTGGAATCGGCGGATACGATTGTGTAAACGCCGCCTGATATCGTCGCCTGGCTGCGAGGCTCGGACAGCTTTGAGATGTTGATGGAAACGACGGATGAGGTAGCCGGACCAGACGGCATTAACAAGACCGAACATTGCTGCGAGACCATTACCAATATATCCCGAAAGCAAGTTGCTGGCCTTGAAGACCCGTGGATTGGCGCCCCCAATGGCCATTAATGTGCCGACCCCAACTAGCACTGACCCAAAGCCCATCAGAAGGTCCATCACAATGCGGTCGACGATCTCCGTACCCATCTCACGGTCGCTCACACCCAGTCTACTCTCAAGAAGTTGCACGACCCCAGTATTCTTGCTGTGATGCTGTCGCAATCTTTTCAGATTCTCCCGCTCCGTCAGAAGCAGCTTCACATTCCGCAAACTCAGCCGGAAATCCTGCATCGCAACGAATACCATGCCCAAAGCACACGTACCACCGATACCCATGAGTACAGCCGCAAAGGTCGGCACGGGGATCTGATTCCACACGTTGGCCGCAAAGTCCGCGGCATTCGCCAACTCGAGATAACCCACGCTTGCTAGCAGACTATTCCTGAATTGCTGCTGGTGCAGCAAATGGAATCGCCCTCGGCGACGGACGAGTGTCACGGCATCTTTGCTTGCCTCCTGTGATTCCTGCCATGTGATATCACTCGCTTCACGGAGGAGTTTGGGGACAACGGGTGGTGCGGACTCTAGCACTGCCAGTTCGAGGTCGGAGTCGGCTTGTCCTTCCGGGTCTGCGGGCCTTGTGGACATGGTGTGTAGATTGGAGGAGCAGTGTGGTTGTATCTGCGAGGATGGAGTGATGAGGGTGTCGGAGGAAGCCCCCGGTGTTGCCATGATTTGTGTGGTTGGCGTGGTAGATCAGATAGTAGATGGTGCCAGATCATGCGTGCTGTACGCAGGCAGTTACCTGCCGAAACGGGAGGTTCCTTGAACGCTGTAGCCAAGGGTGGATGCAATGAGGATCAGGTCTATGGAAGAAAGAACAAAACACGGGGAGAGTCAAAATGGAAAAGTATGAAGAATCGGGAGGATAATGGGGAAAGGGAAAATGGGGGAAACGCAAGCGGGCAGGGCAGTGGGCGCTGACTGGCCAGTTGAGCCCCGGTTTACTGTTTAGTGGTGTGGATCAGCTTGGCATCGCCCTGTAGGGCTGAAGGAGGATTCACGCTATTTTGGGTATACTTTTGGTCTCTGGTACACTTGTAATGATTATTATAAATCTTCTAGATATTAATGAGAGAAAATTTTAGACCTAGAGTTGAAATATAGAAGCCTCCCACATTTGGCTTCTCAAGGCTGCTGTCATAACAACTCCTGAGTTTTTCTTACACTCGCCACCAGATCACCACCGGCAAACTGGACCCGGGCGACCCGCCCAGTCCCACCAGAATAGACGCAATAATAACAGGCATCAGTAATAATCGAAATAGCTTGCATTGCACTGTACTGGAATCTATCGATTCAACCCCTATTTTCTCTACGTCACTGTAAAACGATCCTTTAACAGAAAGGCTTTTTGTTCATTTTGCTTGTATACCCATCATAAGATCCCCGAACCTATACAAGGCATCATAATTCTACGCATACATAAAACTGAATGGAAGTACTTCGCACCGCTCAGTAAAATGGATCACGATTCAGCGAAAAAAAAAAACCCCCCCCCCCCCCAAAAGCAAATAGCAAATAGCAAATAGCTCGAAAATGCAATCTATACATTCAAAAACGCCTGAAAGATGCCATGTAGATCCAAGTCCAACTCAAAAAATATAACAAAAGCTACGATATGATAAGAACACCAATCAATGCACAAGCTATGCATGTTTAACCTCCTTAACCTCACCCACACCCTTTCCACCACTCAAAGCACGAATCAGCTTGACGCCCGCGTCCGCGGTATCGCACTCCCTCGCCTCCCAAAACCCAGCCTCCCGATCCGACCCTCTCAACACCTCATCCTGCGGCTGCTCACTCGTCGGCGAAGGCGATCCATCCGGTGACGCAGTATCACTACTGTATACATTAACCCGCTCATGGAATCGCACACGCTGTCGCACGCGAGACGGCGAGTCCGGACCGCCATGTCGTGACTGGTTCATTTCCAGGAATGATTTGCGCACCGCGTAGCGACTGGCTTCTTCGCGACGGAGCGTATCGCTGAAGATTTTTTGGAGCGCTGTTGAGGCTGTGAATCTAATGCCGAGGTAGACTTGTTCGGCGATGAAGACGGTGAGGAGGAGGGAGGAGAGGCGGACCGAGGACATGGGGCCGCGGTAGAGGTGGACGATTGCCGCTGTGGAAAGTGTTCCCATCCAGGAGAGGAAGTCTAAGCCCAGGAGACAGGGACCGATTGAGTCTGCGCGGATGGGAGGTGGTCGTTGGCATTCTAGTGTGAGTTTGAAGAAATCTCCGCGTACTTCGAGCCAGTTGTTTAGGAGGAAGCCGAGCGGGACGAGTGGCCAGGCCACGCCGAAGAGAGCCAGGTAGCCGAATTGCACACACATCTCGAGGATGTCTTCTTCGACTTTGTATTCGTCTGCGTCGGCTTCGCCGCGGACGCGTCGGAGGAAGGAGGATTCTTCGGGTGAGTCGATGAGGAGTAGATCGGTGGCCTTGGAGAAGCTGCGTTGACGGGTGAGTCCTGCCTTGCGTTCGCGGTAGTTACGCCATTTCTGCCAGAGGACGTGCTTGACGTATGGTAGGACGATTTCTTCCGCGAAACTGAAGACTTGCGCTGTCATTGACAAATAGATGACTTCAGCCTGGAAGCGGGATGTGTCAACCTCGAAGCCCTTGTGGCTGGCTGTGTTGATCCCCACTCGACGGAGGATATCCAAGTGTGGGACAATCGCATGGCCGAATGGGACATAGACGTATGCCGTGAGTATTGTAGGTAGGAAAGATGTAATAAAGTGCATGACAAAGGTCTTCTGCGTCTGAGCGAGATCATACAGATCCTGCGTGCGGTAGTTCTCGTAATCGGTCAATCGCGTCGCAATCCCCGTGAGGAACGAAGTAATCGCCGGCAGTGACAACGAGAAAAGGATTGTTGGGACAAACTCCAAATATCCCTTCAACGGACCATTATATACCTCCGAAATAAATACCTCGCTGGCGAAAGTGACCACGATCAAAGTGCCCAGGGCAACGCTGGCCACACTCGCAAATGGCAGTAGCAGCATCTGGCGTAGAAATTGTTTCCAGCCGGGGAACGTTTGTGTTACTTGGCCTGAAATGGGATCTTTGACTTCTTTCTCCCATTGATACTGCGAGCGGTTGACCTTCAACTGGCCCACGCCCTTGACGTTCCAACGGACACTCAGATCTGTCTCGCGGATCTTCCAGAACTCCACGAAAACGATACACCAGATCATCAGCGCACTGCCGTAGATGATCGAGTACGGGCCGAGGAACCACCATCCTACGATTCCCATCGCGGCTGGGGCGACCAGGAAGAGTGAGTAGCAGTGAATGAAGGCGAAATAGAAGGCAACCTGTGCGAACCAGCAACAGAAGATGTTAGTGAATGACTAGTATAACCATGGATTATGATACCAGTCTCACCTTCTCACCAAACAGTGCTCGGATCGTATCCAAATCCTCTACAGTCAAGTTTGTTTTGCGGTTCCACTTGCTCAGTAACTCCGAGCAGGCATCGCGATCATGCAAGGGAAACGAGGCAGTGATATTTTTCCATTTTCCAAACCCGGGCGTGATTCCCGCGCCCCCGAGTTCTTTTCGCCATGTCACAGCATGATAAATAGACCGGATTTCCTCTGCCGGTGTTTCAGCGGAAGCGATGGTATTCTCATCGCCGGAGGGCAGAGTATATATAATGCCGAACAGCCAATCTTTTATCCTATACAAATATCAGGCATTTATCCGAATGCGATCAAAAGAGACGGTTTTATATTGGGCTATATCTTTTAGCGGGATATTGTGTGAAACATACCTCGATTGGTGTACCATCTTGCCTAGATGATCTCTGGGTACGCGAATAAATACCAGTAACGCGAAGCCATGCCCATGGCGGATCTGCACTCGAAGACCAGCTTCTGTGAGGTCATGGATAAGAGTGCGGAACTCGGATATAGCTTGTGCCTGCTCTATGCGATCGTCAGTTCCGTATCATTTGAGTTTATTGTGCGGGATACTCAGATGACATAGCCGCATAGAATGTCCTTGAACAAGCCGGTATTTCATCGCTGATCTATGCGGCTCATTTGTCTTTGGTCGGGTCTTACCTATATCGCCAAACTCATATTGTAACACCCAGTCCACCCCGAGATTATCGCTCTCATCATGACCGTGCTTCTCATGCCCCGCGAGCCAAGACATCTTGGTCGGGCTTTGTGCAGTATAGCCAAGCAAAATTGTCGGTACTTGCTGTTATTAATTGGAGTCTGTTTTGGGATACCAATTGTATACGGGAGGTGTGTGTGGTGTAGTCAAAAGAATGGACGAAAAGACGGTGAAGAAACTCAGAGGTTAGGATGAGGAGAACAAAAGTGAAAGATAATTGGAGGTAAAACGAGGGGAAAGGGGAAAGACAATGGGGAGGGGGAATCCAGCCCTGTGTACGGAGTAAATGCCAGTACAAATATACAGATACGGTACAAAGGACAAGGTATTGGTTAAGGACGCGGAGTTCAGTTAAGTAAAAGCAAATTTCCCTCCTTGATTATTAGGCACCGAGAGTAGTTCAATTGGGGGGATTTATTGGTTCGCGTATGACCCCTATAATACCTCGCCCTAATTATAGAGTGGAGAGGCGGTAATATTGTATTTACCAGACAACCTCCTTTGGGTTTGTACTCCTGTATTTACTTTCCCTTCAGGAAGCGCCGATCGGACTTGGTTTCCATTGACTTCTCTGCAGGAGCCCGCAATTCTGAATTGCGATCGCCCGTCGTCAAGAACTGTATATTGTTTATTTGGATAATTACCTACTGGCCTAGGGTCGAGGAGGATCATATTTAAGAATTCTCACTATACTAAGTTACTTATCAAACTAATTATATCAAAACTCCATTTCACACTCGTAGGCGCTCGTCGTAACGCCCGTGTCGAGTGTTTCTGACTCCTGCAGGAAGGGCCGCTGACAGCGAACCACGGATCCACGGGCCAAGCTTCAGCCCTACAGGGCAAAGCGGGAAAGATGTACGGGGAAAAATCATGTCACGATGATGCCTATTTTGCCACCAGACATGCCCCTCGGCAGGGAGATTGCATGATAATAAGCTTCCACTGTACTATAGTAGAGAAGGAGCTCAGAAAGGCAGTATTTTATGGCTGTCAGTGGCTGCTACCACATCACAATATCCCGACTTAGCGTGGCTTGTTTCCTGCAGGGCTGACCGGAACTCCCCGCAAAGGAAAATGAAACCCTGCAGCCTCGCTAATTCTTGTATCTCAGCCTTGCAGGCCTGTTGAATAATAATCTCAGGGTAACGAGAACGAGATTCCACCATCTTCCGTGGCCCACACGGTCGGCCAAGGCCAATGTTGAAGCGCCAGGATGAACGTGTCTTGACAGAGGCTATAAACAGCACTGTATAACCAATCCAACACTAAATTTGTCCTCCATAAATTTCAAAGACTATTCGGTGGAAACTGGAAAATATTCGTCTTCCAGGAATCATACATAAATTGAAGTAAATTCCTTCTAGGGCATCTTTCTCGCACTACTCCGTACAACTTCCGCATTGCCGAAAAAAGCTGCTGCCTGAAGCTCTTCGCCTGCCAAGAGCCCCACGCTGGGGCATTCCGTTCTTCTGTCGCCAGGCGTTAAAATTACCAGACCCATCGGCTAAATCGGAATTCCTAACGCCGCCCCAACGAAGGACGATCATCAAGTCGGTACTGTACTGGTCAGATTCCCATAATATCTAGAACTTGAGATTTAACTCAATCATCACTGGAATAAGCGCGATCACGGAATATGGAGTAAAGTATACAAGTTCTCCGTCAACAGTAAAACGAACGGCAATTTGTCCCCGACGCCCATACTGGACGCCAAGCCTTCCACTGCTTTCTGCTGGGTCCATGACGGCATCACTAATTGATTGTCCGTCCGAGCTTCCGCCAATGGTTCATTTTATTGAATAGAAAGAAAAGCAATTTTTCAATTTTTAAGCGGTGTATAGGCATCAGCGTTCAACACCCGGCGCCTAGATACCTACACGAACCATATTCGAGCAGCGCCTGTCCCAACATCCGAGGTTTCCAGCGCGGACTTGGCGTCTATATATTCAAGGGCGAGCGAATAGTGTCAACGAGAGAACCTTGTCGGGGAACAATTACCTACTAATTCAGAGGTTTTAATCGCATTCGTCGCGCCTGCTTGTTCTGCGCGGTCATCATCAACTACCGTTGCCACGCATCTTCCAGCTCGACGACCAGTTCAAAACTAATCCTCGGCCCATGCCATTCTCCTCGATCCTCGACATCATGGCTCGTCGATTTCTCCGCGGGCAGAACATGGCCTTTGGGCTGAGTGTGTTTCTGTTCACATTCATGTTCCTCCCAACATTCTTGATCTTGTTAGCTGTTGTGGTCTTTTTCGTGCTGGCTTATCCGCGGCTGCGAAAGTCTTATGCTAGCGACGGGGACCGGGAGGTGAAACCACATCAAATCGGAGAGCATGAGTGAATGATAAAAAAGATGTGTTGAATCAATTTGGTCCTGGTCAGGTAAGTGGACGATCAAATCAGCGCTGTAATCATCTGGTGACTAACATGGAAATGTAGGGAATTTCTTGGCCGGGCTGGGCGGCATCACTGGAGTCCTTGGGATATGCATAATGTTGAATTTCTTTTCCCGACTTAATAATGATCTGTTACTGTGCGATGTGGGTGGAGTTGATAGTTTTTGTGTTATTAATGGAGATTTCCTCCCATCGGCAGATTCCTTGTTTGTCCAGGCCCTGCGCCTAGATCTGTCGGCCTATAAGAGGCCTCTGCTTCCCCCTGCCTGTTCTGCCTCCTTAGAGATCTCTAGATTGATCGGTTGACTGATTTTCCCCTTCTGATTGCTTCCTGCGTGTAGGTGTAGACGATGCCATCAGTTATCACTTTTCAAATTCATGTTTTATTATATACATCTTTCTTTGTATGATATACCAGTGAGTTTATACCGGAGTTGGCAAGTCTCAATCCCGAGATTGGACGCGCGGTCCAGCCAGTATGCCTCAACATTCTCTTCTTGGCAAATACCTTCATAAATTACATTGGAGTCATTTTCTTCATTGCTTAGGCGTTATTTCTTGATTCATCATTTGTCTCGTCCCCAATAAGAAGACCTTGAAGATTTCTGGGTTTCGAACTGATGGAATCTCAACACACTCGAATTGGCTGGCCAACCTCTTGGATCTGGTTCAATAGCATCACACCTTCATGATGTGCCTGCATCATCCATTATTGTATATTCGATGTCCATTTCCCCTCGAAATGGCGATGCCTAACACCAAGATCGTGGTCTGAACCAAAAATCGGATCCCCGGTGCCGGTGCCAGAGTTTGCCCCGGGGTCCGTCCGAAGAGCACCCGTGGACCCAACCGGTCATTCGCAATCATCAAAATCGAATCTTCCATTGGATTAAATCTTTCTAGAGACTCCATTCTAGCCCCTCATCGCTTGGGTCAACGGGTAGGGCTGGCAGGGGTGCCCGAATTCCGGAGGAACGTGGTTAGAGCCTGTGCCTGGAAGGGCTCGCGTTATATTTCCTAATTTTCCTTTCATTGTCTTCTTCTATCGCTCCGACGTCGTTTTTCGCTTGATATTAAACGCCGCGTATCGATTGGGAAAGCTTATGACTGGCCGCTTAGTGAAGGGTCCAAGCTAAGGTTGTCTCGTTTCGGTGGTCTTTTTCGAAGACACCCACAAAATCTCCAACACTATTATGGGCTGAGCGAAGACGCTGTTCCCACCGATGATCAACATCTCCAATTCCCCAAAGACGACCTTTGTTGATGCTGTCCTCACTTCACCGATGGCACTAGGTCGACAGCCAGACTATCGTATCACCAAGCGAAACGCTGCTCTGTGATCGTCAGGATGGCGATGCAGGAGCCCCCCGAAAAGGCCTCCCTGCTGATGCCGCAAGCACCGCATGCCCGCTTCAGTTTCTTCTCATCCGACACCAAGCAGGCTATCAATGCATCATCCTGGGCCTCTCTCTTCCCCGAGGGGAACCAGGATGTCATCTTCCAGGAAACCCAGAAAGCCCGCCCAGAACCCCGCCGCCCTGTCTGGTGGATCGATGTGCATGAGGCCACCGAGGAAGACGTCGGTATCGTAGCACAGGCCTTGTCCATTCATCCCCTGACAGCGGAGGATATTGCCATTCGTGAGCCCCGCGAGAAGGTCGATGTCTTCAAGAATTACTACCTTATCTCCTTCCAGACACTGGCTTCTGCCTCTCGGCCCGCGGGAAGTGCGGACCGGTTGGGGATGCCTCCTCCGGCAGAGATGTACATCCTCGTTTTCCAGTACGGAGTTGTCACCTTCTCGCCCAGTGGGTGCAGCCATGTGAGCCGGGTGCAAAATCGGATTCGCAAAATGCATGATCCTTCCATTTTGTGCAGTGACTGGATTTGTTACGCGTTGATGTATGTATACAGCCTACCCAAATGATCGTCTCCTGTGGTAGAATGATAACTAACAATATCCCAGCGACGACATCGTCGACAGCTTTGAGCCCTTCACCCGCGCCGCGGAGGCAGAATCCCAAGCCATTGAAGACCAAGTCTTCATCGCCCGCATCGACGACGTGAAAGAACTCATCCCACAAGTCGACATCCTCCGCAAGAAAATCACACACATTGTCCGCTCCCTACATGGCAAAGTCGACGTGCTTAACGGCTTCGTAAAACGCTGCCAAGCCCCCGACAAGCTCCCCGTCTTCCCAGACGGCGATCTACTGATGTACCTAGGCGATGTGCAGGATCACCTAGTAACCACATTGTCCTCGTTGGCTCATATTGACGAGATCATTGGTCGATCTCAAGCGAACTGTTTGGCACAGTTGAGCGCAACCAACTTGCGAATTAGTTTGACAATTAATTCGGCAATGAGCAAGGTTACTGTCCTGGCAACGATCTTTGTGCCCTGTCATTTGGTGACGGGTATGTTTGGGATGAACATTTATGTTCCCGGACAAGACACGCCTGGTTTATCTTGGTTTTTTGGGATCGTCGGGGTTTTCGTGGCTTTTATGATTATTTGCATGGGAATGGCGGCCAAGTTTAAGCTTTTGTAGTTCTCGATCGTTGAGAGATCTCGGTCATAGAGGTTGGACTGCATTGGGGTGGTCTGGTTGATGGAAATACGCATAGATGGAATAGACAGATTCGATTATGATATCCAGTGACTCTTGTGCTCCTAGATCGTCCTTGCGGTTTATCCAGGAGGCATAGCCGGTGCCTCAAATTTGGATTGTAAAGACTTTTTCTACGGCCCGTTTGGTTCAATGGCCACTATTTTGTGCGTGTCTTACTGACACTTTGTGTGATGAGAGCCTTTCTTCAGAGGTAACCACAATGCTGAAATTTTATGAAAATTTTCGAAGGGTACATACGACAAACTCAACGCCCTTCATCCTGACTTGGTCTCTGTAGCAGATGAGCCGACTCCTCTTGTTGCAACCTCCGCCGTGGATACGCATCGAAGGTTAGCTCTCCAACCAGTTTCCGCATGTTACTGTAAAGATTAGCGATCAACAACGAAGCAATTTACGGAGACGGATTCACTTACTCGAGGAGATCCTGCAAGCTGAAGGACACGACAGACCTGAGAACTTCAAGTGCGACAAAAGCCGAGAAAGAAGGGTCTTCAATATGTGAGATGTTGAGCAACTTGTCGTCAATCTTTTGCATTTGACGTGCCAGTGGGAAGCTTTCTGGTGTTGATAGGTATGGTGGCAACGGCTGAGCATTGGTGATCGCAGCTGACAGGTGACATAACAACGATGTGATCTGATGAGAATTGAAATCCGCAGACTTCAGAGCAATCTCTGCGAGCTGCGCCATCCACGGAGCATCGCTCTCGTGCTCTGAATTTTCACTCTCAATGGAGAGAGCATCCAGGTTCTGCGTTGTGTGCGCCATAAGCGACATACTAGTCAGAATGCGTTGTATTTCGGAAATAATATTGTCGTAGATCTCCTTTGGGAATTTGCCGCCGATCGGAGGCTCAAAGGTACTAAAGTGACTATGCATGCGTAGACCGGTGAGAAGCATCATCTCTTCCTTGAAGATCTTGTGTCGAGACTTTTGGAGATGATGTGCAGGCGAGGTCTCGTCTTCTATATTGCCTAGTTCGCCTGCGAGCCACAGCTCTATTGTTGAGTGCATGGCACTATAGAATCTGGCGAGGACGAAGAGACTCCGGCCTAGGAGCTTGCGTAGCTGCGATTTGGCAGTAATCGGGTATGGAAAGATGACCCAGAAGAAGGATATCGCACAGCCTGCGGCGACAGCGGCTAGTTTGTACGGCCCGAACAAATAGATTGGGTAGTATGGTTGTCCATTTTCCTCAGCTGCGACGACTCCCAGTTTGGCAACCTTCATTTGTGTGAGATAGGCACTGGACGAGGAGAGAGGTGATGCATACCTGAAGTTCGTAGCCGATAATCACATTGAATGTGACGATAGCGATGACAGATGGACCAAAGTACTGGGGTATTTTAACATAGGGATAGTACTATATGAGTTAGGTTAGCAATTGTTCCGCAGGGCACTTGTCTAGGACATACCAAAATCACATTAGCAATGTACAGAAAGACAATAACACCTGCTGTCTTCCCTTCCACAATGTACCACACAATGAGACTGAGAACAAGAGATATGACGGTTGCAATGATACGAGCAACGAATCCAAACATTGTCTGGCCGCTAGTTGGGCTCATGCCGATGACAATAACAATCATCGCCCAAATACATCTCTGGCGAATGAAAAAGTCTTGGGTCTGACGTAAATAGGCGAGGATTCCAACAGAAAACGAAGCTGCGGATACCCGGAATCCAAAGGTACTCTGATCGGACTTGATGACATGCGAAATAGCTCGCAGTACCATGCTCCCCTTCTCCCAGATATTCGCCGGTGGGAGGTGTTCCGGATCGGGGAAGCCAGTCAATGGTGATTCACGATGGATATTCGAAGGGTCCACATGGGATGATTGCCTGCTGGCCGACAAATTCCCCTTCACCCTGTCCTTCTCGCCGCGCAGTGAGAACCACTCCCGGATAGAAACCTGCCTTGGGAAGATGAGACGGGACCGTTTCATTGTCCCATCAGCCACCTTGCCGTTGGCAAACTTCATCAAATTCAATGTGGCATTGAGCATATCATCCTGCAGATGGCTCATGTACAGGATGAGGAAGAATTCCTGGCGTACGTCGGGGTCACCTGCGGGAATTGTGTGACCCGACCCAGGCTCTGTCTGGTCGGTATATTTCTCAGAAGCCGAAAAGGCCTCTAGCGAAGCTAGGGCCCGTGGAAGATGTTTCCTTCGCGAGTAATAGCTGCGCAGATCCTGCTCAAAGCGTGACGTAAAATCTGACTGAAGGGGATGGAGGTTTTGGCCCCTTGCTTCCTCGTCCCTGGCGGGTGATCCACCTTGATGCGGCTTTTTTTGCTTATCCAAATGCTTAGCTGAAATAAGCTCCAGGGTCAGCAAGAAATGAACCAGTCCCAGCTTGACAAGTTCAGCGGCATCCACAAGCCGTGCGTGATGCGTCTCCACTACTTTTTGGATCTCCGAGTGCTTCAGCGCATTCTCCCCTGTCCCATTGAGACTTTCTGCTCCGTCCTCGCCGTCACGCGGTCCTTCATTCTTGATTATGCTCTCCAGGATCTCCGGCAGCATTGACATTCCAGCCAGTGGAAGAAGTAAGCTTCGGAAAAGCGAAGCGATTGTACTCAAATCTTCGGGGGATAACTTGCCCCACGCAATCTCGTCCTTGGAGTAAAACAGGTCGGCATGCAACTTGCTGTGTAGGCCGTTGAGTTTGTTCATAGCCGCCTGTAGCTGTTTTTGCTTGCATTGCAGATCAGTGTCGCCCTCGCTCTGCATGTCTCGAGTGCTCATGGCGGTTCGAGCTCGGCGGAGGAATCCGTTTCCTGAAAACAACCCAGTGGCTGCACTACCTGCAGCGAAGGATGTTTGTGCCTGCAACACTCCTTCAACGGAAGAGACATATTCTTTGATGTCGTGGAAGACATTGCCTCGGCTGGTGATGGGGAGGATGAGAAGAGATACGCCGGTAGCGATCGCAAAGCCAATCATGAAACCCTTTAATAATTTCGAAATAAATTCCAGGCCCTCTGACAGGGTGATGAATGTACCAGCACGAGTAAGAGTCACTGAAGCAAAAATCGAGAAAGCGACCATGGGGTCTTGCAACTCCATCGGTTTCAGTGCGCGCAGTGCATTGGCCCCCCTTTAGATGCATTGTCAGTTTCATCAATGACTACAGTTCAGTAAAACTTACTCACCAAATCATAACAACAAGCCATATGGCAGCTACCGCACAAGCATCGCTACTGTACCCAGTGCGCACAACCTCACTTGCGTCAGCAGGAGTATTGTGCGCCCTTGCCTTAACGGAACAGAAGACAGCTAGGCAGCAAAGTGAAGCAGATACGCAGGTGGATAGTAGGTCGAAGAACATGATCTTCATGAACTTCGCCCGAGGCATCAATCCCTGCGAGAGCACCGAAATCAAGGCTGATAAATAGCCAATCGTTGTGGTAATGCTCGAGATCGCATCGCTTTGGTATCTTTGTATCGTTTTTAGTCGCAATTTTTAGAATGAGAGTCACTCAGCATACATACATAGCAATCGTGATCGTAGGTGCCAAAGCACCTTTTAGCATCATGAGAAAGCTCCGAGAATCAAGGCCGAGCTTTTTCCTCCATTTCAACGGATTCAAAAGACTCCTATGGTTCGGTTAGAGTATTCGTGTGTAGCTATTCCGACGTTGTACGTACTTGATTCCCCTAGACGTCCCCGCCTGAGGTTTGCTGTGAGCCATGGTTGGATTACAAGCTCGCGGGAGACCATCTAGAGATCTTCAGGCTCTCTTCCACTTGGGTGAAAGATTCGAGATGTTGACTGCTTCTCGGAGTGGTAAAATGAAAGAGCGAAATGAAAACTTGACTCGATATGTACTATCGGAACGTAAGTGGCTGCGTTCGGATCGGGTTGCCGTGTAGTTGCTCCGTACCGTACCGAACCAAGTGCCGATGGGGCACCGGGACGACAATTATCGGGTATCGATCGCACCTCCACCTTCTATTCGATCTTGGGGGCCAACAAAGTCCGTCAATCGTGTGATATTGCTCCGCAGCCCTCGTTCTGGACAAAGTTTGAGGAGAAAGTTCGATGGCGGGAGGATCAATCCGGAAGTCACGTGAAGGTGATCGCCATGCAACTATTACAGCTGGGATTTCAAGGTGGAGATCCAGTTTTCTCTTGAATTGCTCCTTGATGGCTCGGATTTCTTCAGGTCAGTATTATTTGTCCGTGGAAAGCAAATGGATACTATCGTATCTCGGAATGGAGTTGACTATCGATGAAGTGGGGCGGAATGGACTTCTCCCGTTGTTCACCCATGAGCTGGATAGACAACCCTCAACTAGAGATAGCTAACTAGCGAAGAATCTGTGGTATCATCGAGCTTGCTCTTATCATCCCTCTTTTCTATCTCTCCCAAATTTCTCAATAAAGCAATCATCGATCGCCGACGAGTATACTCAATTGTTCTACCTGTAAACACGGAAATGGGTGTTCTGGGCAGAAGATATATTGTTGGATAATGAGCGGTGTTCTTGACAATCAATCACCACGTTGTCTGGTTATTCAATGAGTGACATCACAAGACAATGGCCTAAACATAGGGCTTTAAAATATTCCACAGGTAGTGGCCGTCTCCATTTAATTTCCCTCGGCGCCCTGAGCATGGCAAAGCTTCTCACAGTAGTATGTCATCTACATCATCAGGATTAGTAGGTAGGACTACACCACCACCAACGGGGATTTTACCTCATCGCCACCAATATGCCACCCAGCAGAGTTACAATATGTACCGTCCTAGAGCTAATTAGCATCGAAATACTCGGCGGAGCCACAATCGAGCACGATAATCATACGAAATGGCAGTCAGGGCAAGAATCCCATTGTTTGTTACCAGTATGACGCTGCCTATAATAGTCACAGGCGCACTTGGTCTCAGCGGGTAGAATCTCGTAGTCCTTGGACCAAGTATAGCTCGGGCTAAAAGGTGTACCGCCGACCGGTTGTGTGACTCTGTTAGTCACGCAGACTGCGATGTTGTGCAGTTTGGCAAGGGCGCTGAGAAATCATTTGATGAGTGTTATAAGAATTCTTAAAGGAGACATAGACTTGACCAGGGAGTGTCAACATACCCTCCGGCAAGAACGAGGAAGACGGGAATCAAGTTGAATTTCATCTTAAGATTGTGGCTGAATATGGAGTGTAAAGTTAAACGGGATTTGCTGTGACTGACGGACTCAGGTAGCTGGCACAAGCAAACTATTTAATCTGGAAGATGCGGTTTTTAATAACACTGAGGTCCTTCCAATTATCACGCAAGATATCTATCCCCCGATTCCGATAAATTACTCTGAGACTCGGAGCAACAGTTGGATCAACTTGATCAACAAGTGACTGCTTACTTCTTGACCACGTGCGATCAACAAGGTCAACATACTAGATACAGTCAATCCTTCGGCGATCCCGTTGTCTCAGAAATTAACCTTAAACCCCAGCGTTGCCCGATAAGGTCTAATAACGAATCGGGTGGTTGATCTTCGGGGTCTTCGGGATCTTCGGGAGGATCCCTGGCTTTCTGCAGGGCACCTTAATCTGGGGATATTTCGGGGAAAATCACCACGCCGTTTCGGGATCGGTTAATTTATGTTCATGGGGCCGGAAGTGAGACAACATGCTATGAATTGGGGATTCACCCCTGGTTCTTGGTCAGTTTTTGCCGTGTGAAGTATAAGATCAGCATTTCAGAGGTGCCTTCATGGATAAAAGTACGGAAGCGATCTATCTAAGTTTTGCCAAGAGGAATATCGTTGCACATCTACTTCGGGGCGTAGATCAAATGAGACATTCTAACTTTCTGAACTTTCTGCTCAGGGACGGGTCTCACATTCGCCATCCTGCAGAGTGATTATTCCAGCAATGGGAGAAATCCATGGAGCCACGCGCTGATACCGAGCGTAGGGTTACGGCTCCTTCCGGCGACGAGGTTAGAAACGTAGGGTCGAGGCTATAGAAGCGTTGAGGGATTTGTCTTGGACTTTGACTTCAAGGACCCTGGTGACGCACATCATAACTGTATCAAGTAGAAAGCCTCCATCTTGCGAGATTAGACCTGCTGGTATCGTCGAGCAGGTTGATAGCAAAAGAACCTCACGAGGTAACAGCTTGCCAATCCATATAATAACAAACTTGCCCCGTGGCAGGGCAGGTATGTAGAAGCAGAAATCAAGCTCATTTGCAACTTCCGCATTCCTTATCTCCTCCTGAAACAATGCTTTTCAACATCATTGTCGGCTTTGCCTTGGCCACGAGTGCCATTGCGGCCCCGTTCACAACATCTGGTCTCAACAGTACCAAGTGGACACCGGATCATATCCTCCAGCCAGACGAGGTCATCCTTTATGGCGAGGACCGAAGTGAGTGTCCAGTCATAAAAAGGCCCACAAATGAGTTGACTGACAGAGCTTCCTTCACAGTGGAAATCGTCCATGAAAGTGTCTACCACGCACTCCTGGCATCGCAAGCGATTTCGCTCGATGTCCCCGAGGTCGATGATACACCCCACAGTATCTCCAACAGCGGCCGAAACGAAACCAACCTGAATGCCCGTGCCGACTGCGGGTACACCACTGCCGTCGTCACCGACAGATCTCAGACCTTCATCGACTGGGACGTGCAGATGTCCCCCGTCGTCATCGGCACTGGAGCTGGCATGGACGTCTACGTCAGTTCCGGCTACAGCGTGAGCAATGGTATCAGTGTTAGTGCCGGCCTTGACTGGACTGCCATCAAAGATAAGCTGGGCCTTTCAGTGGGCATCGACTACTCTCGCACTTGGACCACCCAGACCGTGATCAATATCAAGGGAACGGTTCCGAATGGCTACTCTGGAGTGATGATCACCAAGCCCATCAAGACTCGCAGATTTGGCCGCCTTCTGACTGGTTGCCTGGGCCATCAGACTCAGAAGGGAACCTTCTCGGCGGACTCTTACCAAGAGGGTGCTTATGCTGGTGTGAAGTGGGTTTCGGGTGCTATCACTATGTGCACCAAGAAGCAGTTCCCTCTGTCTCGTTGTAATGGACTTGGAAACTTCGTTTAAAGGCGGTTGGTCTGGACTGTTGAGTCGTTTACCTTGTGACTCGGTGCAGCTTATGGAGCGGGATACTGTGTTGATTCCAGGATGGCGACCGTAAATCTTGATGACAAGACCTTTGAAAAGCATCACAAGAGAACCGCTGAGATAGAGAATTTGAAGGACTTTTAGATTTTGACAATATATTTGTTGCTGGATGATTCAATGTTGCCGTTTGACTGGTCTTTCTCGGTAAGTGAGATACCTCGGAACGGTCCGCCCGTAGCCATGCGCAACTCTTGCCGGATTTGTAGAGTTGTGCATATCGCATAAGCCGATGCCTCTGTCATGGTCATCGTCATTGTCATATCAAATGAGTCAGAAACTCTACAATTTAAAAGCTGTTCCCACTTAAGCACACGCAAAAATGAGTCGTACATACCCATTTAGAAGCGTGGCGAAACGGTGGAAAACACAGCCACCACCACCGCCACAGATGCGAAGGTGCAAGCCACCCGTGGAGTTGTGGGTCACGAAACGCGGCTTGACTCTGAGCACGAAAATAGTCGCGTGAAGAGATACCTTTTTTAGTAGCGACCGAGGAGATAGATAACACTGCAAACGGGCTGGCCAGAATTAGAGTAAGATTTTCTGTACGGAGTACAATGACTGGCAAAGCTGTCAAATCGACTCAAAACTGGGTCAATTCCTGGGGGAAACCGGCAGGATGACATCATGTGGACCCCCAGGAAATCGTTGAGCTGTTGGATTGGCTGCTGAGCGAGACTACCACTGGTCCGCTCCGGTCGTATCGCCATCCAGCATGATACGAAAAGCACTAGAGTGTTTCGAGGAATCAATTCGGAGCGGAGGTCAGACATCTTACCGCAGTAAGACTTTGGGATTATCGATGAGGTTCAAGCTCGGGTGCCTGGCAGACCGTCTCAGTATGGGAATACTGCAGCAGTATCTGCATTGCTAGACAAGCTCGTCAAGCTTTGCTTGAATGGATTGCTTGTCCAGTCCACTGAGCTTCTCTGTCCTATGCTCTCTGGCACCGCGTGAGATTCTGTCTTTTTCTCACAATTTGGGGCGACCTCTCACACATCGTCGATCGGGTGGAGACCACATAGCCAATCATCATAGCCGCGGTAAGGCCACTGTCGGACATTGTCCATGGTGGAGCTGGATTCCCTGCGAAGGCGCACCCTTGGCAAATCCCTATAGGGATCAGGCTAAAGTACGCGTCATTTGCCGTGTTGCTTTGAACGTTTCACGGGGAGGGAAGGCGAGGCATTTCAATTGAATACTGTAGAGCATTTGACATCATGGGCTTTCTGGCTGGAGACGATGCGAGGGATATGCCGACGAAGCCAATTTCTGCGCGAAGAATGGGCCTGTCAACTGTGGACGGTACTCGTCAACATTCGTGGATCATCGGGTGATCTGCCAGCTTGCTTTTTGGTACTGCATATTCTGGAATTTGTGGAGAGTTGTGAAGTCTGGAAACCTCGGTGGCTTCATCAGCCAGTCATAATTGTCAAATTATCGTCAATGTTTTTTGAAAGTCCAAGAATAACAATGCAGTCAGAATCGCTTCACTGGATTTTCTGGAACCACAACCCTCAGCGCCAAGACCTCCGCCAAGGCTCGCGATAAATAAGGCCAGGCCCGCTCTTTCCCTTTCCCCCTGATCTTTTTACATTTCGTTCTTCGGGCTTTTTGTCTGTCCGGACATCTTCCCCTGCTTCACATTCCTCCAGGCTTGACTGCCTTGCGCCTTGAATCAGCTTCTGGTTCCTGAAATACATGCGTAAGTTATTTCCACGCTCAACCTTCTGAGTGTGACTGGCCCTCTTTATCTCCACTTATCTCTATAACTCGATTTCTCAATCGCACGCGACTGACCCAACAATGACACAGACCGTATCAACTCGTGGGCGAAAGCTCACGCCTCTTCTCGCGGCCTGCCCAATCAACCCTCCACCCTACCCCAGGCCACGAGCCAGATCCCCGAAGTCGATCCCACCACGGAGTCTTCTTCCACCTTGAAAGATGATCAAGTGACTGTCCCAGTCGAGGACCCTGCTACTACAGCAGGGTCCATAGAGGAAGAAAAATCTCAAAAACCCGGCCTCGTCACCCGCATGCGCAACGGGACAGGTCGGTTCTACAACCACACCAAGAATGCCATCTGCCACAGCTGGGTCAACGTCCTGCTGGTCTTCGTGCCAGTTGGTATTGCCGTCGAAGCTGCCGGCCTCAACCCAGCTGTGATCTTCGCGATGAACGCTGTGGCTATCATCCCTCTGGCGGGCCTGCTCAGCCATGCTACCGAGAGTGTGGCTAGCCGATTGGGCGACACCATGGGCGCCCTGATCAACGTCTCATTCGGTAATGCCGTCGAGCTGATCATCTTCATCATTGCTCTAGTCAAGAATGAAATTCGTATCGTGCAAGCTTCCCTGCTGGGTTCGATCCTGGCAAACCTGCTGCTGATTCTGGGTATGGCATTCCTGCTAGGTGGCTTGCGATTCCAAGAACAGATCTATAACAGCACCGTCACCCAGATGAGTGCCTGTATGCTCAGTCTGGCTGTGACCAGTCTGCTCCTCCCCACTGCTTTCCACGCCTCGTTCTCGGATGCCGCAGAGGCCGATCGACGAACTCTAAAGGTTAGCCGTGGCACAAGTGTGGTTCTCTTGCTGGTGTACATTCTGTACATCCTCTTCCAGCTGAGAACCCATTCCTACCTTTATGCCAGTATTCCTCAACGCATCATCGACGAGGAATCACACCCCGGCGTCCTGGCAGACTTCATGAACAGCTCTTCCGATTCGTCGAGCAGCTCAAGTGATGAATCTGTCGACACCACAAGTTCCTGGACCACTGCCAAGCGCATCAAGAGGGTTATGAAGAGCCGTCGCCGTCGCAAGTCCAGCACCAGCTCTAAGGGAACCACCTCACGCCAGTCCGTCCAGAAGAAGGCCATGATTGACGAGACCCCGAACTCGGTTGGCAACTCGATCGCCAGTAATGAAGCTAACTCTTGCGCCGTCGACATTGGTGACGAGATTCGCTATGATGCTGATGACGATGCGGGCCAACCCTCCGAGTTCCGCTCGCGAGACTTTGGTCTTGCTATGAATCGCATGGAAAGCGCTCGCAGTGAGAAGGAGCGCAAACGCGAACGCAAGAAGCGCAGAGAGCACAGAGCCGAGAAGTCTCGCAGCCAGCCTCCCACTCAAGAAGAACAGGGACAGAATACTCAACCTTCCATGAAAGGATTCACCTCAACCCCCAACTTTGCTGGTATGCCTGGTGCCGGAGAAACGGAGCAGAGGAAACGCTCCCCCTTCGGCCCTATTCCTACTCTCCTGTCCAACACCGTCTTCAGTTCTCAAATTCCTGCCCAGTCCCCCCAGCTGGGGGCTGCTGCCTCGCGCCCTGGTCTCTCTCGCAGTAACTCGCTCCCTGCTCGCGTCAGCCGCCAGCCTCCTGTTGGAAATGCCGTTCAGTTTGCCCGTGGTGCTGCTCGCGTGGCTGGTCCCACCGACCCAGTGGCACCAGAGACTGCTGTTGTAGAGGTCGAACCGGAGATGTCGCGCACCGCCGCCATTGTCATGCTACTCCTGTCTACCGGCCTGGTCGCTGTTTGTGCCGAGTTCTTGGTTGATGCCATCCCCGACATGATTGAGAATTCCTCCGTCAGTGAGGCATTCATCGGTTTGATTATCCTGCCTATTGTCGGTAATGCGGCAGAGCACGTCACTGCCGTCAGTGTGGCTATGAAGAACAAGATGGATCTGTCTATAGGTGTTTCCGTTGGAAGTAGTATCCAGATCGGTATGTGTTTCCTTCCCTATGCATCTCCCTTACTATATTCTAAACTACTATATTACAGCTATTTTCGTCACCCCGCTTGTCGTCATCATAGGCTGGTGCATGGACAAGGACATGTCCCTCTACTTTACCTTGTTTGAGACCATCTGTCTCTTTGTTACCGCCTTCGTGGTTAACTTCCTGGTCCTGGATGGCCGGAGTAACTACCTCGAGGGCGCACTTTTGCTCGCTGCCTACATTATCATTGCGTGAGTCTACCACCCACGCCACTGATTTATCACGATTCCTCTAACATTTACCAGTTTGGCGGCTTTCTTCTACCCGGGCAACAACGAGACTAGCAACCTGGCTGGCTCTTAAGCCCTCTTTGCTAGGTGGGCTGACCACTGGCAGTGTCGCTGTTTCGAGAGTTCTCGAGACAACTTGCACGGAGTTCAGCCCACCAATACTGGCTAATAGCGTATCAATCCTGACCTGGGATTTGGTACCATCGTGGCCCTGGTGATGACAGCCATCTCGCTATTTTACACACCTCTTATGATATTTCCCCAGTCGCAGACTCTAGTCACAGATTGGACACATTCAATTAGCTGCTTCAGTAATTCAATATTTATTCCTCGGGGTGTCTGCATGTCTACCCCTCCAACTACTGAAGAATTTTTCTTTCCCTTGTGGCCCATTCCAGTTTTCGTCTCTTGGCCTCTTGGCTCCCTGTAGTCATTAGTCTCCTTCCGTCCCTCATTAGTACGTTGGTACTGACCCGCCCATATCCCAACCCTACAGCTATGAATGATCTCGCTTCCACATGCCAAGCCACACTATCACCCGACACCGAGGCCACCGACTCGTCAAACCTCGCATTGTCCACACCAGCCACGTGTGATCCCCCGAGTGGCTGTGTCTCGTTCTGCCTGAGCCACATCGTGGCTCGGCATGCTTGCTAGCGCCCGCACTAACCGCCGAACTAATCGTTTAGTTCGTGACGTTGCGGTCAGCTTTTGTAACTAACCACTGTAAGAGAGCGGTATTGCAGGATTCTCGGCATTAGGTTTGTACTGCACTTTGAAGACCGCTACACTTGAAGTACTGTGGTTCTGTTCTACCCTTCCCTTTTTGGGAACGTGTACCCTTATGCGCTTGCCATTTTGTTATTGTACTGCTCCACTACAAACCCCTTTCGGCCTCGGCGGTCGAGTTGCGTACGGAACAAGAACAGTATTCATGTACGGAATATACAGCCCCTCCTCCTTTTTTACCCTGCCATGCGTGATTTGCCCTACCTACGAAGTTGTCTTTTGAGCAGTTGTAGAGAGTACAGTATTGTACTGTAGTCATCTCAATTCCCTGTTCCACGTGATTTCATTCTCTGCGCACAGCGTGGCCGTGCTACGGTGCTAGACGAGGTGTTTCGGCTAAGCGGGCGGGTTAGGCTGAAGGGCTGCAGGGTGCAGGTAGGATGTGCCCCGAGCGCTTTTCGCCCTACAGGGTTCAGGCGATCAGGAGGGTAAGGGACAAAGGATTGGATCGTGCCAAGGCTTGTCGTGACTCGTGCGTGGACCATACATACTATACTGTAGTTATGTCGGGTATATAACTCTGAACGGATTAGAGGACAGTTCTATACGGCAGCCTGATTGCCACCAATTCGATATGGATATCATCAGAGATGTGCGGTATTCAGCTCACTGGCTTGGTCGCTTGATTTCTTGTCTTCTTTTTTTTGTTCCCTTTTGTAGTCAGGAGTCATTGTCATTATGGTATGCCCGCCGAGCCTGAAAGACTTGGCCCGCTGATGGTGACACATGGAGTGTCCACCTTGGCGCGTGCTGACGGACAAGTAGCTACTAAATAGCAGGGGAACATATCTCTTGTCGCTTGCTGACTGCCCTTGTATGGCTTCGGTATTAATTGGGGGTTCCCGGTCTGCTAGCACTAGCACTGTGGTGGATATGAGTCCCCGGCCGTCAGGGGTATTTTCATCCAAGCTTGGAAGTTACGAATGATAATCAAAATTTGAGAATTCATTCTAAGGCGTAGAGATACTTTTCCTCGGGCACTCTGCATCCTATAGCGCAGAACCTGAGTACTGAAACCGAACTCTATACTCTGTACGGAGAATATTCAATGCCAAGCCACATCAAATCGCATCTGCCTAGTCGGCCCGGGCCAGGACTAGGCGCCGGAATTTAATTTCTGTCGTACTGTATGTATTCAATGTATTGTACCCATGGAATTACTCACTATTGGTAGTTTCACTGGTTCCGATTGACTGACTAAAGGCTTGTTCGGCGCTAAGAACATCCTGTGCGCTCCACAGCCCGGTGGATTGTGGCTCCGGTTATTGTTGTTTTTTTTATCCCTCAACGGGGTTCCGAGAGGCTCCATGACTCCTCTTTTTATTGTCTTGGGGGGTATGTGGAGGTTTTATTTTCAGTTTTAAAGCGGAATAGGGGAGACTGAAAGGATACACTACACTAGGTTACTTATATTAATCTGTAATCTGTCCTTCGTCCGTTTCGTCCTTTCGTAGACGGCTTTTATAGCGCTGCAATAATCAGCCCCCTCCTCATCAATTCATAAAGCTGTCACTCCTCCACTTTGTCTGATTACATTCTATTTCTCTTCTAATTCCTCACCTCCATCCTCCCTCTTCCCCCTCCCAACCTACATCCCATCACATCAAAATGTCCTACTACGGAGGCGACCCCTACAACCGCCCACCCCCAGGCCCCCCTTCAGGAGCCTACGACCAACGCCCACCATACGACAACAGACCCCCCTATGACCGCGCTGCCTACAGCGCCCCGCCCCCAATGGCTCGCCCTCCACCCGGTCCCCCTCCTCCTTTACCTGCCGGCTGGCACCAAGAGTGGGAGCCGAACATGCGCCGCGCCTTCTGGGTCGAAGATAACACTGGCCGCGCGCAGTGGGAACCTCCCTACCAGGGACAGGGTTACTATGATGGTTCGCGGAGTGTGCCCCCTCCTGAGCCCCAGGGCGGATATTATGCGGCCCCGCCGGGACCCCCGCCTGCTGGGTATGATCAGCGTGGGTATGAGGGTGGTGGATATCAGCAGCAGCCGGCTGTTGTGGTTGAGGAGAAGAAGAGTAGTAACGCTGGCAAGTACCTTGCGGCGGGTGCGGCTGGTTTGGCGTTGGGTGGTATTGCGGGTGCTCTTATTGAGCATGAGCGTGGTAAGTTTTGAATCTTTGAGTGATGGTTGATGGTTACGGCTTTTTGCTAATGTAGTTTGTAGATGAGGATTCCGAAAGAGAGGAAATCGAGGAGGCCCGTCAAGAGGGGTACTACGACGGTCGTGAGGATCAGTCTTATGAGGACGATGGCTGGTGATGTTCTTGCGGCGTAAATGAAGTGTTGTTTGATTTGGACTTTGATATGGATATGGATCGCGGATTCGTGATTCAAGACGGGGTTCTCGCATCGGTTCTAGTATTGCAGTGAAGATTTAGCTATCGGTTTCTATCAGCAGCATTTTGCATTGGACGGTTCTTACTTTTTCATCGCATTCCGGGACCCTGTTCTTTCTTGAATTTTCATTGCGATTAACTCGCAGTGAATGGTTGACCTATTGAGCGCAGTCCTATATCCACAGGCAAAGCCTTTATCTCTACCAGAGACAGAACCTGACTTCGATACCAGTCCATCCCAACATCTGCCCATGCTACAACAAAACAAAGATAGATACTCAGTTTGCATACCACCCGAAACTCGTAGACTCGCAATAGCACACATGGGTGTATTTGGATGACGCCAGTTTTGAACACAATGTTAATAGCTGACAATCTCCATGACAGTATATGGACAGCTCAAAAATCCAAAATCTTCCCAGGGTTTAACAACCAATGTGGATCCAAACTCCGCTTCAACGTCCTCATAACATCAATAGTAACAGAACCAAGTTCCTTCTCCAGACAATGCTTCTTTCCAAGTCCAATCCCATGTTCACCCGAAACCGTGCCATCCATTTCCAACGCCCGATCAATCATAGTATCAACGCATTTCTTGACGCCCGCCACTTGCTCCGGAATATCAGGATTATACATAACCGCCTGATGGAAGTTTCCATCACCGACATGTCCCAGCACAGTCGAGAACAATCCCAACTTCGAAGCGTCTTCCTTCGATTGTTCGACAATATCAGCTAGATTGGAAAGTGGCACTGCGACATCCGTAGACCAGATTTGCGTTCCTTCTGGACGGACGGAAAGAATTGCCCACAGGGCTTGTTTGCGTGCGGACCACAGTGCTGTCATGGTCACTTCGTCTAGAGATGCGGTGAAGCTGGATCCACCGTATGCGGATGCGATCGCCTTGGCTGCTGCGATACTGTCTTCGACGGCTCGTGTTGAGCCGGAGAATTTGATGAACAAGGTTGGTTTTTCGGACCACATTTTCCCGGCTGTACCGCCTGTTTGGTTGATTACTCGCATTTGGACATCGTCCATTAACTCCAGCGCTGCGAGAGCAACGCCACCACGGATCATCGATGTAGCTGCCTTCGTAGCTGCTGCAACGGAGGGGAATGCTGTCGTTGCCACGCCGAAATGAGAGGGTACGATGGCTAGCCTCAGTGTCACTTCCGTGATAATACCGACTGTCCCTTCTGAGCCCGTGAAGAGACCATTGAGATTGTACCCAGCCGACGTCTTCCGTGGTCTCCGACGGGTCTTGATGACAGTTCCATCTGCCAGAACGACCGTCAAATTAACAACCCAGTCTTTCATCGTACCATAGCGCATAGCATTCGTTCCACTACAATTAGTCGCAACCATACCACCAATATGCGCCGTGGGACTCGGATCCAGCGGCAAGAAGAGACCCGTAGATTGCAGTGTGTCGTTTAGATTCACCCAGTTCACGCCGGGTTGCACTACGACATCCATATCTTCATCATGAATAGCGATGATCTTATCCATGCGGGACATGTCGATGCTGAAGCCTGAGTAGGGCGCGCTGAAGTGGCCTTCGACGCTTGATCCGGCGCCGAAGGGGATCATGGGGATCTTGTATTTTGTACAGATTTTGGCGATGAGAGAGACTTCTTCAGTGCTTTTGGGCATGATGATGGCGACGGGGCGCGTGGAGACGTTGGATGTCGATGCTTCTGAGTAGCTGTGGCTCTCTAGATCATCTTTATCCATGCTGACGGCGTCTTCGCCAAGGAGTTCCTGGAGTTCTTTGGCAGCCTGGTCACTCGTCAGTACAATGAAGTCGAGATGAACAATCTTGGTTGCAAACTTTGAGCATTGTTGGTTTATCGGCATAACTTGGAATGCTCTTTGTTATGCTCTGCTTTGGGTCCGAGCTGTTTAGGCTGTAGAACGCGGCGGATGTGCCGAAAGCACCGACAGCTAGACCGATAACGCCACATAGGACTGAGCTGGCTTTTCCAGGTGCCGCTGTTGCAAACCCCCGTCTCGGTGCTAATTGAATGGTTCGCGACCTACTCTGCACGCGGAAGAGACGAGGCGCCGCCCTTAACATAATTCCCTTCATTGTTGCGGACTATGGTCGCGTCCGCGTTCGTAAGCAAAAACGAGTCTTGAGCTTGATTCCAGTGATGAGTCAGTCACATCAGATCTTTGATGCAGCTCTTAAACCTCTGGGTGATGAGAGTTGTGAGGTGTTACCCTTACTCTCGTTACCAGCCCCCTGATAGGAGTGGAGCCGGATTTTCCCTTTGGGTGTCTTTCCGTGTGGCTGACCAGTCATCAGTTGATTGGCCCGCATCGATCTACTCCAGCCTAGTAAACAATATAAAAGGTCTGTTATGCACCGCAATCCTAGATGGAGATCTAATTGTGTTGACGGAGATTTCCTTGTTGTGGGAAATTCCTTGTTTTTTCAAGCCCTGCGTATTGTTCTGCCGGCCTATAAGAGGACTCGGTTTGCCCCTTTGGACTGCTTCCTTTGCTTTTCTGTATATAGGCGTAGAGTACGCCATAAGATATTATCTTGAGATTGGTTTATTTATCTTGAAATAGAGAGGTTTCGAAATGTGGGCAGATATATGGAAACAGACCACCCTGGAACTCAGCCGGATTCGAAGGCATTCTTGATGTTGTGGAGAAGTACCCTGAACCAATATCAAACAAACGCCAGCGTGGCTGCCTTTTCCAAGTTTTCGAAATTTACTTCTCTCCGATGGAACTTGGATTCAGTCACTCCCTATCATCATTCCCGTCATTATCCCTTCATCACCTTCACACTTCCTTCCATCCCCTCTATCTCCAAGCATTTCAATCAAGATGGCGCCGGTCCTCTCCACGCCACGCCCAGTCGTGGAGGTCCTTTGCGGAGACCAGTCTGCGGGGAATGCAAAATCGTCAAAAGGCGATGCTCTCGTGACCGGCCTAGCTGCTCACGATGCGAAGCTCAAGGCAAGGAGTTCAGATACCCAGACGACAGCGACCCGAGGGCAGAAAACCCAAGCTCCATTGCGGATACCAACCTGGATACCCCGGCTCCAAGCATCGTCGCCTTTTCCGCACCTTCTCCCTCGATCACGCCTACCTTGCCTGTGAACCGGAGACTGTCATCTCTCTCCCAGAGTGCTCCCAGCCAGAACGCTCCAACTGACAATACCCCCACTCAACAAACTCTCCACTTCGAGAACGTGTCTCTGCTTCCCATGCTGGATGCGGAGGAAATTCGTGACCGCTAGTTGAAGCCGTACTTGATGATGGGTACTGGCCAAGTGCCTAACTATTTCCAAGCTTGCACTGTGCAGTACCTCTCGTACGTTTTGCGATCTTACCCCTGCCGGCTACTAGACAGAAATATTGTCCCACCATTTATCCATCCAATGCAGCTTTCGCGGGAGCCTGCCTCTCCCGCTCTAGCGAAGTGCTCCCATATCGTGCGCTTGTGGACGGATCGCGCCCCCCGGCAGCGAGGCCATTGCCATTGCCACGCCGAAGAGCGTGATTGACCAATTGATAGCCGAGGTAGGCAGTGACACGAAAAAGATCATCATAAATCTATCCAGCACGTCAACACACCTCTCTAGAAACAATCAATTAGCGATTTCGAACTACTGTGCTCATTCCAAGCTGTCCTCGTCTACATTCTAATGGCATATTTCTTCCCAATCCACGACACCGCCATCCTGAGCGAAAGCGATATCGGCAGGCTCCAGCAACTCGCCTTCTACTCCGCCAAACGAGGACTCACTTGCCCAGACCACCCAAATCCGTCCAGACTGGGAATCTTGGATTGTGGCCTCGGCCAAACGACGTACACTGCCGACCTTATTTCTTTTCACCTGTCATTACAATACTTCGAATAACATGCCAAGTTTTGCATCAAATGTATTGGCCGACGTCCTGGCTCCTGAGAGCAAGGCGTTATGGCAGGCGTCTGATCGGGCGTCATGGGTGGCGGAGTATAACCGTCATTTGGCTGAGTGGCCGGATGGGATGGTGGTCATGGGTGAATTTTGGCGGTCTCCTGAGGCCGGATCTGAGCAGAAATCTGGGCGCATTGAGCGGTGGTTGAGATCGGCAGATGAGTTTGGGATGATGCTTTTGGCGGTGACGGCGCATCTTCGTGGGTGTTGATGGGAGAGATGATGATATCAAGTGGTGATGATGATAGCGGCAAGGTAGTCGCGTGTTCCCTCCTACTGGGTTCTTTGGGACAGATGGACCAGATATATTTTAATGTTAATATTCTACCTTGAGGATAGTTAGCAATGTTGATGTCGATCAAATTCCCCCGCAATGCACCCCGCTGATCCCTGTTCGGAGTGTAGATATTCCGACCGTGTCTGTGCGACACTGTTTAAAACCCCAACCCCCTCTTCCTTGCATACTCTCTCCTTCTTCTCGTCTCCATAGCTCAGGACGCTTACCTGTGATTGAATTCCGAGTTCAATGACACCAAGCAGCTCTCGAAACTCCTTTGACTCAGCCCTATCATCAATCTGATATCGAATCCATTCGCCCTAACCACAACAATGATCAGAGCTGATGTGCCTATCACGTCGCGGTCGGCGATTGGCAACAAACCCAGTCAACCCCACATTAAAAGGTTCTCATAAGATCATGGCTTTGATCTTATCTCCGTAGCTTTCCAACGGGTATCTAACCCCGGCGACGACAAGCTCCCACATTTCCGTTTTTGTGCGGGTGTCGATTGCTGTTTGCCTCTTAAGTACCCATATCCAATCCAGAAGACATACACAGCATGTTTACACGATGCTTCTCCATTTGTGTTTACGTGAAAGTCAGTCTTCTACATTTATATAGTTTTTCCATGTCTACTACAGCCCAGTGAAGTCTGTAGATACAATCAATGCACCTGTATATTCATTTCGTAGCCATGACTCGTTCATATTCATCTCGATAAGCACGACTACCCTTTCTTGTGGTAATCTAGCAAGAAACAAAGTTGTTACCGCTGGCACCAGTGTGGGTAATAACACCAGCCAACTCGTCATTTCCGTTGAAAACAACACGGTCCGCACCGGGAGAACCACCAGTGTACACCTTGCCGCTGCTCAAAATCGGGAACTCATAGTAGGTGCCGGAAACGGGGAAATCGAAGCCCTCGTAGTTGTTGTAGACGTGGGGGTAGCTGTTGTCGGTGGTACCGGCCTCGTGCAGCTTGTAACCGCCAGCCTGGGCGGCGCTGACGGCGCTGCTGGTGTAGCAAACTGAGCCGCAGGTGTAGGCGCAGGCGCGCTCTGCCAGGGGTGCGGCGATGGTGGTAGAGATGAAGAGGGTGGCCAGGGCCAGGATCTGGAGGGGTTGCTGTTAACATCGGATTGGGAATTTCCAGTTTTGGGGACGATTGTACCTTGGAGTACTGCATTTTGAGTTGGGTTGATTGATAAACTTCGAGTGGATCACTGGGTTTTTCGGTGTGATCTGCGATACTTGCTTCTCCAGTAGATCTGGGATATCAGTCGGTTTATATAGACACGACAGAGCACCTTGATTTATCGCACCGAGACCTGCATAACCTAGTGAGCATCTCGAAACATGACTGCAAACAATGTTACATCTGACCATCCAGCGATATCACAATCTCATTGGCATTTCCAAGATACAGCCAGCAATGGCCCTACTCACCCGCACCAAACCATACTACAACAGGAATATCCGCCGATCTGCAGCACCCGCGCTAGAAGGCACGAAACATCACGAGCGAGGTACAAGCCTGCTATGATTGGACCAAGCGGCACAGCGTGAGTGATCGAGTGGTGATTGGAGTTCTTGCAACATGCAGCGCCCTATCCGAGGGCGTGCAAAGGAAATGATCGGCCGGGTTTGACATCTTCGGGGCGTGGGCCCTTGTCGGTCACTTAGTACAGCTTATGTGGACCGAGTCACTTTGTCGGATTGTTATCGGGCCAATGGGTAGCGGCCGTTGGGGGCACGATGTGAATGGAGTTGTTGGCGGATCTTCGGGGTGCAAATGCGGGGGGTGTTTGGGGGCGGGAAGAGCGGTCGCTGAAGAATTGTTCCGCAAGTTAGTACAGAAGATGGGATTGAGAGAACCGAAGCGAGATACGAACATAACTTTTGTTGCAGGAAGTATACTGTACCTGCTAAGGGTGAGTTAAATGTTTATCAGACGGCTCGGCGTCCTCCGCCTGAGAGGGAGAAGCGGCGTCCCGACGGAATCCCGCGGTCATCTTCTTGATCTAATCTTGACTTGGCATTGGGGTAAGATGCAGACATTGATTAGATTCGGCAATTTCATTTGTCTTGCAGAAGGGATATATTGCTAGAAATAAGCAGCGTACAGATTTACCCCACAACAATATCGCTAATGCGAGACCACCACTGCCGAGGCTTCTTTGGCTGATTGTCTTCTTCAGCAAATTCTCTTCTGCCGGTCCAAATATCCATTTCCTCCAATTTGACCCACTGAGTCTTGTGCCAGAATTTGTAAACAACCACAAAGAGAACAAACACTGGTAGCAAGATGTAGTTGATCACAAAATCGGTGGAACTGAACGGGTTCAAGAAGCACGTGTATCCCTGGAAGAAGACTAGGAAGACGTTTGCAGCCAAGGAAAAATAAGTCCCGTAAGGATATAGTGCAGCCCGGTAAGGTAACGCGGCTGGGTCTTGTCCCTGGGCAACTAATGCACGACGGAACCGAATGTGGCAGACGCCAATAACGGCCCAGACGATAAATGTAGCCACTGCGTATACCTTGTGTTAGTTGCAGATCATGTAAATGGCGGTGGGCGAGATAAACATACCACCCGACAATGTTATCAAAGCAGAGTAAACCTTGCCAGCGCTAGATGACTGTCCCAGGAACACAATGCAAGCGAAGACGTTAGTGAAAATAAGACCGACCCAAGGCACGCCGGCTCGGTTGGCTCGCCCAATGAATTTTGGAGCTTTGCCATTGCGTGACATAAACAGGAGTGTTCGAGATGCCACATATAGTGAACTGTTTCCTGCGGAAATGACGCTAATAACAATCAGAGCGTTGATCAGATGGGCCGCGGGGAGGATTCCAGCATCTTGCAAGGCGATTGTCAGAGGGGAGCTGGCAGTTTTGGAAGTCGATCCCAGCAGTCTGTGGTCGTTGGATGGAATTAAGATCCCAATGAAGAAGATGGTACCTGAAGAACATCAGCCTTGTAATCATATGGGCTAGAGGGTTGACATACCAATATAGAAGATAAGAATGCGCCAAAAGACCTGTTTGATAGCACGCGGAACCGCCTCTTGCGGATTCTTCGATTCTCCAGCTGTGATTCCAACCCTAAAGTCTGGTCAGATCCCGAGTATTATTCAGTGTCGAGGATCCAAACTTACATCTCCGTGCCTGCATATAATGTTCCTGCCACGACAAATGTCTTGGCGACTCCATTGATTGAATCTGCGAAGGCTCCTGGGTCATGCCAGTACCTGAACCCGATTTTCTCAGGGCCAATACCTCCAGAACTTATGCAGATAGCAAGAATGAAGAACACAACGAGAGCTATAACCTTGATTCTGTGCACGTGTTAGTGCCTTGTCTTTCATCGTGGGATTTGAAAACCAGTGTTTACAGGGAAAGCCAGAATTCCATCTCTCCATAAGCTAGGATTCCGAGATTGGACAGGCCGAGGAAGAGGAACCAAAAAATGAGGATCCAGCCCCATTGCGGTACTGCTTCAGTCCAGTAGCCAATAACGAGGGATATTGAGTTGTATTCATTCGCGAGGACCTTGGCGTCGCAGAGTCGTCAGTTTATCCATCCATGGTGGTCATGTGCCTGCAGTAGATACTAACCGTAACCCAAAGATACCAATATGCCCAACCCAGCGCAAACGCAATCGAGTCATCGATGAATCGCTCCGCATATTCAGTAAATGATCCAGTCACAGGAATGACAGTCGCCATTTCGCCCAAGGATTGCCTGTTACAGTGAGCAGATTGCCAAGCAGCCAAGAAGCGGGACAAGTGCTCACATCACGAAGAATACGATAATTCCGACCAGAGAGAAACTGATCAGGGCACCTGCTGGACCACCCTCATGCAATGCATTTCCTGAGCTGACTAACAGTCCAGGGCCGATAATTCCTTTCTTGCAAGTCAGTTATATCAGACCAGATATTGCTTCGAATTGAAATAACTAACCTCCAATGGCAATCATTTGCAGATGCCTCGACTTGAGCTGCCGCTTCAACGGCTCTGCGAATGGATCTTGCACTCCAGACTCATCGTCGCCGCGATTTGTCGCACGTCCCGAACGCGAGCTGTTGCTTTCTGCATCCTTGGCTGGTGCCCGGTATGCGGTCGCGGCATAGTCGTTTTTATCTGCCATCGTGGCAGGCGCGCAACTTCCAAAGGCTGCGGTGATTATTTGGCGCGATAGAACAAAACATAAACTGTCAAGCTCACCCGGGCTCTTTAAGAGCCCGACACCAAGACTTCAACATCTCGTGCCCAGAAAAACGTGGGGCATAGTGTGACATCGCGGTGACCCATTTCGGGCGGCGTTCATTTGCTGCTGATGTCGTGATAAGCCCCCAGTCGGGGACGAGCGATGATCGCGGGGCTTGAAGGGGATTGTCCTGTGTTACTATGAGCTTCGCTGGATGATATTCGTGTAGAAACTTACTGAGCAGTGTTGTCACGACTTGCTTGTATACTCCAGGACTCATCTCAGCCGCCCTCATAGTTTCCTTGTTCGATTGGCGGCGCGCAATAATTATCTGATCTTCGTACTACCAGATCAAGCGTAGTGTGGATCCAATCTTGGTAGAGTGGAGCATCGTGCCTGGCGGGCCATTTAGCGGTCGCACGTCATAAACTCAGTTATGGGATCATTGTCCAAACAGGGGTATGGTCTTGGCAATGTAGGCACTATATATAGTGGGTTCCCGTCAGTTAAAATCTTGTATATCTCCAGGTACGAATAACCGATTCGAAATGCAATCGAATCGAGTCTTCAAAGTATATGAAGTCCTTCGACAAGGCGACTTTGCTGCTACTACCATTGAAGGTGGGGGACTTACTGCAACGATCGTGTGGCAGTGATATTGGGTATTCCAATCACGAATGGAAACAATTACTGGCAAAGTGTATCCTTGGACTGAACTTTTAGTGTTTATTTGTATGTTAACAAGGATTGAATTCCATGTCAACGAGTCCAGTGCATCTCAGAAATGCCGAGATCAAATCGTAGTCTTTGTGAGATATTATCACCGATACAGGGACCCACTGAACGTAGTGGTGAGGTACGAGAGGGGAGAAATGGGCAAACTGGACGACAACATCTCAGCAAACCGCGGATCGGTACTAAGAAAACGGGGTGCTGTGAAGTCGTTGCAGATTCCTTGAGACAAGGTGGCCCTTGGGGGGATTTCAAACAAGTCATGCGTGTCTCGAAAAAGGTGAAATCTCGATGTCCCATTCATCGTCTGAATCGAAGTCAGGAAATTCGCCCGCAGATACAACTTCGGCTGGCAAAGATGCCTGTCTGGCTTGTCCATTCCGTGCCACGAGTCAGAAAACTCCACCCGTGACGAGCCAGTGCTTCAACACAGATAGACCAAGCCCAGTACTTTCATTGACTGCCTTGTGAACCAACACATTCCCAACTGTATTAAAGGCCCAGCACAGTAGTGTATCACGGTGATCTCCCGGTATCTTCACTCTCCCAGTATGTATTTCACCTCGTTCACGTTTTTAGGCCTCGCCCAGGTAATCTCTCCCTTGGCTCCCCTTTCAGGCGGATGGAAACGGGCAACCGCGAGGTACGAGGTGTAAGATTTGGCGATTTGAGGGTGGGGAATCTCCGGCAGGAGACCAATTTATATAACGAGCGAAAAGAATAGATTAGCCGATGATCAAAGACAAGGACTGAGTCTGGGGAAAGAAACAGACACTATCCCCAGCAAAAATCATAGTCACGATCTTCCAGTTCTGCACCTTTTGCAGTGCCACTGGCAAACTTGAGTTCAGGGAGAATACCCAACGTCCGAAGATCTGAGAAAACTGAGATAAACCTTTTGCAAAGGTCGATGAACGAGCAGGGCTTGTGGCACTTGTATTGACTCCCACAGACCCTCAGACTGGCGTTAATTTGAAATCATCAGAGGCTTCAAGAATCCTTTGTGTCATCACGGGGCCAATTGCACCAACGAATGGGAAAATTTTCAAAAGCTCGGGGGGACGGTGGAGGGAATGCAGCGCAGTTTGGAGTTGCTGATAATCAATATGACAAAACATAACCTACTCACACTTCGACTCTTGACTGATCATCATTCGGCGCTTATGAACTGGATTGCGCATCTCAAAAAATCGGCTGCGGTGATGAATTCAAGACCGGAGAGAAGATTGCACACGTTGGTCGGGGTATTTCTTGCATCGCATAACATACCGCGGAGATAAATTTTGATTGGAAATCGTATAAAAGGGGCAGTTGATGACTGTAGCAAGATTTAGACCATTAGCAAAGTACACCAAATAGACTGTAACACCAGAGCAGAGCATAAATTACTTGAGAAATGCTGAGTTGAATTGTCTGCAATCCATTTTTCCAAGATCGTCCGGAGCCTATGGCTTGACATGGAATCATATGCAACCGCGGGACCAAAAGGTCTGATCATTGCGCTCAAGTTGACCCTCGTTGTAACGGACGTCACTCACCATTTGCAACAATCAGGCAGGGCTATTCGATGCTAAGAATGGTCAAAAAGATTGGTTTCCAAATCTAGATTCGAAAGTGCCCTGGTGTAAATTGGATACGGCCATGGCATCCTGAGCATTTGATGTACACATACCTTCCATGCTCAACACCCAAGTCAACTCCACGACCATGTTCTTCTCCCCAATACCCCCTCGTGTGGGAATAGACCACTCTGTTGCTTTTTGTCAGTAGCTGCAGATGTCAAATTAAATCTCGATGGTGGAGGTGCTGAATACCCGAAGATCTTAGCATGTCTTCCTTAGCAAGGAGCCAAAAAACAAGAATGGGTACCATAGGATGATAGAAGGTACAGACATACCCTGGGAAGAGAAAAAGACGAGATATTTTGGGTTGTCAACGATGGGGTAGTGGCAATGATAAGGATTTTGCTCTCAAGCCAACGAGACCATGTCAAAGAAAGATGTCAAGACAAAGCATACCCGGCTGTAATCGACAGATATATGCAAGTACCTGCAAGGAGCCGACATGACAGACAGAAAATGCACACATCAGATGAGAGACATGACAAGTTTTTCAAAGACAAAATAGGCTTACCATAGGTTATGTCGAGAAGTGGGTCAACTACTGGAGTGACGTCTATGCTGATGGGAAAGTTTGCAAATATCATGAAGACGCGTTCGACTGCTGCCCGACGCGTCAAAAAGAGGTTTCATTTGATAAAAAGTACACGATAAAATAAAGCACACATAGAGAATGACAACTGGCCAAGAAGTAGCCCGCAAACTAAACAGTTCCAGTCCCGAGATAAAAATATCAGTATCATCATCAAAGCGAACACACCCCAGGGTGGAACGCACATGTGGCACAGCATCACAGCAACCTCGCCGACAGTCACTAGGGTAAATCATGATACAACAAGGATTTGAAAAATAGAAGCTGCTCAACCTTATCCATGACATCTCACAAAACATGAAAGGGTTTGAGGGAGCAGAGGAATCGGGGATGAAGTAGACAGGAATGTCCAACAACAGTCAGTACATTTCTTCGTAGGGCTCAGACCAGTAAGGGGTTTGTAATCACCGACCTGAAACAGTCTAATGGGCCTCAGAAAGAAAGTCAAGGTATTTGGGTCATCATTGCGCTACAGTAGAAGAAATATCAGCCTTAACGAAGAGGGGAAACCAAACCTGGGGAAAGAAAAAAGAAAAGAAAGATGGAATGAGGAGGGAGATATTAATATTATTCTGGCAACTCCAGATCACACATCCAGGCAGGAAGATCACGCTGGTCGTAAGCCTGATCACGGAGTTATCCAATTATGAAGCTGAACACTCGTCGCTTCCTGATTTGGATGTTTGATTTTGGGATCATCACTCATATTGTACATAGACTGGATTGAAAACCCAAGCAACCTGCGCGCGAGTCTGATCTCGAACGTTCCAAGCCGAATTACGATTTGAAAGTCTCGAGGCCGTCGCGGGTCATGTAGACTATCATACGTTTCAAATTTAAGATTCATTCAGTAATGAGAACTTTGGATCGGGGCAGTCAAAAATTTAAGGTTGGGGCATATGTTCATGAAGTATACAATAAAAATAAGAAAGACGCTAGTCCTCGCTAAGCCCACTAGCGCCTTTTCCAGGCCCCACCCAGTATTATTTAAGAGTCCGAAGAGCATTGATTTTCCTTCTCCCTTCTCCTTCTCCTTCTCGGGATCAAAACTTTCTATTGTGACTATGTCGTGTGGTTTATAACATCTCCAAGTCCTTCCCGAGTCCTCCATCTCCCTGGGCGACGACGGCGACATGAACCACCCCTCAAATCGCAATCTTCGTTGAGAGAAGCCAATGGCTCGTCCATCGACGAAAAGATGGCAAGATTCAATCCTTACAAATTTTCAGTCTCATTCATCCCGATTTCGTGGAGGGGCAAACGACTGTGTTGCGCTGACGACTAAGCGTGGGATCTGCCGCGGAGGCCACGCAACCTCCCCCGCGGGGCCAACACTCCATTTCAAAAAAGGTTTTCACTCCAAATCTTTTCCTTTCATCATGTCTTCCTCTTCATACCCTTCACCATCATTTTTCATCTCTTGGTGGAGGGAAACCCCCGAGGGGCGTGATCAACATGGCTCTTTGGGCTGGCCGCATCGCTGAGCCAGCTTCTCTATAAAGGTTTGACCCCACTTCGCACTAGTTCCATGTCAGTAACTGATTTCTCGTCTTTTATGAACAGTATCCTGGAATATTCTGAAGCTTCAGACCAACTTTAGTATGGAAAGGTCTTGCTCACCTGGTATGTGTATTCACAAACTCTCTCAAGAACTCATGCTTTTGCTGACGCTCTTCCGCGCCCAAGTTCAGTGCGGCATACAGAGCTTCTGACATCTCAGTCGTGTTGGCTGGATGGAAGGGGATGCTGCCATCTCTCATGAAAGTTGCTGACCCCGCGAACTCTGAGAGTACGAGGACGCCTTTCTTCTTGTCCTGGCAAGCCACATATTCGAAAGAAACGAGGTTCATGCCATCCCGCGTCGATGACAACAGACATGCATCTGCTACAGAATACAGTGCAGTCAGCTCTGTGAATGGCACTGATCGATGCATGTACAACAACGGTGTTCCCTCGGGGGTGGCTGCATGACATCAGCTTCAAGTCGTCATGACATGGGTAAGTCTACTATACCGTGCTTGCCGTTTATCTTCCCAGCCAATGTACTAAGTTCTGTTTCTAGTTCTTGATACTCTTTCACGTCTTCACGACTTGGGACCGCGACCTGGATGAGAACAACCTTGTTCCGCAGTTCCGGGTGGTCATCCAAGAACGAGTCAAAGCCTTTCAGCTTCTGCGTCAAGCCTTTGATATAGTCGAGTCGATCGACTCCCACAATGACCTTCATCCCTTTGTACCGCTCTTCAAGGGTCTTGATACGGTCTTGGACTTCTTGTTTCTGCAATGTGTCTGCAAACTTGTGCGGGTCAATACCAACAATGTATCTACCTGCGCATATCAACCGGTCTTTATACTGGATCTGGTTTGGAATCTCGGTATGTGCTCCGCTGGCAAAACTTAGTTTATTCGAACATGGAAATTGGCGGGGTGGCATCATCATGGACGCAGGGCTGACACTTACAGATTACTGGCACAGGTGTCGATGAAGTTCTGCTTGTACTCGTCCGTGTGAAACCCGATCAAGTCGCTCGACAACAATCCCTCGATCAAGTGTTTCTTGACTGGCAACGTTCGCCAAAAGTCACCAGCTGGGAATGGCGTGTGGAGGAAAAACCCGATGGCACAACGTTTATTCTTCGTCTGGAGTCGGTTGCGGAGAAATTCCGGCAACAACATCAAATGATAATCATGCACCCAAATCAGGCTTCCGGGCTCTGCTGCGTCGGCGACTGCATCGGCGAACAACTCATTGACTCTTCGATACGCCTGCCACGGTCCATCTTCATACACCACGCCCGACTGATAATGGAGGATTGGCCACAAAATTCGATCTGCGATGTTTGTGAGGTTACCGCGCTCAGCGGTGCGGGGTCGCGGGGTTAGGGCTTACTCGAGAACATATTATAATGTTCGTGCGCCAACCCGCTATCCAAAAAGATCGGTGTCGCATCGTGTTCATCCAAGCTCTTGCACACTTCCTCCCTGTCCTTGCTATCCTTGACCTCGATACCGGGCCAGCCAAACCATCGGAATTCGGTCGACTTGGTCAGCCCCGACAATGCGGTGACCAACCCGCCACTCGAAATCGACGATTGATACGTGCCATCCACGCGTTTGATCGACAACGGCAGTCTATTCGACACGATGATCAAGTTACGCTTCGATTCATGCGGTCCCATTCTGAATCGAGAATATAGTCCTCGCCTGCTTGTGCAATTTTCGTCTCGCTTTGCTCCAGGTATTGCTCTCCGGCTTCCAAAAAATCGGTCTTTTTTGTCTTTCCTGGAAATTTGCGATCAATTCAACTTCCAATCCTCATGGGAAATGAAAGAAAGATTGCTCGGGTCAGAAGGAAGGAAGCTTCTCATATCGCTGAGTGTTCACATCGCCTCTTGCCTCAGATGGCAACTACGTCTTTCGGAAATCCGGTCCGTCGCCATGTCTAGACCAGTCACAGTCATCATCATTCCCGTTTGTCACCTATCTTATCTATCTCTTGCAGAACATATTGGGTTGGGAGGGTGGGCTGTTCTGCGTAGTGATAGAGTGATAGACTGATAGACATAGACCGGATAGACGATAGACGATAGACTTGGGCATTTTGGCGCATTTTGGAGAGGGCGGGCGGGTGGGACTGTATATACCTGATTGTTTTGTACATATTCGGTTGACTTGTACATATTGAGGGTTGACCTGCACATACATGAAGGATGTACAAGCTGGTCTTCTACATCCCTCGACCCCTTGGACTACTTGGACTACTTGGACGACTTGGAGCATGCGTGGGTGGGTGGGTGGGTGGATTGCACATACTCCTGACCTCTACATACTGTACATACTGCACGACTTGCACATACAACATCTGGAGAGGGTGGGTGGAATGGTTTGCACATACAATGTCCTGTACATACAAGAGGACTTTCACATACTGTTTGAGTGGGTGGGTGGGAGGATTTGCACATACTCATGTCGTGTACATACAGCTGACTTGTACATACAGACAGCCTTGCACACACTGGACAGTTGGAGAGGGTGGGTGGGATGGATTGCACATACTGTTGTTTTGTACATACTAGCGACTCGTACATAGCTGACGTCGTACATAGCTAGACTTGGGCAACTTGGAATACTATTTTTATTTGTACATACCCAAAATCTCGGAGCAATGCAGAAGATTTGAGAGTAACTTTTGTGTCAACACTTAGAATAATCTCCAGGGGAATATCTCGAATGAGGTCAAGGAAGACGTTCAGGAAGACATTTGAAAGGATGTTCGGAATCGTATCCGGAAACCAGTCTGGGCTATTATTTAGAATATTATCCAAAATAGGAGACTCAATAATCCCGGGTTGTCCGAAGACGAACTCGTCGTCCATACGTAATGGGACTTGGTAGTCTTGCCGGTCTGCTGTGATAGCTCTCCAATTGTGCTAGAAAAGTCTCCCAGCAAGGAAGGCATGGAGAGTTAAATAGAGTCTAGAACAAAGTTTACTATGTTTATTTTGAAAACAAATTGCTGCTCTGAAACATTCCCATTTTCATTGAATTCTATTCGTAAGGCTATTCCTCGTCGCACTCATAAAGAAGTAAACATTCCATCATATGCAGGTCAGCTGTCAAACCCACGGTTCCCCACAACTCTAATGCTTATTTCCTCTCCGCCTCTGCAGCCACATGACTAACACAAAACAAACGATTCCAGCCGCATATGCGCATCCTGCAAACGCAATCAGACCCCAATATGCGCCTTCGCAACGATGCAGAATTTCTCCTGCGATGGGCACACCGGTCAAGGCGCTATCAAAATGTCAGCAAGATTCATTACCATAAGCAAGAGCGGACGAATTGGAAAGGACTTACCCAAAACTGACAAAAGTATATACAGTCGTATAATACCGTCCATAATTCTCCACGGGGCATAATTCCCCAACGCAAACAGGGACAAGACTGATATTGCTTCCACTCGCAAAGCCAAACACGACCGAAAATATGATGACGGCGACAACATTCGTCCCAGCAGGCATCCACACCGCCAATACCGCAACCAGACACAAAATATTCGTCAAGAGCAATGTATTAAACCGGCCAATTCGGTCCGCAAGAATACCAGGTAACCATCGTCCGGGGAACGAACCCGCGTTCAAAAACACAACCATCAAATACGATAGCTGACGCGGGATACCATTCGCAAGGGCATACGAAGCGATATACTCTAACGGAATAAAAAAGCCCCATTCAATAAAGAACACACCCAGAGTCGTCAGCGCAAGAACCGGATCTCTCAGAATCGTCAAATCCGGTAGAAACACCTTCGCGGACGGCGGCGAGGGAGTCTTCGGTGGGAAATTCGCTCGAACAAGTAAAAACCCCGGAATCAATAGCACAAGCGTAATCAAGCCAATAATCCGAGTCGACCACGCAAATCCCACCTTGGGGGTAAGATTCTCCAAAACAAGCGGGAAAACCACACCCCCAATACTTCCCCCTGACAACGCAAGACCCGTCGCAGCACCACGCCTTCGACAAAAGAAATGCCCAATGCTCGCAACAGGAACAATGAAAATAAATGACGTCCCCATTCCACCCAGAATCCCGATGACAACCAAAAAGTGCCAGTACGCGGTGCAAAAGCCCATTAACACGAATGTTAACACGATGAGCGCTGAGCCAAGCCACATCAAGAGCCGCGGACCTTTTGCGTCGAAGATGGGTCCTATTTGGATTCCGCAGAAAAAGACGAGGAAGTTGTAGAGTCCGAAGATCCAGCCTATATGGCCGGAGCTATGGGAGGCGAGTTGGTGTGTTGATATCCAGGCTTGGTAGATGCCGATGCTGTTCATGAGCCCGAGGCCGCCCATTATGGAGCTGAAACTACCTAGGACGACCAGGTTGGCGCGGAGGCCGCCTTCGGGGTAGCTGTCTGCATTGATTTTGGGTTCGTGGTGCATTTGGCTCCTGTGGTTGTCGGATATATATCTTGGCGGTGATGGAATAGTTCAGTTCAAGATAACTAAGATGGAGATAAAAGTAGTTACAAGGAGCAATTTTTAAGTACTGAGTACCTCTTATATACCCTCTAATGAACCTCAAATCTATTCAATCAAAACTATACTCTACCTACCTTAGGTACCCATTCGGCCAATATCCGCCGTGGGTTTACAAGACCTCAGTATAGAAAGCCGAAACGCGAGTCCATGGAAAAGTCGGATTCGAATCATCAATATCCACATCCACACGAAATTACCCAGTCAAACCCAAGAATCAACGAAGAGATTTTCTCATAAAAGCGTGAACGCCATGAAACAAGACCAAACCACTGTCTTTCTGATGCTTCGAAAGCGGCGAATATGCCAAGCCTCGGCCATGACGGCCGCTCGGCGACGGAGAGTGGGTAAGACCGGGGAATTTTATGGGTCTCGGCGAAGTATGTATCAAGCGGCGGTTTGCCGAGTGGGCAGGAGAGTTGGGAACTTCAGGGACCAGGGGTGAGAAGTTGGCCCAGGGGTTCTGAAACCAGGGAATTTCATGGCAGACAGGCACTGTCGAGATGCTAACTACGCAAGAAATTTATCAGCACATGATTTTCAAAGTCGTGGATTGTTTATGTGTAGCAAGATTGTGGTGGTTGGCAAAGATATCATATGTCAGATGAGACCCGTATGGGGTATTTCAATTGTAGCTGTACCCTGTAGCAAACAAAAAGAAAAGAAGAGCGTTGAGCCGTCATTAACCAAGACAAGTAGAGAAAAAAATACAAGAATAGAGTCGAACCGAAATAAGAATGAAAACACCCAACGATGGTATACAAGAAATGTGCAAACTCCAGAACTCGAATCCGAATTCATGTCACGCGCCCAACCAACCCTAATACAAACCCATGCAACCCATTATGCTGCCAAAGCCCGACCGAAACCCCTCCCAAAAGAAAAGACGCCCAAAATAGTACAATCCATACACATGGTAGGTGCCATGCTATGTACTAAGCAAACTGTCGATGCATCCGCTTCGAAGGACTCGGCGTACGAAGATGCCCCTCTCGTTCGCGAGACCGCTCCGTAACGAAATCCATCGATCGGGTATTCTCCAGCATGAGCGGCGCGTCTTCTCTCTCGGCGTAGTTCTTAGTCGGAGAGGCCCGGGGGTGGTCTTGTTGGCCGTAGAATCCGTATGCCGGGTTCTGTTGCAGGTGGAGGGGTTGGCCGTGCATGTTCGGATTGTAGGAGGGTGGGGGTGGATAGTCGTGTTGTGGGTAGCCATGGTTGAGGCGGTGGTTTCTGAAGGAGCGGAAGGACCAGTTGCTGGCCCATGCTACTGTGCCGATTGTAGCGAGGAAGATTATCTGGATGGAGTAAGTAAGGAAGTTAGTGGAAGTGCAAGAGGGATGGGAGAGGGAGGGGGGTGACTGACGATTGCTTTCCAGGAAATAGGTTCAATGAAGCTGTCGATGATTTGGGCCATCGTTCTTGCTGACAGCATCGCTCGTCTGACATGGGTAGGATCCGTATCCATGCATTTTCTGTCCGCTGCGCAGATAGGTACCAGACCCGGGACGAGGTTTCCAGCCGCGCATTTATTATCTTCGTATCGCTGCATGCACTCGGCGATATTGTGCAGAATCGAATCCATCTCCTTGCTAGCCACAGCATCAAACTCGTTCCGAATCTCGGACACAAACGAAAACACCATCCACACAGCAAGCGAGAACAGGGATAAGTTCACAACAAGCTGAGCCCACCATGACAGGATAGCAGGCACGTTGGGATGCTCTTCCAGCAGAGTCAACAACTGCTTGAAAAAGGACATCTTGCCCGGTCCTCCATTCTGTACATTCGGTGTCTTCTCCTGTTTGCCCGTCCTCCCTGGCCGACCTTCACTGCTGCTGGGCCTGTCCCTGTCACTCTCGTCATCGTCGTACTCATCATCCACACGCACCCTCCTGCCAAGCGCCTTATCTCGTCGCCGCCTCTTATGTATCCGTCGTGCGACCGCATTCGTATAGTGATTCGTCCGCGGGATCTCCCCTCGCCCGGGACTGGGAGCAAAGCGGCCGTAGATATTGAACAAGGAATTGCGCCGCGAGCCCTTCGACTGCTGCTCCGGGGTTTCCTCGTTATCAGCTACCTCCGGCGAAGACAAATTCTCAGCCCCCGATGAAAAGTCCACATCTAATTTCCGCGGCGTCGTGAACGCTGGTTGTCCGAATACCGACGCATGCGTTTGCGACTGTGGCCGTTGCGGGGAGAAAAGGAAGGAGGATTGCGAATTCGGAGGTCGCAGAGCTGGTATCGCCGGTTTTTCAGGAGAATCGAAGATTTGATGTGTTCCTATAAGATAAACAGATGTAAGACAGCGGTCACAATGGCGAGGGGGGAGAGTCCTGGCGGACTCGCGGTGAACACATACGCTTCTTGTTGTCTTGCTGGGGCTGCTTCCTGACTTGTGAGAAGGGCGAGGTGAAATCGACAGGCCCTGCGCTTCCGCCGTGCCATTCGTAGTCCATCGGGATGACGCCTCCAGATTCAGTGCGTGATTCCATCATGGTGGACGCCAGGGTGGATCAAAGATGGGATCTGGGGTTTGGTGGTGAGGAGGAGAGCGGGATGGTGGAGCGGGAAGTTTTTTGTTTGGGTAAACAGACTTCCTCCGGAGCAACCTGGGCGGAGTGGCGGGATGGGATCGGGATGGCCGAGGCTGGGCGATGGACTTGCCACGTAAGGGGAGTGCAATTATAGATTTAATTCACCACAATAAGAGCTTGTTTATGCTTGATTTAGATTTTGAATATCTGTCTTTAATCTGGGATTCGTGTTGATATGGTTATAACTTATCTGCATGGTCGCATGGCCTACAGCGCTATCTGCAAGCAGCCGCATTACTATAGAACAAAGCAAAACTCCCGGAGCAAAGCTATGGCAAGATTTGGAATATACAAACAACCACTCGGTCCAACTGGTATTACGTTTATCAAGTACGAGCTCGATGACTATGGAGGCATAATTTAATAAGAATGAAGAAAAGGGCGCCAGCACCCAAACCGATTTGTATACTCCACCCCCATGCAAGACCATACCATATGAACCACATACAAGATCGCTAATTAACCCCAACTCATCAACCCATAACCTCTACTACTCATCCATCTGCCACTGATAATCCAACGCTTCAAACCGACTCTTCTTATTCCTCGCCGCAAACCACTCCTTCTCAAACCCAATCCCCCGATCAACCCCATCCCACCGATGCCCAGGCCTAATCCCATACCGATTCGGCTGGAACGCACCCCTATACAACGGTTTCCCCGTCACACTCGCCCCCGGCGCCCTTTTCTCCGTCAAAAACTGCGCCGCAGGATCATTCCACCGCGCCACATCCTTCAACTCCTCATTCAACGCGTCATCCTCAATCCCCCTCGCAACAGGCATAGCCTTAATCTCGACTAACTCCTGCCTCCGATTCTCGCGCGCTTGTCGCTGGACATCGCCCATAAGGGCTTCGCGGGCGGCTTCTTCTTTGGCCTTTTTTTCGGCTTCGGCGCGGCGGGCTTCGGCGCGTTTCATTGCTACGTTTATTATCCGGCCGGAGGCGTCGCGGTAGATTGTTTCTTGGGATTTGGAGTCGAGAGTGGATGGGTCGCGGTAGAGTGCTTCTTCGGCTTTTTTGCGTTTTTCTTGGGCAAGGACCATTGCTGCGGTGTCAGCGGCTGTTTGGAGGCCGGCGCGGACGCCGGATTCCATGCGTAGTCCGGCTTCACCGTCTTCTTCGGTGTTTTCCATCAACATGGGCGCGTCGTCGTCTTCGTCTGCGGCTCTGGCTGCGCGTTCCGCGGCTGCGGAGGCGAGGATTGCATCTGCGGCTTCTTGGTCGGAGTTTGGTGCTGCGGTGGTGGACCCGCCGAGGGTTTTCCAGCCGGACTTCTTGGTGCGGCGGAACTCGGCGCTTGTCATGGATGTGTCGATTGAGGGTTTGTACTCGTCATCTTCGAGGGGGCGGGCATTGCCGAAGACTGGGGCGTCGTCGTCGGCGATGATTAGGCCTGAGCCGGCGGTGTCGGTGGCTTTGGTCTTCTTGCGCTTCTTTTTTGGGCGCTCGGGTGCTGGGTCTGCATTGAGGTAGTTTTTGGCGAGGTAGTCTGCTAGTGAGCCCGGCATGACTGCTGAGAGGAGATATGTAGTGGGAGGTGTGGATGTCTTTCGAGCTGCGGAGCTGTTGGAAAGCAACTTGATTTGCGTCGGCTTATCGATAGTCGGAAAAATATGATTCCGAACTGTATCCAGCTTAGCCCAGTTTCCCCAGGAAGCATGTAGGTAGCATATCTTGTCAGGTCTTCGACTCTCTTTCATTCGAGAACTGGTGACGTGAAAAATCACTACCGGACTCGGATCGTCATGCCTCGCTCCGAAGAAGCTGAAGCGTGGGCCAACGCCGTGTACGCCGCAATCCAAGAGATCCCCCGCGGCAAAGTCACCTCCTACGGACATATCGCCCTTCTGCTCGGCGAACGTATGTACCCACCAGCTCCACGCGTACCAAAACAGGTAGTGTACAGCAACTAACTGATGCATGGAACACCACAGCCCAGCGGCCACGTCAAGTTGGTGTGTGCCTGAAGTCTCTGCCCAATGCCGAGTCCGGTTCACACTTTCACTCGGGGAATGTCCCCTGGCAGAGAGTCATTAATTCCAAGGGCATGATATCACACCGGTACGTCAAACCGACTTTACTTCTTCCCCAGAATATGATCAAATCAACCTCATATCTTGGAAATGTCGTGTTGCATTTGAGATAATGGCTGATTAGCGAGTACAGAGGCCCCGGAAGCGCAGAACGCCAAGCAGAAGCGCTCATCCAAGAAGGCGTCGAGGTAACCAGGGACAGCATGGGGGAATTTTATGTGAACTTCTCACACTATGGCTGGTTTCCAAAGATGCTGCCGAGTGAGGAAGAAGAAGGGAAGAATGATGGGGATGGGGAGCTGTTCGTGCAGGATTCTTAGTTTGATCCCCCTCATGCAGCATTGATGAACAGATCAACACATGTACAGATTCACAGATGCACAGAGAATGCATCATGATACCCATGAAATAAACAAGCAACTTAATCTCTACGTCGCACAGAATACCCACATCCGTACATATTTCTATACATCTGAAGCTACACTCTTAATTCAACTTCTTTCATTCACGAGTTCTACGAATCAAATACATTTCTCAAACAAAAAATCACACCCAAACGCTGAGGTCATACAGTCGTCGCATTTCTAACTCAACTAGATACGCAGAGCAAGTCCCGGAAACCACCAATCGGGGGAACCACTATCATCACCAATCCCTCCAAAAGGACAAGAAAGGACCAAATGGGACCAGGATCTACCTAGTGAATGGACCGATGACAGGCCCACGCCACGAATTCCACTCAATACAGTATAATGGGCGAAGACGAAAAAGGAAAGGACATCAAGTTGGAGCACGAGATTCTATGGGCGTAAAGTAGGACATGCGTAAAGAAGGGGGGTGAAACGAGATATCCGGGAGAGCGGGCATCATCGGGCATCATATCAATGATGGCCAAATTGACGGAATTACCTGCGGAGCGGTCGAGGGACGTGATGCAGGTGACGGGGGAAAATAGTTGAAGTAGAAGGGAAGGAATAGAGAAACAAAAAACAAGCACGTCGGCCGACCAAGTTTGCGCCCGAGAACGGAATCCAAAGTCGAAAGATCATAAAGACTCACATATCATCACTGTTGTTTGAAAGGTAGGTAGAGTAGGATAGGATAGGGTAGATAGGGGGGACAGCGTTAGGAAGAAAAAAAAAGAAGTGAGAATCATCCAGCAAAGCAACTCCGACAGACCGTCCCGTCTAGGGTGTTAGTCCGTCAAAGATGGAAGAGAAAAAAGGCACAAGGCAAAAGAAGAGACAAGAAAACCAAGCAGAACCAAAAGGGGAAGAAAAACTCGCTGAGATACGACAAATCCCGTCACGCTCGTAGCATGGCTCTTCTAGCGCCGCTTAACTTCCGATGCCCACCCATCAATCCCTTCGCCTCGCGTCCCGGGTGTAATGCCCAGGCTGATTCCGTCCATACCCGGCGTATCCTGCATCCACTCGTGCGAGGCCATGCCACCGGCATTGGCGCGCTTCTCCGGCGAGAGGTCCAGCATGGGTAGAAGGAACTCGCTGATCCGCATGGCCTCCTCGACGTTGTAGTGGTATTTCTCGCGGAGAACGTCGGGCAGGGCCCAGTGGCGCAGACGGTGGATGTTGCGGAGGTCACCCTTGCGGTTGAAGATCTCTTGCGACCATTTACCGGAGAGGCAGAGGGACTTCGGGAAGGGACCGAGGAGCTCGATGATCTGGGCGATGTGGTCGTCGTCTTTCCCATATTTAGTTCCGGACTGAGGGTCGAAGAGGTAGTCGCCCGTGATAAGTTCAAAGACCTGTGCTTTGTTAGATATCGAGTTATGTGGTGGGCCCCGGCTCCAGTCGCAGCATTCTTACCATGCACGCCATACTCCACACGTCCGTGCTGGCGCCCCATTTCGCGCCAAGTATAACCTCTGGGGAACGGTATTGCCGTGTCTGGATATCGTTGGTGAAGTGGTGTCCAACCCAGCATGCGTTACCCAGATCGGCAATCTTGACAGAGATGATGCTGGCGTCGATCTCCTCTTCGAGAGACTTTGTTGAGCTCTTGTCGAGGGAGATGCCGGACACTTCTCTCTCCAGGAGATCACTGTATGACCTGTTAGCTTTGAGATACATTGCGACGGCCTTGGAAGGCTTGACATACGCTGTCTTCTCTCGCGTCTTCTGCTGCTCATCCTCATCCTTGATCCCAAGCGCCTCCCTCATCGAGGGCTCATTTGGTGCTAAATCGCATTGGTCAATCAAAAACCCATAGACCTTCATCCTCAGCGGGCTTGACTCACTCGGATCGTTCACCATCTGGCTCAGACTGCTGTGAGAATTAGAAGAACTGTGCTTAAAGTCGAAGCTGCTAAAGCTGGTATTCAGCGGACTCGGTAGTGGTTGACTGCCGGTAATGAGTGTGCGCCGGCGCCGCCGTCCATTGCGGTTATCTTCCTTATCCTTCTCCTCCGCCTTCTTGGCCTCTTCTTGTTGCACATGGGCCCGGACAATCTGTTCCACATCGCCAATCTCAATCAACACGTTCTCCGGCTTGAGATCGGTATGAACGATGCCACACTCGCGGTGCAGATAATCCAATCCCAGTAATACCTGCTTGGTAATCTGCTTGACCAAAGGCGTGGGGATACCACGGTGGTTCCATCGCTTGATCAACCCCAGCAAGTTTTCACCCAGCACCTCAAACACCATACATACGTGGACACCGTTGGGACCCTTGTGTTCGAACGAATCCAGCAGGCTGACCACATGCTTGCGACCTGGGTGAGAAGGCTTGGCTTGGACGATCCGGTTGAGCAGCTTGATTTCATCGATGGCGGTCTCCGTGTAATGAGCGGCGGAGCGCACCACCTTCAGCGCAACGTGTTTGCCCGTGGTTGTGTCCCTGGACAGCCAGACGGTTGAGAAGTGGCCCCACCCAAGCTTGCGCACCACGACGTAGCGGCCATTGTTGTACGTCTCGCCCACGGCCACCGGGTGATACCCACCCTTGCAATAATCTTCGGAATCCTCCTCCTCGGCGGTAGTTTCGACCTCGTCGCCGGATGAAGATGAGGGTGAGCGCGACCCTGGCGCTCCGGTGGATTTGGAATTTGGCGCGGCGCCGGTACTGTTTGTCGACGAGAGAAAAAAGCGATGAGTTTCAGGAAAAATGAAAACAAGGTAACCATGTAAAGGTATCGCGATCGAAATTCCGGAGAAATAACCAGATCGTAGATCACCGCTGGCTGGAGGGTGATAAAAAAAAGTAAAAAACCCAAAAAAAAAACTGCACTCACGATTCTGTGGCTTCGCCCGCCTCGCCCGACTTTGCATCATTGGTGACGATGGGCTTCAAATCAGTGCCCTTTCTCCTCTTCTTGCCGCCGTTGCCATTGGCAGCGGACGCAGCAACACTGGCCATTTGTTTACCCTTGTTCAACACAGCCTTTGTGAGATCAATGCCCTCCATGTTGGTAGAGTTGGGGAAGAGGAGTTAGGTGGTGGAGGGGGACCACAGCTGAGAGCGAGAGAGAGGCGGGGCACCGGGATGCGAGGTGGTTGGTTGCGGGAGAGGGAAAACGAGGGCGGTGCAGCGGAGGTGAGAGAGAGTTGGAAGAGGGGGGAACAACCACAGGAACAGAGTAAGTAAGAGAGAAGAAAAGAAGAAGAATAAAATATCGAGATCAACGAGATGAGAGATGGAAAAAGGATGTCCAAATTCCAGTTGTTGTTGTTGGGGGAAGAGAGGAGGAAGTTGGGTTGAAGAGGAGAGATTCCGCAAGCAGCGCCCAGTTGGTTGAAGAAGTTGGTGTGCATGCGACGGATGTGGCGAAACGACGCATCCAGAGTAAAGAGAGAGGGATCCGGGATGAGTAAACGGGATAAACAATAAACAAGAGATGTCAGATCAGATCGAGATAATAGTTTGTAATTTGTAGGGTTTAAATCTCGAATCTGAATCAGGCTGATCGAGGGACTCTACTTAATAGATCACGATTGTGGTGCCCAGCAGGGAAAAAGGGACGTGGCTGGTGGATGGCGCCAACCAAATGCAAATGTGATGGCGCTTATAGTCAGGATAGAGGTGATGGATTAATAGAGAGTGTTATATCAGTAATAACAATAAATATACTATATACTATTGATCTATTAGCAGTGTAACTATTCCCTAATACTATCTAAACTTGTCTACTGATGTCACTTTTCTCTGATCCTCCCCGCTCCAAAACAATCAAACAAGCTAAACATCTAAAACATCTAGACAGCTATCCTACTGCTACACTACGATTCAATCTCACCAACCACAGCTCATCCCATCACGATCTCCTCCCCCCTACGGGGTCTATCTCTCTCTCCACCATGTCCAACCCTTATCACCGCCGTCCACTTCCAGACTACTTCATCTCCTCCCCTCTCGTCGCCCTCGTCTACCCACTCCACCAACTCCTCCTACACCTCCGAGGTCCACCCCGACTCCCACCTCCACACGCAAAGCCCGTCCGCGTCGTCTGTATCTCCGACAGCCACACCCTCGAGTGGCCCGACGTCCCAGATGGCGATCTCCTAATCCACGCCGGCGACCTCGCCAACGACGGCTCCGTCCGCGAAATCCAAGCCGCAGTCGACTGGCTACGCTCGCTGCCGCATCCCCAGAAAGTCGTCATCTGCGGGAACCACGATAGCTACTTTGACGTCCGCTCACGCTGCGAGGAAGACCGCGATGAACAGTCCTCGGCTTCTTCGTTCGCCGCGGTCTCCGCATCGACCGCGTCGATCCATTCTCTTGAAGAGATCACCGCTCCTTCACGTATCGACTGGGGCGATATCCATTACCTCCAGCACTCGGCCGTGACGCTCTCTTTCCCCGGTGCCACCGACTCACCATCCACTACTTCATCTACATCCTCGACAACACCACTCACAACCTCCCGCCCCCGCGAACTAACCATCTACGGCGCCCCCCAAATCCCAGCCCTCATGGCCCTCGGCCCCGAACATGCCTTCACATACCCGCCACACCACGACGCCTGGTCCCGCACCATCCCCCTCGAAACAGACATACTCATCACCCACACCCCCCACAAGCCCACCTCGACATGTCCCCCGTCTACTCAACAGGCTGTCCCAACCTACTAGCCGAAGCCTGGCGCGTCCGACCCGCCGTCCACGTCTTCGGCCACATCCACAACTCTGCCGGCCGCGAGCCGATCTTCTGGGACGAGGCACAGCTTGCGTGGGAGAGGTTGTGTGCGTCTAGACGGCCGAGGGCGAAGTATACGCGGTTTGTGTCGTTGGCGGGCTTTTTGAGGGATCTGTTTGATTTGTCGGGGTGGGCTGATGCGGCGAGGGTGGTGTTTTTTGGGTTGATGGGGGTTGTTTGGTCGAGGGTTTGGGGTGGGGAGACGCATGGGGGTGGGTGGATGGTTAATGCGGCTTGTATGTATCGGAGTAGTGGGCGACTCGCGAATCCGCCGCAGGTTATTGAGATTTGATTTGTGATGGGGGTGTTTGGGTTTATAGTTGGAGCGTGCATAGCGAGTACCTTTTTGGGGTTGTTTTACTTTGGATGCATATCTCGTTTAGTTTTTGTACGCAGGAGTCTCTCAACTCTTAAGTGAGCTACTCTTTTGGTTAATTCCTACCTATATGATGGCATAGTATTTGACTGTGAGTAGTCTGGTTCCGTGTTATCGAGTGACTTGAATCCCCGGGGCAGCCTAGTACCGGTGGACTGACCGTTGCAACACTTGAATCCTAACGCTGAGCATATCTTGAATAAGTCTTCTATTATTGCACCTAATTTTATATTTTACACATAACCTTTTGAAGCATCAAGTACATTCGTTGCAAGTCCATTACCTCACAATGAACAAGTACTACTAGATAGTGCTGAGGTCTTGGAATCTACTATATACGTCGGATGGATACGCCGAATAAGTTAATATATGAAGCTTCTGTAATTGTGATGGAAGTTATAGGTACCCAGGTTAGGTTACGGTGGGTCCGAGAGTTCTATATTGAAATTATCCCAACAGCGATAATTAAGTAAGATGGTAGCAAAGCAGCAAGGTTCTTCCTTTGCAATTCATGCATTTGGCTGAGATGGATCATTTCCTTCGTGGTTTTCATGCCTAAACCTTCACCCAATCGTTATCACCTCCATCGGTCTCCTCCATCTCGGGATGATGCACGATCACTGGTGGAATGTTTCCGTTCTCATTCTTAGTAATCATTGCAATTGGCCATGCCCATTTCAATAGGACATTCATCATTCGGTAGAACTTTTCTTGATCAATGTTCTCAAGATATGGTATGCCAGCTGGTGGTACTAGGTGGTACTCTGAGAAATCCAAAATTCGAGTAAAACCGAGATGGAGCTTGCCATCGTAATATCCAGTAAGGACACGACAGAGTCCTGAAAAATCACAGACAAGAGTAATGTCTTTCATCCACTGTAAGTACTGTATAAGGCTAATATATTGATAGAATGTCGGACTTACCTGAAAGAGTGGGATGTAATCGCGTTGTTCACCGTCCTGAATTAAGGTCTTCGCGCGTATCATGGATTCTAACATGGTATAAACTAGGGCTATCACTTCATATTTTGAGGGCCGTGAATCATCGATGCATTCCAGAACAGAGGCCCTTACCCAATCATGACACCAATTGTCCGCAAGTAGTTCGTCTCCACCTTTAAACTGGGCTACCTTAGTGTCGAATCTTCTCTGTGCGTAAGGGCGTAGATAATAGGGTAGCGTATCCAAAAATTCCAAGTCCTTTTTGAAACGATGGTCTTTGCGTCTTCCCTGGGTCTTACAGCCGGGGCAACTTAGCAGAGTAGAGTTAGATGGAAGACCTTGGACGCCGGTAACTGGTAAGAACTCAAGAACTTACTCGTCACGAACCCAGCCGTACTTGCTTTCCGGGGGATGAAGCCATCGAAATTGTTTCCGAAAGTCTTCCCTCCCGTCAAAAGAATACAAGTCAAATGTGACGTAGAAGGAAATTGGGAACCCGTTGTATACGCGCCCTGGGGACTCCTTTCCATCTTTTGCGTCCGCTTCCTGTTGAAATACACCCATCCAAGCCCGATTCAAAGAGAGATCTCGTTTACAGGCATCGGAGATTTCGAGGAAATCAGTTCTCGGGAGGAAACAGGATTTGATAGGAGGGGATGTCGCTCCAGTTTCAATGTCCAGTTGATGTACGTCGATTTTGAGACGATTAAACTGTGTGTCCGAGATGTGGGGATTATAATTTTTTGAGCGTGAGTTCTCTTGGAGTAGTCGGAGAATGCTTTTGAACTTGTTGCAACTTCTTTTAAGTTGCGCTGTGTCAGTTTCCGTGTTTCTAATTCGTTTCAACTTGAATTAGACAAGAGTGGAGGAAGAATGTGAATGAGACACAGGGCGAGACAAAATAAGGAGAAGAATATTTCTCCTAGTAAATTTCTTGCTTTAGAATGATTGGACCTCTGGGAGATCTGAAATAATTCCTATTCGGGGAGCCGATACCAATCTTGGACAGCGGTGCCGCCATATCAGGTATGGTAGGCTAGGGATCCAGCTAAGACCGACTAGTACTCTATGTTTGCTAGTCTTTTAGGATTCGTCACAACTCTTTTAGGATTTGACTTTGTCTAGCAATCGGACTCCGATTACCCGAGGCACTGCTTCTAAGGCTCTAGGCTTGCCTATCGGGAAACTTATAGATGATGCTCTACTAGACTTTATCACTAACTTACACTCAAACTAGACCAAAATTCCGGCTACCGAATAGGAAATGTAGAAAGACGTGAAGAAAGACGTGAAGAAAGACGTGAAGAAAGACGTGAAGAAAGACGTGAAGAAAGACGTGAAGAAAGACGTGAAAGACGTGAAGAAAGACGTGAAGAAAGACACGTAGAAGGACATACAGAAATATAGAGAGAAATACATAGAGAAACATATAAAGATATGTAGGAAGACGTATAGAAAGACATGAAGGTATGAATATATGCGCCGTACACCGTGTTGATCCGCAAAGCCACATGTCTTGGGACCGGCAATCTTCGGAAATGATTATTTAATATCTTTGCTAGACTGTGGGCTTTTAACTGGCAGACGATTCATATGTTGCAGATGAGAAATAACTTTGATTGATCTGGGACATACTCGCTTAGGTAGGAGACGAATAACTCCTATTGACTTGGTGGCTATTGGCAATGTCGTCGTAGGGGCCCGACACTGTTAAGTAGTGATCGTTCCTATTTGATGCGACAGTGCCAGGCTCCTACGATTAACGTTGCACGGGAAAAGAAATATCTGCGGAGACATGCTGGCCTTTATACTCTAGAAACCGATTCCACATATCCTGGATGTATGCATTTTAAACTAAAAAAAGACATTTGAGGTTACTGCATGAAATAGGGACAGTCACTACTTCGGAACTAATCCAGCTTCTATACATCGGAACCCAATTGCAGATATTCTTCGTGTTTCCTGTAACCTTCTATTCACTGACACGGCTCAATCTAACAGCACTTTCGCAGATGCAATATCTCCAAGTCACCATCTATGACGCGGATGCATGCAGCGACCTCAGTTGTCTTCCCATGGTTTAAAAGCGTATACATCTAGGTCACAGATAGTGATATCTGTGATTCTAAAGCCCTTAGAAACATGGATATCTGGGACCGGTTTCCGACAGCTAGCTTTTTCCGACGGATATCTTCTTCTAGTCTCAGATGGGATCTAACTCCTTTAAGTCTCAAAGGAGATATCTTTGGAAATAGGCCAGCTTTTTTCTTCTTCTACCTACACCTGCGGGACTTACGTCTTAGTTTGTCTCTAGTCTGACCCACGGTCTGGCAAAGAGGTTGACCGATCCTGTCCGAAGGGTGCCTGACCGGCTATTCGGTTCAATACTATACACGACCCACATATTGAGAACGTGATATTCCTCGATGTCTTTCTATATGTCTTTCTATATGTCTCTCTACATGTATTTCTTCATCTTTTTAGACCGCCTTAGGTAACGCGAAACGAGAGTTTAAATTCTCGCGGGGCATACTACCTAGGTTTACCAGAAAAATATATCAGGTCAGCAGGGTAAGAATCAACCCGATGACCTGCGCAGCGGAAAGCTCGCATCTTAGACCACGCAGAACCAGTTTTCTTTCGCATAGCTGTAATTAAACAATAATTGATTCAACATGCAATTGAAATAGTGATATCCCAGGAATCTCAGCTCATAAATATGAAGTTGGGTAAAGGCAGGAGTGAAAAGGTACAGGTCGTCAGCATCGGAAGTCGCGGCCATTGAATGTTCGTCAATCACTGAAACTCAACGACAAGCTTTGTGCCGCGACCTTCTCCCTTGCGAAGTGTCGCTAGACTTTCAAAGATCTCTTTGAATCCGCCCTTGATCGTTGTGATGGGTGGAGGTCTGACAACGTCAAGGCTCAAGGTGGACAAGTTACCATAAAAATTGCGGATGAGCTCGCGGTCCGCCGACATCACCGGGAACACGGGGCCAAGGGGCGCCAACAGCTGGAACTTACGACCGAATACGGTGTAAACCATGAGGAAAGTATAGGTCACGTTTGCCTTCTTCGGCTTTCCTTGGTCAAGCAGTGTGACCACTTTGCCCTCCCGCAACACATCAGCACAGAAGGTGGTCGAATTGCCTTCGGAAAAGCAGTCTAGAGCTTTCGTGATGTTTGGGTAGGCCTCCTTGATTTCGCCAATGGATGCAGAGGTCCGGTAGTCATATACCTCATCTGCACCATAACGCTTTGCGAGGTCAAAGGAACGTGGCGAAGCCGTTGCCACAACCCTGTATCCTGCTCTCTTGGCTAATTGAATAGCGTAGAGACCAACGTTCGAGGCCCCCGAATAGATGAGAATGGTCTGTTGGTCACCTTGAGCGCTTCGTCCATTCTCAATATCCGCCCATGGGATGTCAAGGTACGAAAGACTCAGCAACGCAGTGGCTGCCGAAAGACCGTAGGTGGTGGCTTCGCTTAGGGTCATTTGGTCAGGCACCTTCCAGGCCAAGTCCCCATCGACTTTAAGGTACTCTGCGAATGAGCCAACATCGGAATATAAGCCACCGTGAACAAAGCCAGCGATTCTGTCTCCAACCTTCCAGCGCTGCCCTGATTCCTTGCCGACGCGAGTCACCTCCCCCGCATAGTCACAACCAATAACAGAGTTGCGGGGTGAAAAGGAATCAATGTCCTTGTAGTCGATCGGATTCAGCGCGACAGCACGCACCTTAACCAAGACCTCATTATCGGTAATGCTTGGGATCGGGACATCCTGGACATTTGCACCCTGCCCAAGCGGACTACCGAGAGCGAGACTCAGTAAACGTTTAGGCAAGAATCGATTTGTGATGACCGCTTTCATCGGGGCGGGTAGTTTTGCAATGTCGGGAGCTCAGGTAGAGTTGGCAGGAGAAGGAAGACAGGACAGTACTGAACAGATGACTCGTGCGTAGTACTGGGTTGAATGAAAAATTGTTCTCGAAGAATAACGTCAAAGCAGCAAGCGACTAGAGAACTCTTAAAAATAAAACCCACTCTCATACGCTTACTATTCTAAAAAGGTCGGATGAACCTCGTCCCGGCAGGAGCAAGGGGTAATTAGTAGACGATTAGCCCATGGCTGTTGCAATTGCATTCCGAAAGCGATCAGCAAGAAGAACAAAAAGAGTTTAGCCACCTCCAGAGATGTGTTGTGGTGGGGAATGCATTTTATTCGTATGACCCGGAGGCGGAGTGGAGTAACTCAACACTCCACGGCCAGGTTGACTAGGTTCCACGGAACTGCCGACATGAGTGGGGACCTCGGCGCATCGCCGTGGCCTGGAATGATGAGTTATCATTCGACTGCCCGACCGGGTGAGTCGCTCTTAATCACTCATCTACCCGGTTCCGAACCTGGGGACGGGATCGCCGATCAACTTTAGTCCCGACGATGAGTGTGAGTTGCCTCATTCGTGGTCCGATTTGGTGAGCATGGACGCTCACCACACTTATCCGACCCGACAACCATTCAGCGGCAACCAAGCAAGGACAATGATCAGGTTATGGCCATAGAGTATCGGGCTGCCGGCGGGTTTACACCTGCCCGATAAAACATACAAATACCCTTGCCTCAGGATATCCCTCGTTAGTATCTATCTATCCTCAAGGCAACTGATTCGCTCTCAACTCCTCTTTGAACAAACCGCTGCAATGACGACCCTTCAAACCGTTCCGACTTCCTTTGTCTCCGTCAATGGACTGAAAATCGCTTACCGGCGCTTCGGGGCAAGCAGTCCATTGCCTTTGGTCTATGTCAACCATCTTCGTGGTAGCATGGATACGCTCGATCCGCTTCTGTTTAACAGCATCGCCAAAAGCCGCGAAGTGATTGTCTACGACAGTGCTGGTATTGGACACAGCGAAGGAACCGTGCCAGACTCCATTCCCGAGATGGCTGCGATCGTTGTCAACCTTCTAGCTGCGCTTGAAATTCCAAAGGCCGATTTCATTGGCTTCTCCATGGGCGGTGGTATTGTGCAGTATATTGGATATGAACACTCTCAAATTGTCAACAAATTAGTCCTGGCGGGCACTCAGCCGGGAATCGGCGAAGGTGTAGCTTTGCCTCCCCGGGAGGTCTTGGAAAGCGCTGGAGCAAATAACGACCAGCCACCAACGGAGGATGATATGATGAACCTTTTCTTCTATCCCTCCGAGACCAGCCTCGCCCTCGGCCATTCCTGGTGGAAGCGGATCCACGAGCGCAACGTCGAAGGTGAACTCCGGAAGGCGTATCTTACCGGGACCGGGGCACAGGCACAGCTCGCTGCGATTTTCAAATTCACCACCGATACTCGCAATTTTGAACGTTTGGCAGACATCAAAGCCCCGGTTCTTGTGACGAACGGCCATACGGACATTATGTCGCCCACTTCAAACAGTTTCGTGCTCCAGCAAAAGATCGCCAATGCCCACCTGCATCTTTATCCTGACGCAGGGCACGGACATCTCTTCCAGGTGCCGGAGGTCTACGCAAAGGAGCTTGAGCTGTTCTTGAATAACTGAGTTGTTGATTATTAAATCACTTCTATCGTTGGATCATATGTGTTGGCGACTCGGCAGGGGGTGCCTACATATCGAGGACCGAGGGCATAGGTCGCGTGCGATGATGCTAGTCAACACAATCACTCGGAGGAAGGGTTTGATGCCACTATTTGCTGCTAGATTACCTCAGCTTTCACTATAAATCATTTCCTTGGTCTTAATGAAATTGAACTACCTTAGCTCTTCTGCATATCACGGCATTTTCATTTTTCTTGAAAGCCCCCCGGCCCTACGACAAATGAGGCTGCAGAGTCTGCAGGTCAAGATTGAGCAGCAACATTGCGAGCTGTCCAGCTCGAGTCTCAAAATTTAGAGTCTGGTATGAAAAGAAGATTTGGACTACAGGCCCGTCAGCCTCGTGGCATCTCGTTGAGTGAGAAAACCGCCGTCACACTTTGAGATGATCCAATGCCACTGTTACAAGTAGTCCATTTACCGTTTCCATCGTTCTTGGGCGAAGAGACGATAGAACCCTCGGGTCGACTACCCAACACCATGCCCGTGCAAATCTCGTGATCGATAACAGTATTGTCCTGTTCTCGATGGTGGCATTTGGGTTTACTTTGCACTGTGTGAAATTATCAGCAACCCCGATGGAGCTCGAGAACCCCGCATCGTTGAATGTACATGTTGAAGCTGCTTCAAGCTGTATTTTAGTTTCAACACGCAGACAGATCTACTTCTATGCAGTTGGCGGTCATGGCCTGATACGTAATCAAATGATGGATGAACCTGGATTAAAACTGGGCACAGCCCTATTTGCGCTCTGTTTGGCTCCCAAGCCCATTCAAAATGCTGTAACAAAACGAATGCTGGGACAATCAGAGAAACAAACAGCGCCAAAGAATTCAAGCAAGGAAAAGATCTGTGACGGCCGACTATGTGTGGAAGTGTATAATTCGAGCCAAGCGTCAAAAATGAACGCTGGTAATGAGAAAGAACGATAAAGATTGTGACGAAAAGTGCTGCTTTGAACGAATCGAGGTAGGGCGACGGTAATTATTTTGCCTTCTGCCGATCGTGTTCAGCCTTCTCCGCGACGTGGATCTTGTTGGTGATGTCCGGCAAATGAGCAGCAGACGGGAGCAACATATCCTGCCTGTAGGTTAGCAAGGCTGAATTGGGCCAGTAGTTCATATATCAACCGGGAAATGCCTACCCATACAGTCGACCAGCCAAAAGTTGAAGCCAGCCAAGTAATTAAAGCGCCACCTCCTGACCAAAGATGCTTCTTGGGGCTTGATCGGAGTGCGTTGTTGACCACGACTTCGGCATAGGAATTGACATCCATAGCATTTTCCTCTACCCCAGCTCCAGCCAATGCAGGCTCAATCACATCCTTTGCAGGGTAATAGAGCGAGTTCTCGGGTAGACGTGGCGCACTCGGGAGGTTGTCAAAGAACTTGGTCCTAATGACGCCTGTAGTGACGAGGATTGCTCGGACTCCCCAGGGAGAGAATTCGAGGCGCATCTGGTCGGTCATAATAGCAACTGCAGCTTTGCTTGCGTTGTAATATCCTGACCATGGGAATGGCATTTTGCCGAGCACCGACCCAATGTTGATGATTGTTCCTTTCGAGGCGATCAGAAGCGGTGCAAATGCTTGAGTCACGGTGCCGACAGCAAAGACGTTGACATCAAACATCTTTTTGGCGACTGAGACATCCGAGTCCAGTAAAGGCATACTATAACCTGTTAAACCGTTAGTACTTAGGGACAATTTGTGAGAAGAATTGCTTTGAAGGGGTGAGACCTGCCTGCGCCCGAGTTGTTGACCAGGATGTCCAAATATCCACCGGTCGCAGCCTTCACGGTTGACACTGCTTTTTTGATTGACTCTTCGTCGGTGACATCGAGCTGTACAATTTCGAGGCCCATGTCCTTGAGATGTTGGACTTTGGCGGTATTCCGAGCGCTGGCGAAAACCCGAAGGCCCTTCTTGTGGAAGGTTTTCGCGAGAGCATCACCTATTCCACCTTCACTGCAACCTGTGATGAGGACTGTCTTCTGACCCATTTTCGCGGTGAAAGATATTTTGGTGGTGGTAGAGTGCCTGGTAGGTAAAGCAACAATACAAGTGATGTCGAAAATAGAAGCACGCGAGCTAAATATATAGCACGCTTTCACTCCTCTGTCGTTCTGACGGACGAACTCCAGTGAAGTTAGACGAAGTGAACATCTCCGGTACTACCTTATTCCCGGGGCGCAGATTAGAAATCATGAGTTCATCGATTCCGCGTAGAATCAAACACGGCCATTGATTGAGGCAAAGCTTAATGGTCGGGTCATTGGACTGCCACCATCGGGTTGCTTAGAAGGCGTTCCCGCACCGGCTTCCATCTTTGCCCCGACCGCCAGCTAACCGTTTTAAGTTTGCTTTCGGCCCACCTACGCAACTCAAGCGCAACCCCAGCGGGACCCATTTTTTCTAAAGGCGCACATCCTGTTATGGCCTAGACTCAGATTGTGCCGAACAACGTTTGGAGAACTAGGTCCACTGATCCCCGATATACCCAAATTTACGACTATTCGAGGGCGTCAACTCGTCAACTAAGGCAAGCCCGACCTCAAAGCCACCCTTGCACCTGTGTGATTGCTGTGCAATAAAGACACCTGAACTCCGTAGTCGGTGGAGTTTATCGCATGTATAATCGGGGATCCGAGATCCCCTATCTACTTCTTCAACTCCGCATTTCGCTGTGGCAATGTTATACATACAGGAAGATACGCTAAAGGTACAAATGTGAATACATGCCTGAATTTGAGGCCTCGAAAGAATTCTTTCAAACAAGATGTCAAATCGGGAGGGCAAGATCACCACAGATATTGTACGGTAGTATGTATAGACACATCTTACATATTTCGCCAAGTAATTGGTGCTCAAACTGATGAGTTCAGCAAGTTTACACAATTGTTGAAAAATGCAGGGCCTCCTCCACATCACCACGTTGAAACCCAGGTGTTCGACCCAAGCAAACTCCTCTGGGGATCAATGCTATCAAAGTCAGAATGATCATTACGAACAAGGCACAGAGGCGCAGACTTACCTGATATAAGACGCGAGACATTGATATTGATCTGCCCTTCCGAGCGTCTTGTTGGCTCACCCCCTGACAGGACCAGGAGCACATTCTTATCGCGAAGATACCCCTCTAGATCTTGCAAGTCAAACCAATCCCCCTCTAGCTGCTTTCGTAAATCTGCCGTAACCAGTGATAAGGGGTCCTCCACAGTGCCCCATCTCTGGAAACGAGGGACAAAGACACCTGCGCTCCCGTCAGGATAATGGGTTCCCGCGCGCCCCAATCTGAAAAAGGGGACTTCCTCCCATCCGTCCAACGGCTTCCGGTTTACTTGAGCATATATTTCTGCTTTGAAGTAACATGTCAGGCGGTCACGGTTCATCATAGTGAAAATGAGCCCAAAGGGCCTTTGGAGTTGATCCATGCCGAAGGACGGATTGCTTAGAGCCAGGTGTCCCTGATAAAGAGCTGCTAGGAGAAGCCTTTCAATGAATTCGGTCACGTCTATAATCGAAGTTCCAGGCGACTTGACGGCCACCGGTAGGACATCACTTTTAGTATGATATACGCCGCTGTCCACCAGGGACAAGTGAAGGGGGACGTCCAGAGACAAGCGCTTGGTGGTAGGTTGTGGTGGGGATGGCGGCAAGTCAATTGCTCTATTGGAGTCAGCCGGGGTCCTCGTCCCCTCGTCGATGCTTGCCCCGGATGCCAAAGAAAGAAATGTCTTCATCGTATCACGTAAATTGGTGGTTAAAGCAGACTGTGACCTAAGCACACCACTCTGGACCAGCTGCTCACTGAGCGACAGCATAGCAGAGCTCATTTTCTCTATCGAGGTCTCCAGAAAGGAGATTCGATTCCTGAGGCTTTCCACTGATGCTTGCTGTCGTGAACGATATGCACGTTGTGCCAGGCGAGTTTGCATGCGCCTCCGCTGTCACAAGTAGTTGATCCGGTCAGTACCCTTACATCTTTCGTGGAGGTCGATCAATAGCCCACGAACCTCTTCAGGACTTTCGTTTCTACCTCCATCGTCTCGGGGAGCTCCGCGGTTCTTCCCTGACGGTGCGGCCTTCCTGGATCCACGTCGCTGGCGTTTTTGTGGCGCCGGTGCCGTCGGTTTAGGAAGGGGTGTTTGGTTTGTGTTCGTCGGGTTTAAGTGTGATGCAAGCCCAAGAGCTAAGACGCCATGACTGGGTGATGGCGTACTATTTTGAGCATTCTGAGTGTTATGTGACTTGGGCAGGAAATAGGAGCGAGCTGAGAGCAATGAGATGATATCAGAGGTCGCGGACTCGTGTAACAAAGGGTAAGTAGGTTCGGATGAGGATGTGCTTTCATGGAACTCATCCCAATTGAAGGGAGGCAGGTCGCTTGGCAGCTGCACTGGTAATTGTTGGTCCATGATGTGACGGATATCGTCACGGTCACATTCAATCGAGAGCCTGTCGGCCAGGAGATGAGATAGCCTGTATTAGAACCCGACCAGCGCTGGCTGATCGTCCAGACAATTAAAAATCAGTAGACAAGCCGTTTCGAGATTAGTGAGCTATGGAGTGATTCTACCCGGGACTGGAAGAAGGATGCCCCGTGGAGGCAACCCGGAAGGCTAAACTTTAGCTCGGCAAGATCACTCATCAGTCCGTCCGATGACGCAACGATCCAACGAATCACGTCCCCGTCCAAGCTTAGGTCATACGAAACTTACATGCTTACTAATGAGTTTAGACAGGAGAACGAAAGGCGAGCAGCACCCTAAAAGCTGAAGAAACTCGGTCCTGGCCGGCTAAATTGGCAATTCGATGGACAAGAAACGGGAAAATGAGAAGGGGTCTCGCCCATCACTCGACCAGTGACCGCTCATCAGCTTAAAATGAATATGGCCGGAGGTATGCCTTGTCTTGCGCCGTGCTGCCGATCCCTGTGCGTGCCATAGTCTCCAAAAATACGAGCCCAGCTTTGCCTTGCAACAACCGTGTATCGGATCTTTTCTAAGCGGGGCAGGGTTGACTAGTTGACCTTGATAGCGACGGTAGCCAACAACGACTAAGACAGCACGGTGCTGTAGGAATGTGGCCGCAGTCTGTCCGACTCGAAATGTCAAAAATCAGGGATTACGTGTGTTACGATACACCTTACATGAGGTTATTCACAAATGTTGGCGCCTCAGGCTACCAGGACCCTAGTAAGCCGGCAAGCTTTCGGTGGAGGTTCACTGGGGCTTCGCTGCCAGTACGTGTACGAACTCCTGCAAGGAAGACCCTTGTAGAGGTTACACAAGCCTCGTGTGGCCCAGGCATGTATCGTAACAGTTGAAATTCTAAACTTCTTATATTCTTGCCTTATAAAATAATTTGGATTTAATACTTTTTCCCTACTCAATTTGATATTGAGATTAGATATCCGAGAAGCAAGAAGTGTTTGCCTGTAAGCCTACAACAAGAAGCGAGTAGGAAATTTTGTAATATTATTTATTAAGTTATTCTAAGCCGACAGAGCGCCGGTAGTCGTAGATAATTTCTAAGTATTAGAATTCTGACAGTACCCGGTTGTATCTAGACGGATATTATCGATTGACTAGGTTGTTCCGTGAGCGAGAAGGCTAGGTTTAATTTGACTAACTTCGTTACGACGCGCTCGTATTAACTACAATCTCACAGCGCGACCTTAGTACGCCTATCTAGTCCGTTAGCAATATCCGAAAAGGGAATCTCTTCTAGAAGTGGCTGAATCTTCCTATCGGTAATCAAGCTAAGCACCTTAGCTACCTTATTAAACAACGAACCTGTAGAGTCTTTAAGAGAAACCTCTCGAGCTACTAGCTCGTAAGTGTTTAATGTTATCTCTTTAGCTGCGAGCCTAACAAGAAGAATTCGTCCTCCGGGCTTTATAGCAGTCACAGCATCACAGTCGTAGTGCCTATACCTGCAAAATCCACAATTACATCTAATTTAATTCTAGGCAGCGTGTCGAGGCTTTTGACGTATACTACTACCCCGGACTCTAAAGCAGGGAGATATTTATTAAGGCTATTATTAATCCTATACACTTTTGTGCCTACGTAGGACGTAAGTTAGACTCCTGAAAAACCTAGGCTACCTAGGCCTATAATAGCAATAGTTAAAGATAGCGATGCATAGGCTTCGAGAACAACATTATAGTAGGCAGTAGCGATAGTATCGGTAGTTACAGCAGCATTGATTGAAAAAGGTTGCATTGAAGAACTTCTCGCTCTCGCCGATTATTGAGTTTATCATACTCTACTCTTTCAGAGCAACAGTGGCTTCGAACACGATTATCGAGACGTCCTGCTCTCGATCACAATTGAACCAGATCAAGAAATTCCAAGTGTATTCAAGGAAAGCGGGTTATTTCGATCACCTCGAAGATTTTAGACATGATCTTAGAATGTACAGCTTGACATTGAAAGACGAAACCAAAGGGTATATGTAGACAAACACGGCACTTTTCATCGACGCATTCTCAAACCAAGCAGAGGTAGCGCTCAGCTCTGGAACGTCCTGTAACTGACCAAAATGGCAGATTGGCATGAGAAATCATAAGTAGACAGAACAAACACATGACTAGACCGTTCAAGTTAAATCATATTTATGTACACGAGTAATCCTTTTCAAGCACGGTTCTCACGGTTCTCACGGTTCTCACGCTGCTCCTCCTCCGATGCAGGGGAACCACCACCCTTCTCCGGATCCTCGGGGCTAGCAGCCGCAAACCCATACTCGATAGCCTTTTGCTCAATCTCCTCATCAGTCAAACTAGGCAGCTCATGCGAAGCCTTAACATAGCTAATCTTCTCGCAATAGCCCTTGGCAAAGATAATATCAATCTCCTCCAAGGAACGGCCAGCAGTCTCAGGATAGAAGAAGTACATAGGCGGGATAAAGATGGCGTTCATAGCAGCGAAGAACAGATACGTGCCCCATCCAATGTGGGCCACCATGACGGGGGTAATCATGACAACGGTAAAGTTGAACAACCAGTTAGAGCAAGTCGAGACGGCATTGGCCTTGGCTCGGGTGCGGATGGGAGATAGCTCGGCTGGGTACAACCAGGGCAGGGGAAGCATGGCAGCGCCGAAGAAGGCCATGTACAAGAAGAGACCGAAGACAGCGCCCTTGGCTGGGCCGGTGCCGCCAGGGATAAGGCAGGCAAAGACGATGATCATGGAGACCATTTGGCCGGCCATACCACCGATGAAGAGCTTGCGACGACCGATCTTCTCGATGAAGAACCAGGAGAATGTGGCGAAGATGGCGTAGACGATCATGTTGATACCGCCGATGAGCATGGACATGAATTCGGTTTGACCGAGGGATTGCTTTAGAAGGACGGGGAGGTAGTAGATGACGGCGTTACAGCCGGACAGCTGTTGGGCGATTTGCGAGGAAGAACCGATGAGCATGCGGCGGAGGTGCTGAGTACGGCCACCAGTGAGCAGGTCGGAGTAGCCAGCACCCTCGGCGACACCAGCACTGAAGAAGAGTCAGTAAATATTCAAGTTAACAGGGATGAAATGACATACGCTTCGATAGATTCAATGACAAGCTGCTTCTGCAACTGAGTCTCACGATCGTCGATCTCCTTTCCAGCCAGAGCAGCAAGCACATACTCACCCTCGTGAACCTTACCCTTAGAGATAAGGTAACGAGGCGAGTCGGGCAAGAAGTACATGCCGATAATAATAATAAAACCGAAAACAATCTGGAACGCAATCGGGAAACGCCAAACCAGATCAGGGGGACCGTACGAAGCACCAAAGTCAATCCAGTAGGCAATCGCCGTACCAATAGCAATAATACCACCCTCGATACAAATCAACAGACCACGGTTGCTAGTACGAGAGCACTCAGCCTGGTAAGTAGGGATAGTAGAAGTGTTCATGCCATTTCCAATACCGGTGATGACACGACCGAACATGAATTGTAGCAGAGGGATATGGCCAACGAAGGAAGTGACCTGGATAACGACGCCAATGACCATGATAGCGGCGCCGGAAATGACCATCCATCGACGACCGAGACGGTCACCGGCAAAAAGAGCGAACATCGCACCAAATAGACAACCTAATTCGTAGACGGCGGTGATGAGGGCTTGCATCGTCGAGTCACCCTTGGCGGCTGTGAAGACGTCGTCGAAGGCGTTGGCTGAAATGATACCTGACATTACACCTTGATCGTAACCGAATAGGAGGAAACCCATTGTTGCAATGGTGGACACTGTCAGGGACAGTGGCCTGCCGGACATGCCAGCAAATTTGGGCGCCATGATGGAAATGTGTTGTAGTTGTCGCAAGTATACGGCAGCGTGTCAGGAGTATATATGAATAGTATGCTGGTGATATGTACTCGAAAACCCCCCACGTGTAGATATCCGATCAAGGGAAACGAAGAAGGGGGAGATCGAGGAGAAGAAGAATGGAATTAATGAAAAAATATGGAGCAAGGGGAGCGAAACAGGTTGTAGGCCCGGGGCAAGGGCGCTCTATTTAACGAGCGACCTCCTCCACACCACACACAAAAGTGGCAACGAGATGTAATCGTGGGGCCCTGTAAGATTCTTTCCCCGTGTCTAACATGTCCATCGTGTGCAGACTCTCCTTACACTCCCGCGAAGTATTAAGTGGCTCCCGAACCCGCCAGCCGACCGATACAGGCTCCGCTCCACCCAAACCTTCACACTTGCTGGTCCGGCGAATGGGGGCTCCGCTCGGTGGAGCCAAGCTGTCGGATACATCAATTATAAGCAGTTAAGCATTTTCTTGCAGACCCGCCCAGCACAGTGCGAGTCTGGTTGTCCCTGATGACATCAAAGCTACCCAAACTAATGCATTTCGGGATAGTCGGGTCAACCTCGCTGAAAATCATGATTCGCAAGGACGTTGTGAAGTGGAGGGAGAGTGGGTGTGCGAATTACGTTTGTCGTCGACGTGCTGTGACGCTGGAGGGGGTTGAGGTTGAGATGTGCAGTGGCCTAGCCAGACATAGTGCATGCACGGAGATATTTTGCAACTTCCTGGAACGGGTAGTTAGAGAAAATACTTGAAATTGAAATACTGTCAAAGCATACATATGTTTTTCTATCCACGCTATTGATAACGGCAAGGTAAACGGTAGGGATATCACGCATGAACGGAGAAGCTCCAGCAAGAAGGTCGAGTATAACCGTTTCGCAACCATACCCACGGTAAGAGAAATCGGAATTTGATGCAGATTCTTATTGCGGGGACCACACTACTATTTCAACTCCAACCTGTTAAAACTTGGAGTAGTTCCATCATTTCTGCCCTACCTCGGAAAAGAAGCGTGATATGGCCACTATCACTACACGTACCAACAACCGGTATAATACATTCATACTAAAGACTTACTGCCACAAAGTATCCTATCCCGGGGACATCGACATCATGAAAAAAGCTTCCAAAGATACAAGTATCAGCGGACATCCCCGCTTCCAAATAAACCCTCAAGCCACAATCCTGCCGTGCGTGCAGTAGTGTGCGCCCAACGGCGCAGAGCATGAGCGGAAAGGGCAGGGTGCATACCAGCCCCGACGATTCGGCACCGCAGGCAGCAAAAAGTACTCGGGAAGCCGTCACCGTAAACCCGAAGGAGGGCAGCGACCGGGCAGTTTGTGGGCGATGATGCAAGAATGCACCGTGCGCGAACTAGCGGACCCTCCCAGCGGATCAGTGGGGCTTTAGGTAAGGGCCCATTATTGGATCTTCGGGCGCGACTGTATCAACATGGATGGATGGTGCACAATTAATTATCAAGTTGCCTTTGGGTTGTTCTCTTGCTTTCTACGCGCGTTTCGAATATATGTGCATATCTCACGCTTCATAATGAGGGAAGTTTGGCATGTCTTCATCTCCATGGATCTTATCGCACGCATCACTGTTGGGTCCGACTCGGCAATTTTCATTATGATCATTCATCTTGCGTTATGCGCGGTGGAGATTCCATGGAGTAGGGGCTCCGCCGGCCTGCTTTCTGCATTACTGAAATCGAATCAGCTTGATTGATTTCAGTCGATAGCCAATGATAGAAAATACGATACATAATTGCGACGGTTTCAAAGTTCCGTGTTTTGGTTCGTTTTGGCTTCTGCTTCGAATTTGCTTGTTTCCTAGAGTCAATGTTGTAGTACAACACAAGCAATACACCAAAGTAGACTTGAAGTTTTGTGGTGTCTGGATTTTGAATACATAATGCTACGCTCTCACGATTGAATAATTCTTTACTTATTCAGAATTGCGTCTTCATCCACAATTTGAACCAGCCGAGGAGAGTAACAATCCGACAAGACACTTTTTGTCCCCCACACCTATGGTTTTTTTGACCCAATAATCCCATGCAGTAGCCTAATAAAATTCTGTTGAAAAATCAGATATGTATGCCATTTCAACACTGTATACGGACCCGCTCGATGATGTCGGGAACCACTTTTCGGCTCGGATTTTTCTGGAATCTTGCAGCTGGTCCACATCGGACAAAATCTTACAAGAGTGATCTGTGGAAGTTCGAATTCTTGTGATAAAGTGCAATGTTATTTCCGCTATATTACAGAAAGCTACAGGCATCGTGTCCTCGTGGGATATTGTTTAACCCTGCGCTATTGAGAGACTCCTTCCAGAGAAGTCATTAGCGACTACTAGTTTACCGAAAATAATATAGTAATGCGGAGCGCGACCATACTGTTGACGATATATATTGTAGATCTTGGATATCTTAAACAACGTGTATCGACATGCATCATGTCGCATGTGACAACGCTAGACATGTAGTATTACTTGGTGTTGTTCAATTAAACAATATCGCAAGAGAATAATAATTACAAAGATACTCGGAAAATATCAGCGCAGATGACATGGATGTTCGTGCAGCCTGGATATGCGGAGCCCCACCTCGTGATGCGAGCAACGTCATCCTGGTCAAAGTCGGGATACTGAATGAAAAAAAATCATTGAGAATTGACCGTGGAAACAATTCCCGCGGTTCAGTAGCAAAATCAGTGAAATTGACCAAGGATACCACAAATTTGTTGTTATACGAGCTATCCTTGCCACGAAAGAGGGATCTCAGCCCCGAAAGAAAGGAAATACTTGAGCACTACGCCGAGTTGAAATTATAGGTTACGACAACGCCACACCCGCTGCGGATCTTTACCGGACGGGCATATGATATCAGGGCTCCATTCTATACAACTACTGTAGAAATTCCCCCGTTTTGGACCAAGCTGAAGAAGCGGAGGGGCGGAGATGCGGATGCCTAATTATCAATAGTGCGGCGATAACACTCGGAGCATCCGGCAACGCCGGAAAAGGTACTTTGATTGACTTCTTGAGTATAGATGAACTGAAAAGGCATATGGTTCGATACCGATGCTCAGATTTTGATCGGCCAAGGTTGATGCTGGAGTTGCCGTTATCAGATTGGAGGTAATGAATACCGGAAAGCTTAACATGGTGCTCTTCTGAGATCTGAAAAGATAGTTAATTCGGTTTTGCATGTCTAGATATTTCCTGCCTCAGGCCGACATGACGCCATGTAGTTTCCGGCTTTTTGCCTGAGGCAGAAACAACTTCGGCAGGCCTTCGCTTTGCGCCTACCACATTCCGATCAAATGCAGATCAACTTGGAATGAAATGTAGAATGAGTAGACCCATTTTGCATCTGCTGATGACTGACCTTATATACGACTGTTTCCCCCTGAACACAGAATCCGGAAACGAAAGTCCATCCGCGAACTGCTCGGGACAACAGTCTCCGTGGCCCGACTTGTAATGCCAGTAACGTGACTGGCCCGCGGTGAATTAAGCCGAGGCTGATAGGCCTCAGGTTTCATAGTCAGTATTCAAGAGCGCGCGGAGTGATCTGCTGTGGTTTGAAGAGAATATAAGATCATGATAGATGTCGCGGATATTGCGGTCGGCATACTGATGATACCCCGCCACGGCTATTTCTCTCGCCCGACCATTTCGATCGAGAGCCTGTATCGGGATGATCAAATCTTGTTCCTTGATGGTTGGATTTGCGGCGAATCAGAACCACCCGAATCGGCCGAGAAGCTCCCCGCAACTTTCTCTCCCCCGGACTCCAATAGCCCGAGGTCTTCAACTTCACCTTTTTCTTCCAACATCCCTGCCCTTTTGACATCTCTCACATTTGTCTTGTTCGCATATTCTCATACCATTGTATGCGATAGAATTAGACCTTGTCTTTACACATACATTCCGCTGCCAATATGAGCCAAAGATTGACCGGCGCCGCGGTCGCCGAGCACAACTCCAAGGACTCGTGCTGGGTCATTGTCCACGGAAAAGCTTACGATGTCACCGAGTTCCTGCCAGGTTGGTATCCCTACCGTCGATTCTTTCGTATATTCTAACCGGATCAATATAGAACACCCCGGCGGCCAAAAAATCATCCTCAAGTATGCCGGCAAAGATGCGACCGAGGAATTCGACCCAATTCACCCCCCAGATACCCTCGACAAGTACTTGGACAAGTCCAAGCACCTCGGCGAGGTCGATATGAGCACCGTGGAGCAAGAAGAGAAGGCCTTTGACCCAGAGGAGGCCGATCGTCTGGAGCGTGTCAAGCGGATGCCTTCGCTCGCCGCATGCTACAACCTCATGGACTTTGAGGCTGTCGCTCGGCAAGTTATGAAGAAGACGGCATGGGCCTACTATTCCAGCGGAGCAGACGACGAAATTGTATGTCATATCTCGACTTCCTCCACCAATTCCAACGTGATCAATGGGCGTACTAACTAATTACCCGTCTTAGACATTGCGCGAAAACCACCACGCTTTCCACAAGATCTGGTTCCGCCCCCGCGTCCTCGTCGACGTCGAGAATGTTGACATCTCCACCACCATGCTCGGAACCCCCTGCTCCATCCCCTTCTACGTGACCGCCACCGCACTTGGCAAGCTCGGCCACCCCGAGGGTGAAGTCGTGCTCACCAAGGCCGCCCACAAGCACGACGTCATCCAGATGATCCCAACCCTCGCCTCATGCTCCTTCGACGAGATTGTCGACGCCAAGCAGGGCGACCAGGTGCAATGGCTCCAGCTTTACGTCAACAAGGACCGCGAGATCACCCGTAAGATTGTCGAGCACGCCGAAGCGCGCGGGTGCAAGGGTCTTTTCATCACGGTCGATGCTCCCCAATTGGGTCGTCGCGAGAAGGACATGCGGTCCAAGTTCAGTGACCCCGGTTCCAACGTGCAGTCTGGTGATGATGGAATCGACCGGTCCCAGGGTGCTGCCCGTGCTATTTCCTCTTTCATTGATCCCGCGCTATCGTGGAAGGATATCCCCTGGTTCAAGAGTATCACGAAGATGCCTATCGTGCTGAAGGGTGTTCAATGTGTGGAGGATGTTCTCCGTGCCGTCGAGGCCGGTGTTGAGGGTGTTGTTCTCTCCAATCACGGCGGTCGTCAACTGGAGACCGCCCGCTCCGGTATCGAGGTCCTTGCTGAAGTTATGCCCGCTCTCCGCGAGCGCGGCTGGGAAAAGCGCATTGAAGTCTACGTTGACGGCGGTGTGCGCCGAGCCACAGATATTCTAAAGGCGCTCTGCCTAGGCGCCAAGGGTGTTGGTATCGGTCGGCCCTTCTTGTTCGCCATGTCCGCATATGGCGTTGACGGTGTCAACCGCGCTATGCAGCTGCTCAAAGACGAAATGGAAATGAACATGCGTCTGATTGGTGCTACACGGATTGAAGAGCTGAACCCCAGCCTGTTGGATACACGCGGTCTGCTCGGTGGGCATGCCGGTGCTATTCCCTCCGATACGCTTGGTCTGGGTGTGTACGACCCACTCGAGGCTCCGCGATTCAACGAGAAGGCCAAGCTATAGGGTGTCTCGATTTGAATGTCTTTGCGTGGTTTGGTTTGTGTTAATACTTGCAAGCATTTTGTATTGAATAATTCCCCCTGCCTCGGTCAGGTGGGACGCGTGTGTATATACCCATGCCTGAGATTGGGCATTGAATGTCATGATAGAAAATACAGACATTTGCATAGCTTTACATTTGGATGGTTTTTCATAAACTTTTTCCGGGTTGTTAAGTAATTCCATGATTGGGGTGATTATGAATGCCGATGAGGAATTCCAGCCCGCTGTCCCGTTCCGTCCTCGGGCTGTGAATAGTCCTGGACTGTGCGCTCTGCGACCTCAGCTCTGATTCTTGTAGCCAAGGGTTCAGAACCACACATCAACAACTGCCCGGGTCGTCGAGTGGGTGAGGAATGACGCTTCGAGCCATCCGATTACTCAGTTTCTAACGCCTTCTTCAGTATGATTCGCGTTTAGTATGTCCCACTATCCCTTCGCTGCTCCCATATCAAGTCACTAACAACATCCCCAGGGGTTCACCCAAAGCAATTGACTACGCGAGGCCCGGATCGCTCCCGGGCTCGGGCCTCTTTTTTTCTTTGTATCTTATTTTTTGTTTTCCTTTTCGTCTACAGGCCTGGTCCACAAAGTGCAAGATTTCTCTAAAGTGCGGCTGGCCTATCTTTCTTTCCTTTTTGTGTATTTTTTAGAGGATGTGTTCATATCTGGCTGTCATCACAATTAATGCACTCGTTTGCAAAACCTGTGAAGCTAGTGTTAAGTCTGGAATTATTGGGTTGGGTGTTGCTGTTTAACCATCTGTCTAAACCTTTAGGAAGGAACTGGAAGAGGTAGTGATCCCATGTGGAATCGCAGCCTAATCATTAACCTATATTCCTTGTAGTATTACCTGTATACCGTGATTGGTTTTTCGTTTTCGAGCAGTGTATAAATAAGCTGCCCTCGGATGTCCTTTTTACTGTCTTCTTAGATGTCTTTAGGTCTAGATGTTATCCGTTGACACCTTTGTAAGCTTCCACCTCTTGAAAAGGGACGTGAGACATGTTAGGTAAAGATCGCGCTCGCGAGTTGCTCCTTTCCCTTCTGATCATCAACCTCCTGACGCGAGAGACCGATGGCCTCATTCTTAGACGACCTAAAGCACTTAGTACCAGACCTTTTCAAGCTTCTCCTTCAAAACAAATGTGAAGGGAAATGGCGAGGAAATATTTTGACTGCTTTGTTTCTACATTGTGTTGATCGTGCCTGTAATTGAACTTATTAGTTGTGACCTTCGGTCTTCTATCGATACGATCGTCTATTCATATTATTTATCTAACTCTGGGTTGCCCTCAAAAAATGCTGCAGTGCTGATTGGTTGCATTCCAATCCTGTACTTAAGCGAAAATGGTTTCCATTGTTCTATTTGCCTATGGCAACTGCTTGATTGCAAGCTGTCTCGCGCAGCAACTTTATTGAGCAAGGTGACATCAAAGCAATAAGTCTTTATCCAATGGCGTTTACTTTACCCCCGACGCCGAGATGAAAACATTCGATTCCCGGTCAGTCATTACTCAGACCTTCACCCAGTCGTCATTATTTTCGTCTGGCTCCTCCTCGTTTGGCTCCTCCGTGTCCTGCTGAACATTTGTTGGAAGATCAATGACCACCGGGATCTCCTCTTCCTCATTCAAACCACCCAATGCAATCGGCCATGCCCATTTCAACAGCATATTCATCATACTGTAAAACTTTTCTTGGTCGATACTCTCTAGGTAGGACATGCCAGCAGGCGGCGCTAAGGCATATGCTGAGAAATCCAAAAGTCGGGTTAAACCAACATGGAGCTTCCCGTCATAATATCCACTGAGGATACGGCATTTGCCTGACCGATCCGCGAGGAAGAGTATTGTCTGTTCTCGTCAGTGCTGCCTAAGACCATTTTAGTGTAGAATGGCAGACTCACTGGGAACTCAGGGTTGTAACTACATGGTTCGGCATCGTGGATTGGCGTCCACGCGCACAACATGGATTCCAACATTGTATGAACCAAGATTGTCACTTCGTCTCTGGAAGGTCGTGAATCATCGCCGCATTGTCCAACATCCCCAGAAGCCAATACATGACTTCCATGGTCCACGAGGAGCTCGTCTCCATCACTCAACAGGGTGACTGTCACTCCAGGGTCGAGTTTCCACCGGCAAAGGTATTTCAAACTTGAAGGCACCATGTCCAAAACATTGAATTTTTTTTCGAGAGGATTGGTCTGCCTTTCCTCAGCCTCACTAATACAAGAAGGTTAGATAGAACACCTTGGGTTCGAGTGTGGAATTGTGAAGCTCACAGATCATAGATCCATCCGTATTGGCTTGGCTGTCCTCCTTCAGAGGGACTGAGATCACGAAACGGGTTTACAAGGTCTTTATTCCCTTCAAAAGAGTATTCCTCAAAAGTAGATACGAGGTACAGAGCAAAAAGCCCGGGTTCGTCACTGAAGACGTTTGTTTTATCATTCGGCTTAGTCGTCTCATAAACAGCCTCCCGCCAAACTTTATTCAAAGAATCCCAATCTTGTTTGCAGGCATCGGAGATCTCTGGGAAGTCGGTCCTTGGAAGGAAAAAGGTGTTGGCAGGAGGTGATATAGCTCCAGTTTCGATATCCATATCATGAACGAGGATCCCAAGGCGAAGCAACTCCGTATCAAGGATGTAAGGATTGTAATCTTTGTCGCCAAATTCCAGGGAATATGAGTCACTAGGGTTAGGAGGCAGCGATCGGAGGATCCATTGCAACTTCTTCCAGGACTTTTTCAGTTGCGCCGTGTGGGTTACCATTTTGAGGAATTATTTTGGAGGTGGACTAGAGGAGGGTGAAGCTGAATGTAAATGGAACAAGGGAGAGGTCAGGGAAGAGGGAAACTTCCTCTGGTGAGTAAATAGTTCCAGAAATCTACCTGGCGGGGGATACGACATAATTCCTAAACGGGAAGCCGACCCCAATCTTAAACAGCTGTGACGCCAAATTAGGTATAGTAGGCCACCAGTTCCATGGAATCGCGACCACCTAAAATCTACACAGGTCCCGTTAATCACATTGTTTTACCTCTAGAGAAAGCTGCTTGTGTATACGCGATTCAGCAACGCTACTGAATAAGGCCACAGAAAACTTCAGTAATATGTATACAGCGACCTTGCACTGAGTTGTAGGATAACAAAGCGCCCGTACCAGGGACAAGACGACAGCCAGATCAAAAAGACGCCACCATCCGGTGCGCAACATTTTTAGTTGGTCCCTTCGTTTAGTTATTACTTCGACACTGAGCAAGGAATGATCCAGAAACAAAGATATTCTTCAGCATTGGAACTGCTACCAGACCATGCCAAATGACCACTACCGGATTTCAACCGATTTACCGCCTCGGGCTTCTAGAACGAGCGCGTTCTTGCCTGGAGCCTCGTGAGCCTTGAGGGTTTCGAAGGTCGCGCATCTGCCTGTCGTACCACGCCACTCGTGCAGCTTCCCTCGCAGAATCTGCTTGGTGCTGCATGTGACCTTCCATGGCAGCATGCCTTCTAGCTTCCAACTCCGCAAGCCTGTCGTCCCTTGCTCGTTGGTCTTCACTTGGCGATGGAGGGCGAGCGGGCAACGACACAGCCAGGTTCTGAGGAAGTCCAGAGGCCGGACGGTGCGAAAGGGCAAAAGGAGCAGGCTGTGGAAGGCTAGAGGGCACGGCCTGAGGAGGGCCGCCGAGGGGCTCAGGCTGAGCATGGTCAAAAGGCATAGACCGTGGCGGAAGACCAACGAAGGGAGGAGTTCCACGTGCCGGAAACTCTTGCTCGGGTTCGTCAATGTCCATGGCATCTTGCTGAGATGGCATAACCGGATGCGCCAGGCGAGGAGCTTTGACATGGCTGTAGTAGATATAACCTGGCTCGGGATCAACTTCAGTCACCGTGCGCCGGTCGACCCAGGTCAAGACGTGTTCCTCCTGCCTGACATCCTCAAAAAGCCCTCGAAGGACCTTTGCGCTCTCAAGCCGTTTAACCGAGGTCATAAACTGTTCGTTCCAAGCTGCCATATTGCCGACCACGATCAAGACCTTTTGCGCACGGCTCAAGGCTACGTTCAGCCTCTCCTTGCTTGCCACAAAGCCCAAGGACCTTATGTCCTTGCCGGGTTTCGTCAAGGAAAGCAGGACAATCGGTGCCTCCTGCCCCTGCGCAGCGTCAACCGTAAGATTGTCGCGAACTGCTAGGCTACTATCCTTGAGCATGCGGGAGATAAGCCGGCGTTGAGCCTTGTAAGGGCTGATGACCATGACATCTTCAGCACTGATCTTCTGACCTGCGGCAGTCTGGAACGAATACAATTCAGCGAGGAGATGCCGAATGACCACTGCCTGCGACTGGTTCTCGAACGAGGTGCCATGTTCCTCCTTCTCCGCATAACCGATGACGCTGATGAACAAGCGTCGGATACCAGCTATGTTTTGGCCGTGGAAGTGGTGGCGCTTCCTTGTAAACTCATCCCAGGTATCCCCTACGCGCTCGGGCTGACTGTTGATCGGGCTCGCGGTCAAACGACCGTTGTAGATCTGCCGATTGAACAGGGCAAGGATCTGCGGGTGATTGCGATAGTTGACATTGAGAAAGGTAGAAGGATAACCGCACTCGCCAAGACGAGCCATCAAGGAGCGCTTGAGGTACTGCGCACCCTCATTTTGCTGACCTTCCGAGGTGACTGTTGGCGGAAGCTGGTCAGGATCACCAAGCAGGATGACAGCGCGGACGGTCTCGGCATTTTTCGTCAAGGGGATCATATGATCCCCTTCCAAGCATTGACCTGACTCATCGCAGATGACAACGTCTGGCTTGAACGCCAGCCGCAAATCCTCTTGAGCGGAAGTACTGAGCGTGCTTGCAACGACTCTGATGCTCTTCATTGCGAAAACTTGCCGCATCAGGTGTTCGTACGCACTCCGGAACTTTATCTGCTCTTGCCCTTGGACTCCTGACTTGCGATCTTTTTCCAGCAATTCCAAAAAGATGGCGCTCCACTGGTCCGTTGGTGTATTGCGGGCATGCTTCAGAACTAGCGTGTGGGTCTGGCATTTCTCAATTTCGCGCTCCACGTCCGAGAGTTCAGGCGTGTTGTTCGGTCCCCGCTTGGCACTATCTTGTCGGATCGTCGCGAATTGGCATGCGGGCGATCTGAAGCGAACGACTGTGCCACACCAGCTTCGAAAACGCTGGTCATTCTTCGTCGCCTCGTACAATGGATGGAAGAGATTATCCACACCTTTGTTGGATCCCGCAACTACCAGAACCTTAAGACCGAGTGATGCCAGGGTGAGAATAATGCGTTTCGCGGTTCTGGTCTTCCCTGTACCCGGGGGGCCCACGATGAGATGCACACCTCCAGGAACCGCGACGGTCGACTTCCTCACTGCTTGAGCTTGCTCAGTGTCGAGTGGCACGACCTTCTCGATATGCTTGAGATACTCATCCTGCTTGGCTTGCTCGATGGATGATATATCGCGAAGGTTTAGCTCGAAGTAATCCGGACAGTAGGGGTCGACCTCTCTCCCATGGCCAAGGACCAGTTTTCGCAACGAGTACCCTTTGTTCTTGTTCTCTGGCATATCTCCAAAGCATTTCACTTGGCCAACGGCTTCGAGGGCCACTAATTGCTCGTTGACCGGTAGCAAATTAGGAGTCACAATCGCAGTAACTACGAGATCTTGACCCTCATATGCTTGAAGCTCGGCTCGAACAAACATTGTGAAATCTGCTTTGAAGGAATCGTTGTCACTGACGACCAAGCCCTCGAGATTGAGCTCTTGCTTGGCTAGCCGTGTCTCTAAGTTGGCGGGATCTCGAATAGCGAACCTCACCTGTGTCGAGGAGGACAGTGTAGGGAACTGCTGGGCGTTGACGGTCACATCGACGTACCACCAGTCATTTTGGCCGGCTGTCCGCAAACGAGCTTTATGGACACGCTCAAGATTGAAGATCTCCAAAAGCGAGGCCTTCTGGTAGTCCCGCTCATTTCGCGTCGCTGCTACCAGGATCGAGCTTCTGTCCTCTTCATCAATAAAGAAGGGATCATGCGGTTTCAGCTCAGCGTAGCGGTCATGAGAATCGAACAGCCATGGCATGGGTGGACTGCGATCGGAGTTTTCTGTCACTGGGTTTCTTGCGTAGAACCAGTAGGCTTTAGGCTGTGGCTCTGGTTGACCATCAGCATTAGTGCGGACAAGCTGCACGAGTCGTCCCAGCCGATTGAAGCAGGTTTGGCCTTTCTGGACATCCTTCTCCTCATGCGGGATCCAGATGACGGCCTCGTTCTCTTCCCAGCGGACCGAATTGAGGATCTTCCAATCCCTACGTTCTGTATTGTCGATGGGTTCTTCTCTCTCCGCGGAAGGAATTGGTGGCTGTGCGGAGGGTCGGATCTTGATGAACGCAAGTCGAGGTCGCTCTATCTTTAACCGATGACGGTACTGGTTGACGAAAGCCGGATCATCTCGATCGAAGCCGGTCTCAATCGAACAGTTCTTGGCAGTGAATACCACTTGACCTCGTTGCTTGGTACGGAGTGTGAAGGCCACTCTCGGTTGCTGCGAGTCAAGAACGATATGATATTTGCCGGAGAATAGCTCGTTTCCAACCGTCATTTGGCATGGTCTCCACTTGATTGCCATAGTCCTCAGGTCGGTAGGGCAGTCATAACCGAGCGGCTTATCGAAGGGATCGGGGGCAAACAACGCGTTGGCCATACTGCCAGCAGTGGGTACCTCCATTGCGCGAGGAGAAGGCAGAGGAGAGGAGAAATAGAGAGTGTAGTGGTGGTTAGGGGGGATGGAAAAGGGCTTTCTAAGAAAGCGCCTGAGGGGGGATGAAAAGAGTCTTCTAAGAAGACGCCTGAGAGGAGGGCAGGGAGGAGGGCAGGGGAATCAATGTGGATGGGGATCGGGCAGGGAACAAAGGACCGAGCAGTGCGGACTGGCAGGACATCCAGCTTGATTTGATGCCTATCGATCAGTTCATCAGTAAATCAAGTATATGCCTGGTGGTTTGAAGGCTTCCAACTCACACTTTGTGAGGCTCAGGCGACGCGAAGCTTCGTCTGGACAAGATGTGTGGGAAGACGAAGAGCTTGCAGAGGATTGGTGGGAGATGTGAAGACGAAGTGGGAAAAGCAAAAGAAGAAAACCTCGCTGGATGGTATTACCCACGCGTCTCAGGCCTAAGGCCGCGGTGTTTGGCCGCGTCGCTGACTCTACTTTCCTATTTGGGAAGGCGCGCTGGTAGTGCACATGACTGAGCCTGTCCAGTCGCCTTACCCTTTTTATTCTTCTTCTTCCTCCCCTTCTTCCTCTTTCTCTTCCTCTTCTTCTTCTTCACCAACATCACCCCCACCAGTCATAGGTATGCTCAATAGCTTATCGCCTGGTCATTATTCCCCTGCCCGATACACTGACACTATGATCCCCTGCCCGACTCCCTGCCCTCCTCTCAGGTGTCTTCTTAGAAGACCCTATTCATCCCCCCTCAGGGGCTTTCTTAGAAAGCCCTTTCCCCCTCCCCCACAAACCCCCACTTCACTTCCCTCGTCTCTCTCCTCCCGTCTTGTACCTCCGGTCTCTCGGTTCTCTCGTGGTCTTGCCTGAAAGTTCCTTTCAGCCCTCTTTGGTGAGTTCAGACCGTCCTTGTCCAGTGGTCTCAAGTTTGATCATCTCAGCTTACCAGAAACAGTCAAAGTTGAAGTCTGCCCATTCATACAACGGCACTGGTCACTTTCGCGGCCAAAATGTCTGACAAAAGTGCGTTAAGTACTTCAATTCCCATGGGATGCGATCAGTGAGCTTACAAGATAGATAGAGTGGTTCAAAACGGAAATGGGGAAGGCAAACTTGCCCTTCGACACGAATAGTCTCGAACGACTTGCCACACAGCTCAAAATCAAGGGCCCAATCATCAAAGAATTTGACAAGACGGAAATGTTACAAGAGATGAACCTCTTACACAAACGTCCGGACGAAAAGCGTTTGAACCAGATCTTTGATGAGGCTAAGAAACATGCTCCGTTCGGTAAAAAAGCGATAGAAGTCAAGTTCAGCGACATCCTTGGTTGGGGCTCGGGTTCCACCGTCCAACAGTCATATTTCCTGACCTTGAATGTCTACTTCATGTTGACGACCCCAAACGAGCTATGGAACCCCAAATCGAAGCTCGGGGAGCTTCTCGCCTTAACCCCCCATGTCAAGAACAAGTCGGTGAACATGCTCTGCAAATTTGGGGACTTGGAGGCATACCTCGACGATATTTCCAAGTATGAGTCCGGCGATTCTCCGTTGAGGAACATCTACCTGGGGATCTTTTCTTTAATTCGCAAGGCTCAGCTTCGCGGTGTCCTTCGCCAGACTGGAGGTCGTCGCCCGCAGACTCGAAGTCAGACTGCGGCAACGAACAGTGGGAAACGTGGAGGCAAACGCAGACGTATACGCCCTTCCATCAAACATAGGAATAAACGCAAGAGAGGTCATTCGCCCACGGAATCGAAGAATATTGAGCTGGCAACTAGCAAGGTGGCAGATATGTTCTCCAAATTGAACCTGAGCGACAAATACCCCCAATTCGGTTCGAATATCCGTGAGCATGTGAAAGAGCGATCCGATGAGACCGAGAGTTCCACGGGCGCTTCAGCAATTTTTCGAGACCTTGAAGTTAAATCTGCCAGGCCTTCAGAGAGTGTCGAGTTGCCAACAGCGGAGGATCCCGTCAACGCAACATTCGTCGAATTGTTGCGGGCTTTCTGCATGGCGATTCCGACACCGCTGGAGTGGACAAGTAGCAAGCCCCCATTCACAATGACTCGGGGCAAAGCACGAATCACCGCGGTCGCAGATGGACAGCTGAGTCAATTACCGGATTCCAAAGAGTTTTCCCACGCAATACTTGAGGTCAAGCCAAACGTCCTTCGGTCGCGCTACTTCGGAAATATCCTAAGGCAGGTTGGCTTGGAAATGGTCACTTGGATCTACCACTGCAACGAAGCCGGCAAGCCACTTCCACGGTAAGACTGTCATGTCCGCAAGTCAAGTTCTGACAATGCTGACTCTTTAGATATGTCATACCTTGCCAATTCGGTATTGAGGCGTGGATCTTCGTCGCTGAGTGCTCGCCTGCTTATCTGGAGTTTTTGAAAAGCGGAGGTGCACAACCCGCGCGGGCTTGTCTCCCCATCCACCTTTGTGGTCCTTTCAATATTTATGACTATAAGGATATGTTCGCCTTCGGTGTGGGTATCTATGCACTCACTCTTCAGATCACCAATGATGAGTTTCCGAATTATGGTAAGGTGAATTAGAGGGATATGTTAGAGCTTTGAGAGCGCCAGGCGTCCACGGATTCGTGTCTTGTGAAGTAGACTTATTTATTCCATTCATTAGCAATATACCATTTTGTCTTTCAGTAATTCCAATAAACCCTGGCATGTATGAAGATCTCACTCAATAGAAAATTCCTTCGTTCAGAGATGTCTTCAACTTATTCTCTTTCAAAATATCTTGAAGGCGATGAGAGGAACGTTCAGGTTCGAAGTCATGGATGTCGGTTCTATCGGCTCATTGATACGCACAGTAGACTGTGTTCTATAGACCGCCGGTGTTATTACTGGATTTCACGGTTCAAGTATGATAGGAGAGATGATTTCGAAGGTTTGTCGGGATTTCAACTGGCTCAGGCGATATGATCACATGCAACACATGCCTCCTGGGACTCAACTGGAGGCCATTCCGCGCAGCAATGAACCCTGGAATACCTTTATTGAAAGCTCAGAAGAAACCCACACGCCAGTTTACACGATGGAACAGGGTGTGAATCAAGAAATAAAACTAATTTCAAAAAACAATTTGTCTGACGGCCCGCAAACCGCCCAAGACAATTCGCACACGAATTACAGCATGAAGAGAGTAGTCTGTCGTCCACTTTCACTTTAACGATAATGGCAAGTTTTACACGCTTCCGATTGCCTTAATTTTTTGATAGCGAAACAGTAGCTGACCGTACCCATGATCGGGTACGCCTTTCACAGCCGACAAATGAAAATGATTCATATCCCACCAGACCTTGTTCTCTGCGGGCTTTGAATACAATCTACATGTACTTCTGAGATAGGTCAGAGAAATCTCGCGAGAGAGGTATGCTTGGGAAGGACCGTCAATATCTGTTGGGACCTGGATGTTTGATTGATTTGAAACGACCCACTAGACCGCCGGAACGATTGTTATTTTGTCGCCAACTATTGAAGTAAAAGAATGCAGAGTCAAAAATTTTCTGACGATTAGAATTTAGCCGCTACAATCATAAGACTACCACTAGTAGATTCAACCCTATTTACCGCCTTGGACTCCTAGAATGGGTAGGCTCATCGCTTGAGCCTCGTCGACGTTAAAGGTCCCGCATCTGCATGTCATACCATTCCAGTCGCGCAGCGGCCCCCACGCCCACGCCCCACACCTTTTTCTTGGCGTCAACAGACATCTTCCATCGAAAAGTCGGGAGCCTCAGCTCGTTGCCGGAGTTCATGTTCCCCTGCCAGACGAGGAGCGGCTTGATGGCGAGGCAGTACTACCTCGCGTAGTACTCGCGTCTTGATACGAATTCAACTTGGAAACATTCCAGCGAGCTCCGGGAGCACACGAACGAGAGCGCGTCGGTGAAGATCAAGAGGCCATTCCCCGCGAGTTCGAGCATCTGTTTCCGCTCAGTTTCCGCTCAGAACCTGCTTCGGGGACCACAAAAACGACGGGCGCAGGACCTCAGTCTCGGAGGAGAACTTGGAGACGAGCATGGACGATAGCGACGGCGTGACCATTCACATGATGTGCAGCTAGATCGCGGTCATTGGCCACGCGCATACGGTCGAGGCCAAGGACAAGGACCTCGTCGTTAGCAGACAAGTGCGCATGTGCGAGCCTATGATGGTGGGTATGATCCGGGAGCCCGTGTTCAAGCCGATCCACGACGGGAAACACGCTAATGCAGTGCCGATCAGCCTGCAGTCCGTGTTGCTGTACAGGGCCGCGATATGCTACGAGACGAACTACCCGGTCACGATGTACACGAACTTGGCGATGCTGGAGCCGCAGAACCACTCGGCGATGATGTTGTTATGCCCGAGCTTAAGCACGACGTTGTTGACGTTTAAGCGTCTGCGCGTATATAGGGTCACCCTTATAGCCCCGATATTAGAGTTACTTACCCTTAAGGACGGTCCTGTGGACTTAGTCTGGATTGAGCTCTCGTTCATCCATCTAGTACAGAAGGTGTAGGTGGCCATGCAGGTCCCTATGATCAGGTCCAGGTCGTCGTTCATAATCATCCACACGTTCATATCCTTCATTCAGAGTATGCGCTAGCACTTCATATAGAACAAGAACAAAGGGCCGATCGGCTCTCCGAAACCTCTCATTAATCGATTTCGACGCCACTGTCGGTCTGAAACAGTGGAGTTGTATGACCTCGATATTCCCCGAGAGCGAGAAGTTTTTGACTATAGCTGCCTTAAATTATTTTATGGACCTTATTGTCACCTTCGAAATGCCTAATGCGTATAGGGCAATAACAATCAAGGTAAGTTCTTAACGAAAGGCATTACTACATTGTTGGTCTAATTTGTCAAACTAGATAATGCTGGAAGTCCTTCGCAGAGCTAGGGAAGTTCCTGCGGCTGTTTCAGATCAGCTTGCAGCGTATTCCCATTTCTTATTTACATTTGCTCTTGCTACAGCAAGGTCGGAAGACTCTGCACTGCACACTTTTCGGATATTCCCGCTCCTCACCCGCTGGATACTAACGCTCTCCAAAACCTCTCGATCATCGGGTTCGAAGCCACTGTACACTGGATCATTGATGACTAGGACCGGCAAGCGTTAAAGAGCGTCGGGGGCAGGGAAATCATAGGTATATTCATTCTTCTATTCCTGAATACGTCGCTCTTTCCTCATCTTTTTCTTCTCCTTCATCGTTTTCTTCTCCTTACTTCCTACAGACCAACTTCTGCGACGCCATCCCATACAGTCGAAACTGACTGGAATCTTGCTGTCGGCGAGATGCTCGCATATTAAGAAGTGGAGTTTCGGGTATTGATAGCCAGTATCCCCCTGTGAACACCAGCACCTGATAGCCACCTATGGCGCCAATCGGGCCTGCATCCGCCCGGCTTCCCACACTCTCCTGCATATTCGTCTTTCCTTGACCCTCCGTTCATACTTCGCAAGGGTCCTACTTTCCTTGACCATCTATTGAAGATTCGAGAACGAATTTACGACTTTGCCGGTCTATTCAGGAACTGTCCCCTTGACTTGAACATCTGGACACCTAAGCAACGCAAAAAGCTCAAGGACTACGTGCAAGACCCCGAGTAGTCTAGATGCACATGTTTGAACGACATACATTCTCCTAGGCCTTGTGATTGTCTCCTCCAGGATGAGCCCGTGCCGGTTCAACTCCTTCGAGTCTCAAAGGAGGTATCTGCGGAAACAAGCAAGCTTCTATACTCCAGAAACTATTTCCAGATATCCTTCGTGTTTCCGAGGGCCTTGGAGTCGTTAAGATATCTCCTTTAGCACTCGAGGGGGTTGTCTGAGCGACTCTAAGGCCCTCGGAAACATGAAGAATATCTGGAAACGGTTTCTGGGGTGGGGAGGTTTCCACAACCCCCTCGGGTGTCAAAGGAGATATCTATGGAAACAAGCTCCCCACTTCAATGTGTTACCACCGTACACAATACAGGGGCGGAGCATAGAGCGATAACGAAGTCTCCGAGCATCGTCAAAGGGTAGTCTAGTGAACAGACTCGCCTCTACCCAGGTTGTGGATATGTAAAAAGATATGTAGAAACATGCAGCAGTCTCCACTGATATACTTCCCCTTCTTGTTTTTTGAAAGGTCTTTTGAAAGGTCTTTTAAAAGGTCTTTTTAAAGGTCTTTTTAAAGGTCTTTCTTGTTGGCTTGGGTATCATTTTCGAGTCTGTCATTCAACTTGTGATTGATAAGATGATTCTAATTATGAAACCCCACTGTACCTATTCTCCACTCCATCAGAAAATGGAACGCAAGTTGGCGTGCGATTAGCCTCAGCCTCTATCTACGGCGCCGATCGTAATTTTCAATGAATACGGATTCAATCATGTAGTACCAGCAGAGCATGGTGGCAGAGGATGTATGCAAGTCATAATTTTGCTAGCGCCCGCATCAACCTCGGCATTAGTGAGTTGTTAGTGTGAACGGAGTTGGGGAAACCCTGCATGAGGCTTAAAACACGAGTATAAGAATCAACCTAAGAATATTCACCAGTTTGACAGATGACCCAAATCATTTTTATGAAAAATTCATTCAGCCGATACTTAAGTGAGTCACAAGCAGTACCTTTTTCACATGCCCTTGCGCCCCTCTGTAAGCCCTTGACTCAGAATTTGTGACTTGTCTGGGCTGAAATAAGTTGCAAGGAGGATCAACCCGCAGCTGACCCCCTACAAACCCCAAACCTTGGAACACGATCGATCGGCTGATTCCGCTTTGTTTGGGTCTTCCTTGTTTTTAGCGGATCGCGGGGAGGGACACTTTTTCATCTTCTTTTTCTTCATCTTTTCACTTTTTTGGCCCATTTTTCGAGAGTTTCTCAACTGCAGTTTTCATTGCTGCATTCTTTCGGCCCTCCCACCCCGATCATGCGAATGCGAACGGTCGGCCCCGCTCGCCCCAACCCCGCGCCATGAGCTCCTCCCTCGAGGCCAAGATAGTCGTGCTGGGCGCACAAGGTAATCCCCCTCTTACCTAGAAACAGACAAGACTTTATCTAGTCTTCCAGTCTGAGTATATGTACTAACACCCTCAACTCCAGGCGTCGGCAAAACCTCCCTCGTCCAGCGCTACGTCCGCAACGCCTTCAACCCAGCCACCACCACCTCCACCGTCGGCGCGTCCTTCGTCACCAAGCGCGTCCTCGACACAACCTCCGACACCACCGTCCGCCTCCAAATCTGGGACACAGCCGGGCAGGAGCGTTTCCGCTCGATATCACGGCTCTACTACCGCGGCGCACACGCCTGCCTCCTCTGCTATGACATCACCGACGAAAACAGTTTCCAGGAGATGGCCGGCTGGCTGCGCGAGCTGAGGCGGAATATCGGCGGCGGAGGAGGAGGAGCAGGCGAGGGCGATACCGACCCGCTCGTGATTCACGTCGTCGGCACAAAGAGCGATATCGTCGCCGTGGACCCGGCTAAGAGGCGTGTTCCATTTGAGCGAACGATCGCGTATGTCGCCGAGCAGTTGTATCCGAGTCGAGCTTCGACGCCGCCGCCTACGGCTGGGATGGGCGGTATGAGCATGGGACTGGGCTTTGGATCTGCTATGTTTGGGGGCAGTGGTGGGACCGGGACGAGTGCGTCTGGTGCTAGTCCCGGTGTGTTACAGAGCCCTGATAGTAAGCGCAGTTCAGCGTTCTGGGGCCAGGAGATTGGGTGGGATTGTTGTCATGAGATTAGTGCCAAGGATGGAGAGGGCATTGATGAGGTTTTTCGGGTGATTACTCGGAAGTTGGTTGAGCAGCGGAATCGGCGTGATGCTGAGTTGGCGTTGTCGGCTGTTGGGACCCCCGGGATTGATGTGCCTATCGGTCCGTTTACGCCGGGTGGTGTTGATGGGACTGGGAGTTTTAGGTTGGGGTATGGTGATAAGAGACGCAGTTGGTTGGGATTGGCGACGCCGACTGTGGGGGAGGCTGAGGAGGTTCAGGTGATGAATACTGCGCAGAAACGTGGACGGTGTTGTTGATTTTTTTATTGTTTCGTCTGACTTTGGTCTTGGTTGTGTTTTGATCATATTTTTGCGATGATATCTCCGGAGGTGGGCTGCATTTAAAGATTGGCGTTGTTTGTTTAGCGCTGGATCTATCGGTCTAATGATTTCTTCATCTCGAGTTGTTATGCTTTGCTTGAGTATTAGTCTTCAATTCAAGTTCATCCTAATAAATTTTCTTTTTACTCCGATTGCTGCACGCTGTTGTCTATCTCTGACCAATACGTTGTTGCCCATAACTGGATTGACTTCGCGGCCAACTTGTTAAACCGAATTTGCCTATTACGGGTAAACCTACCTTGAATATGGCATGTCTATCTTCTCCCTGGGGATGGGTAAGGCACTACTCCGACCACTAAAAGCCAGTTCAGACTCAGAAAGCACAGTCTCGCGATTAATATAGCTCGCTTCAGCTCGTTAAGGAGAGGTGATATGTCATAGGGAGGCACGTCTCTTGCTGTGTAACTCATATCACTTCAGAAAAGTCTTCACCGTCGGTAATTAAAGAGTTGATACCTAGATTTGATCAAGAGTAATTAGATTGAGATGCAGATAATCATAGTCAAAATAGTATGATATCATGCTATGGACATATCACCTCCTCGATACATTGATAATTGTCCAGTATGTCCCTCAAATAATAGGAAACCTGCCTTAATTACGCATCTGGTGTACGTCATTCCAGCCTGGGTTTTAATAGAAAGGAAATTAGACTGCCTAGGTCAGGGATGATTTTGCGGCTCTGGCCAGGGTAGAAGGCTAGTCCAGACAAGCACTACATATGAGGCCCGGGCGCTCCCTTTCGCCCTCTCATTGAGTCATAATCTGTACTGGGCTAAAAGGCCAATTTTACAGGTCGTTGATCTGTCGTAGTCTAATGATGGTGCCTGATTCACCTGGTGGCTTGTTGGATACATTGCAGTGGAGGGCCTAGGCAGGCCCGAGTCCTGAGTACCGGTGTAGATCAACAAACAAGCAATTTATCGTGGGCCAGTTGGGAATTTCTTCAAGCTATCTATCACATATTTGATTAATTTTCTGTATCTTTAAAAGATAAAACAATTTGTCAATGGTCGATCAGATATTCTGAAACCCACTCATAGTTCCGAATGATGTCACTGGCACTCCAGTGGAGTGGATCTCCGGGGTAAACATTAAAGACTGGCACGACTTGACTGGCACTGGACAACCTCTCAACTTCCGAGCCAGACAATTGGCTTTTGACCCTGCATCCATGCAGAATTTCACCCGGGTTTCAAAGGCATCAAAATACTTTCCGACCGTCCTGCGGTTGATTCCTCGGCCTGCACTGCCCTCGCGCAGGGGAGTCCAAGTTCCACCCCCGTCATTGGAGGGAGGATTGGAGTGTCGACCATGTGTCCTGCTGGTTTCTCCACTTTCATACACTTCCGCAGTGCGCATTGGACAATCTCACAAGGAGACTCAGCCTCACCTCTTTAGTCTCTTGGTATCTCTGACTCTGATCCTGACCCCTCTCTCTCGTGTGCTGGTCTGCTGTTCTCGGGTACTCCGGACTGAGTGCTCCGGTCAGGACTCACGACAAGGACTGGACTACCGTATGTACAAATGTACTCGGTACTTTCTTCGACTATGCATGCGTCACTGACCTCTGCAGTACCTCTGCTGAGCCGTGATAAGTTCCATCCGACTCTCCGGAACTCGCCTGTTCGCTAATCTACATTCAACACTGGCCGCCACCTAATCTCCCCTCAACAGACATGCAGGTTAGCGCGCCTGGACTGCCAACCCGATTCCCCGGCTGTTCGCCTCTTTTCCTTTTTCCCCAGCAAACACACCGACCAACCCATGACGACCCAGAGTGGTCTGTGCTGCTGCTGTTGCTGATGAAAGCTCCCATGTCCCGACTAACCATGGGCACTGCCCACAGGCACCTTGAACGACGCAGGGAGAATAAGAGCGGTCGGTGATAACCCCGGTCTTCTTGTTGTCTGGCATTCTGGGCATTTTCTTCTTTCCGTGCTCTTTTAATTTCTTGTCCTTTTCCAAGACCTGGCTGTTCCCTTGGTATGCATTTGTCTATCGGCGACTGTGATTAACTCTAGTTCATTACTGCTATCGTCCATCTTTCGACCCCATCTTCTTATCTCCGGCCGTCGACTCGTGTGACTGACTTCCCTCTCTCGTCGCTCCCAAGTCCACCTCTGACCGGTATCCAACAATCCTAATGGCGGAGGTGGTCGCCGTTATCGCCTGTGTGGCAGCAGGTAAGTTATTCCCAGACATCCCCAAATCGCTGCCATGACTCGTCCGGAGCGTAGCTAACAACAGTCGGCTCAAAATCAGTCGTCTCCGCCTACCAAGATGGCCACAAGCTCTTCGGCGCCATCAAGAAAAAGTGGAGGGAACATCGTCGCCCCGAGACCATCAACACCGAGCCGACCACCAACGATCTGGATTGGTCTCTCCGGCGGGGGGAAGAAGAGATCATGACGCAGTGGAATTCCTACGCCGGTCAAATGGGCCGCCGGTTCGAGGACGGCGACCGCGTGGCCCGCGAGCAGATGAAGGATATAGTCATCGAGCTGCAGCGCGCCCTCCTCGCGAACCTGCGCGAGAACAACGCTCAGCTCAATATGTTTGCTCTCCTTCAAGCTTCCGATCGCGGTCGGACGGATACCATCTGGGTCTTCCATAATTTGCAACAGCGACTCGCCCAGGCTGCCTCGATTCCCTCGCCATTAGATTTCGGCCCGGTCCCATTCGATCCAGCGTCAAGGCTTTGGTACTGGATCAATCTGATTGAGAATCACTACCAGGCTCAATTTTCGCCTTCCCGATACATCCAGAGTTTACCTTCTTCCCCCGGAGGTAGGCTCATATCGGGAGGCATGTCAGGGTCGCCCCCTGATATTATAGGCTTCCTTCGTCAGATGGAGGAACAAGCGTCGCCGTCGCAATCTCGAAGATCCTCCGGGATTATTTCCCCTAGCAGTCCCTATCCTGGTCGGCGACAGTCTTCGGGGGATATGTACAGCCCATGGCCCGAGTCTGGCTCTCGCTATGGAAGCTTTGTGCCTGGAGCGGGGCTCGCGCCAATGCCCGAGATGCCTGATCAGCATTATACTATTATTGATCGGCCGCGGGAGGGCTCTTCGGGTTCAGCCGGCATATATGGAGCTGATATGGATTATCTTCAGCGAGATCGAATCCCTACAGGCCGACCACAACAAACTTTCCATCGAGATCAGGCGCGGGAAGAGATGCAGGACTATCTCCACGAAGATCAGCCTTCTTCCGCTCGTCATGAGATTCCACCTTCACAATCTGTCCGGAATAATAAAGACGTCGACCACCTCACTCTTGAAATGACTGAAAACCCATGGATCATGGATGCGACTGAACCGACAGACACGCACCGGCAACGAACCTATAGCCCTGAGCCTATCCCTGAACCAGCCATGCCTGAAGTCGTATATCGGACGAATATTGTCGACACCAGACACCTAGTCGGCATGGAGTCACCGTGGGCGGCGCAGCCGACTCCCCCTCCAATCCCCGAGCAACGTAGATCCACCATGATGGACAGCGGTTTCGAGTCTGGACGCTGCATCCCCCAAGTCCGAGCCGAAGAAACTATCCGACAAGAACACTACACAAACCCATTCCCTCGCCACCACCACCGTCCTCCTACACAAGACCGTCCCCTTCCACACCTTCCCCTCCCCCAACGCCAAAACTCCCACGACGCTCCTATCCCAGTGCTCACAAGCACACCCTCTCCCTCCCCACCTTACCCCCCTCCAGCCACGAACCCAGCACACCCCCTCCATCTCCTCCACAACCTCCACAATCTCGTCAACCTCCTCCTCCAACCCCTCATCAACCCGCCCCTACTGGCCCCCCAGCACCGAAAACAACTACGCCGGATTCTGCAAAGGCGCCTGGAAAGTCCAATCCGGCCTCGGCGGCTTCAAAGTCCACTCCGAACCAAAAGGCTACTACGGAATGGAATCGAAATGGCGCTGTGGAACGTGTTTCTTCGAAATGCCCCTTTCCCCGGACTCAACGCGCAATAATCCGAATTATGATTCGCGGTTGTTGACGCATGGGGGGGACAGGGATTAGGTATAGATGGTTGTTTTTGGCGAAGAGTCATATGAATTGTAAAAGGAGTGTGAAGCCGGGTGGGGGGTTGTTTGGGTGTATTTTTTGTTGTAGAGATCGTGGGGGTCCTGTGCAGGGTTTTGGGGGGTTGGAGAAGCTTATGCTGCATCTTGGAGCTGAGCATCGGGATGCTTCTGGTGTTGGTGTGGAGGGGAGCTCGCTTTTGGAGGGCGCGAGGTGTGTTGTTGGGAGGGTTGCTGGTGTTGAGGAGGGGTTTGATGTGAATATTCCCCCGGAGGGGTTGAGGGGGGAGGTGGAAGGGGGAGTATTTGATTTGGGTTTGGGTTGTTTTTATACTTGGAGTTGACCATCCTTTCCAAGGGTTGTTTTGGGTTGGTTACTGTTTGAGATATCTGGGTTCATTCATGGTTTGGGGCGTTCATGGTGTCAGGTACCTACATCCATAGGTTCGAGTATCAAAATCCCGTCCATAGACCATTCATCTAATCGGAGATCAGAGATTTCATTCACAAAATTAACGACGTACAATTAACCTTGCCTCATCGTCAAATCAAGTCAAGTGGTACTATCCCAGTCCAGACTGATAGTCGTGTTTCAGGCTAGTCCCTAGTCCTAGCTGTACTATAGGTAGTACTTAAGCTTTTTGGTGCAGCCATTCTGTAACCTGTTTAAGACCATGCGGCGTCCTTTAATCTAATTTGATTCGTTTTGTTATTGATTTTCTGCAGGGTCTTCCGGCCCATTAGAATGGGATATATAGTGCCGCAGATAGATTGTCATCTACGGCGCAGCAGCTTCACACTTAGTAACTAGAAGAAGATTGTAGAGTATTCATGTTTAGAATAAGTATATGACCAGGTTTAAACTATTTTTCTATATGAGACTCTATCGATTCACTGTCCTGTGAATAGAGGTAAATAATTCTAACCCAACCTCTTGGGCGGTTGAGTGGTTTCGTATTCGTATGCTATACGGCCGTACATTTGAACTCGGGCGGATCCGCCGAGTCGGTCGCCGACCGTAGCATAGAGGTTATTTTCGGAGCAGATGTTTGTTGATTAGATTGATTCTCGAGGCAAACAATGGCCCGAGTCAATTGTTATGTCTATGGATACCTTGCATTGGCCCTTTTAATTTTTGAGCTCATGTGGATTAGATCCATATGTATTGTGCTTACTTCATGTTCGGAGGCGGCTGACAGACCGGGATATATAAGCGACACTGTTGTAGACAATTGATTTGTTTTTTCTCTAAATTGAACTAGGTAAACATGAGGATTTCTATTCCCCCTTCTGGCCTTAGGATCTATCATGACGTATAATTTAGGAGAAAGTGGTGTGTGGTCAGTGGTGGAAGCTGCACAACACAATTGAAGTCCCTTGCAGCGAACGGTAGATAAAAGGCTAAACTAGACGCCGGGAAATGGAGTTCCAGGGGGTACTCTAGGGTAGTACACAATCAGATGGGAAATTACAGTAAGCAGTACCTAAGAATTACCTAGGAATTGGAGTGTTTATTGTGAAGACGATCTGATCTTCGAGTGAGTATGTATACAGTCAAGATTATGACCCTGAAAGATCATCTCTACGAAGAAACTGCCGATCAGATGTGGTCCACAGCCGAGATTGAAAAAGGATCTTTTAATTTAGTTTGAGGTTGAGGGGTCCAGGGGGAGGTGGTCACTAACATCGGGGGAGGGAGATCAGCAGATGAAGTACCGAAGAAGTACCGTCTCTTAATAAATAATGTGTGTGTATACTTAGAAGTACTTGTCTCACCTGCGGACAACTGTGCATCGGACCCCCTCAGGCCCCAGCTGAACCAAACAATCGACTCAAATCAACCGAATTAAACCAGATTCAACCAATGAGCATCTCTAGTCAAGTCCACTTTGTCCCCACGAATGAAATTGTCCCAATCATCCAGTCGCCCTGACCTGAACCACTTGCCCGATAGAAACACAGTTAACGCAGTTAGTGTGCACTTGTGCACTGGTGCACCGTGGAAAGTGGTCGGGTGCTGGGGCTGATGGTCTCGTATTTTCCCTTTTTTGCATTTTCAGTCTTCTCGAAGTTATTCTCCGTGACTGTTTTTCGCTTTTCATCAGGGTGATTACTACTACTGTTGACGGGGAATTTCTCGAATCCCATCAATTGCTTACACCCCCCGTTCTCCTCCTCCTCCTCCTCTCCGCCGCAAGTGGTTCCGCCTCCGTTCCTGACAACTCGCGTCCATTTTCTCTCCTCGGCCTCCTTTCTCTCTCCTTCCCCCCAACTCTCGTCACTCGTTTACCTCTTTTTCCCCCGACATACACAGTCACCACGGAATGCCATGAGACTATCACTTCGAGTCGGTTCGGCCGCCGCGCTCATTATTGTCGCCCTCATCCTCCTCAGCCGTCGTCTAGGCGCTCCCGAATCACCCAAGGACTTCTGGCGCTTCGATACTTCATCCTTCCGCGCCGCTCTACGACCAAAACCCGCGCAAGATGTTGGACGCCGGAAATGGGGCATTGGAACAGGCCACTCGGCCGTCTTAACTTATCAAACTTCCGCCATTGAAATCCCCAATGAGGGTATCATTGTCATGGGCAAACTTCGCGAGGAGGACACTGCATGGGTATCCGCAGAATTGGCTGAGTAAGTGTCATCCAACTTGGGGGGAAATGTCTTATTACTGTCTCAGCCACTGCACACGCCGTTTTCTTTCTTGTCAGGGGCGACCTCGTGGACTTGCAGACGCCAGACTCGCCCGTTCGGGTGGACTCTTGTCTTGGCTAGACCCTCCCCAATAATTCTCAAGACCAGGCTGACACCGAACCCACTTCTCCAGATGGCGCAATTTCGTCTACACCGTTGACGACACCAACGCGCCCGCACACACCCCCAAGAATAAGGGTCGCGAGGCCCTACCCTACCTCCAATACATCGTCGACCATTATAATGATCTCCCCGCGATTATCATTTTCCTTCACTCCCACCGCGACGGCTGGCCCGCCGGCTGGCACACCGATACCATGGACTACAGCAATGTAGATTCCGTGCGCGCGCTGCAGCGCGAATTCGTTCTGGCCGAGGGTTTCGTCAGTCTGCGCTGTCAATTGTCGCCGGGCTGCCCCGCGGAGATGCAGCCTTTCCGCCAGCCTCCAAAGCCAGGTAACACGGGTGAGAAGCATTACGCCGAGGCTTGGAAAGTGCTGTTTGGCAATAACGACGTGCCCAAGGAAATTGGTGCGCCGTGTTGCTCTCAATTTGCCGTGTCGCGCGAGCAAGTGCTTCAACGCCCGCTCAGCGATTATAAGCGCATGTATGATTGGGTGTTGAATAATGATCTTCCCGATGAGGTGACCTCCAATATTATGGAGTATTCATGGCACATTATCTTCGGCAAGGATCCTATTTTGTAAGACCTGACAAACGCTTCGCTGGTTGGATCTCATTTACTGATTGTGACACAGCTGCCCGGATACTTTCCAGTGCTACGCCGACGTCTACGGCGAGGAGGTCGTCATCTAATCGGCTGCTCTCAAAAGCCGCGAACTGCAAACCCTACTTACGGACCCTTCAATTTCTCCCTCCCGTCGTCTTCTTTCAACATCCATGTTTGTATTCCATAAAATCATGCCCCCCCTTGACCTGTATTTTTTTCTTGATGGGAGGGACCCCTTTTTTCTCCACCTTTTTTATCCCACCCTTACCATCTGGTCCTTCTCGTCCTTGTCCTACCTTCCACACCAGCTTATCCGTCTTGGATAGTATGGTCTTGGGAATGGGGAACGGGTGAACAGACCAGACTGGATTATCAGTGCACATGACGACTTCCAGCTTCGCTGTTTATTTCATTTGGGAGCAATGTACATGGAGTTTCGTGATGAACCTTGAACCTTGAACTTGACTTTGACATTCACCTTTTATTCTTATCTTTACTTTTGCCGCTGGCTTGAGCTTGTGTCTGTTGGCGCTGGAGCCTGCCTGGATGCATTGCTTCTGCGATTGCAGGTTGCAGGACGTACATTTGTTTATTTAGGCTTTCGTGGGGATGTGTGTTGGGTTTTGCTTGGTGGTTTGGTGATGATCGTCTACTTGTGATGAGGTGCTTGGATTAGCTTTGTACATGAATAGAAATAAAATACTTTTTTGAATGGTGTTTACTCGTTGAGGGTTGGGGATGATTGTAGGACGGTGGATATTAGAGTAACACAGAGGCTTCAGCTAGGAGTATAAAGGAACAAAGCATTATTAATCGGCCTTGTTTTCTAGATGTCTTCTAGTGTCTTTCTACATAGAGTCGACATGGCCCTTGACATGCATATACAACCTTCGAGAACAGGTTTCTAACCACCGCGGTCAAAGCCCCTACCAGACAATCTATCCACAAATTCAATCTCTATACAATTACAAATGTCCTCAGTCTACTCATCAACACCCTCCTTCAACCCCCCATCTCCTCCTGCTCCTCCATCTCCATCTCCTCCATCTCCGGTACAAACCATCTCCTGCCTGCTCTCATCCCACCTCCAAACCGGACCACACCCAACATTATACCGATAATAATTATTCGTGCCCGCCGGCACCATCGCCCTCCGAAACGTAATATTAATCCGTCCCCGCACCGCATCCCCCTTGCGTTTCGGAATACTATGCAGCCAGTGTGTTTGCGTAGGCCCACGCATGATGACCATATCGCCAGAGGACAGGGCAAATTTCAGCGGACTAGCTTTAGGAACTTTCACCGGTATGATAGGCCGGGTTGCAAGTGTTCCAGCCCCTCTATGTTTCATAAGAAACTCACGCTCCCCGCCTAAACTCAGCGATGCGATGTCCGGGTTCGAGCCGAGGAAGCGCTCGTCGTCTGAGTGGAAGGATATACTGTCGTTACCCGAGGAATAGTAGTTTACGAGGCAGAAGTTGTAGCGGGATCCTGTTGTGATTTCGATGAGGTTTTTTAGGTGGAGGAGGCATGTTGGGATGGGGCGGGGGGTGTATTGGTATTTTGTTGGGCGGATGGAGGTTTTGGATGTTGTTTCGATGAGAGTGAGGTTCGAGAAAGGTTGGTGATTGTTTGGAGGATTGGCGGTGGTGGTGTTGTCGGGCGGAGATGTTTCTTCGTCTGATTCTGATTGTTCGGTGGTTGGCCTTGACGTCCATTGCGCTGTATCATCCACCCCAAAAACAGTCGTATATCTCGGAGTATTGATATCCGTGTCGACACCCCCACGCTTAATCGTGTATTGCACGCGGTAAAATGGTAATTCGCGGCGGAGAAACTTGAATAGCTCGTTAGCTGTGGGTCGAGTAATGTACGGTCGGAAATAGAGGAGGTCCAGATCTGGTTGGTTGCTTATAGCGTGGCCTTCTTTCGCGGGTGTACCGTGGGTGAGACTGATTGAGATGTATGCGGGCAGTTGTGGGATTGGAATTGGGTAGCTGGGATGAGTGTCTGGGGGACCGATGTCCTCGTTTTCGTCGGGTGGTGGTGGTGTATCATCGTTGTTTGGTTTGGCTCGTTTTGCGGAGTTGGTTGTGGTTGGTTTGAAGAATGCGTCAATTGTGCGTTTTGACATTGTATTGATAGTAGAGAAGTTGACTGAAGGAGGGTATTCCGTCGAAGAGACGCGTGGATGTGTCGAAGTCGGAACTCTGGTTTTGACGCGCGATAATTAAGCTTGTCGGGTGATGTCATGCCGAGTGGACCTACGGCCGATCCGATCGGATCTATGTATGCACTTTTGATCTTTCCGGTCTGGTCAATGGAAGTTGGTTAACTCATTCATGAGCGAGAGAAGAATATATGAGTCTAGTTTGAATCCTCCTCAGCACAAAGACAATTCATCTGTCGCTCATCATGCAGCGAATCTTACGAGCTCCAATTGCTCGGTGGCCCCGCATAGTCCGCGCGGTTCGAATCCGGTTGGTCAGCCTTGATTGGCTGCCCTGAGATCATGATATTCCCCGTAAAGTTGCCATTATAGATCGTGCGACCAGTGATGTGAATTAGGTGGTGTGAATTAGGTATGCACTCGCTTGATTGAGTGTGCACATGATGACTACAACTACGGCCTATCATCAGTTATTTGACCCTGGTGCGGATCAGATGCCGGAGAAATAAAGAAAGGACGCAAGTCCGTGCGATATCTCTCATTTGTAAGTGCATTCAACTGCTAACATCCATGACTAGTCTTCCTTAGCGTGGTTTTGTTGAGGACCATATTTTTGATAGGCTTCATGTTCAATCAGATCAACGAAAAGCTGTAGCAAGGGTCGTTTCTGCTCAGCCTCGGCGTGGTTGAAAAGCCCTAAAGCTGCTTCACTCGATTGGAGATATTCCGATCTGAAAGCATCCCATAGCGTCGGATCCATAACAGGCCTAGGGTAGAACGGGTCGTTACACCAGAACGCTGTGACGGCCCGTCTGACACCCTCTTCATCGATAGACATGTCTCTGCAACAGTTGAAGTCCAACACCCACACGCTATGTTCACCTAGCACATTTGAAAAGACATCAATGTCTCGTTTCTTGCCGCTATTGGGTAGAGCAAGGACAAACTCGATATCACTTCCGTCGATGTGACCAATCCAGTGCATGACCGCTAGGGTCCTAGCCATTATCCGTGCGTAATGTTCTCTGTATTCAGGCGGAATATTTAAGTCCTCCATCTGGTCGGCATGGAGTGGAAAGTTCCGTAATGAAAACCCCCGAAATTGTGAGGAGGTTTGAGACTGTCTGCGAACCCGCCGTCGGCCCAGATAGGGCCTAATGAGGCAATCTTTATTTGGTTCACTCCTCATGATGTCGTCAACCCTCTGAGGGGGACAGTACCTTTCGGTAAGGAGCCTCCTAGTCACCTCGTGGAAGTGTGGAATTCTCTGTGACTGGAGAATATTGCATGCAGTGTACCCTTGTGGAAATGATCGTAGATTTGACTCCCACCAAGCGCGATCGGTAGCAGGAATAAAGCGATCACAGTCGGGGACCTGAACTTGGGGAGTTATCGCATAGCGGGCTTGATGGAACCTGCTAAACTCCTGGATACTCTGGATGACTCGTCGATGCATATTAAAGTCATTTTCAAGGGACCTGAAGGGACCGCCGTCTTCTCGCTTGTATGCAGAACCACTCGTCGATGCTGCCCATACAGTCCCACAGAAGCCAGCACCAATCATGTGAAGGGTAGGCTCTGGCATTGCACTGAAAATTGTGTTATGATTCTCGTCCATGTCTTTGTGATGTAGTTCTCGATATTTGTTGAAGGGGTGAGACTTATCAAGGGGAAGTAGTATCTTATAATGAACTAAGCTGAAAAGAGCCCTTGCCGTTGGCCTAAAGGGGATCCGCCACTACTGAGTTTAGTTATGGTACCCCAGGTACCAAGCCTCTTTTGGAAATGTTTACGTTCTGGGAGTGTCATTACGTGTCATGTGACTTTTGGTGATCTATCTAGTCAGGGAGATACTCTCTTCGGCTCTCCGACTCCGAGACGGTCATTCGGATTTCATGAGCAATGTTACGAAAGCTTGCTGGAGTTCTTTGCTCTTTCCTCAGTGTGTAAACATGAACCCGTAGACGGTACGCTAAAACTTTACTGGTGCGATTTCTGGCCGGGTTCTCTCTCACCCTGGTCAGCGCTTGACACTATTCACTTTACATTGATGCTTTCCACTTGTGGTGATTAGATTATATAATCTCCTAGGCTCCAATATAGATCCATCTCCGGCGCCCTACCTGGACAATCTTGCTACCGGTAAACGTGATAAGATCTATTTGCTGATCAATAGGGCATAATCGTATCGCAACATAGTAGTCCCTTCATTAAGAGGTCTCATTCAGCTGAGGACTATTATTGGATCGACTTGATTGCGGGTTTGAAGTTTGCTTAGTATTAAGTAACGATGCCTGATCAAATAATACTAGAACCGTTTATCACACGGGCAGCAACCCGCCATTCATCAAATTATTATGCTACCTACTTCTTTTTCTGCCGTCTCCTCTCTTCACCATTGACTTTGATGCCTGTAGTCCCATCACCATGGACAAGTCCGGCGTTCGACAAGCTGTGAAAACCTTCATTGAGACTAATCATTACTGTCCCAGGCCAGTCCTTCCAGATTCTTATGCGCAGAATCTGTGGAAGATTTTCTCTCGGCGATATATTTTTACAAGTCGAGAGATTCTCCGTGGCACTTCACTACCGGACTTGGGGACACTTTTCATTCAGGCGGTAGCTGATGAGTTGAAAGGGCCTGGACAGCGTTGACAGCCTGGTGGCAGTGGATTGCCTCCGGCAAATCAGCAAAGGGATCGAACCGCAGAGGCAAGGAGCATCGTGGTAAATGGGGTAGACAATTGCCGAGATCACAGCTGAGGCTCATTTGGTTTGACATTTTTAGATGCCAAGAAAGCTGATTTATGTCTGCTTGCTTTCTTGAATTAGAATGACTATTCTTACTCTATCAACACGACCAACACGAAAGGCTAGGCAATTGAATACCACGTTGTTCCAGTTCCCAAGCTACATGTCGACCATCACACGAGAGAAATGCAACACAATGAAATAGCACATGAAATCTTGATCTCACGCCAAGACCTCAAATATATCCGAGTCCACCGTAGACGCAATCCTAACGCCAACACCCGAGTCGATCCCAAGTAAAACCCTCAATCGAAACCGGCCAGCTTTGGTGATATAGATCCCACTAAATGAAACCGAGGGGGGCGAGTGGCCGATGACACGGGCGATGGTCGACGTCAAGTTACCGCTAAGCAGGTTCGCAGCGGCGTTATTCGCGGCGAGTCTCAGGGAGAGGTGGATAGCTTCGGATGAGCTTGAGCTCTCGGATAGTGATGACGGATTTGGTTGTTGAGGTGCCGGAATGCCTATCGTAACGCTGAATGGTTGGCCGGTTTTGATGGTTGATGGCGGGCCGCGGAGGAAGCATAAGGTACTCCCACGTACCGGAGGCCCGGGACCCGCGATCGATGGGTGCATTGTCGGGCCCTCGAGTGGTCCCATTATTAAAAATTTAAATCGTACGATTTTTTGAGTTGGTTGATCGATGGTGTTTGTTTGCAATACAGTTGTGGTTGAGTGAATGGTAGTAAGAAGGTGAAAACCGATTGCCGAGCTTTTGCCGATGAGGAGAACACATCGACCTTGTAGATCGGGAACACAGGCGTCGGGCTCGCTTGGATATCGCTGGGCGCTTCGCTTCTGTGAAACTTCATTTGTTAGGGATTATTAAATGGACAGCGCCACGATGATCGGCTATCGATCGTCGATCGGATCCATTCAGAAAGAGGCTATTTCCAGATCGGGTTGTATCATTTCGCGATCCCGATCTGACAGCGATCATAAGCACTGTCGTTCCGGCAGGCTGTTTGCCAAGTGTGGTAAGGATAACGTGGACAAGTCTTCATTGACCTATTTTAATAGGGTGGTTATCACGAAGGACACCAGTATATACATTACCAAACATGGTCAAGCAAAATTATATATCACATCAAATGTAAATGATCGTCATCCTCTCCTCCACCCACAACACGGAATCTACTGCTTCACAAATTGGCTGGCGTGGCTCTTGTAAAGAGTGCTCGAGTCCAAAAGGGTACCAGTAGAGGACTGATAGAAATCAACCTGCAGGTTGTGCTCGTCGACGAAGCGAATAGTGGCATAGCTGTAGTCGGCTCCGTAGGCAAACTCGGTATAAGACGGCTCGGTACCGGGAGCGTCGACACCCTCAATGTTGCCAGCACCACCGGCAACAATGTACATCGGGGCCTTGGGATCCTTCATTCCGTTGGCGTCGGCGGTACCGTTGTAGACAGGGGCGAATCGCTGGGAGTTGTGCACGTGTCCGAACACGCCCAGATCAACACCGTACTGGTAGAAGATTTGTTCGAATGCGGTCTGGCAGGAGGAGCAGCCGTTGCTGGTGCCGGTGCTATACCAGGGTCGGTGGCCGGCGACAATCACCCAGGGAGTAACGGTGCGGTCAACGCTGGCAAGATCCGCCTTCAGGAAATCGGTCTGCTGGTTAGCCTTGCCGAAGGGTCCGCTGTTCAACTTGGCAGAGCCGCTGGTTCCATCGGGCGCGTTGGGGAAGTCGGTCTCGGTGTTGATCATGACGATGTGGGCCATGCCGTACTCGAAGGAGTACCAAAAGGGTGGGTTGGCGAGGCTGCGGGCCTGGGCAGCGAGTGACTGTGCCGTGGTGTTTTTCGAAGATGAGGAGAACGGCTTGGGCATGGTGTTCTCGAATCGGTGCATGAAGTCAGTAAAGTTCTTCTGACCCTCAGGGCAAAGGTCAAGCAGGTAAGGGATTTCCGAGCAGTCGGCCTCGTGGTTTCCGGGGCTGGCCATGTACAACTTGCGCCCTGCAACGGGGGCGAGCTGGTCATAGAATTGCTCGAGGATGGCCTGGTATGCCTCCTTGCCGTCGAAGATATTGGCGAACTTGAGGTACCAGTCATCGGCGTAGGCAAAGTCACCAGGGTGAATGACAATCTCGTAGTCATCGACGGTCCGTGCAAGAGCGCCGATAGTGGTGTGGTTCAGCTCGGGCTCAACCACGGGAGCAGTGTCTCTCTTAGATGTGGTATAGCCATCCTTGCCGTAGACGCCCAGATCGATAACCACGTCCATGCTGAAGGCGGTCTTGTCACCGGGAGTACGGGGACTCAGGAATTGCTCCACGCTGGAGTTGCCAGACACGATCTTGTAGTAATAGGTAGTGGCTGGGGTCAGACCGGTCAACACAGCATAGTTGGACCATGTCCGCGAGGTGGCATAGGTGCTGGAAGTCGTCGAGCAGGAGCGCGAGGTCAGGCTAGTGGCAGAGGTACCGTAGACCACACAGCTCTGGTTGAGCTTTTCATAAGTGTTCCATCCCACGGAGACGGCTGCCATAGAAGTGTTAGAATGATGATCCTAGTTATGCATTGATTGGACAGTGTTCATCTCACAATTGGGCCCGTAGACAGCGAGACGCTGCTGGAAGGGGGTGGTCAAGTCGCTGGGAATAGTGGGATAGTTCACACTAGCCACAGCAGAGGCTGCCAGAAAGGGCAGAGCCTTGACGAAAGATACCGAGCCGACCATGATGGACAGTTCTCAACAGTCGAAAGATTGTCGAATGTATGTCTGTCATGCAGAGACCCCATCATAACCGAGAATGCCGATCAGGCGGGTTATATACTTGGACAACGAACATTCCCAGTGCCTTGACAGACCATCGTGACTGCTTTGGTCATTCAGACCCGTGCAAGTGCAGATCATCCCAAGCCAATCATTCTGAATAGGAAACCCACGCCGTTCGCAAGGACTGCCGTCTTCATGCTGATCGACAATGTGGCGTGCATACTGCAAGACTAGATCGAGGAGGAGGAGGACACCCGAAGAGGAAAGGACCATCAGGCACGTAGGCCATCAGACCCAGTCTTTCTCCGAAAACGCCTCCACATCCGTCAAGCAAAGCCAAACGAGGGCTGGCTAAACTTGATTCGTGATAAGCTTCCGGGCGTCGGAGGTTTCGTGGTGCCCGGCGGTGCCTGTCCCGTTCCTGGCACGTGGGCGGAGTCGCGATTGTGGTTGCTTGGCCATCGCGTTAGTCTTGACTTATCTTCATCACCTGGGGCTGCATTGTCAGTCCAACTTGGTCAAACCACCGAGACTGTTGACGACGACGTTGATTGACCCCAGTGAATGTCTGGATCTTTCCGTGGTTCGGAATATTCCACTCCTGCAGAAGCAATTTGGAACTTCTCTCCAAGCCCGTCGGCCTCGGTGCATCCCGTCTTAGCGTGACCAAACTAGTGTCCGGGTGTCAGCGGCTATCCACTGTTGCTCTACGGATCTCCGCAGGCGAGTCTTCGGAGTCCACTGTCAAAAAGTATATGGAGCACAAGGCATGATTGACATTAGAAACTAGCTACCGACCCTCGGGGTCTACTGTTGTACCCCGTCGGTCTCCGCGATACGCACCACATATTTCACAGCCGACGCCTTGCCCGCCTCCAGGTCTCGCAATGCGCCCTCGAGTCCGTTCAATCCACCCGGGCGCACTTCATAGGGATGTCCTGAGAACCATCCCTGAGCCAATCCGCGCCCGATGAATTGGAAAAACGCGGCTCCGAATTCGCGGTCTTCGATCGTCTTGCCCACTGTCGGATCCATGTGTACCGTGCCAACCATGGTCTTGTCAATCTTGATACCTTCAGGAATCACGTCGCCCTCCTTCGTCGGAAGTACGGTGCTGATGGTGGCTGGTGCGGTGAGAGCGGCGCTAAGATTCAAATAGCTGCCATGCTCGGAGACTGCGTCAAGTGCATGGTGAATTGGTTTGTTACCAGCTGCGGCCTTGATCTTCGACTGCACTGCCTCGTCTCCTTCGCGGTAGTCGATGATGGTGTCACCCTTGGATCGGTCAATGAGGCCCTCGACGAAAGACGCGCCCCTGCCAGCAACGACGATCAATGGGTGAATGTTGGATAGCGTTGCGAACTTGATACCGAAAGCTCCCACTGCGGTGGCACCGCCGTATATCACCAAGGGCAATGGCTCGCTGGTCGGATTCCACGGCAGCGGAAGACTCAATCGTTGGTAGAGACCCAGCGCCGCGGTCATCGCAGCAAGCGGGATGGTGGCAGCCTCTACTCGCTTGTTAGTGGGCTACACCCAGTGGAAGTCGAATATTTCTTCTCACCTTCGAAGCTTGTCTTTGATGTCAAATGGAAAGTTGTGTGCTCCCACGCGATCGCATACTCTCCATAACTCCCATGTGGCTTCATCATTTCGTGGAACGCCGCCACCTTGTCCCCCTTCTTGAACCCAACTACCCCTTCGCCCACGGCCTCCACAAAGCCAGCAATATCATCACCTTGGTTGCTAGGAGGGGCATCGGGAATCCAGCGCGGAACTTTCCAGTCCTTTGGATTGGTGCCAGAAACCACCACACGGATAAGCACTTGGTTTGGCTTTGGAACGGGAACCTCGGTATCCCGCACCGCCACCGTGACGGTTTTGTCAACAAAGGCTTCTTTCATATTGACACTGTGAACTTCTGTGTTTGATGTGTGGTCGAAGCCTGATTACCCGCCGCCCTCTTTATATTCCACATTCGACTCGGTCGGCGGGGCACGAATGCTTGATTTGTAACACCCTTCTTCCCGGTCAATTACCCAGCTGAATCAGCGTTTTGAGATCAGCGTTTTCCTTTCCAAAAGTGTCACTCATCTGATGCTGATACGTAACAATCCTTGTTCCAAGTACCCAAGGATTGCATCGCTGTGCCACTCACTACTCCTCCAACAACTCGAAGACGATTTTTATTCTGCCACCAATATTGTATGCATTAGCATGGGTCTAGAGGGAGCTGATTATTATATATATGTATATGTATATAATATTACCCAGATCGGGCGAACATACCTGCATAGAGGTGTTGTTACCTCGTGGCTACCCGTGCGAACCGACACAGGACTTCCCTGCTACTGGCTGACTTTCAAGTGCTCTACACCTGCTAGACCAAGTCTGTCAATGACCAGATGCTATGAAGCTCAGTAATCATTGACTAATTCCCCCTTTGACTTCATACAGCTAGCTCGTCCGGGTCGAGCAAGTGGGAGAATAAGTTTGTCCATTGATAAATGCTGTTGAACACCCCCTGCCATCCTCAAATGCCGGCCCTTCCGATGCGGTCCATCCACAGTTCGGCTTCTAGCCGCTTGCCAAGTGTTTTAGCATTACAAACCAGCTCATTTTGAGCAACAAGCCCACCAATATTTGTCCATGGCCTATCCCTTCGAGATACTCGTCCTTGAATGTGTCCTTGAATGTATTATTCATCGGGGCGAAACTCCCCGTCCTCTGTGCCCGGGTCCAATTCCGTGTCGGGATAATCCGCAAACCCTTTCGCCCATTGCTTTGTACGTAGCTTAATCTAACTCGAGTTATCTACTTTAATCTTATCTAGGCTTTTACTTATGTATCTAAAAGTTGCGAGGTTTCATGAGACACGATAGATAATCACCACACAGCAACATAGCAACTCTAGCTAAAGCCAAGAGTTCAGAAATTAACAAGACTAGACTACTCGAGGAGAGAGCTTGTTTTCTTTCATGAAATAATGAGCGCTATTTTCAGGGTGCCCACTGCATTAAGCGGCATCCATGTCAGCTTCCTAGCAGTCTTACAATCCTGCGCCGCGTCATCCCCCGGTGGGTCCGCAAACTAGTTTATTGATGAACAAGTAAGGTTGTCAGGCTGAAGAAAGGGTATATAAGATATCAAATCAACAAAGGGGTGTACTAAGCTAGATACAACCTTTCCAAAATTCAAAAAAAACTATTTCATTCATCATCATAAAGTTCAGCGTTATCCCGTGCGTTTTGGCTTTGGCCTTCTGTGCGCTCGCTGCCCCGGGCACGCTAAAGCCGTTTTTGAAGCGTAACCCAACTGGTTCCTTCAGCCTCGTCGCATACAGCCTTGAATCAACAGTTGTTGACATCTTCTACTCGGATAGTATATAAAGGCTGTGTCGAATGCAAATTCATTCTTCTAAGCACAAGTTTCTAGGCATCGCTTATGCTGGCGATTCATCGAAGTAGACCTACGGATCTGTCACCACCGATGGCACATGTGAGTCATTCCAAGACTTCTCTTAAGTTGCATTTGATATAAATATTCACGTATTCACGTTGATCACTGACCTCATTCGGTTTTAAGTCGTCATCAAGAACACGGAAGTGATTACGACTGCCACTACTTCTGGTGTGACTCTCGACTCCGACACCATGTTCTACATTTTCTACATTCGTCCCACAGCCGATGAGGTCCTGCCTGTCGGCTTCACTGGAAATGGCGTCACTGCGCCTGATGATGCTGTCACCACCAACTTCATCTTCTATGGCACATACTTGATGTGGGAGTATGATGACGGCTCGTTGTCGGATTCGTTCCGGGCTAAGGAGACCAACGTGACCGGTGTCTATGAGCTCTACTATGATTTCTCGAACCTGTATCCGTCTGGATATAAGACTCCGGTTGTGAAGTCGTCGTCCTAAGAGTTCAAAATTGTTCGTAGATAGTGTGGGGTCACGTAACCCTGGCCACCCCACAATTACTTAGGAACCCCCGGCTCTCATCCCACTTAGATTCTTCATAGCTTTAATACATCCAGATTTCCTGCCTACTTGCTTCATATTGAAAAAAATTGTGGACTGTCTGATGTGAAATAAGATTGAGCGGGGGGCACACATCACAGTCAGATTAATGGGCGTCTATCTGTATCCTGTTATGCAATTATTCCAAACACACTAATAGTAGTCAGCCACGGGAATGGAAAGATCAACTATCATACAAGGCTTTAAATAACTCAGAGGAAACAAACCTCTGCCATATTTTCCCCAATTCCGAGTTTTGACTAAGTTGACTCCAAGTAATTTTGATGAAGACTGGCGAGGATACAAAAACCTACATATCCTATCGCTCGCTAATGGTTTTATGCGCGTATGCAGCGCGTGTCTAAAGCCGTAGTTACGAACACGAGTCATACTGAGCATTACAGTTCGCGCTAGCACATTAATCCGACGAGCTCCCACAATAACCGTAGGCATTAGACGCGCCACAAAGACAATTCTCCGAAATAGCGCTTGTGGGAGTTGCTGCAGTGGTGGTTGAAGTCATAGTAGTAACTGCAGATGCATGAGGGCTTATTGTTCGGCTGGATATATGTCGTGGAGCTTCCCACGCTTGCGTCAACTGTCGGCGTGAGGCTAAAGTAGGGTTCTGCATGCAAGCGCCGACAGCTCACGGCCCAACGTGCGCGTGTCACTGGCGACAGCCTGTTGTGGGCTGACCTCGACCTTGTCCTGTCAGCTTGCCTCTGTCCTTTTACAGTGGGATGTAATAACTATGAATCTAGCTGGAGGTCACTAGGTGATAGGGCTATTACGCCCAAGTCACGTCTCCTCCGTCCCTTCGTGTGTGCCTCAATTCCAGCTTCCTCGTCGACGGACACGAGCCGCACAACCCTATCTTACTACCGGCCGATCTGACAGCCTCGTGCGCTTGCCTTCCTCAGGGGCTAGTATGGCTTGTTACGACACGGGTATTCCGGGGTGACCCGATTTATCGTACTATAACATACGAAGGACGGGAGTGGATAGTCGCTGAATAAGCCAGGTCTTAGTGGTAAGATACCACCTCCCAGCTCGATACTATAGTCTAATTTACCTGGTTCTAATCCAAAGAGGTGTACGCCAATTAAGTAGATTTTGTGAGCTAGTGAGTAGTGAGAGTCTATATGGAATGTGACTTCCCGAGCTGCAACATGAATGCTATAAGGTTGTCCGAACTTCCCAAAGTATTATCCAGCGTGTATGCGAGAAACAATTTTCAGGCATAGAAAAGCGCTAATGCAACGGTCTCAACGGCTCCAGATCCCAAAGCTATCTGGATACCACAGACACCTCCAAATTCGGGAAAGTCGCTGTAGGTCGGTGGCAACATTTCTCGACGCACATGCTCACTGGTCTCCACGCAGCCTAGTGGCAGGACCCGGCCCAAGCTTGTTATGAACTAATGGAGGAAAATGTTAGTATTGAGGCATGTTTAGCAACACCCTGCAAGCGCCTTACTTCAATTCCACACAACTTGGTTTGATAACCATCAAGAGGCGCCTTATAGGCAGCAAACAGGACCATATCAACGATCTCCTCGTGCTGGCGGACTTCAAACTGAATAGTATGAGTTGAGGCCATCGCGATCTCCTGAAAATTAGAATTTTCACAGACGCGTTCTGTTGAGTCATCTGCGAAATTGAAGACAAGGCCCTTCATAGTTCGCTTGTATGCTTCGATATTCGCGGAATCGCCATAGGCCTGGATTTGGGAGAGCTGCCGACCGGAGAGGTTCACAAAATACGCCGGAGGCTCTAGAACACGAGGAAAAGGGTTATCAAGAAGGGGGAAACGATTGTGAGCGCCGTTCCGGCGGTTCTCAAGATAGTACTTTTCCCGTGGCCAGTCGAGCGGTGGATGGCGACCAATCCACTGGGTGTGTTGCGTAAAGTCAATACCTGGAGGCCCATGAGCATGAATAGGGCGAAGGTATTGATCTGCTATGATCATAGAAAATGTGGTGATGGTTTGATCCTTGAAAATAGAAATAAGAGCTTTGTCACGCGAGAATCTCGTTTCAAAGAAGTTACTCACGCTAAATTCCCCTGCAATACCAACGACCTCTTGTCCAGAACGGACTCGCAAAACCTGCACTATATCACCGTCGTCGAGGTTTCCGAGAACATAGGCGGGCTTTCATAAGCTATCATGAGTAATAAACCCAATACCACGAATCCTACGCTCCTTCTTGTTAAGTGCTGGGCTACCAAAAGATAGGCACAGACCAAGGATCACCTTTGGCGAGTCTAAAGTGATCTGGCTAGTCAATTCACTTCGATTTCCAAACAATCGTGCGGAAAGTTCGTCCAGAAGCAGGAATTCGACGCCGACGATCTGACTATCAGCTCCGAAGTAGGCGGTGATCTTGTTCAGGTGGCTCTTTTTGACAATATCTGGAACGAAGTAGACGGTTGACGCTGCTTGGGGCATGTCGCCTAAGTCCCTCGAAATGAAGATTGTGCAGCGAGAAGCTAGCTTGCGCATTTGAGTAGAGACGATGCCGGTTACTGGGCGAACTGCCGCATGTCGGGTCTCAATTTCACGAATGATTTTTTCACTGTTGATCCATATTCGACGTCTGTTGCTGAGTGTCATCGAGTCTTTCGCAAAATCGACGAGGCAGTCACTATCATCGAGCTTCCCACCGCCCGGCGCCGAGGTCTCTCGGATTAGACGGACAAGTTCATGGAAGGGATAGGCAGAGGTTTCTTGTCGCAAGACTTCTGCTAAGGCTTCACCTCCACACCAAGGGGCATCAATAAGCATGCGGGATCTCCAAAAAGTTTGAGGCAAGTTCATCGAGAGCTCTCTAAAAGCCGAACTTGCCAGGAAGACGTTGAGCACTGATTGAGTGGGAAGCATCTCCAAGATAAGTAAGCGTACTTCGGTCGGGATGGCCGAAAGGGCATCGGAGTGGACTTTTGCGTCGAGACCTGAACCAACTTGCTTGTCGCACTTGATGTTGAATGACAGGCCTTTTTGGGAGGTCTCCAATGCGGCGTTAACCAATGGCCGTAAATCAACTTTTCGTTGAGGATTCAGTACTGTCCACTATAACCGAATTGAGGATCTTCAACACTAGAATACAAGTCTGTTGCAACATACCTCTGTATTCTCCACGGGATTCCAGTATTGTTCGTCTAATCGGTGATGTTGGCAAGATGGACCGTCGAATGCATTACCGAATCCCCAATTGTAGTCTTTCGAGTCTCGTTCTTTACCAGTGACTTCGAAGACAAGCAAGACTTCGCTCAAATCCAACGGCCTGGCTGCCCCTACCACTGCCTCATGAACTCTGCTCAGAACTTGCAAGCAGGCATCGTGAACTAAGTAACCTTGTGATCTTATGAAGTCGCAACCGATAGAGGGACAGAACTTCCAGGGTCCATCTTCCCTATCATAGTGAACCCGTCCCTATGATTAGCACAAGAAGTCAGCTTGATGCGACATTTCGGGCTCGCGAGCTATGGCTAGAATAGACAGACTCACAATCGGAGTGAGCAGTGTGTCGCTCTGCAAGTCTTCGGCGTTCGCATCAGGGGTACTCTCCCCATAATGGGAGAGCATTCGAACATTTTGAAGCCACTTTCAGCAGCGACCATGTATGTGTTAGACCTTCGGGTCAACAGGAACACCGGGACCCGCAATGATAGACTCACCTTGGTGTCCTGGAGGAGGATCAATTTTTGATCGTACCCTTTTCGCGATTCACATGTAGCATAGTGACACATGTCATTCTGAGAAATGTCCTTGAAATACCTACTGTTTGGGCAGAATTCCCTATTCGACTCAGGACATACCGAGACCCGGAATCTTCCACGAGGGCAATCACAACGATCCTCAAAAAGTGAATCGACTACATTTTCCAACTGATCGCCTTCTGAATGAAAGGTCGATGCTTTCACAATTCTTTGCCACGTCGCAGCGCCGCCACAGATGTAGCAAAAGCATTCGATCGAGGGCTTGGCTTTCTCAGCTTCTATCTCCCTCTGGAATTCGAGTACTCGTTTCATCAACGAGTCAGACATCATGGCAGATTCAGATTCCAGGAGGCAGATTGCTGAAGATTTAGATTCGATACACAGTGAGGGAGTGCCACCGTCTTGTGGGTGACATTTACCTTTCCAGATTCAGGTACATGCGCGCCGAAGCGAGGGGCGTCCAGCCGGCTTAGCTTGGTTAATCAGCAAGTTTCAAGTACGTCCTTAGGGACCTCCCTCGGAAGTTGGACGTTGAAACCTTCCTGGAACGAAATCAGGACATGTCACATGATTCTGGGCTCGAGAATGAAATGTGGGAGAATAATAATAATACTAATTGCTTGTCCCGTCGGCCTTCCTAAGTTGGGTTTAGCACGGTAGCACTCAATTATTTCTGACGGGGCCCAGCCTCCGCCCCATCCCTACCTAAAAACCAACCGTCTTAGCTATAGTAGGATATGACTGAATCTTATTGGATCGAATTGGTCCGCCCGAAAGGGCGTGATGCCAGTCATGGTGTCAAGGAGGCTTGACAAGTTCCCTCGGCGCATCCCGCGGCATGATGGGGACTCGACGGCGTTCCTCTGTTGTTTTGTCCGTTTTCTTCACTCTGAGAACCTTAGCGAGGCAAGCTGAATGAAAGTGGAGTTGTTATATGATGTGGATGGGGGGAAAGAAGAGAGTGGAATAAAGGCAAAGGAACTGAGATTTCTTGTACTAAACTCTCAAGGCGGAAAATAGAAATCCTAATTGATAGAGCTGCTTTCTCATCAAGACATCTTCGCCTTCCCATTGGACTCTCCTAGCACAGCACAATGACACTACCTGGATGTTCGGTTCCGCCCCTGCTTGTCACTCTTGCTATCCTCCTCTGCTTGCTTGACAAGACTATTGAACATTGCTTCAAACAAATTGCAGTCTTTAAGCGTTCGTGGGTCGGACAATTACTAATGCAGTTATGCAGCATTTACCCTTGCACAGGATGGCCGGGGAGAAATTATACCGAAGATCACGTCAATTCCGGTTTTATCTTCCAAGCTTGACTGACGAATAAATACCATTGTCGGCTTAATTCAGGCCCCCCGAAACTAATCACCATGGCTTCACCCCCGCGGCAGTCACAATCTTGCCAACCGAGTCGTCCCGCTCCCCCTCCACAACCTGCTTCAACAGTCGACCGCCAACACTCGGATGTTTAGCACCCATCTGGATCGCCAATTCTGGGACACCTCCAAGATTCGTCGCCAAGATACCCGGTCCCACACACCAGACCTTCACCCCATCCGCCATCAATTTGTGATTCCAGTCCAGCATCAACATATTCAGTGCCGTCTTGCTGCAGCGATATCCGATGGTTTCAAAGTCAAGTTTCTTCGGCCACCCAGCTGGCAATGGCGGAGTTGGGAAGTACTTCTCCCCAGCTTGATTGATCGCCGATAAGCCAGTGACAAAAATCAATCGCGGGTCCGCGGATTTGAGTAGGAGCGGCATGAAGGTTGCGGTCATGACGTGCGTGCCAGCCACGTTGATATTATAAGCGTTCGTGAAGCATTCACGGAGCGATGTTTTTCCACGAATGTAGTCGATGTCGAATGTGGCCCCTACAATGGTTATGAGTAGGTCGGTTTCTATCGGCGTCAGGCATACTTACCGGCATTATTTAGCAGCGCATCGATGTGTCCAACCTCAGATTGGACCTGAGCAAAGGCCTGATTGATCGATTCATCACTTGCGAGGTCGAGCTGGACTAGGTCGAGCGTGTTGGTTGCGTTTGGAGATTCTTGTCGAAGCTTATCAATCGCTTCCTTGCCCTTTTCAACCGACCGACTACCCATGAAAACATGGTAGGCTTTGTCAGATTCAAAGAAGGCCTTGACGGCTTCGTAGCCAAGTCCACCGTTTCCACCAGTAATCAAAATGACCTTGCGAGATGCCATGATGATTGTCTGCCTTGGCGATGAAGTTTGTAGCTGACCGAACCGAAACCGTTAAGCGCATTTATTGTCCTCTTTTATACTACTGCTTGAATTGCATTGCTTTCTACCGTGTCATTGTCCAAATACCGATAGTTCCGCTGTCAGATTCGTTGTAGTATACGGCATGGGGGCTGCCAAGACCTCAGGCGGAGATAACCAGTGCCGGGCCGGAGATAGCGTTTATCCTCACTGTCGGGTTTTGAGAATCGGGCTTGGAGTTTCCTTTCTCATGGATTCGATACAGTACGTAAGTAATATCAGCGGGAATCGGGCACAATCCAGTGGGATCTCCTGAGGAATTGAACTTGACTTCACAGGGGGGACCAAATCCGATCCAACGTCACATTATCAGACCCTTGAAGATGACTTATTGTCTGTGTACTGACATCCCCCCTTGACTGTCAGATTACGTTCATTTTCCTCTGTATTACCATTCTCATTACTGACGAACAGATTCTAGCTTACTGTACTCATGACACACATTATGTTTGCGTTCATTATTAGGGTACATTATCTAAGTCTATCCTCCTCACTGCTCATTTCCCCCTTCACCATCACACGTTCGGGCACGACTTCATGCAATTGCCCCGAGAAAGGGCCTTCTGTTCAACCTTTTCCTTAACCTTCGAAGGGAGCAGGACGAGCATCTTCTTCGAACTCTTAAAGTCCTCCTCATCCCATACCTTCTCAATATCCGCCATGGGCCTGGCCACAATCTCGTACGGGTCCTGCTGTAGGCGCTCCATGAGCACAAGCCCGGTTTGAAGCTGCTCTCTCATATTGGGGGTAGTCAGAAGCCAGAGCGCCAGAGACGGGTCGATGATTGTAATATTCTTCGCAGCGATCATGGCAGCGTCCAGAACAAATGGGTCACCTGCGCGAGGTCCCCAGGCAGGCGCGTACTTGATCTCCTTGGCTGGAAGAAGGCTGAAAAGAGTGCCATTGCCTGGAGCGTTGTTAATCTGGGTTAGGATTTGATTGCCGGTTTCTCCGCCCATGAAATCGAGCACGATGTCGATACCCTTCAAGTTAGGGATGCGAATGGGGTTTGTGATGTGGGCGCGAATATTCAGACCTGGGACGGTCATGAGAGCATCGTTATCATCTGAAATACCGATGATAGCAGAAGCGCCAAACCAGCGCGCGATGATCGCCGCGACTCGGCCGTTGCAGGTGGTGACACCGATGATCAGGACCTTGCGCTGTTGGCAGCCGTGGAGCAGTGACAAACTGGTGAGCCAAGGACCCAGTAGACCGGCAGCGCGGATGGGATCGGTATTCTGGGTAAGCTTAACGAGGTTCTCCTTGGAAAGGTTGATGCGTTCACTCAAGAGTCGGGGCCCGCGAGGGAGGACATAGTACATGTCACCGGTAGTTTTGTTCTGAACGATGCCCTCGGTGCTGGGATCGAAAGGGATGTTCTCGAAACTGGTGACGGGGTGTTCGTGGGCGGCGCGGTTTCGGACTTGTTGTGTGATGCCGACGGCGAGGACGTGTACTTGGATTTTGTTGTCGGTGGGATTTCTGATGTCTCCGTTCATGAGGGAGGGGGCTGAGCCCCGATTGGTGATTCTGGCGACTTTCATTTTCATTGTGCTGGTCGGAGGTGTGTTGTTAGGTGGGTGAGGGTTGGTGATGGAGCCGGTGGGTGTCGTGAGGAATGAGGAGGAGAGGGATGGGAAGAAAAGAAGAAGTTTGCTTGGTTGAGAGAAATGCGCAGATGTTGAAGCATCTCTCACTTGGGACTGGAGGTTTGCCTCTTTGGGATATTTGCTCCAGTCTGCGTGAGTTTCTCGCAATTTGTTTGCTTCGGGTGTCTACTCACACGCTTCCTATCCACACGCTATATCTATCCCCACCATAGGTTGGTCCCTAAAGATCATCGATTGCTAGATTTGATTGTAATTTCAATCCCCTATGCTTGAGAATGACCGCCGCTGGAAACTTCCATGAAAGCAAGAAAACCTATTTGGGGACATAGGAAGTTGTGTTATTTATTTTAGCTAAACTCTATGGGCATCAGCTTTATTTCCAACCTTGACTTTCGACCTCTCCTCCTTCATAGATGCTAAGAATCTATTCAATCCTTCCTCCAATGCCTCTTTGCCAACGGTGAATGTGATACGGAACCAGCCATACTGCTCCGGTACATAGACATGACCAGGGGCAATCATAACACCATTTGTCATGCAGATATCTGCAATTCTCAGCTCACGCTGTAGGTAGCCTGGAGCTTCGGGTGAGGCCACCTTCAAGCCGCTATAGTCTGACTGTTGTATAGATGATTTGGAGACCAGTAGGTAGCGTAGGTCGACCCAGATTAATAGGCCAGCATTTCTTGGCGCGGGTCAGTTTATGCCACAATCCACGATGGAATTATCGCACTTACATCTCGTAGTAGGGAATGCCATGCTTGGGAAAGAACGACGTTGCCGTCTTGTACCGGTTTACCATGAGCTCCCTCTTCTGGCTCGTAAATTGTCCCATCCACTGCTTGTCCTCCATCATAGTAGCCCAGGCATCTTGCAGAAGACGGGGTGACCACGAGAATACACTAGTAGCAAAGAACGTTAGCGAAGTGCAGTGAGAAGGTACCATTGTTGCAAGTTACCTAATGCTGGACATAGCACCCAATATGCCTTCATTTTTCGTGTAGACGAATCACATGCGTAGTCCATTGGCACAAAAGTCTTTTCTTGCGCCATAGAGCAATGCATGCGGAGTGAATCAATAACATCAACGAGATCCAGGGTGAGGATAGAGGTGAACGGAGTCGGCTTTGGAATTGCGGGGTTCAGGAAAATGGAAAATGCATAGATCTCGTCAGAGATAAAATGTAGATTGTTCCTACCACAGAAAGAGGCGGACTCGCGCAGTGCTTCAGGAGGCTGCAAATCCAGGTTAGTGTTGTAATCCGCTTCAATGGAAGGAAAGGGACGAATATAACACCGTCAGAGGGTTGCATGGGCTAGAGATCAGTTATGTTAGATAACCCGCTTTGAATTGTGATCAGGTTCTATTTGAAAAACAAAACCAGGCTCCCACACTTGAATTCGCATTCACTCTTGAGATCGAACTCTCTCCCGCACAAGACTTCGGCAACACCCACTGTGGCCGCCGACAATTCATTCCAATTACCGGTGGGACTGCCGAAGGCCCAGAGCTCGAAGCGACTATCCTTTCAGGTGGTGGTGACTGAAACGCTACCCGAGACTATGGGATTGGTCATTTATTCGCCAAATACACCCTTCTGGCCGAAGATGGGATTTTGATCAGCGTCACCAATGAGGGGACGATTAGGAATTTCGACTATGAGCCGAAGATAGAGGGTGATAATCCTAACGAAGCCAAGCAAGAGTCGAAATGGTATGCTGGGGCCAATCCAAGATTTGAGGTCGCAGAGGGCCCTCATGGCTGGTTGAATCGTACATTGTTCGTCGGAGACCTTCAGCCCTTGACCCGACCAAACCATGTCACAATTGATGTTTACTCTGTGGAATAAGAATTGCCTGATAATCCTGCGTTGACGGTAAAAAAGGAGGCAATATATACCCTCCAAGGCTGTTTACAAAATTCATGGATGATAGCGAGTTCTCCCTTCGCAATTCACTCTTGCCCAGTCTCTTTCCTCAATGTACATATTTGATCGATCAATGCGTGGACATCCGAGTAAAACATTTTGATGGACGGGCTTGCTGGGCAAGACCTGCTATGTTTTCTGATATCAGGGGAAAGTTAAGTGAAATAGGTCCTTTTTAGATTGTTATAAAAGGTTCAAATTAAGGTTTGGAACATCTAGATTCGACAATTCCAGCCGCAAAAAGTATCTGACGTCAGGACCAAAGCCTTCCTCGCCTTGGCCCCACTCAAGGCAACAGCAAGTGACTCAAGAAAAAAAAAACCACGCGACAAGAATAAAGAAAAGAGCTAGCGTTTGAATGAGTTCTCTGTATCAACTTTCGCCAGTTTTATTTAGGAAAAATCGCGCCTGTGACCCTCGATCGGGCTAACAACCCCCCGCGCATGGGACACGGTTCTCCATGAGCTCCAGCGGGCCTTTATTCGTCGCCCAAGAGGCGCTGTGTTTGTACGAAATCAGCACCATCTACAACTCTTGTCCGCGATACCTCTTCTACGCTCTCTTGATCGCAAGTTGTGTGACTCGATGGACAGGATGGCTCGCCGATGTCTTTCTGGGAGCTGCTGCCACATATGCTGGCACGGCCGCCATTGAGGCATTCATCCTAGTGGCTAGTCCACAGTCTAAACCAGAGCCGGCACCAGTCACTATTCCATTCATCTCTTATAACACAACCCTATTGAACGACTTTCCCCAATTGATTACAGAGACAACTCAAGTCATGATTCAGCCTGCTTCGCTCGAGATGGATGGCGATGCGGTACTTGCCATTGTAGTGACAGGGTACCTTGTCTTCTTGCCTCTACAATGCTGGTCTCGCATCCTGACCCATCAAAGAGCCCGAAATGTCTTATTCTATCTCTGGAACCTCTTGATGCTCGCGGGTTCAATCTGTGCCCTGGTCAACGCAACCAGGAAGTCCAATACCCCCACGCAATATATGTTCTGCTACCCTGGTCTCCCTCCTTATGATCAAACGTACAGCGATGGCTGGCAATCATCTTGGAGAACGTCAACATGGAATGAAAGTGTGTGGGAAACATTCTCTAACATAACTCGATGGAATCTTCTCGGAGATATCTGTTTCAACCCTTGCTTGAACTCCACCCAAGCCCTTCGCCAGTCGACATCACTGGAATCTTGGGTCGCGAGCAAAGATTCGGAGCTTGCGAATCCAAACAAATTCTGGAACAAGCTTGTGTACTCGAGAAGGTATATCTACAGCCTGATCGTACTTTGTCTTGTGTTAAATTTGGTTCACTTGACCTTCAAGTTTCTTCCGTACCGATCGCGCATTCCCTCTGCTCGGATTGTCGTTATCTGGAAAGAAAGGAAGAATATTTGGAACAGTTTCAAGGAAGAACTAAAAAATGCCCGATCAAAAGCCGAGGAGCAATCAGAATACAAAGAGGCAGGTCTCTCCAGCCATGTCAAAATATCGCTGTGGGGTCGTCTACGCCCTTTTTTCAGCTTGATATTCCTCAAAGCTTCCATGCGCGTCTCGGCAGATTTTGCAATTCTTTTCGGCCTTGTCTTTAGCATGATCATCAGTCCCTTCACTATCATTGCCTTTGTGGCTTGGGCAGAGTGGACTATATACAATGATGGACCTGCGCAAGAAAGTCCCCGACAAGTAGGACAGTGGTCTTACCTAGTATCGATTGGTCTGCTTCTAATCTCTGCTGCGATTTTGACACTCAAGTACCGTCTTGCAACGATATCTGAACTAGATGAGGAGATTGGAAATCTGAGGGATGGCCTGGAGAGGCTGGAGCAAAGAAAGGAGGAAAGACTGCGGTCGGAAACGGCCCCTTGACAGCATCAGAAAATCATACCGAGTATAGTTGATAATCAGGGTGAGAAAATGATGGAAGATAATTTATTTATTTCTTACGATTATATCGTAGGGTCAGGGTACGTCTATTTCTTCATACTAAAAAGGAATTATGATGGGTCCTGTTATCTGTGAGAGAGAATTTTCGACCATTCGGTGACTCTGTCTGAGATACTGATTTCATCATGAAAACATCTCTCAGGTTCCTAAGCTCACTTACCCCACACAAAATCGCGATTCTCATCCCGATATTGATCTGTGTTGCATAAGGCCTAGATCCGTGCTTTCAGTCAAACAATCTTCCAACTCTTCTTCCAAAGTCGCGTGATATCGCGAGAAATAAACTGACACACTCAGTGGCGTCCCAGCTGCAAATCTGGAGTCCGAAGCGGGACCCAGCCCCGCAAACCTCCACTAGCGGCCCCCGCAATTCGAGGAGAAGTTGAGCTCATCGCCTCTTCCTTATCCTGAGACATCTTGAACAAGTAGCCGATCACTTGGCAGCCATGGCATTCGTGCGGGGTGAGCCGCCTGCTAGGATAGTGATTGGCTCCGTCGGCAAATCAGTTGCAAAACCAGATGCAAAGAATCTGTCATGGCGTTTTCTATTTGATGAAGTCTATTTCCTTTGGCCTTGGACTTTAATCTTGGTTCTCGCTTAGAGATAGTGTTTGAATCACGGCCCGTCCAAGCTCATGTTACATCTCACAAGAGCCTCGGTGGTACTAACCACCCCTCAATGTCCGTGCTGCAATGGCGATCTTATATTATCGCTGTGAACCCAGGTCGTTTTCACCTCGTAGGGCATTATCCCTATTGTGATTCACTTTCCATCATGCAGGGCACTGGTATGAAACCAACTGAGGACTTTATCGAGCATGTATCGCCCGCAAATACAAACGACGATTCCCAGGCGGTTCATGTTCCTCTATGGAAATCGATGAAGAAATGGCCCAGAGTCATCGCGTACAACCTGGCCCTGAGCTCTGCCATCTTGCTGTATGGATATGATCTAGTTATCGTGGGAACTGTCTCAGCGATGCCAGCGTTCCAGTAAGTTTGCACCTTCATTGTGGAAAGGGCCTCGTCTGACCATCCAAAGGCATCGCTTTGGAGAGCGACTTGGTGCGAAATACATTATACCATCGATGTGGTTATCGTTGTGGAACGCGGCTAGTCCGATCGGAATGATGATCGGAGCCATCTTCGGTGGACATTTCCAGGATCGTGGGGGGCGCCGCCTGGCACTCGCGACAGGAAGCTTCCTCTCAGCCATCGCAGTCGCCATGTGCTATGTGGCAGATCTACCCGACGATATGGACTCTCGAAGAGGTTTATTCTTGGCTGGCAAGTTGTTCCAGGGTATTTGTATTGGCATACTCCTCTGTGTCGTCCAGACCTATATGTCGGAGGTTTTGCCAGTGCTGTTGCGAGGACCGATCATTGCCTTCCTGCCAATTTTCACCCTGTTGGGTCAACTAATCGGGTCCATCGTGGTCTACACATCTCTCAAGCACAAGGACGCAACAAGCTATCGGATCTGTTTCGCATCCCAGTGGCCTTTTTCAGCAGTCCCGTTTGTACTGGCTGCACTACTCCCTGAAAGCCCGACGTGGCTAGTTAGAAGGGGAAGATTGGACAAAGCGCTGAAAGCACAAAAACGACTCGATACTGCGCACATCGACTCGGCAGCCATTGTTGATGAGATACGCACATCGATCTTGGTCGAAGAGGAGGAGAGGAAGACACAGACTTACATGGATTGTTTCAAGGGCATTCACAAAAGGAGAACGCTGATCGTTGCATTTGCCAGCGCGCTTCCTCAGCTCTTCGGCCTGCAGCTACTCGCGAACGCATCCTACTTTATGCAAATTGTCGGCATGGGGTCTTCAAATAGTTTGATATTTTTGATTCTTGGAATTGGGCTCGGCCTGATTGCCAACGTTGTCAGCTTGTGGGCGCTGAATGGTTTCGGAAGAAGGTTCCTTTGCCTTGCAACTCTCGGCACATCTGTGGTTCTATGGCTCGCAATGGGCATTGCGGGATGCTTCGCAGGTGTGGTGACCATCTGGTGAGTCCCCAATGCTAAAGATATTCAAGCTTTTATTCAAACATTTCTAATCACATACCAGGTACACTGCTGTGACCATGATGATCGTCACCATGGTTTGTGGCCTAGGAATTTGGCCCGCATCTCACGTCGTCGCAGCCGAAACCTCGTCACTACAACTCCGTGCCAAGTCCCAAGGTATTGGCTGGTTTGTGAGTGGAATTGCGTCTGGAGTGTTTTCTATCATCTTGCCGTATATCTATAACGCAGACAAAGGAAACTTGAGAGCAAAGACAGGATTTGTGATGGCAGGATTCGCAGCGGTCGGAATGGTCGCAACTTGGCTCACCGTTCCTGAAATGAAGGGTCGTTCTCCTATGGAGATTGATCGCATGTTTGCGCTGAAACTTCCCACGCGATCATTTAAGCAGTGGAGGAGTGATGTTGTCCTGGAGAAGGATATGGTCACTGCGAATCAGGACGCAAGACCGTAGAATCCTATTTACCACTCGTTATGCCAATTCTAGTACAAGTTTCAAGTCAATGAATTCTATTCTCTTAATTAAATTCGGAACCAGGTTCTCAAATACGCGATCAAGAGCTTTCAGAGGGTTTTGTATGTTGAAAAGATCTGTGGGAGTACAGTGCGCCCTGTTTCAGTGACTCTCGTCGGATTCTTTGCAAGTCCCCAATAATATTATTGATTAGAAAACAATCGAGATCCAGTATCTAACCAGGAAGTTGTGATGGAGCTCGTATTGTTCTCCAGGAAGTGGTCTTGGAAATAAAAGGCTGAAGGAGGTGAGGCTCTTTCAAGGTTAATTCCCTTCACTGCAGGAATTAGTATATATAGTTGGCTGTACTAGAACAACCCTTGAGAGTGAGTACCTAGAAACACCCTGAAATGAGGTTGGCAATTTTATATGTTGATGATATATATCCTGCGATGTTTTTTCCGCGGCTTGTCTCGGAGAATTTCACCTTAAAGTCTTCAAGGTATTCGTCGATGGAATGAATCATGGAGTGGAAGCGCCAAGATTTTGTGGATGCGGATAGGCTATCTGGAGTAAAGTTTGTCCGTGCCGGAAGGGCCCACTTTACCTGGCCTTGTATTCTATTAGAACGACCTGCAATGAAGTAAGTTCATTGTATTTTCTTTGCTACTTAATTTCATAACAGCTTTATGATCCTGGAAGTTGGACCCAAGTAGGTCAGGCCCAGTGTAAGATCTTTTATTGATGGCTGAGGCGGAGGGCCAAAGTGCCCAGCCACATACGCGAGCCACTCGTTCCTCGCTCGCATGCGCACCGTGCCGTTACAAGCATCTACGCTGCGATGGCAAAATGCCAGCCTGCAGCCGCTGCACAGTCGATAAGAAAGAATGTACTTACCATGCATCGCGACGCCGGGGGAATCCAAGGCCAAAACAAACACAAGAATCTTCAACGACAACCATGTCGGACCGTTCCCCGGCACCTACCTTCGACAGCCAGGGATGTTTCGATCTTCCGCCAACCCTCACCCTGTCCGAAAATAATGCAGATCTGCCGCGACGAACTTCTGATTCGGTTCTGCTGGGCCTGTATTACGAATTTTTCCATGCAGCTCATCCGTGTGTTCTCCCTCGTCAATTTTTGAATATTTACTCCAAGGAAAGCGCAATTCAGCCACTACTACTTGTTTTGGATTACATCGGCTCTCTGTTCGCAACTTCAATACCTTCCAAACCGCTGCACCAGGATATAGAGATATACCTGGCAAGTATTCGGAGCAGGACACGCTCCATCACGGGGTTCGATGTGCAAGCTGTGCTCCTCTACTCAATCGCCATCTACTGGTGCAACGAGCCAGATACTGGCGTCGAACTCCTTGATGAAGCCATCCGGCTGGCATTGGAGCTTGGGATGAATCGACGAGAATTTGCCCAGGAAAATCACAAAAATGACCCAATCTTAGCCGAAAGCTGGCGGCGGACTTGGTGGCAAATCTACATTACCGACGCACACATTGCTGGCAGTACACATAAATTTCCATTTCGTTGTAGTCACATCGAAATAACCATTGATCTTCCTTGCGAAGAGCTTGATTACGCTTCAGGTGTGAGTGAAAATATACTATTTCAGAATCTGAGGCGAGAGAATTGACATTAAATCCATAGACTATTCCGAGGCCTAGATGTCTCCAAGAATATGATAACCGTGAATTCTTCTCCGATGATGAAGTGGGCTTCTCGTCCTATGCGGAACTCATTGGATTGACGAGGGGAATCGATCAAGCATTGTCTCCCGGAGCCACGTCTGATGTCCAGTTGTACTCTTCCATGTGCTCAAACGCTGATACAAGTGTTACCGCTTGGCATTCACTTCTCCCTAATTCCAAGAGAACTATTTTGCGTCCTGACGGCACTGTTGATGAAGTAATGTTTAAAGCAGAGTTCATCATGCATACGTCAGTTGTCATACCACTGAAGCTTTGGCATCAACAACTATGACTGATTCCATTTAGGTACACTGTCGAGATTCATCGGCCAATGTCATCACTTGCTTATAGTACTATCGAATCCGTATCCCGTTGCGCTCCACTGGCGCCAACGGATGCCTTCAATTGCAGCAATTCGGCCGAGCGCCAATTGCACACCATGAAATGCCTTGCAGCTATTGACAAACTCGATTACATTCTTACCCTTCCTACGAATATCAACACCCACTCACCATTCATCATCTGCATGCTAGCCAATGTTACCATTGCACATCTCTCAGCTTGTCGATTCGTCCTTCAGGGGGCAAAACGCACACGATGTCGGGAGAAGATACGGCTTACTACGGGAACATTGAAACGCTTGAGTGACCACTGGATACTGGGAAAACGAACATACCGGGAGATCGGTATCATTGCCCGGGAAATACTGTGCTTGATGGATAAAACGCCGGCAGCACGCGAACCAGTGATGGATCAATCGTTTTTTACACCATCGGTTGATCTGTCCTCACTTGCATTTTTACCCGGGCCGGACTTTGATTTTTGTGCATTTTTTGATTCGAGCATTACAGGTGGCACAGAACCGACCTAGCAGCTGGTCCTTTGAGATACCTGGCAAGCATTTGATTTATTATTTCAAACAATAAGCTATGCAAAGAAGTCACCAAGGAATCTGCTTCATATTGATGGCTATTTAGAGATATCAACGATATTCTTCATCAATCTGAATAAGCGCACCCATGCCATCGCGCTCCAAAACATCAGTGTCCAGAACTAGAGTAGCAATCAAGGTCGCAGGCTCAGTCTTGCTCGCATTGTCGCTGATACGGTGGTGGCAACCCGGCGCCTCAAACCAAGTCTCTCCAGCCTTGATGACCTTCATCGGATCATTGTTCATCTTGTTCAACAGCGTACCGCTGAAAACATATGCGGACACTGAGCTGCCGCCATGCCTGTGAGGCGGAGTTGACCCTTTTGGTGGAAATTCCACACGCAAGCCAACGATGCTTTTGCCGGGGCAATTCGCAAGTTTGTATTGGTAGATGATGTTGATGTCCGGCATCGGACGGCTGGGTATGTCATTAGCTTGCATGCAGATGATAAGAGCTTGTTCACTCACCTGGCATCATATGTTGGCTCTTCCATCTTGAGTATAGCCTCAAGTTATTCGTAATTGGCAGTGTTGGCAAGCTTGAATGTTGGTGTTGTGTACAGTTCCATGGTGGTTGGAATTTGCCTCGAATTTATAGCTGGATGGGTCTCTGAACATGGCTGTACTGAGCTCAATACGAACTCCAGTGTTTCGTAGAGCCGACGAATCCGAATAGCCTACGAGAATTTCTGTACCAGTCTTGAAAATGGGCCCCTTCGTGAGTGACTGTCACTCGCTCGTGGTATCCTTGGTTGAGCGACGCGGGTTATCTGATGGGGTAGGCTGTCTATCAATAGGCTATCACCGGATTCCTGGCACAGCCGTGCAACACAAAAGCTGCGCGAAACAAAGTCATCCAGTCTTGATTATTGATCCTTCTGGCTAATTGACAAGGGAAATCCTCTCTTTCTTGCCACCCGATACTCAGTCCTGAAATAAGCTAAGCACAAAGTAGTCGAAAATGTTCGGGTCCGGAAATCAATGACGAATCCCCCGTTCCGGAGAGATAGACTATGATAGCCTGTTCCCGATGCCAGTCATGTTCGCTGATCGGGCCGGCTGACTGTAATCCATCTGGCGAAAATTCGTACAGGCACAAGGTATTGCTTTATTTAAAGGGCCGAGCAAAAAACCGGTACCGAAGTTCATCTTGTCAAAGCAATCAACGGTCTTCGGCTTGCCTCCCTATACTACCGTTTCTCTTCTCATTGAATTACAATCACCATGGCACAAATCAAGATCCAGTCCGGAATCATTATGACTGGCATCGGAAAAGCTCAAATTGAGCACAACTTGGCAATTCCAGCGCCTGACCCAGGTCAAGTCTTGATCAGAGTACGAGCCATAGCACTGAATACCCCTGATTGGATGGCACTGGACTATTTCGGGAGACCGGGTGCGGGAATGGGCTTTGACTTTGCTGGTGAAGTTGTCGAAGTTGGAGCTAAATGCGAGATTTGGAAGATCGGGGACCGAGTAGCTGGATTTGTACATGCCTGTATGTCTTCTGCTCCCAGCCTCTTACTGATATTAACGAGAATCTGATTCTAGGTCATGCTGCCAACTATGCGAATGGTTCCTTTCGGGAGTATCTACTGGCAGATGCTGACCTTTTGATGCGCCTACCGGATCATCTATCATTTGCAGAAGCTTCAACATTAGGCATGGGGGTCAGTACCGCTGCCCAGGCGCTTTATCAGTGGCTTTCTCTGCCGCTGCCAGCCTGCGATGCAAAACCGTCCAACGAGACTGTTCTGATATATGGCGGAAGCACCGCGACCGGAAGCATTGCGATACAATTAGCGAAACTGTGAGTCGCTTCAATCCCATCTAACCAATTTCGTATGCTTAATGCCCAAAGCTCAGGACTCAAGGTGATCACAACCTGCTCACAGCAACATACCTCCTGGCTCCGATCGCTGGGAGCTGATGAGGTCATTGATTACCGTAACCCCAGCGCTACCGAGACCATCAGATCACTAGTGCAGAAAGACGGCCTGTACTCGATTCTCGACTGTATTGCGAGTACTCAAACGGCTGCTTTCTGTTATAAATGCTTCTCTGTGCCCCGGCATGCATCAGAACTGCCTCCGTCATTGATATATGCAGGACTGATGATACCACCAGAGGAACCACCACGCCCAAATTCCCTTCCACCATCTGCCGACATCCACAGTCTCTGGAATATTGTGTATACATGCTTTGGAAGACGCTTCACCATGGTGAAAGAGGAAATAGGACTGAAGCGAACGTGGGAGGCGTCAGCAAGTGACAAAGAGTTTATGGTCGCATTTTATCGGCGTGTCGAGGAATTTCTTCAAAACAAAATGTTACAGCCCATGCCTATTGAGATTCGTAAAGGGGGGCTTGTTGGCGCTCTTGAAGGGGTCTCCGAAGTTCGGAAGGGGGCTGTTCGTGGGAAGAAATTGGTTTATGAGCTATAGGATGGTCATACATGTTGTTTTATTGCTTTGCTTTCAGAGATGAGTGCTTCTCGATCTCACAATTATTGCCTCAGAGAAGCGTTGATTAATACATAAACTCTGTTCACCTAAATGTACAGAGAAAACAGAAGTGCGACAAAACTGCCGACAAGCGGGAATGCGCCTGGGTATTGACAACCGCTCGAGCCATTCTTCTTGTCACTACTGCCGCTGCTAGTAGTACTGGTTCCACCAGGCTTAGTAACGTTGTTGACGCCAACAGTTCTGGTCCAAGCAGGCTTGGACCTATCCGTATTGAGCTCGTCGGAATGATAAGAATCGATGGTTCCATCGAGGGTAATTGTCATCTTAGCCTCGACAATGACTTCCCCATCGCAAAAGTTTTGATTCTTGGGACTCTCATCACAGCCCTGAACAGCTTGGATGTAAGCATTGAGGGTGAGCTTAGCTGTCTTGCTGTCGAACACAACGTCGAGAGTTGGGTCTGGGTAAGAAACGTTTGAGCCCATACCGGGCCAGTAGTAGTTGGAAATCATGTAAGCCGTCCAATCGATGTCCTTCGTTCCATTGCAGGATGTCATGTTGAACTGTATGGGGTAAGTTGTCTCAAAGGTGGCTTCGCTTCCGTATTGGGTAAAGGTACTCGAGACGTTGTAGGGCGCTTTGTTAGTTTCTGCAAGAGTGAGGTTGAAGTCATCGTGTTCCGTGAAAGAGGAATTCCAGGAATAGGCAGGTATGTAGACCAAGTTATTAAATATAATAGCCAATGAACCTGTCAACTCACAAAGAAGAGAACAGCCCCCAGTCCCAAGGCATTTACTTGATTTGCTCGCTCGCGTTCAGCGAGCTAAAATTGAAATCCACATCCCACAAGGTCAGAAAAGCGCTCAGGGGATTGTTGCCAATATTGTATTTGCTGCTCCGTGAGAGCCAGGATGGTGTCGTGTTTAATGTCGAATGTCTTTCCCTTCAAATTTGGGCACCATGTGGCGTCACTCCCTTGCTCCTGCGCAGCGATGCCGCTGAAGGGCTGAATCTCGATGGTCGTAGAACCATTGTAGTATCTAGAAAACGTCAGCAATGGATTTTTGAAGCAAGACACTTTGAGAAACTCAGGATGCAACCGAATGGTATAGACCATTCATGGTCACATTGTCCGGTCGGAAGTTCAAGGAAGAATCGTAATATGCATCGCTTGCTGCAGTGACTCCTGTTGCCGAGGCCACTCCCAAGGCCATCAGCCGGGCTACGAAAGAACCTCGCATGTTGTTCTGATTTCAAACGAATCACCCGCCTTGTCGAGGGGCAAGAGAATGAAGAAGAAGAAAGACAAGGAGCGCATAGGCAGCAGCTGATCCAAAGAATTACACAAAATCATCAAATGCATAGCTTCGAGGTTTGATTACATGAATAAATTCGAACCCAAGAGAAAAACACAATCGCTATCGCATCGAACTCCAGCGTATGACAATCTACATAACAACGCAGCAAGAGTTCTGCTTCTTGGCCTAGAATGGTATTAGCAGATGGAGTCTAGGTCTTTGATGTAGAAAACATACCTGGGTATAGAACATCTTACTCTGGGCGGACAGACCATCACTTTTGGCGACCAACGAGTCGATCTTCTCACCACGCTCCAACACACTCTCAATCTATATAAGGATCAGCATGGGACCTCAATGTGTATAGTCATATAGGAAAGCATGATGTTTATAACCAGCCGAATGACGTACAGTCTTGTGCAGCACAATCTTAGTCTCATCCAGCTCTTGCTGAATCTTCATGATGCTGTCGGCCTGACTGGGGTCCTGGTATTTGACAATATACTCCTTCAGCTGTGGCAGCGGGCATGCGTTCTCGCGGAGGGAGGGGTCGGAGAAGGATGTGCGAGGGTGCTTGGCGAGGAACTCGTCGACAATCTTGGACAGAAGCTGGTGCGCAACGAGCGCGGGGTACTCGCCATCGGTGACGATAACACCGGCGACACCTTCGGTGCGACCGTAGGCGTGGAAGGTGTATGACTTCTCCTCAATGTCCTGGCGCTGCCCGGGCTTCGTTCGCTCTGCGACCGTCTTGGTGAAAAGCATCATGAACTCCTCATAGCTATGATATCGTGGTGGTTAACAACGGAAACAGATGGGCTTCGAAGATATCTATAGGCATACTTTTGACGAGTGAATCGAGAGAAGCTATGAGCAGTTAGTTTGCATGATCATTAGAAGTAGGCGACCGGCAGTAAACACCTACCTGGTAAGGTCCTTCTCTCCGCATAGCTGGAGCGCAGGCTGAGTATCGTTCCGGAGAACCTATCATAGAAGCAAGAGATAAGTCCATAGCCTCAAATCACCCGACAGGGTAATCATTTCGACGAAGATACATACGCCCATATAGAGAACCTTCATGGTGGCGGGGAAGGTCGAGAAGCTCGCACAAAGAACGGTGGATGGTGAGCGTGGGAGATGGGGACAGGCAAAGGTGTTAAGTATCGTAAAACCTTGGGTGTCAAGGCTCTAGGCGGAAAGATTATCGTTCAAAGCGTCAGCTGCGCGTGGTCGTGTTAAAGGAGGTCGGGAATCGGGGTGCGCTGGAGGGCCAACTCCCGATAGCCGCGATGATGGCACAGGGTCTCCGCAATGGCGGCCTGAGGCAGCAGAACCCACACCGCCCAACCGGCCGGTCGAGCCCTGCAGCGGAGCCCTATTGCCTTCTTGGGACCCCGTTAGTTAGCCTATGTCTTAAACCCCGCCAGTTTTCCAACCTCTCTTCCTTTCCTTCATTTCCTTTCATATCTGAGAGAATTCCAAATCATTCAACAGCATGGATAATATAGCAGCAACCGAGTCGCAATGGCTCGCTCAACTGGCTGCGATGCGCCAAGCCATCGCCGACCTGAAGCTCCCGAAAGACCTCCCCCGCGATTCGATCAGCTATGGCAGCGACATGGAACTGGATCTCGACGACGAGTACTCCTCCCCCGGAACGGTGGACGATGTCTGGGATATTATCAGCTCCGATGACGAGACGGATAGCGGTCTAGATGACTATCACGAAGTGAACGAAATTCCCGCGCCTCAAATCACGGCCTACGATCGGAGTTGGTTGGAAAACAAATGTCTCGATGTTGCCATGAGGAACCCTCATATGGATGCAGCGGAGCTATCCCAGCAGATTATTGCGGCTTTGGCGACCGATAGTGACGATGCGGAGCTGCAAATGGCCCTCGCCGAAATTGTTGGATTCGATGACTTAGACCTGGTCATTGAGCTTATTGCGCATCGGGAGGAAATACTATCGGACAAGCCTCAGCGAGTGGAGGCCCAAACAGACGGACTTGCCGCAGGAAGACTTCAAACTCGAGCAGAACGTGAGCAGGCTCTACGGGAGCGTGACTTCCAGCATAAGAATGCTCCTTTGCTGGCGGCACAAACTCGATCTGAGCCTCACTACCCGCATGTGTTCAAGCTCCATACGTCTGGTAACCTTCTCTCTGCCAACGGGAGGAAATACGGTCTGCCTGTTGGAAGCAGAGAAATCGAGGAGCCGAAATATACGGAGTTCGAAATTCCAGCCTCTAGTGTCGGAGCAGTGCGACCGAACCAGAAGCTGGTGGAAATTGCTGGGTTGGATGGTCTCTGCCGAGGAACATTCAGTGGCTACAAGGCTCTGAACCGCATGCAGAGCTTGCTGTACGAAGTTGCCTACAAGACAAACGAGAACATGCTCATCTGTGCGCCTACCGGTGCTGGTAAAACGGACGCCGCTATGCTTACCATTCTCAATGCGGTTGGGAAGAACACCTCACCCAATCCGCTGGAGCAACCGGACGCGACCGAGTTCACCGTCCAAGTGGACGATTTCAAGATTGTCTATGTTGCTCCCATGAAGGCCCTGGCTGCGGAAGTCACTGAGAAGCTGGGAAAGCGCCTAGCTTGGCTTGGAATCCAAGTTCGCGAACTTACTGGTGATATGCAGCTAACCAAGCGGGAAATCGTCGAGACTCAAATCATTGTCACCACCCCTGAAAAATGGGATGTGGTGACTCGCAAGAGCACTGGAGACACAGAGCTTGTGCAGAAGGTGCGGTTGCTCATCATTGACGAAGTCCACATGCTTCATGATGAGCGTGGTGCCGTTATTGAATCGCTGGTCGCCCGAACTCAACGTCAGGTCGAGAGTACCCAGTCGTTGATCCGTATCGTCGGTCTTTCCGCCACACTTCCAAACTATGTCGACGTGGCAGATTTCCTCAAAGTCAACAAGATGGCTGGCTTGTTCTTCTTTGACTCATCCTTCCGTCCAGTGCCTTTGGAGCAGCACTTCATCGGAGTCAAGGGCAAGCCCGGATCTAAACAATCCAGGGAGAACATTGACACGGTTGCCTTTGAAAAGGTTCGCGACATGGTGGAGAGAGGGCATCAAGTCATGGTTTTCGTGCATTCGCGCAAGGATACGGTTATGACTGCTCGGATGTTGAAGCAAATGGCTGCGGAAGATGGGTGCGAGGATCTGTTCAGCTGTCATGATCACGAGGATTACTCCAATGCTCTACGGGATATGAAACATGCGCGTGCCCGTGAGCTTCGCGATCTCTTTGCTAGCGGCTTTGGAACACATCACGCTGGTATGAGTCGCAGCGACCGGAACCTCATGGAACGCATGTTCTCTCAAGGCTTGATCAAGGTCCTCTGCTGTACAGCTACACTCGCATGGGGTGTTAACTTGCCGGCTGCCGCGGTAGTCATCAAGGGAACCCAGCTGTACAACCCCCAGGAGGGTAAATTCGTTGACCTCAGCATTCTCGATGTGCTGCAGATCTTTGGTCGTGCTGGTCGCCCACAGTTCCAGGATACCGGTATTGGCTTCATCTGCACCACCCATGACAAGCTGCAACATTATCTGTCTGCCGTCACTGCACAGCAGCCGATCGAGTCAAAATTCTCGAGCCGACTCGTTGATAATCTAAATGCCGAGATTTCCTTGGGAACTGTAACCTCTGTCTCCGAAGCAGTACAGTGGCTGGGCTATTCATACCTGTTTGTTCGCATGAAACGCGAGCCTCGAAATTATGGCATTGAGTATGCCGAGCTTCGTGATGACCCGATGCTGGTGCAAAGACGCCGGCAGTTGATTATCCAAGCTGCGCAGACTCTTCAAAAGAGCCAGATGATCATCTTCAATGAGAAAACCGAGGACCTCAAGGCCAAGGATGTCGGTCGCATCGCGAGTCAATATTACGTGTTGCAAACAAGCATTGAAATTTTCAACGATCAGATGCGTCCCCGGTCGGGCGAAGCTGATGTGCTAAGGATGATCAGTTTGAGTGGTGAATTCGACAACATTCAGTCCCGCGAAAGTGAATCGAAGGAACTGCAACGCCTCAGGGATGAAGTCATCCAGACCGAGGTCGAAGGAGGAAACGACACCCCACATGCAAAGACTAACATCTTGCTCCAATCCTACATTTCTCGTGCTAGGATCGAAGACTTCGCTCTAGTTTCCGATATGGGCTACGTTGCACAGAATGCGGCTCGTATCTGTCGTGCGCTGTTCATGATCGCCCTGAACCGACGTTGGGGATACCAATGCCAGGTTCTGCTGTCTTTGTGCAAGTCAATTGAGAAGCAGATTTGGCCTTTCGATCATCCATTCCACCAATTTGATTTACCACAACCTGTTCTGAGGAACCTCGATGAAAGGCTGCCCACATCATCCATTGAGTCGATGCGGGAGATGGAACCGACTGAGATTGGACAGCTTGTTCATAATCAAAAGATGGGCAAGGTTCTTACGAAGCTCTTGGACAATTTCCCTACGCTCAGCGTCGAGACGGAGATTGCGCCTCTCAACCGCGATGTCCTTCGCATTCGCCTTTCCATATACCCCGAGTTTAGTTGGAATGACCGCCATCATGGAGCTTCTGAGTCCTTCTGGGTCTGGGTCGAGAACTCCGAGACTTCGGAGATATATCATCATGAGTATTTCATCCTCAGCCGCAAGAAGCTTTACCATGACCACGAGCTCAACTTCACCATTCCATTATCTGATCCCCTGCCGAGCCAGATCTACGTTCGCATTATCTCTGATCGCTGGCTGGGTGCAGAGACCGTCAGCCCTGTGTCTTTCCAGCATTTGATTCGCCCAGACACGGAAAGTGTATACACCGATCTGCTGAACCTGCAGCCGCTCCCCATCTCTGCTCTTCAGAATCCAATCCTGGAGGAAGTCTATGGCCAGCGGTTCCAGTTCTTCAACCCTATGCAGACTCAGATCTTCCATCTGCTATATCACACTTCAGCCAATGTCCTTCTTGGATCGCCCACCGGTAGTGGAAAGACCGTGGCCGCTGAGCTGGCAATGTGGTGGGCATTCCGCGAGAAGCCCGGATCCAAGGTTGTGTACATCGCCCCAATGAAGGCCCTGGTGCGCGAGCGTGTCCAAGATTGGCGTAAACGCCTAACGGGTGCGATGGGTCTGAAGCTTGTGGAGTTGACCGGTGACAACACCCCGGATACGCGCACCATTCGAGATGCAGATATCATCATTACGACTCCTGAGAAGTGGGACGGTATCTCTCGTAGTTGGCAGACCAGAGATTACGTGCGCAAGGTCAGCCTTGTGATCATCGACGAGATCCATCTCCTGGGAGGTGACCGTGGTCCTATTCTGGAAATTATTGTGTCTCGTATGAACTACATTGCCTCCCAGTCCAAGGGCTCTGTCAGACTCATGGGTATGTCCACTGCCTGTGCCAATGCCAGTGATCTTGCCAATTGGCTTGGTGTCAAGGAGGGACTATACAACTTCCGCCACTCCGTCCGTCCAGTCCCTCTCGAGATTTTCATTGATGGATTCCCCGAGCAGCGAGGCTTCTGTCCTCTGATGCAATCCATGAACCGTCCTACATTCTTGGCCATCAAGAACCACTCTCCTGAGAAACCGGTGATCGTCTTTGTTGCATCTCGTCGACAGACCCGTCTTACTGCCAAGGATCTGATCAACTACTGTGGTATGGAAGACAATCCTCGCCGCTTTGTCCGAATGTCTGAAGATGATCTTGAGTTGAACCTTGCGCGCGTCAAGGACGATGCCCTACGAGAATCTCTCAACTTTGGCATTGGCCTGCATCATGCAGGTCTGGTGGAGTCTGATCGACAGTTGGCCGAGGAGCTTTTTGCAAACAACAAGATCCAGATTCTGGTTGCAACCAGTACTCTTGCATGGGGTGTCAATCTTCCAGCTCACCTTGTTGTGGTCAAGGGCACCCAGTTCTTCGACGCCAAGATCGAGGGCTACCGCGACATGGATTTGACTGATGTTCTCCAAATGCTTGGTCGTGCCGGTCGTCCGCAATTCGACAACTCTGGTATTGCCCGTATTTTCACTCAAGACTCGAAGAAGGCCTTCTACAAGCATTTCCTGCACACTGGCTTCCCAGTCGAGTCTACGCTCCACAAGGTCTTGGACAACCATTTGGGTGCCGAAGTTTCTGCTGGAACGATCGGGACGAAGCAAGATGCGCTTGATTATTTGACCTGGACATTCTTCTTCCGCCGTCTCCACAAGAACCCATCTTACTATGGCCTTGAGATTTCCGCCGAAGAACAGAACACGATGGCAGCTCAGGCTACCGCTCAAGAGTTCATGATTGATCTAGTTGACAAGTCGCTCAATGACTTGGCCGAGTCGTCCTGTGTGCTCGTGAATTCTGCCACTGGCGAAGTCGATTCTACCCCCTTCGGCAAGATCATGAGTTACTACTACCTCTCACACAAGACCATTCGGTACTTGATGTCCCATGCAAAGCGTGAGCCTACCTTCCAAGATGTTCTAAGCTGGATGTGTTCTGCCACCGAATTCGACGAGCTGCCCGTCCGCCACAATGAAGATCTCATCAACGCTGAGTTGGCTCAGAATCTGCCACTGTCCACTGAGTCTATGGGTGATATCCCAATGTGGGATCCCCACGTCAAGGCCTTCCTATTGCTACAAGCGTATATGTCTCGCATCGACCTCCCCATCTCCGATTACGTCGGTGACCAAACATCCGTTCTGGATCAGGGTATTCGTATTATCCAGGCCTCTATCGATGTCATGGCTGAGCTTGGATATATTCCCGCGTGCGAAATGTTTGTCACTCTTCTGCAGTGCATCAAGTCTGCCCGTTGGCCAGAGGATCATCCACTGTCTATTCTGCCTGGCATTCCAGTCGAAAAGCCGCCTCGCGGGCTTCCATCTTCGCTTGCCAAACTGTCTTCGCAGCCCAAGTCTGCCTTCTTCGATTTGGCGAAGAAATTCAATCTTCATCCTGGATTCACCAAAGCGGCTCCTTACCTGCCGAATCTTTCTGTCCTTGTCAATGGTATCACTGCGAAGGGATTAAGTGTCTCTATCACTCGTCGCAACCCATCTGCAAATGCGGATCACCGCATCTACGCCCCTAAGTTCCCGAAGCCACAAACTGAGGGTTACTTCCTCATCGTCTGCAGTGCTCGTCCAGATGGATCGGATGGCGAGTTGCTCGGTCTGAAACGAATTTCATGGCCATCTTCCAGGCAGAACGGTGACTACAAGTCTCGCGGGGGTGCTGGTGCTGGTTCCAGTCGCGGCGGAGGCTCTCATGGCAAAGCCCGCGGAGACAATGGCACACTTAATGTCCGCTCGATTGTCAAGTTCCCTGCCGGTCCCTTGGCTGAGTCTTTGTCACTGACTACTGGTGGGGTCACTCGGGTTAATGTCAAGGTCATCAGTGACTGTTATCCTGGCATGATATGGGCACTGCCTAATGTGGAGGTTGAGGTGGCATCAAGTGCACCGACCCAGTCGGTTGAGCCTTCTTCTAGTGTGAGCCTCAAAGGCTGATCTTGTATATACTTAGATGAGGCTATATACATCTGCGTATGACTAGCATTTACTGTTCCTCGCCTCAGGCAATAATTAGACTCATTGATCCGTTGGCTCATTACGTATCGCCGAAGTACACCGTTCACTTATAGCACGATGCACTTCGAGGATCCAATCTTCCGGTGCTTTCGAGTCGAGTCCCCGGTATCCCCGAGAAAAAGTATCCCAACGACAGTTCGAAGAAGTTCTGCAATATTCTCGTCGGTTTCCGCAGAACATTCGAAGTAGCCAGCCAAACGATTCTTCTTCGCATACTGCCGGAGCTGTTCAGAAGCTTTCGTCAAGGTCTTCGTGGATCTCGCATCTTCCTGCTTCTTTCGCAGATCATTCCGACACCCAACTAGAATAAGAGAAGCATCTTTACCCTTGGGCGATTTTTTGGAAATCAAATAATCCACTCTATTCTCAACTTCCCACCGAGTGTCATCCACGTACTCGAGAGCGAAGCAAAACAATACGAGGGTTGTCTTTGGATATGCGAGCGGCGTGAGCCTTCCATACGTTGAATACGAGTTTTCCCAAAAATCAATCAACCCAGACTCGGGACTTTGGATTTCAATTGACGTGATAGGGCTGGGTTCGCCAGAAAAGTATTCTTGAGGCTTGACTTTGCCGTGATAGTGAGCTGTTGCGTATTCGGAGAGGGCTGCGATGAGGCGTGTTTTCCCACAGGCTGATATGCCGTCGACGGTAACTTTGCGGCGATTCATTTTACACAGCTGAATGTAACCAGCCGGCGGTCATGAACCCAGTCGGTGGGTAGTTTTGAGGACTGATACGAAGAAGAATGCTGACCGTGAGGGAATTTTAGGGAGGGGAAATGTTGTGAGAGTCGTGCAGACTCAACATTACGAGGTCACCTGATGTGCGGGCAGTAGATGATTCACAGCTATGCAGTTTCAACCGCACTATAGAATTCTAAACTTTAGGTAGTTCATCGCAGCCTAGGCTATTAATACACATAGTTTGCTAGGTTACATTTCAGCTCTGGGTCTAAGCTCAGCTTAATGTTTTAGGTAGCAATCCAGCCTAAATGTCAAATGTTGCTTGATTTTGTATCGCACTGAATACGAGATCGCAAACCTTCCCTTGCAGATCCTTATATGGAAAATGATCTGCTTGTCTGTTTATAGATTAGGGGTTCTCTAGGAATATCTATGGTAAGGAAAGATCTCTTGCTCTTCACACTTGGTTCTTATTTCGCCAGCCTTTTTCCGAACGGACACTCAGCAATTGGCTCTTTCTCCAATCCTCAACCAAGATGAAATCATTCTATATCTCGTTCTTGCTCTCTCTAGCTCCATCAGCTATGGCTGCCGTGGGAGGTCGTTGCTCTAACAACTGGGGCGCGGACTGTATCTGTCTGGACCAAGACGTCTGCAGCGGTCAATATGGTGGTCAGCCATACACAGGCAGCCCTGGAAATTACCCTTGCCCCTCTGACCCAGCCAATGTCATGGCCTGTGTGATCAACCCCTGCCCAAACGTTGGTGGCGACACGGGCTGTCGCTGGAATGATCCTGGTGTATGCGGGAGTGTTCTCTCTGGTAAATGAGATCCCCTTACCCAACCTAGGTTGGTTTAACATAAACTGACGTATTATACGCAGACCCCGTTTGCCCAGGTGGTAATGGCTTTGCCTGCTGTCAATTGTGATGACGCTGGTTTTTGAGTTGTGTATGATTGATCGATGAAATGGATTTGACGAATCTGAGGGTCACTTTGAATATCTAAGTACAATAGCAATATGAAATGAGTATGACGAACTTTGAGTATGGTCATCTGGCAATCGAATCCCAGAATGAAATGACCTGAAATCCTCCAAATTCTTTCTAGATTGTGTTTCAGTCACATCGAATTTCGGGCTGTTCACAGTTCTCTTCCAAGACTAGGGATTGAGAATGCTGTCAAAATTTTGGCAGGTCCACTGATGATTTTGACCAGCTGGACTGGTCCACATTCCCTCCATTCTGTACCATTTCCTCCATCCTGTACCATCTTCTCCATCTTGTACCATTTCAGCAATTAAAGACATCATCCTTTCAGCCAACGCGACATGTCTGCAGATAACCTGTCTGATTTCTAGATTGGCCCTCCAATCATCCGTTAACTTCGCAGCGCCCAAAATGGAGACATCCACCACCTGGTGAGCGACATCGAGAGCCAGTGATCGGAGGTTCATAGGGACTTCATAGCTTAGTTGAAAGGCTCGTTTGATCTAGAAAAGCCATCGTCCTGCACAGAAGCTAGCCGAGCCCAAGCACAATTTACCCGTTGTGTCAGCGCCTTTGAATTTGGCCGCAGCTTCCTGGCGGCGCAATATGAGGGACATGGCCTCTCCAGCATGACGAACCCATTGAGCCATGGCCTGGATAATGGCCTCCTGATATTGGCCAGTACTGGTTTGCTCGAGGGCATCGTGGAAGATCAGAGTTCCAATGTACTTCCAGTGAATGAGTCCCAAGCCGAATAGTTTGGCTGTGAATGCGTGTAGGTTCGTCCAGCTCTCAACATCTTCGGCATCAACAACGCGGCCGTAGATTCCTTCGTCTGTGTAGAGAGCAACCGGGTCAGTTTTGGGGATGGTATGCTGAGCTGAGATGTAATCCTCATATCGATGATAATCTTCCATGCATGAATTCAGACCGTGTAAATGTCTCCATGGCATATTCAAGATCCCCTGTTTTGACTTGGTCAGCAAGGCAAAGCATTCAAACTTTTCAAAAAGCCGCAGTCACATTCAAGATCCAATTTTCGCCCTCCGGTAATTTTGCAGCTCCATAATGAGGCTTATCATTGTGTTATGAGCTTCATGCGCGTGGGGAATCAGCTCCACCAAACCAATGATGACTTCCCAGAGTCTCTGCAGGAAGTATCCGGACCTGCCGGAGCTCGACTCATTTCCCACGCACCGGAGGGAAATTCTGTGGATTCGTCTTGCAGCCGAAGGTGGCCGGGCGTGAGGATCTCCCTGTAACATGTCTAGCAGGATCGCTCAGAGCTGCCTCTCTTCACTTCCGATCGTATTCAAAGGGAGATGTGACAGGTTAAGTCCCCCTCTTGGCTCACCTCAGTCTTGTATATTCCACAGCTGAGGACCATTGTGAAGCTGAGCTCTGGTTAAAATATTCGGCGAAAATTGGCGATGATGGTAGAAGAAGGGGAGGATTATGGTTTGAGATATCACGAGTAAAGTCGGTCAAGGTCAGAGGAAGGAGAGTAGAGGATAGATTTGAATGGTGCGAGATCCGCGGAAAGTTTGATATCAATTGCATCGTTTCCGCTGCCTTCTGAGGTTGTCTGGCCGGCTAGACATCTGATCTCTGTGGCGACCTTCTTTCTCGATGTTTCCGCCTTTTCACCCCAAACATTTTGACCGCAGCCACTTCGATGATTATGCTTCCTCCCTTTCGTTGACAAATCTCCAGTGAAGTTGGACACATCTCTAGTCACTCAACCTGGTCTATCCTGAGTAGAGGTGAGTGAATTACCTCGGATTTAAAATTTATTTCTCCTGACTAGTTTTAGTTATCGGCTTGTTTGACCGCCGATTCCCCCAGCCATGTTCAGAACGCTTGAATCTCAATCTGGAGATCAACCGGCGTGACTCTACCAATAACCAGAACAACCAGCGTCGCCAAGCCCCTCGCCCTCAATGGATAGCTTCATTTATCCAAAGCAGGCCTCGTGAGCCGGCTAGATCCCGTCAAGATCAATCTCGGTACCGCGCCCCCACCACCACAGCTTGGCCTCAACCGAGCGTCCAACGCCGCGAACCGCCCCCGGCCAGACAGTATCAGTCCAGGCGTCCGACTATGAACCAACAATCCAGCTGTCTCACAACCCGAGGTACGGACCAAAGAACAGCTAGACCCAGAAATCCGAGTCCACCACAAAGGGTTCAAGCGCACGTTGTTCCATCTTCCTCTTCTTCTTCCTCCTCCTCCTCCTCCTCCCAGCAGCAACGGCGACGAGGCAGCCATGCATCCATTCAAACGATTGAGTCATACGTGAGTATACCCCTTGGGCTAACCAGCCATGTACCTTCATATACTGACCTATATAATATCAGTGGTCTCTACGGGAACTGCCATCACGCCATGAGCACCGTCACATTAGACGTAGGCAAGCTGAAAACATTGCTAGTGTCACGTCCTGGATGGACGACCATGACGGATCTGCTCGGGGCCACTGGATGGACTCCCGTGCAAATGCTTCCCGAAGGGGTGCCAATGCTAGGAATTTTCATGATCGCGTTGATCGCGCCCGTCCGGCCCGAGTCATTGTACCTGAAGATAAACCAGAAAGTTACTTTGTTGCTTACTTCACCCCTGGGTTGAGGCGAGAGATGCTGCGTGCAAGCTACCATTCGTACTCGAAGGCTCTAGCTCGACGAATGGGGGATCGATTCGAGCAGAGATTCTTGGATATCTTTTTCAGATAGAATTTTACAATCTCTATTACTTGTCTTGCTGATACAGTAGTGTCATCAACAACGCTATGGTCTTCGAAACCACTGTCCCCTGGCGTGTTTTCTCGATTGTGGACCACGAGACACGTGCACACTCATTCTTGAATGAGTTCCCAATAATTGTACACATTCACTAGACACAAGGAACAGTATTTTGGCATCTATAGCTCGATTTCATCTGTACGCCGGTCTAAGAGCGCCATGCTCTGTGATTCGATCTCAGATTTTAGCCGTTCCAAGAACTACCACATGGCAGGTCGACCTTTTCTAGGACCGGATCAACCTAAGCCTCTATTCAAAGCTCATCCCAAACCATCTCTGAAGACCACGAAACTTCTCCTCATCGCTCTGGAACGAATCAATCACCCTTGTTCTCCCTCCCATATTCAGTTTCACCACACCGTTGACATACATAATTTTCCCAACAATAGGGATCGCCTCTGCATCATCAACAGCACCCTCACCATCCAGCAGAGGAAGACCATCTGTCTCTCCCCCTCGAATGAACCTGACAATCCAGAAATTCCCTTTGTGTCGGGCATCCCAGCTTGTATACCGATTCATCACTTCGTAGTCGTCTTGGAAAAACTCGAACTCTCCAAACGCATAGAAGGAATTCCATTCCTTCGTCGGCCCATTGCGGTACTGATAGATCCAAAGCTTTTGCTCTGGGCGTGTTTGCTTGGGCATATTTCCATAAACTAATTGCACTTCTTGTGTTCCGAGGTTATGAATAGGTTGTTCTGAGACAAGTCTCAGCGGTCGCGTTGGTCCATCTCCGCCGAACGCGGCATCGACGTGATATTTATCCCCTGTTGGAAGTTGGACGATATTCACAATGTGTGTCCTATGTCAATGTCAATACGGTTTTTGGGTGGGAGTTTGCGGGCATCTTACCATCCCTTGAATTCACCTTGAGGGACACCATCAATTCGTGCCCGGTTGCGCACTCCTGTTGTATAGACCGAAAATCCCAAGCCTAACAGAGCGTGGTAGAAGAAGATACTGCACTCGAGACAGTAGCCTCCCCGCTTCGATGGCTGTGAATCTGCCGATCCCATGAATTTGGCATAGATGCTTTCTGGACGAATTTCGATGACTTCATTGTTTGAGTAATGTACTGACAAATTGTCGTATGGGAAACGAGTGATTTGACCCCGGAAAAGAGTCGTTAGACCTTCTACAGTCTTGGGGAAAGACTGCGGGTTTTGGATGAATTGATCATATTCAGCGGGAAGGGCGAGATACTCAAGATATTTGCTCAGCTGGGCTGTCGAGAATGCAGACGCCATAGTTTATCTTGCAGTCCAGTAATTTTTGTCAAAGCGATTGAATTAAGGAAAGCATTATATCCATAGATTCGGGATTGCATGCATGTCCTTCCATTTTTGCTTCTGGGTGTTTTAGCCCCTGGTGAGTCATCGCAATTTGACTAACTAACCTAGTTAAGTTACGATTTTGCGTGATCAGCCAAACACTGCATGTTAGACTAGGCCTAAAATAGGCACCAAATGAACGACATGATCCGTATTTAAATGTAAATGAATAGCGAGCCTTGTACCAACCCGCATAAAATGCCTGTGTTAAAAGGTAGGAGTATGGCCTGGACCGATAAGTATCCCCCCTGAATGTGTAGGCACCACCACTCAGTCCACAATTAAGGAACCTACCACGTCGCCTCCTATCAACGTACTTGTAAATACCGCGGTCGTCCTGGCCTCGACCGACCAAAATACTGTAATAATACCATACAGTACCTAAACCGGCCCATTCTACTTCCAGCGCTTACCTAGCCGCCTATATAGTAAGGACTTGGATATATACAACTTAAGGGTTAGATCTGATGGAGATTTCTCCCCCCCTCAGATCGAGGTTTCCGTCGCCTGCCTCTGTGAAACTAGAGAATTTGTCCCTTTTAGCCTCTGTTAGCTGTTGCTTCTTCCCTCTTCCCTTGCTTCTCAGGAAGTCCTGGCTCAAAAAGGCAATTCACAGATTCAGCGCTTGCCTCCATGTGATGAATGTCCCACTCTGACCAGTTCTTTCTCTCCTTTGCTGTCCCTCTCAGTGTATCCAGTCCTAGTAGAATTTGATTTTAGAGACTTCGCCACTTCAGTATCTCCGGTCTTATAGACTTAGTATGTTAAGATAAAACCAAAAGATTGGATTTTTGGTGTTTACAAACTTTTCTGCCTTATCACATTATCTCATACACATGACTTGGCCCCTCATCAAGATGTTTTGAAAGCGGACTTCTCCCATTCCTATCTCTCTGCCTCTCTGCCTCTCTGCCTCGTCACCGACTCAAATGTCATTGTTGCCGCCCGATAGACAACTGCTAAAGCTCAATGATGGGCCACAGTATGCGTTCGATTTGAATGACGCTGTCGGGCCAATCTTCAACCATCCATCCCATGTGCCTCCATGATCCATGCGGAGACATTCGGTACCGCAAAGCTTGTTGCCATTTGTGTCGGCAAGATATTTCTTAATGGCACCTGCAATAGTGTCGTGCTGTGCTGTGGTGTCGCAGTTCCGGCCAGAGGAGTAATACACCCAGGACAAGGATTCGTAGGTGCCATGCATGGTGCTGCAAGAACCCTGATTGGATAGCTCCTTGATGGTACTAGCGAGAGACTTTGCCATACTAATCACAAAGTTGGTGATCACGACACAGGATGCAGTAGTGCTGATAATCCGCTCGCAAACTCTGACAGGAGTCCTCTCCACAAGACCAGTGTCAATGCCCCTTGTGCTAAGATTGGTGCTTGCCGTGGTAGTTTCGTTGAGACTAATTTGCAACCACCTGTCTGGTGCCGGCTGCCCATCGATAGATGAAGGCCAAGTAGAGGCCTGCACTGAAGTTGAAAAGCAGCAGGCTGCCATCAACAGGCCTTTGAGTAGGAGCATAGTAGGCAATTCCGTTTAGTAGAATAAGGCCGGCAAGACAACAGAAGCGAGCGATATCGTGAATGCGGTCCAGAAAGGTGGTCATTGCTTGAATATCTTGAAGCCCTGATCTGGAGTTGAAATTCCACGGACAGCGCTGCCCCTTTTATAGTTTTGAAGATACCAGTTCCCTGAATGTTCACTGTTCTGTAGGGATGTATAAACCTCGAGCAAAATCAAAGGTCCGCTATCTCAAAAATGTGTTTTGGTGGCTATGTCCACTACATTACCCACTGTAAGGTTGGGGGCCGTTTAGGTGTGTGTTCAGCTTGCGGCCCTAGTACTGTATTGTGGGTTCTCTCGGAATCTACGGCATAGCAGCCGAAGTGTGCAGATCACTTTCTCATTCGCATTACTGCCGCTGATAGGCCGATAGTCAGTAGACTGTCCACGGCGCTATATCTAGCGACCCGCAGCTCTCCTAGAATTAGGCAACTCTCGGCCCTTTGTCCTAAAGCAGATGCTAGGTCAAAGATATACATATCTAGGGGTGGAACGTGGTCTCGGGGTGACGGGAGATATCAATCCCAAGTGGAGTGAAACATATCTAGCCCCGAGGTCGTGTTCACCATAGGCGCTGGATACAAGGCAAGCACATATTGCAGATATTATACTTAGACTCTATCGGGGAACTTTCACGACGGTGGTGTCGCTTAAAACACACTTTCCGTCATTTTTACGATAAAGATATTACGCCGATCACCGGATGGCTCGGCCCGCTCGGCCCCATCGATCACGGCCCAGGTTTCCAATTACAAGTTGTGAAAGCTACCACGGGCCATATTGGCTTGTATTTACCGTTGACGAATAGGGGAAACAGGATCGATTGATATGGGGATCAGACAAAAGAGTTGATTGATTGATGAAGGAAAAATATCCTGGTGTGGTGGAGCGGTATTTCTGGATGAAAGTTGCCGAGGGCGGCGGATATGTCAGAAAGTACGAACGCAAACTAAAGTTCAAACACAGGTGGATTGGGCACGAGAGTATTATACTGTAGTTGTAAGTCACTATTCCATTTTGTCCATAACACAATAACATTTGTTCTAGGATACAGTACCTAACGTTGTTGTCTTTTTCTTTCTAGAGATACGCTTAGTCAAATCGTCTCAAATACACATTCTCTGAGGGGTATCATGGGGAAGATGAAATGTTAGATTTGATAGCACTTGTCACCGCAACTATTGAAGGCCATCGCCAATTAACGGCAAGCGTGGATTTTCACAAGTATCAAATCATAACCAGGCGTGCTTACAGGGTTTTGCCATGTCCACGCGTTTTTCCTCGTCTACTTTCCCTTTTCGACGAAGTTGACTGTGCTCGAGTTGGCGCAGAGGCAGGCTGCAGGCAAATGAACGAAGTGGGCTACGGATTTTTCTGATTGGTCATGTTTCAGATACAGAAGTTATCAGCAACTTCATAACATCGGATGTGCTTTACGCTACTTTGATCCATATAGTAGCGTGGTTTTCGGATTCAAGGAACTGGATATCTGCCGTGATAAAGGTGCTATTCCTTCCGCGGATTAGGTTCCTGACCTGAAGCTGATCTGGTGAAACGTCCGTGGAGTTTGTAATTAGGCTCTGATCAAGGTGCACGGTAAAATGGTGCATTCAGGGCCACCGAACCCAAGAAGGGCATTCTCTAGAGCAAGTTTCTGTGTCAGTCGGCCAGCCCGTCTGCCTGACATTACTCCTAAAAGAGTACTTAATATACATACCCTCTTTATTCCAAACTATCCCAAACTAGCCGTGATTCTCAATTTGAGAATGATATCAAACACTCAAAAAGCGATATCAGATCCTAGCAAATGCCGTTGTAGTTCCTCAAAATCAGCCACGTCTGCACCCGTCAAAACGAAATCATCTCCTTGGTACAATGAGTACATCGTTTGCGCGTCGGACGGAAAAGGCATTGGCAAATATGCTGATGCATAACCATCCACCATATCTCCACCGCTTTCAAAATTCCACGCACTAATGTAAGATGGAGGATGATCCCCAGTGGAATGAGGTGTCGGGATGACCTGACTGGCCGAGGAACCCAAGGGCGATTGTGCGTTGCCATTGGATGTTCCTATTCCTTCGTGGAATGACTCGACTAATGCAGGGATGTGATCATACAGTCGTTCGATCTGGTCGTGGCGAGACCTGGCTGCCTGATTGTTGTAACCAGCCAGGAAGTTGAGAAGTTCTAGGGATTCCGAGATTCCAGGGGTTGGCTTTAAGAATGTCAAGTATTGGCCTTGGGTATTGTTTGTTGACTCGATGATTGCGGCGAGAAGCATGATAAACCCCGCGGAGAATATGGCGTCGAGATCAAAAAAGCCAAATTTTGCTTTTGAATATCAGTCAGTTGAGAGAATGAGTCCGATTTAGGCAAAGAATACCAACCTATCATGTCCTCCTTCTGCGCCTGTAACATGAGTTCTAGTGACCGACGAGCAGCCTCTATGCAAGTGCAAGTGAGCTGTTTAAAAGCATTCCCACTATTTGAAAATGTGGTCTCGCCGCTGAGAATTGCCTTTGTCAAGTGCAGAACGATCGGTCGCAATGTGAGAATTATTGACTTTTTCGAATTAGTCGTGTGCGTTTTCTTGAATTTTCTGTCACCGGATGATGCCATACCTGATAAAGAATAGTATACAGCGATATACTTAATCGTTGATCTTTCTTCGATGACTGCTGGTTAGGCACGGTGCCAGAAAAGCCAAGACCCTGAGGGATTTGTCTCGCGAGTTGATTGAGTGTCGAGATAATATCCTGGACACCGGCAACAAATTCATCCTTGGGACATGATTCCTGGCTGTAGATGACTTCAAAAACTGTCAGTATATCGAAAATTAAACTTTAGTGTCAATAATTACCTGAATATATTCGAGTTTGTATCTGGGCTACCTCAAGGTTGATCTGTAGTGCAAATGGGTTTGGAAACCCAGGTGCATCCGCAGGGAGGGATGCATCCACAAATCTATCATCAAGAGCGAGTGGGCAGCCATTCAAAATCATTGAGCGCTTGTCCTGCATGTGAACGGTCCACCACAGTCGGCTAGCGTGAGTCGCTTCTGATCGACGTAGCTTTTGCATTGTCTGTTTTCGATGTAACCTATGCAACATAGCTAGGCGAATTGCGAGACCAATCTGTAAAGGATAGCTTAGTCTTGGCGACCACTGGATTAGGAGTGGAAACACCCACGTAAGAAGCGGCGTCGTCCCTTCGATCAATATTTTGTAAATAGACTGTGATGATGGCGAGGATCTCGATTCCCGCTACGCCGTGAGCTCGTAGCTCCGAAGGGCATGGAAGGAGATCTAATGCGTATTTGAATAATGTATAGCCCGGGGGAGAGTTTGAGGCGTCCGACTCCCCTCGAAGCAGCCTTCCAAGGGCGAAAATCAACAGAGCCTGTAGGAATCCAATACTGGGACTTTGGAGACTTCCCTGTGGATCCTCGTAAACTATAGCCAATTGATCAGAAGCCTCGCGTGCATCGAACAGGTGCTGTGTTTCGCCGAAATAAAACAAGACACTATCGAGAAGTCGATAGGCTTCTTCCTCGGATGGAAGGTTGGGCATCACATATAAACCACCTGGAGCTTGTCTCAATTTCAGAATCGGTCTTTTCGAGGGAAACAAACTTTCCCTTGTCGACTTGCAAGGTGGCTGGGTGATTGCTGGCGATTGAACTGATCGCTGCTCAAACAAAGTTTGTACTCGGTTTCCGAAATCCTGGCTTGAACCAATGTCGCGCTCAGTAGTGATACCTGGCAGTCGTCAATTCAGAGCATGATAGCTATTTGCGTGGGGAAAATACATACGCTGTATAGGCTGTTCTGGCTCTGATGCTGGTAATCCAGTGACTTGATGGGAGGACACAGTTCTTGCGGATGGAGAGTCTACATCCGATCTCCCTATCTCTGTCATGCTGGCAATCAGTATCCTCTTTCATCCCATAAGAACTATCTTGATCATATACTGACCTCCATGTGAACCCGTAGACTCATACAAAGCCAACCGAGCCTCTAACTCACGAATCTTCCTACGCAAAATGTTACATGATGTCCATCATTTCAAAAAATCAGACATACCCTGTGGAGTAAAGCCGCCCCGCATTTGACTCCGGATATCTGCATTCCAGACCCCTCCGCGAACAGTATTCACATGGGTAACCTTCCGAGCATTTAACTTTCTTCGATTTGCACGTCGTGCAGCTTGTCCACGTCAATGCCGGATTTCAAAGATCAGCTGTAACAGGCAAAGAGGCGAACTTACGCGGATGGTAACCTAGAATGTCTGCGTCTAGATGATCGAAAAGGCTGTGGCGTTCTTATGCTTTGTGACATTGTCAATCCAGTGAAATGTATGGAGCATGCCCTGAAGTGGAGATGGAGTTGATGTGTTCCGATGTCTCGGAGTCAACCGAAGTCCCCTCGGTAGCGCGGGCCGTTATTTTCCCGGGATGATGCTATTTGGGGCCAGGTTCTGACTCCATATTTTGCCAGAAGCCTTTATCCACCTCTAGGTCTTGATCTCTCGCGTGAAGTTCAATTTTAAATAGATCAAATTATCTCACTTGACTTAGCATTGTGGATTTCGCGGTTGCCTTCCACAAAAAATGTCAAAAGTTGGAGCTATATATCTAAGGTGCCTGTCCCTGGCGCGTTGTACGGGAGCCCTCGTGAAGATTCGATCTTGAATGCGAAACTTATTCTGTCTTTGCCGGGGATAGTGATCACTCGTTTCATTCAATATATCCCCGTTGCATTGTAGAAATTATGAAGCCTTCTTGCTCTTCCACAATTCCAGCATCAACCTCAAAGTATCATTCGAGTCCATCACATCCATTATCAACTCCACCATCCTCAACCCCTTGCCCGCTCGCATCTCCTCTCTCCCCAAAACACCCTCAAGTTCTCCCCAGTTAGTCGCCCTCGCCGTGTAGACCGGATAATCAGTATCAGCCTTGCCCGCACCAAAGAACGACGGTGCTTCCAAGAATCGCCAGGATGCGACATCATTATACGATTCCTGCGGACCGTGGATAAGTCGCTCAATCGTGTAACCGTTGTTATTGATGATGAAAATGATCACGTCTAATTTCTGGCGAATGATGGTACTTAGTTCTTGCGCTGTCATTTGGAAACTGCCGTCGCCTTCGAAGAGGATTGTGCGGCCCTTTGAGAGGGGGTGGTCATTAGACTGAGCGAGATGTCGCTGGGCGAGTGCGGCGCCTTGCGTGGCGGCGAGCATGTATCCGATTGAGAGCCAGATGCCGGAGTTGATGAGGGTTGTGTTCTTTGGGAGGACGAAGTCACGGCTTCCGTTGCTAGCGGTGCCGGTTTCGGTGAGGATGATGTCGCCTTCGTGGAAGAAGGAGGACATGCGGTACCAGAATGTGTCTTGGGTTAGTTTGGCGGTTGGGTCGTTTGGTGGGAGGGATTGGAGAGCATGGCGTAGATTGGGTAGCTCGGGATATGAGGCGGGTTTGGGAAGTGGGTTCTCCTTTAAGGTTTCGAGAACCATTTGGAGGATTCGTTGGGGAGATACACTCCATGTGCGGCCGCCAATGGTAATGGCATCCCTCTCGATTGCGATGGTTATTTCCGGCTTGGGGACGGTGGCAAAGTAATACGTGTTGACGTTGCTGTGAGCGGGCCCGATATTGATTATAAGGTCGCAGGAGTCGACATAGGAAGTGAATGTGTGAGGTCCGACAGTTCCATGAATTCCATGGAAGTTTGGCAGCGTCTCATCAATGATTCCCTTGCCGAACGGTGTTGTAGCGGTTGGAAACCCAGTGGCTCTAATGAGCACATCCGTCTGACCGGAAAGCCCATATCGCGAAGTGCCCGCATCCACTAAGATAAACTGTCTTTCGGAAGTCCTCAGACGATCGAGGATAATATCACAAACGTCTTGTTCGACTCTTGGATCGCCCGAGGCCGGGGTCACTTCCAAGGCCTGTGCAAGTGGAGTGCCTGGGATAATAGCATCAACCATATCCATCGGGACCTGGAGATAAACAGGCCGAGACTGGCGTAAACACTCGCGAATGACACGGTCAATCTGCGCAGCTGCATTCGCAACATCCGTAATATCCTCCTGCGCAACAGTGACTTTCTCGTACATCTCAGCAAAAATTTTAAAGTCACCCGGCATTCCACGACAGAACGAATGATGGAGTTTCGTGCCATTCTTCTGATCATTCTGCGGGGGAGTCCCAACGATATGGACAACCGGTGCCATCTCTGCATATGCACCGGCAATCGCATTAATAGCAGACAACTCGCCAACACCAAACGTTGTCACAATCGCTCCGATGCCCTTGATACGCGCGTAGCCATCTGTGGCGTATCCAGCGTTCAGTTCATTGCAGTTTCCAATCCACTCGAGTCCCGAGGGGATCACATAGTCGAGAAGCCTCAGGTTGTAGTCTCCGGGGACGCCATGCACGGCGTTTAATCCTGCCTTGCGCAGACGGCGGAAGAGATATTCGGCGACGGATATTCCTCCTGTCATGGTGATGGTCTTGTGTGGATGATGGATGGGAGTATCAAATGAAGGGAGATGGAACAGGGTGAGAAAAGGAAATCTGAGTTTAAAAGGGCTCTTTCCATAAATTATCTTCCAACGTACTTCGGATCCTTCCGCAGAATCGGGACCTCCGAACCCCACTGCAGCAAACGAAATGGAGGCGATCCAAATTGTAGATGGTGGGTTTGATCCGAACTCTTTGTGAGACCGTCGGTAGCTACCGAAGACTCCCCACTTCTATCCGACACAGTCCCCGAGGGTAGCTAACCACCGTTACAATGTCCAATAAAGAGAATCAGACGAGTAGAGACAGTATTTGCATTCAACTAATAACTATTCAGATGAAAAAAAGGACTTCATTGAGACTCTAGATTAGATAAATGTAAAATGAAAGTAGCAACACGCGTCACAAACCCCAACCCAGATGCAAATCAAACGCCCTCGAATAAAAACCAGAGGCAACAATACGAAAAGGGGGAATCAAAAATGAAAGTATATAAAAAACACCACTCCCAATCTCAAATCTCAAAGAGACTCAATCTGCAACTCCTGCGACACAGCATGTTTATGTCCAAAGCTCACATCCGTAATCCGGGGCGTCATCGGCCTACGCTCAATCAACCGCTCATTCGAATGAAGATAGTCAACGCGTGCACCGACTGGGACAATCATTTGACGTTTTCCCCGAGATACGGATATCGAGCGTGCTATTGAGACTTCGATGGTTGGGATTTTGCGTAGTGATTCGGTGGGTTCTTTTGTTTCGAGGGCCATGCCGATTTCGATATCGATTTCTTCGGGTTCGGAGACGAATGGCATGCGGGGTGATGAGCCGCCGGGGGAGATGCCTGGTTGGGGACTTAGGGATCGTATTATGGGTGATGGTGTTCGGTAGAGGTTGTCTTTTGATAGGTTGGGTGTAGGGAGTGTGCTGGTGGGTGGTGTACTTGTAGGGAGTGTGGAGGATGATGATCCTTTTTTGGCTGCGGGCCGTGGTGGAGGCTGTTGCTGTTGCTTGGTTTGGATTTTCAGATTTGGTCGAGGGGGCCGCATATCTGGTCTTTGTTGAGGTCTTTGCTCCTTTTCTTGAACCAGGTTTGGCGCTTTCTGAGGGGTCAGGTGCGGCATGGGAGGTTCCTGAATAGGTGGACGTGTGTGCATTCTAGGGGCCTGTAAAGAAGACTTTCGCTCTTGATAAGTTGGCTGTGTTTGCGAGATCGGTAGTTGAGAGGGCCGCGGGCGCAGTGCAGGGATGGGCTGTATCGGCTTCTGCTCTACCTGAGAGTCTGTACGCGATCGAGGAAGCGCCAAGCTGGCCGATCGACGCCTGGTATTTACCGGGGGTGCAGATGGCTTCGCTTCACTCTGAGGACTGGGAGATCTCCTCGGTGACTCCGAGACTTGTATATTGGGGGTGACTGCCGGTTGCTTTGCCGTTTGAGGCCGTTCCTCCACTTCTTCCTTCTTGACTTGACTCGGTTCCTTCCCAGTGTGAGCAACAGCGAGTTTTGATGCCATACGGGGACGCGACTGTGGCGCTTTTAGCTCCGGTTTGATGGCAGGCAGCGGTTTATCAAGAGACGACCGTGGCGTGCTGGACTGCGAGGAAAAGATATTTGGAACGACCGGTGATTCAAACGGTGAAGCGACATTGATATTAGGTGTTGCCCTTCCCTGATCCATAGATGCCTTAGATGGACTCTCAACTGGCAAAGTATTCGATCTCAACAGCGGACTCGGGCCACGTGAGAAGTTCTGTTGTGTGCCGAGAACTTGTGTCGCTTTCGACGGCTGGGAAGCTGGGAACAAAGTAAAACTCGATCGTGCGGGTGATGTCGCTCGGCGCTGAGGAACTGGAGGTGGTTTTGCAGCCAAAAAGACCTATATACATCGTTATCACCATGTCCGTTCTATTTTGCTATGTAGTATCCCACAGATCGTAGATACAAGAGATGGCTAGCGTACCTCATTGTTTGGCATGCGCAAATTGTCCAGAGTCTTGCTCCTCCTGGCCAGCAGAGAGGGTCTCTGGTTCTTTTTCATCACTTGACTGAACATCACACTATAGCGCTCCATTTGTACATCTGGAATGTCAATCTCGAGCAGACGGCTCTTTTCGCCTTTCTCGGGGACTTGAGGCTTGTTAGCCTTCCTTCCAGGAAGCGAGAGTTTGCGACTTCTTTGCGGACTGGAGTTTGTTCCAGCTGGGGCAGCGGTAGAATCGACTTCGATCATCGGCCATTCTTCGATTGAACCTCGTCGTTGCAGTGGCTTGTTGCTTTGTTCACTCTCTGGCTTTGGGGCAGGTTTTGGAGGGACTTTGGGCCCATCCATTGGCATTGCAAGCGCATACTTGGCTTTGAATAACCCCCCAATCTTCCTCCATTTACTCGGTTTGTGCGGCAGCGGTGGCTGACCGTCCTTTTCCTGTGAAAAGATGTCCGTCTTGAATCGAGGTGGTGGCAGGTTGTCTCGCGAGTCAAGCATGCTGGGACTTCCAAGGGCAACACCTATTCTAGGTATACCCCCAGGGCTACCGTCTGCACCTGCACGCGAAGGAAAGACTTCATCTGGAGGTGCCGTTACTCGAAAGTCGAATGATGCCGCCATGGCTACATTATTTGGTGGTTTCCTGCTTCCTTGTCCATCCATATGTCTCGGCCGGGGAAACTCATATTGCGCCGCCTTTCCATGTTCTGGTAATTGCCGTGATCCGTTGTTCTTGATATCGCGGAGGTCGGCTCTTGGGAGTGCATCGGTGTAGGTCAAGACAGGGAATGATATCGCATCCGTATCTGGCGCAGTGCGGGACTTGACAGCCGTCGTAGCTCTCGCCATCTCTCGAAAATGCTAAGCGCTTAATATTTGGTTCTTTCGTAGCCCGGTAACATAGAACTAGAGAAATGAATCACAAGCCTGATAAAGCAATATAGTCGCATGCAGAAACAGATCTCAGATCTGTCGAAAGGAATGGACGGCCTTCCAGAAGGCCACAATGCGGAGTCGAATCAAAAGCAAGTCGCAAAAGTTCGCGCGAGCAAAGGGGGCGCTGGCATTTTAAATGAAATGGCTTTGCAGGACCAGCTAGAGTGGCGTCGGGCGATATCGTCGCTTGGGTGGGGGTGTCATTACGCCAAGCTGTGTACTTGAGACACTTTGCCAACGTTGATATTACCATAAATTGGCCTTTATTATTTATCCATGGTCATTTGATATCAATTGACGCTAATTATTGACGGTCGTATCGTATTGCATTCGCGCTCAAGCATTTTTCCTCAAGCGCCGCCAGCCATCAGATCCAGTCATTGTGCCTTTCTACCAATGGTAGCAATAATGTTAGCTTTCTGTGTCAGGCACGTCTCGTCTGGTCTAGGCTAGACTGGGGGCGAGCCAGCTGAACTCAACCAACAGGAGTGCTGCGACGGCCGGTAGGAAAAAAAGGAGGGGCCAGATATCAGCCCCAGCTCGATATTAACGGCCCCGTCGCACAAGAAACAGCGGTGCTAGTCTCTGACACGATCCGCGATTCGATCGACCAGGATTCCGCCGCCTTGTTAGCGCCGCAACGGTTGGATTTTCAGCAGCGGAGCGGCTTGAAAGGCCAGCAGCCAACAGGGGAAACGGGCCTCCTGGTGATGGGCCTTTTCTTCTGGTGAATGCGAGATGCTTATTTTGCGTGGAGCGAATGAGATCGCTTGTTGCGGATTGATTGGTGATTTGATTAGCTCAACCAGTTTCGCTACCGCATTCGGTGCGGGCCAAGTGGGAGCCAGGGGGGGGCCACCAAGTGGGAAAGAGGCCAAATGTCCACCGGGGGCGTGTTTCAGCTCTCCTGAAACTGAGACAAGACTTTGTCTTTTTGAGTCAGGGGTCCGGTCCCATTCTGAGCATGATTTGACCGTCATTGATCCAGGGTGAGACTTATCGTCTGAGCTGAAATTGATAAAAGTGTCCGGCCATTAAGGACGCTGAAGAGATAACTCTTGAGATAGAACGGAGGAATGACCTGAACGAGGTTGTCTAAACGGTGGTCGGTCGCTGGCGCACGGGCCGTCTCAGCTTTGGCGCGTCGGCTGTCGCAGTGCGGTCATTTGTTGCACGGGAGAGTTTTACCTTTGCGATTGTGTGATGCCAAGAGGGAATTCTATGCCAATCGAGCGCTTATTGTATCAGAGGGGGATGAGACGGTAATATGAGAGAGGAAATGGGCAATCAGGCTAATGCCCTCGGCAGTCAAGGACGCCACGGTTTGAGGCATGCAGCCATCGGCAAATACGTACAGTACTGAAAAAAAGGGTCTATTTGATCTTCTAAATGGTTTCCGGTTCAAGTATCTCCTAAAATTCAACCTAGCTCGCTCCAGGCTCATCATTTACTGAATCCTGATGATATCAACGGCAGCAATGAATGTCTCGTCAACCCTGAGCCAAGTAAAATATCATATTCCCCCGTTCTACCCCACGGCGGGTTAAAATTTTGGTCTCCGCAGCCACAAAACCATTCACCATATTCAAGCGTCATCTCCCGTCTGTGCTGAGCGCACTGTATGTACTTGTCGACCCGTCAATGTGGGCCTGTTTCGTATAGCATGATAGGACCCCTTCGTAAATGCCGTCATGTGCCGTCGTTGGGGAGTATCAGTCGATCGATCGTCTCTCCAGATGATGTGGAGCATGGATCTTTGTTTATTTCATACGTCATATTCTTATTTGAAGGTACGGGTTTGCTGGAAATAGAGGACAACTTGGTTATAGATAAATGGGTCAGGATAAGACAACCCAACAGAGGTTTGTCAAAAGCAGCAGTATGAGAACTTACTGGCACCTTCAACAGAAGCTTATTAACTATCGTACTTATACACTCATTGCTCCTGATCATGTCCTGAAAACTGTCTCATATAGATTCGATGTCAAACACTATCGCATACAATGGTCTGGTCTATATGTTAGCTTTGAATGGCCTTCAGGCCATGATTCAATGATGTCACCACCTAGATTTCTCTATATGTGACAAAAAGCATCAAAGAACACACTACCGTGGGAATATCGCTGTATATGTCATCTGTGGTGTATTGGTAGCTATGTTCAGATTTTTCATAGTTATGGCAAACAAAAGCTATCACCGATTTCTAGGTCAAAAAATCACTCCCACCCCCCTCCGATGGCCTAGTTGGTCAACATAAAGTTGTTGATCATAGGTGTGCCCTGGAGGAGTGGGCAAAAAAAAGAAGAAAAATACTGGGCCAGTGTTGACGCTTCCAGCTCCACGGACGGCCGGGCACACCCCTAGGCGGGGGGAGTTCATTTTTTGGACATTTTGTGGGTGATATCAATTTTCTTATAGTAAGGTCTTATCCTAGAGTGTTACACTAAATCTATTTAACTCTCTGTTTTCCTTTCTGACGGTATTATGAGGGTGCAAAAGGCTACATTAGGTAGCACTAGAGACTGGCGATGTTCTTCGGTGTCCGTGGATAGGACTAACAAGCCGAAGTATATAGAGGAGGACAAGGTTGAGGGTTCGATCCATGCGGTGGGAGAATTTATTGAGATTCATTTTCGTCGGTGATTTCGTCTTTGAGGTTACTGGACGATATCATGTAGTGCGCAGGTCTCATTTTTGTGTGGAAGTTCTTAGTGACGAATGCCCGGTCTACAAGGTTAGGCAGCGAGTGTCAGCCGCATAGTGGGTTTTAACATGCACTAGACACAGCTGTGCGGCTCTAGCACCAGGCATTCAGAACTCGAGAATTCTTCCAATCGAAATCAGACTCTAGTCTTACTTCCACTAGGCGTCTTCCCATTGCCAGATTAGGAAAACTTGGAGTCTTCACGAGTGGTTACCGTATGCCCGTATTGTGGCTGAGTCACTGAGTCGTCGAGTCCAAAGGCAAATTCTCGTATTGATGAGCTGAGCGCCTAACAACGTCCTGATTCAAGAACTCGCTGTCTTCGAACCTTTCACTCAACATTCACATCAAACAAGACATCCTCATCATGACCCCATCAGGACGCTCACGTGCTTTGGGTGCGATCTGGGGTACGTGCATCGGTGATGCGCTGGGCGGGCCGATACAGTTCCAGAAGCCCGGCACTTTCAAGCCCATCAAGGAACTGGAATTCGTGAAGCCATTCAATCAGCCATCTGGGTATGTATCAAATCCACATATATCACAGCACTAAGCTAACAACGGTAGATCGTACTCGGACGATGGTTCTATGACCCTTGCTCTCGCACAGTCTTTCGTGGACTCGAAGGGGCAATATGACCACGCTTTATCAATCCAGAACTATCTTGACTGGTTTAATCATGGCCGGTTCAGTACTACGAATAAAGCATGGGATCTTGGAAGATCTACCCGCGTCGCACTGAGAGTGTGGAAGGCCCAGGGTCTCGACGATCTGGCACTCGCTCAGCAGAAAGTCAACGAGCAACTGGACCAAGAAGAATCTTCGGGGAATGGAAGCTTGATGCGAATCTCACCTATCGGGGTCGCTCTTTGGAAGGACTCTGACCGTGCAAAGAGACTCGCCCGCGAGCAGAGTCTCATTACTCACCCCGCATTGGCTTGTCCGGATGCCTGCGAAGCTTACACCCAGGCAATTTGCATGGCGATGAATGGTATGTACCCTTCACCTCAGCGTTTCCTTTCTCTCATTCGTAGCTTAACTGACTCGCCAACAGGAAACACCAAAGAAGACATTTGCAAAGCTATCACGCAATTCCACTTTACCCATCCCGCCCTAGTCACCCGATTCGCCCGCTACACCTCCATCGCAGACTGGAAGGCCAAGTCCCCCACCGACATGCACAGCAGTGGCTGGGTAGTCGACACCCTGGAATGTGCGCTCTGGGGATTCTTCAAATATGAATCCTGGGACGAGGGCGTCTTGGCGGTGGTCAATCTCGGCGGAGATTCGGACACGGCGGGCGCTGTTTATGGCGGTCTGGCAGGGGTCTATTACGGGTACGATGCTATTCCGCCGCGATGGGTGCATGGGATGCAGAAAGGGGGTTTCATTCGGGATATTGCTGGAAAGTTTGCTGAGGTCGTTTCATTGGAATAGTCTATTCACTGTGTCTTTCAGAGATGCTCGGAGAGGGAGGAGTGTTGCAATGTTGGCCTGGTGCATATTAACTCTGGCTATTGTTGACACTTTTTTGACACCCGTTCCGAGGCTCCACTATAAATTGGAAACACTGGCCGATCGGTGTGCTCGGGTGTTTTGACTGCTTTTACGGATTCATGGAGACTTAGAGAGATACAAGTCTCAAATTTGTGTCCAAGGAAGCCGTCTACTCACGAGCGTAAGCCTATACTTTCATATAGTTGTTGAGGTCTAGATCGGCGGTACATGTAGGTCATGGATAGACCGCCACAGTATAGATAGTAAGCACTTCTAGGCAGCTCTTGGAGCTAGCCTTGAAGGGCTGACAAGACCGGGATATAAAGAGCAAATTCAGTTACATCTACAGGATGAAGCTCCTTACTTACAGGTCAACGCATTCCAGGTACCAGACACGTGCGGCAATTCATGACATGCGTAGAAGCATGCAGATCTGCTGTGTCCTGAAGCCCCTGGCATTCATGGGGGGATATGACGGCCGAGCAACAATCTATGAAATAAGATCTAGCCAATAAACAGAAAGTATAAGACAGGCAGTAAAATTAAAGCCTAGGATGAGTCAATACACCGGCTGCATCCATAGTGTAGAATGCCATGTTCACCGTTCCCGGCAAAGGGATCGACGGGAAGCGCGCTGGTTTGGCGGGGTCTTCTTATTTACCGCCAACACAGAAATCCCCCCACTTCAACCTCCGTCGTCACCTCCCACAAGCTCTCCTCTTCTTCCTCCTTATTTCTTTCTATTCTTCCCCTCTTCGAGAATCACTCAGAGCCTTGCTCTCCTTCATCTCCTTTCCTTCCGTACTCTCCTACTTCCCCTCCACAACCACACATCGTCACCATGGGTGCTCACTCCGCAACTTGGCAAGGTATGTGAATCAACTCCCGACCAGACCGTTACTTGGACTTCCCCTCACTAACGTCTTTTTTGTCCCGCTCCCTAGCCTACGTCGACTCCAGGTACTTCGATCTCCCATTCCTGATGCAGCTTCTGTCACCTGTCTCGACGATAGCCAGCCCCGTCACGATCCTTAATCAATACTAACCTCGCCTCCTCAATAGCCTGATGGGCTCGGGTCAGTTCGACAAGGCCGGTGTTCTCGCCGCTGACTTCTCCGGTCTGGAGGCTGCCAGCCCCGGCTTCACGGTACGATTTCCATACTTTATCTTCTCAATTTCTCAGTCTTGAAGGACAGATTCTCCGTGGTGGCAATGATACTAACACGGAGACCCGATAGCTCTCCCAGGAGGACATCAACTCCCTGGCCTCGGCCTTCACCTCCAGCGCCAACGCCTTTGCCAATGGTTTCTCCGTCGGCGGCGAGAAGTTCGTTTGCATCAAGGCTGACGAGCGCAGTCTGTACGGCAAGAAGGTATGCCTCGCCACTTTCTTCGGTCTCCATGCTGGAGCTGGAGCTCCCTATTCGATCCATCGAAAACTACTGACCCATTCACTTTACAACAATAGGGCAAGGAGGGTGTCATCATCGTCCGCGCCACCGCTTGCACTATGATCGCTCACCACGGCGAGGGTACCCAGACTACCAACGCCGCTACCGTGGTCGAGAACCTGATCGACTACATCAACAACCCCAAATAAACGGGATGCATATGGGAATCGCAACTGTGGATCATTTTGTTATCACATAATAGGGCTGTGAAGAATATGAAATAAAGGAGCATTGAATTTTTTTTTCCTTTTACAACTTCTACTCGCGCTTTTCGCGTCTGCTGTTTTTGTGCCCGTCCAGCTTTATATTACATGTTCCAATTCCGAGTCCGACTGCCGAGGTGGATCGGCTCTGCTTGACCTTGGCTTCTATGCTTTGTTCCCTATGTATTTTGATTAATGCCGACCGTGCTTGTCTGGTTTGGGGATATGTTTTAATGAAGTAGATACTTTATTTGGAATCGGTTTACGTCCTTGTCGGGAGATGTCATGAATATCTGTGTGCTTCTATTATCTATTATGGATATTGAATACTGCATCCAACTGGGATCTCATAATCGAGGCAATCACCCAGCTGGACAGAATCAAAAGGTCATTAGTAATTACATCAAGGAATAGCTTTCCCCCATAGCCAAGGGGCATTACCATCTCGTCTGCCGCATGCCAATCCATTTACCACCGGACAGGACAGCATTCAACGTACACCCACACCACTTAACAAGCGAATCGAATCCACATATCCAAACACTCTCCCTCTAACCCTCCAAACATCCATCCCCACCGAAATCAAATCCAAATCTTGGTCTCGTATCGTAATCATGCCCTCAACACCCGTACCCAATTCAATCATACAAGCCTCATCATAAGCCTCATCATACAGGTAACTCAGCATTACTCCGTCCCCCAGCCAAAACCTCCAATCCACGCTTAATATAAGGCCCAACAACGGGGATATTGCCCGCAAACTGGCCAATCGTAACCAGGAAATCGCCGAATAGAATGAACAGTCCGTATAACTCGATTAGGAAGCCTGTTAATGGCCAGCGGATCAGGATAAGGATAATTCCGGCTGTGAAGGCGGCGGTGCCTTTGAGTTTTTGGGGACGGGTGAAGAAGACTATTGTTTTTTGGACGCCGATTATGAGGGTTAGGCCGATTAGGAAGAGGATCTAGTGAGGGGAGGGGTTAGTTAGGCTTGGTTTGTGTTTTAGGAGGGGGGAAATGGCGTACGTTGCCCATGGCGAGTCTGGAACAGCGAGGTAGTGGTTAGCATGAGATTTTGAAGCGAGTGTCAGGGGAGGACGTACAATGATCGGTCGAAGAACATGAGGACTCCTCCGAATAGGAACAAGCCACCTATACACCGAAGGAAAGGATTAGTATGGCGCGCGCATCGCGGTGATATGGTATATCAGAGGGACTCAAGGCGTACCGGCCGAGCAGAAGACAACACCGATCTCTATAACCAGCAGTTAGCATTAACGAAGCCATGATAACAGTTGCGCCCAAACAGGAGGTGACCCCATTCTATTGGCGTCGATAAGGAGAAGACATACTCTGATTCTCTGATAACCACATGCTAGGCATTTTGCAAGCTGTGCGATTGCAAGTATCGTTCTGACAGATAAAGTGGAGCAAGTATAAGAAGGAGTAACTTCACCAGGTCGATGCTTCGAGTAAATCGGATGTCCGTAAACAGAAATAGAAAATCAACCGTTTTCTGCCCTCCTCCGAAGGCGGTGTGGGTTCGGTTTTAAGCCGCGTCGGGCGGGTGTCGGTTTTTGCTTTCCGCTTATATTTTGTGTGGGATACTGACTACGACAACAATGGGGTCAAGGGTCAATTGGGTTGGATGTTATCTGTTTCTGTGATTGTTTCAGGAGCAGCATAATGTCAAGCTGTTTTTTTGTGATAATCTGCAGCTATAGATACATGGTTTAACTGGACCAGCTCCATGCTGGCTCAGGCACACATGCCAACATCCTCGACATAACACCCCAAGGCAAAATGGTCTCATCTTGACTGATTACTATCCTCCCCACACTCCAGTATTGTCTCAGAACAATTTTATAACACGCCGCGGCGACAGTATCCTCGGATGCTGTAACTGACGCTCCTTTCCCTGGGGCGTCGGTACTAGTCGAGTGCATCCTGGCACAAGGCGGAGAACAACAACGGTTACGAATAAGCCGGAGCGCTTTCTTGAGCCTGCCTCGAAAGGGGCAGGTGGGGTGGAAAGTGCTTGACTGTGTTGATCGGACATCACTTGTAGCAGTTTTCAATCTATTTCCATGTTCACATAATTATTAGCGGAGTTCAATGGAACGGTCGTGTGGATGAAAGCGTACCTTTTCGAGACGCGTTGTAGATTTTGGAATAAATTGTATGAACAGTTGCCGTGCTTCGCTCTTTACTTGAGCACTGTGTGAGCTCCTCTTGTTTCGAGGTAGCTCTCCGGTACACCCTGGGACAAGTTGCGAATGACGCCAAAGATCTCCTTGTCGTGATACCGGAGTCGCGTCTTGGGGTCGGTGTACGGGCCCGAGAGACCGGTTATATCGCAGTAGTGGCGCTTATTGGAAGGATCCAACGACGGCGCAGACTCAATGTTGGTGTAGGTGACAGCAGGTCCGCTGGGGAACATTGCGCGGGCATTCTTCTCCAGCACGAGTGTTGATAGGTCGCGAGCCGCCTGTGCGAGGTTGGGAGCCTTGCCGGCACCTTCAGCAGGTGATGCGGCGCCGTCGGTGGTCGCAGTGGCTGATGTAGCAGGGAAAGGGGTGGTGGCGCCGGAATTGACCTGGGTGGCCAACTGGGAAGCTTCCTTTCGAGTGGTCTCTGAGATGATCGCTTTGACGTTCTTGTTGCGGCGCTGGGAGGGCTTCCAGTGCGGGTTGCGGAAGGGTTTGGGGACAGCGGCGATATCGAGTTGGCTCAGAAGAAGCTGGTGAGCCTCGTCATCCTTTGCGGGTGTAGCGGGTGCCATAGTTGAGACGTATAGCGAGCAATTAGGATAGTTGTTGAATAAGGGATGTTGGATAGCTGGAGGCTGTTGGAGATCCTCCCGTTGGAGTGTTCCGTATATCTGCACGTGACCTTGGAGAAAGCCCAAACAAACCGCCGCCATCAACCCGATTCCCTTGACGAAGATCGAGATATTCACGTGTCCCAATCTATTTCATCATGGTATGTTGGCAGTGGATGATCCAGTCGAATCCAGGTTCGAGATGTGTCGCTAATAGGACATAGGAGAGTCCCCACGAGCACCAGCAGGCAGTTCTTCTGTCGCGAATCATTACCAACGTTGTCAGTCGCCACAAATACATCTTGAGTATTAGTAGAGATCTAACCTTTCCAATAGGAGAAGCTGAACGAGGCCATTATGGTCATGAATAAGAGCCTCCAGGTATGTTCGCCTTTCCATTTTTATCTCGTCTTGGCCATGGTTAACAAGCGTGTATAGGAGGTCAACATTCAAAATATGAACGTTGAGTTGGTCGCACAAATGTTCAAGAACTACCAGTCCAATGTTCTCTTCCATCTTGAAGGTATGACCTTTTTTTTATTCCAGAAACTATGTATTCTATTCTAACCATTTTTATAGCTACCGAGAACCTCAAGGAGCCTTCCTAGGGAGATTCCACCACAGCTATGGTAGAAATTACGAAGAAATGAACTTACGGATATCTAAACAACTTCTTTTCCTGATCTTCTGGTTTCGTCATTTAGGTGTAAATGTAGTTCTCTTCATATGGTACTCGGCGTAGCTTGTCCTCCGAAGATCAGATCGCAGATGCTGGATAACGTATCGGTTCTTGGCGCAGCCTCCAACCTCGCCGACCTACCGCGAAAGAGCGGGCCTAACTCCGTTTGCCGCTTCACTTCCCTTCAAACGTCAACCTGGTTACATACGAGCAGTCCATCCTCTATATCCCCATCCTGCGACCGCCCTGCCATGTTCTAAGCGCCTTCCAATCCCGCAACCCGATCCTTGATCTCGACGGCTCCTGGTTTCCGCGCTGGCTCAGCCCACAATGACCATCACCTCCGTACAGACCCTCCTACCGGGTCGCTACTCTGTCAATGTTACAGAGAAGCGCGCCGAAAAGCCTCCACCGCAGACACATACCGTTCAAGATTACCCATTCAAGGGTTATCAACCTCCGCAGACCGATGGATGGGAGCGGAGCAAGGCTCATCCCGACACCAGCGCCATTGTTATCGACAATGGTTCGTTCTCTCCTGGTTGTCTCTGTGTGCAGTTTAATGCTGACATTTCATCTCTTGTGCAGGCTCTCACCTCGTCAAGGCTGGCTGGTCCTTTGACAAAAAACCTCGATTCGTCCTGCCCCCCGTCATGAGCCGCTACCGCGATCGCAAGCTCGGCCGTCAAGCCCACTTTATTGGTTACGACGCATACGTTGATGCGACTACGCGTGGACAGTTGAAGAATGCATTTGATGGGAACTCCAGCGTCGTCGGTAATTGGGATGTCATGGAGGGGGTGCTGGATTACATCTTCCTGAAGATGGGTGTTGATGGCGCCAACGGAGGTGTTGAGCGGCCAATTCTCATGACAGAGCCAATCGCTAACCTTGGATATCCGAGGCGAAGTAAGCTTGTATCTTACATTGCAGTACAAGGGTTGAGCTGACAGTCCGCAGTGATGAACGAAATTCTATTCGAGTGCTACAACGCGCCTTCGGTCGCCTACGGAATCGACTCGCTCTTCGCCTACCGCTACAACAAAGGAACCGACGGATTGATCGTTTCATCATCGCACACCTCTACACATGTCATTCCGGTCCTCAATTCGAAACCACTGCTCTCAAACTCCTCCCGTCTCAACTGGGGTGGAGTGCAAACCGCCGAGTACCTAGCCAAGCTGCTAAGGCTGAAATATCCTACATTCCCCGCGCGCTTGACAGATAACCAGGTTGAGGAAATGGTGCACAAGCATTGTTACATCTCTCAAGACTACGATCGTGAGTTGAGTGGATACCTCGATTGGACTGGCCTTGAGGAGCGCAATCATGTCATCCAATATCCCTTCACCGAGCATGTTGTCGTTGAAAAGACGGAAGAAGAGCTAGCCCGGATTGCCGAGCGCAAGAAGGAGAGTGGCCGTCGATTGCAAGAGCAAGCAGCCAAGATGCGCTTGGAGAAATTGGTGAAGAAGGAGCAGGAATTGGAGTACTGGAAAGACTTGCAGGTCCGCCTAGCTACAGAGACGAAGAAGGAGATTCGCCGCGTGTTGGAGGCTGAAGACCTCAAGGACGAGGCTCACCTGGAACGGATGATTCGTGACCTCGAAAAGTCCATCAAGCGCTCGCGCAATCGCGATCTGGGCATTGAAGAGGAAGAACAGCAAGAGGAAATGAGCTTCCATCTGATCGATGTTCCCAACGAAGAACTGGATGAAGCTGGTCTGAAAGAAAAGCGACACCAGCAGTTGATGAAGTCCAATGTTGAGGCGAGGGCCCGCGCCAAGGCTGAAAAGGAGCGTGAGAAGGCTCGCGTTGAAGAGGAGGAGCGTCTTGATCGGGAGAAGCGTGAAAACGACTTTGAGAATTGGATTGCTGCACGCCGTGCCAACCGACAGGTGAGTATATTCTTGCTCCTAGATTGGGGCTTTCGTCTAACAAGAATAGAATCTACTGCAAAAAATCAAAGATCGTGAGCGTTTCAAGGCCGATCTCGGCAACCGCAAGTCCCTCGCCAGCCAAATGCGCATGAAGACCTTGGCCAATCTGGCTGCAGACGGACCAAAGAAGCGTCGTCGCGGTGGTGATGACGATGACTTTGGTGCCAACGATGAGGACTGGGGTGTTTACCGCACCGTCGCAAAGGACGAGCAAAGTGACGACGAGGAAGAAGAGGACCTCGACGGCATGTTGAACAACGTTGAGCAGGAGCTACTGGAATACGACCCCGAGTTCACGGAGAATCACACACTCGCCGCGCAATCAGACTGGACTAAGAGTCTGGTCCATGCCTTCCTCCGTGGACCCTGGCCATTTGACCCCGAGAGCCAACGCGAAGCCCATCAGATCCATCTAAACGTGGAGCGTATACGCGTGCCGGAGGTTGTCTTCAAGCCTTCCATTGCAGGCGTGGACCAGGCAGGTCTCATCGAGATTGCCGCTGATATCGTCAACCAGCGATTCTCCAACCCTGTCGATCGCAACCGCTTGCTGAAGGATGTCTTCCTGACTGGTGGTAACACCCTGTTCACCGGTTTTGAGGAACGCTTCCGCAGAGAGCTTCGCGCGTATCTACCCATTGACGCTGAGCTAAATGTGCGCCAGGCTGCCGACCCAGTCATGGATGCGTGGAAGGGTGCGGCTCAATGGGCTGCGGGTGCTGATTTGGGTCGGTCATCTGTGACCCGGCAGGAGTACTTGGAGAAGGGTAGCGAGTACATCAAGGTGAGTTTTACTTGCCCCATATTTTGAGCCTAATCTTGGTTTCATTTCTTCTTTGAACTGACATTGACATTTTCTATAGGAGCACGATCTGGGCAACGTTACATGGTAAACGCGGTCTAACAAGGCAAGAAAGAGGAGTTCAAAAACCTCGGGCGCAATGGAGTCGAGTCGCACGGGAAATTATTACTGGTTTGGCACTTGGGCATATTGATGTTCTGCAGGGTTGTTCTTCTAATCATCAAAATTCATTTTTTATTCGAAGGGGGTCTATACCTCTTAGCAGTACCCCGACAATTACCCAATATTTTCATTATCATAGACCCCTTGTGCTGTGCTGTAGTCTAAACAAAATAGTCGCCCGCAAGGAGACCAATCTAATTTGCGGTCCCTTAACTCTTTCCCTTGCTTTAATTCAGGGCCTCAAGTTCAAACTCATTTCATATAAGTTGGGGATGGATCTATTCTGTCTTAGACATGCGTCTATGATCTACCTCAACCTTAATTTGCCGTGTTTCCTGTCCCGCGGAACGAGAATGCCTCAACTCAAACAGGACTTTGTATGGGGGCCACATGACCCTTCTTCTTTTGCTCATACCCAATGAACCGAACCGAATCATCCAGAATTCCAGTTTCGAGCCAATGGTTTCAATGCTTTCAATGCTTTCCGAGTGCGAGTGGCGAGTTACTGCGAATCTGGCTTCTAGTGATGGGAAATTAATTATTTTGTTGCCGACGGAAGCCGGTCCTTGTTGATGAGTGCATGTTTGTACATGTATACAGTCGATGAAAACAGTTTACCCTTTAGACACACTGACTTTGTTTCTCGGCCCGTATCCGAGTATGCGCTAGTCTTCATAAGGAAAAGCCGTAAGTAATGTAATTTTAAGAATGAATTCATTTTGGAACCAGAACCATGGAGTAACGGAAATTCCTGTATATTACACGTATCATAAATACACTGCGTACCTTGTGTCTACCTCCACTCTCTGGGATTGCTAGAATCATATGCACGGAGACTATGATATATCATGCTCTGGTATATCCTCTATTCCTTCGTTTTGTCATGGATAGGATTTGCGCTCAAATGCCACTCCACGTGAGTAGTAAAAGCATTACAGTCGTGTAGCCTGAAGAGAGACTGACCAAGAGAGAAGAAGATCGGCTTATTATACAGAAATGTTGAACAGTAGCAGGTCAACGCAGAATGGCCAAGTACGCCCAGAGTCCTATGTAAGACCAAAAGATTCTCAAACTTATGAAATCAAATCGTTGTATTTATTTCACTGTGGAAAAATGCAGTACTTATAACATGAGGTAGATAGTCAAAAATCACAAAGAAAGATGATGAAAATCTAGAGTAATATAGGGGGAATACAAGAATGACATATCTCTGCCTAAGTATATGATTTAGTGTAAGATCGTTGAAGATCAATCTGATGTAATAGAAGAGCGGTACGCATGAAGCTTCTTCGGCGAGAACGACTTTATTTCAAGGGAAATAGGGGCCTTAGTCTTCAGGCAAACACAATCAGCCCCACACATTGTATCAGGCAAGTCAAGTTGAGATAAATGTGACCCTCGGTCCATTAACAAAACATAGCAGAAATCTCGCCTTTATATAATGCGAGAGTCTGCATTCTCACCACGCCTCCTTTAACATTTCGAACGAAGGGTTTCTCGTGCCGCGCCAGAATCAAACGATCCAGGGAAAGCTTCACGCAATCATGACACCGAACATTAGCATTTTCAATGAATGGCTGCAGCGAAGCAATAAAGTTTTTCTCCTCATTGTCTGCCACGGCATTGGGAACTAACTCCACAAGCAGGACTGGTGCAGGTCTACCATTCTCGCCAATGAGAGCAGATTTCACGGCAGGATGGTTCTCAATCTCAGCTTCAATCAGCGAAGCATGCATCCCATCCCCGTGGGAGAAGTTAACATAGTCATCGCCGCGACCAATAAACTTCCACAGACCCTTATGGACAGGGTGCTCAACCAGCATGTCATTGGTTTCAAAGCGCTCAAGGTCCGGGTTTACTTTGAAAACTAGAGGGACTAAACAGCCCGGCCGGCGCACAAAGACCAACTCATGCAGGTTGTTAAAGCGGGGTACAAGCTCAGCGCTTGCGTGTGCCTGGAAATTGATGTAGTCCCATGCATCCTTCTTGTTATGGAGCTTAGTCAGAAACAGCCCACCTTCTGTGCTACCAGCCATAGAAGCAATGTGGATATGTGAGACTAGCTTCTCGCCAGCTTTCGCGTTCAAAGGTGCGCCAGTGTAGAAGAGGCATTTGAGTTTCCGTAGAGATTGGAGACCATTGTCTGTCAGACAGAGCTCCTCGATGAGGCTGGGTATCATAAGAGCGCCATCTACTCGTCCGTAGTGTAAAATGTTCACGACGAGATTGGCTGTCGGTTGCACCGCGGGTCCGATCACAATGGTTGACTCTAGGAACGAAGCCATTGCGAGTACCATCAGCGTTCCCACTAACTAGAATAAAATCAGAAGGTAATATCAAGGATTCAAAGAAGCATTTCTTACATGCAGGGAAGGGAGTGGCGTATACCATCTGTCCTGGGCGAATTTGTGTAGCACAGAAAGCTCCAGGTCTGGTAGGGAAGCCATTATATCTGGCACAGCCATCATTCCGTGCGACCACGTTAAAGGTTTAGGATTACCTTCAGCAATCAGCATATAAAAACCGGTTAGGTATAGTTCGATGACAAACCAGTTGTGCCTGATGTGTGAAACACAAGCCAGGGGTCATCTTTACCCTCTTCCCATGACTTAGGATAGGTAAAGACAGGGGCCTCTTCTTCCTTCATGATTTCCTCGATCTCAGGAAACGTAATGACCTGAAAACCGTGTGTCTCTTTCAGTAGCCCTGCGACTTTATCTGCCATAGAAGCCGGTCGCAAGTAGATCTTGCAGTTCTTTACACTAAGAATGCGATTTTGAGCCTCGGAAGTGATGAGAGGAGAGGGCATTACCATCTGATCCATGGTCGAAATTAGCGAACAGTCATTCATTATTTTTCGAGTGTTCACCTACCACTTTTTGCAGCTTTGCCGCGGCAACTGCAAGTATAGGGTATCGCAAATCCTTGGGACCTGCATATGCAAAGCACTGGAACGTCCCGAGGGTTTGAGGTAGATTCTTTCTCAGCCACTCCGCAGCGTGGTTTGCGTAGTTATTTAATTGCCAGAAACTAAGATCCCTATATCCTTGCGAAAGATCCAGTTCATTAACCGGCAGGGAAACCCAAGGCTTGCTAGAAACCTTGCGAGCTCGGGATTCGATAACTGAGACAAGAATGCGCTTTCCGTGCTCCACGCCTGCCAAAGGGAAAGTTGAATCTGTCATTTTCATAAGATTTAACCTCAGATGGGAAATGTGAAGTCGAGAACATAGGGTGCCACGCAGGCTTTTAAAGGATTCCCGCTGGGGCTGAGAATTCGTTGCCGTATTATCTTTCCAGAAATGGTATATGGATGGAAGTAAGCCCAGTGAAATTGTGCTTGCAGTGGATCAGAATCACCCGAGCAGCCTATAGTAGAAAGCGGTCGCTTACTGTTAGCATAGCTCTACTCCGTACTCTTGTTAATGAGAGCTTGTCGATGGGAGCTTCAGGGCCTGAGAGGGGCCAAGAGGTATAGTCAGCGTGATATGGTCTGTCTCATACGTACTTACATGCGATCGGAGTCGTTGAGGTTTGCTTCAGCTTAAACGGGAAGTTCCACAAGTCAGCAACGGCGACACGAACAAGAACCATATTGGGCTACAGGTATTAGTCATGATCAGCTATAGCGCAGCTTTTGTAGTGGAAGATGCGAATGAACTCCATAACAAAAGCTGTGTAGTGAAAAGGCCAGGAGGCGGGTTGGCGAGCATAAAATTATGCACCAGATCACCACCCCTTCAAGGCCCCAGCTAGAATGTTCTGTTTAGAATTACAGTATGTTACATCGACTCTAGAGCAGAATACACATCAATACGTAATACAACCGAGTAGGGTCTTTTGCTGTAACCGAAAGGGGCTTAGCGTATTACTCAGATACAAGCCAAGAAACAATGTCACATTGTCCTAGGGGTAATCTGTTTTCGAAATCGACTGTACTGTGCCGATTTTCCGAGCTGGGAGTCTTTAGCTTCGGCTATGGTTATTGAGCTATGTAGCTATGTAGCTGGTTAGCTAGCTAGCGAGCTGTCGACTTCCTAGCTGAGCTAGCCACAGTAGTAGCAGGAATACAAAGCCGTACATCCGCGTCGTCCAGTTACACACCGGCATTTGAGGTTGAGATCATTCCACTGACAAGCCGCTAACTAATGAACTAACTAACCTAGTTACTTGACGATCACTTCTGTCAGCAGAAAGAGACAGTCAAGAAAAGTGGAGAATGATTTTCTTCACACTTAGTACTCCTGTCTATACTTCCCTAGCCCATAGAGTGTCATACTATAGACCTATAGACCTGTAATCCATTAATGTATGTCTCATGCCAATGTCCAGTCCTTTCTTACTTTTTCTACTTACTCGGTCCAATTTTGACTTTATGGATGTACGCCAGCCCCAAGGGATAGATAATGAACCCCCTCCTTCCCTCCCTCCCTCCCTTCGATCACGACAAGTGCCAGTGCACGTACCCCGCCGCCACACAACCCAATCATTCAACCCTGGCCTAGTGTCCTGTCTATCAACCCAGACATTGGAACTGACAAGGCTGAAAAAGCCACCGTCGATCGGGATTGATGCAGGGAGATCCCCGCTATTGGGTGATTGCTGCAGCCCAGTTCACCGGGCCAGAGTTTGGAGTCCATACAAAGTATATCGAACCGAGTGCCGTACTGTAGCTCACGCCATGTCCTGTACTGCTTTACTTATTATGGTTTGTTCTTCTGTCGCGATGGTTCTCCCACCCGAGCTATAGCTGCGGGTGGTGTGATGTGCTTTGCAGATGGTTATTGGTTGATTGTATGATTCTACTGTAGAGGAGGGATATTTTGGCTTGACTTGATGGGTGTTGGTTGGGTGGTTTCGGGCCCGTCTGATGATCTTCCGCGGCGTGCCGACTGGGGATCCTAGTACTCCTTCTTCAGGGAATAGTGAGTTTGTACTATAGGCAGTACTACTGTATAGGGATGGTTCTTCTGAAGATTTGAAGTTCGGATTATTTCTTTTTTTGGACTTGTCTTGCTTTTTTGTCTTTCTGGTGGATTGGATTCCTCCCTTACGCACGAGATCATGACATACCGATGATCTTTTCCCCTCTTTTCGAGTCGAGGTCGTTAGCGAAGTACCTCTTTTTTTTCGTGCCTTTTTGTTTTTTGTTCTTGATTTGGCTGGATCGGCGCTGGGATGTGGACTCTATACCCAGAATCAAAGTATCTCTCTTTTACTTCAAAACATTCAAGATGGTCGATAGAAAATATGAACTCGACAAATTGGTAGTATTGGTAGATAGTGTTCTCGCAAATAGTATCCAACAGTTCGTATCTCCTTTGTGTAATCTTAGCCCGCACCACTGACTTCATGCAGAGGCCATCATGACGCATCTGGGGAAAAGCCCGGGCATTCCAACTGCACTCCATCATGCCGGGTCTGGCCCTGGCGTTCGCTGTCCTGCATTTGACTCGGCGCTAGTCATGTTTGTGTCTCATGGTTCTGACGTCCGGTGGAGCCGGTGGTGAGGGAAGGAGGGGTGGTCTTGGTCTTTGTTTTTGGTTTTTGTTGGTGGCTCTCTGTATTGAGCAATAATATAAATCTCGCCTCCCAGCTTGGTTCCTTTGGTTTGGTTCTCTTTTCTATCGTCATCCCACTTGTCTAATATCATCGAAGCATCCGGTCTTGGCATTGTTCCGACCTGTACAACTACCTGGAAGTATAACACATATCAACATCAAAATCAGACTATTACAGTGTCTTGATACTATACTATCATATACCCGTCGCCATGATCTTCTCAACTGCTATTGCTCGGCCATTACAGCTGGTCACTCGCACTTTGCAATGGTCCAGCGCTGTCATTGTCATGGGCTTGACGTCGTACTTTATCAAGCAAGGACCTAAGGGCCAGCACCTTATCTACCAGGAAGTCATCGTATGTCCTGTCCTGTTCTCTTTTGCTCTACCCCTCGTCCAATTCAAAATAAACACCAGCAACAGAAAACTAACACAATCATTCTAGGCGGTCCTCTCCGTCGCATTCTTCCTTCCAGCCTTTATCTCGCCCTTCTTGCCAACCGCACTGAGCAAATTCGTGCTGCTGATTGACGTCGTCTTCTCGTACCTGTATGCATACATTTTCCTCGGATATGGATTCCATCGCGAATCTCCTGGTTGAGCATACTAACAAATACCTATTCAATTAGCTGGTTGACTGCCTTTATCTTCGCCGCCCAGGACTACAACCAACACTCGTGCTACTTCAACGCTCCACCTGGTATAACCTGCAGCCGCAAGAAGGCTAATGAATCTTTCATCTTCCTTGCTTTGTATGTTTGTCTTTTTGTTACACAAATCTGCACATCCCCCGCTTCTCTCCCTCCCCCCACACTACCATCATGTTCTTCTCGTCTAGCCCAGCCCACGTCTTGACTATATTGGAGTATCCCAATTGCTAATCCTTGACAATACAGCATCTTCACCTTCTTCGGCATGTTCCTCGAAGTCGCCAGCCTTTGGGCCTACCGCAAAGAAACCGCCACCGCCGCCCCCATCGCTGAGAAAACCCAGCCGGGTGTACGGCCTCCTCTGGATGCGCCGGTTGAGCAGAATGTTCCGGCGGGAACTGTCTAAGTGGCTTGTGCTGCCTAGCGGTACGAAGTACTCAGGTTGGTATCGGGTTTATCTGCTTTTGTCAGGTGGATTGGCTGTGATGCTTATTTTGTTGGCGGGGTGGTCTTGATGGGTTGTTGATTGATCGATTGATGGTTTTGTTTTTGAGATTCCCCTTTTTCATATTTCTTTTCTTTTCTTGTGGGTGGGATTTGATGTGTGATTGATTGGTGGCTACGAAGCAGATGACGGGCCGTGTTTGCATATAATATCTAATGGGGGTGGGTAGACGAGCTTTCTTCGAGTTCGACTATTAGTATTTCCTTATTTTAATCCAATGACCTTTTGAATCTACTGGTTTATTGCCTAACGTGAGAGTAAGGATCATTCTGTCTCATGAACCTACTTCTGCTCATTTGCGGCTAGATCTCCGGATGTGTTTGTACCAAATTTCTCACAGAACATGACATGCCTAGAGGGCCGAGGAGGATTGACTCTATAGGTAGACCACCACCAGTGATCAATTCTACATCTCTTCATGTGGTTTGTTCAGTTATGTACTAAAACCTATTGAGCTCCAAATTTCTAGCTACTGCTGAAAATCGATTAATGGGTCCTTGCAGTTGATGAGACAATACTTAGAGGTAAGCACCTCCAGCAAAGAAATAGATTTCCACCAAGGTCCAAAGAACGCTCGACTCCACTAGAGATCTTTACGGAACATTGCCTGGAAGTGTAGCTAGATAGGTATGCATCGGGCTCTACCTATTTACAGAAGAGACTAAATGGAGTTCGGCGAATGCCTGGGAAATATATTTCTCTATTCTATCTACAACCATCGCACCATCTCCACACCTCATCCATCACCTTCACAATCAAACAGCTCATCAAAACAATTAACCGCCAGCAATAGGGTGTATCTTATGCAACAGTAACAATAACATAAGCGAAAAAAAAAACGGATCAGCTGATAATGCATCTCAAGTCAAAACAATCAGAGCAAGAAAGAATAGATGCTATGTTGAATTGAACGCCGGATATCCGCACGGCGAAACCAAAAATGCAAGGTAAAGGCAGGGCAAAGACGGTGTGGGGTTGCTATACACATGGAACATGAACATAACCAGTTGTGGAGTGTGGTTTTCGTTATTGTCCTGCAACATCCGTTTAAATACTAGCTCTCCGAGGAGCCATCGTCCGTTGCAACTTCCGCTTTTCCTCCGTCTCCTCCGGAATCGGTAGAGAACCCTCATTCTTAAGACGATCCAGGAACTCCTTACCATACGCATACCCGACTTGATAAATCTCGTCAAATTTACCAAAATCAAGCGTTCCATACGGATCAATTGGCGGACGCATGTACAAACATCCGGCGGTGCTCTTCGCTCGTTCGAGGTTATCGATCGAAGAGACGTAGGCGAGACGGGCTTGGATTTCGGAGAGTGTGGGTGGATTGGGGATTCCAGAGAACGGGTTCCATCTGTTGAGCATGGACCAGAAACCGGAGAGAGAGTCGCCGTAGCTTTGCGGGGTGTTGTCGTCGATGGAACCGACGTCCACGGCGAAGATGACGTCTGCACCGAGACTCTTCATGTGAGCCACTGTTAGATTGTCGATGTAGCCGCCGTCAAGGAGCATGCTGCCTTCGTCGCAGATTGGAGGGATGAGGCCGGCGAGAGACATCGAGGCACGGACGTAACGCCACACGTATCCAGAAGAGTGATACTCAGCACGGGAGCGGCTGATATTCGTCGTGTTGCAGTAAAATTCAAGCCAGAAATCTTCAATCTGGCTGTCGCCGAAGGTCTTGAAGATACCACGATTGAATTCGTGGCCGGTAGTGTATGAGACGGTTGGGTAGGTCAAGTCCAGCGCGAATCGCCACATGCTTCCCATGCGACCGGAGAACTTCTTTGCGCGACCATACATGGGGACCACATCTGCGTCCCGTGCGTACAAAGCACCGATGAAGGAACCAATGGAAGTACCTCCAATTATGTCAATCGGAATGCCAGCCTCTTCGAGAGCCTTGATCACGCCAACTTGGGCAATTCCTCGAGCTCCACCACCACCTAGGACAAGGCCGACAGACTTGCCACACAGTCGCCGGGCCAAACGATGGAAATCTCCCTTGAAAGGGGTCTGCGGCGAGTAGAGCGGGGTTTGTTGGATTCGCCGAGAAGTATACTTCTGAATCTCAGCCTGCAAAATCTGCACCCGCTGCTTGAGCACGGTGCCAAACTTCCTAGTCTGTGGGTGTGAGGGCTCTGTCGTGAGGCGGAAGGCCATCTGGATGTGGTGATGGCCACCGTTAATCCACACTCGGTTTTTGAGCCAGCGGCGGGTCAATCCAGGCGAGCAGTATCGCTCAGCGTGTAGAAGCACGAGCTCTTTCCGGGCGGTGGTCTTCATGCCTAAGAGGAAACGCTCATATTCACCGATGCGAGGCGACGACTCAGCGAGACCGACCAACAGAATGGAGTCTGCCTGCGCAATACAAGTCTGCGTCCAGGGAGAGTTCACATTGGTATCCGCGATGTACAGCACGAGTCCATACTTCTCCTCGAGGTCGGCAAGGTACTGAGAAAGCTTCAGTTTACCCATCTTGCTGAACGCATGTCGGCCCAGGTGGTTCAAAATGGCAGCCTGATTAAGCGAAGTTACTCCTCTGGTCACGCCAATCTGGTGAAGCGCGTTGAGTAGCCGGTGTCCGAACTCGACCACGGGAACGCCCGCAGTCACCGGAAGGATCGCGACTGTGCGGAGATTGACAGTTGATGTAGCAGTCTGAACACCACCAACAGAACCCTGTTCGATGCCCTTATCGGAAAGAGGATGCTCGACTAGATCACGCATGCGTTGGGCAATCAACTTGGAAACTTGGATCGTAATTCCAGGATGTTCTTGTGCCAAGCTGTTGAACAGCGAGCGGGGGAACTTGGCCAATTCGGTGTCTCGGATGGCATGTAGAGTAGCTGGCCGAGTAGACTCGGTCATCACTTCGAGTTCGCCCACACTTTCGCCCTGACCATACTCGCCGATCACCGTCATCTTGCCCTTGGATCCCTCCAGGACAGACCGCAGTCGACCATTCAGCACAAGATAGATAGCATCACTCTCGTCTCCTTGGTGGTAAATCACCTGGCCCGCATTGACTTGCACCCATTCCAAGGCAAAATCGATGTGGAGCAGCAGACGCGGCAGCAAACTAGTCAATCGCTTGGCCAGCGTGAGCAGGGCAATCGGGTACCTATCCGCGATTCGCTCGAGAGATGCTCGCGGGAGGAATCCAACGTAGACATCGGTTTTGGCAACGACATCGGTGTAAGACCGATAGGAGGCAAGAGCACCGACGTATCCCTGGATACCACCTGGCTTGATCAGGTATAGCGATTTGCGGGAATGACTCTTACGCCGGGAGTCACCAGAGCCATTGGAAGCGGAGACTCGCGAGGAGGCCGTGATGGTACGTGTCAGATTGGGGAACAACTCCTCCTGAGCTTGCGAGATTGGCCCATCAGATGGACGAGAGCTTCCAACGAGATCATCGCCACGCTCATTGACCGGAATGCCAACGTCCAAAAACCCGTCGATGACATAGTAAAGACCGGGATGGCGTTCGCCCTGCTCCACAAGAACCGAGCCCTGGGGGAAATAGACGACCTCGATGTCGTGGCGTAGATCCTCACGGAGGTTGACAACCGGAGAAGTTCCTCCAGCGCTGGTCACTGACATGGACATCATGGATTCGGTTTCGCCATCTCCTGACCCCTCATAGGGATCAATAAATCCAAATGCGTTTGAGAAGACTGCCTTCTGTCGACGGGAGTCGTACGAAAGCAGCTTAGGCGAAGCTTCGCCGGAATTGTGGCTACTATTGCGCAAGGCATCACTAGTACTCTCGGTCAAACCAATGGCTTTCATCATACAATCCAAGATCGACTCCCGGAACAGAGTATCTTCATCGATCGAATCCTTGCGCTGGAACGGAGACGGACGAAGGTCCTTGCGTGCAGCTTGGAACAGAGGGCGTTCTTTCTCAGTCAAGGGACTCTGCAGCTGAGGGCTGATGTGGTCACCGCGCGGGCCAAATCGAGATAGCTGAATAGTAGAGAGCAAATCACCGGGACTGACTCCCATCATATCGCGGTCCATGAATGCAGTTGGCTGTCTGTGGGGGGTGAGAGGGACGGGGCGACTGTTCCCCATCATACGGGCTTGTAGAACAGCTTCCTTCCTAAGGGAGCTGCTGGAGCGCCGTCTTCGTCCGACAGAGGGGTTGTGCAGAGCAATCCCCTTGCAAACTTCCTCTGGTCCCAGGCGGTCCCGCTCTCGCATGAACTTGTCCTTGAGACGGTCCAATGCGCTGCCTCGTAGATCATTGGGAAGGTCCCATGTGGTAAACTTGGAGATTTGTCGCTCAATTCCCAGGACATCCGTTGTCAAGCCCAGGTAGGAGTGGGCAGTTGCAAATGTCACGCGTTGAAGACGTGTCAGGATGACTTGAACGATGTGTGCAGTTGCTCTAGGGTAGACCCGAGTCAAGCGGCGGAAAGCGCTCGCGGGTATGATAGCAATCGTCGTATCCACAGTAGCTCGGGCGACAATGTCCGGGTGAACCGACTTGCGGCGCTTCTTGTTCTGTCGGTTGAGGTTGGGTTCAGGTGTGTGGTTGGGCAAGCCATGACTTTCTCCTAGATGGAGTGGAGGAACTGCTGGCAGTCCATCCACGTGGCCATTCATAGTCCTAAGGGGATCGCCATAATCCCGAATGGTGGACTGAGGGCTCCCGATGACCCCGACGCTAGGGCTGACAGGAAGGGATTCGGCATGAAAGTTGGCTGGGTCGGGCCCTGCGCTAGAGGTACTAGAGCTAGAGCTGTGGGAGTTGCGGAGTTGGATGTCTTCCGTGAATAGAGACAAGATAGAGAAGAGCGACGACATGGAAGCACCGTTTTTCACTTCGGTGAGCAATTGGTATCCCTGCCGACCATGCATTTGGTTGTCCTCCTCGTCAGATGTAGCATCGTCATCCAGGTGGAGATCCTCGGAGGAGCCCATTTTGTTGCCTTGGCGGGTGGATTTGACGAAGATCTGAACCAGTCCATCCACCACCATGCAGAACCCCTTCTCTTCCTCCAGCATAAGGGTCTCTCCCGCGATCAGCTTCCTTGTCTGCATGGTCCGAGTCAATTCGTGAAAGACCGGCCGTTCCAAATATCCAAAGACCTTGATTGCGCTGAAGAATTCATCGAGGTAATTTGACAGCCCTGGTTTCGTGTCGCCTTCTTGAACATCGGGAAATAGGTCGATTTGTGCTTCCTTGCGTTGAGGCTCTGGAGGTAAACGGCTATACATGTTCAAGAAACGGTAGCGGATGAACCAGCTGACGGTCGAGACTAGGACGAGGATGATCAACATGCTAAGAGGGACGCGATTGATTAGTTACTTGCCAATCATATTGGGAACCCGATTGAGTGGTGGGAGAGAGAAGTGCAGTATGACAACTTACAGGGTCGTGAAGTTCATGGTGAACGTCAAGCTCATGGAAAAGAGCGTAAAGAGCCATGTAGGCAAAGTGATGGTGGTAAAGGCAATGGTCCAGTATAATCCACGAGGAATCACCTGAAAGATGAAGGTGAACACCCAAGCTATCCACCCCGCCATTGTCGAGGGAGTTGGTGGGAGGAAGGGCGGGGGGTGGTGGGTGGGCACGGCGGATAGAGCGGTAGAAGCAGTAGGAATTGCAGCTGCAGCGAGTGACAGACCCGAAGAGGAGGCGGAGGCAGCGGCAAGGGCAGCAGCAGCAGAGTTTAGGCCAGTTGAAGATGACGATGAAGCCGCCGACGTTAGAGTGAGGGCCAGGGACGGGGCCAGGCCGGTGGCCATGGTTGGAGACTCGGCGACTCGATGAGGGGGGATCCAGTAGGCCAATAGGCCCAATCTGGTTAAGGCTGGGTAACTAGGCTCCGCTTCCTAGTTTTTTGGTGGTTAAATTGTACATGCCCGACCGACGTCAGTCTAACTCAAAACCGAGCCTCTCGGTACTAGGGGGGCCCAAGATGCCCAAGAGAAGAGTCGCATCGGAAACGTGCGGGAGCTATCGGCGGTGGATGGAAGAGAAGGAATGAGGGGAAGGAGCGATGGGGAGAAGAGAGGAAAGAGTAAACCTCTGGGTGCCTCTCCCCCGAGTTCCCCGACCGAGGCAGGCGGTGGTCAGGTCGCATGGCCGATCACGAGCTTGGACAAGGCACAGTCCTGTAAGGAAGGTATGTATAGAGTACAAAGAACATACATTATAATAATATAAAGTCATTTAGTATAAGATACATACATACCTACATAGTATATTACCCTTAGACCTCTAAAGCTTAGATGAACCCAGTCCTTCAGAACGAACGAACGCCCGGTCGATCACAACGTGCCTCGATCAGCCCCCCTGGTTTGGTTGCCGATGCAAATAGATGGGGGTCCAGACTCGGGGCCGAGTATGTATCTACCATATCCACTTCAAAAATTTAAATCAATGAATTATAAGATTGCCGTTATGTTTTGTACTGTAGTCCAAAAAGTAGTTATGTCCTTCTTATAAGTAGTCGATCTCATTGCAAAGTCGTATCTACTTCTAGTCACTGCTGGGTTGGTTAGTTGCTCTATCTACTACTGATTACTAGAGTCCTACATGATAGATTCTTTGGAATCACTTTCAATCTTATGTTGATCTACTTTCCTAGTTTCATGATCCATTGCGACTTTGAACAGCCGCATCCTATAAGCTAGTGTCGAGGAGTTGTAGGTACCAGACCGAGAATAAATTCGTATATTGCAATCTCCATTGACGGCAATATTTCCATCAGGCTGTGGTACGTGATCTCAATGGGACATTTAGTCCTGAATTCCAAAGCTAAAGGTGCCATGGACTGACTTTAGGTAGTACATTAACGCCTGGATATAGTGTCTTCCGCACGAAATGAAGCTATCAGGGCTACATGAGGGCCTAAATAACCAAATACCCAACAGTATGGAAGCTTCCAATCTGTTAATTCAAATTTGAGATACGAAAGTCATTTAATCAAATCCAAACATATTCTAGTAACTTTTGGCACATTAGACTTGATTTGAAAATTCTAATTCTTTGGCGCTCGGGCTGTACACATGTCTATTGAGTGCCAATAATATATACCTCCCACGATCGCATGTACCCTTAATTGAGATAGCATACTTTAAAAGCAATATTTCTTCCGACAAAACGTCTCTCGAGCAGCAATTCAACGTCTTCAATTCAAATCTGACTGCAAGATCAAAACAAGCAGCTTCTAAAATTTAAAATCTGGTATACTAATAGCTGACGTGTGCAGTTCCCCAATGTCTTGGCATCCCACATGGCCCATTCGTGGGCAGTCAATCTGCTTGGCTGAACTGCTGCCCTCCGCCGAGACCTGGACTCTCCATGCTTCCGCCTCCGCTTTCACACCATCTTCTGCTCTCCTGCATCTACATCGCCCTTTTCCTCCTCGCCTGCTTTGATCTGGTGGTCCTGGTCGTGCAAGGACCTGCCGCGGTGATGTTTCAGGTACGTTCCTGGCTCGAATCAACGTCCACGCGAGCTCCACATGGTTGCGACTGCAGTACAACACCCTATACTAACCCGACTACCCGCGGCTTACCAGCGCCTCCGCGACGCCATCGACTCTCGCATCGCAGAGGAACAGGCACGTCAAAAGTCTGCCCAGGATAATATCTCCCGATCGAATTCGGCTCGCCGTCCGCCGAATAGCAATCTCTCTCCCGGTCAACGTTCCCGCCCCCGACGCAATACGGGGACTCCTGTTCGCGGACCCGACCCTAAAGAATTTGAGGCGGAATTTGCGATCGGAGATGATGAGGACTCGAGTCGCTCGGCGACGCCTCGTTTAGAGACGCCGGAGGATGTTTCGGAGACCACTACCCTCGCCGAGACGGAGCACGGCGAAGATGGTGAGAAGGGCAAGACAAAGGCGCCCGTCGATACACCAGGAAAGGAGAATGCTTCAACTGCAGAGAAGGGGCCAACAAGCCAGCCAACTATTGAACTACCGGCAGAAGTGAGGGGAAAGTTGCGCAGGCTGGATAAACTCGAAGTCCGATACCATGGTATGGACTGCTGTTACCCTAGTTGTGACGGTGCGGGGGAAGGTCGGATAGCTAACTGGGTGCTGTTTTATAGAACTCCTCAAGGCATACCGCGCGGCGCATTCGCGTGTCCTCTCGATAGAACCATTCGAAGCTGCTCTACGCGAAAACACCCCCCTCACGTCGATCGCCGAGCCGAAGGCCTTCACCGAGTATCTCAATCAGATGTCGCTGAAGAGCGACATGGTTATCGATGAACTTAAGCGTGTGACAACCGACCGTGATGACTACAAAAAGAAGCTAGAGGAGGCTCAAAAAGCAACCAAGGCTGCACACGACGAGCTGACTGGTCTGAAGAAGGAGAAGGAGGAATCTACAAAGGAGACAAAGAAGTCACCCGAACAGAAGGAAGAAGCTAGCGAGGACTTCTTCTCATTTGATAATGAGGTTCCCCGGCTTGAGGGAGAATTGAAGGAGAAGCAGGAGGAGGTCGACACTCTCAAGACCGAAGTGGACAAGCTCAAGAAGGACCTTTCTGTTGCGCGCGAGTCAACGGAAGGAATGGTTCAGAGCTTGGAGACGTCAACCCGAGAGCTTGTGGAATTGCGTGACACCAAGGATAAACTCGATGCCGAAATCAAGACCTTGAAAACGTCCAACGAGAAGGAGGTCCAGGAGCTTAGGACCAAGCTTGCGGATACCGAGTCGTCGCTGGAAAAGGCCACCACCGAAGTCGAGAAGCTTAAGACCGAGCTGACGGACAAGAGCGGAGAAATCGAAAAGTTGCAGGCCCAGGTTGCTCAGGCAGACAAGACCGAAACGCCCGAGGTCGATCCTAAACTACTTGAGCAGCTGGATGAAGCTAAGAAAGCCAAGGATGCCAGTGAGAAGAAGCTAGGTGTTGTCCAAAGCTTGGTGGACACCTTCAAGTCGCAGCTCAAGGAGGCCGAGTCTCAGGTTTCGAACCTGAAGAAGGAGGTTGATCAAAAGTCCGATGATTCTTCTAAGCTCCAAATGATTGTCGATTTCGTGGAGGCAGGCCTAGACGGAAACACAGCTTGGAAGTCTGCCAAGGAGAATGTCGCCGCTGGCAAGACCGCCGACTTTGAGGAGATCCGCAAGAGCCTTGCCCCAGTCGAGAAGGCCGTGGAGCCAAGTGCTCCTGCTCCGGCTGCTGAGGCCGAAACGCAACCTGCTGCTAGTGGAGGCGCTGGTGGCAAGAAGAAGAACAAAAAGAAGAAGAAGGGAGGCAAGGCTGCAGAGGAGGCAACCAAGCCGGAAGAGACCACCACTGTAGAGCAGCCCGCCCAAGGCATATCTGCTCCAGCAACTTCTTCTAAAGACCTTGACGAGCTCAAGGAAAAGATTGAGTCGTTGACCCAGCAGTTGTCCGAAAAGGAGGCAGCCATTGACCGCCTCAGCGCTAAGCTCAAGGGCGAAGAGGATCTCAAGGAGGAGATCGAGTCCTTGCGTGATGACCTCATCAACGTCGGACAGGAGCACGTCGAAGCCAAGGACAAGATTAAGGTGCTGTCTGCCGAGAAGTCTGCTCTGGAGGAGACCATTGGCAAACTGGAGAAGGAGCTGGCTGAGATCCGCACGAGCAACGCCTCCAGCTCGGCCGATTCCGAGAAGCTGCATAACGACTTGAAGGATGAGTTTGAGCGTCTCAAGACCCAGTCGGCCAGCTTGGAAACCGATCTCTTCGCTGCTCAGCAACTGGCTGCTACGCGCTTCAAGGATCTCACCGATCTGCGCGAGACCCTTCAGAAGGTTCAACCCGAGCTGCGCAATCTACGCGCTGAATCATCCGAGTTGAAGACAATCAAGGAAACTCTCGCTAGTAAAAATGGCGAATTGAGAAACCTCGAGTCTAAATGCGATGACCTCCGCGCCGAACTGAAGTCCTCCAAGACTAGAGTATCCGAGCGTGATTCGGAAGTCACTACTTTGAACAAGAAGATCCGCCAAGAGACGGATAGTCGCCTTAAGGCCGAGGAGCAGCTCACGGTTGCTCAGTCTGAGCTGCGATCTGCCGAAGCTAGGAAGCAGGACGCTATTAATGCCAAGGACAAGACCGCGGGAGACCTTAGCAAGGCCCAGGATGGGCTGAAGAGCTCACGCGTGAAGATTCGTGAGATGGAGGAGCAAATGTCCCAGTTGAGTAAGGAGCTTGAGGGTCTGAAGGAGGAGATCCAACTCAAGACTGCACAGCATGCTAGCGCGCAGAGTCTAATGGGCAGCATGCGTGATCAAACTGCTGAAGTGGCCATGCAGATGAAGGAGGTGAAGGAACGATGCGATAGTCTGGAAGAAGAATTGGCCGATGCTCATCGCTTGCTGAATGAGCGGACCCGCGAGGGCGAGACTATGCGCCGACTGATCAATGATATTGAGAGTCGAGCCGAGGCCAAGGTGCGCGACTTCAAGGAGCGCATGGAAGCTGCTGTTGAAGAGCGAGACCGTGCCGAAGATGAAGCCAGTACTCAGGGCCGTCGTCGTGCCCGGGAAATGGAAGAATTGAAGGCCAAGGTTCGCGAAGCTGAACGGGCACTCCGTACCGCCGAAGAGGACAGAGAGAATCTCGAACAGTCACAGAAGGACTGGCGTCGTCGTCGCGATGAACTCGAATCTCAATCAGAGCGCTCCACCGAGGAACTAGCTGAAACTCGCCAAGCTATGACCTCTCTCCGTGAACAGCTTGATGAAAGCGAGAAGCAAGTACGCGATCTCGAGAAGGAAAAGGCCGAGCTTCGCCGCTCTGTCGAGGAAACCAGTAACCGACTGGAGAAGCTGCGTCGATCTCACAAGACGTTGGGTGAAGATGTCCGCCTCCGTGGACTGGACTCTGGTCGTCAATCTTCACGGTCGTCAATGGACTCTGGTTCTCGCCGGCCAAGTGGCGTCCTCTCTCCTCCACCTCCACAAGACCGCAGTACGTCTAGTCGGAGAAGTGAGACCCCCTCTGGTACTGGTGGTGGTCCTAGCGGGTCGATCGACTACATGTACCTGAAGAACGTTCTGCTGCAGTTCATGGAGCAGAAAGATAAGAGTTATCAGAAGCAGTTGATCCCTGTGCTGGGGATGCTGCTTCATTTCGACCGGTATGTACACCCGTTCTATGTATCATCCACGTCAAGACTAATGATTTATAGGACCGACGAACAAAAATGGATGTCAGCTATTATGTCCCGCTGATCTCCTCACATTGAATCCTCGTTATTCATCTACCCTTTCTCGTTGTCATTGGTTTGCGGTGACTGGTCTGCACATTCTCATTGCTTTCTTTTCTTCTTCTACATGTATAATATCCACCGTTAGCAGTATTTATTCAACTGTGTAGAGGGGCTTTCGAATAAATCCTCTGCATTTTTACTCGTCATTTCCATTCATTTCCACTAGCTTACTGATGTACGCCCTGCAATTGACATGTCGAGTGGGTCTCGGGAGCTACCGAAGTCGACACTCGGCAAGATCATAAATCCATGTAACGCTGCTCCAAATTTCTCCAACTGCATCAAACAACTCTTTTGTCGCTATCTACACTCTCAAAAATGGCCGACCAACCTACTATTCGCCTTGCGACAGCAGAGGGTGTGTAACTATCGCGTCCAACCCTCCCTTTCCTCCATTCAAATCTCCCCCTCATTATATCACCACCTATCGTTACCCCACTGACTCAACCCCCACAGACGTCCCCCTCATCCTCCAATTCATTCGCGAACTCGCCGACTACGAAAAAGCCCTGCACGAAGTCGAAGCCACCGAAGCCTCCCTCCTCGCAACCCTCTCCTTCCCCAATGACACCCCCAAGCGCGGCTCCGTCTACACAGCCCTTATCACCCCGCCACCAACAGCCACCAACCCTGCCCCAATCCCCGTTGGCATGGCCCTCTACTTCTACAACTACTCTACCTGGCGCTCTGCCCCTGGCATTTACCTCGAGGATCTTTATGTCCAGCCCGCCGCGAGGGGAAATGGGTATGGTTTTAAGTTGTTGAAGTACCTTGCGAAGCAGGTGTTGGAGATCAAGGGACGGCGGTTGGAGTGGAGTGTGCTTACGTGGAATACGCCAAGTATTGAGTTTTATAAGCAGGTTGGGGCTAAGGCTATGGATGAGTGGTTGAAGATGATGGTTGAGGGGGAGGAAGCGTTGCTGAAGTTGGCGGAGGGGGTGTAGATTGTCATGGAGATGTATATGATTCACGGGTCATTATGCGAATTTAGGTTTGGATAAAAGCATTGAATGTTCAAAGAAGCGCTTTTAGGTTCGATTAAGCTCATGAATAAAAGGCTTTGTTGAATGTACTCAAGTTTTGGTATATCAACTACTTGGAGTACTATGCTGGATCGGAATATGCTATTCTAGGAAGGCTGAATCAGGTCCTATTGGGCTAATGTACAGATCTCGTCATTTTTACATACACACTGAGGGTTAAGACAAGTTGGTTGCAATAATTCTGCACCAAGAACTTGATTTGTATTGTGCTCGGACCGCTTCAATGTGTCGTGGATATCTACTCCGTTCTGATCTCACATTATAGTACTGTACGTACTCACGACCTAACATATTGTGGACCTGTTTAAACTCTAGAAATCCATAGAAAATTTTTTTTGGAACGAAGAGATAAAAGGCGCCAAAATTGAAATCATATTCCAAGGTTAGCCTATAATCTAACCTACAAATAGTGAACTACCATTCCTGATAACCCTGGTTTCAAGCTACCCAGCCAGACCGCCAGCCAAGCTTCGCGGTGACGTCGTGCAGTGACCCGCCGATCGGACGTGCATCTCGGGCCCCAAAAGTGACGACAACCTTTTCTCCCCTCCCCTCCAACTCTCATCTCCCGCCAGATTTCACTCCCGCAATGGCGACTGCGACCGAAGCAAATGCGTTGGGGTACAATCTGAAGGTGGACTATGTGATCAACTACAACTTTGGTGATTTAGGTAAGTTATCAGCCCTCGGCAGCCACCAAAAATGTGGTTGGAGACCCGATCGGCGGAGCTGAACGGAGAACCTAATGTGTTATTGTACCACAACCAGACCAGGCGCAGGCGATCGCACAGCTTGAGAAGCTGCTTCGGGCCCTTGCCAATGCGGGCCTGGAATGTGAAGTTCGTCAGGGTGATGAGACGTCGCTGCTAGTCTTTGTTCGTGCGTCGAAGAAACGGCTAAACCGGGCGGTGTATCGGTCGCGGTGAGTTGATCATGGCCTGTGTGCGGGGCATCTTTGAAAATGGCGTTCTGAATACTAATCTACTTCTATTTTAGAGTGCGCGACTGGCTCTATGGCATTCGCAATGCCGAACCAGAGCCGGCTAGCTCCATCGAACCCCAGAATGAAGGCGAGCGACTGCGGGCGATCAACCATATGATCACACTCCCCACCGAAGAGGGCGGCGCCGGTATCACCCCGAACCACGGCGAATGGAAGAATGTTACTGGCCTTCTACCTTTGCACGACGAGGAGACCAACAAGAAATGGCTGCACGAATGGAGCCAGAAGACCTTCCTGTCGGAAGATGACTTGGATCAGATCCGGGACAAGTTTGGAGAGAGCGTCGGGTTCTACTTTGCTTTCCTACAGTCGTACTTCCGGTTCCTCATCTTCCCGGCTGTGTTTGGATTCTCGTGCTGGTTCCTGCTTGGTGGCTATTCCATTGTGTATACCTTGGTCAATTCCTTGTGGGGTATCGTTTTTGTGGAGTATTGGAAGAGGAAGGAGGTGGATTTGAGCTGTCGCTGGCAGACGAAGGGTGTTTCGGCTGTGGAGACCAAACGCCGCGAGTTTAAGCCCGAGAAAGAGATCCGTGATGAAGGTACTGGTGAGATGCGGGGAGTGTTTCCTGCGACGAAGCGCATGCAGCGCCAGCTTCTTCAGATTCCGTTCGCATTGCTTTCTGCTATCGGGCTGGGTGTTATCATTGCAACTTGCTTTGCGATTGAAATCTTTATCGCGGAACTGTATAGTGGTCCTTTGAAGAGCTACTTGGTATGAGCGGCGTATTTTCCCCCCCCGACATTCCTATTTCCTAGACTAACCGATGGCTCTAGGTCTTCATCCCGACCATTCTTCTCTCTGCGTTGGTACCGACTATGAGCGCGGTGCTCGTGTCTGTTGCCACCAAGCTCAATGACTACGAGAACCATGAGACCGATGAGACTTATGACACTGCATTGACCCAAAAGGTCTTTGTTATCAACTTTATCACTTCCTATCTGCCGATTCTTTTGACAGCATTCGTCTATGTGCCATTTGCCAGCCACATTGTCCCTCATCTGGACATCTTCCGCCTCACTATTCGGCCCTTCGTGTCCGATGAACACGCTACTACTGCTGATTGCTCTCACTTCAAGATTGACCCCCATCGTCTACGAAACCAAGTCATTTACTTTACCGTTACTGCCCAGATTGTTGGATTCGCTATGGAGACCATTGTCCCGTACATCAAGCAACACGCACTCCGGGAATACAAGGCGTACAATAAGAAGAAGAACGGCAAGTCGGAGAACAATGGTGACAAGGATTCTCCTGAACGGTCGCCTATCATGACCTACGATGATCCCCTCGAGGAGAAGGAATTCTTGAAGCGCGTCCGTAACGAGGTCGAGCTACCCGATTATAAGGTGACCGATGACTTGCGCGAGATGTGCATCCAGTTTGGTTATCTCGCACTTTTCTCACCTACATGGCCTTTGGTCCCGCTGTCATTCTTCATCAACAACTGGATCGAGTTGCGATCTGATTTCTTCAAGATCTGCATGGAGTTCCGGCGACCCACGCCACTCCGATGCGATACTATTGGCCCCTGGCTGGATACTCTTGGCTTCCTATCTTGGGTGGGCAGCATCACCAGCGCGGCGTTACTCTATATGTTCTGCGGAGATAACCAGCTCGGACCAAACGGGGAGCCCACAGACATCAAAGGATGGGCATTGCTGCTGGTCATCTTCTTCTCAGAACACCTGTACCTGATTGTCCGCTACGCCGTGCAGACAGCCATGAACAGACTCGAGCCCCCCAACGCCCGCAAGGAGCGCGGCGAGCGATACCTCATGCGCAAGAGATATCTCGAATCGACTCTCAAAGCCGAAGCCAATGAAGAGACCGAGAAAGAGGATCTTGTCTCCGAGGTCCCACCGGAGATTACCCGCTCCGCCCTCGAGGCGGACGCTCGCCGTAACTCCGGACACTCGGCGGATCCAGCGGAGAGATTCTGGATGCGTCAGCGTGGCTGGACTGAGTCAGCTAAGGTGGGTGCGGGCATTATTCAGGCCCAGCCTAGCAAGGGAAATGCCAAGAAGCAGCAGTGAGAGGATTGTCGTGATACAGTCTAGACGGGTGTTATTGGTCTCACTTTTGGGTATGGTACTTTCGGTTCAGACTTTGAGACATGTCAGCGGCTTTTTGTGGTGTCAGTTACGGGCACATGCGCTTAGAGATTACGATTTTGTGTATATGAAGCTTGAATATGTCGAGTATGAGTTGCAGTCAAGAAACAAGAGAACTGTTCACTGTACTACTGTAGCTGAATGCGGCTTTGATGCATAATCCGAATCGGGTTAGGCACGTGCGAAATTGTTGTGCAAGGTGACGTAAGACTTAGTCAGCGCGGAGTGTATGCATCGCCCGAGAACGACCGAACTACATGGCAGAACCAGAAACGAGAGATCAATCAATCAACTGCGTGTGCAATCAGATACCAGCGATTGAGATAATTCTGCTAGCTCTTGTGAATGAAGAATGATCTGATCTTTCCCACCCTTTCATCCGAAGTTTTCTTTTCATCTGAAGTATTCGGACAGGTACCTGGAGTCCTCCAGACACCAAGTCGTCGCCGCCCTCACCGCCCCCAGTGCCCTTCTTGCCCCTAACACCCACTCAAAACCACACCGCCTGGCAACCTCAAGATACCGCCTACGATATGCGGCACTTCGGCATCGGAATATCAAGATGCCGGGCTCACGCCCCCTCCCGTCAGGAAGTTCCCGCCTGACTCAGAAATCCTTAAGTAATCTCTCCCTCCCTCCTCCTGCTTACAGCATCTCCATCTGCTTACCTCATTCATCAATCTACACCAAAAACCACCTTCACCACGCTCATCTGGGAAATTGGAGAAGTGGACAAAAGTCGCTATCCAATTCTCTATCGTTTAATACCAATTTCACCCCTATCCATGCAGCCGGCGTTGGCTCCAGCACCGCATCCCAGTATGCAGAACCCTGCTCAGGTAAGCAACCCATCCTCGACGCGTTTGTCATCAGATCGATCGTCCCGCGCCCATGTACATCGATCAGATGGCTGCATGGCCATGACGGAGATGCACCCACCTCCTGGGAATCATGTCTGTCATGATGTCGCGTCGCTGTGTGCATCGCACCGTGCCGCGTCATTCCGGGTCTCGCGATCGTTTTTGGGACATTTTGTACTGACGTATTCACTATAGGACCATGCGGACCAGGGTACGTGATCTATACAGTCCTACCTGGAAGCTCGATCGTTTCAATTGGGATCAGGGGAGGATCGGTCATGGCCTCGCTGGGGCACTGACCGATCACCCCGACTGTGAACGGTGGCCGACGCCTTTCTAGGTGAGGCGCAATGGCGCGTGTCAAGCTGCTAATTAGATGCCCATTCAGTGCTCCATGATCAGCTTCTGGCTGCTCAGCACCAGATGCACCGTCCCCAGGGTGGTCCTGGCCAGCAGCACCTGCAGCCTAACACTGCCAGCCCTCGTGACCAGGCCAACATTGACCCTGCTATCTCTGGCGCGATGATGGCTGCTGCTCCCCAGACCCCTACCCAGCCTCAGCAGGGCTCGCCTGATGATGGTTCCGCCAAGAGCTATGGCAAGCGTGAGCTGTCGACCTCCAAGCGTGCTGCCCAGAACCGTGCTGCTCAGGTATGTAGTTGTTACCATCATGATCTCCCCTTCCATCCCCCTTCAAAGACTCAACTAATTGTTCTTTACAGCGTGCTTTCCGCCAGCGGAAGGAAACCTACATCCGCAAGCTTGAAGCTGAGAACAAGGGTGTTGAAGCTCTTCGCGAGCAGTTCAAGGGCCTTCTGCACGAGAACTACACCCTGCGTGATTATATCCTCACCCTGCAGGGCCGCCTGATGGAGTCCTCCCTTGACGTTCCAGAGGCTCCCCCAAACATTGACCTCAGCCAGCCTCGTCATGACCTGTCTATGGCTGCTGCCGCCATTCCCGACGCCGGTTCTACTGGCCAAGTCCCTGCTGCTCCTGCTCCCCAGCAGCCCCAGCACCCTCAGCACCCTCAGCACGCCGGTTCTGCAAACGATGACATGAACTCCCTGAACCGCATTGCTGTCGCTGGCCTCGGTATGCGCAAGCACCCGGACGACAACGCTTTCATGGCCGGTAACTTCCAGCACAACAAGCGTGTTCGCGTCGACGACAACCAGGGCGATGGCTCCGACATGCCCAAGCAGGAGGCTCACCACGGTCTGCCAATCGCTTAAGCTGATTTGCCATCGACACACTTCTGCGTTGCTTTGCATTACCCGTCCCGTTTCTGATCCCGCCGATTTGATATCCTATGTTTGTTTTGTGCCACCAATCCACCAATTTCAACACCCTCTCCCACACCTTTGTCTGTTTCTCTACCCATCTCTGCTCTTAATCTCCCGACCTGAGTATTCCTTCTTCGCGATGTTTTTTTTTTTTTTCGGACGGTGTGCGGCGCCATTCATGTCTACTGCTATTTTCTCTAGCTTTCTGGGCTCGGCGGTGTTATCTTGTTCTTCTTCTCCATTTTGTAGCTCTTAGCAAGGGAGATCCTTTCAACGGAGTACGGGTTTTAGCCAATGGGATCTTTTCAATATTGAATCTTGTATAACTTAGTTTGTAGTTCTTTTGTAGTTTGCATAATCCCGAGATTCTGTCCCGCCTTCCATAAAACCCATGGTGAATTGACTGAGGTATACTTCTAATGATCTCGTCTTCATGTTGATCTTTGTTTCTGCCTGTCCACGCGCTTGCAATACTCGTCTGTGGAAACTTCGCCCCACCGCTAACTACCTGTCGAGCCATTCATCTTAATCGCGCTTGTGTCCATCTGATCAAATAAAGTTGGTCTTAAGGCACCCTCCATTCTTTGGACATACACCATGACAAAGTAACCCTTCTCGCAGGGGTCACAAAATTAAACCATCTCCTTGACCCTTCCCACAGCCTCCTAACCTCACAACTAAACTGACTAGCTCCTCTTACAGTCTTTGTTGTTCGGACAGATGGATAATTTACTGATCCGGTTTGTTGGCATGTTGCCGCTAAAAACTTGAGTATTTGAAGTAAGACATCTGCGCAAATCAAAAATCGCCTCGAACACTCGACTTCCTTTGAGAACATTGAATGCCGTGAATGCCCTATCTATTTTGAGACAATGAGAAAGAAAGATGGGTGGTGATTGGGCCAAATTCAATTAGAGAATAGGGCAGCAGGGCATATCAATGAGGACGAAAAGCGGGCTTCGAGATAACCTTAGCCTCATTAGATTGGCTAATTTTTGATTTGGTCATACTAGATGTCGAAGGCAGATTTATCCTTGTTATGGACATTTGTTTTTGTTTGGTTCATGGGTGAGACGATTATGATATGATCAGCTATCAGGCTTCATTATTTTTCTTTATCACTAAGTGATTTCAAACAAGATTGCTTCATAGAATTGAACTAATCCAAAAGATTGAGGCTAGCCTCTACCTCTGAAATCCATTAAATCGGCCATGCTAAGTGCAGCATCCATATGCAGGAACGAATTTCGATCGTAATATATCAGGAAGTAATGAGTTCGAGGGAATAGATGCATTTTCTTCTGGAAGATTGTCACTCATGCCATGCTCAACGAATAAAGAATGGAATAGACTTTGACTGAATCTGGTCGTCCGCGATGACTGAATACTCCACAATTGCTTTTCACTCTCTCGGTCAGTTACATATCGCCCGTAGTCATGCTCCCTCGTTCTTTTGTCCTGGTTGTCCGTGTGGCGGATTCGGCTAGGCGATAACTTCTGCGTTGGTTTCCATCTCAACGGCGATTTCTCGGCCCAGACCCGGACGTGTTCGTGTCTAGGTATTCTTACGATCAGCATATATTTCTCAACATATCTCCATTCTCAACGATAGTGTTGGACTAACCGTTGCGTCGATTGGCGATCCGCAAAATGAATTCCTCCGTAATGACTCCACGTTTTAGACCCTGCTTCACTATGGAGTCCTCGGCGTCTGCAGTGGGAGAACATAGATCCAACACAAGATCCGCGATGATAGTTTCAGCCAGACGGTGCATTTCAAGGAGACATGGATGGTCCCAGATCTTTTGGGTAAGTGCGCGGAATTCCCAGCTGGACCATGCCCGCTCTACCCATTGTTTGAAATTGTTGATCGCGTCGACTTGAAGAGCTAGGTAGTCGTACTTGTCTCCCAATTTGTAGATCTCGATGTCTAGCTCTGGATCGTCTGCCTGTGATTGGAAATAACCGTCTTGATGTCTCCGTACTTATACCTGTAAAAGCGGAAGATTATCACTTATACAGATAGTTAAATTTGAAGTATCCCTGAGCATAGGCGGAGGGACTTGAGTCGGCTTGCTGGATCGAAAGACAAAGTACCATCAGATCCCCAATGACAGGAAAAAGGAAGGGTCCAAAGTTCGCTTCCGCGGCCAATTGGTTGGCTGACTCCAAGACCGTTACGAATTCCCAGGATCAAGCTGGGGATCTCTGTACAGGATGTCGCGGGAGTCTCAGTCGCCGAAACTGCCCGAAGAACCACCGCAAGGAAATACAAGCTCTGTGAAAGGGATTCAGTGTGCTGGCAGGAGAGAAACAGACCCGGTAGTCGAAGCCGTAGTTGTCTCTGCCACAGCTGGTAGATCATGATTTGGATCATGGCGGATTTGCAGCTGCATTCAAAGCATGAAGCACAGAGACAAGGATCCATGGAGGTGATTGGTTGGAGAATCGTGCTCCCTCAAGTCACCCTGGGTCACTGTCCAGAGGACACCGCTCTCTCCAATCATATGGCCCTCGTGCAAGATGCGAAGGTGTGGAGGTGAGGTAAGGTGGTGACAGCACGGGAGCATCCCTGGGAATGTCTGGAGGCTATAAGAGGATATCGGAAGTGTTTGGACATGCCTCTGTATATTATATCGAGGGGTTTTTAATATATGAATGTAGAAATGCGAGTGGGGTAAGGCAAGGTTGGGCGCTGGAGAGGGGAGTGAGGAAGTTTTAAATCAATGTCGGGCAGCCGGTAGGGAAACAAAGCCGGCAGAAAGGACTCTCTGACGAGGAACTTCCCAGGAAGTACACAATCAAAGCTTCATTTGAGATACGTAAACAACACAAACATCGTGACATTGGCAAACTCCCCACTCTACTACTGATCCAACCCATACTCCTTAATCAAGACATCTCCACAAGTAGCACCAGTAACATACGCCGTAGCCTGAGTATGATTATTCGTCATAACAGGAACGACACTCATATCCGCCACCCTCAAGCCCTGCACACCAAAAACGCGGAATCCATTATCAACAGCCGCATCTTCCTCCCCCTCCTTCCCCATCTTCACCGTACCAGTCATATGCCAACTCGAGGTCATATGATCCTTCCAGAACTGCAGGATATCCTCGTCAGATTTTGACGCGGGTCCCATGACTGTCGCAATAGTATCCTTTGCAAAGGCCGGGTGCTCGACGACTTCGTACAGGTGTCTGTACATTTCGATACAAGCGCGGCGATCGTAGGGGTGTTCGAGGAAATGCGGGTCGAAAAGCAGGGGGTCATCTGGGTTGGATGATTGGAGGCGGACTTCGCCGCGTGATTGCTGGTTCATGAGGAATACGGCGAGGCAGACGTAGCTGAAGTCTGGGAACAGATCGGGGACTTGCATGTGTAGTGGTAGGCCGGTGGCTAGTTCATAGTGCGGGATAGTCTCGCGGTTCAGGAAGTCTTGCACTTCGGCTGGTAGTGCTTTGAATTCTTCTGATGATGTGATTTTGTCGGATTTGAACCATCCGACGCCAAGTTGGTTGCCGTGACGGGCCCAGGGTCCTGTGCCGTCTTGCTCCCATTGTTTCATGGCGGCTTCCATGGCTTCGGGGCTTTTGAAGAACGCGTTGCGGTCGTTGGTCTCTGGTTTCCGAGTCACGATGAAGGTCACGAAGGGGTGGTCCTTCAGGCCCTGACCGATAGCTGGGATATCTTGGATGACAGGGATGTTGAATTTGGTCAGCTCTGCGGCTGGACCGATGCCCGAGTGCATGAGGATCTTGGGACTATCGAGAGATCCTGCGGAGATGATCACATCCTTGGAAGCAAAATCTGGAAGATTGAAATTAGCGATTCATACTGCATTTATAAGTCAATGCTCCAGGAAAGAAACTTACATTGTTTTCCATTGGTCTCAACACCAACAGCCTTCTTACCCTCAAAGATAACACGCTGCACTGGACTATCCACGACGATGACTAGGTTCTCCGGTGCATCCTTCACCAAATCCGCAGCCGTAGTCCGCACACCATCACGCACAGAGTTAATAAACAACCCCATACCAATAGGATTTCCAGAATTATGATCCATATTCCGCTCGACACCAGCCTCCTCAAAAGCATCCAGAATCAACGGCAAATCAGACTCCCACTCCGCCGCATACCCAATACCAAGCGGACCCTTGTCACCATGATCCGCCGCCTTCGGCGCTCCATACTTCTGCTGCTCGGGTGTCGCAATCTTCCCAAAGGTCTCCAGAGCCTTGAATCGGGAGTGAATGTTCGTCCACGCAAAAGTATCATCGGCTACCTCAGCAGCCCATTGATCATAATCATCCCGAGCACCGACAGTGTACACGCCGAAGTTGATGGCCGAGCTCCCGCCGAGACCTTTTCCGCGAGAGTAGTCGATTTGACGACCACTGCAGTGCTCTTGCGGTGTGGTCTTGTAGCCCCAGTTTAGGTTGGGTTCCATCATTGTTACCCAGCGTTTGCCGGAGACGCGGAGGGTCTTGTCATCGTTGCGCGAGCCTGCTTCTAGGAGGAGGACGTTGGGCCGTTTGGCTGATTTGGCTAGGGAGGCTGCGAGGGCACATCCGGCTGGGCCAGCTGTTGAGAGAAAAAGAGAATGAGAATGAGGAGTTGACTCGGTTAAACGTATCATGCATGTGCATTATGCATGAGGGGGAAGTTACTTACATCCGACCACGATGAAATCGAATGAATCGCGAGAGTGCGAACCCATTTTGGTATATAATACTAGCCAAATAATACCAAGCTGAATATAGATCACGGAGTAATGATTTGTGGAGAGGAACAGAAGCACAAACCAAGAGGCGGTCCTCGCATGGCAGTCAGTCGACCTTATATGCACTCCCACCCCCCACCGATCTGCAGCCTAGCCTTCCCCTCTTCAGCTCTATCATATTCAACACTCTAAATTAAGTTAGACACCATAAACCAAAGTAGAATAATGGCTGTATCATGCATGATGCCTGATATTAACGCATATCCAGTGGAGATAGTCTGGTCCAGGCCTCCAACAATGGTTTAAAGCTGACCGCGCCGACCACTAGCGCGGAGTGGGACGGTGTCGATCTGAGTGGGCCTTGCCACTAGTTCAGGTGCCAAGTACAGTATGTGCAGTAGTGGTTTGGATATGTGGCTCTTACTGGTTGTGAAAATGCATCCGGTGGACTATGCGCGGGAGGATGGGTTAGTGTACAGTACCTAGGTGGTTAATAACTTTAGATGTTTGGGTGGACGGAAGAACTCCGCGCTGTCGTGCATAGCTCTATTGAAGAGGGACCTATTTAGTGAATGTGGTTTGCGGAATGACTGTAACGGTAATTGCTGTAGGGATCAGTTGATTCTCGTTCGCTCTGCTTATTGCTTACCATAGGCTGAGTCTCATCTTACGCTTGGCCTTTCTTCGGTTGCGTCTTGAGGGCTGAACCTCACTTGTGATTTATCCTCCTGCCTGTTTGAGCAACAACTGTATATGAACATTTTAAATGAGGCAATCATCATTAAGCACCGAATCTGGTAGGATCATATCGTTTTAGAACGATGTTTCCAGCCTAAAATAGCAAGGTTACAGTGTTGGTTCCATCCTCTGATTGGATCAGTGGGTGTTCGAGTCTTGATTCCTTCCACCCAACAATGAGACTGCGGGGTTACAGTAGAGGAGCGCGCTTGTCAAACCCCGCAATCTGGCTCGAGCTTTATAAGCTTACATGGTCTCGAACTTATGCCCGCATTTTGCATATTCCGGTTACAATTGCAATTGTTTTTGCATTTCCAAAGCACCGATCGGAGAAATGGGTTGGAATTTCATGTAATCAGGCATCCAGGCCCAGTTCCAGGACTCCAAAGGTAGGCAAAGCTTGACCAAGACATGGGCTTGGTTTCACGCTGCCTTCGAGGCATTTCCAATTTTGCTTCGGCCTACAGAGTCAAACGCGCGCTTGAAAATTTATATTGTATATTGCTAGGCCACGTTGCTTGTCTCAACGGCTCAAACAGCTGTTTCACGCAAGCTTCAAGGACGCGGAGCCACCTAGCCGAGCTCGGACGACCGAGTACAAATTGTCAAGGACAAGCCTATCATGAATGAAGTGATCATCGTCAGCAGGTACTGCCGCGATGCGCAACCCGAATAATGCGGATCAAGTACAGCACAGCAGACAGCCAGCGACACGCGACCGTTACCTCGCTTAGTGCTGGAAGCTGCCGGTTTGCCGGCCAAGTGGAGTGATCGTCACGGCCGCCACAGACTAGCGGGTGACAACGGCGCGCGGTTGTGATCCAGGAGAAATGCTTTGCCGTGATGATTCGAGATGCCGGATTCTTGGGATATAGGGTGAGGGAGAGAACATTAAGGAAGAGGTCCTCGATGGATGGGAGAGTCACGAATGTGAATTTGAGCTTGAGGGTTTAATGGGATGCATATTAGTCAATTACCTCCAGCTGTGAATCCAGGATAGTGGAGGAGGACGAGGATCATCGCTCGTCCTTTCATTAGTCGGTCTCGATGAGCATGGCCATACGCATCGTCTTTCTGCGAAGTGTTGAAGTTCGGATGTCGGCTCGAGTTGAGCCCGGTGGCTTGCCCGCCTCCACCGCCACAGTTACCACGAGGCGACCAATTGCCATTGTGGATGGACGAGACAAGAATTTCAAAGCTTTGCATAATAGTTAGCAGTCATGCAGGTGGTCAGCCTGGTCATTGATTAGTAACGAACAGGGAAGGTGAGGATGATTGTTAGCGATGGTGAGGATATCGTAGTCGTCGTCCTGTCGTACTAAAAAAAAGTAGCAGCAGCACTGACCAGAGCAGACGGAGTACTCCGTACTCCAGATTCACTAGCAGTACTACTCCCACGAGGCTGGCCTCAATAACTAGGTGTACTTACCAATCATGTTTCAACTATTCCATAACCTTCGAACAGTTCCAAACTTCCCCCGTTCCAGAATAACTCGTCTGTGAGAAAGTGGCAAAAGACGAGGGCGCCCCCGCGGAGAATTTGGGAATTTGGGAGGATCCGAACTTTTTTGGCTTTTTTCCTCTCGTCGACTTTTTGGGGACACTTGGGCCTCTTCACGCAACGATTCGGAATTTTAAACTTTGAGTCGAGGCTTGTTGGGATCACTTCTCCCCTCTTCTTTTCTTCTTCCTCTCTTCTTCGTCTCGTCGCTTGTCCTCGACCTTGCCCTCCTCTTTAACTTGCTCACGCTCTGCTGGTCAACTCGTGCGGAGAAGACAACGGGGATCCAGCACGAACCCACCGGGGCTCCTCTTTTTCGCCCCTCCGCATTTTTCGCCTGGCCCAAGTCGAGTCCGATCTCGACATTCCTCCGATCTTCAACTCTTCCACTCCTGCAGCATTCTCCAACGTTGACGATCATATTATAACCACGAGCTTCATTGTATTCTCGATCAATTGACCCCGTGTCTTCCTATTTCATCGCCGCCTTTTCTCCGACCGCAGAGTTACATAAGAGTCCGCCACGGGTGGCCACAGCTTGCGCGCGACATTGCCATCTCGTCTCAGAATAATTGGCACGCCGGCTACAAAAAACGGAAGCGAAACTGGAATCCTACCTTCGATCGCATTAGGACCTGCGTACTGCGCACTGCGCAAATTCACGCCAGTCAACCTTCTGCTCCTCGACCGCTTCTCCACCTCATCCCTCCCTCGAGACCGTCGTCTTCCCTCGACTCTCGCGTGGATGCTCCGCTTCATCTCTCACAACGAAACCAGATCATGGCGGTGAAACCAGTCCAGTCGAACCGATTATACTCACGACTACGGTCTCTCCCCATCGGGGCCCAGCCATCATCCTCACCCTTCCAATTCCAACCTCCCACTGTATAGCATCCATTCCACGGTGCACTCGGCCCGCCCTGCGCGTGCGCCGCCATCCATGGTTGCTAGCGAGCTTTCCCAGGCCCCCGATGGCCTCATCGGGGGCTACAAGGGGGGTAGCTTACCCGTGCGCATTCTCATGATTGTCTTTTCCTCCATCGCGCTGTACAATGCGATCGAGTTGTTCATATTACTGTTTTTGACATTTCAGCATTACCGTGGTTTATATTTTTGGACACTTTTGCTTTCGGTTGTGCTGGGTGTGATTCCGCATACAATTGGATATATCTTGGAGTTCTTTTCGTTGGCGCCGTTGTGGTTGTGTTTGACCATCTCTACCATTGGGTTTTATGTTATGGTGCCGGGTCAGTCGGTGGTACTTTACTCCCGACTTCATCTTGTGGTGCAGAGTCATCGGATCTTGCGGTTCGTGTTGTGGTTGATCATTATTGACTCTGTGCTGCTGTTGGTTCCCACTACGGTGCTTACTTTTGCGACCGCTTACGTCGGTACGATTCCTATCATCCGTGGCTATAATGTCATGGAGCGCCTCCAGTTGGCCTGGTTCTGCGCTCAGGAATTTGTCATTTCGGGCATTTACATCTTCGAAACGGTCAAGCTACTCCGACTCATGCCAGACAAGGACCACAGACGGACGAAAATCATGTACGAACTGCTGGCAATCAACTTTGTGATCATCATGCTGGATGTGGCGCTGTTGGTCGTCGAGTATATTGGTTACTACTCGCTGCAGACAACACTGAAGCCCATGGTCTACAGCATCAAACTCAAGCTGGAGTTTGGTGTCCTTGGCAAGCTTGTCTCTCTGGTCCAGACACATCGCTCACAACCTACTTCGTCGGAACACGAGGAGTATCCGAATTTTGTGGATCCGACTCAATTTACGACGGACGTGACACATGCTGCCCCCGTGGAGTCGCGGAGGTCACGGATCGGAGCGTGGAATGCCATCTCGATGGAGAGTTTACCCTCGTCGGAACAGCGGATTCGCCCTTCAACGCGGTCGAGGTTGTCTAGTGACGGCGGGGATCCATCTTGATAGGCATTGACCGTATCTCACCAAACTCACAAGATGCTCTAGTGCATCGTAAATACCCGCAAATCGCTGTGAGTACAGCTCTCTGGCTCCCAATTGAGCAGCCAAGACGCGTTATCGCGGACTCGCGCCCATACAAAGGGAGCAAGCTGAGAACAGAGACTGATACTCTATGCGCACTTACATTACCCGCGCAAATATCCTCAGTTTGCCTTGTCCAGGACATGTCATCGACTTCATGAGTCTTCCCGCTACGGCCACCCTCTGTATGATGCTGCATGTATTTGTCCATATTCGATCGGGCTCTACACAAACATAATTCGTGTATCATAACTTCAAAAATGTACAAAATCATCGATTGATTCATCTTTACCCACCTCGAAGATAAAACATCCCTGGCTACGTGCTGATGACGGAATTCCCAAAAGCTCACCCCACAGCAATCCATCCCATCTGCTTCTCAATCCATAAATCCTCAATATACAACTTGCCTTCATCGCCAACACCATTGTCCTAAAATGAACACATCCGTAACAATCCACCACGGCCCCTCCTCAACAATCCCCCCCACCGCATCCCCAGGCCTCCTCTTCCTCCAACGCTTCCTCCCCGCCGCAGACTCCCTCGATTCAACCACCCTCCCAATAACCCCCTTCTTCACCCCCAACGCCCCCATCCTAATCGGCAGTAACCCGCCCACCAGCGCGAGCGACGCCGTGCCCCTCCTACAAGTCCGTGGCCGCCATCTTGCGGGATTTAAGCATGATGTGCATATTGCTTGGGATATGGATTTGAATCCGGACAAAACACTCAATGGAACAACCACTACCAGTAGCGATAGTACTGATAGTACTCGTAATGTCCCCACGACTGGCGCCGCCCACGACGAATCAACCCTCTATGCCCCCCTAACAAGCGGCGTCCGCCTCAAAAGAACGGTCATGTTCGAAGCAACATCAGAAACAGTATTTAAGAATGACCCGGATCAGTTTCCTGTTAAGTTGCGGGAGTTTAATATCCTGGATCTTGAGGGGAATAACACGGATGATTTGCAGATTGTTGAGATGAGGGTTTTTTTGGATTCGAGGCCTGTGCAGGCGAGGGCGGCGCGGTTGCATATGGAGTCTGCTTTTGGGGAGGGGGGGACGCAGGAGCCGCCTGGTTAAACATGCAGTATAAGTACTAGCATGCAGTTTGTTGGTTTGGAGGGGGTTGGATGAGAGGGGATCCACGGCGGAATACTGCGGAATGGATATCGCTGATTTGGAGATTTGGATAGACTATAGTCGGGGTAAGGTGGGGGTTATGTCGTGGTGAATTGCTTCCTTATCTTGCGGGGGTTTTTGCCGATCGGCAATGGAGGGGGTTTTAAAGGAAAAGATGCCTTTCTCCATGAATTCCGGAGGATGGGTTGATTATTCTCATCAATTGAAATGGTCAAGATGAAGCAGGCTGATGTCATTGAAAATGTCCGCAAAGCCTTGGACAAGTACGAGGCGCGGCTGAGTGAGATCAATCAGAAGGTATGGTAGAACAAGGACAAAATATCTCACACGCCTATAGCGATATACTAATCATTTTCTGGGTACAGATCTGGTCTAATCCAGAATTAGCCTTTGAAGAATACAATGCCCACGACAACATCTGCGCCCTCTTCGACACTCTCTCTTCCGAAGGATACACAGTCAAGCGCAGCGCCTACGGCATCAAAACCGCATTCGAAATCACCTACACCCTCGGCAAAGGAGGTCGCACCATAGTATACAACGCCGAATACGACAGTCTCCCCGGCATAGGCCATGCCTGCGGCCACAATCTCATCGCGACAAGCTCCATCGCCTCTTTCCTAGCAACATGCGAAACAATGAAAACCCTCTACCCCGACACCAACTCTTCCCCAGACTCAATCGGCTACACAGTCCGCCTCCTAGGAACTCCCGCCGAAGAAGGCGGCGGCGGGAAACTCCTCCTAATCAACGGCGGCGCATACAAAAACGTCGACGCTGCGTTCATGGTCCATCCTTTCCCTGTGTTATCCGGTGCACCGGATTTACTCAGTTCCAGTTCCTGTTCGGGCATGTATCTGGCTAACAATAAGGTCGCGGTGACGTTCACGGGTAAACCGGCGCATGCTTCTGCGGCTCCCTGGGAGGGCGTTAATGCCCTTGATGCGGTTGTAGCGGCTTATGTGAATATTTCGATGCTTAGGCAGCAGATTCTGCCCACGCAGAAGATTCATGGTGTTGTGCTTAGGGGAGGCGAGAGGCCGAATGTTATTCCTGCGTCTACGACGGTGGAGTATTATATTCGGTCTGAGACTGTGGGGACGTTGGGGCCGTTGACGGAGAGGGTGCTTAGGTGTTTTGAGGCTGCGGCACAGGCGACGGGGTGTACTCTTGAGTATAAATGGTACGTACAAGGCTCATTGCGAACAAAGTTATATCCACTTGCTGAGTATTCGTGTTCTTTCTAGGGAACCAGCTTACAAGGACATGCTAATCAACCGCCCCATCTGCGAAGATTACATGCACGCCATGAACGAAATGGGGTATATCACTATCTACGACGCGGCCGGTCAGGAAGGCGGGCTCAGTGGAGGATCAACAGACATGGGCAATGTTTCGTATGAAGTGCCCGGCTTTCATGGTGGATTTTATATCCAGACGGATGGAGTCAATCATACGCCGCAGTTTACGGCTGGGGCGGGATCGGAGGAGGGATTTCAGAGGAGTCTTGCTTGTGCGGCTGGGATGGCGGTTGTCGGCTGTCGGGTTTTGGGGGATGATGGGTTTGCGGGGGCTGTTAGGGATGATTTTGAGAGTAGGAAGAAATGAGGTGGTGAATTGAGGAAGTATACATAGTATGAGAAAACTTACGAGTTGTTTGTATTATCCTCAAGTCAGGTTCCTATAATATACCTTAAGATATCCTTCTTCTCAATTACACCTTGAAGCAGTGTAGGATACCTCGCTAGGCCAGGTATCCATGTATCTGACAGACACTTGTGGAACCGGGTAGAGTAGTCAATGCCAGTCGAATTCCAGAGCATCCTAAAGAAACACGTTCCCATTGAAGTCTCTGCAAGACCGTGGATATGATCATCTTGGTTTCGTCATGGATGTGCTCATTGATATTTTGAGTTGATATACACGTTCGATACATTCATAGATGACGTTCTTGATGCACATCTATCATGGTTCGAGCGGATTCTATTCCCATCTCAGGTACAGATATTTGAATAAGGTTACCTATCCACGCGATGTGGCAAATGATGGGAATAGTTGATGACTGATGTTTCGGGCATCACCGATGACTCGGCCGAAGGTGGCTTTCCCTCATCTCGCTTAGACAGAAAAGGGTACATCCAGTGGTGGGAGATTAGGTTAGGAAGTATTCAGTACATTATGATGGAGGATAGTATGATGGGCTGTGTATAGATTGTGCTAAATATGGGGCTTCAAGGGTTCGTGATACGCATGGTTCGGTATGTCACACTGCATAGTAGCGACAGACACGAGCTTTTATGCTGGATGATGTAGTTAATTATCACTCATGTATACTATGTATTATCGTTCCATACTGATAGTTTCGATTGGCTTGAAATTGATACATCTCGAAACATCCCTGCATTATACAATTGTTACTATAGTAGTACATTCTGTAGAATGGAGTGTGATGTCATCAAGGACCAACATGGACACGAGTCAGGGTTGGAATCCTGAAATCTGAGGCACCCAATCCGTCCACCCAGTCACGATGATGCACTTTGACTCCACTTTCCACTTCCAACTTTCCACTCCTCCCACTCAACTTACGCCTTTGAGGTCTCGGTGCATCATACACAATTTACCACTAGGCACTTCCTTCAACAAGCCACCAAACTCGCCACATTCTGCAGTGGTACCGAAGACTTGCCCCAACCTGACCAGGCTCCTCCGATAGAAGCAATCGAAGGGTCTTTAGCTTAGCCACCAGAAAGCTCTGCCCTTTTACCAATAACCCAAGTCGTCTAACACCAGTGGATTCATTTGTGGTTCCCGGTTGTCGCTGGCTCGCCGGGCTCCAATCTCTTTCCAATCTCCAGTATTGGGCCCAGTCACTAATTTTCTCCGGCACTCGCTCCTCCAATCATGAAGCCACATTAATTTTCATCCTCGGCTGCTCCGTCGCGTTTACCAGTCTAGTGGTGCCATTCCCGTCTTGTTCTGCTTCTTCTTCTGGGGCCAAGGTGTAAGGTGTGGGTTGAACTTGACAGGCAACCTGCGCATCATTCCTTGTTCGCACTGGCCCAGTACACACTACTACTAAGTCCGGACTGTACGGTAGCCCGAAAATCCGCACCTGCTGCACTCGAAAAGAATCACGGACCCAAGTTTTTACCCTCTCCGCTTGGTAGCCCCTCCATAGGGCTTTTTCTTCCCCTCCCCACTCGGTCCTGTCGGCCTCTCCAGATCGCCAGCCCGTCCACTCCCTTGGGAATTTACATCCTTCCACATACATATCGCTCTTGAGGTAGAGACAGGCACACATCTACTTGTATATTGGATCGACAATCGAGCAACGCCTCCTGTGGCTGCTAGATCCCTGACCTGATGATTCCTGTACCAAAGATCCACCCCGCCTTTCTTAGGATTCCAAGTATCCTTCATTTATTGGATATTCGATAATCGTTGCGGTGTGCGGATCAGATACTCTAGATCTACAAAAAGAGTCTCCATCCAGCTCCTGACAAACACCTCACCGTCAATCCGACGTGTCGTACAACAAGCACCACCGACCTGAATCAACCATCCATTCCACCGCCGCCTCGCCAGCTCCGTTCGTAACCTCTCCCCCGCCGACGCCATCTACCCTCGGGCAGTCTTCGCGACGTCGGCCACGTCTGACTTGGACAAACTACATTCCAAATGTCGTCGCAAAGCCCAACGAACTCGAGGCCCGGCACCGCGCGGAAGCGGTCGGAAAGTGCATCGACCCCGTGGCCGGCCTTGATCGATACCACCGCTCGCCCCGAAAGCAGAGACCGCGCGCAATCGGTGACACACAACGAAGGACAACGAAAACCACCGAGTACGGAGTTCGATGGCACGGATCGCGTGTTTCCCATTCGGTCGGTTGTCTCCGTTGACCCGACCGCAGCGCAACCCACCTCAGCCCATGCTCGGGGAGCGTTGTCGCCAACCCGTGAAGGCGCTCGCCAGTACTCGATCATCGATGAAAATACTTGGCAGAACCTGCAGTCCCAGCCTCAGCAATCTCAAGAACCGACTATGCCTACGGACACTCTACGACACGTAGCAATTGCATCCAACGATACCATCGACTTGGCCACCCACTCTATGGCATCTCGAGTTGCCCAGCATCCGGAGATCTATGCGAAGGTCAAAAGCGACAGCCAATCTGCAAGGAGTGGTACTCCTCAGCCGCCATCGCACGGACCGGCTGATCCCAAGGAGTCGTACGGGCATGTCACGGCGCGTTTCAAACATATCATGACGGAAAGTGGGCATGCCGTGATCACAGGGCGAGATGGGGAGGCATTTCAGTATTGTGAGGATGAGCCGATTCGAATTCCTGGCGCAATCCAGAGCTTTGGAGTTATGATCGCGTTGCGGGAGGAGTCTCAGGACCAGCTCGTGGTTCGGGTGGTCAGTGAAAATTCGCACGAATTCCTAGGCTATTCACCGAAACAGCTCTTCGAGTTGAAAAGTTTTTGTGATATCTTGAAAAAAGACCAAGCGGATTCTTTGCTGGATCATATCGACTTTGTCCGTGACGATGCATACGACCCCAGTGTGGACGGCCCAGAAGTTTTCGGTTTGACTATCCCAACACCAAATGGCGAGAACCGCCGTTTCTGGTGTGCGACGCATGTCAGTCAGGCGCAAAAAGATTTGATCATTTGCGAGCTGGAGTTGGAAGACGACGAAACAAACCCGCTGAATGTGAGTGGCCTGGAAACTCCCTCGAGTCCAACTGGAACTTTGGGGTCCTTCCCGAGCGCGGAGCAGTTCGCTGGTAGCACGGTCAACATCAGCCAGCCGCTTCGGGTTTTACGCAATGCTCGACGACGAAGGGGCGAGGCTGCCGCCATGGAGGTGTTCAGCATGTTGTCACAGATCCAAGAGCAACTAGGTCGAGCAAACGACCTTGATACGCTTCTCAATACCACGGCTGGACTAGTCAAGGAGTTGACAGGCTTCCACCGTGTCATGATCTACCAGTTTGACAGCAGTTGGAATGGATTGGTTGTGGCGGAGTTGGTTGATCCCAAGGTCACTATTGATCTCTACAAGGGGCTTCACTTCCCGGCATCCGATATTCCTGCACAGGCACGTGAGCTGTACAAGGTCAACAAAGTTCGACTCCTATACGATCGTGACCAGATCACCTCACGACTTGTATGCCGGACGCTGGAAGACTTGGAAACGCCCTTGGACATGACCCACTCCTACCTCCGCGCAATGTCCCCAATTCACATCAAATATCTCGCTCACATGAAGGTTCGGTCGTCAATGTCAATCAGTATCAACGCTTTCAATGATCTCTGGGGGTTGATCTCCTGCCACTCATATGGAAAGGCCGGAATGCGTGTTTCTTTTCCCGTCCGGAAGATGTGCCGTCTTCTTGGTGACACGGTCTCGCGGAATATCGAACGTTTGTCGTACGCATCTCGTCTCCAAGCTCGAAAGTTGATCAACACCGTGCCTACCGAGGCCAACCCATCTGGCTACATCATTGCTTCCTCTGATGACCTGCTACAACTTTTTGATGCCGACTACGGTGCTTTGTCTATCCGCGACGAGACCAAGATCCTCGGTGATAATAACCACTCACAAGAGGTGCTTGCTCTTCTCGAGTTCCTTCGCATGCGCCAGATGAATACCGTACTTGCATCGCATGATATCATCAAGGATTTCCCTGACTTGCAATACGCTCCTGGTCTCAAAGCAATCTCGGGATTGCTGTACGTCCCACTCTCATCGGGTGGCAGCGATTTCATTTGTTTCTTCCGTAAAGGTCAGCTCACGGAGATCAAATGGGCCGGCAATCCATACGATGTTGCAAAGCGAAAGGAAACAGCAGGATACTTGGAGCCACGCAGTAGTTTTGCTGCATGGCGGGAGACCGTCCTCAGCCAATCGCGTGAGTGGTCTGAAACAGATGTTGAGACCGCTGCCGTCCTCTGCCTGGTCTATGGTAAATTCATCAAGGTGTGGCGGCAAAAAGAGGCTGCCATGCAGAACTCTCAATTCACCAAGCTTCTTCTTGCAAACTCCGCCCACGAGGTTCGGACCCCGCTCAATGCGATCATCAACTATCTGGAGATTGCGTTGGAGGGTGCTTTGGATTCGGAAACTCGAGACAGTCTGATAAAATCACACTCTGCCTCGAAATCCTTGATTTATGTCATCAATGATCTCCTGGACCTGACGAATACCGAAACGGGCCACCAGCTTATCAAAGACGAGACATTCGATCTTCAAACTACGTTTCGGGAGGCGACTGACATGCTTGCTGGTGAAGCTAAGAGGAAGAACATTTCATACACTGTGTCCGCCAAGCCCGGTCTGCCTCGTCTGGTTGTGGGCGATCAACGTCGCGTTCGTCAGGTTTTCTCCAACCTTGTCTCCAATGCCATTCAGCAGACAACCTCCGGTGCTGTTACCGTTGAGATGTGGCGGTCTGTTAACCAGGACCTGCCCGGACATGCGGCTGTAGAGATGATGGTCTTGGATACAGGTGCTGGCATGTCGAAATCCAAACTTGAGGCTATTTTCCACGAGCTCGAGCAGGTTTCCACGGATGACAATTACTATCAGGAAGAAGACCCAACAACCGCACAAAAACCGCCGGAGACGAAGCGCGCTCTAGGTCTTGGGCTTGCCTTGGTTGCCAGAATCGTTCATAACATGCAGGGTCAGTTGGGAGTCAAATCTGAAGAAGGCAAAGGCAGTCGATTCAAGATTCTTTTGCAATTTAAACTTCCTGAGGGGGCGTCGACAGAAGCACTGCCTGATGCTGTTGTGCCCAGCTCTGCGACTGTCCCACCCACGCCTAAGATCTCCGATCGCGAGTTCACATTGGTGGGCGGAATTGCTGAGCGCCGCGACGGTCGACGACGCAGCTCTGAGAGTCTTCGCAGTGGAGGCAGCTCTCGTAGCGGTAAGAGTCACGCCGATCGTCTAATCAGTGCTATCCAAGAACCTACCATGGTCCAGCGCGCCTTCAGTGATAGCTCCGATGTGCGCCAGGTCAAGCTATCAACCAGCCCACCTGTGAGTACGAGCCATTTATCGGCCACTATGAGTTCGCCACGGTCAAATAGCTTGCGGGCATCTGTCACGTATGACCCTTTGGCTAGCTTGTCCACTGTTACCCACACTCCTCCGCTTGTCCTGCAGCCGTTCAAGACTCCACCCGCTCCGGGTACGGCAAATGTCACCGATTCCGGTGTGCCGATGGGAGCTGTTCGTGTTTCCGAAAGGGATGTTCAACGCAGGGTCAACCAGCAGGCTGAGCATCAATCATACTTCCCTCCGATCCCTGTTTCGACAGGAAAATCACTCGCCACTTCGGCATCAGCCCTCGCTCCTTCAACAGTACCTACATCGGTTCCTGCCACTGAACCCGCGCTGCTACACGTCCTTGTCGCAGAGGACGATCCCGTGAACAGCAAAATCATCCACAAGCGTCTGACCAAACTCGGTCACACTGTGGTTCTTACTGGCAACGGTGAAGCTTGCGCAAACGCCTTTACCTCAGCCAGCCAAAACTTCGATGTTGTCCTGATGGACATCCAGATGCCCATTGCCGACGGGATGACAGCAACTAGGATGATTCGTGAATTCGAATCAACGACTCCAGATGCACTGTCCCACAAAGCCCAACTGAATGAACGCATACCTATCTTTGCCGTCTCGGCATCACTACTCGAGTCAGAGAAGCAGACGTACATTGATACGGGCTTTGATGGTTGGGTCATGAAGCCAATCAACTTTACACGACTCAACGTTCTCTTGAGTGGTCTCTGCGATCATGATGCACGGGCAGCAGCTTCGTACAAGCCCGGTCAATGGGAGAATGGTGGTTGGTTTGATACATAATTGATCAAACCCCGTCACTGGATCTCCCACCGACCAAAAAGCTCATCGAATACCATTTTAATCACGCCGTCACCGCAATGGTGCTGTATCTCCTTTATCAGCGCCTCCCCCCTCTCATCTGTTCTTTCCTTTTCCATTTGCCCTCTGAGTTCTCCGTTTCTCATCAAAACAGGCAATACATCACGCCGTGGATGATTTTTATTGATCTTACGAATGTTCCCTTTCTCAACTGGTGCATTTTGTTTCTTGGTTTCGTTTTTTGTCATGATTACCTTGCATACCCGGCCATGTATACGGGAAAAGGGCTTGGTGGATGGATACCCGTTTGGTGTTATTGTTGCTGATTCTTTTTTGTTTTGTTTGAATTTTTGGGAACAATACATATACCCATTTCATATGATATCTGATTTGATTTATGCCTACTGAGCTCACTGTTGGTTTTCTCACTTTTTTCTTTTCTCTCTTCATGTCTTGAGTTGGGTATATCCGTAGGGGGGTGGGTTTTCTAATGTATGTCTGTGATATTCAGTGGATTTGGTCATAATCATGTATCATGTATCATATTGGCATGGGTAGTTGTCATTATACGAGTCAATGTAACTCAATCATCTTATGAAAATTTGGCGCTGCATCCTTGTAGAAGGAGTACAAACACTTTGAAGCATAGAGTTGACAGTCATTTAGAATCGGTTCGTAGTTCTTATTTGTCTATGCACTGGCCGGACGTAGTTCTACGTAGATATATGGCAAATTTGCAGCCGCTCCAATTGCCTGACGTCAGCAAGTATTTGGACTACGCCGCTGCCCGTAATTCGAACACAAGAAATGATGATGACGATGCATTAAATCAGATAACCGCCCAAGGAACGGGAAACACCCCTCGAACGAGACAATGAAAAAAAGGCCGCCTAGAGAAAAGCCACCAAAATGAAGGAAATCCACCAGAAGAGGATGACAAAAGGCCATCCCAAAGATCGAAGAGCCCAGATCACCAGAATCAAGAAGAATTTGACAAATGACAAAGAAAATGACAGAGCCGCGGTGCAGCAGTATGGCCCAATGCTAGTTCAGTATAAATACAAAACTTTTGATAAAAGTTCAAGGACTGGATTTGAAGAAAATACCAATGCAACGCCAACGCCTAATTAGACTTTGGTGACTCGAGCAATCTCATTTCCACCGTGGATTTTGTTTCTGAAGATCCGATTCGAGGCCGAGAATGGTTCTCGGAAGAGAGCGTGGAAGGGGAGAGGACACATATATCGACTGGGCTGATCACGTTATCATGCGATGAGGTCTCGCGAAGAGCTTCGTGGAAATCATGTGTACTATTCGGCACAGAAAGAGACCGGTGTGAGACACCGACGTGCACGAAGGCGGGTATTTCCTCGATATCTACCCTCGGTATCCGCGAGCGTGCGGAGAGCATGTCGAGGATGTTTATATCGCTTGATCGGCGTGGACCACCGCCGGAGTGTTGTTGTGGTTGTTGGCAGACGCAGGGTTGTGTGCGGGTTAAAGAGCGTAGACGGTTAAGTACCGAGAATTCGAGTTTCAGTTTGATGCTGTACACTACTGTTTTGAAACCGACTTGGATGTAGTGGAGTTTGTACTCGGTGATCAGGAGGAGGCAGTTGAGTATCACGACTAGCACGTTCACCCAGATGAGATGGACGATGACTTTTCGGCCTTCTTTGCCGCGGACTTCGAGGACGGGGCCTAGGGCGCGGAGAGCTTCGCGGATGTAGATGCCGCAAATGATGAAGTCTTGCATGCAGAAGCCTGTTAGTTGGATGCGGTCGAAGATTGCGGCTGGGCGGGCGAGAGCGGCGTTGTTCTGGCTGAGACCGAAGAAGAGGACTGTCATGGGTATGTGGAGGACCAGTGCGTTGAGGATGATCATCCATAATACCCAGCTGAGCTTGTTGATATCGGAGATGACGAGATGAAGTCGGGAGTAAAGGACTAGGGCTTGGCCGGTGACCATTGCATACCAGCCGAGGATGAAGGGAATGGACATTGGCAGGTTTGGGGCCACCGAGACGAAACGGACCATAGCCGGAATCGCATGCAATAAAATTCCCCAAGACGAGACTTGCATACTCCAGAAATATAGACCGCGGTAGTGTTTGAAGGTGTCAAAGGTAACGACCCCGGTTTCTAAGGCATTATACGCGCCAATTGCGAACATGGAGACAACCTGTAAAATCCCGATGTTTTTCATCAGGATCGCCCCTATATCTGGGGGTAGGCTGCTCATGATAGTATCCATGGTGGCATGGGGCAGAGAGTGGCTCCTGGTACATCTTGTCAAAGGATAAGCATTAAGTCCTGCAAGAAGAGTAAATGAAGGAGACAGGGGAGCCTGAGGAGATGAAAGGACTGGCCGGGGATTAAAAGACACCCCGGCAATGACTCAATCAAAAGGGAGAGCATTCAGCATTGTGTCAAAAGCACGAAGGCTAAAAGGGCAGTGCACGACCACGGGCCCATTCCGTGTGGGCCGCCGTGGTTGACATCGGATTCTGGGGTGTGCTACTTGGTCCGACTGCCGGAAGTTCAGGGTCGGAGGCGGTCCTAACAGGGATAAGGTTGGCTACAGTGGAGTACAACGGCGCGTGGACGCTCAGGTTATGGCGGAGTCTGGTATCTTGTTGCTATTGGGATACATATCGTGTGATAGCGGAGGTGCTAGCCAAAAAAGCAATGTGATGGCTCGATCTGGCCCCGATAGAGGCCCTAGGGGGATGAAAGAGTCAAGCCAGGATCTCCGTGGGATCTCCAACGCTATGAATGATAGCGCAGATTGTAGAGATCCATCGCAATTGGGCGATATCATGGATCTGCTCGGCAGCTTGTCAAGATCCATGGAAAGCACGGAGTTAAGGCGGTTACCTGGCTGGGGAGGCTATGATCGCAAGTGGCTGCCCCCTTCCACATGTCAGATGAATTGACCTTCTTTGGGTCTGATAATGGGAGAAGCTGACGGCGTTGAACCGCAATGCGAAGCTATCTGGTGCTAAGCAAGGATGCGGTGGGGTTGGCACTTTAGGAGACAAAGAAACTGGCCGCGGCGGGTGCATCTCTCCATTGGTGGAAGTTAGTGGCGTTAGCGAAGGCGAGTCTCGACAGCTCAATTGAGTTATGCCCTGCTGCTCTCAGTATGAGCAGCTTTCGAGAGTTGTGGTCTTTTCTTTGTATCAGAATCTGGATCGTCTGGTCTCTGATGTTAGTGGCGGTTATTAGTGGTGGATTGTGATGGGTGGATTCTATCGGGGTTTAGGTCGTTGAGATGTTATGTAAAAGGCAGATATGCTCCGAACTGAAGGCTGTAGTGAAAAATTAGTTCTAAAGATAGCCTCTTAGTTCAAGAGACTTCTGTGTCAAGTAAAATAGATGTATGATGTACAGCTGAAGTAATTAGAGAAGTAAACAGCAAAAGGGAAGGCGCATGACGGCAGATCAGGTGGTCCGTGCGGCGGAGGCCAAGCCGAGCTTCGTCAGTTCCACTTGGACCTGAACATCTACGCAAGAGACACAAGATGGTGTCTTTCTGGCCCTGGAAGGTAAGTCGACCTTGCTGATCTTGCTTATCATTCCTCGCTAACTTGTTTAGGGCGACGACAACTCCCCCGCCTCCTTTGAAAAGACCTTGTCAACGTTATCCACCAAGATCGCCCAGTCGACCACGCGACTGGACCAGCAGCGCCAAACAGCCCGTCGGTTCAAGGCTCTTTGGACCCTCTATTCGACCTTTGCATATCTCTTCTACTCGATCGTGCTTGCGCTGGTACTAGGATGGGAGAGCTGGGGTGTCAAGGAGTACGCCGCTATTGCAGGCGGCCCAGTGCTGTACGTACCCGGTTGACTCTCGCTTCGATTTGAGATGCCGGCTAACAACATGTCTCTTCTGTAGGATATACGGGGTACGAACGGCCGGTGCTCGTCTATTTGAATACCGCATCTCCAGAAGCCAGCGCCATGTCGATGAGCTGAGCAAACAGCGTGACGAGACTATCGAGAAGCTCAAAGTCGCGACCAAGTACAACTCTACTCAACAGTTGCTGGAGAAGTATGGCGGCGAGTCGCCAAAGACTAGCCCCAACGCCAAGGGTGGTCCCGACAACCGAAAGCCAGGTACACCTTCGCAGAAGCAGCAGCAGCAGCAGCAGCAGCAACATGTAGCCCGTACGGGGCTACCCCCTCCTCCAACCGCGAACATCCGCCGTCCTCCTCCTCCTGGCCAGTCTCCCATCGGACCTGGCAATCCTCCCTCGTCTCCTCCCAACCAACCTCCTCAACAACAGCAAGCTCTCCCAAACACACCCTCCACACCTCCCATCCCTCAACAATTCACCGACGAGCCGGGCTTCGCGCCAAACGCGTTCCCAAGCTCCGGGCAGTACATCGAACAACCGCACTGGTACGATCGACTCTTGGACGTGCTCCTTGGTGAAGACGAGATGCAGCCACGCAACCGCATGGCCATGATTTGTGGCTCGTGTCGCCTGGTCAATGGCCAGGCACCACCGGGTATCAAGACTCTCGAGGAACTGGGCCGCTGGCGGTGTGGCAGCTGTGGGGCGTGGAATGGCGAAGTGAGTGAAACGACGAAGATTTTGTCGACCTTGAGGCAGAATGCCGGTCCGGCTGAGGGTGCGTACGGGCCGAGTTCCACCGCCGAGGCTGATGTCCAGGCTGGAGATGTCAGTGATGAAGAGATGATGGTTACTGTTAGCGAGGAGGATGAGCAAGGTGACCGGGATTCTGATCAGGGCGGGGAGGGCGAGTCCGATCAGACGAGCGCAGAACCAAAGGCTGAACCTGTTCGTCGGTCAAAGCGTGGCAAGGGCAAACAGTAGATACGGCTTTTAGTACTATATTATTTCATTGGCGCAGTGCATACAATGGCTACTAGTAAATCGACGAAGCCAACATTCTCAAGCAACTTGAATCTACTCGATTCGCTATTCAAATTTATTTAGCAACGAAAAGACCGTCCCTGTCTAGGTTGAATCACTACCCCAATAGTCTGTTCAGGATGAATCCCTTGCTCACCAATTCGAGCAATCAGGTAGTCATCCAAGCTAATCCAAAATCGCTAAAATCATCAAAATCATTGCATCAAGGAGCGTTAACGAGTCCAGCAGCCGACTCAGCAAATTGTTGAGCGTGGAACTTCTCAATGACCCACAACGCGGTCTTGATCTCAGCTTCATCAGCGGAAGCACATCCCTCAATTATGGCAACCTCATTCTTGTTCATAGTTGCAGTGCACCGATAAGTTGCAGCAACGCCCTTCGCTTCAACGCGCCTGGACTTAAACACCAGTTGGCCAACGGTCTTTCCCAACACATCCTGCGCCTTGTTACGTGGATGCTGGACGTCCACGTTCTCCGCAATTACGCGTCGCACATATGAAAGTAATCCCAATCTCTCGACGAAAGCAGTGCAGTGGGCGAGGCCCATGTCAGCGCCTGAGTCGATGAAGATCGCGCCAAGGGTGCTTTCGACGATATCTGACATGAATTTGTCTGGGCGGACGCGCGAGAATAATTCCCAGGGATACTTGGATCCGTACTTAAGCTCGTGGAGGATTTCTTCGCGCAGTTCTTGGTGTCGGGCCACGGATGCATCTCGGGCAGCGCCAATGGCTGGGCCGTTAAAGCGGAGGAATTTCCATAGGGAGATATCATCAAGGGTCATCTCCATGCAGAGGAATGCCAAAAGACCCGCGTTGACGACAGAGTGTTTGATAAGGGTCATCTTGCCCTCCGGGATCTTCTGGTTTAGCTCTGCGAAGACGGAGACAACCACCATATCAAGGACTGCGTCGCCCAGGAACTCGAGTCGCTGGTATGATTGGGTACGCATGTCATGCTCGCAGGACGAATGTGTCAGTGCCTCGGTCAGGAGTGAGGCATCTTGGAAGTTGTACCCAATCAGACTGCCGATGAGCTCTGGGTCTAGCAGGTTGCTAGCGAGATCCGAGGCCTGTTCTCTTGGTGGAATTCCTTCCTGAATGTCTATCTCCGGCAGGAAACGGTGGAGACAAGCTTGAGCTCTCCGCATGCCACCATCCATGTATCCGGCACCAATCAACGCTTCAACGACGTCTGCCAGTACCTTCATGGACAATTTACGCTTGGGCTGGGTACCTGCCAAAGCTGATTTGGTGGATATCAGCGGTGCATGCCACTTCCGAGGCGTAAACCGGTCGTTCAGGATGAACTGATCGAGACCAGTGTCCAGTGCTGCCCTCGCCAGCCGCTCGTTCTTGATGAGCTTATCACGGCTTTCGGAAAGATACCCCTCGTGCCAAGTTGGTTGTGAGAAAAATAGCTTACAGCTGACCGTGAATTTCAGCACGGAATCACCAAAGAATTCATAAAGCTGATAATGCGTCGTCGCCTGGGCGAGTGGCGTGGTAATCGCCGTCAAGACATGGCTAAGGTCCTGGATTCCAGCACCTTTGAGAATAGTCTCGTTGAGTCTATGAGCGACGATAGTGGCCTCGAAGCGATCAAGAATGGCGGAGATACACAGACCAAACATGGACTTCTTCCATGGAAGTTTATCAACCGTGCAGCCTGCAGCTGGGATGATGTGAATCTTGGGAGGGGCTTCTTCCGATTCATCCGCCATTTGGGATGGGTTTCGATACTGCAGGAGATTTCGTCGCTTCGGCAAGCTCCGGCATTCAATTTCCAATGTTCCCGTCTCATGCCACATGCGAAACAGTCGTGGTTCACTGTACTTTGCTGTGTCGCGAATAATACCAACCGGAGAGATATCATTGTCACGCGCGTAGAGATCTACAGCTTTTTCAGTGCCTTCGTAACGCTGAATCCAAGCTCCTAGTTGTTCAACTGGGATGTTTGGAACGAAAAGAGCGACATAGTCTCTACCAGCTCCTTGCAAGCGAGACGAGGGGGCTTGAAGGTACATCGCGGTGATGGTTCTCATATGCTGAATAATCTCCGCGGTAGGCATCGGACTGATAGGCTGACTTGGTCTAAAAGTCACAGTCATGCTAGTTTCATTCTCCCAAAAGAATGTAAGAGGATCTGGCACAGGCACCCATCTAGGTAGTACGATCGACGTCAACAGGTCTTCGTTAACTACACCCGTGCAATTGTCTGAGACCGTGATGCTCGTCTCATGAAGCTCATGGTTCACCCAATCTTGAGCCAAATCGATGTAAGGATCATACTGCGCGGAACATTCGATCAAAGCCGGCATTGGCGTGTCTTCCGTGAATCTCAGCTCTGGCTTTCGTGTCAATGGTAAAAGATTATCGTTGGCCAGGCCGTACTCCCAGAGTGATTTGTAGGCTTGGAAAGCTGCTTCTTTTCTGGCTGCGATCTCGGTGCACCACCAGCTTTTGCCTTGTGTTCGCCGGACCGCGGGATGAACTGAGTTTGGCAGAGTAACTGTGCCTCGGATGAGACCGCTCAAATCGTCTTCAAAAGAGAACATGGGCCGGTTATCGACGTATTGGTCAACGGGCAACAGGGAGCAAAAGTGGTGAAGATGTTGCATAGCATCATCCGCAGAAAGTCGCGCACTAAAATATGTCAGTCGGAGCAACCTTTTAGGCAGACATCAGGATCTTACCTTGTTGAGGCTACAAACAGCCATTCATCAACAATCTCTTGCGTTGCCTCGAGCTCACACGCTTCTCTATGTTGCCTCTCTTCCTGTTGATAGGCTTTAATCATGGTTTCCTCTAATGCACGCCATTGGGACAAAATGAGTGAGTCTTCTTCGGTGGATAGCATAATAGCATATGTAGAATGCTCATGTCGTGCCCGTCCACGGCGCTGAACGAAAGACTTCACATTGGCTGGTTTGTCGTAACAGATGACCAGGCGGCACGAGCTAACATCCAGCCCTTCCTCGAGGACATCAGTAGCGACGATCAAATTCTTCCGACCCGCTTTGAACTCAGACAACGTGTCACGTTGCATGTCTCGAGTGAGCAAATCTCCCAAAGACTCGTTCCGACTACTGGACCACCCGACGTATGATGCACAGCGGAAGCGATCCATTGTCGCAGGATGCAGTGATAAAAATCGAGTCAGGACACTCACTACCGATCGTCTCTTGGCAAAAATGATGCCAGAGAACTCGGGATGATCTATTTTATCAAGGAAAGAGAGCAATATCTCCAGTTTTGGGGAGATGTGAGTGTTCACCATGGTGTTCTCCGGCAGTGGCATACTAGCAAGAAGCTCCAAGAGATAGACCCTTTCTGCTCGGTCTAATCTCGTCATTGAGCCATCATTCTCTATTGATCGCCGCAGCTGATCAATTGATGCCTGGATGAAGTAGTCAACCGCCCAACCACCAAGTTCGACGTACATATGAAAGCTTCGCTCCAGAAACTTTTCAAGCTGCTGGCCGCAGAATGTTTTTCCTGTTTTGACAAAGTTCTCTGCTTCCACTGTTCTCTCTGAAGGATCTAGAATCAGTTCAATGTAGGGGTCTTCATGTATGTCGTACGCTTTCACACATTTCACAAGAGATGGAAGCAATCGGCTCCCAAAAATACCCTTTTCAACCTCACAGGGTGGATAAGGAATGCACTCGAGTTGTGGTCGATGGACATGCTCAAGTAGCTCAGATCTGTGTCTTCGCGGTGTCTTGCATATGGCGTCTAAATTCGCTTCTATCATTCTGCAAAACCTGTCAGTCGATTATCCATGGTTCGAGCTTGGGTCCTTTTACTGTAGCTCTCGTGGTTTCGATCGGACGATAGGACTTGCGGTCAGTCCCAAAATCCGGGGAACGGCATGTGTGCCGAGCTTGGCTCGCGTCGGGTGGTAGTGGTACTGCATGATTTTGTTTGCCGGATGGCCTCGAGTACAATGGTGGGCTGGCAAGCCACAGATATTAGCGTTGCAGCAACTCGTCCGTCTTGTATCAATACCTACCCTCGTCGAATACAAGCAGGGCCAACTGTGACATCCGCACGAATCCATGATTCAACGCATCGGAAAGAACCGCATGGGTGGAACAAACCACCCGAATGTCTTTGAGGGCATTGTTCCAAATGGCTTGTTCGGTCCATCTTTCCACATTGTCGCTGCCAATCAAGACTCGAGTCTTGGCAGATGGTATTTGTGAAGCGATGACCTCGTGCTGCTGAAGACAAAGAGCGACCGTTGGTGCCAGAAACCACACCAGCTGGAAATGTGTTAGCCAAAGACAAGATAGAGGTGGTTGTATAACAGAAATGGGATAATTCAATATTCACCTTGTCTGCAGGGCACCGTTCGAGCTCGGAGATGATGCGCATGACAGCTCTAACACCCACATTCAACGATTAGAGTTGCAAGCATGAGGCATGCAGGTTGGGGCATACATACATGTGAGTTTTTCCACTGCCAGTATCCATCTGCAAGATAAGATTATCAGCATTAATAGAGCCACTTACCGCGGACCGATCAACATACTGCGACAATGATGTTTTGTTGTTGACTAGCTTCTAGCATCTCTAGCTGATACCCGCGGGGTCTGTACCCTGCCACATCACTGCCAGTCAAATTGACAGGAGATGGCAAGTTGTGATCAGGACTCTCATCCATGGCATCCATTTCGTCCAATTTTGCTGAGATGGAAACAAAGAAAAAAGGGCGAGATGCCCGCAGTGCTGGAGGAAATGGTCTCAAAGAAATTAGGCGCTGGACGAGGCGGGCCACTTTGGTTGGCAAGCGGGGCCGCTTCTTATCGGGTCTTATCGCTACGGGAGAGCATTAAGACCTACTGCGCCAACACGCACTACTCCACACCAGCTAGTTGAAATGAATAGAACATCATGTATACAATTTTGTTAAGAGATCGCTCCGTTGGGAATCTCGCTTTTGAAATGCAAATTGTTCACATGGATTTCAGTAGCTATAATGCCTGGTGTAATCTTACGCTCAGCTTGTGACATTCCAGTTTCTTGCCCGCTCCGGATCTATATATATCATCTACATGGATCTTGTTGAAAACTGTAACCCAGGGTTCCGTGTAGGTATTGGAAGATCTGAGGTTTTTTTAATTGAGTCCCTTTCTACTCCGTGGCTCGCTATTCAATCATGTTAGTCTTTAGAATTAGTTATCTAATTATCTAGGAAGTTACTTTATTGTTGATGTCATGTGACCGTCCTACTTAAATTGGCGTGCTCAGCATGGTCCCCCTGATGTCCTGGATCACCACAACCGTAAGCCCGTTGTTTTCCCAAATATTCACCAGGTAATCCTAAAGCACCCTCAGATAATTGCCTAGCTCATATCATTCCTCAAAAATGCTCACATCTAAACCCTACGATTATGTTGCCTGGGCATTAAGCACCCGGATCTGGGAGGATTGGACAGAACTTCTTAGCACTGACGGTGACATCTACAATGACATCGGAGTCATTCTCTCTGAACAATTTATCGATCTTGAATGTACCGTGTTTGATTTTCTTTACACAGGCGGTTTCAATACCTGCTTCGTTCGCCAACAACTGCGGCGCTGTTATACGGTTCCCAGAGCCTGGTGCTGTCATGTTCCCTAGAGAGATAATCCGCAATGAAGTTGCTATCATGCAATTTATCTTGGAGAATACTTCAGACAAAATTCCAATCCCAGTCCCGGTGCCTTCTATCGCTCGCTGGGTAGAGACAAAAAAGAGTCCCTCAGACCTGGGACCTTTGATTGGTATGAAGTATGTTCAAAACGTGGGGAGTATGGGTCGTCTCCTTGAGATGCTACGGCGCCAGGGAGGGCAAAAGCCAGTACTCAATTTAGACCTCAAGCCAACTAGGTTAGAGGGCCTCTATAGAAACCTAGCTAATATCATCCTTTCGCTATCTACACTCCATTTTGGTCAGATAGTCTATTTCCAAGTATGATGATTCTACATGGGAAGTGCTCGATCGACCTCTGTGTTATACTCTATGAACGAAATTGCGCAACTAGGGACACCGCCACGCTCGAAACTACCGACCACAGCATACGAAAAAGCGTCAGCATACTTGAGAGCCTAGCTGAACTACAATTTCTACACCTCAGATACCAGAGAAACGAGGCGAATATACCGGCGGATATCGACCCAGATGTCTTGGCGGATGACTTCATACGCAAATTTGTGGCTAGGTTTCTCTTCCGGAAAACTGTTCGAGACTAGGAGTAGAGAAAGCAACAGATGTTCCATAATAATAGCCTTTTTCCTGTCTGGTGTGACGATTTTCGACCCGAAAATGTTCTAGTTGATGAAGCCGAATGCATCGTTGAAGTGGTGGATGGGGAGTTTACATATGCTGCTCCGGTGGAATTTTCTTATGCGCCACCTTGGTAGCTTCTTCTTCGAAAGCCGGAAGATTGGAATAAAGGCCTCGATGACTGGTGTATCTAGTATAAAAAAGCGCTCTAGACATTCCTGGAGGCAATACAGACATGTGAAGATGAGGCAATCCGGAAGAAGTTGCTAGTAGAAGGCCAGCGGCTATCTAGTCGGATGCGGGACAGTTGGCAAAAGGGAGACTTTTGGATCATGTACGCCGCGAGGAATTATTTTGCCTTTGACACGATATATTGAAAATTAATTGACCAACGGTTCTTCGGATTGACCACAAGTGAAGAAGGCAATATTTGCGATACATGGCGGAAGAGACTTCACCTCTTGGAAACAGGAGAGAAGAAGCTCATGGAGGAATATATGAATCTGAAGCTTGAAGATAGAGGCACAAGGCGTCTCTTATGGGACCCAGATGAGTACACCGAGGAGTGGATCGAGAGGTTGAAGATAAAGAAGCAGGAGAGGGAGAAATTGGGGGATGGGGAGGAGAAGTGAGGTCAAGAGAAGCATCTGTCATGATATTGGCGACAGGGTCATTTCATATACATTTCTCTCATTCAGGATGGACCGATACTGGGTTATCAGGCAATTTAAGGACTTCATTTGGGCATTGTACATTAGTCCCACAGAACAATCTCCACTTCGTTGCTCCTGATCCCCAGTATTCTGCGGGACTAATCTGCGGAACATCTAGTCATTCGAAAACCAATCTAGTGCAGACATCAAGAGATTCAATGATTCCGGAGAAGCAGTCAGAATATTCCATCGAAGCCTATCCATATAGTTCGCTGTTCGCTTTAGAACTCTATGTAGACGAGTTGTATGGGTTTAGTTTACACTATGGCCCCCGCATTTCATTCCAACCTCCCCAATTCTCAGAAACACGCGCCCTTTCCCACGCCACGACCTTCTCTAACTCGCCCAGGTCTCCTATTTTCTCGTTATTTGCACCATTCAGAAATCTCACGGGTGAATCTTTATCCTCGCGATCTAAGGTTCATACCAAAAAAGGCTATTTTGCGGGAGCCACCGGTAAATTAGACTCTCGCACAGACCAACCTGAAACTCAATTCCGCAAGAGGCCGTGGCTCAACTTCGGAAGAATGCCCATTATTCGTCCAGATAACAATTTAACTGCCACCACTGAACTCAAGGTCAGCCCTTGTTGTAGGTGCTCTCAAACATACAGCCCTGTGGAAGACTGGGCTAGAAGCCCAGAACATAAAGCGGATGCTGATTCCACGCCTACTGCTACCCAGCTTTCCGAGTCAACTTCAGTCTCTGAGATGGATCTAGCACAATAGCACTGTCAATATATTAGATAATGATGCTTCACCGAACTCGAATGTGACTGTCGTCAATCTTGAATAATCGCTGGCAAAACAGCAAACTCATGGGTCGGACAAGGCGCAAGTTTCACGAACAAATCGTGGCATTATATTGTGTGATTGGCCAGACGCGTCTCTACAAAGAGGTGCATGAACTGGAGGTGGATCTGGATGTGACCATGTAAAAGGCGAATTGATTGTTCCGGCAGATCTTGTCGTCGCAACCGAGGTTAATTCTTCTTATGACATTCACCAATAGGTGATGTGGAAATTGTTCACACGAGGAGTAAGGGCGATGCAGAGATTGAGGCTGAGTTGAAATGGAGTCGGTCAGAGGTCAAGCCTGTGGGTAGTATGTCCAGTCAAAGGAGGCTCAAAGAAAAGGGCTTTGGTATATTCGAAGCATTAATCAAACACTGGGGGAATGAGCCAGCAGAGAATCGAGAGGATAGGCTCAATGTGGGAGATTCGAGTACAAGATCGACGGAGAATTTCAATACACTCCCTCTGTAGTTCTCTAAACAGTTCGGAGTGACTGATCTCATGCGGCTCTGTGCATATCGGGAGGTTGTTTCTCCGGTCGGACACCCTTTTGGGATGTCAACATCTTTCCTCTCCTCACATCTTTCGGGAATCGAAATCATTCTTAATCCTCCTCTTCAACTTTCATGATAACTCATGAGTCATACTCGGGGACTTCAACTGTCTCTACGGCATCGGCCTCACCATCGCCAGCGCGCAGTGAAGCAGCCGAAATTCTTCTCAGCCCCACGGGGCATGCCAATGTCAACATTGTTATCATCGCCTCCAACAAACCATAACAGTACTTCTTCCCCCAAGAGCCAAATCTTTGATACCCGCCGATCCAAACATTCCCTTCCTTCATGGGTCCATACGTTATCAGGCGATATACCTCCAACTTGCGCTATCCTCCATCTCCGCGCTCCACTTCACCGCTGGACATCGCGCCACAACTCCACCAGAATGACCCACCCAACACCGATAATCGTCCAAGTAGAGGGACCCTCCGAGGAAACAAAATCCGATCACGGATCTCATCTGAAAGATCAACTGGAATGTATTCCAAAGCACACAAAATATCTCCAAGTCGAAGGTGATACCCCCTCCGACACGGAATGGACTATCCTCAGATCCCATTTCGCCAATATCGAGTCGCTCTATTTACGGGCTGGTTACAATGAAGATCTCAATGACGGGGGTATCCCTCTTCACTGGCCGTTACAGAAACTCGAGTTTAGTGATTCGGTGAGCGAGGTTTTTCGGAGTCCGTTCGTTCTGGAGGGGCGTGTGTCGCATTTGAGTTTGTTCTTTACTTGTGGATTGCGTTTTGAGGGTTCAAGCAGTCATGAACTGCAACTCGAACATAGAGAGCGTATTAAGCGTGGGGAAGTCGAAGGAGATTTTATTACGCTGCATGAGGGTACACCTGATGAGAGGAGGATTGAGGTTACCTACCTCCCTTCTTTGGTATCTGATCATATCAATAAGATCTTCACTGATCCGAAGCGAGGACTGAAAGAACCACCAGCTGGGCCATTCGGTTTGCGGACGCTGGAGATTTGGGAGAATGATGCTATTGATACTTTTAATCGTATGGCGTTATCACTGCCTCATCTTGTGGGGAATCTGAGAACTCTCCGGATCAGGTCGACAAGTGGTCTGGACTTTCACTATACAAACGAACATTTGTTCCGTGAGATTCTTCCTCAACTATCAGAGCTTCAATCATTGAGTCTCTCCGTCGGGGATGTGTTCCAAGATCCGAACTACCTTCCAACAATCTACAAAATCTTCCCGCCCAACTTGACAGAACTGTACTTCCGTGGCCCTTCTTCACTGTGCGAGTCGAACGAATGGTCTAATTGGGTACAGGCATTCGAGTCGAAGGATTTTCTTCCCAGCCTACAGAAGCTTGCGTTTGTACTTGACCTGCACTATGGAGAGGACGCATCAGGCCGGAAGACAGAGGGTCCGGCTCCAGCAGCGCTGCTTTATCAAGCACGCATAGCGTGTCAACCGATCTACGACATTGCCAGACGACGCGGGATCAGTATTGTGGAAATGCCAGCCGAGCCGGAGCTCGAAGCTCTACTTCGTCCTGTGGATGAGCGTTGGTAATATGTTTAGCTTCTCGGATCTCCACTCATGAGTACTGCGAATTACGAACATCTCCTCTACGAATCTACAAATGTCCCTCTTCATAATTTCGACATAAGACTTCAACCTCTGAGTTGAAATCTTCGTAGTAAATCCATCATTATTCATGGCGTATATCCGTATATAACATATCTTAATATATCACGTACACCCAATCACCAACCAACCCAAGGATTTAACCAACCCAAGGATTTAATCAAACCCAACTATCCATTCTAGTACACATATCGGAAGTTCAAGTTCTCCTGATCAGTCTTATCCTCAAAGGCGTGAATCAGATTGGGATCGGCAGAGGTCAAATCCGCCGCAGCCACGAGCTCATCCTTGCGCTTGTTGGCGCGCTTCAGGTGGAAGCGGAGGTAGATGACTGCCACGGTCATGCAGGCGTAGCACGCAAGGTGGACACTCCAGGCAATGTGGTACCGGGGTGCGTCCCAGTCTAAGAAGACTTGTGGGCCTGAAGAGAAACAAATCGATTAGTATGGCGGGTCAGAATGGTTGGGGGGAGGGGATGGGATGGGGGACGTACCAATGGCGTTTCCGGCGGCCCAGGAAATGAATGTTGCGGCGACGACGGTGGACTTTTTGGTTTGGCCGGCGATGTTGCGGGAGACCATGGACAGGCAGAGGGTTTGTGCGGACCAGAAGGACAGGGTGATGTAGTAGCTGATCAGGAGGCCGACCTTGGTGGCTAGGGTGGTGTTCTTGACGGTCATCAGGACGATGGTGCCGATGTAGGAGCTGTCAAAGAGTTAGCAATCGCAGTCACTACCGCTACCATGGGGTCAAATACTCACGGAATAACGAAACCCAGCATAACCAGCAAGTTCTGCTTATACTTCTTCACCAACCAAGCCGAAGTGAGCAGAATGACAATAATGTAGAAACCCAACACCATGGCCAAAAGCTGACTCTGCAGGGTGGTAAACTTGAAACTCTTCATGATAATACCAGCAAAAGCACCCAGACCACTGGTAGGCAGGGTAGTGAACATCTGGATACTGCAGTAGCACCAAGTCTGAGGATCACGAAGAGCCTCCCACACCTGGTACGAGCGGAACTGTCTGTTCTGGATACCGGTCTGGTTGGAACGCAGACGCTCGACCATCATCCGCTTGTCTTCCTCGCTGAAGCACTTGGCTCGCATGGGCGAGTCGGGCATCCACCACATGACGAACAGTCCCCACAGGACGGACAGACATCCGTACGAGAGGAACAGTGCCTGCCAGGACTTGAGGACCTTGTCACTGCCAATGAGGGTGAAACAGTAGGCCAGCAGACCGCCGACAATCTGTTGAGCGCCGTTCATCATGTACCAGTAGGTAACGGTTGCGGCTTGTTCTTCACGCTTGTACCACATGGAAGATAGTAGGACGAAGGTAGGCTGACAGCAGGCTTCGAAGATACCCAGTAAGGTACGGACAATCACCAGGCCGGTGAAGTTGTGGCAGGCAGCGTGGAGGGCCAGGATGGTACCCCAGAGGCAAATGTTGATGCCGAGGTATTTGGCGATGGGGACGCGTTGGATGATCCAATTGGTGGGGTATTCGACGGTCAGGACGGCGATGTAGATACAGGTGGTGAGCCAGGAGTACTATAGTCGGGTGAGCATTGTGGTATATCGGTGCTGACGAGAAGAAGACTAACCTTCTGTCCATCCTCGAGATGAGCATCGGTCTTGATACCCATGATGGAGGAGAAACTCATGGTACCCTTGTCAAGGGCCTGCAGGAAGTAGGTCAAGATCATGATGACTAGGACACGACGGTCAATCATCTTCTTGAGGCGCTTGTCGTCTTCAGGGCTGACATGTACGCCACTGCTGGCGTACATTTGGACCTACCATTTATTCTGCATTAGCTTGGGATATCAAATATGGTGGCGATGCGATGATAAGGTTCAATCTCACCTCCTTGTCCACTCGTGACAGATCCATATCCTCCTTCTTCAAGTCATCGTGGGACAACACCTGCTCGACATGGGAGATATCCCGAGCAGTCTTGTCCTCACCCATCTCAATAGGGTGTTGGGTAGTCTCTGGCTGGATCCCCAAGTGGGATTGAGAGCCGTTGTGAACCATTGTCAGTGATTGAAGTCGGGCAAATCGCCACAATCACACAGGTAAGGCACACAGGTCGGGGCACGAGGAAATCGAGACCAGCAGGGCGATCCCTCGAGACTTATAAGCGACGGTCACACGTGGGAGAGAATAACTCTGACAAGAACTCACAAGCAACAGCCTTTGTGGCGTCTCGCCAGTTCAAGCAGCGGGCCAAGACGATCATGTGCCCAGTTCAGTCCAATCGTGCTGTTCTCCCCTTGTTCCTTCTGTCCATCTCTGCCCTATCAAGCCCTCCTTCGGTTCGCCTAAACCCGAGTATATTATCCGAGTCACCAATGAATTCACCCCATGTTCTTTTCCCCGGGGTTTCTTGGCGCGCGGAGTAGACGTTTCCCCCAAATGGGCTCCACTTGGCACTTGAAATCGCCCCCACGCGGAGAGTTGGCGAGTGGACAAGTCCGGGGAAGCAATCCACCGAGCGAAGGCTCCACGCCTCCAGCCTGAGAACTCCACCCTCTCCTCTAGCGGCGGTCCAAACGCCTGATTCCCGCGGAATCCTTGGTTGCTAGGCGTGGCTGGCCACTGGTTGCCGAGCTCGCTACTGCAGGCTGGGCTCCATCTTCGGTCAGCGATACCCCGAATGATGCTTGGCACTTGCGGGGGAGCGTGGGGATTCGTGGATTGAGGGGTACGAGAGTTCTTCCGCAAATCATCCGTGGGGGAAGCTCCGGTGTTGGCTACTTATTTGGTGCGGAGGGATGCTCGCTAGCATGATTCAGTGATTGTCTGAACAATTTCTATTTCTTGGCTGCCAGCGAGCTGTGCAATTGCAACCGATTGCCAGAAACGATCGACCGAGCGACCGAGCAAGCCGAGGAAAATAATACTGGGGAGTGCATTATCGACCCAGTGGAAGAAAATCATCGCTTGTTCACTTCGACCAGTCATTGAGTTTTCTCTTTTCTGAAAAAAAAGTTTCCTCTTCCCCCGCTCTCTCCTTCTCTTCTCCCTCCATCATCACTCTTCACAATGGCTTCTACTCGCCTGCCTGCCCCCGAGGTCCACAAGTCCGTCAACCTCCTCATTGACAACCTCGTCAACATCAAAGATGAGACCGGCAGGTTCCTCATGCCCCTAGCCGACGGTCGCATCATCGACACCAAGTCCTGGCATGGTTGGGAATGGACCCACGGCATCGGTCTGTACGGTCTATGGAAGTACTATGAATTGACCGGCGACGAGCGTCTATTGAAGATCATCGAGGACTGGTTTGCCGCACGATTCGCCGAGGGCGGAACCACCAAGAATATCAACACTATGGCCGTGTTTTTGACTCTGGCGTATGTCTACGAGAAGACTGGCAATCCTACATATCTGCCTTGGTTGGATGCGTGGGCGGAGTGGGCGATGCATGATCTGCCCCGGACCCGGTACGGCGGTATGCAGCACATCACATATCTCACTGATAATTACCAACAATTATGGGATGATACCCTGATGATGACTGTCATGCCTCTCGCTAAGATTGGCAAGCTGCTCAATCGTCCCCACTACATTGCCGAGGCGAAGAAGCAGTTCCTCACACATATCAAGTACCTATTCGACACGAAGACGGGTCTTTGGTTCCACGGGTGGACGTTTGAGGACGGTGGTCACAACTTTGCCAATGCGCGCTGGGCTCGGGGAAATAGCTGGGTGACTATTGTGATTCCGGAGATTATTGAGCTGTTGGACTTGGAGTCCACCGATCCTATCAGGCTACACCTGATCGAGACGCTGGACGCACAGGTCGAAGCTCTGCAACGTTTCCAGTCCGAGTCGGGCGCTTGGCACACTCTCCTCGATCACCCAGATTCTTATCTGGAAGCCTCTGCTACTGCGGGCTTTGCCTACGGTATCCTCAAGGCCGTGCGCAAGCGCTACATCAGCGCAAACTACCTCCCCGTCGCTGAGAAGGCTATCGCTGCGGTGCTGAAGGATGTGGATCCCAAGGGTGAACTCCTCAATACTAGCTTTGGCACTGGCATGGGTGATTCCTTGCAGTTCTATAAGGATATTCCCTTGACTTCCATGCCTTACGGTCAGGCCATGGCTATCATGGCTCTGGGTGAGTACCTGCGGACTTACCTGTAGGCTAGCTACGGACTTCCAATTTGTTGCGTGTTCATGCATTGTATAGACAGGCGGTGGCGGTGTAAATAAAGGATAGACTATTTATGTGTGTCAATGAATCATGTTTGATGTATAGATTTGTGTTGCTAGATGACTAGTCCTCGAAAAGGGTAGCCTAAGGATCTCTACGGTAGTAAACAACTCTCAAGACCCTGTCATGAATAAATTAGAGCCAAATACTGCGATTAACGAATGTAAGCGGGAACTTGGAGTGGACCTGAAGTCATCCGAGGTATTCCATTAATTAAACACGTGAGCACTTTATTGATAATCACGAAGCCACAGCTCTATTTACCCAAGGGCGTTTTGTTGAATTTCATTAGCTGAAAACTGACTACTAAGCCACACAGCCACGAGTAGTAACCTGAGACGTGGCGTTATGTTAATATGAGAAGATCTAGGGAAAGACGTGGGGAAAAATCTGGAGAGAGATGAAGATAGACGCAGGGCATTCGAAAGCAGAATGAACTACCTATTAGGGATGTCAAAAATTTCACAGACAACGTTGAGCGCTCCATCATTTGGGGCTCACCCGAGAAATATCTCGAGCATTCATATTTGGAGCTTCTCGCGCAGATCCTCGGCATCAAGCTCCTCCGGACATTTGAAAGCAGCACGTTTGAGAACAATATATCGGAGGAAGAATGAAAAAGAAGAAGCTCTTTGCCCCCCCCCTCTCCAAAGCTGCCGTTCAGTTCATGAACGCAGCAGACGAAGCACAAAAGCGTTGGGAAAAGCATACTCGGACAAGCAACGATGAAGAGTCGGACAGTGAGTACGACGATGACTCTATCTTCTGAGAAGTTCGCAACCAAGCTTTTGCAGGCCGGGATTCCCTTCAATGCGCTGGACTCTAATGTCATGGTTATCGACATATCGAGCGAGAATCAGGTGATACGCGGAGTGACTTGAACGAGAGATAGGGGAACGGAGAATTCCGCACTGGAAAATTTGTAAAAGGTAGATTAGGAATCATCGACTGAGACTGGGTTATGCTATACTGGAACGTCTGCTACCTGAAAGTAGGCAACGAACATTCAGTATGAATTAAATCGAAATCATTGAATCCTAATGTATGCGTTTGGCAAACTACACGCCAGTGTTCTATTTTCATTCAGGCCAATCATTCGCACCAGCCTAGATCAGCGATGTCTTGGTGTTAATAATCATTGCCAGTGTGACTTGTGTCACATTCATTCTTCCGGCCGATAAGAATTACCAAAGGATATACGGATATAGGACAAAAGATTCGGTATGTTCCTGTTTGCTTACGATACGAGCTTCGTGGCTTCCTTTTTGGCTGGCTGCCATAAAGGTTTGGGCTTTCTCCTACAAACACAATTTTCTTTGGCTTATTCTCTTTCTTACCCCTCTACATCTCTCAGGGAGATCCCTCTTCAGTAGGTAACTTCCGCGATTTCCTACAGCCCTTTTGGCGGCTTTTCTACCACCTCTCTCAACATTTTCTCACAACCTCTTCCCATTAACTTCCATCTTCTCTGATCGACAGATTTTCTATCAGGTATATATCGAGCATTCAACCAAATTTATCATCAAGTACGTCGTCGACTAACGTGTCGACTATCGCTGACGTCAACCATAAACATACCCGGTATCACCATTCATTTTCATTTCTTGCCCATTTTTCACCCACCCTATTGCAACCCTCAGGTTTCTGGTCTCTTGCAACAACGCACTAGCTATCTCTCTAGCTATCAAGACATCGTTGCTCTCGTGTTTCTTTACATAAATGCAACATATGACACTGTTGTCCTAGGAGCACCAAGGTCACGCTAAGAAGGAGAATCGCCACAAAAGCGTCGAAGCCAACATGACAAAGGTATTCCTCTATTCCGCTCTACCTCATTGTCTCATCAAGGGAATAAGCACGCTCCCCCATGGCTTATTTAGGTGGCCGCATGAATTGAAGAATCACGACCAACACAACTTCGGTCAATCCGTCTATTGAGAAAAGACACTGGGTACAATTTGATGCGCACATCTGGCCCCAAACTGAAAAGCACAGAGGTGTCCATGCCATTTGAGGATGAGGGCCTCAAGTCCATGCTGATGAATCATGTGCACGAAAATATCAACTCGCCTACTACAGTGGACACCTGGCCATCGTGTCTATTACAGTGCTTATTGTTGATGAATTGGCAACAGAATGGAAATTTCTGCTAGTCTGCGAGTCAGAAACTAAGAAGAATGCCTGCGGAGATCAAGAAGTTGTCACTACACAGAACGATCCCGCACTGGATGGCTTCGGCGCCCGAGCCCTCGTACTCCTGGGAAATGCCCGGGATGACAATTGCTGGGCCCGAAGATCGCCAAAACGCTACTCCCGTTGGGGTCGGGTGTCGAGTGCTTCATATAGCGAGTGAAATAGATGCCATTCACGCCGGAAACCAAGTTTCCGACGGCGTCTTCAATGAAACCCACATCTTATGGCAGATTTTCTTCTATTTACAGGGCAAGGTCAATACTGTTTTTCTTTGCTTCCATGCTGTTTTCTGATGAGCATAGACACCCGATGTTGTCCTTCCAGGCATTCGCCGCGGTATACCCTGGCTTGTATACTGGCGGATAAGTATTCTTGCCTAGTCTCACAGATCAAGTGGACACTCTCTTACATCTATTAGGAGTTAGACGGAAGAAAGCTATGATCCCGTATCCAAAACAGGCCAGCAAGACGTTACATGTACTTTCGCTTCCTTGCAACGTATATATACGGCAAGCAAAATAAAGTACGGCCTTCACCCAAACGGTCGACCTCCGCCAAAACAGCCGGTCATGCTCGAGTCCATACGAGGAGTCGAACGCGTTTCGGTCTTCTGCACCCTTACTTCTATATCTCGTTACCTTCTACATCCTTTATCTACATTATGAAAGCTTCATAACTTCAGAAACAGGATAGGAAATATTTTATTCCCGTTCCAAATCCTAAATCCTAAATCGTTCTTCTATCACCTCTTTATTCTCAACCCGAGAAACTCGCACGACAATGACTCCACCGTTTGCAGATGAGTACCGCTACCTAGACATCACATCAAGTCGTGTGGTGGCGACTCTCGGTGAAAAGGGGATTAAGTACGGCTTCTGTGGCGGTTATGCTGCCGGTTTCATCGTCTCTCAGCGCGTGACCAAGGTAACGTCTTCCACTATATCCACAAAAGAGTAACCAGATACTAATGTACGTTCAGGATATTGACGTTATCGCGAGCAAGGATCCCACAGAGGCCTTTCTGGCACCAGTGGCGGTGGAGGAGATCCTCAGCGCACATAAAGATTTAGAGGGACGGTGGGAGCTGGTCAATCGAGAGGTGGAAAAGGAATAAGACTTGGTGAACGGGTCCGATGCTCATTACATATTGAATGCCCCTGGGTAATCATAGCCGGACTTTTGCAAATGGGTGGGTCAATTGATTGACATCTCAAGGAATGCCAATTCGAGAGAAGGTATTCCAGTGCATGTCTACCGGCCAGCTCAGAAAGAAAAGGTTTACATCGAGTGGCACCGTTAAAAATGGTGGTGGGACTGACTTATAATGTAGAATCCTCAGGTCCAATGAATTGCAGTTAGATGATAATAATATCCAGGAGGTATAATGGCTCTCCAATCTGATTGGCATGAAAATAAAATGTGTAAACGACTTTGTTATCTTATCGGCGATACTCGCGTGTTCCTGGCGGGGCATCGGCGGTCTCCGACTCGGTGGCTGTAAAAATCGAGCGGGGGGAAATTGATCAACTCAGCCATTGCGTGGCATATTTATTGCTCGATTTCCCCAGATTGAACGAGACAGGATCGACATAGTCTATTCTACCTTCTGTGCCTGGACACATACTTACCACTAATTGTGCCCCCCGTCTAGCACCGCCGCAAACCCACTGCCAAAGTGTTACCCAGCATGCTGTATACGCACGCCACCATCATCACGGTGGATGGCTCCCGTCGAATCATCGATGATGGAGCCATTCGCGTCAATGGCGATACTATCGCCGATATTGGCAAAACTGCTGTGCTTAAGGAGCGATACCCGGACGATGAGGAACACGATCTGTCCGGTCGCATCATCATCCCCGGGTTGATCTCCACCCATATGCATACAGCACAGACCCTGCTACGAGGAACCGCTGATGACCTCGAGCTGGTGTCGTGGTTGTGCGAGCGTATCTGGGTGCTGCAGGGTAACTTTACCGAGGCAGATGGGTATGCGGCGGCGCGGTTGAGTATTGGCGAGATGTTGAAGTCGGGTACGACTTGTTTCTTGGAGAGCATGGTAAGTACAGACCGAATGGATGCGATGAATTTGGCATGACCTGACTCGGTATTTAGTTTGCCGATCGATATGGCTTTGATGGTCTGGCTCGTGCTGTCGAAGAGTCAGGCATTCGGGGCTGTCTCGGCAAGATTGTCATGGACATTGCCAAATATGCCAAAGATGACGCCTGGGCCATGCATCCGGGTTTGGTTGAAAACCGTGAAACTTCCCTCCTGGGCACCTTGAAGATGTGGGAGAAGTGGAATGGCGCTGCCAATGATCGCATCCGCGTCTGGTTCGGTGCCAGAACTCCTGGCGGGTAAGTTTGTACAAGCATTGGGGAATTTTGTTGGAATTGTGCAAGATACTGACTCGCCACAGCGTCTCCGATGCCCTGTACAAAGAAATGACGGCTATTTCCCGCGAAAAGGGCATTCCCGTCACCATGCACTGTGCCGAAGTCAAAGCCGACCGGGACTTCTTCGCCTCGGTGTCGCACACCCCCATGTCCTACTGTGACTCTGTTGGCCTGTTGAGCCCCTCCACTGTGCTCGTGCACATGGTCCACCTCGATGACTCAGACATCAAGACTCTGGCAGCATCGGGAACTCACGTTGCCCACTGCCCTACCTCCAATGCCAAGCTCGCCTCAGGTATTTGCCGAGTGCCTGACTTGCAGCAGGCGGGAGTCAACATTGGACTCGGCACGGACGGAGCTCCTTGCAACAACACCTGCGATCTCCTGCAGGAAATGAAACTGGCCGCGATCATTCACAAGAGTATCTCGTACGATCCGACCGCCGTCCCTGCCGAAACCGTCCTCGAGATGGCTACTATCAATGGTGCCAAGGCTCTGGGCCTGGATGACCGAATTGGCAGCTTGGAAGTCGGCAAGAAGGCCGACTTTGTCGCCATCGATGTCCGTGGCATCCATAACCAGCCCTGGCACAACGCCGCCAGTGCAGTGGTGTATACTGCAACCGGTCGCGACGTCGACGTGGTCGTTGTCGACGGTAAAGTGCTCGTCCAGAATGGCGAGCTCCTGACCATGGATGAGAAGGAGATCGTCGAAGAGGCCAAGAAGCGCAGCCGAGAGGTGGTTGAGCGTGCTGGCCTCTCTAGCAAGGTGAAGGGTCGCTGGCCCGTCGAGTAGAGAGAGGATTGCCTTCCCTCTACTCTGACACGGAGCATTGACTCCGTGCATTATGGTTTTGATTTTTTGTGATTCTTTCTGACTTTCTTGAGGAGCCATTGGCGAGCACATAGCCGGTCTTTCTTGTATTATTAGTTCTTTTCTAACATCGCAATGGCATGATACCCTCATCGTTTTATTATATCAAGAGTCCACCTGGTATCTATGCCTCCCTGAATAAGCCAGAGCTCTATTAGTTCCAGGAATGAGTTCCTTTCAGCGCATAAGCTTATCGCGCTACGAAATTTCTCTATGTAAGCCTGGAAGTATGTCACCCACCTTGACGCAGGCTTTGACATGTCTCAGACAGAGCCTGCTACTCTCTGAAATATGGTTTGTTTTCTAGGAGTCAACTTTACTGCACTATTATCGATAGCGCCAGATCCGCTCTGAATGCAGAAGTTATTGAGGATTTAGTACAACTCACATGCAGCTAGCTACACCATAGACACTAGGTGCCGTCCAGATACTCCTCTCTTCATGCAATGCCGAGATCCTGACCCGAGATGTTGACCGAGGTAGCTATTCATTACTCTCATTCGATGCAAGCCCTATCATAAAGTTCAGGGATTTGAAATCATCCAATTTGTATTCAGACCCCGCATTCTCCCCGCAGCTAAATCACAACCCCGCTTGTCACATACACGACAAATAGAATGAGTTCTGAGCAATGATAGTCCAATGATCAGAAAACCTTAGCCGAATCAAATCATGTGGAGTCGGATAGTCGCCAATAGCTCGGTGGTTATCGCATCCGACGAGCCTATGCGGTTGGATCAGAGCTCACTTTCAGATCTGCAGGATCGATGATGGCTGCGGACTACAGATCAATAATGTGACTGATAAAGCACAGACCACTAATCGTCGGCTGGGAATCTTTCCGCGGGTATGGGTCCGTAGGCCGTGTTTGCTGAAGGAGATAGCCGAAGTGGATGTATAAAGACTGGAGGCTGGCTGACTGTCAAGCGGTCTGGAGGCCTAATATTCTAGCGCTATTTTCACCCCTTCATTCCCCACATCTCTATTTTCTTCTCAAACTTTTCTTCACTCTGTTCCAAATCATTTGACTCCTTAAAGAGGCAGAGAAGGTTTAAATGGCAATCTCCGAGAAGAATGGTCCATTGGACTTTACTGTAGGCGTCCTCTCTTCCAAATAGATCATTGAAACAAGCATCTAACCTTAAATCGCACAGACATTCCATAATGTTATTAACAATGAACTGACCTCGACCGCTGTGACTCATCACGGGATCAATCCGGCCACCACGGAGCCCAATCCGGAGGTGCCTGTCGCTACTCAAGAAGATCTGGACAAGGCAGTCGAAGCAGCCCGTGCCGCTTTCAAGACGTGGTCCAAGGTCTCTTTTGAAGAGCGCCGCGCCGCACTCCTGGCCTATGCCGATGCCATTGACACTAACATCGATGGATTTGCCAAGACTCTCACAATGGAGCAAGGCAAGCCTATGACCCAGTCTACCACTGAAGTTGGCATGGCAGGTGCGTGGATTCGGGGACTCACTGACTTTGAAATCCCCACGAATGTCATCGAAGAGACTGAAGATCGTAAGATCATTCAGCGTTATACTCCCATGGGTGTGGCGGGTGCTATCGTGCCTTGGAATTTCCCGGTCCTTTTGGCTATCGGCAAGATCGTATCTGCTGTGTATACTGGAAACACGGTTATTGTGAAGCCGTCTCCATTCACCCCATACTGTGGCCTAAAGTTGGTTGAGCTGGCTACACGGTTCTTCCCCCCTGGCGTTGTGCAGTGTCTGAGCGGCGATGATAGTCTGGGTCCTATGATTACCGAGCACCCCGGTATTGACAAGATTTCCTTTACTGGATCGATTGCCACTGGTAAACGCGTTATGGCCAGCTGTGCTAAGACCTTGAAGCGTGTTACCCTTGAATTAGGCGGTAATGACCCGTCGATCATCTGCGAAGATGTCGATATTGATGCGATTATACCTAAGGTAGGTCTATCTTTGTCGGACTTAACTGAATGAAGATCTAAGACTAATGGTCTCTATAGATTGGGATTCTCTCCTACCTGTGTAGCTCCCAGATCTGTATGATGATTAAGCGACTCTATGTGCACGAGAAGATCTACGATCAGTTCTTAGAGAAGTTAGTTACCTTCGTCAAGACTCTTAAGGTTGGAGACGGTACCGAAGCCGACGTCTTCTTTGGCCCTATCCAGAATCAAATGCAATTCGAGAAGGCCAAGGACTTGTTTAGCTCTATCTCTACTGAGAAGTTGAAAGCCGTTCTTGGTGGCTCGATCGAGGAATCCAAGGGATACTTCATCCACCCGACTATCATTTCGAACCCGCCCGAGTCCTCTCGTGTGGTGCAGGAGGAACCATTCGCCCCTATCCTCCCTGTTATGAAGTGGTCCGATGAGGATGATGTGATCGCGAAGGCTAATGCGTTGGAGACAGGATTGGGCGCTTCGGTCTGGTGTAAGGACTTTGAGCGGGCCACTCGTATCGCCGACCAATTGGAGTCTGGTGTGGTTTGGGTGAACTCGCACTTTGATGTTGCGCCTAACGCGCCGTTTGGTGGGCACAAGCAGAGTGGTGTCGGTGTTGAATGGGGTCTGTCTGGTCTGTTGAGCTACTGCAACTCGCAGACGCAGTGGTTGAAGAAGAGCTTTTAGTTGTGTTATTTAGCTTTGGTCCGTAGACATATGTTACATACAAGATGCCGAACTGAGAACCAGCGTGGTATCACTTAACCTCAGTAATTGATTTGACTTTCTCAGTAGTGCGATATTCACTCACCTGTCCAAGCATTTTCACAGAACCTCTTAGGTGATGCGTCCCTTAGCTTCGGATTTAGTCCTCGAGGTCCGAACATTTTTATCATCCACTATCCAGCCCTTGAATCTTCCAAAAATCTACTTTTCTAGCAATAAACAAAACGTGCAATCTATCTCTATTCAGTACGGGTAGTGTAGATTGCTCCCAATAGTTCTGCAACCACCCAGGTTCTTCAGGATACTTTTGAACAAAAATACTTCAGAGTCCAGCGGTAGCGGTCAACTTTCACGCTGTATTCCACCGCGCATCTGTTTCTTTGGACCCCCAGAAAACATAACAAAATGCACAGACGACTTGTACTGGTAGTATTGCTTGACATAATCTATCAGCTGGATCACTTTCAAATAGGCATCCTCACAGCTTGAATCATCGTCATGCAGATCGTTTTTATCTGTTCGTCATGGAAACCTCGCAGTTTTTCAGGCGACAGCAGGGTTGTTATTTCCCTTCCTGTGAAAGGGTTCAATACGGCCCGATGATGTCACTTCCAACCCCCAAATTATCTTATCAGAGCAGTAGAACCCACCCTCAAACACAACTAGGCTAACACAAATAGAAACACACCGACAGTATTCTGCATGACGTTCTCCACAGGAAATATTGCGAATCAGATAGCTCGAGATAAATTAACGATGACATACTATTCCCTCTGTGGCTGGATGGATTGGAGATTGCTAGCGCCGATCGTTCCACGGATGACGTGCCGGGCTTAGCGCCACTTCATACAACCCCTGTCACCTATTGTCATCCCCATTCTGGAAGGCGACTTTGCACTTGGCATACGTCCGTGATGATATCTTGATCGTCTCATAGTTCTATCGAACTCCTTGTTATTTAAGCTTGTGAATATTCCATTCTTGAACTTCATTTCTAACTATATCTTCAATCCGAATAAATATATTGCGACATTCAAAGATATTTTGTCGGAGCAAAACACATTCAACCACAGTCAAACCTACTGTACCAACCGCGACAATGTTCCGCCGTCATCATCGCCCAACCACTACTACTACCCGCGAAAGCAAACCCTCCCTCATGACCCGTCTAAAGGGCCCTAATGCCCGTACTAAGACGGTTAAGACCAAGACCACTACTACCCGTCACGGCCCTGCTACAACTACCCGTCACGGCCCTGCTACAACTACCCGGCATGCTCCAGCCACCCACCGCACAACTAAGCGTCGCTGGGGTAGGACCCAGCCGCAACACCACCACAAGCGCAAGGTGACCATGGGCGATAAGGTTTCTGGAGCTATGATGAAGCTGAAGGGAACCTTGACTGGCCGACCCGGTGTCAAGGTACGTTCTTGAATAGCTGGTTGATTAATTTGGTGACAGAACTGACTGTTATCATTATTAGGCCGCTGGTACTCGCCGCATGCACGGAACTGATGGTCGTGGAAGCCATCACCATGTATATTAGAGATACCCCTTCCTCCTTTGTACGATATGAGTGATGAGATATGAAATGTTTTATTATACTTGCTATTGTGAATCCATAATAACGTCTATGCTTCTGGTGCCTCACGTTGAGCTTCAATCTTGTCGCTTGCCTAAGTATTGTGAAATTCAAAATTAGATGATATCGATTCTTCTTGTTCTCACTTCGCTTGCCCAAAAAAGGGCCATGTTAGGAGGCAGATCATTATTTGGTGAATCCCGAGGGCCTACAGTAATCATACGGCTCCGCCCTGGACCACCTGGGATTGACTGTGGTCTTTTATGGTTTTATCAAGTTTATCGTCCAGATTGCTAGGCAGTAGAGTCTACGTGGGCGGGCCTATAACCTGCCAAGATGGTAAAAGCCATGCAGTGTTGCATATGTCGGATTTACGGGGTCTGCATAAATCCTTCGGCGTGCACAAGCAAGCAATTGTACACGGTAGGTCAAATCAGTATACGACTGGCGAAGAATCGTATAGGTTAGGTCGAACGATTCGGCTTAGAATCGGAAGTTAACTTATGATAGAAGAATGCTCCAACTTCATCACAATGATTAAACTTGATTCAACTACAGTAGCTATGGAAAACAGGCAGTATTTATAACTTCATGAAATTGAGGCAATACGTCAGAATAGAATCTCATAGAAATCAGGAGAAATAGAGTGTTGAAGCTCTTTCGTCATGTGTGCAATCTGTTGATGTCAATCGTTGAAGATCGTCGTCACGTGTACGTTGCATCGCATTCTGTCAAGTTCAATAGCTCTCGTGGGCCTATACACCTACTTATATTGACACACCCCCTAAGCTCTTAATATAAGGTCAAAGTGAGAGCTAAATAAGAGAAATTAGAAGGAAAGGGATTCTCTGTAGGTAAGATCTCCATACCTAGCTATTGAACAAAGGCAGTATGTTTTTCTGCAGATAAACGCTTCGTGAGGCCGTCGGCGATTATGTCGGCCGATTTAACCTATTCGATTCGTAGTCGGTTAGCTTAGACTTCCTAACGAATCCAAAGCTAGTAGATATCAACATAACGAAGTTTAGTCTGAAATATTGATTTCTCGCACGTGAGCAAATCAACTAACTGTCTGCTGATTATCGTATTCGATTATATCTAATTAGTTAGTTACGAATTAGATAAAGGAAAAGAGGCGTTTGATCTAATATAACTACTTAACCGCGTGGCTAATAGCTAGCAATTCGGCTTCTGTAGTCGGTATAGTAATAGTCTTCTGCTTACGCGATTTCTATTTAATTAGGCTACTAAACAAGCAGAAGATAAATCCTTCTAAGCTCTTGCGATCAGAATTATCAGTAAAGCTTACATCTAAGGCGGTAGTAAAGATGCAGGGTGTCGGCAACAATGAAGCGAAGACGGATGGTGAGAGATGTGTGGGAGGTCAAATGATTTAGAATTGAGATCGCACAAATTTAATGAGAGCATAAGCTTTTTCCTCTCGCTGAATACAACGAACCATCTCATCCCTGTGTAGCATAATATAGATGAAGTTTGTCACATTCACTGTTAGAAGCTACAGGGAGAGAGGTCTTCACCAGGAAGCATACGGTGACAAACCTGAAAGTAAAATACAGAAGTGAGGAAGAGATGATGGTCAGTAAAACAGATCTAAATATATGACATTTTCCTGCGCATCCACCGTATTTTTGAGAATCATCAGTTTGGCTCCGACTGCATCCATTTCGAATCAGTCGCCATATTCACAGGATCATAAGAGGCTGATCGTAATTAGGTATTTAGACTAAGTGGTAAGTCGTACGGTTCTCAAGCAGTCATAGCAATCAATTGTGCGAAGTAGATTGAATGTATTACATCAGAGAATATGAACAGCGACTCGAGGGTAGATTGAGGGTACTAGACGTCCTCAATGGTCACGAATAGGGCCACTTGGTATGGTCGAGCTTAGTAAAGTGCTAAGCAATAGGTTCCTTCTCGCAGATGTATGCCTTTGTCAGATTGACATCATGGAAATCGCGCCAAATATCCTTCAAAGTGAATTTACTACTCGACATGAACTCATAGAACCGCTAGAAGACCTGGGTTAGATTGATTTTCAGCCGGCCGTCGTAACTATCCTTGTCAGCTCCAGATAACGGCCAGTCGGGATCAATTGCCTAAATATACCTATAGAACATCTCTGCGCCTTCGGTGCCGCATGATAACCGAGCTTTATCTGTTAGCAGGAGGAAGACGTTGCCAAGAATTCCGGATCTGAGTTTTTCGCGGCGACTTCGAAAATCCCTAGCTCTTAAGTTAATACTATCGTCTCGCAATAAGCAGATAAAACTTACTGGCGTAGGAAATCTAATTCTTCCTGAATGTCATCCTTAGGCTCAAATTCAACGATTTCGGCCTCTTTCAGATCTTGAATCTCCTTAGAGCTAATGACAAACAAACTCATTGCTAGGACTCCGTCGAAAAGCGCCTTAAAATCCTCCTATCCGACCATGCCCTGATGATGATAGAGAATGAACCCCTATCTTTTGTTATCGATAATCTTCTACCCATTCTTTGGGTATGTGCTCCGGTCTTCGCCGTCTCTCCGCCTGATGTTCGTCGTATTCTTTCTTGAATTTCTCGTAATAGACCTTATCTAGGTTCTGAAGTGCCTGTCTGGCGTAAGGACCGCAGCTTCTGCTTCTCTCTTCTTGGCTTTTAGGTCGGGCCGCCGATGAAACAGCAACGGTGTTCTGTCCGATATAACATGTTGTTCTCTTAGACGTAAGATATGGAAGCAATCACGGATCAGACGACACTCTGGCCAGGTCAGGGAGTCTGGAGTCGAAGCCGCTTTATGCCATAAGTCTTCAAGTGACAAGCCGAGGTATTTGTGGGCGTTAAATTGCATCTCATCGAGAGGCGGCCAGTCCATCATCTGGTGCTTTTCCTCGAGTGAGATATCTCCCAGAAATTGAATTGCTTTGTCCCAGAGAGGCTCTAATAGAACAAATTCATCCAATGATTTTGCCATGTTGAGGGAAGAGTACCACAAGCTTAGCCTGATAGTGGACTGCATTTTTTACGAGAGTCGGACGTAGGGCGCAAGAGTGTTTATATATGCGTGGTAGCTAATTTGCGTATTGGAGGTTTTTTTTTTTTTGTTAAACTTGATAAATACCGGTAATTTACTTGTGGCCCGCTCTCTTTTACTATAACGCCCGAACCGCAAGCGTATAAAATACAATAAAGTGAAAAGGAGAGCAGTATAACTATCCAAACACGTATGTTATTCATAAGAGATTTCCCTACACGAGCTGCCCGCATAGCTTAGCTACGATCGTACTGTTAATTAAGTGACAATCAGCTCGTGCCGGATCTACCGTAAACGGACTTCTTAAGGGCAGGGGCATCCATCGTCGCGTCTTAGGTGAATGATCGAGCGGCATTTTGGGAAAACTCAATGGTTTTGATAATGGAGAACGCAACCATGAGATTCCATAGGGGAAATATGCAAAGGAGCTAAATTGCTATTCTTTAAAAAAGGGCTTGATTAGCTAGCTAATGACTTCAAGCGATGGTAAGAGCGCAGTGCAGATGATTGCTCCGTTCGATAGCCTGCACATTGCGCGGAAGAATAATGCTTTACACTCCATCACCAACGGCGGCCGGAGAAAAACCGGATTCGATTGAGGGGTAAGATCCACATAGGGTCAAGGAATCTGCAAATCATGTTCCGGGGATCCTCTTCCACTTCAGGTTTTACACCATAAAATTTCATAGACTCACTGTAGTAGACTTGGCGGCTACCTGCCTTCTTTTGAATGGCAGGAGGAATTTTCCTCAAATAAAGTTGTCCCTTGCTGATCTTGTCACTGGAACTTGGGCGGCAGCTGGATCAAGTTTATTAGAACACCGCACTGACTACTTAGCAAATCCTCTCTGGGCACACTTCCCCGAATATGGCACAATCTGTTCGGACTGAATTCCTAGATGGAGCTTTTTTGACGACAACAAGGTATTAAATCATTACTTTCTAAAGAGGATAAATGTGTTCTGATATCAGTTAGATATTCTTCAATACAGCCTCTGCAGAGTAGTGTGTCTGGGCATGTCTGGTAAATTGTTCTCTCATCTTTGAGGTTTGAAAGTTGAAACTGAAATCATTCCTCCAAGCTCTGCTCAAGACCGAAAAAACCATCGATTTGTCGAAATGCAAAAGTATCCAGAGCCATTCGCAACGGCAAGCATGGCTCGACAAATATTGAGAGAGGTCAAAATATTGAGACTCATGAAGCATGAAAATGTTCGTGCGGCAAGATAAATCCGTTTCCCCTAAAGTTTTCACTAACTGAATAGATTGTGGCTTTGGTTAATTGTTTCATCTCTCCTTCGCAAGACCTGTACGCTATTCCAGAAGATACACCTGAAGATCCAAAGCCTGACTAACTCTAGTTACCTCGTAACGGAACAAATGGAAATTGATCTTCAATCACTTTTGAGGTTAAAACCTATTCAAGGAGAGTTTGTCCAGTACTTTTTGTATCAGATAATGGTTCGTCTAACCCGCCCGCTCCTGCTTCCAATATATTTCATCGCTGATAAGGCTCTAGCGCGGACTTAAATATATTCATTCAGCCGATGTTGTGCATGGTGACCTGCAGCCATGCAATATCCTCCTGAATCGCAACTGCGACCTCAAAATCAAAGGATATGGGAAGCCGCGAGTTCATGGCCCTTGGATGAGTCGCTATGCTTGCACTCAATACTACACGGCTCCCGAAGTCATGTTGGCTGGCCAAGGATATGACGAGACCATTGATGTTTGGAGTGCAGGTTGTATGTTTGCCGAGTTATTGCAGGGAAAGGCCCTTTTCCCTGGTCTAAACGATATTCACCAATTTCATTTGATCACGGAGATGTTAGGCACGCCGTCAGAGACTGTCACGGAGAGGATGACCAGCGGAAATGTTTGTCTATCCTCTATATTATGTTGAAGCCACCACCTATGAATGGGATGGTTCACGAAGATAAATCAGTGGCCTCTGACATATCTGTGTGACAGGCTTCCAACTTCATTCAGTCACTTCCGAAACATGCAGGCCAACCGCTGTCAAACATCCTTCCCGGAATTGATCCAAAAGGTACACCTATTTTCTGCGCCCAGTAACTCTCTCTCGTTTTCGTAAGCCTGACTGCTAATGATATTAGCGACTGAGTTATTGGAGAATATGCTTGTTTTTGACCCACGAGAGAGAGTTACAGCATCCGAGGCTCTACATTTCGCCTATCTAGCCCCTTATCATGACCCTACTGATGAACCGGAGGCTGAAGAGAAATTCGATTGGACATTTAATACTGCAAACCATTCAGTTGACGTCTGGAAAGCGGAGTTGTATGACTACAGCCCCAATTGATGTCGAGTTCAAATGCTGATGATACGATAGGCAAGCCGAAATCCTCGACTATCATAGGGAAGAGACGTTGCGAGAAACCGTCCAACGATGGCTGAAGGGGTGAAACTGGCTATGGTTGACCGTCAACAATGCGCAACTAATTAGTTGCAATTTAATCTCGGTACTATATTATGGTATCAACCGTTTCGGATATAGACTCATCCTGTCTCTTTATTGGGCGGTTCTGCATCTTCCATATTGATTTGTTGGGACAGAGAACTATCTCCGAGACTCGGGCTTTCCCTATACGAATCCTCGATTGCATCGGTAGAGTAGGGACATAAGGACGTGAAATACCGTCCTGGTGTGGATGCACTTTTCCCGTTTGAATAGCGCCGTTGTCAAGTTACTCGATCAGTTGCGGAAACAGCGTAGTCGTCAGAGTCGAAATAGCTTTGTTCCTTCCAGTTGTTTAGTTAGTACGTGTCGTAACAGACTATATTCAAAGTACCTATAATTTTTGACTAAGCAAGCCTCCCATGTGACATCTTTCCGTGCTCGCCGAGGTGCCGTTTCTCACTCGCCACAGACAACAGGTTGAGAAATGGTGTCAGCACTTTTGCTTCGAAGCAGGACAAAGCACCTTGGAGTGTTGACATTCTGCCCAAGAAGCGATCGACGTGCCTCTTAAAAGCTGGCAATATCTCTCCTTTGTACCAATTATCGTTTTCAAAGTGGACATCCCAGTTCTATTTGCCACGATCCCATCGGGTGTAACCTCGAGAAAACAATGATATTCATCTCTATAGTAAGGAATAGCCCTCCCATATGAGTCTTCCACTTCATAATATTTCGATTCACACTCAATTTCGACTATTGGTAGACCATTGGCGGTGCGACCATTTGGACTCATAACTGTAAGTATTCTGGGGAGGCTTGGGCCTTTTCGTCGGGGCAGGAATCTTAACAAACCCGATTCTGAGGCGGTAAATGATATGAATAGTCGGCATGTGTGAATGGCTAGGTATTTTTTCGGCTTTCTCGTGAGCCGAACCGCTCCCGAGGCAACCGAGCCTGCATTCTACCCGAGTGATCTGGGAGACTGCCAGACTAGTTACGCTGTCAGGGAAGAGTCCACAGATGGAGAGGCGGCTTCTGGGTGATTGGCTTCCAGATGACATAAAAATTCCCTTCGCTTAATATTTCGTATAATAGCCCTGATTCGCAAACAATCTATCCATCCTTGTCCCTATACTCGATATCAACGCATCAATCTTCGCCTGATCTAATGCATCCTATACAGCACTAATACACACTTTGAAATAGGCCTAATTTGCTTCTGATCTTCCTATTTGCATCAGGTCTGGATATATAGGCACTTCCATTATATTCGGAGGAAATCATCTATGAGTTCGAACGTTTGTCACCCCCATGCCTTTTGACCTCCCTGTTCTCTTCTAAAAACAAAACACGAGGCGCTAATGTTCCAGTATGTTCGAGATAATAGGGGAGAAGAAGTGGAGTCGCCGGAAAAGCGTCAAGAAGGGGCAAGCACTGGATATTGAAGTGGCCCAAGCTCATCAACCACTAATTCACCTGGCAGAATATATACATAGAGGAAGATCATGATGGCGTGCAAAGATTGCTAGAAAAAAGCCATTTCAGATGCTCCTCTGTCACCTATTTATCGTGAGGCATAAATTGTGATCGCGCTTCATCAAAGCCTTCCACTGACCTGCCTGATGGTCAATCGACTCTTTTTCTTGGTTTGGAACTGATAGCGAAGAGTTACCCAATGTCTGTTTTTCCAACCTCAACGATTCAAGCGAGCTTGCCATGCAAGGAAGAGATCTCACTCTATCCGTTTTTTTCAGTTGAAGCTGTCAATTTATTGCCTCTCACACTCAGCCGCCCGTCAGCCTCGCTTTGTGCGGTTAGGCCATTCAATTATATCGTCACACGTGAGCTCCAAGGTATGGCGGCAGGATCAGACATCAAGAACCTTTTTTTTATTCCTGAGAACCCATATTGAGAGATATTTTCGCAGGAGCTGTAGACCTGAACCGCAATGGAGAATTTTAGCCAAGCCGAGTTCCCCAAAGACCCTTCGCCTTATTCAAGAATGGGATTGCTTTTCTTGCCGTCCGATGAAGTTTCCAGCGGCGAAGTGGCGCGTGCTCTGGAAGTCCCTCTACATCCTGAGCGCGGCGACCGAGACTTTCCCTGACATTCATACCAAGCGGTTGTACCAGTCGCTCACATATGACGACCGAGCTTGATGCGATGCTCCGCCAACAGGGCGCAGTTCAAACGAGTTGCGCATTCCGGATCTCATTAGAGCACCTTCACAATGAGCGGATCACAAAGGAAAAGTGGCGATTGCTACTCCCTACCGTGGAAGTCCAGCAGTTTCATAAAGCCTTGCACATCTTCTTCACCATAGCCCAAATGGCGGAGCACAGTCACCAGCGTCTACACGATATCGGCAACCCAAGTCTACGGATACTCAACCTCGGAAGAATACCAACCATGCGGCCGAACGGGCGTCAGAGGAGCCCGCTGATCTGCCTAACCAAGTGTGGTCTCGTGAATGGCTCGTTTGCCACAATTCGAGATATCTATCCTTTTACCACAGCCCACCGCGCCAAGCACTCCCAGTAGCGCTTCTCGTCGAAGTCGAGGGATACAAAAGCCCGATCTAGCGGTAGGAAGAACAACGCCGTCCGCTCTTGCCAATCCTACCCGTTTGCCGCGAGTTCAATATCGATAAGCAGCGATGTTCCTGCACGCAATTCCCTATTTCGATGGCCTATGCCATGATTCTTGCCGTGCAAGGCAAGTTTTGAGCGACGAAGCGGAGACGACTGCACTACACCAGCTATTATTCCTGTCCGAGAACAACTCGTACTTTATATGTCAGCTCAATACCAAATACCTACTATTTTCGCGGCTGTGGGAAATTGTACCCTGCAAAACGGCTGCATACAGCTCGTGGAGCTGCGATTCATGGTGCTTGGTTTCAGAAGTATTTCAATTCGTGCGAAGGACCTCCTTGACATCAATCAACGCACCCATGTTCCTCCTCAATATTAGTGTCATAAAGAAGTTAAAATCAAAAACACGCGAAAACCTATGGGGTCCATATGACATTGACAAATATTCTCTCCTTTAGCGGATCTTCTTGTGGATGTTTCCCAGACCGGCGTTTTATGTTAGCTTCCTCGGCCTAACAAGGCATCAATAGACCTTGTTTCCTCTTCTGAATAGATTGAAATTGTCATTTTCTCTTTCCGACTTTCTTGCGTAGTCGTAGTCCCACCATCAGTACAAATGCCGAAAACAGCAGTCCCAAATAGAAAAATCGACAGCGAAAATCCCAATGCTGAGTCAGTTTTGGTGGCTGAGGTGACCTAAAGCGGCCTTGGAAATTAGGACTCCACTTAGTTAAATGTCAATGCTTTGTTCACTTTGTTCACTTTGTTCAGACTAACTCCTCTCAGATTAGCTCCGTCCCATTGCCGAGTGGCTGTCGTCAGCCAAGGGCGTATACTTCGTGTACTTCGTATAAACATTCCAGGGCATCACCATATGTTCTTTCGCATGGCAATTGTGCTAGTTGCTGGCATTCTTGGGGACCTCCTATCTGCTTCACCCTTGGCACACTCCTCCTCATCTCCTTTGGCCCGCTCGGCCATTGTCGACCTCGGTTACTCCCGCTACCAAGGCATTGCACTAAGCAATGGCGTTGATGAGTACCTGGGTATGCGATATGCCAAACCTCCTCTGAACGAGCTGCGATTCCGGGGACCTCAGGATCCAGAGCAAACAGATGGAGTTGTGGATGCGACTGCGGTAAGCTTGCGACGTTCAGTGCCAATTGTCAAAAACTCTCCAGGACGAGCAAGACTAACAAGCAGCAGTTCGGACCCGTCTGTGTCGGCGTGGGTCAACGTACCAGTCAATCCCTAGGAGAGGACTGCTTGTTCGTTAATCTCTGGCGCCCGTCTAATGCGACGACTGACTCCAATCTTCCGGTGTGGTTGTTCATCCAAGGAGGTGGGTACGCGGACAACGCGAACTTCAACTTCAACGGTAGTCAAGTCGTCAAGCAATCAGGATACGACATTGTCTTTGTCAATTTCAACTATCGTGTCGGCGCCCTTGGGTTCCTGGCTAGTGGGGATATCCGCAAAGATGGTGACCTCAATGCCGGTCTGCTGGACCAGCGCAAGGTGCTCGCTTGGGTGCAGCAGCACATTCGTCAATTTGGCGGTGATCCTAACCATGTGGTGATTCACGGTGATTCGGCTGGAGCAGGCTCGGTCGCTCACCATCTCACTGCATACGACGGCCGCGACATGAATCTCTTTGTCGGCGCAGTGGCAGAATCAACTTTCTGGCCTACCCAGCGTACGGTCGCGGAGACGGAGTTCCAGTACGAGCGGTTTGCGCAGGACGTGGGCTGCGGCGGAGTGGACAATACTCTCGCCTGTCTGCGCTCGGTCGATATCATGACTATCATGAATTATGATATTGATAAGCCCTTCCCTGGTGGAAGTGACTCGCCGCCCCCATTGTGGTACTTCTTGCCAGTGGTGGACGGGACCTTAATCAAGGATGGCCTGTATAACTTGTTTTTACAAAACAAGTTCATCCATGTGCCTCTGATAGTCACCGACGATACCAACGAAGGCACTCCATTCGGATACAACGCATCCAGTCCCGAAGAGGTTGCCCAGTTCATGAAGAACAATTACCCAAGACTTAGCGATGAGGAGCTGAATGGGATCAACGAAGCCTATCCCGTGACAGATCCTCTCCCCAAGCACGCTCCATACTTCCCATCTGCGGCTCAGGCATACGGCGAGTCGACCTTCACCTGTCCCGGGAACCACATGGCATCCATGATGGCCCGATACTTCTCCTCCTATAAAGTCTGGAACTATCGGTTCAATGTTCACGACCCGGCAGAGACTGCCAACGGCATGGGGGTGCCTCATGTGTTTGAGTTGCCAGCCATCTTCGGGTTGGGAGACACCAATCAAGCGTCCGAGTCCTTCGCCAATGTCAACGCGAAGATCGTGCCCATCACGATGAACTATTATCTCAGCTTTATTATGGCGCTCGACCCCAATGTGTATAAATATGAGGAGGCGCCCGTCTGGAAAACCTGGGGCATTGGATATGGGCAACGACTGAAGATTCAGACGGGGTTGACTGAGATGGAACCAGTTCCTCAGGATCAGTTGGATCGATGTACGATGTGGAGAGGACTTTCCAAGTCCATGGAGCACTGATTGTAATCTTATTTTCTCATGCGTTGGCCCTTTCTTGCACTCGACGTGTCATGGTGACACCTTCATTTTGGTCGGCGTTGGATCGGTTATCATTGTATCTTTTTCTGATTGTATACTTCAAGATCACTGGATGAGTCCTGGCATGTAATCAGACTTTTCTGGTCTGGTCGGGCTATCATGTCCGAGTTATATTCGTCTTTGATCTCTAAGATTTCCCCAAGTGACTTGGCGCTTTTGTTCGGTCTGACCCGTGGTACATCCGGCCAGTCCCGCGTGTCATTCTGCTTTGTCTTCCACTCGCAAAGTGAGGGGTAGAAGACCTCGACAGCCACTGAGATGCGACTGGATTTATTCTTCCTTGAAATCTGGGGAAGCTCCACTGGCCCCACCTTTTGTCTCCTCGTCATGACCTGATTTCGCTACGAACACTTGAAGATGTGAATTATTTTGCCTGGTATATACTCATCACAGACCACCTCTGGCATAATGAAGCCACGTCCGCAACCTCCCGAATCGTCATTTCCCTCCCTCGCAGTCGAACTCGTCGAGCTCATCACGGGCCATTTAGAAGCTGATGGCTTACTAGAATTGCGTCTGACCTGTCGTGATCTGCAGAAGAAGACATTCCACCAGTTCGCGCGCCGCTTCTTTTCATCCATCAAGACAGATCTTTCCGAAGAAAGCCTCGGTCGCATCGATTCCCTTTCTCGTCATGAAGAACTACGACCATATGTCCATGGCCTGGCCTTTATGCTTCAAAATGGCGTTGGTCGCGGGTTAGCCTGGGACAGACATCCTTGGGGTCCCTTGTCAGCGCCTTTAGAGATCGAGGCGATCGCACGATTACGCGATAATCTAGTCGATAAGTTCACGAATTGTCGGTCGTTTTTCATCTTCTGTCGATATCCAGAGGGGCATCCCGATATGAATAGGGTCACCATCTCGGATGCGGTCGCGGTGTTCTTTGCGTTGGTTGTTGACGCGCAATTACCGGTGAAATCCTTCCATTTGATCTATGCAAATAAATACTCTCGCACATTGGTCATGGATATGCGCCGCATGCCGAAGCTGATATACCGACAGCCAGAGTTTAAAATGGTTTGGTCGAATTTGCGGAAATTATCTCTGGAGCAGTACCTGACCCTTGACAATGTCGGGTTTCTACTTGAACTTGTGCTGAGTGCGCCTAACCTCCAGACACTACTATTGAACCTCGGCTCCCATGATCTGGCTAGTGAGTTCATGCATGAGCTAGCGGAGACTGCTTCGTTCCCGCATTTGCAGGAACTGGCGTTGTTCAGAACTGCGGTGCAGGTCCCAGATCTGAAGAAACTACTTCACGGTCTGCGTGGGAATCTAACTGCGCTGACGCTTTATCATGTGTCCTTGACGCCGGATGAAGATTGGTTGTCTGTGCTGAAAGAGCTGGGTCAGAGCTTTGGCTCTTTGCAAAGCATCTCGCTGTATTATTTGTGGGCTACTGCTCCGACGAAGGAGTTGCTTTCGTTTCCGGATATTCATAAAGCACCGGAGCTTTGTGGTAAACCGAAGCAGCGACTGAACATGCTTTATTCGGAAAATCCTCAGAGTCCTACAGTTCTCGGGATTGAATACTCGGGTTCGAATATGCCTGATGTCTTGAGGTTGTTGCAGGCCACTACATGATTTTTGCGGATCCTCTGATTGGTGATTCCTACATTTGCGGATGACTACTTGACTACTTCATGGACTTGTTCTATATTGTATACAGGTGTTGAATTTGGAATTTGAGAATTGAGCTTTCTGGTCTGTATCTGATTTCATTCGTGGTGCATCAGCTAATGTCATTTATTAACCCAACATTCACTCTGCACATATTCCTCCAGCAAGCAACCAGCTATCTGTGAAAAATCACTCTGCTTCAAGTGCAGGATTTCAGTAAAATGTAGCAAGCCACATCACCCGCGTTCCAACATATCCAAACTCTTTCAGCAGTCCTACTTGGGACTCTTCAAACTCTGCTTCTTCACATTGCGACCAGACACCTCAATCACAGTCTGCTTAATATCCCCTTCAAAGCCAACCGACAACCGAAGCTTCTCATTAGGCCACAGTGTCACATAATTATCTGACCAGAAAACAGGCGTAACCTCTGCGCTATTCGAAGAATTGATCGCGTTCAAACGCAGGAACACGGCCGGGACCTTGGACTTGTTCTCCAGCTGGACGTCTGCGTACGTCCAGCCATCCTTGGTTTGGGCGTTAACCGTCTGCACTGTTGCTTTAACGGTCGCGGAAGGGAGGCTCTCTAGTTTTTTGTAGTCCGCGTAGTCGGTGACTGGGGTGGTGTACCAGGTTGATTCATCCCAATTGAGGACGTCGTTTTTGGGAGAGAGCCAGTACACGTTGCGGCTGATGTCTCGCTTTGCTTTGGTGTCGCGGAGGACGAGGCGTAAGAAGGCGATGTCCTGGATCTTGTCGATTCCGGTCACTTTTTGGAGTTCTTTGGACGAGTTCGGCACTGTGGTTGTCTTGACCTTGGTTCCGGAGATCGTCTTTCCATTTGCATCGATCAGATCAATGGAAACTTCTCGGTCGCCTTGTAGATCCAAGGAATGGTTGATCAACCACACATTTTCACTCTCATAGTCATACGCAACGTGCTCGAGGCGATTGCCAACCTTCGTGCCAAAGTATGCTCCTATGGGACTCAGATAATAGTCAAACAATTGCCAGTGGAGGTTTGGCCAGGCACTATTCAGCATCCAGTAAATGGATCCAGTTGCAGGTCGAGACGCGTTTTGTTTGGCTGAGTATGCCTCGTACTGCGCCCGAGTCGCTTCGTAATCGGCCATCTGACACTTCAAGACATAATCCTCGAGATCTGTTGCCTTTCCATAGCGACCGAAAAGAGCTTCGTTGTAGATTGAGCGATCAAAGAACTGGGAGTCATACCGTGACATATGGAAGAGGCTGGAATTAGGCTTCTTCCACATTGTGTCCAGATCACTGTCAGACATGAATTTCTTCAGACTGCCCATCTCGGGCGTCCCAACTCCTGCTCCAAGCTCGGAACCGAACCCGAATGCGGCTCCTTCCTGGTCGCCATACCAGTAGTTTGGAGGAACCCAGTCATATGGCCCGTCCATCTTCATTCCAGATGGACCCAGAGCTTTGGGGTAACCACGTTTACTGGCAGATGCGATGATGGGATTTTTCCAGTCCATAGCTTTCATGGCATCTAGATAGACTTCCGTGGCCCGGTCGTTCGGCCAATAGTCGGAGCCCACGAGGAATCCCAGCATAGAAGGATGCGCTTGCATCATCTCTGCTTCGTGGAGCATTGCGGCTTGGGCAATGGGGTAGTCTGATTTCCCCCACTTGACACCCTGGGCATCGTTATTGTACTGTGATCCGGTTAGTTGTTTTTCATGATACAGAACTGCGACAGGAGATCTTACCTCCCAACCCTCCCATTTGTCACAGCATTCCCAGCCAGCAAGAACCATCATACCCATTCGGTCAGCAAGCTCATACAGCTCTGGATGCTCCTGCTTGCCCTCAAGACGAACAGTGTTCAGCCCCATATCAAGCATGTACTGGAAGATCTTCTCCACACGCCCCTCATCAAACCGCATAAACATATCAGGTCCGTAGCCGGCGCCCATTACTTGGAATTGCTGGCCATTCACGACGAATGCGGTATCATTGTGTTGATTCACATAGGATGACACTTGCCGGATACCAAATTGTTGGGCTTGAGTCTTGTCCGAGATTGTCATAGTTTTGTTATGAAGAAGCAAGTTGGCTTGGACTGTGTAGAGTGGCTGCGCACCCCAGCGGGCAGGCCACCAAATTGAGGCATTCTCGACTGAGACCTCAACTGAGACTGTTCTGCTCTCGCCAGGCTTGAGTTCGACCGATCGAAGGATAGGGCCAGCTTTGGACCCGGTCGGTGGGATGATGGTGCCATTCACTGACACTTGGACAGTGTTTTGTGAATGATTGACCAGATCAGTCTTCAGCGTGACGTTCACCTTCTGGTTCTGGCCAGGCTTTGTGAAATCAGTGATGACTCGGAAAGGCGACATTGAAGCAGGACCTGTCTGAGAAATCTCCACATTTCGCCACACGCCCGTGCCGTTATCTGAAGGATAGGGGTTCCAGTCTACGAAGCCCAAGGCGAAATCTCGTAGATAATTCGTTGGATAGGCTCTGATGAGCAGACAGTTTGTTCCATCATGAACATGGTCGGTCAAATTGTACTTATGACCGCCATACGACCCCTGCTGCTCATCGCTGGTTGCGATCCGCTCACCATTCACGTAGATCTCGGCTTTCGAGGTGATCCCGTGGGTGTGCAATGTAAAGTACTGGTTGTCGCTCGGGTTGAGTGTAAATTCCTCCCGGTACAGCCATGGAGAACGGAAAATAGTCTCCGAGGCCAGTTGGTTCAAGTTGTCTGAATAGAATAACTCCGTATCGTCGAACACGCCAGCTTGGAGCAGGCCGGCCATAACGGTTCCACGCGGCCCGACACGATGCCAAGTAGACACATCCACACCGGGCTGGGACAAGCGAGGCATATCGTTTGGGGCGTGAATACTGGACTGGAGACTCCATCCTGGGATGACGGTGATATCACCGGGGGATGAAACCAGAGGTGGTGGGTTGTTGCTGGCTGCGTGTACCCCAGCCAGGCCCACGAACAGGGCGCTCAATGCTTGGGACAGATTCATATGTAGGTTTCTTGTTCTTACGGTTCAAGGCCGATAGAGATAGCCTTGGTGTTCTACCATTCAGTTAGGATCTTCTCGGGATAAATACTGTTGTTGATCACGGCTATCGCGTGTCACCAGAGGAGGGTGAAGTTGCATCGTGAGCGACCGGTTGAACGAGGGGTTTCTACAACCGTGGCAGATGGGATGTCTGATTTGCATCATTTACTGCAGGGAATTCCTCAGTCTGGACTAGTTCCTCTCGGTGATTCCGGGGAACCGTGAATTTCTCCGGTTGAATCTGGCGATGGGCGAGCAAATTCCAAACAAGGCGAAGGGTTCATCAGCACTAAGACTGTCTGGTGTCTTGGCAGGGGAATCAGGTCGGTAAAGTATCTTTCGGGGTGTCGGACCTTGATATGGCACCGATGAACAGATTAGAAAGGCTTAGTAGCGTGGAGGTAAAGCTTCTCCGGTCATGGGTCTCGCTTTGGCGTCGGAGATGGATACTGGTGAAGAATACTGTTGATGGATCGGAAGTTTGTACTTAATAGGTACTGGAAAACGAGAAACAAATATTTCTCCATTTTGGGAAGCCGCCCAGGTCGACCAATGACTTGGATTCTTCCACGTCTATAATCATACGTCTTTATACGCTTAAACAGAGTACATGTCCATATTTTTTTAATCGGCATGCGACATAGCCGCAGTTAAAGCAAATGTGAAGGAGGTTTCAAGTTGGGATGATTGCCTGAAGATTGAATAGATTACTTCTGCCTGAATATCAAGGTGTCAATTATCCTGGCACCACCCACTTAAAGATCCCAGATGGATCCTTTGACCTCCTTCCTCACTTTGCACTCGGGCTCAGCATTCACCTCGCATGATAGAGGGCAAGGGCTACTGGAGCTTCCTCTGCCTTATTTTATCTTTGCCTCTCTTCAAATTGTAGCAAAGGGGCGGGGCCCGACCATTCTCCCCTTCCCGGAAAGGGATAGACGCCCAGGCCATGACGAACACGGGAATGCGGCCATTGTTGCATCACTGCTCGCTTGCGGTCAGAGCCCATGAGATAATCGACTCCATCGCATCAAGTATTGTCCATCATGATTGGATTTATTCTAGCCATTGTTCCTATCGATTGTATCGCAGCGATTGACAGCTCGCTGCCCGCATTCCACGCAGATCCGCATCGTGGAGCAGAGCGACCTAGAACCATGGAAGCCACGATACAATGACAGCTTTGGGGTTGCAGTAGTCCCTCTTCTTGAACCACTTCCGGGCATCGTGACAATGGCCTCCAGGGGAGTTCCTCGTGCGGCTTACTGTGAGACACAGGGGTCTTTTTCCCCTGGGCAAGGGTGCCACGATGATTCGAGGGATAAAGGCGTTGTTACCATGCCAGCACTCCTAGCACCTGTGGAATGTGATCGTCTTGATCCACGCGTGGCTTCTTCTCATTGTGACTGACGTTGCGCTCGTTTCTACCTTCACGTCCTTCTTCTTTGCATGTTATTTTACATGCAGAAGTTAGATTGCCGTCGCCCACGGCTTGCATTGAGTCTCGATCGCATTCTTCTAACGAACAAAGGTTGAAAAGCTTCTTCGCGTATCGGGGGCGATTCTTCCACCTCGACTCTTCATCGATCGCAAAGCAGCCCATCATGAGAGTGGCCGGCCACTCAACTCGACCCTCATGGGCGAGTCTCTTGACAATCGGCCTAGCTGGAATAGGAACCGTCAACGCTGTTGATATGGATATCGAAGATGCAGGTGAGATTTCCATGCCCAACTCCTCGGTCTATCAAGCTAACTGGTGTTAGACTCTATCAAGAAAGCAGCGAAGGAAATTGCGACAAACATGATGACCTACTATACTGGAATGAACCCTGGCGACAACCCAGGTAATTTGCCAGATCCATACTACTGGTGGGAGGCGGGCGCGATGTTCAATGTCTTGATCGATTACTGGTTCTACACTGGGGACGACACCTGGAACGACATCACCATGCAGGGTATGCTTTGGCAAGCCGGCGATAATGCGGCTTTCATGCCCAACAATCAATCCAAAACGGAGGGAAACGACGATCAAGCGTTTTGGGGATTTGCAGCAATGTCAGCTGCTGAGCGAAACTTCCCTAATCCCCCAGATGGTAAACCCCAATGGCTGGAGATGGCTCAGGCTGTCTTTAATACCCAGGCCCCACGTTGGGACCCTTCGACATGTGGGGGTGGACTGCGCTGGCAGATCTTTACTTGGAACAACGGTTATAACTACAAAAATACCATCTCGACTGGTGGTTTCTTCAACCTCGCTTCCCGACTTGCCAAATACACCGGCAATCAGACATATTCCGACTGGGCAGAGAAGGCGTGGGACTGGATATCTGACGTCGGTTTCATGACAAATGACTATCATTTCTGGGACGGAGCCAGTGATTTGAGCGATTGTCAAGACATGAACGAGATTGAGTGGACCTACAATAGCGGGGTTTTCTTGCTCGGCGCAGCCAACATGTACAATGTGGTATGTACTTCTCAACGGTGTTGCAAATTGAGAAGTGAACCTGACTTTCAACAGACCGAAGACCCCAAATGGAAAGAGCGAGTGCAAAAGATCCTCGACTCGGGCGATTTATTCTTCGCCAAGACGCCACCGAATGTGATGTATGAGCGTGCTTGCGAAACGGTGAATACGTGCATGGTCGACCAGCGATCCTTCAAGGGCTATCTCGCTCGATGGATGGCTGCCACCACTCAAATGGCCCCGTTTACCCACGATCAGATCATGCCGAAGTTAAAGGCATCTGCACAAGCAGCTGCCAAGACCTGCACGGGAGGCGAGCAGGGGACTACTTGCGGCCTAAAATGGACCGATCAAGCGTGGGATCACACCAAGGATTTCGGTCAGCAAATGGCGGCCCTGGAAGTTGTTCAGGCCAACCTTATCAATCGCGTTGCTCCGCCAGTGACCAGCGATAATGGTGGTACTAGCAAGGGAAATCCAAATGCTGGCGGGAAGACACCGCAGTCGAAGCCAGAGGCTCTAACATACAAGATCACTACTGCAGACAGAGCCGGTGCGGGTATTCTGACTGCAATGATGATGGTTACACTTGCTGGATCATGCAGTTGGCTGATTTGGGACTAGATATCATTCTTTTCGTTCGTCCGCTTTCTTGTGCAATGTACTCGCGTTTGAACTTGTTGATTCGATTCATTGGTTTCGGCGTGGAATGGAGTTCTGTGAATAATTTGACGGCTTGATACATACCAAATTTGATTTTCATTTCCTCTTGACTTCAATTCCGGGTTTAGCCATCACTGAATCATCTTCTATCTTCTTGGTCGATGTCAGGACATGCTAACAACGGAACATTGCCGGGTCTGTGGATTGAATAAGTCGGATATACGGGATTATCCTTCCCCACATTTCCCCCCTCCCCGGAAGAAGAGGGGAACCAAGGCAGCAACAACACCATGATGATAGGATTTCAGAATAAAGAGGGGTTTGTGGCATAGCGGGGGTTTTCCGCAGCCGCGTTCCTCGGTGTCTGGCCGGCTATGGTCGAGGATACATATATACCGAGAGTCTTGGTGCAACGGAGATGGAAACACACAAAGACTTGCCTGAGCAGTCGCTATGGGTTCAGTAACGGAGACGCAGCACTATGACATTCCTACCCACTGTAAAGCGGGCGTCGTTGTCAATGAGGGACCGGGCTTTCACGTCGAGGTACAAATGGTACCTGTTCCCGAGCCAGGTATGGGGTACACGTGCAGATCTAGCCATCGTCAAAGCTAACGGACCGACCTTGTTGTCATCTAGGACCCGACGATATCTTGATTCGACTCAACTTCACGGGACTCTGCTCATCGGATATCCATATGATGCAGGGCGACTTGGGTAATCCTCCCATGTCTTTCTTCGGCGTTCGGTCCCCGGGTCATGAAGGGGCTGGAATTGTTGTCAAAGTCGGCGCGAATGTGAAGAACTTTAAGCTTGGTGATAGAGCCGGGATTAAGCCACTCACTGATACGTGTGGATCTTGCCATTTGTGCTGGGATGATAAGGAGACATACTGCAAGACGGCGATTCATACTGGTTTGATGACTGCTGGTGAGTTCGAAGACCGTATAGAATCTCGGTGTTCAGTGAAATCTCACATCCAGGCAAGGTACATACCAGCAATATCTAGTTTCTCCCGCACGATACGCATCGCCAATCCCCGATGGTGTCCCTGATGAAATCGCCGCACCGATTATGTGCAGCGCAAGCACAATCTACCGGTCGCTCCTTGAATCCAATCTAAAATCAGGATCTTGGGTAGTATTCCCCGGTGGCGGAGGTGGTGTCGGTATCCAAGGCGTACAACTAGCCAAGGCCATGGGCATGCGTCCCATCGTCGTGGACACCGGAAATGAGAAACGCGACCTATCAATCAAAATGGGCGCAGAGGCATTCGTCGATTTCAAGGAGGAAGAGGATCCTGCTAAGGCTGTTATCAAGGTCGCGGATGGAATTGGTGTGCACGGCGTCTTTGTAACGGCTCCAGCTGCGTATAAGACGGCGGTTACGTTTGTTGGTGATCGGGTTGGATCTATGGTGATGTGTATTGGACTTCCTGCGGTTGGGTCTGTAGTTCTGGGAACGGATCCTTGCGAGTATATTTTCAAGAATCTTAGCATCAAGGGGACCTTGGTGGGTAGTCGGAGGGATACTGCGGTGGCTTTGGATTTTGCTCGACGTGGGATGCTTCAACAGATTAGTGAGGTGTACCCACTGAATAGGCTTCCTGAGGCGGTTGAAAAGCTCCGTAAGGGGCAGGTTGCGGGGCGAATTGTGGTCAATTTCAATTGGGAAGAGTGATTGCTGTTTGTGCATTGTGTTGATGGATCGGGGAGATCGGAGTCTGTTTTTGTACATAGTGGGATAAGCGAGAGTGGCCAATGATTGAAGTGTACACATGTCATTTGGTTATTTTGTCGTTTAATTGAACGCCGGATAATGAATTGAATCTATACAAATCTCAAACTGAAGAGCAATAAAGATAAGTACAATCTAATATGCACACCTCTAGTTCAGCGCGACTAGGGTTTTCTCAGTACCGGAAATGTTTACAATCTGCTGGAGACAAAGTAGGGGATACCCTGGGTTTCGTAGAGATCCTTGTGGGCAGCCTTGATAATATCCGCACCCTATAGTCATCGTCAGACCTTGTCATATATTCATTTGCAGGGTTATGGCCTACCTTTTCGCCAATCATGTAGACGGAGTTCTGGATACGACAGTCAGGAATGACTGGCATGACGGAAGCATCGGCGATTCTCAGGTTTCGAATTCCGTGGACTCGGAGCTTCGAGTCAACCACACCCTGATGGATGCTCTTTGAAAGACGGGCAGTACCGCAAGGGTCTTGGCAGTATGTTAGCGATGTTCCGAGTTAAAAGACAAGTATACTTACGGAATCCAGTCTGGCTGCGGTCCAGAACAGCGCGCTTCATCTCATCATCGGAGTGCAGAGGCATCTTCCAGGGGTACTCGCCAAGGACGATGTCCTTGAAGCCAGCGCCGTTGGTCAGAACATCGTATGTCCATCGCACACCCTCGCGCATGGCGAGAATGTCCAAGTCATTGGCGAAGAAGTTGAGGTTGATGTTGGCCTGAACCTGAGGGTTTGCACTGTTCAGAGTAACCTCACCCTCAGACAAAGGCCGGAGGAGGTCGACAATGACAGTCATGTAGTTGCCCTTGTCAGGCATGGGGTAGTGCCACTGGAAGGCCGTGCTGAAAGCACCAACAAAGTCCAGCTCGAAGTGAGGCTGGCCAGCGGGTCCGAAGGGATCCAGACCACCGTTGGCAGCCTTAGCTTCACGGTAGGCGGGGTACTTCTCCAAGCGCTCATCAATGCGAGGGAATCCAACCAGCTCCAGCAGTCCGGAGCTAACCGGACCAGTCTTGTCGCGCTTGTAAGCGGCAACAGCCGCGTCGTTCAAGGGACCAGCACGGAGCAGATGGTCATCGAGACCGAATCCGTCCTTGATTTGGAGGACGAAAGGCACGATGGGGTGATCCAAAAGATGCTGGCCAACGTGGCGAGAGTCGACGACGGGGGTGATTCCGTGCTTGGCGAGCTCATCAGCGGGGCCGACACCACTGAGCATAAGAAGCTTGGGGGTCTCGAAGACACCCTGAGACAGGATAACCTCGCGGCTTGCATAGACGCTAATCTCGGTGTTGGAGGCTTCACTGATGACAGTGACACCAGAGCAGACCTTTGTGGCTGGGTCAATGATCAGGCTCTTAGACTGAACACCGTACAAGATGGTCACATTCGGCTTGTTCTTCAAGTACAGGAAGCTGCCCTGGCGCTCACCCTGGTAGATGGTGTCCACGCAGTGGGTCAAGCCTCGCATCTCGCCGGAGTAGATATCCTCGGTGAGGACTTCTCCCTTTGACACCCAAGCCTGGGTGAGAGCATCGCGGAATGGCTGCATCTCTGGCACTAGTTCGGCATGAGAGATATGCACAGGACCGCCGGTTCCGATCTTGCTCAGCTCAGTCGGGTACAGCTTCTCATCGTCGTGGTAGGTTGCACATTTGCGGAGGTACTCCACACAGTTATCCCAAGTCCAGTCCCGACCTCCAAAGTCTTCCCAGTCGTCAAAGGTGGGCTTGGAACCGGGAATCCAGGTGAAGTAGTTGGCACATGAACTACCACCGAGAGCCTTTCCACGGGTGTTGGGCTTTTCAATTCGCTCGTAGTCGTCACGCTTGATCATGGTGGTCTTGTAGGCCCAGTCGTACTTGCTTCCACGGAGGTTGAAAGCCTTGGATGGTGTGGTGATTTCATCGATCTGGTCGGGATTGGGGATACCAGCCTCCACTACCAGAATGCGAACGTTGGGGTTTTCGGCGAGGCGACCAGCGACGGCATTGCCAGCGGTACCACCGCCGACGATGATGAAGTCGTACTCGGAGCCGTTAGATACCATAGCCATGATGGGAGGTGTAGTTGATGTTTTGAAAGATAATGGTTAATTGAAAATGATCTTGATAATGATCTTGATAATGATCTTGTTCCAATTCTTTGGAATTGTTGATGGGGAAAATATGTCGAGCTGGAAAACCAGTCATCTTTATATCCTTTGAATAGTTTCATGTTTGCGATATATTCAATAATATTGACCTTGCCGGCATCCGAGACAGAGCATGTTGGCCCCGAGTAAAGTCCGGGGATAGCAACAGCGTCGACGTCGATGAGGGCTTCACGTTATCGAAATGCCTCATGAACTGTAGCTCTACGTGAAGCAGTAGTATTACTGGATGCGGTACAGGGTCTAAGATCGCATAGGGCGGCCAATAGTAAAGATGCGCCCGACGTGCGCCCGGCATGCCGACTGTCCCGATGGAAAACTTCACGAATCAGAAATCGGAGAACAACCGTCTAGACCCATTTGGGGACTTCCCCTCATGAGGGGGTGACAGGAAAGTGGAGAATTTCTCCAATAATCAATAATCCTTCTCCGCTTTCTCCCATTCCAGTAGAGCAATTGACCAATCATCGCACTTCGGTTGTAGTAAGCAAACAGTCATGGACTGAGGCTGGTGATAAATAACGAACTCGGGGAATCGCGGAGATGACTCGGCGGCTGAAACTCGGCGATGAATATTATCTGCACTGAAATGTGGTCTCCCATCATTCCAAACCACCTCGGACCACCCCTGAATCCCCAGGCAGCGACCAAAGAGTTGAAAAATTGAGTGACGACTACAATAATGAAGCACGGTTATAGCGGCATCATTAAGATGTTACGGATGTCGGCGAGAGGGTTTTTTGCTGAACTGACTGTGAATGCTCACCTCCTGGGCGCAGATGGTTTTCCTATCTGCTTCCGTCATGCATCGCTCTAGTAAGGTTCATCAGATGGGACGGATCGGCTTTAATTCGGAGGGCCATTCTTGACTCCTCCCATATGCACTGATAAGGAAAACTATGTATAGTAAATTGAGTGTTATAAAAGCCTTTCCATTGCCCAGTGGATGCAACAACCTACAGATGAACAGTTTTTAACTGCACTTGAAACAACAAATTCCCAATGTCGAATCCTCGTTTCACCTTCGCAGAAGGTACAGTATTTCACCTACTCGCAGCCATTGCCATTGACCTCCTTCTGACATCCTCCAAGGCCAGCCGGTCTCTGACCCTTCCACCAGCATCACCTTGCCTACTTTGGGTGGTGGTGGCATTACAACTCTGGGCGATACACTTCTCATTGAGACTTTGACTCATTTCAACAGAGAGCGCATTCCTGAGAGGTGTGTATTCATTTCATCTCTTTCGTCCCAAACACTCACTTACGGGAACTTTACAGAGTTGTCCATGCTAAGGCTGCAGGCGCCTGGGGCGAGTTCGAAGTAACTAATGATGTTTCTTCTCTCACTTCGGCCAAGTTCTTGAATGGAATCGGCAAGAAGACTCCAGTTCTGTTCCGCCTTAGTACAACCGGCGGCGAGAAGGGTAGTGCAGATACTGTCCGGGATGTACGAGGTTTCTCTGTCAAGTTCTTCACCGAGGAAGGAAACCATGACATTGTGGGAAACCATATTGTGAGTCTTCTCTAACAATTTCACCGTATATCAGAACTCGTGCTCTAACGCAACCAAGCCGGTCTTCTTTGTTCGCGACCCCATTCGCTTCCCCTCCCTGAACAGGAGTCACAAGAGACATCCTTCAACTAACCGTCCCGATTGGACAATGGTAAGTCTTCGTTGACGAGGATGCACTCTGTTGCAGCTAATAACGGATTCCTCAGTTCTGGGACTTCCACGTGAACCAACCCGAAAGTGTTCATGCTTTGATGCATCTCTTCGGGTCCCGAGGCATCCCTGATTCGATTCGTCGGGTCACTGGCTTTGGTGTGCATACTTTCAAGATGGTCACTGCTGATGGTCGATTCCGCTATTGCAAATTCCACTTCCGGCCCGTTGACAACATCACCCATTTCTCGAAAGAAGAGGCCACTCGCATGGCCGGTGTGAATCCCGACTTCCATAACGAGGATTTGTGGGGTGCCATCTCTCGCAAACAGTACCCTGTCTGGAAGCTCTATGTTCAGGTCATGGAACCCGAACAGGCTGTGAACTATGGTCGTGGTCTTTTTGACATCACCAAAGTCTGGTCTCATAAGGAGTTCCCGCTGATCGAGGTTGGCAAGATGACTCTTAACAAGAATGTAAGAGCAAACTTTTCATACTCTCTGATCAACTGTGTACTGACCCATCCAGCCCGAGAACTATTTTGCCGAAATTGAGCAAGCAGCATTCTCACCTTCGAATATGGTACCCGGCATTGCGATGACTCCCGATCCTAGTAAGTCGACCTCAATTGGCCCACAGTTTTACTCCTCTGACATTTTGGAAATAGTGTTGCAAGCTCGTATGTTCGCTTACCCTGACGCCCAGCGGTACCGTCTGGGAGTCAACTACACCCAACTCCCATCCAACCGCGCCGTCTGCCCTGTCTACGCTCCATATGAGAGAGACGGCATGAGCGTCCACACTCGCAACTATGGCGGCGATCCCAACTACGTGCGTAGTACCTTGAGCCCCGGTATTCCCAGCCAGGTGACTTCAGATGTGCGACACACCGAGCCCATTGAACGCTTTGCTGTCTTGGGCCAAAACGAGATTGCAGTTGATGATGAGGACTATGTGCAGCCTCGAGAGCTATGGAATAGAGTTTTTGATGAGAATGAGAGGAAGCAATGGGTTGAGAATGTGTCGGAGACTTTGGAGGCTGTCCCTGCTGAGTTGAGACAGGCTGTTATTGCGATGTTTAGCAAGGTCGACTCCCGTATTGGACAGTTGATGACGGCTAAGGGTAAGGAGATTTCGCATCTTTGAACAAATTGTATAAATTCTATAGATTTGAATTTCGCGACGGGGATCGTTGTTTTAACGAAATTAAAATTCTCTCATTAAAAGGGAAAGAATCACAGGTAGATGGGGAATACTACGCTAATGCATTTGAAGACCTACTGATCGTGCTGCACTATCGCTAATTCTTTCCTAAAGACGTAGAATCCCTCTGTATAACTAAGTTCTATTTCCAAACCTCGGCTTGTATACTCGGCGGTGTCTTACATGGCCGAGAGACTTCATGTTCCGGTTGCGGATCTTGGCTGCCAACCGTGCTACGAGACAATGCAACCAAGATGCGGAGGCCGTCGATCTACTCCCTCTTTTTACGCACACCCCGCATCATCAAAGAAGTTTTATTAAATTAGTCTGAGCCAGCGCCATACCAAATAAGTCTGCCTTTACGAAGTACGACAATCAATACGAAGTACGATGCTCAGCATCCGATAATTACCCGTGGTGCAGGGATGCATTTTGCGGGGTGTGGGGCTCGATGACCCAAAGTAAACGCGTAAATGCTAACAGTTGTAGAATACTTAAGAATGACGTGCTGCTGACTCTGAGAGGTCAAAGTTGTTGCTTGAATCTCTAAACAGCACTCAAACATGCGAATGGCTTCCATTGCTGCCCTGGGCCTTGCCATCGCTACGCAGGCCCAGGAGATTTACCTCACAACCACAGGATACACTACCCGACCTCAGTGCACAAAGTCTACTGCTTCACCAAGTTATCACTTCCAACCATTCTCCTATTCACTGAAGGAGACAGTCCGCTATGCAACTTCCATTCCCTCACCAACTACTACTAAGACCTACGCTCCGGTATACGAGGATGCAGCTAAACACCTGAGAACGACGGTCTCTACATCGAGTTGGGGCAACTGGCTTCCTGGCCAAACGGTCATCAGTGCAACAGATAGTAGTAATCCCTACGGACAAGCTGCGTGGTCGTCTATGTGGTTGAATGCGGGTCTGCAAAACTATGTAAGTCATGAGAATCAGACTTCAATAATTTAACATGTACTAACTTTAGATCCAGACCACAACTGGGATATTTTCGACTACCGTCAGTCCTACTCCAGTTCCAACCAGTGAGCTGGTCCTGCCACCTCGAGACTATTTTGGGCCCACAGACTGTTACAACTTTCCCGACGACTTCATTTTCGGTGTGGCCGGCAGCGCTGCTCAAATTGAGGGCGCAGTTGCCCTCGAAGGACGCTCACCATCCCTCCTTGAGAAATTCGCCTCGGCCAGTTGTCCCAAAGACTATGTCACGGATGAGAACTACTTCTACTATAAACAGGATATTGAGCGCCTGGCAGCTATGGGTGTGGAATACTACAGTTTCAGTATTCCATGGACCCGCATTTTGCCGTTCGTTTTGCCTGGTACTCCGGTCAATAAACAAGCAATTGATCATTATAACGATCTGATCGACACTGTTCTTGATGCCGGAATGCAGCCTGTCGTGACCATGCTGCACTTCGATAGTCCTCTGGTGTTTGTGGCCAGCGATAATATCGGTATGCACATTGTTTACCCAAAATAAGCCCCTCTTTTCTTTGCAAGCTCTAACTCCTGCAGCTCGACATCCCGACATCGGATATGCAAATGCTGGCTATCAAAATGAAACTTTTGTTGATGCGTTCGTCAATTACGGGAAGATTGTGTTGGCTAATTTCGCAGATCGAGTCCCCATCTGGGTCACATTCAATGAGCCATTACTCTATGCATTCAATTTCCAGGGTGTTGATAATGTTATACATGCGCATGCCCAGGTATACCGATTCTACCACGAGGAACTAAAAGCCACTGGAAAGATGAGTCTCAAGCTTAACGATAACTTTGGCGTACCAAAGAACCCCAAAAATAACAGTGACATCGATGCCGCCAATCGATTCAATGAGATGCAACTTGCCTTTTTTGCAGACCCGATTTTCCTCGGAAAACAATACCCCGATTCAATTTTGCACACTCTTCCCGGTGCAAGGCAGTTGAATAAGACTGAATTGAAATTCATTGGTCAAACTGCCGATTTCTTTGCCATTGATCCGTATACAGCTACGGTTGTGTCGCCGGCTGATGAAGGAATCACTGCCTGTGCAGCGAATAAGTCCAGTTCCAATTCACTTTTCCCATACTGTGTCAATCAAGAAACGAAGAACGTATATGGGTGGAATATTGGCTACAGGTCTGGTGAGTACACGACTCCTTGGCCCTCCATCTCTACTTACCATGAGCCACATATGCTAATGAATTTTCAGAGTCATACGTTTACATCACACCAACCTACTTCCGCGAATATCTATCCTACCTGTGGAACACATTCCGACACCCGATCCTAGTCTCTGAATTTGGGTTCCCCCTATGGAAAGAGTCTGAGAAGGAGCTCTCGGACCAGCGCTATGACTCGACTCGCAGCACATACTATCTCTCGTACATGTCCGAGATCCTCCGCGCTATCCACGAGGATGGAGTGCATGTCATGGGTGCTTTGGCGTGGAGCTTTATTGATAATTGGGAATTTGGGCAACCGAGTCAATTTGGCATTCAGGGAGTTGATCCAAAGTCTCAAGAGAGGTTCTATAAGAAGAGCTTCTTTGACCTGGTTGATTTTGTCAAAGCTAGGCAGCGCTGATGGTGGCTTCTTAGGTGCCTACTCCCTGTTAGGCAGCAGTATCGCAAGTATTTCGTCTTGAGGTTCGACGTATTCTTGATGGAAGGGGAGCATAATTCAATCGTGTCTCCATTATGACCTCAACATACAATCACTCTGTTCTTAAACAATTAGAGGATTCAGATGTAAGGATTCAGAAGATAAAGATATAGAGACAGGTAGATGCAGGGCCTACCCCGTCCTGGGGTAGTTTTCAATTCACATTTCAATGAGTTATGGCAAGAATCTCCTCAGTTCCTCAGCTGTTCGGCCGAAGCCCCACTGCAGCTCCTCTCGCAGCACGTGACATCTAATCTGCCTTCCCCGATCCACCGAGCAGCTCGTTCTTTCTTCCCGTTTATAACTCACACAATCGTCGCATCTCTTCGACCAGCCAGCTGCACGAACTGCGCTGGCCATTGCAACCATGGTCGAATCTTTCACCCTGCCCCTGCGCCCGCCTCCTGAGCAAAGCGAGCGCCCCGACACCCTCCCCGTCGAGATCGCCCAGATCAACAACCAGTGGGGTTCCTTTCGTGAGGTGAACGAGGAGGTTCTCCGAGCCAAGATCGCCGAGGAAGAGGCACGCCATGGCGTGCAGCAGGACGAAGAAATGGGCGATGGCGAGCAGGAGACTGGAGACGCTGATGCGACTGAGCGTCGTGAGCAACTGTACAAGCGACGCCTCGAGATCACCCAATTCGCAATGTTTGTCGCATTCACCCCCGTGAAAACCCTTTAAAGCAGTGTAGCTAAGCAATTCCTCAACAGCAAGTCACACCAGGAAACCATGCTCGCTCTTGATTTCATTTCCCTGCTTCTGTCGAAGCATGCACCGCGCCAGGCCGAAACCTCTATGTCTCCTTTGCTCAAACAACTCGCGCCTCTCGGTACCCTCGATTCCGACTTGGTCAATCCTCCCCCGAGACCCGAGTCAGCGATAAGGGATATTGCAACAGTGTCGAGGGGGTGGCGGATTCAGAACTTCGAGGCCGCGTCAAGCAAGCTGTTGAGTGCTGCCACCAGACTGAACGGCGAGATCGAATCAGAGACTCGGTATTGGAGTGAGGTTCTGGCCATCAAGGATAAGGGATGGAAAGTCTGCAGACACCCACGGGAAAGACAAGCACTAGCTGTGCAGTATGGGTTCATCGAAGGTATGAATGAGTTATGTCCTGCGCCAGCACAGAGTACCGCCTTTCTCTAACCACTTCATACCAGCTACACCTATTTTCCGCGATCGCGGCCTCGCTTCTCTCAGACGGGCAAAGGATGGAAGTCTGATCCTGGACAAAGGACTGCTACCCACGGGGGCGCGTCACGTCCGGGTCCGGGTGCAACAAGGAAACCAAGTCTTTGTGAGCTCAAACCCATCTGCGAGTGGCGCTAGTGACACGGACCCGATTGAGTACCGCATTCTCCAAGCACGAGACTCGGTTTTCGAGGAAGAGCTATTCCATGAATTGGTCCGAGAAGCCAGGGCTATGGCGGGTTGCAGCGTGACCACCCGTCAAAATCTTATCCGCGTCCCTGTCTCTGACGATATGGAAATCCTGTTGGATCTCGTCGATGCCGATACACATGGCGTTGGTCTTGAACAAGATTCCACGCAGGGGGATAATCAACTCGCGGATGGATTAGCTCATGCAATTCGCATCCTGCTGTGCTTCGCCCATCGTCAAAATCTACGTCGAAGAACACAACTCCCCCGTCCTTTGACATCGATAAGACCTACAACACCCGAGTACCATCTCCTCCGTCCCGCTTTGGCCTACCTACAACATCTATCACATGTGAGGTGGCTGAAGTCGTTCTTTTCCGATATCTATTCGGTCTTGCAATCCGCCGGCCTCGATATGCCTGAGTGGGCTTCGAACTCATATGCTAGCTGGAAGAAGTCACCTACATCCCCATCACCGGCTACACTCGAAGCCCTCGTCGAGAATTTCCTTCGACCGATCGAGTCTACTTTCGGCGGAAAACTTCTCACATCTCGTGGCTCATTCACCGTCGCCATTCGGACCAACCTCTCATCCATGCCCTTTGGCACTCACTACGACGTTTCTCTGAACCTACCCAGTGTTCCAGATCTCAAGTCTCCTGGCCGTCTGGGATTGAAGGACGAGGTCGAAGCAGTTATCACCCATCTTTTGCTTCTGGATGTGGTCTCGAGCATTTCATCCAAGCCGCTGCCATCAACGTGGGATACCTCAAAGGAGCAAACGTGGGATGCAGTGTATCCTCACCTAGGCGAGCTGATACTGCCTAATACCAACCCGGAAAAACACAAGAAGATGAAGGTCACCCTTTCTCGTCATGAAATCACCCTCACAACCTACATTGTCCGCAGCATTGACGGTATTGGCCGTGGGACTACCGAGCTGCGGTCACACAATGCGGCGACCCATCTTTGCAAATTCCCACAGTCATCATATGGGACTCCTGCTGCCCAAGATTATTCCTCGGTGATGGACTTTGTTGTCGCGGAGGCATCAAAGGGGCACCCATGAGGTGGACCAGGTTAGCCACGGATGATGTGACTCTCTCTGGATTTCAGTATTTTCCTATCAACATAGATACCCTATTAAGCGCCCGATAATGAAGCTTCTTTATCTTTATGAGCCCAACCTTTTAAAATAGAAAAAAAAAAAAAAAAAATAGACACCAAGGTGATTGATCGCCCAGACCCATTTAATTTAGTACAGAACTCGTGCAGAGATGCAAAAAGATTGTGGACTCACGGGGAATTGAACCCCGGACCACTCCCAGTTACATTCGGATGAAACATCCATGCGAAGGGAGTATCATACCCCTAGACCATAAGCCCAATCATGGTGGAGATCGTCGAAATAATGTGTCGAGATAACGGAGCCATTTCGATGAATAGGAATTCATACATGCAGGTCCAGGTTCATGGGTGGGTACAGGAGAAGTGCTCCGTATGCGGCAGGTCCCTAATCCTTGTTAGCCTGAGCTATATCTTATGACGGGATGGGATAAAGCACAAGGATGTTTTACGGGGCCTAACGTGAATGGATCATGGTAGATTGATGCCCCAGAGATGAAAGGCCCAATTTTGGAACGTAGGTATTCCAGTGGCCGCAGCAGTAGTGCACAGAATATGTATATACTCAAATTATAAGGGTCGTGGAGAACAATATTCACAAATACTTGAAATATTCTGTCATTATCATTAAAAGGTCTCGTATCGAGTCTAACTAATAGAACCACCGGAAGTCATCACTGGCAGGACCCTCGTTCAAATTCTCGGAAGGAATATTCATCGCTTTGACGTGGACACCTTGCCTCTGATCTCTCTTCTTGTTGTCGTACATCATCCAGAGACCAAGAGCCAGGGTCAATAAAATACCAGTACCACCAAACGCAGCCGTGGTAATCAGCGCAGGGAAATACTTGGGTGCGTCCTGGTTACGGAAGATGTTGGAGCTTACAACTCCCATAAGGTTGGCGACGGGGACGGCGATACTGGTAAGTACAACACGTCTTCCCTCGTTGGCGATATTGTTGTTGTACCAAGCGTCAAGCAGAACGGAAGGTGCCGATGTGCCCCTGGAAAAATTATTAGCGCAAATTCAGTAAATTAGGAGAGAACCGATCGAACTTACCAGACCATCATGAACGTAGCGAAGTACGCAACACTCAATTCGTGTGTAACATCAATGGCAGCGTAGATGATAAATCCAATGAAAGTGAACAAGAAGCCCAGTGCAATGAATGGGAATCGCCACCTGGTCCAGTCACTGCAGAAAGCCAAAATCAACAACATCGCGGCGCCGGAAACATTAGGCGCCACGGTATATAGGTTCGTCTTGACGGTGCTGTAGCCAAGACGCTTGATGATGACTGGAAGGAACAGTTGAACTCCTTGCAGTGGCACACCGAGACAGATTTGAATGGCTAGAATGGCCCAACTAGTCCAGTGCTTGAAGATGCGGAAGGCATCCCGGATGTTCAATTTCTCGTCCACGACGGAAGAACTGTCGATCTGGAGGCGGAGATATGCAAGTTCCTTTTCCTCTGGTGTAAGGAAACTGGCTTCCGAGGCTGACTTGGGCAGATACCAAAGCGCGAACAGGGCGAAGAGGATGGTTCCACAACCCTCGATCAGGAAGAGGTAGCGCCATGATGCGAGGGGGCCTGTGTGGATGCGGAAGACGCCGAAGGCTAGGAGGCCCGAGAATGCTGAGGCGATACTTTGCGCGGCGTAGAAGATGGCTAGTCGGCGGGCTAGTTCTCCTCGACGGTAGAATCTATAGAGATAATTAGTCTTTGCTAGCGATATAGGAGTATGTGGGCAACAACTTACGTGGTCTGGTAGTAGATAACCAGAGGAAAGAAAGCACTCTCCGACATGCCCAAGAACCAGCGGATAGCAAAGAGACCGCTGAAGTTGTACGCAGCAACCACCAGAATAGTGCATGTACCGAATGTAAGCATCATGCATGGAAGCACGATATTAGGTCCAAATTTCTTGCCGAGTAGACCGAGGAATGGTGCGGTAAGGACGTATGGAACGAAGAAGATGCTGAGAATCATATTATACTGGTTTCCTTTCAAGTGGAGGGAATCTTTGGAAGCGAGGTGTGAGATACTATCATGATATATGGTGGAGTTAATGGCTTACCTTCAAGACCCGCTGTCTTTGCATTTCCTAGGTTTGACTTGTCCAGACTGTTGAACAAGTACATAATTGCCAGGACGGGAAGCAGACGAAGGTCGAACTTCCAGACCAAAGCCCGCTCCGCCTTAGGGTCGATCTCGACACTCGCGATAGTTGTGACCGCATGGGGCTTTGAGGGCGCTTCAGAGTCCGCCATGTTTTCAGGAACAGTATGATCGTTAATTTCCATCATCCTCGTGGAAAAGCAATATCAGATATAACATAAAGTCTCGGGGTCTTATCGGAGGCCTTGCGGGGGCGACAGTATGCATCACCTAATAACCGGCCCACCCCCAGATAAGCCGTGGAGACGACGTGGGCTTGGCGATTTCTTACAGATAAGCATACGCCAATCGGGTGGTGGCAAGAACCAACTTGACCCTAGTTTATCCTATCGTGGGCTGAGACAGACGGTCAATCTCCGTTATTATTTGAGTTTGTGAATAAACCTAATGGCCGTGGCAATGGAATGGTCCATATCGAAGGTTTCTGACTTGCCGAGCAACAACACTATTCCGTTGGAAGAAAGACTGTTGGTGTCTGAGTGGTTCGCATTCACTTCTACCCGAGGAGTACCCACCAACGACTCTGACAGCCTAGAACTGATGGGGAAATGGACCGATATCGGGTAAACGCCTTGCCGCAGAACGGCTGGTAAAGACCCTGAAGGGCGCAGCGAAGAAAGTTACATATGAGATCCAAAATCTAAAATCACTTCCAGTCTAATTATGGATGGGTTGTGCCAACATCGGAAGATGAAACGGGTGATGAGGGGATGAGCTTCATGGCTATCTTATTGGATGGAGGTACAGCATTTACTAGTCCGATGTATGCAAATAGAGAGGCGGCACGCGCATGGGATTCGATTTAGCTAGACGGACGGCGTAACTTTTTTTAGCTCCGAGACCTTAATAATATATGAGCCGGGAATTATGAGAAGAAGGCTTACCCATCGCACTGGTGGCTTCCCTCCGTTGCCGAGTCCTTGCATCCACTGCTGCAAAGCTTGGGGTGGCCAACGATACCAGGGTTCGTGCAGTGGAAGAGAACGTTCTTCACATCCTCGTTCTCCAAATCAGTGCCTTTCAGAACAGACTTCAGGTCCGCTTCAGTGAAGCCTAGCAAGGGTTAGCCACGAGCAACCCGGGAGTGCGAAGCGCCTTCAGCTTACCCTTGGACTTGATCAGGACATCGGAGCAGTAGTCGAAACTTGGGGTACACGACTTGTCTGCCAGGCCAGATGAGACCAGGGCAACGAGAGTCAGGAGAATGGAGGAGAATCTCATTTTGGGTTCTTAGATCCTATGTTGATAATTTAGGATGAGAGTCTGTCAAGCTAGAACTAGGAAAGAAGCGACATTAAATCCTTCTCATTGTCTTTGAGCATATGTTTGCCTGAAAAACAATCCTCTTACATTCCAACAAAGCTTGGTCCCGCATGTTGCCGTGGAACGCGAGATGGCATGTAGATACGCCATTGCATACCAAGGCCTGCAGAACGCTATATTCAATCTTCTTGGTTGCCTTTCATCGGCGAAGCCGGTTGTGAAGAATACGATGATGTAGACACATTTGGCGAATGACCCTGAAAGCAAAAGGGTCAAAGGCCTGCATGGGGCCAGGGGCCAAGGGCCTTATTGCATAAGGGTTTGTCGTGCCACTCGTAACCCCATAACCCCATAATCCTGCATGCAAGGGATTGCCAGTTCCCCGGAGAGAGAGCGTCATACCATACGCAGGTCGACCCCATTGATAATGTTAGCGCGATACTTCCACCCCTTCCTCATGACTAATATTCTGCCACCGTTTTATTGCGACTTCCTGTAATTAAACCATCTCGATACAATATTACGGTAGGAAGGTTGGTGGGTAGGTGGAAGGGGTTGAAACATGCGGTATTGCTCTAATCCTTTTTAGGAAGGCGGTTAAAGACGGTATTAATCATAAAGAATGGTGGGAAGTACCACACTAACATTATCAATGGGGTCGACCTGCGTAGATAGGACTTTCGCGCATCAATCAATTTCCTGCGGCAATTTTGCCGAGAAGCGCCCGATCTGCTTGGCGCTAATAGTGATAAAGACTACAGTATAGGCAAAATTTTTGGTAAAATTGCGAAACATGAAATTTGCAGGAGTTCTTTTTTGGACTGGGCCAGGAGCCAGGTAAATTTTATTATCAGCTTTGCGGTGAAGAAATGCCTGGCAGAGATATACCTCTCTCACCAACTGTTACCAAGGAAGGCTAGTCTGTCCCAACCAGGCAGTTCCATCCGCAGGACTCATCTTACCTCCAAGAGAACCCCGCATGACCTAGACCTTCTGTTGTCGACAAGCCTAGGACCTGCAGTTTCCAACATATTTGGGAGGAAACATTAATTTCTCTTTCAACTCATCATGGCATCTGACAAAGAGCTCGGTAAGTTGACATGAAAATGACACCGGCACGTCATTCACGGGATTTAACAACAAAGAATGTGGCTGATATTTCACTCCAGCGAGTCTTGTAACGGCGGATCCAGGCCTTCCACGACCAAATCCAACCCAATCATACTGGCAACATATCCCTCATCCCCTCGCGAATACCCGGTCAGAAAGTCTACCTAGCGAAAGAGACTATGCCATCATTGGATCCGGCATCACAGGGTGCTCTGTCGCCAAGACCCTATTAGAGCACCACCCGACCGCAACAGTCACTGTCCTCGAGGCTCGTACACTTTGTTCTGGGGCGACAGGACGCAATGGCGGTCAGATGGCTGCTAATGCAGGAGAAGAATATATGCATCTTGCCGAGGTTCATGGGCCGGCAAAATTGCAAGGTTTACGCTTCTGAATTTGAAGAAGATGCAAGAACTGATAGAAGAATATGATGCTGTTGAGGCTAGCGAGATGCAGAAGCTTCAGAAGTTGCGTGTCTTTATGACGGATAGCAAGTTTGAGGATTTTCAGGAGAGTATTGCGCGTCTAGAGGCGGATCATCCTTCCATGAAGGGTATCTATACAATTCTTGATGCTGATACGGTACTCAAGGTCAGTGACTGTTGGCTGTAGTTTTATTTCTGATGTCATCCCTAACAATTTCCATAGGAATATGGGATCCACGGAGCTTCCGGCGGTGCCTTGCTCCCAGCCGGTACAGTGTGGCCATATCGTCTGGTCACCAAGGTTTTCGACGCCCTCCTGAAGAAATACCCAGGTCGACTGACCATTGAAACCAACACGGCCGTAGAGGCCGTTGAGTACGATGAGAAGTTCCTAACGCCCATAACGTCTGTTTTCCCCTATACGTTGCGCACATCTCGAGGACCAATGAGAGCGGCCAGCGTGATATACTGCACAAACGGGTATAGCGGACATCTCCTCCCATGCTTACGGGGACGAATCCACCCGTTCAAGGGAACCATGACAGTTCAGGATCCAGGTACTTCGATACCTAATCAAGGAAAATTCGTGTCATGGGGATTCCATTATCCGCCAACATATGAGCCAGACACTCAGCGTCACGGATATGGATTGTACTACCTTGGTCAAAGCGCCAAGACGGGATATTTCTATTTTGGAGGCGAGAACACACGCATAGATGAAGCTGTGTCGGCGGATGATAGCTTTGTTGCTTCGCATTCTGTTTCTCATCTGCAATCTGTTCTCCCGCGGTTCTTTGGAAAGAGAGGATAAAGCACCTTGGAAGTTGGTTAGTTCGTGGAGTGGCATTATGGGATTCTCATCGGATGGATTGCCGTTAGTTGGACGACTTTCACCAGCCTTGACTGGTCGACGTGGCGAGGGAGAATGGATTGCGGCGGCTTTTAATGGCTATGGGATGGCTAATTGCCTGATGGCTGGAGAGGCACTGGCGTTGATGATACTGGGGAAAAAGTGAATGATTGGCTTCCTGCTGCTTATGAGCTCGGTGAGCATCGATTGCAGAGTATCCTTACTCCACCAGAGGCTGTCAAGGCCTTGAGCTCAAAGTTGTGACAGTAGTCACCTTTAAGAGTCCAACAGAGACAACGCTATCTTGACGCCCTACCAAGCTACCTCCTCCCCATCATACTGATTATTCCCGGACGCATTCTCCCAACCAGGGACATGAATATTCAAAAACTTCCCATTCTGATGGGGTCCAGTTTGCTGCACGATATCCAGAACCTTCTCTGCTCCAGTCTCCACTGGCAGATCTGCTCGAGCGCTGCCCAGGTCGGTACGTAGCCACTGTAAGAGTCAGTAAAAATGTTTCCCTGTAAGGGCTGTAAGGGATTAAAAAACGAGATGCTGTGTGGGAACTTACACCTGGACTGATAGCTAATAATGTAAACCCCTCGGCCTCGTATTGCTGAGCATATTGCACTGTCAACATGTTCAGTGCGGCTTTGGATATTTTGTAGGCGGGTGTGGGGGATTGTCTGTAGACCTCGGCTTTTGCGAAGGAGCCCAGTGTTGTTGATCTAGATATTATTAGCTATATTTTCTCTCTCTCTGGTGGTAAAGTTCGTCACTCACATATTGATGACAACTTTCTTCTCGCCCTTGCGCAATAGAGGTAGAAAGGCTTGCGTGACATTATGAACAGAGGTAACGTTCGTATGGAAGATATCATTCAAGTTATCCCTAAACAGCGGAGTCAGAATCATCTCGTTCCAAGGACATATCTCAATCCTTACATTCCCTCCAACCCAGTCGAACTCCAATCCATCAAGCCCGCATTATTGATGAGATAGTCCAGCCCCTTCCCTTGCAACTTCCCCTCCACCAATTTAGCTGCTTCTTGGATGCTGGACTTATTTGTTACATCCAATTTGACCAGCTCAACTCGGCCAGATGAGGTGTTCACGAGCTCCGTGAGTTGAGGCGAATTGTCCTGGCGCGCGGTCGCGATTATCTTGCCTACTTGTGCGGAGGGCAGGGAGGCTAGGCGGGACACTAGAGCTAGGCCGAGACCTCTTGATGAGCCGGTGACCAGGTAGGATGCCATTTCTTGTGAAATTGGGAGTTTGGGGAGTTGGTTTTGGTTTTGGTTGTTGTCTGGAGGATGTCAATGGTCCCGCGATTTAACAACGCTGGACATTGCGGATTAATAACGCAATCTCCGTGCTTAACCCCGCGTTCGCGACTGGGAAAGCCGTCGATTATTAATTATCTATTAACTAACTAACTTAACTAACTATAGTTAAGTTACGTAGTTATAGTCTCTTACAAAGCGAACACCTTTAAGAAAACCGATTAGAAATTCAAGTCTGGCAAGTCTCATCTGAGATTAGTTCTGTCGAGTGTTGGATATGACATCATTGGAGATGAGAGTGAACCAGATCTAAACACATAATTACACATGACTGGAATTAGGAAGGCCATGTACTTTGTGTCTTGTATTAATGAAAACGCCGTGAGAATGTAATGGGAGACATCTCTATCCTTGGCTGATGGCTGTCCAACCATTATGTACATTCATTATGTACATTCATTATGTACATTCTAATAATTTGACATTAGAAAACTGATGGTCCGCAAAAGAACGTAAGGAGGCGTCAACCAGAACCTCATTTACACCCTTTCGCTATCAGCTGCTTGCGCAGGCTGCTCATGCACCGGGATATTCTCAACATCATGTACGGGCTCGACATGACCAGCGCCTGAGCCATTGGAGACCTGGGCAGCCTTATGATCGCGCGAATACGACCAGCTGTCCGTTCCCAAAGAGCTGGGGAATCCAATACCACGAGCAAATGCCCGTCGTTGGCTTCGAGGACCCCACGCCCAGCCTGATCCCCGCTGGATGGGCAGGTGGTACATGCGCATTCCGATGTAGGCGAAGAAGATTCCGATCAGAGCGCCGCAAATGATATCAAATCCGTGGTGACGGTAGTTGAACCACCGAGAGGAGGCGATGAAGAATGCTACAGCGGTGGGGAAGAAAGTGAGGATCATCAGGAGCACAGGGGGTGCTGCGCCGCGCGTGCGAACGGAGGTGCGGTCGTCGCTATGGTCATCGCCCTCGACGGGGAATTGAGGCAGATACGGGAATCCAACGGAGAGTTTGGCAGCAAGCCAGAGAGTCAGGTAGCCGAGTCCAGCGAAAGAGACTATAAAGGCGTCGATTAGCGATCGATCTTCCCCCTTGATGAAGCCACACCCAGCTCAATACTTACGGGATGAATGTCCACTAGGGAAGCTGGAGAACCCATCAACACGCAGGTTATACCCCTGTTCCCGGCAAATCTTCCAGTCCACCAACACCGGAGCCCCTGCGAGGCGCTCACCGAGACCGCCGACCGCATAATCCGCAATCTTCCTCACATCGGGGTTACACCGCGCCAGCAGATCCGGTCGTGGCTTGCCCATCAGCGTTTTCAATCCCTGTGTAGTCATCCAGGCACCTGCCAGGGCCAGTGCAAGTCCCATCCAACCGGCATTCCATTCCCAGAACTTGCGTCGCAGCAGTTGCGATTTGGACGCCTTTGCGCCTCCGACAGCTGCGGTGCCGGGGATGAGTAGCGCTGCTCCCAGGATGACGATCACGGCCGGGGCCAGCACCGAAACGAGGATCAGGGTTGCGGTGGAGACGGTTTCATGTTCGGTGAAGGGGAAGGAGATGTCCGGGTCTGTGAGGGAGAAGGGACGCTGGTTGGGGTCTTGTTTGTAGAATCCATAGCCGATCAGGGCAACACCACTATTCAATCGATCAGTCATTGGGCTTTCACACGGGAAGCTTTAGGTGTCAGAAATGTACACAATGAAGATCCAGTCAATGATATACGACAGTACCAGCAGCTTGGAGATGTGCGCGATCGCAGCCTTGGGGGATATGGGGCCCATATTCCCTAGCGCTTGTCGACGGACTGCGCTAAGCAGGTCCTACTTGTATATATATTCGTCGATACCGATCTGGTGTCTCGTCGGAGTCAACTAGGACCAGCGATATGCGCAATATCGAGTCACGTCGTTGCGCGCGTGCTCAAGTTGAAGTGTTTTTGAGGCTGCGGGCGCTAAGCAACGAATCCCTAAAACGATCCTTGAAAGGAAGGGGGTACCGCACACTTCCCAACGGTCGCAAAATAACCTCGGGCGGGTTGCAAGGAATTGGCGAGGAGAACAGAATGATGTAGGTCGAAAGAGATGAAATATTAATTATTAAGAAGGATGAACAAAAAAAAGGTAAACGACATCGCAGGGAGGAAGATAATGCAGGGTCCAAAAGCCTCTTTTCTTCGGTAGTTTGTCTAGTTGCCTAACGGACCCTAACCAAACAATGAATAATCCTATAAGGAACGATCGGTAACTAGGGAGTTGATAGACCAATAAACCCACTGGAGTGACCTCGTGCAGCGAGTGCAAATTCCCCCTTGAGGAATGAATCCCCCCATTTTAAGGTTTGCTGACGCTAAGTGTCGTGGCTGAGGCGATGAGGGCGACGCTTAGCTCTCTCGATTGAGCGTAGTTTGCGTCTTTGAATATTGGATCTCCAAGAGGTTCTCCACAATGGGCAGGTCAATGGCTGTGCTTATGGAAAGTGTTGCGATTTCTTTCGCTGAGATGAAAATTTGGGTCCCTAGCATCGATCAACCACAAAGCTTGACTGTCTAGTAAGTTGTTACAAGAATAGTTATTTCTCACGAGAGTCGGCGTGCTTAGGGACTTGGAATAATAATAGCATCAACCAGGTGTAAACAGTTGAGGCTGATGTTCATTAGGCTATCTGACGGGCATAGCCTGGCTGACAGATTGTTGCTTCTGGCAACTAACTAACTTAGTTAACTACTGTAGTTAGTTAACTAACGAGGTCTTTCACTCTCCCATTCTTCCTGGTCCAGTGACTTTTTCCTTGACTTCACTGCCCAACTATGCTCTTGACAGGCTAATAATTGGATACTTTATTATACTCTATCATCATGCTATCCTTCTCATTGAAATCGGAGAATTCGATGTTTTGGACCGTCGTTGACGTCACACATGGCTTTGCCCGACCTTTAGTCGCCAAGACGGCACAACGGTACAAAACGCTACATTAGTATGCAGACACGATAGATGCAGTTAGGTACCAAATAATGTGCCTTGAGTTCAGTTTTCTTTTTGAAGTAACTCTCGAGGTCAACAGAGGGTCTGTGCTTCTGTGGACCAAGGGACTCAACGGACCCGTTCCCCTGGTATTCAACAAAGTTAGCTCCTACCAAAGTGGCAATTGATACTCCGTACTACTCCTTGGAATCTCCATATACTGTACTCACCTTGCCAATGTACTATTTAGGCTTTTCAGGATCCCAGCATAGACCGTGCAATGTTGTTAGGCTGAATTCAATGGACTCCTGTCTCTAAATGAGTAGTTTGTCGTTGAGTTGTTGTGCTCCCTACCTCGTTGAGTATCCAGACAGATGGTAGTTGTCTATTCAAAGCTCTGGGGCCTTGATGTTGGTTGAGATGACTGAACAAGCCCGTATTAGGTTAGAAGGAAGGTTAAAAGTGAGGTTATTCCTGGGCCCCTATGCATATGCTCTTGTGGCTTGGAGGGCAAGCAAGGCACTATCAATCTCATCAGGGTTGCCTTGAGCAGGCTGGCATTTGACTTTATGCTTCCTCGCCAACTAGCACGTAGTTCTTTTCATGATCTTTTTAGATTGATCGCTCGTCAGCTGTTGGATTGTCAAGTCTCTCGTCGGTTTAGATACGAAACAACAGGGGAATAAGTGCGTGAGTAACAACGTTGCAATTCTGAAGCTCATCGATCGAAATCGGTTCGTGGACGATTAGTCTGATGTCATCGATATGGCAAAAGTACCGTCGGGTTCCATATACGCACGATCCTACTGTAGCTTGCATTGATTGCCGTTGAAACGTCCCAAGTCGAACCTTATCAAAAATACTCAGGTCCTAGAGCAACATCTGACGGATTGTTGACCAAGTACCTCCTGAGTCCGTGGAGATACAAAATGCCAGACTACGGTTTGGCAGACGCCAAACCAATGATGATAGATGGAGATGTTTATCCATGAAGCCAGAGCGTAGCAGGTGGGGCAGGTCCGGCACCCCACGGATCAAACAGCCTGCCAACCAGATCCACGGGATTTGCCGATCTTGGAATGGACGGTAGAACCTTCAAGATCTCCAATCCCGTTGGTCGAAAACTGATTGACAATACGTTAGTTAGATGGACGGATTCGGATGGTGTGTCTCTCGCAGCGAGTAAAACGCTCTCTTTATAATTAAATTGGGTTTCTATCTCTTTAAGGTCACTTTTGGTATCCACTTCCCGAATATGAAGTAACTATGATTCAATGCTCGACAGGCGGGGCACGGGAAATAACGAGTAGGAGAATATCCCTACTATATCTGGGCGCTCATACAAAACTGCTTGAAGCCCCGTCTGCGAAAAAATAACTCGAAACTCTTCCATTAGGCGGAAAACCAGACATACCCTGCACAATCGCTCCCCCTGTTTCCTGTTCAATTAAATCCCGAAGAAACGAGAAAGCCGTCTCCATGTTCTGTAACCGGTGAGCTGACAATTTGATAAGAATCCCGTTTTAGTGTTGGAGAACAAGCACCTAACATGGACTTTTTGCCTCTCTTCCAGTAAGAGCTCCAAGCGGCCAAACAACGAGCTTATTGAGCGCTTCCAAGGTCTTTGTGGCCTTTCCTTTCTTCACAGAGAAGCTGACCCCAAGTCAGCATATGATAACCCGTTTTCGAGCAGAGAAAATGGACCGGCGCTATCACCAAGGTAGGCGCATACTCAAGGGTAGATAAGTGTCTGTAAGCTAATATCATAACCAGTGTCTTTGGAACTGCGGGAAAGATGAATACTGGGGGTCATAGGTCGTTCAATGACTGTACAGTACCAAGCTCAATGAATGTCTTCTTAGCGCAGAACATGCCGCCTCAAAGCCAGCGCTTTCAGTCCTACCAACAAGGATTGAATTACTCTGCCAAGGATTTTGACCGGTCAATTTCCCCGAAGAACAATTCCGGGAATGAGAGTGCCCAGTTCACTCAAGGATGGCTTCCTAACTCACAACCGAACTGGAAAATTGATAATAGCTCCTTCAGCCAGCCAATGCACCCCCATCAGCCCTATCATACGGATCTATTTGCGAACAACCCTGCATGCCAGCCGAGCCAAATCGTTCACTGTGACTCTGGCTACGAGACTTGGGATGAGCCGCCGAAACCCTTATTATCCCAGGATGGATTCTCCAGACGTCAAAGTTCGGAAAGTCTAGTCAAAGCCATGTCACCTCAAAGTTTTTCTACGACGGCAACGGGGATACCACGGGCTGAGAGTGAGAGGTAAATCAAACCCCGCATCATCTGTTTGGCTTTTCAATATTAACGCTTTCCTCAGGTTCCGCTTCCATACTTGTCTTCGAGCCTCGACTGCGATGATCACAGACTCGAAGGAGGCACCCGAGTCTTACCTTAACAAGGGCCAAATCTACCATCTACGATTAATCGACACAACGCCGCCTAGCTCGATTACCGAAGCAACTAGGTACCGTACTTTCGTCCGTGTTTGCTTTAAGGAACAAGAACAGCGAGTCAACGCAGAATCATACTGGCGGTTATGGAAAGAAAGCCGGGGCTTAGCCGAGTCAGATAAGAAAGACTCTGAACTTCGAGCCCTCGAATATGCTGGTCAAAATGGTCCTCAGATGCAGGTTGAGGAGGAGTTTCTCGATGGATTTACCGTTTCTTGGACAATCAATCCAATGACCGGCGTGAACGAATGTACAATCCCAGTCCGATTCAACTTTCTCTCTACCGATTTTACGTTGGCAAAAGGGGTAAAGGGTATATCAGTGCGACTTTGCGCCAAATCGGATCAGCTCAACAACCTCGAGACACCCTACGAGCCAGAAATTTGTTTCTGCAACATCAGGGTTTTCCGAGACCATGGTGCTGAACGAAAATTATCCAACGACATTACCAATCTTCAAAAGAGAATCGCAAAATTGACGGAGCAAATTGGGAAGACTTCGCTTCACGAGCCACCGAAGAAACGCAAGCGGGGTAGCGTTGCCGCAAAAAGTATGGGTGACCTCAAGGGTTCCGATCAGACCCTGACCCGTGAACATGGCTGGTCATTGGACATGGGCGGGGATCCAGCAGCAGATAAGCTTCAAATAAAGCTGGCCAATCTTCGCAATATGTTATTCTCAAGTTCCTCGGAGAGCGTGCTGGGTCTTCGTGGTAGCAAGGAGAATGATCCTGAGGTGCATGTCACTCGATTGCGATCTACGGCCAGTCCTGGGCTCCGAATTACTGCGGCACAACGAGGTAGCACTGCCTCCCTGGATGAATCGCTGAGCTCTGTACGTTTGGGCTTGGACAGCATGGATACTTCTCAAGATGGCTTGTCAGTGGCAAGTCTGGAAAATTCTGGCCTGCGACGGTCGCCCATGCCTGGTATGCTTCATTCCTTGTGCTTTCGTGATACATTTAACTAATTCGTCATTGAATCTAGTCGCATGCTTTTATATCTATCGTACAAGGAACGGTCCATCCTCGGATCGATATTATCGCACGATTTATCTGAGAGAACGCACTGCGCATGACCTGACTCAAAGGATCTGTGAGAAATGTGGAGTCGACCCATCAAAGATTGCTCGCATGTTGCACACCAATCAAGCTGGTCTTGAGATTTTGGTCGACGATGATTTTGTTCAACAGATGACGGAAGGTCAGGATATGATTGTCAAGATCGAGGAACTTTCATTGAAAGATGGCAGCGCGGGATCGCTGCCTAGTGCGCCTTTGGGGATTTGGTTGGAGTATTGATTCTATAGAGACGATGTTAATACCATAGCATCTCATTCTCCTTGGAACTTGGCTCTTCTTCTATTTGGATTTCGTTACATACCCGGGTATAGGTGGTTAATCAAAATAATTATTTTGCATTCGTTTTCGCACTACCAATTGATATACACCGCGATACCTTCAACGAGCAACTACGACACACTCAGTAATCGCCAGTATGGCCGCAGTACATTACCGTATGTACCACACACACAGAAGCTCTTCTTACGGATTGTTTTATCTTTTCCCTTTCATTGAGACGAGAGTGCGTTTGGGTGTTTTGATTGATAAGCCTGACCACATCCATGTTGTAGATGTCTAGAAAGAGCCAAACCCGCTTTGCCTGAATATATATCTTGACAGGTGAACCTTCAAAAACCTACACCAGGCTGTTAATGCTTTCCATAACATGTCTACGGATACATAGTACACCTAATTAGCTTGTGAAAACAATCGTTTAGATATTAGCACGCCCGTGGCGCTATGTTAATCCTATATATAGGGATGCTTACAACCTGCGGACCGGATTTCCTATGCCAGGTCTTGCCCCTCCCCTTTCCTCCGAATTAGTGCTCAGACTCTCGCCGCTTTTGCTCATGGAGTAGATCTGAGCACGTCTCCGATCGGCTCACTGAGCAAGGCTGATTCACTCACTGAGGACTGCCTGGCCAGTACCTCAATAAAACGCCACACGCTAGTCGTACCCACAAACATTCTTTCCTGTAGATTGTCCCTGTAGCCCGATCAGGAAGCACCCGTCGGGCATCAATAACTTAACGTTCCAACGGCTACTCGCTCACACATGACCTCCTCACCCACCTGGGCGCCCTCGACGAGCACTTGGAAGAAAATCCCGAGACCATGCAGCAGGACCTGCGGCGCTTCAACGCCAGGCATATGCAACGCCAGGAGTCATCCGACGGCAGCACCAACAGTCTGCAGTCCCCCACGGCTCGGTCTCGCTTTTCGTCCGACACCTTCAGTCAGCGTAAAATGCGCCCCACTCAGCCGGCCTATAGCCCCGGGTTCCAGCCCGACGACGCGTGCGCCCTAAATCAAGAGCAAGCCTCAGATGTCCGGCCGCTATGCGCAGCAGCTGCACATGCAGGGCATTGTCAACCCGCTTGCTCTACAGGGTGGTCCTCAACAGCAACAGCAGTGGTCCAATAACCTCGGCTTTAATCCTTTTGATGTGATGGACCTCATGAACTTGGCTGACTATGCCAACTTGTCATTCGATGACAGCCAAATGGCCTCACTCATGTTCAACAGCCAGATGCCCATGAACTACATGCCGTCGGGGTTTTTTGTCGACCCTAAGAACGACTGCGAAGACTTCAACCAGTTCCTCAATCGAATCCGACGGAGATCGCCTCCATCTGATTTCCTTTTGCCTTTTTATCGCTGTATGGCGTGACGCATGTATACTATACATGTTTCTTATTTGGGTTCTGGTTCTGGGTTCGGCTTCTTTTTGTTTCTGGGGCTATTATCTCCCACTATCTGGTGCAATTGGGTGTCCTTATATCAATCACTGTACTGCTAGGCGCGGCGGTCATTTTCGGGTTTGGCTCTGCGGTGTCTTTTTTTTTTTTATTTTTTATTCTTGACTCTCTTTTTCAAACCTACTCAGAAAAGGAGATTCCCTTCTCTAATTGATGGCGTTGGTTGGTCTTCGTCATGTCACCGTTACACTATTTTCGATGAAATCAACTTCGATCCCAAACTCTAGCAAAACTTGAAACAGGTTGGCAGAAAACCAATGAGAGGATATCTATTGTAAGACGGAGGCAGGTGAGTACGACACTAGGAGATGCGCGATCAATAATCTCGGAGGATTGCCGAGAATCGACTGTAATTTGCAGATTGCAGTTGGCGGATTATGACAAGTTGATATGTCCAAAGATGCCAATAATCACAGATCCTCCGAATTAATATTATCTACCAAACTGATCATCATACGAGTGCCTAGTATTGCCGTTGAAGTCGACTCCAGCGAATGCCTGTCGCCCCCCATCCTTTGTAAACGTAACCAACCACTTGGACTGTTTGGGCTCATGAGCTAATGTCCAAAACATGTCTGCATGTGCATCACCATCGAGCTGCAAACCAGCTGGTCGTCCATCGGGTTTGCGCTCATCGACGAAGTAAAACCTGGGCGCACGAGTCAGATACAATAAATACACCTCCTGACTGGGAAGTGCAAAAAAAGAGATCGAACCTGTAGCCATCTTTACCATATGCGTTGGCGGCATATTCCACAAGCATTGCTGCAGCCACTTTCCCAAGTGCAAAGGGCATCACGCCTGGGATGGCGATCTGGTTCAATGTGTTCCCAGTATATATGAACGCTGTGGGTGTTGAAGTGGGAAGCATTCTGAAACCTTGTAAAGCCTGCTGAGCGGCGATATAGGCACTATCAAAACCGACTGTGCGAGCAGCATTGATCGTTCCCAAGGGAGCGGAGAGAGGGTCGTCGTGAGGAGTTATGAGACGGTTAGCCCCTTCGCACGTCAGCTAGTCACATAACCAAGAGAGGTATAAAATGCACAAACCGTTGAAAACGACGATATTGGGAACGCTAAGCGCTTTCCCTACGGTTTGAAATACTGATGGAACAGAATTGGGATCAGACAGGTCGGCCTGGATGTTGAGATAACCTTCTGATGAAAACCCTTCTGACAAATTGCGAGCAACTAGGGCGACCTTGTAGCCATTACTTGCGAACCTGGATGCGACGGACCTTCCAATGCGGGGCCCGGCTCCAATTATGAGTACCACTCCTGTGAAAGGCATCGTTCCAAAACGAGAGGCAGATAAATGGATAGGACAACACTGCTAAAATTAAGAACGAGAAAGTGCGCTGAATTGGTGTGATATGCAGGCAAGCTAGGGAAGCACCATATAGTTTAGAATGGCAATATGAAACGTTAGGCGAAAGGAAAGCCCTACAAGCTTGCATAACTACGTAGGAACAACTCGAACATTGATAGTGGGGATGCCATTTATACAGTATCCCCATTTCCGCATTGATTTCAAATCAGTCCGCATTGGTCTTTTCTTTGCAATCATAGTGGAAACTCAATTTACCCCTTCGCAATCCGGACTATACGTTTAAACAACCCCACTATATTATTAATCATGGCTGCGGTCCTTTTCAAATTTAGCGGCGTTTGCTATTCTAAATTTGAGACTGTTGAATACCATTCCGCTCGCGACTGAAGCGATACGCAAATAAGTGAAATCAGGCTGAATAGCATGTAGTTCAGCTGAAGTTTGCCCATCCTCTGAGGGGTTGAACAACGGATTATGCAGCAAGGAGGTGTGTGTAGAAATGGCATACTTAGGCCGCCACCGAATTCAATTACAGTAATTGTACCCGAAATGATAGCAAGTCAGGCGGCCTGGAAATATGATAACGCAGATGACTGCAGATCCACATCGAGACGGAAACCCAGGGGTCTACTAATTACAACGGATGAATCACCAGAGCACAACCGGTATATGTCGGGGTACAGCTCGTATAAGTTAGGAACTCGTCTGCCTGGCTCTATCGCATCAGGTATAATTTGAACCAAAGTTGACGACGACGACTCTCATGCAAGGGAAGAGAAACCCAGGCGGTGCATGACGACAAAAGGTCTAGAGCCCACGAACAACAATCAGTGAATCTACACTACTGCCACTACCGCCGCGCCCGCTCAGCTTCCTTATCTCCGCCTGATCCGAGGTCATTGGAAATCAGCACAGCGTGAAAGTAAAGAGAAGTGAAGAAAATAAGGCATCTCAAGCCTGCCCCGCCGTGCCGAAGAGATCCCGATCTTATATACGCTTGTCCTTCTCGCTTGCATACCTGGTCCTCTCTGTACTTCCCTCAGCCCTACGGCTTTGTCCAACTAGCTGTCCACCACACCTAACAGGAACCCCCGCAGATCTTTTCATTCACACTCGCTGTGATATACCGTATAGTATCGAAACCAATTTCTAACAGTACGGAATTACCAGGATTGATTGGAAATCAATCTGGAGGTTGAATACCGTATATAAACCCTCAAGTTTCCTGTCTAAAGAAAAAAAGTAACCTTCCTCTGAATTACAACAGTTTCCAGTTCGTCTAGCCTCTCTAGGGTCATGGTCTTCAGCCTTCCGCTAGAAGGAAGCGAGTAGACCTCGCCATGACCCTGATATTGGGTCCTTCCTACTGACTCGCGACCCGACCCTCAGGGAAGATTTCGTCAGGGTCACCCTGACTACGACACTGACTACCCTGAATTGCATAAATTTTTCACGCCTTCCCTAATGAGAATGGATAAACTGCTGACACATACTCATAAATTAACTAACTACGTAATCCACCACCGAGTGAAACACACTACCGAGTGAAACACCTAACCCCATCACAAAACTTTCAAGTAGGATATCTCAACCAGAACGCATTAACCAGTTTAAATATAGCGATTTTTACATGAATTGATTCTGCGGCGAATCTCCCTACACTCACTACACCTAGGCCAGGCCCTGGTAGGTTGCGGATTCGCCGATATAGGCAATTCGCCCTGCGCATGCGATTCTATCTCACCATCTTCCACTGGCTAGTTTAGCTGTTCAACTAGCTGTAGCCCCTCTTCGACGGTTAAACCCTCTTCGCAGGGTATCTGCCTAGTTGACCGATTGCCCTTTTCCACCACCTTCTCATTCGCTGCGCGTATATTCGCCTTTTTTTTCGCTAGGAGCGCGGTGTTGTGCAGCGCTATGCAGTGGCCCTTGATGATCTGATCTAGCATAGTTTTTTGATGAGCTCGGAGGGCTATTTGACCGCTGCTTTAGCAGGTCTTTGAGCACCGAAGCTTGTATTTGCTTCTGTAGCTGAATCACGCTTCTAGGTGTTTTTGGCGTGAATTGGCTAGATCTGCTGCTTGGCTGGCTTCTTGGTGGTGGTGTTGGTGTTGGGAGGGAGATATTTAGCTTTGAAAGCACCCTTTCTACATCGACTGGCACTAGGCCACTAGCTGCGAAGCTAGTCTGAATAATAGCCGGCTGTTGGAAGGCCTCTAGCCGCGCGCGTTGGTAGTAGATGTGAAGAATGCGCAGGCATACAAAGCGGAATAATATCGTTTTCTGCGCAGATTCGGTCGAAGTGGGGTTGTAAGGTGGCTCCCGTGGCGGTCAAGAATCAATAGTCGAAACCGGCCTCGTACGCGCGAATTCGTGTGTGGGATAAATTGCTTTTGTAGCCAGCGAAGGCCTATCTCATGGGTAGTCCAGCCGTTCTTCGAGACCTCAAACCGCCAGTCTTTTAGTAGGTTATTAAACCAACCCGCGATGGCAACTTTGCCCTTAAAGATGATACGTGGCGGTAGCGAATAGCCATGTGCGCAGATAGCTTCGATAGCAGTAACCCATTCGCGGTTCCCTGGCTGTAAGATAGAGCGCGGACCGTAGTATTCCCCTCGAATAACCACCTTTTGCGCTGATATAAGGCCCATCGCGAATCCAGTCTCATCAAAGTTGTAGATATCCTCTGGTTGGATACCCGTTGTCATCGATCACGCGTTGTACGGTCGCCAACCACTCTCGAATCGACTTGGATCTTCATTTAGAGCACGCTGGTAATTGTATCATCTCGAGAAGCGTGAGCGAATCTCTTCGCGCCGATTAATAAACTTGGATGGCCAATTCTTGCCTACTATAGGCGAAGGGTCGGTTCCACGCGCAGCAAGAAGGATATTAGCCATTTCTTTTATAGTGGTGGGCATAGGCGCTGCTCCACGTGAATCCATAGAGAGAATCCATTTCACAAGCAAATCCTCTTCTAGTTGGGTCAATTTATGACAATTTGCGCGTGTGTCGACGCGTGAGGGTAGGCTCTTAGCCCGTCGAGGCAGGTCACATAGAACATACTGAATTGCCTTGCAGCTGCACGAATCGATTGAATTGACCTTTTTGAAAGGCTTGTAGAGCTAGCAGGATCCTGCCCTCATGCCCAGTCGCTTTTTGGCGGGGTTCAGTGCGTTTTGGCGGCATAGTAGGCAGTTGAAGTAGGTAAGTAGGTAAAAGCGCGAGATTTTTAGTGGGTTGTTTCAGTCGGTAGTGGATTACGTTAACTAGGGCAACTGTGCCCCGAGCTTGGTAGTTAGACAGATCACATTGAGCAGAGTTTTCCCGCTTCTCTACCCCTATAAATATAGACATGATAACTAGTCAGAATACCATCGTTTTCATCATCGTCAAATCTGCTACCTGGTAGGATTACTAGTGGACACGCCTATTTCATCTTCCAACAGCATCATTTAATATCCTAAGGACGAAATTTGAATAAGAGATTGGAAAAATAATTTTTAATAAAGCGAAATCCGGAGTAAAATTATATGAGTACGCAACAACAAATTGTGAAGATAGATATGTGAATTCACTCAG